TTTATTATTATATATATTTCCTATATTATATAGTATATAATTAGGACTATAAACTATAGGATTAGTTATATTAATATAAATATCTATTATTAAATTATATTTTTATTCTTATCTACTTTTATTAATAAAGTAAATAGTTATAAATAGCGTTTCTTCTTCTATATTTATATAATAGGCTAGTTATAATTATTGAAAAGGGGGTACTAAATATAGCAATTAATATTAGGGCTAAAAATTTTAATTTTAAAGAGGTTAATTTTACTAATTAAATAAAGGAGGAGGAGGAGCAAGAAGGGCTCTTATTAGCTAGTTTTATTACTAGGGTAAATAGTAAAAAGTTAGTTGCTAAGGGGACTTAGCCTAAATTATTATTATTTATAAGTATAAATATTATATTAAATTAACTAAAGACAAGTTAACTTTTTTAAGAAATTAATATAATTTATATAGAAATATAGAAACTAGAAGCTAGTTTTTAGCTTATTATTAAAGCGATTATAAGCTATTATAATAGTATTATAATTTAAAAGTTTAAGTTATTTAATAATAATTATAAAAAAGTTAGCCTACTTAATAGTATCCTTATTACTAGCGATATTATATTTTATATAGTAATTTCTTAGTAAATCGTTTAAAAGCTAGCTATTAGTCTACCTAAAGCATTTTTATAAATCTTTAACTAAGATACTTAAGTTATTTATATTTAAGACTTAGTGTCTATATTTATTAGTAAACTTATATTACTATTAAATATAAGTTTTATTTAAGCTACTTATTAAAGGATCTTCGCTTAGGAATAAAATTATAATATAATCTAATATTATTTTTATTTTTTTAACTTTTACTATTGCTTTAATATATTTAATAAAACTATAGATATTATTATAATTATTTCTATTAAAATAGCTAATATCTAATTAGCAGAAGCAGTCTATTAATAAAGATAATAATAATATAACTATTTTCTCTATCTTTTCTTAGTATATTTTATCTTAGGAAGCTACATTTTAAAGTAATAAGCTTAGAAATATAGGAGTAGCTATAGCTATTTTCTTTATCTCTTTTTAGCCTATTTAACTATAGGAATTATATTTAAGTAATAGCTTATATAATCTATGCTTTAAAGCCCTTATATTTAACTTTTATAGTTTATTTTTATATTCTAATAATATTGCTCTAATTAGTCTAAACTCTTTTAATATTATTACTTATATTATTTCTATAAGCTAGGTATTTGTTATAAAAGCTTCTAATTAGTTATCTTCTAGTTACTATAAGTATATTACCTTATTATTATTCCCTGCTTTAGATTTAAAGCTATAATAATAGGAAAGCTATCTTTCTTTATTATTTTAAGCTAATTAGCCTAGTAAAAAGGTTAGGGAAAAAGCGGTTTTTTAATAGTTATCTACTAAGTTGCTAAGGCCGTTTTTAAATACTAATATTTAATAAGATAATAATAATACTTAATCTTTAGTGTTGCTACTATTTATAAGGAAACGCATTGTATAGAGACTTTAATAAGTAATATATATAATATAGTTAGTTAATAATAAATTAATTAAAAGCTATCTAAGAAGCTATAGTAAAAATATAGCCTTATACTAAGCCGGGTAGGGCTAAGCTAAGCCTAATTAGGATATCCCTATCCTACTCTTATTTAATTTATAATAAATACCCTATCTAAAAAACTATTTTATAAATATAAATAATAACTAAGAAAGCAAAATAAGATAAATATTCTATAACTTAGATAACTTTATAATATATATTAAAATAGCTTTTAAAAAAATAGATAAAGATAAGGTAATTAAGAGGAAACTATAAAACCTAAGGTAAAAAGTATTAATATTAATTTATATAATAGTATTTAAAATACTAGTTTATAAAATAAAATAAAATAATTTAGCTTTAGTAGCCTATTTCTATGAAAGTTTATATAATAAAGTTAAAAACACTATAGTAATAGTAGATAAACTAGATTTATTAAAATTAATAATTAAAATTATAGTTTAAATTAATAATAAATAATAAAAAAAATATTTTAATAGATAAGTATAGCGAAAAAGGCTTATAATAAAAAGATAATAGTTTATAAGAAATTTAATAGAAATAAATATTTTAAAGAAAGGATTAAGAATTAAAACTTATTATACTTATAATAAAGCTAAATATATTAGATAAAATTACTTAAAAAAAGCTACTAAAGTAATAGAATAATAAATTAAAATAGCTAAGGAAGTTATACTAGTTATAGGGAATAATTATAATAAACTTTTATAAATAGTTTATATAGAGAATAGTTATAAAATATATTAATTAAAAAAAAATAAATTAAAGTAATACTTAAAAATATTTAAGTTAAGAAAAAAAATAATTAAATAGCTAAGGATTTAATATTTATTATTCTTTACTAAAAAGCCTATAATAGCGGCTATAGAAATAAGAATTAAAAATAAATAAATAATAACTTTAATTAATTAAAAAAGAATAAAGAAATAAAATATTAAAAAAAATATTTAATAGAATTAGAAGATACTTTAAAGCTATAAAAAGTATTTATAAGGATAGTTTAATATAGAATATTAATATTAAAAATAAATATAAACTAATAAAAATAATATTATTTTAAGTTATTAATAGTAATTAAAATTATATTATTTTAAGAAAAAAATAGAACTAAAATATAGGAGCTTTAGTTAAAATAAAAAAAATAAAACTTAAAAGAAAAATATTATTAGAAAATTAAATAATATATTTTTTAGTATATAAAAACTTTATAACAATAAACTAGTAAGGACTAGAAAATATTAATTATATATAGAATAATATTTTAAAGGTTAATATAATATTTAAAAAAAATATAAATATAATAATAACTATAATATAGAAATAATTTAAAATAATATAAGAATTAATAGCAAAATCTTATAGAAAAGATATTTCTAAGATAAAAAAAGTCTAGAAATATTATATACTATATTTAAAGGAAAGCAATTATTTAATATACTTTAAAGAAGACTTAATTAATAATATAAATAAAGAATTAAACCCTAACCTAGTAGAAAGTACTTAATAATAACTATTACTATATTTAATAAATAAAAAGGATAATTTATAGGACTTAGCGCCTAGCTTTTTATTTTAAAATAAAATAGTAAAGGAGGAAAAATCCTCTATTAATAAAAAAATATTAAAAGAAAAAGATATTAGTGAACTCTAAAAATAAGTTAAAAAAGCAATAGTAATAAAAGAAATACTAGAAGTAAAACTAGATAAGTTAGCCTAAGGCAACTTTAAGTAATTTAAAGAAATAGAAAATAAAAAGCAAATACTTAAAGAAAACTACTTTAATATTATAGGAGGTTTTATTAACTAAAAATACTTATAATTAAATATTAAAGAAATAAATAATCAACTTAATATAGTTAGCAATTATCTTAATTAAAACCTTTAAATAAGCCCTTTAATAGGTATTAAGCCCTAATTTAAATAGCTTTAAATAAGAGGAAAAAATTATTAAAATTAAAATTAGCAAAGGCTTAATTAATCTCTTTAAAAGATAATATTAATATATTACTTAAAAACGGACTAATAGCGACTATAGAACTATTATTAGTAATAGGATCTTTAAGTTTAGTAAGTTTATAAAAGATATTAGCTTCTTATTTAGCTATATCTTTCTTATAATAGTTAAAAGAAAAATATATATTAAAAAGCCTTTTTTATTTAGTAATATTAGTAGCTAGCTCTCTATACTGCCTTATTAACTCTTTCTTTTCCTAGGAATTGCAAAGAATAAGATCCTTTAATTTTTTATAAATCTTTTTCTTTTTCTTTTAAATATAGTTCTTTATAGATAATTAATAAAAGAAATAATAATATAAAATTAAAATAAACTTATATATATAATTAGAAAAGAAAATATTATATTAATAAAAGTAACTAAAAAGTATATAAGACTTATAAGAATCCTAGTTATTAAGAATATAATATTTAATACTTTTACTTAAGCTCTTATAGGAAGAATATAAGAAAAGTATCTTATTACCTTAAGATTAATAGAGCTTAAATATATAAAGTTAACGCTAGTAAACCCTACTAAGTATAATAAAAGAATATAAAGGAATTATAAAATAAAAAGAAAATTATAAAGACTAATACTTCTTATATATACTATTACTAAGAAATTTTAAGAAGTAATATAGGGGGTAGTATTATGCTTTATAGGCTATATAGTATATTAACTACGCTAGAGGAATAAAGGATACTTATTATTAATTAGCTTAGTAAAATTAACTAAGCCTATTTATTATAATATAATATTTATAAAGTATATATATTAAAACTTATATTATAATATAAATAATATAATTACTATTTAATATATAATATTATTTATTTAGCAATAAATAGTTTGCTCCTTAGTTATTAATATATTTATTACTAAATACCCTAATAAAGTTCTATATATAAATTATATTACTATTATAGTATTTAAGCTTATTATTTAAAATTTATTTTCTCTTATATCTATAGCTTATTACTATCTACTAAACTAACCTAGCTTATATATAATCTAAGCTAGTTGTTATATAGCCTTTATATAGGTAAATAACTATTATATATTTATAAGATAGTTATTTACTAAAGTACTTTATTATAAATTTTTTAATATTTTTAATTTATAATAAATATTAAAAAAGAAATTTATTATTATTATAATTATAATATATTATATTTATTAACTTAGGCTAAGTTATTTTTTAAGTTATTATAAGCTAATAATATTTAAAATATATTGAAAAAGTAGCTAAAATAGATTTTAAAAGTATAAAAATGAAGTTCTAGGTATTAGAATAGCGAATAACATATATTATTGTTATAAAATCAAGTGAGGGTTGTTTTCAGAAGTGAGGTATAGGTTTTTGTCACCTTTTAGGGATAATTTACAAGACTAGCGTCCTCGGCAAGCCCACAGCAAGGAAAACCGCATATAAATGTGTATGAACGACATTTCGAGGCTGGCACTAACCGTTAGTAGCTGACCCGATCGAAGTGGAGAGCGGCAATGACGACTCCTCTTTAGACGATTCTAGCAGCAACACCGGACATGAAACCTTAACCGCTACCACCCCTACGTACGCTATATCACCTAGCGTTAGCAGCTCAAATAAGGGCAAGATAAAGAACACTATTATTGGCGGTAACTATGTGGGAAGGCTTATTGCTGCTGCATAGAATCTTCGAGATTATCAAGATAGCAGCTGGCTGAACATCGACCATCTCCCTGGCAGTGGCCTAAAGTTTAAGGACGGCATAACTAAGGACAATTTTGGATCTGATAGTGTTAAGGACGGTCGGGCTGAAGACGATTCCCACGAGATTAAGCAATATTTTGGTGTGGCTGAAGATGGTCCTAGGGACGGGGATGAAGTAGGACATGGTATGGAAGACGCCATCGCGGACTCTGAGACGGATGGCATTGATATAGACGCCGAAGTGTCCTATGGCAAGGAGGTTCACAGGGCTGGGCTTGGCGGCGACGCTGAAAGTTAGTGGTATCCTTATGTCTTATTCGTCTCAAAGCTGACGCTGCATTTCCAGAAGAGCAGAACCCGTCTGACACCCAAGCTCTTCAAGCTCCAGTGCACTCTCCTCGCGTGGCCCGCAGATGTCGGGGTAGACCTTGCCGCAGCCGACCTGCGATCGCATTAGGGAATACTACCTGGGAGGTTATCAAGATTGTGGGAGATCAACAGTCAGGCGAGAGGCGGGTCCTCAAGGTTCAGGTTGAGGCATGGTTGGCAGAAGAAGGTCTCTCCACTCTCCATGACGCCATCGCAATACATCGGGGCAAGCAGGGTCGTACGAGGGGCAAGAGGAAGACCATATATGGGACACAAAGAAGGAGCGGGCGCCGAGGGAAGAAAAAGCCTCAAGCCACCGGCGTTGACAATCTGCCAGAGCCTTGGATCTCGTAGTTCTGAAAACTGCTGGCCTTTTCTTTGTCGCGAGGTCCCAGCTTACAGGACGGTTCTAAGTTAGATCCTACTTCCTTAGACAATTCAATACATTTTTTACCATTTTAGCCCATAACTTCAACAGAGTTTGGAATGTCGCAAATTTTTCGATTTCCAGAAATAGAAGTCAAATGAGCTTCCGCTTGATCGTAGAATACTCACCACCGCTCGACATAGAGCGCGTGGGTCACGTCTATGATAGGCACCATATTGCGGATTGGGCTTCCAAGATTCCCTCATGGTCAAAACGTGCTGAATAGCCTGCTCGGATCCATACTGCTTCACCGTATTTCTCAAATCTCTTTGTCAGCAAACTTTGAACGCCGTCAGCGAAGATGTTCAGGACGTTGCCAACGTAATCAGCTACCAGTCTCAATTGACTACATCGCAGGTAACTGTGACTCCATTGATGTTTAAAGTCAGACTAACTAAGCTATGCAAGCCAATGATTGGCTGGATCTATTATCCTGTCAAGTTAATCTACATTGGCTGATCAGTCTGGGCTAACAAAGACGTTCGTAATTAATGTTATTACTGGACTTGAAATAGTGAGTTGTTATTACCTTTATCATGTCTATAGCATTATCCTCGTGCAGGAGGAGCCGCGTCAGTCATCGTGTGCCAAGACGATAAAAATCTGCTTGGGGCGCACCCACATTGGGCGCTCGCGGTGACAACATCTCTCCGGACAGCCAAGGCGCTAAAACCTGCCTGGGCTGTCCGGAGAGATGTTGTCACCGCGAGGCGCGCAAGCCAGAACATGAAAAAGGAACATTTATGAGCCACACTACATATAATGGCTCAAATTAGAAAAGTAAAGACTTGATTAAAAGCTGTCAGCTAGATCTTTCTAACAAAATAAAAATTCTATAATTTGGAATATTATTGGTAAAGATATCAATAGAAACGTTTTTTGTAATTTCTTTAATCCCGGTATTTAGGTGTAAAAAACTACAAAAGTATATGCTATATTACCAATAATCTTTTAGAATAAGCAAACAAACTATCAAATAGAAGCTTATAGTTATAGCTTTCAAATAAAACAAATATGATAAGTTTTGGATAGATATTAGTTAAGAAACCAGCTAAAAACAGTGAATTTCTATCTGCGAAAGCCTGCAATGCGCCAAATTACATTGAAAATCGATGTCAAATAACTTTCTTAATAAATATCCAAATTAGATAAATTTTATTTTGTTAAAAAGCTATATACTAGCGCATCTATTTGATACTTTACTTGTCAAGTTTGTATCATTATTGATAGCGTGGCTAATGATTGATGTTTTCGTAGTCAGCACCTTCCGCGTCAAAACGCGGAATCTGAGTCGACATACTTTTTAAAATAGGGGTAAGGGTCACCCGAATCGGGTGATAGGACAGCTCCGGTGAGACCGAGCCGTAGCGCCAATCGTAATTGGAGCGGACACCCACTTTTTTTGACTGACACAGAATAACGATATCCGTGACGTCGCTATTGGAATATTTCCCATCCAACCCTGACTTTGAGGTCGCTTCGCTCCCCCTGACCCTAATTAATGCCTCCGGCGGACCTCCCGGGGGCAACTGCGTCGAGCCACTTAAAAGATACCCATAATTGAACGATATACTAAATGGGGGGTGTGCCAAGAGGGGAGTGATCCGAAGGTTTGCCCCTTTCACTTGACTGTAGAGGTAGCGGGGCGTGGGGACGATCGCTGCCAAAGTAGGGGCGAAACAAATCTGACCACATTGAATAGGTAGATCGAAGTTGACCAATCATCGAGCATTTCTTGTGTTAGCTCGCCGGAGATTGCCCGCGCCCTCACACCCCAAACGTCAATTACATCAGCTCCTAAGGGTATCAGACTGAGCAGGAAGGATACCTTGATCTTAATAAGGAGCACGAGACTCCCAAGTCGTACTTGCATCAAATAACGATAAGTGGACAATAATAAAATCGGAGGTGTTGGTGGGCCACTTGGCGACCGTGTGGAGGAAGCCTGTTGATTGGTTAAAAGGGAGTTGCGCTTATTGAAACCAAAAGGAGAGGGGGAGGATGTATTAATGTAGCAAGCTCAGCCTGATCCGACACAGCCAGATCTGACCAATACACAGTACACTTTTCTTCCAGTCGAACAATGCCCGTGAAACCATCATACCCATCATCTCGGATGCGCAAACATGGACGACGACGCTGATTCTCAAAGTCTGCTGCAATCCGTGCTTGGATTATTCGCTCGAAAACGACCGCAAAAGTCGGCAAAGTCAGCGTCACTGGGATCACGTACACGCGAGGCCTGGCTACGGACGGATGCATTTTTGCAGCGCGATGATCTTGGCGAAGCTGACCTTGAAAGCGTTGCAAGGACTCTGGGCGCATTCGAACATCTTATTCAAGGCGACTCTGATCGAGAGATAGATTCCGTAGGTATTCTTGATATATAGCAAACTCGACAATCTCCGTTTGTTAGCATCTCATTTCCTACCTACTGATGACATTTGCGCAGCAGAGCTTCCAACAACCCAGATATGAGCGGTATCCAAAGCTTCGCCGCATGATAGAGAATCCGAGTCGCGATCCCCATGCCGACCTAAACACTATCGTTCGCGTTAGTAAACGGAAACGAGAATGCGATGATGCCATTCAGGAACTTTCGCATCTGGAGCAGGAGAAAAAGAAGCGCCGGGTTCTGCCTCGTGAAGAGCCAACGCATGCGTCCAATCTCGAAGATCCCAATGCCCACTTCGCCGTGCTAATGAGGAGACATTTGGCTTCCTTGGACAATGCGTTGCGAAGGAACTGGGTCTGCGTTTGCCAAAAGTGCTCGGGGTTGATCGTGAGACTATCGCTACCACAACAAAAGAAGGATCTTGAGGCTGAGGCGAATTTTGAAGTATTCTTCGGCGTGCGGTCTGTACCTGCAACTGCATTGCAAGAAGCTAGAATTACGGTTAAGTAAGCTCTAGAAGCTCCGTGTGATGACTTCCATTCACTAACACTGTCCGTGCAGAGACCTGCAGAGCAGCACGTTGAGGCGCGCGTCTGAGCCTATAATCAGCAGTCCACCCGAGTTTGCCCACATATGCCAGAGCATCACAGAGTCCCTCGGTCAGCGAAATTGCTTACATTTCGCTCTCGAGGATGGAATATTTCAGAGGCTTCGCCCGCAACCAAAGACATTTGGTAGTGATCGAATATCTCGGACAGTATCTTTGTCGGCTTTCTTCAATCGCCAGCAAAAATTACTTCGCGGTGAGTCGGTACTGCCACTCAAAGGGAAGCGAGTCTTGGCTGTTACACTGGCTTCAGCACTCCTTCCCTTCTTGGAGACACCGTGGCTGCAGTTTTTCTTAAATCACTCAAAGATCCAATTTGTGGAGCCACGGCAAGACGGAGAACTCCCCGACATTACGAAACCATTCCTGGCTCTAGAGCACGTCCCAATCATCTCAGCCCGCAAAACAGACACCGGAGACAGCTCTGGCGCCTCGAAACACATAGTTCATCCCAACGCCAGTGTGCTAGCGCTAGGCATACTCTTGTGCGAGCTTCACTATTGCACACCTGTGGAGCTGATGGCAAAGGACGTGCATGTCGCCAGGAATGTCAATGATGATCTTTACACCTGCCTTGATAAGCTGCAGACTCTGGAAGACGATGCTGGGGTGGATTATTACCTCGCTACGAAGGCATGCCTTACTGGGGAGTACTATCCCCTTGGACAGCACGCTGACTTCGAGGACCTCAGCGTTCAGCGGCTCTTCTACCAAAATGTTGTCAAACGACTCGAAGCCGTGATATTCAAGGCATGGAATATTCGATTAGAGAACTTGGGTTCGTTCGACTCTCGACAGAATGAATCTTGCTGGGGCCCTACCGGTCGAGAAGTTGTCCGCCTCCATACAGGCAGGGTCGATTCCTCTAATGCAGACAACACAACAAGGGCGAGTCCGCATCGTTCAATGTCTGATATCGTGCCTGCGAGCCACGCATCCCTCCGCTCAGATGTCGTGCTACGGATGTCGGCGCAACCTTCTTCGGGTTCGCAAGCGCACGCATATCTCGCTGAGCCTTCAGAGAAGAGCTTGTACTTTTTTGATGCAAGCCACCAGACGAGTCCTGAACAAGTGTGAGGTTTTTCCGTTAAATATAGAACTTCATCGTACTGATGAACTGCCAGAAATCCTCTCTCGGAAAGATGGATGGACAATCTGCTTTCCTCAATCTATCCCTATGTTGACCCTGTTCCCGGCCTTGCCGAACCGGTGCGAATAGCGATTTTAGACTCCGGACTCGATCCTGCAAACCCATTCCTGATCGAGGACCAACAGCTAGCCAATCCACGAATCAAGGAAGCGAGAAGTTTCATACATGGAGCAGGACCGCACGAAATCCGAGACGAGATCGGGCACGGCACTCACGCTCTTGGTCTTCTTCTCAAAGTTGCCCCATACGCTGAGATCTATGTCGCCAGAATTGCGCGACGCGAAACTCTGGATCCCGGTACCTACGAGGACATTGCAAAAGTAAGGCTGTCTCTGTACCAGAGCCGACTTTGTGAACTGAGCTAATGATCTGTGCAGGCCATTGATCAGGCAATTGAGCAATGGAAAGTGGACATAATATCAATGTCATTCGGGATTCGTGAAGATCACGAACTCATGAGCACAGCCATATCTAATGCTCTAAACAGGCGGACTTTGTTGTTCGCGGCAGCGTCGAATGATGGAGCAAATCTTTTCAGGGCTTTTCCAGCTCAATTACCAAGCGTCTTTTGTATACACTCAACTGATGGAAATGGCAATCCCTCTAATTTCAACCCTACAGCAAGCGAAACGGACGTCAACTTTAGTCTACTTGGGGAGCATGTCTCTTCTCACTGGCCGGCTGGCACGAACGGACACGACCAGCTTGTCAACGTTATGTCAGGAACATCGGTCGCTACACCGATCGCCGCTGGCCTGGCCGCGTCGGTCCTGGCTTTTGTCCGGCAGCAGGATCAACATGTCGCCGTAGAAAGTGAAAGGCTTGGACCGTGGCTGAAAAGGGACAATTCCATGGAAGCGGTCTTCAAGAGTATGGTTAAACGGAGGCGGGGACAAGGCTACGACTATATCACGCCTCATGTGCTCTTCGATAGCGGTTCGACAAGAGAGGATGTTTACGGGAGAATCAAGGATATCAAAAGGAACATGTACAAATACTAGTGGAAGCCTAGGAATGGTTTACTCAACCTCCTAACATGCATGGCCCACTAATGTCTATCTAATGGTGGTCGAAGAGTAATCTTAGCATGATTAAGCGGGAACGCAATAGACGTAGCCGTTCTCAGTCACATCGGGAACATTCTCAGCAGTCTTGATATCAGCTCCATCCACGTCCTCAACCAAAACACGTTCGTCGTCATCTTTCTTCTGGCCAACGGACATAAAGGCGCCTTTATTGTACTCTTCAAGCTTCAGTCTCCGCCCAAACTTGAGCCTTTTCACGCAGAACGCAAACACGAATTCCGATTCGCGGTTGGACTCTGTCGCATCATCATTCCTGCTAGCCCAGTGGCCTTTCGGGCCAATGGTCGTGCCCAGCGCGGTCACGTCGATGCCGAGGTTCCCCTTGACCGTCGTACTTTGCGAAGTCGAGTATTTGATCCTGGCGCCCTTGACGAGCTTCATGCCCGTGATGACGAAGAGCTCACTGACGAGTGCGAATTTTTGCCTGGGCTCTCTCAGCCATGCCTGCACGGCCGGTGCCTTGATGGCCTCTTCCACGTATTCCTGGGTCGGCTCGAACGCCAGCGTTGTCATGGTGTCGAATGCAAACGTATCTGCCGTTTTTTTTGAATGCTCAACATTCATCTCAGGACCGAGGGGCAGTCCACAGGTAGCCAGCTGCAGGAACTGCGCATAGACACCCAGCGCGAGCCCATTTTCCGTTGAAATAGTCTTCTTCCAGTCGGTCTCCACGACAGGTGAGAACGCATCAGCCACGGCAACAACGCTCGCTCTGTTCAAGGAGTATTGCGGTGCTGATGTGGAGCGGATTATAGACCCAAGACATAGCGGACCCGTTGGTGGTGGATGTACGAAACCTGACGTTGGACACAGGAAATATGTCTTAGTAAAGGACATGGCCTTAAGATTTAGGTCCGGACATCGGGAGGATGTTGTGCGAGGCTGGATTTATAGGCACGGCCCGCCGTGTAAAAATTACCGGTAAAAGACTCAAATAGCAGGTGGGAGCTTAAAAACGACTCAAATAACAATCATTCCCTCCCGCACCGCGCAGGCCCCTGTAGACAGGGGTCTCATAGGCTGCCAAAATCATTAGGGTTTTCCACCAAAACTTGGCAGCTTTTATAATTACTTACAAGTATCGCTGGCAGAACTTTACGCCAAGACTTAGGAGATTTTTGAAAATTTCAGCAATACTGTAGGGGCTTAGAATTTGTTCTCAGCCCAATACCACTGGTTTTTAATAGCAATGAAAGTAGAGAAACAACTGAATAACTACCAAGCTTTGCAAACTTGATCGAAAAGCTTTTCTTTTAGTTTTTTACAGCGCCGGAGGGGCTATCCCAGCCTATATAGAATCCTAGCCTTTGGGTAATGTAGAGCTCGATTGAAGGCGAAATTTACCAGTATTTAATACAGCTAAATGCGCCCCTTGTTGAAATACGCGTTCTGCGGCTGGGAGGGAATGATTGTTATTTGAGTCGTTTTTAAGCTCCCTTCTGCTATTTGAGTCTTTTACCGTAAAAATTACCCAAGTGCACCTGGGTCAAAATACTACATTACGGGCCCTCCCTTCTCATTTGCTCTGTCACACTGCTAGACCGGCCAAGCTCGTAGGCCAATCAAGTCGTGCATGTCAATCTGGCCAGGTACAGCAGCCGGGCCGCTGATCGCAGGCGGTCAGCGCGTTTTGTACGTGTAACTCTTGTACAGCTACTAATGAATCCATCCGTAACCTATTGTGAGAAGGCTGAGGCGGGGCATAAACTAGTAACTTAGCAGCACTCAAGACACATGCTGCTTTCACATTATATAGCACTTTGAGTTCATGCAGCATTTTCATAAACACGGTCGCGATTTGCTTATCCATAACCTTTGGAATGTCCTTCCATTGCAGAGCCCAGGATCGGCTTCCTGGATCTTTGTCACACCCAGAAGGACTTACGACCGCCCTCACCGCGCCCTCTCGCCATGGGAAGTCTCGAGCACGTGGGAGACGAACTTATGGAAGATGTCTTCCTCCAAGATGATCTTAGCCCAACTATCGCAGAGCATGCGACACAATGCCAGTCTCTATTGCACAAGTACATGGTTATGCCGGAGGTCGTGCCAGATCCTACTATCATGGACGACCAGCTGGCACGCTTTTCTCTGTGGGCATCAAACATGGATGTATATGGGCCACTGAATGTCTCGCTAGACTATAGACTCCGGTTCAGTCAAACAGCCGCGGATATCATACATCAGCTTCTAGATATTATTTGCGATACTTTACTGTCTTGTGAGTATTTTCCGTACCACATTCGGAGGGTTTGAAGATCAAGACTAATGGGAGTCTTGACACCAGTGGAGCCAATCGACGACCGAACACCACAAACCTCGAGCAGGAAGAGACAACGCATTTCCGTCAACGGCGATTCAGGAGTGCCGAAGGGAGCCGACGATGCGGCAAGCGATTTAGAGAGCGATGTCGATCTAGTAGAAGAGAACATCTTGAAAATCACCGAGACCATCGGCGGAACATTGACGCGGCTCTTCCGTCTATCCAACGCCGTCCGAAAGTCCGCCAAAGCCAACCGGGCTCGCAAGATCGAAAGGTACGGGGACGACGAAGAGGCAAACAAGGCCATAGACGAGTTGCGTCTCTACACGAAATGCTATATTGAGTTTCGTTTCCCAAAGGCGCCGGACGCGCTCCGCTCGGCATTAGTCCAAGCCAACGCGCTGCGACTTCGACGGCTGTATTATCAGCGCTCCCATCGAAGGCGCATTGATCTGAGTATTCAGAACCGGGAAACAACTTCGGCCGTTGTTCAACTCCCCAAAATGACGGAGAGTGCGCCAGCGGTGCGGTTTGCGCCAAGCGCGTTGCCAAAGCCCCGGACTACCAAGGAAATGCCGGCCTCTTCGCCAGCGCCAGCGCCAGCGACGAATGCGACTACCGCTCGACAGACTGCCGTTGCCGCCTTCTACGCCAAATCCACAACTGACGTTCCCCGGGCTAAATCTGTCCTCGTGAATAATAAGTTGTCGTTCCCTCCTATACCGCCGACGCGGCAGTGTCCATACTGCGGCGTCATTGTTGAGTTCAAGAATACTGCAAGATCATTGCTGTGGCAGTAAGCGGGTTCCTTCTGTCGTTTCCGGAGAACATATGGCTAACGTGTATTAGGAATCATGTCATCGGAGACTTGGAGCCTTTTATCTGTGTCTTTTCACACTGCCTTGAAGAAGGTCACCATGGACACGGGACCGGTCTGCTCACATTCGAAACCTCGAACGCCTGGTCCAGCCATATGCAGACTGCTCACGGGCATACATGGGAGTGCAGGGCCCCTTCTCACGATCCCATCGTCTTTGACCAAGAAATCCAGTATCAGGATCATTCCATCAAGGAGCATGGCGTGCCTGAAGCGCACGCCGGGACCCTCAGCAACGCCGCGCGGAGGCCAGTCCTCAATACGGTGCTGGAGTGTCCGTTTGGCGACGATTTTCAACCCTTGGGAAAGGTCGAGTCGAGCGCCGTCTTCTCGAGTGAAGCTCTCCAGTCGCACGTCGCTGGTCACATGAAGGAAATTGCTCTGCTTACACTGCAAAAACTTCCCAGCGATGAGGACGAGGACGCGGAGAATATCGATAGCGACCAAGCCTTAGAAGATGATGGGCCGGCCGGGGCTTTGGGGATTACTCGTGTATCCATGTACAGCGTACTGGACGATGAGGATCTAGACTTCCAACACGATGACAGTAAAGCTGTAGATGGCAATGTGGGACACCGCGAAGAGGACATTAGCGCACAGGTGACAGTACTCGACCTGGAGGACAAAGACAATTTGGGGATGACGAAGCTTCACCACGCGGTGCAGGCCGGTGATCTTGGCTTGGTTAAGTTCTTAATACAGAGCGGCGCAAGTGTGAATTTGAGGGACGAAAATGGCCAAACGCCCATGCATTACGCTGCGGAGAGGGGCTTCACCGAGTGCATGGAAATCTTGGTCGACCACGGTGCAGATTTTCGTATCATCGACAATTCTGGATTTTCCCCGTTTCTCTGGGCTGTTGTTGCCGGGCAAGAAGGCGCCACGACGAGACTGTTGTCCATGGACGCTGATGTTAATTCAAATAGCGCGGATGGAAAGTCTGCGCTCACCTGGGCAGCCAGTCTGGGAGGGTCTCCGACTACTGAAATGCTTATTGAACGCGGTGTCAGCATATCTGATACCCGAAATACGCAGCGGACTCTGCCTTTGGAAGAAGCGGCAGCTTCTGGCAACCTTGCCACTGTTCGATTGCTCCTCGAATGTGGTCAGGATCCGAACCATCGTGATCGCGATGGTTGGTCCGCAATTCACTGGGCAGCAGAGGAGGGCCATCTCGAGATTGTGCGTTTGTTGCTGAACGCTGGGGCCAAATCCAATGCCGTCAGTTCTTATGGCACGTCACCGTTGCACTGCGCTGCAAACGGAGGGCATGTTTCCATTGTGAGCTTGCTCCTCCAACAGCGAGCTGACCCGCTCAAGTCAACATGCCACGGCTGGACCGCACTACACCACGCCGCCTTCATGGGGCACTACAATGTCGTCCAGAACCTCTTAGAAGACGACCGCATACGATCCACGGCCTCTCAGCAGGACAACCACGGCTGGTCCGTTCTCCATTTGGCCATTCACAGTCGAGATCCAGCCACCGTCCGTATTCTGCTGGACAAATCTGTCATTGCAGAGCCGCAGCTCCTGTTCGACGAAAGCGGCCTCACTGCAGAAGAATGGCTGGATCGCGGGCCTAGAAGCCATTCACAGAAAGTCACAAGCAACTTAGCGTTCAGCAAGTCACGCTGTTGCCGAGCCGTCACAAGCCTTCGCCAAGCTGTGATTATAGGCAACGTCCCAATGATCAAACTCCTGATCAAATTGGGTCACAACATCAATGGCACAAACTCTGGAAGGAGGACTGCGCTCTACTACGCCGCGAAGAAGCGCATGCTCTCCATCATGGACCTGCTACTTAACCTGGATGCGGATCCTAACATTCTCCCCGCGGGGCGGAAGAGCTGGGAAGAATTCATTCCGCCAGGTGATGTTTTACTGCGGCTCAATCGAGCAGGCTATTGGAAGCGAGATACCGACCCTGAGGTGGACCGCCAGATTCTCCGTGCACTCAGAGTGCAAAGTCAGCCGTCTGTGCCGGATCAACTAGCCTGGCTCGTATCGGACGGGTCGACTCTACTAACGCCGGACCAATCTGTCTCCCACGGGCCGGGTCGACGGTCCTTATCTGTTTCGGATGCGTCAATGCCACCTCCTTCGGATCACGCAGCTTCAAGTAAACCAACAAAATCGCCGGCGCCTACACACCAAGCAAATGACAATAAGCGCAAGGCAAGGTCTGGCCGGACGGATTGGTGGAAACGGCTCACAGGTGGAAGATAGCGACCTCGGTCTCCAAAGACGAGGCTAAGGAGCGGCACAATGGTTGTGGGTTATAGCACCAGAGGCTGTCAGGATTCTTCCACTAAATTTAAATATATGAAAAAGTAAACAAACCACCCTGTCTCACTTTTGCCTGCCAAAATGCCACCTCTGCGTCGTGGAAAGCCTTTATCTCAAACCGTCACGCTCATCTTTGAATAATAAAGAAGCCGGGATCCGCGGGAGGATCCGTTACTTTAAGTCATTCGACCGCAGGACCCCTGCAACCAGCGCTACTGCTAATTGCGAAAGAATGTGGTATTATGGAGAGCTGTGGACGATATTGGAGGAAACAGGCAGAAGCCACGGGTTTCTAGCAAATTGACAGACTCGTCAGAGGTCTTAGAAGCTTGGGATGCCCTCGCACGTCACCGAAGAGAAAGAATAAGTGCAAGAAACTGGTCGACCCAGCCCAGAATCCGGCGAGATTCACACCACCAGATACCTGTTTCAAAGATGTCAATTGTCCTACAGATTGAACGCTCATACCAACCAAGGTCAAACCTATATTTGTGCATCTATGTAAAAGGAGATCGCGGCTAAAGAATACCCGGGCGACTGTGAAAGTTCAGTTTATCCTGAGGACAAACTTTTAAGAGAATTCTGGGACAATATAGTCTATACAGACGAGCCTCATGTGGATCCTTTGTCCATGCTCACTTAAGTAGTCCTGCGAGAGATTAGGGGTAAAGTATAAGGACGAAAATACAATCGAGAAACTTGCCAGGACTGGATTGATGGAATTTCCACATGGCCGGTGAGTCAGTCAGCATGGGAAAGCAGACAAGATCATGGGGTTCTACACTGACGAAAGAACGACCACATGGAACAGCCTGCTTTGCCTGCCAAGCCTCGCTGTCGTGCTCAAGATACGGTCTGTCAACAGGATGCCCCGAGGCCTCATTAAGCCGAGCTGAAGAGTAAGGATAATGCCGTGAACCGGAAGTCTTACATGAACCGTCTGTTGCCAGTCTATTGCCAAGTCGTTATGAATTAAGCCTTCGTTGTGCCTGGAAAGTCGTATTTGCAAGATAAGAATCCGTCATGACATGGTTTGAGGGGAGAGGACCTAGCAAATCAAAGAGGAAATGGCATCCACGTCCAAGAACATTAATTTCCTTACACACAGCCCTGATTTGAGTTCTACAGAAGGGTCTTAAAATATTGTTGAGTAAGAAATGTGGTGGAGACTCTTGCCTTCCGAAAAGGATGTGAAGGCCGCTATTCAGGACGAACGGAGCAGGCTGACAAAAATGAAGGAACCGGACCGCATCAAGGACTTGCCTGGGCGATATAAAAGGGTCAAGGGTAATGGTGGGGAGGCTATTAAGACTGCAAAATGATAGATGGTTGTGTAGTTGAAATGAAGTTTGTGAATGAAGGGTCAAAGATACATTTAGAAGCTTTCCGTGCAAAGGGACGTCCTTCGACTGGAAGCCTTCTCAAACTTGGTCCCAAATGCAACACGTGAAATACAATTACGAATACAGGCCCAAACTTTTCTCGTGATCTAGCCGTACCATTTCTCAGGCAGCAGAATTGCGCATTGCTTTACAAACCAAGGATGCGATTCATCATATGTCCGACTCCCGGCAAGGACTGCAGGTGCTGTTCCACTCTTTGTCTCGGTGCGCCCTTAGGCAACGTCAAAGCATTCTGCTTCCCAATGATCAGGCATTCCACAAAAGTCTTGCAAGCCTGCTTCTGCAGCGGTCCCGGAGTTTCCTTCGCTATCAATGCTCCCATCTCCTCCGGCATAGCCTCACTAATCAGCCACCGGTGAGCAGTGGCATTCTCCCGGCAGAGAATCAAACATGCTGCGGAGGGTATGTCGAGAAAGCGGTCATGTCCCTTCTCGTGGGCCTGCTGGGCGAACTGGAGGATACTAGTCAGAAAAAGACGTAATCTGGCCGAGTCGCGACACTCGCTAATAACGAATAGCTCGTTGGCGCACGCTTCATTCACATCGCTGAATAATTCAACCTCGTGACTGCTGCCGATGTATCCTTCGAAGAACTCCGCGACTACCCGAGAGAAATACTCGATCGGCCTAGGTTCCTGTTTGTCGATCATGGCGAAGTGGCACGTCATGAGTAAGGCCGTCCGAAGTACGTTCTCTTCCCGATTCCCATTCCGTACACAGCCATCGAAGTCTCTCAGGAATTCACGAATGCCGAAGTGGAAGAACTCCAACGCGTCCCTGTCGCAGGCGATGGCGGCCCAATCTGAAATCGCCGCAGCTGTGATGGCATCTCCTTGTCTCCATCCGTGTTGGATGGCCGCATGTTTCGCTCCCATACCGGTGAAGACCGTGATGGCCATCAGAGCCTGCAGATCTCTGGGTGCGACCTTCTGCAAGATCTGCGTCGGCAGGTCGCCCATGGACTTCAGCCTCTTCGGATTCCTGGCGACCATCAGCCCCACGAAAAATACATGGTACAGCTTCGCCCATTCTCGCAGCTCATCGGTTTTGTTCTCCTGGACAAGCTCCTGCAGTACAGACAAACTGTCCCAGCGGTGCAAGGTCATAGACTTGAGATAGAGGGACATCAATTTGAGAACGAGGGGAAAGCGGAGGGAAAGGCCCATCCCTTTCATGACCAGGTCGACGAATCGCGACGAACGTTTGAAACGTGCATGGAATACCTGTTCCTGGAGCCCAAGTAGCTCTTCCACCCGCTCGTCCACCGGTTCCGTAGAACCCTTCAGGGTACCAATTCCCAGGAGAGCTGGTAATTTGTCCACGCGCGCTCCGTGCTCAAGTAACTCCTGCGTCATTTCTCTCGAATTCGCCAGAATGGCTCGCGTCAACGGCGTGTCCGTGTCGCCATGCTCTGCCTTGGCCTCGAGACGGGCGCCGTGTTCGAGCAGCACAGACATGACGTCCCTGTGCTGTCCGGTGACCGCGACATGGAGTGCCGTCAACATGCTTCGATCCTTGAAATTGACACGCGCACCATGATCAAGCAGCAGTTCTACCATTTCTCGATGACCTTGGTTGACGGCCCAGGACAGCGGCGTCCGGCCGTAGTTGTCCTTTCGCGAAATGAGGCGGTCATGCTGACTGATCAACAACTTGGCCCAAGTTACGTTGCCAAAGTATGCCGCGAGATGCAAGAGTGTGAAGGAGGGCGGGCTTCCGCCGTTCTTCTCCTGCTCCCAGTAGAATTTCCACCATTCGTCCCGAATCGGCGAGTCGACTTGGAAGAAAGGGCGTGAGAACTCGGACGGTGCATCGACCACAGGAAAAGCGTGTTGGAAATGTACCGGCCAATATTGACTGGCATAAGATAAGAAGGGATCATCCTCAGACTTTCCATGAAGACTACCGAGATTTCTGTATCCGCGTTCGACGTGTGCTAAACAGGTCTGCATGAGAGTCCTGTGGGTGTCCTGACTCATATGGAACATGTTGATCCCTTTGATGTCCACTTGATCGCTCTGAAAGAACTCCTTCGCCGACTCGTGAACCAGGTTGACGACATCTCCTTCGACTTTCACAAGCAACCCGCCGAATCTAAGCCGATTCTTGGTCACTTGCGTTGCTGGAAGAGTACTGGCCGTCTTGATCCCTGCGGCCACAGTCAATTCTTCCAGTGTGAGGGGCCGGGCAGCCAGAACGACCCATTGCATAATGGGAACCAATGCTTCCTTGTCGCAGATCTGCTGAAGAAGCCGTTGATAAATCCCACCCAAGCCTTTAGGAACATGGCGGAGAATTTCATCGATTTTGCTCCAACTCCTGCCCTGAAGCTCATTCGCAACGAATCCAACCCACAGAAAGGTCCCATCAGCGCCAGCCAGCAAGTTGTGCTGGACCTGCGCGACCATCTTTTCTGAAAGGTTCTGCTCGGATGCCAGTTCGGCAACTTTGGCGAAGATATATCTCTCGACATCATGCGAAATCTCCGTGTCGGAGGCGTCCAGCTTGATCTGCTGGTATTGGCCGAGTTTGCTCTCTAAAACAGCTACCTGTGGTCGGGAAAGGATAATGAGCTTCAGCCGTGGCCTTGCCTTTTCCCCAGATTTTGACAAGTAATTCCCTACGGCATCGAGAAGCTGCCTGAGTGATTCCTTTTCGCATTCATCTAGACCGTCTAGAACGCAGACCACCTGTGAGGACGTGCTCTGTTGAAGTAGGGTCAGAAAAACTCTCCACAATGAGGCAAAACTGGAAATGGTGTATTTGGTTGTCTCAGTCCCTTCGAAGGAGTTCTTAATGTCATTGGCCAGATGCGGACTAAGGTCGATGTATTGATGCAGGATGCCTCTCATAATGGTCAATGCGGTGTTCCGATTCTTGTCGCGGTTACTGCAGAAGTAATAGAGGAGAATATTATCGGCGGCGTCAACGACTGGCTGTAGTACCTCGGTGATATAAGTCGCCAGCATTGTCTTCCCTTTTCCAGGGCCACCTGAGATCCAGAGGATTGGGTGACTCGCATCTGCCAACCAATCTTGATAATGGGGATGCTGTGTAAGCCATTCGCAGGTGCCGTCAACCCTGCGCCCTTTTAATGCAATGAGGGACTTCCGATCAACCTCGGGTCTTGTCAGAAGCAAAGCGTCAAGAACGGGCGCGGCCTCGGCATATGAGTTTGTGATCGTCTTGGACACTGTGGGTATAAAAGAGAGAACCTCTTTTGTATATGCTGCGGCAGCCACTGCGGCGAATCCATGCCAGACTTCGGACCTGTGCGAATCTACGTAGTCGCAAATTCCTCGAATGACCAAGTACTGGGCAGCATCCCTCATGGCGGTTGCCTCCGTCTCGAAACAGAGAATGCCATGCTTGTGGGCGAACTTGTCGCGGGTCGCTCCGTGGCGAGTCAAGTGAGAGCTGGAGGCAATTAAGCCATAATGAACTACGGGATCCTGTACCCCACGAGGCTGCCGGGATCGGATCCTATTCGGGTCGCAATGACTGCATCCACTTTCTTCGGATTCGATGTTTGCGTGATCATAACTCGGCTCGAAGAGGACGTCTTGCTCTGGGCCAGGATGGGCAAAGGTGGCGGGATCTTTCTGCACGATCTCGCTGATATACCGGGGCATCTCACTTTCGTCAAAAATTGCGGCTGTCTCGGCCTTCCCCATGGCTGTTAGAAGCAATGGTGCTGGCTGATCTAACGCTTTGTCGCGAACAAACTGATCTTTCGTTCGCTCTCCGTTTACATCATACTGGACGACACCAGGCCAACCAGCTGTCGACTTACTGACAACAATATCACCAAGACGAATATCTTCCTTTGTAGCTGGCACTCCTCCCGCAATACCGACCATAAGATAGAACCGGACAAATGTATAGCTTGCTTGCAATTGCGTAGCCACGTCGGCTACCGACATTTTACCACACATCTCAGGATTCGGATACGCTACGACGACATTGTGGCCTTGAAGACTCCCAAAAATGTAGTTGTTGTTGCCGCCCGAGATTCGATCTGGAGGTAGATTGTCATGGACACGATCAAGCGTTGCTTTGGCTGCGGCGACCTCTATCGGGAGCACGCAAGCCCATCCGACTGCGTAGTCGTCAGGGGACGCCATCTCTGGCGCATATGAAGGAAAGAGAGACCCCAGGAGCGTCGGTGCCGAGGCATTTATTGTTTTGAGCGGACAAAGCAATAGTCAAACCATGAATACAGCAAAGAACCTGCGAGAGGTCAGACAGGCTCTCGATCAGTGTTTTTCTTCAGCCTGATCATGGGCATGTAAGCGACTTGCTTGGACTTGCTTATACCTCAATCTCTCAATGTCCCTGGGGGCTGAAACGCAGAGCACCTGCAGTACAGCCAATAAAAAGCTCGAAATCCCGAGTTACAGATACAAGCTGTTGCAGTATTGGATGCTTTTTTACAGTACTGGCAGGCACGTTTGGAGAACAGCACAAGCACGGACAAAGTACCCATAACAGTGCCCGATCGGCGACAGGTTCTAGATTGCGGTGGACCCTAGGTAGCTGCCAGGGTATATGCAGCTTTTATCGCAAGGACCAATTGCATAAGTTGAAGCTGACGATCTTGGCTTAAAAGGCCCGATATGGTTGGTTTCTGCTTATCCCGTCACACACACTCAGCAATGAAATGCAGCAAGGCTGGCGCTTGGCGTTTAGCTGGGGATAAGGACCCGGTGCAAGAAATAAAGCAAGGGGGAAAGCTCTGGCTTTTTCTTGCGTTTTCCTTTGTTTTCAAGATCTCGCCTCCTCAAATTACATTATCATCAAGCACGACAGCCAATGCCATCCGCTCACCGTCTCCGAGTTCCGCCCCCGCAGCCGCCAGAGGTGCACAAAGGGCCGGGAATGGAATCCACCGCATCCAAAGCCGCCAAGGCGAGACGCCTGGTTCTCCTCTCGTTCGATGAGATGCCGGAGTGGTTCCGACGTGAATCCAATCAGTGGATTCTCAATGGTTATCGGCCCATCTCAGGCTCGGCTTACGTTTCGTTCTGCAGTTGGTCGTATATCCACAATGAGTCGGTCAACATCTTTTCCCACCTCGTCCCAGCAATTTTCTTCCTACTCGGCGAATGGTTCATTCAGCAGTATCTTGCCAGTAGATACTCTGGGGTCACTAGTGCGGATTTCATTACTTTCTCGATCTTCATGGTGGCGGCCGTCACGTGCCTCTCGTTGTCAGCGACGTACCACACCTTAATGAACCACTCCCAACATATAGAACGTTTATGTTTGCGACTAGATATGCTTGGTGTAGTGATTTTCATTCTGGGCGACCTTGTCTTGGGAATATATATGGTTTTCTGGTGTGAACCTTTGCCACGCAATATCTACTGGTCTATGGTTAGTTATTCTCCATATGCCCCATTTTGTTGTTCCACATCTTAGACCTGGTGCTTGAGCCTAACACTCTTCTTTCCTCGATGGGTAGATTGGCCTTTTCGGGACATTGACCATCTTCATGACATTGCATCCCAAGTTCCAGGGCCCAACGTATCGCCTCTTCCGAGCATTGATGTTTGTGGCGACTGGTTTATGCGGTGTTGCGCCCTTGATCCATGGACTCAAGGTGTTCGGCCTGTCGATAATGATGAGAAAAGCTTTTCCCTATACACTGGCAAAAGCAGGCTGCCTTCTGTCTGGGACCGCGTTTTATGCAGTAAGTCTCCCATTTTTGCACACGAGAGAAATTAATCCTAACAAATGCGATTCTGAAGACCAGGTTCCCCGAAAGCTCATATCCTGGCAAATTCGACCTATGGGGCTCCCATTCGATTTTTCACGTCCTGGTGGTATGCGCTGCTGTGGTCCAGTTGACGGGTTATCTGGATGCCTTCGACTACGCTCACGCAAATCTTACTTGCTCGTCTCCTTGAGTCATGCATATATACCGACTGTAAAGAATCTAGCTACTGGGATGAGCTTTCAACGCTAACTATACGGTAATAGACAGAACCATATAACCTGGTTGCTGCTAGCTATGACTAATATTTGTTATTATTACCTATATTAAACGGCTTCATCCGCAGAGAGACCTGAGATCTGTTCTCCTAGTGCAAGCATCTTTGAGTATTTTAAACTTGAGATTTAGGAAGAGATATGCTTCTTAAATGTTGCTGTCTTGCTTCCCAGAATACCATGTTGCCCCGAAAATGGAGATCGCCTCTCCTTTCTAGCAACCTTTTCTTTCGAAACGAAATGTGCGCCTTTCTGAAGCAACGAGTGCCAAATACTGCGTCGTGTCTTATATAAAATGATGACATTCTGCTGTAGCTACTCTTTATAATGAAGGGTTTTGTGGCGATAGCTGTGCCATGGCTGTCTGATAGTCATATAATACCTTTGTGTACTAGCTTTCCTCGCCTACTCTAGATTCCTCGTATCCACTCTTTACTATTCCCACCTTAGAATCTTCGTCTATAGCGACGCCTAACGGCCGCTTGAAAGTGGATTTATATACAAATAGACATCGCTGGAGGCTAGGTTATTAAATATAGGAAGACCGACTACTGGTATAGTATACCCTACTCTATTACCCGAAAGTAGATTGATAGTAAGCTAAAGAACTATACCCTTATCTATTCATATGAAGAGGCGGAAGGCATACATCGACAAACACTGGTCTTAAGGGAATCAGTGCTGGGCAAGGAGCATCCATCGACGCTGACGAGCATGGCTGGTCTTGCCTCAACATGCTGGAACCAAGACCGATGGGAAGAGGCTGAAGTACTGGAGGTGCGAATGATGGAGACGAGAAAGAAGATCTTGGGCGCAAAGCATCCCGATACATTGACCGTCATGCACAATCTCGCATATACATGGAAGTGTCAAAGCCGCAACGAACAGGCCATTTCTCTGATAAAAGATTGCTTGGAGCTACGGAGCCAGATTCTTGGTCCAAAGCATCCAGACACGAAGACCACGCTAGAAACCCTACGTGGGTGGCAAAGTGAAGAAACAGGGCCCGAACCCTCAGATTAGCTTCCCCTTCGATGAACATGTCCACGGCTCTTTCTGGCAAGCGTTTCGAAAGCGATGACTTTTAGCACTGTGTCATCTTTGCCCTGCAACGTACAGCAGTCGTGAAAGCGCATGGGCAAAGACAAAGGCGGTAATGAGCGCGACTGATGTCCACGTGAAGGATCCTGGACGACATGCTGCATGACTATCTCGTTCTATCCATGTGCTATGTGTTTTAAGTTCACTAGACGCCTCAAATCTCCCGTCATTCAAGAAAGCTAACTCTCATCACATCTATAGGTGATTTCCTGATTATAACCGCGCGAAAAGATATGCGACGAGGATCAGCACTTGTCTAATATGTAAATACTATGAACCCTCACAGTATAATTCTTGAAGTCCATTAGATTCTCGAGCGCGAGCTGCGCATATTTATCGTCGGGGAAGGGATAGTTCTGCCCGGGCCGAAATGCGTAATACCGGTCAAAGTGACGCTGCAACGAATACTTGCTATCGAAGACGTATTCTCTTTCTGACTAAAGCAATGTCGTGTTACCAAGATAACAGAGATACTGGAGCGGAGCCTAATCTATAGCGGAGGTTTCGATATCCGAGCATTCCGATTTAATCGCAGTATAAGACGCGTTATCATTCAACGAGTTGGTTACTGTCTTATTTTCCTATGATCGACGCGATTTGTGAGGACGCTGTTCTTAGCGAGTATATAGCAAGATTAAGTTGTTAACAGTAGCGATCTGCTGTTCTAGGTTCCCGCCAGGTTTAGCGGACTGCAGAGGGTTAAACAAGGCCTGGGTAATCTGAGCATATTCCTTAAAGGCATATTTAATTAAGGCTGCAAAAGGCTAGACAAAGGACGGGATAGCCTCGCCAACGGCTATCTGCATTATTATGTCTTGTATAGGAGCTACTGCATTATAATTTGCCTGCAATTGCGACTTGACTATATATTTCTTTTCTTTAAGTATGCGATCGATATCCCGCTTAATCTTTTTATACTCATTATAGATTGACTAGCCTTTCGCCCAGTAGATAAAGCTAAATTAATTGCAGATCTGCTAGAAAAGATCTTATTAGTGCCTACATAATTCTTAGATCTTTATATCTTGCTAAAGCTCCTGCAGCTGATATATAAAGAATTTATAAAGCTAACAAAGGTCGATTATGCGGCTTATTTGGTAAAAAGCAACGATTAAGTCCCTTTACAACGCTATGCCCTAATAGGCCGCTTACGTATCGTAACAGATTATTCGGAAGAAGTAGTTCTGTTAGAAGATTATCGAACTAGTATAATTAAGTACTAAATTACGTACTGCTTCGTTCGAATTAGGGTTGTCTATTGTTATTAATAAACTTTTTGCTACAGTTATTTAAAACTTACTATTGATCATATTCCTTGCTGCTCTTTGGAGGCAATACATAGTCAAAACCTGTACAAAGCCAGTCTTCTCTCCTAAACGCTTTACTTACTCCTGATATTTCCTATAGGAAAAAGCTTTGTATAACTCTGGATCTTTTCCTCGCCCTAGATTGCTGGACGCGCAGAAGAGAAGCTAGTCTTTTATGTTATTATGCTATTGAATCGGTTGGCAATTAAAATCCGGGCGAATCCCTAGAATAAATATTATTCGAAAGGTAAGGTTGGGGAATAGAAAGGCTTTGTCGTTGCAAACAAGGGCGACGATATAAAAAATCATATAGAAGATAGGATTGTTATCTACAAAAAAGTTATAGGTTTTCCTATAATATAGTAAGGTTAATATCTTTAGAATAGACGAAGGATTTGCACTTATAATCGCTTCCGCTTCTATTATAAATTTGTTTTTTTAATCGAATTTGGAGCGTTAGAGCGACCTCGCCGCTCCTCTTATTACGCAGTATAAATAGTTCTATATCGCTGTAAGCGATACCTAGCAGCGCGTCCAGTCGAGAACCAGTAACAGCGGCCAGCAAAAAAAGGATAGCGACTTGCCCCCGCTGGCGTTTGTACAGGAAGGTATTAGTATCCGTTACCTAGAGCAACAGAGCACTTCTATAAAGTCTTCCGCATTTAGCAGGGGTTTATCTGTCTCACTGTTATCCAGGCTATGCTCTTGCGCGAAGGGTCCTATAATAGACTAATCAATTTTAAGCCAGCTCTTTTCCATCCCCGTGATTGCGTAGCAATGCACCTCGTAAACCTCCTTCAACACCACCGGACTGATTCGTCGCCCCTTGTATTTGATGTATACCTGACTGAGTTGACGCCAGTAGGTGATGACCGAGCTAACTTTCAGGATAGTGTAATGTCACGGATGAGTACAAGGGCTCGTGGGGGGTGAGGGCAACCATGTATGACACACTTCCTCCACAGTCCTTCCATCCTGTCCCTGTGTGATTCCGTAGTCCTCGTACAGACCCGTAGAGCGACGCTTCTTGTCCACCTCTTCGTATCGCCAGATATAGTAATCACGTGCAGACCCATGGTCCTTCGCAGAAGGAGGTTGAGATGTGGAGGAGATGGTTTGGGGGGTGTAGGATAAGACTTTACGGCGGGCCATAGTCAGTCAGAGGGAGATCGCGAACGGTGGCACTGTCAGCTCAATGAAGGAAGAGGGACGAGAATATAGACAGGTGAGAGCCGGCAGAAATGAAGAAATGAAGAAGGGGAGCACAGGGATAGGTGCTGACCTTTTCAAGAGAGCAAGAATTGGCTCACAGGTGAACGCTTTCCCCCTTCCCCAAAAGCACCCCACTCCCCCTTGGCCCATCATAAATACTTCTGGTCGCGATCCTGAGTGTGCCTTCAAACACATTATCGGCATACACTCAGTACGGAGAAGTAGCTCGTGAAAGACCGGGAACTAAGAGCTTGCTTCTTGGAAAAGTGAAGTGTAGATCAGGGCATACGCTTGATCTGCTGGCGTGCAGTAAGTGGCTGTGGGCACTCGGGAGGGCGAGGGAATGTGGGCGTGGCTTCCGGTGCAAAAGCCGCTTAAAACGGCGTTGCGATAGGCCGGAAACGGCTACCTTTTCACCCGGATCAAGATTAAGTAAAGAATCGCTCCTCGTCGGTGAACTCTTTCGTTGCGGTCACCTTTCGATTGAGGAGGCTCTTCTAGAAGTATCTCTTTATTGACATTCAGGATAGTCACGTCTTTTGTTGGACAAATGTTATGTAGACAGGATTCTGTACCCGTTTCGTAGCAAGAAGGATATTCTGGTTAAAGACACAAAGATGCCTTGTAGATCGAAGAGTGGTGCCCCTATTTGCCCCTAGCACATACAAATTCAGGGGCACCACCAGCCGAAGCTTTGCCGAGAGTGCGGCGGCTTGCGGACTTTCTAAGGGACCCGCAAAAGGCAGGCTTCCATCTGACGTCGAAGCTTCAACAACATGTAGGGTCGTACAGTATCCATCCTGGAGATGGACGAATTCACAGCTGACGCTTTCGTGAACCGCGATGAGCCAATTCCTACGATCTCGCTTCCAGGCAACGATGCGCCATCAGCGACGTCGCATGACCATAAGGGCAAACGTGAGCGCCTGAAGGAGTCCACAGCCTCCAAGCTGAAGGACAAAATAGCAGATCCCGGGTCGCAGCACGAGAAAAAGAAATATGGCTTTTCTCTATCAGATCGACTTTTCACAAAGTGAGCATGGCTACAGTGAAACATATCTTTAGGAAGACACGGGCTAAATGGCACCGACGTAGGTTGCTTCAGCAGATTGTACCTGAAGACGAGATTGAAGGCTTGGACCTGCCAACAGATGTGAGGAGCTCCAAGTATATCAATCGGCCCAGCTTTTCCCTCCCATTGATGACCAACAATTTTCGCCGTTTCAATGCAAGGTAAAGCAATCACCCTCACTGCCTTCTGGCTTGCTTTCTGATCACCCTATGCATCAGAATAGGAGTAGTCTTCGTTTTTCAGAACCGTTTCGAGCGTCTCCTGACATGGCGCCAACCATCTCATACCCTCTCGCTCCTCGTTATATGTACCTTCATCTGCTTGGACCCTTATTTGCTTTCAATCGTCCCAATCGTGGGAGCTCTGTTCTTCATCTTGATTCCTGCCTACTTGGCGCGCCATCCTCCTCCACCACAACAGAGTCTCACGACATACACACTGAATGGCCCACCTCTCGCACCAGCAAGAACCATCAAGCCTGCTGGGGAAACGTCCAAAGACTTCTTCAGGAATATGAGGGATTTACAGAATACCATGGATGATTTCAGTATTCTGCATGATGCCTTCCTGAAAACCATCACACCTCCCTTAAACTTCTCAAATGAGGGCCTCTCTTCCACGATCTTCCTCTTCCTCTTCATCGCAGCCTCGATTCTCTTCATAGCCTCGCACCTTATTCCATGGCGTGTCATCGCCCTATTAATCTGCTGGACCGCCATAACAGGCGGCCATCCAAATGTTCGCCAGCACATTTCAGATCACCACGCGAAACAAATCACAGTTCATCAAGAGCACGCTAAGAATTGGCTCGACACATGGACCTCCCATGATATCATACTCGACACCCTACCTGAAACTCGTGAAGTTGAGGTCTTTGAACTCCAACACCGCGATTCCGGCAACTGGAACAAGGAGTGGGAACCCTGGCTATTCACGCCAGCTCCTTACGATCCGCTCTCTCCGCAGCGAATATCGGGGGATAGACCGAAGGGGACGAGGTTCTTTGAGGATGTACAGCCACCGAAGGGCTGGGAATGGGGTGATAAGAAATGGATCCTAGATCTAGCGTCTAGGGAGTGGGTGGATGAAAGGACAGTCCAGGGCATTGAGGTGGAGATTGAGGGGGAGCGATGGGTAACGGATCTGGTACCTATAGAGACGGCTGACCTGAGGACGCCGACGAAGGGTAAAGAGAGGACATGGGAAGATAATGACGGTGAGTTGGTAGGCGAATGGAGGAGGAGGAGATGGATTCGGATGGTTAGGCGGAAAGTCGTTGGGCAAGAATGATGAAGAGCTTTGCCGATTTTGGGTATTCCTATGAATCGTGACCTGCTTTCTGGAAATCTACCGTGTTTTATGTTTTCTCGATTCCCCTGCCACTCCCATCTACAATTCTAAGTCTCAATAAATACCTATGCTTCCGCACTCTTAATATGCTTCTGGTATTCCAACATCCGCCTCTTCAGATCCCCTTTACTCTGCTGCATAGGATTCAGTCTACTGTCCTTTGCCATCGCTTCGAGATCGTCTCCCCATCTGTCGACTAAGCTCTTGATCCAGTCCCTCTCGCGCTCGCTTTGTTTCCGCGGTCTCTTCCGCTTCACAGCTTTACTTGCTTCTTCCAATTGTGGCACAATGCCCTTTTCTCTTACAAATCCTCTCTCCCCTTCCTCATCTTCACTACCGTCACTACCATCGTCGCCATACTCGTTCTCGTCCGACAAATCATTCAACGGATCGCCTAACGGGTTCCTCGCCCTCCTTTCCTCCTCCTTGCTTCTAACCACGCTCACGATATTACCTTCATCATCGCGAATCACTCTTGTGATTTCAAGACCCTTTTAGGGGCAGTGTTCCCTGATATAGCTAAGGGTCCATGGTGGGCGCTTTTCCGAGCGGAAGGATTGGAAGAGGAGAGGGCAGGTTCTAACCCGCCTGTGGAGGAGTTGAGTTTTGCGGAGAGACCTAGGTTGCGGTAGTTTTGGGAGAGAGTGAGAGATTGATTCCTGAAACTTGTCAGTCTTCATTTTTGGGGAAGAATGAGAGTAGGTGAAGAACAGGAAGGAAGTACTTACCACTTCGCCGCAACTATGGGATTGCTTTTGATGTTCAATTTTTTCGACTTGGGTTTTTGACGCACACGTGGGCGAGAAGATCGATTCTTTCGCTTCTGGAGCTCACGACCCATGATCAAAGTATTGTGAATTTCAACAACGGCGATGGCGCCTTAATTGATTAAGTAATGCTAAAGAATGGCCTTGATCGAATTCTATCGTGCTATCGATAAGCTTCAGTGAAGCTATACCAACGCTAGGAAGGGCCGAAAGCTTGTGTCAAACCCCTGTTGCTCTGGTGGCTCAAAGGGCTCCCAGCCCCGAGCTCACCTTCTATGACAAGTCGCATGACAACGTCAAGCATCCTTGTCGACAAGTACCGGTAATGCCTTCGAAGCTGCTATCGCGGCCATGGCTGAGCCTCGCGATCTGCGCGATATTCTCAGGCATTGCGATTGGTGAAGCGATTGATCGAATGAGTGGGCCTCAGATACAGGACGCGCTGGAGGTAAATCGCTTTTTGAATGGATGAGCAAAAAATTCACGATATACAGACATGCGGCTTCGTACAGGAGCTGAATCACTACAAGAAGACGACCGCCCCTAAGACCTCAGGCTATACCCAGCAGATGTTTGATAGGCTGTTTCCATATGGCCCTGCTGTCAATGCCCTTCTGGCTACCTTGTACATATCTGGACCACCAAGTGCGCTTTGATACGTCAAGCTCTAATACGCCCTTGCTAAAAGATTCGTAGACTTTCTACTCGCACTATGTCCTCCAAACATCGACCCTTCATCTCTTTCTGTGATGGTAGCCTTTGCTGTTGGAGGGCTACTGGGAGACACGGTCTTTCACCTGTTACCAGAAATATTCTTGGGCGAAACATCACCTGATCATGCGCGCTTTGTGCTTGTAGATCCAAATAAGAATTTACTGCTTGGTGTCGCGATTATCTTTGGATTCGTCACATTTACTTTGATGGACAAGAGCTTGCGCATTGCAACAGGAGGAGAAGGGGGCCATGACCAGGCGCACGGAAAGAAAGAAGACACGGAAGATATAAAGAAAGACCAAGTATCGAAAGCAACGGGCGTGGAGAGTCTGTCTCAGAAAGCCAACGGCACTGTGAAGTCTAGAAAGTCGATAAAAGAGACTTCCCCATCGCTGGAGATCTTTGCTGATCTAAAAGATTTGTTATTACCAAAAGACAAAGTCAAAGAGCTGTGGAGCACACCAGAGCCCAGCCGGTCCAACGATTGGCTTGCTGAAGTCCTCCAAGCGGATGACACCGCGGGTGTGACGCAGATTGCCATCTGGAGAGCATATGAAGCAGCTTTCAAAGGGAACAAAGGTGTCCCTATTCTCGAAGCAACCGCCCTCATCCACAGTGCAAGCAAAGTCTTTGAAAACGCTAGCGCGCAAATCATTGAGGGCGAGGAGAGAAAATTTATCATCAAAGGAGTCCGACCTCAAGTAAGCGAAGTCGAAACGGTCGCAGACACAGCGAAGGCAATTGTAAAGAGCGCAAAGCCAAGCGTGCCAAAGAACGAGCCAGGGCATTCGATTCGCCTCTCCGCGTACCTCAATCTGATTGCAGACTTCACCCATAATATCACGGACGGTCTTGCCTTGTCATCCTCTTTTTATGCATCTCCGATGCTGGGGGCGACTACAACTGTGGCGATCTTCTTCCACGAGATACCACATGAGGTGGGCGACTTTGCGCTTCTCATCCAGTCTGGCTTCTCTAAACGAAAAGCGATGGGAGCACAATTCATCACTGCTTTTGGAGCATTTTTGGGCACTTGCCTGGGCATTTTAGTGCAAGAGCTGGCCAAGTCAGATTTCGACCCAAGCAAGCATCGAGATCAACATGCAGACAACAAAGGAATACTTGAAACAGGATTAGGCTGGGGCGACATGCTGCTCCCTTTCACAGCGGGCACCTTTTTGTATGTGGGCACTGTGGCTGTGATACCAGAGCTCTTGCAGACAGGCCCACGGAAAGGCGAGGAGGTAAGGAAAACGATGAAGCAATTCATTGCGATGTTTATTGGCGCTGGAATCATGCTTGCGTAAGTGAATACCCCCAAGAATATCCTTGACTGTGGCGACTGATAGCGAGCAGGATATCATGGACATAGTCGGAATGTATACCACAACAGCGATAGCGGAGATAGAGGCTTATTGGACGAGCGGGTGTTGTAGAACTATTTCTAGGAACCCACATGATTTGACATAAGATCTATCTTCCTCCTCCTGACCGTGTCAATTCCATAACCGCTTCAGGCAGTTTCTTCCCCGCGCCCGCAGCGGCGCGCCCCACTTCCGCAAGACTGAAGTCGAATTTATGACGAAGACACTGTACTTTTATTTTCTGTCCCTTGCATTTGCTCTCCGTTGAGCATACTTCGATTGACTGACAATCCTTCTTCTATTTCATCAAGAAAGCGATCATTGAAGCACCATTATGGCTGAGACTACCGGAAAAGTGAGCTACAGACCGTTGCATGATCCACTTTACGTCATTTACTGACAGCTCCACGCGACCAGACCATTACATGCAAGGTACCTACGATGTGCGTTCCTGGCCTCCTGGCATGCGATGGACTCACACACCATAGGCTGCTATCGCCTGGGAAGCGGGCAAAGACCTGTCGATCGAAGACATAGAGGTCGCACCACCGAAAGCCCACGAAGTTCGGATTGAGATCTATTATACTGGTGTCTGTCACACTGGTACGACTTTTTTGGTCCACGGAATTAGTTCCAAAAGCTGAGTGAAAGCAGACGCATACACACTCTCCGGCAAAGACCCCGAAGGCGCTTTTCCAATCGTGCTCGGCCATGAAGGCGCTGGGATCGTCGAATCGGTGGGCGAGGGTGTAGAGAACGTCAAGGTTGGTGATAATGTTGTTGCGCTTTAGTAAGTCTCCAAGCTCCTCTTCATTCCCATGATATTTCTTGGCCGTTCTCTCTCTTTCCGCGTAGACATCTCTTACATTGCGTGCAGTACCCCAGAATGTCGCGAGTGCAAGTTCTGCAAGTCTGGAAAGACGAATCTCTGCGGCAAGATTCGCGCCACTCAGGGTAAGGGTGTCATGCCAGATGGGACCTCGCGCTTCAAATGCAAGGGCAAGGATCTGCTGCACTTCATGGGAACGTCCACCTTTTCACAATACACTGTCGTCGCCGACATCTCTGTTGTAGCCATCACCTCTAAGGCGCCTATGGACCGCACATGTCTCCTGGGTTGCGGTATCACCACCGGTTACGGCGCTGCAGTCGTGACCGCGAATGTGGAGAAAGGGTCCAATGTTGCCGTCTTTGGCGCAGGATGTGTGGGCTTGAGTGTCATCCAAGGCGCAGTACAGAAGGGCGCAGAGAAGATCATCGTGGTAGACGTGAATGATAGTAAAGAAGAATGGGGAAAGAAGTTTGGGGGAACGGAATTCATCAATCCAACGAAGCTTGGAGGCGTCAGCATCCAGGAAAAGTTGCAGGAGGTCACGGATGGCGGGTGCGATTATACCTTTGATTGTACGGGGAATGTGGGTGTCATGAGAGCGGCGCTCGAAGCTTGTCATAAGGGTTGGGGACAGAGCATCATCATTGGCGTTGCGGCAGCGGGGCAGGAAATCAGCACGAGACGTGAGTGGCTTCCTATTCTCTGCTGATTTCAGGTTTGAACTCGAGAGGAAATGCAACTGATGGCGTCGTAGCTTTCCAATTAGTGACTGGACGAGTCTGGAAAGGATGTGCTTTTGGGGGCATCAAAGGACGCACTCAATTACCGGATCTGGTCGATGACTATCTTAATGGAAAGTTGAAGGTCGATGAGTTCATCACGCATAGACAGCCATTGGGCGGCATCAATACTGCATTCCAGGATATGAAGTCGGGCGATTGTATTAGGTGTGTGGTTGATATGAGGAAAGTATAATGAAGCTTGGATAATGCTATGCAAGGGGCACGAAAAGATTTACGAGGATGTCAATAACGGAATGAGCGAACAATAGAGTCGGAACCAAATTAGGTCTTGTAGCGTGCTGTCATATTGAATAGTTTTGAAGCAAGATGCCTTGAATATCTCTTCTCGTTGACTCCGCCCAGCATCCTCGCTTCTTTTCTCCAACGAAAGAGCGTGGATATATACTTTTCTGTTGCCACCGCGTCACGAGGATGCAATCCGAAGATGAATGCAGAGAATTTAAGCCTTTCTTAAACGGTCGAATTTCCCCGGATGCACAAGTCGCTCGCCCGACATTCTCCAGCAGTCACCAAACGAAGCACACTGCATAAACGAATAGATATACGAAGCGACCCTCCATCAAGTCACATGACCGAATAGAGCCAACGGTAGGAATCTGGGGCCCGACCCTGGTCAGACTGGCACAAACCAATGAGGAAGGCTACCGCCGGATCTGGGTCAGTCGGAGCAAGCAGCGTGTAGGGACCTTTGCTGACTGGGCTGCGTCTGGGGCTTCGTCAGAATTTGGGGGTGATTTTATACTTTGTGAGAATGCAAGTCAGTCACGCAAAATCTTCTCCGAAAGACGAAATTGTCGATCCAATCTCGTTGACGACCCCAATCGAGCGCCACCAGCAACATGAAAGGGACTGCTCTGCCAAGCTTCAGCGCTCTCCTCCACTACTGTTTGTTGAGGCGTCTGACAGGGAGCGAAGAAGTCTCGTGTTTTTGCTCAACAGGCGATCCTACATCTCTTGACAATTCTCCGATATCGAATCAAGGGTCGCTGCCGCCCTACACCAGAATAATCTTTCTGGCCGTTGTCGAGACGAGCCCGTCAGCTTGTTTCGGCCCAAACCTTGAGCTGTGCGGCTGCATCCAGGTCGAATGGGAGGACCAAGATGGGGGGACGCCTCTGCTATTAGGTTATTCTTACTACCGCTGTCCCGCGGGCATGCACGACTGACGTTTCTACGCTCGCATCCACCATTCCCATCTCCCCACGGAGCAGGTGTTCATCCACGGGTTTGGGCAGCAATACATATGTCAAACTTCTACCAAAACAGCAAAAGAACTACGTCTTCCAGCCACGCGTTGTGGGGTGCCGTTTTGGCGTATCTGGTATATGGTGGTAGGGTACTACCCTCATGCATCGGGAGCGGGGAATGAAGAGCCTGAGCGGCGAAGCTCAGGGACGGCGCGAGCTGATTCGATCCCAACGCATGCAAGCTGGTGCAAGTGCCCTAGTCCGGCTCTACGCTACGATCCGCCTGGTAAAGACAAATCATAGCTGGGCGTTTACTTGCGCTCTCTTTTTGCTCTGTTGCCAGTGCCACTGAAGAAAAAGGCTGGCGCGGTCTTGCTGACTGAAAACGTTGGAAGTCCGCTTTTGGCACTTTCAACGAATGAGAGGCTTTTCATGTGATCTTGTCACGTTACTGGCGGCCTGCACCTGCCTTCGTCGAGACACCGTCCGCTGGGTCGGAGACCTCATGTCGAGTCCCAGGGCAAGACGCGCATGTCAAGTGCCGTCTATATGCTTCCTTCTTTTGAGCAGGCAGTCACGAGAACGGCAAGCCAGGCTGAATGAAGGAGATCGAGTATCGTGATTTGCAGCGGGCTCAAATGCCTGGGGGTATTGATAGCCGGCTGCGACAGATCTAAGAAACTTAGATCGCTTTGCTTTTCGCCCCCGAGGGTATGGTCGATTAGATGAGGCGCCAATAGCGACCCTGGTCTGTACTGGAGTTGCACTTCCGCCGGCACCAATTTTTTGGCTCAAGTATCGTGCCACCCTTCAAAAATGCAAGTCCCCACTTCACCGGGACAGAGCTCGTGCAGCGTTTTCGCTCATTCTGACAGACAATTTTCATTTGATTTCTTCGCGAACAACTGAAAGAACGGCTTCTGCATGCGTTTGCAGTTGCTTTGACTTTTCTGAATGCTGTCACCGCCGTTGTACTATTTTTGTATGGTACCTGTGGCTGTGCTGACCTAACCGGCACTCTGCGTTGGCAGCCGAAAATCTTTTTGCGATTTCGAGAATATCTTGGAATTCCAGGCTGTGGCTCACGCTGTACTTAAACACGTGAATGTCACGGGGTTCTTTCTACTCATGACCAGGTAGTCGGCAAGGACAGGTACCTTGTATCCGCAGGTACGGCACAGAGCTCCCCCACGCAGAGGTCAAGAAGCGGCCCACCGTTGACCGCATACTAGGTCCTGCCGACTCATTTTCGTTCTTGTACAAAGAAACCACTCCGTTGCTCCATGTTTTCTTTCCATGAAGTCGACAAGTACATATAATTTCAGTGCCTCGCGAAGTCCATTGGCAACATGGCTTCACGGGGAGCATTTGGCTTCCGGTCTGGGAGGCAGACCGAAAAGGAGGATAAGAAGAGCAAGACACCGGCTTTGTCAAGGACTCCTTCGCTGACTTCTAACACACCGAGTACCTCCAAACCTGTCAGCCACTCAACGTCCTTTTTCTCCAGAAACAAGCACAGCAAGTCGAAGGGCGACGTATCGAGTACCGCCTCCAACATTCCCGGAATTGCAGGACAACATGCGTTGGGCGTGAGCTCTGCAAGGACGAATACAGGCGCATCATCTGACGCTGGATCAGCGATGTCTCTTGGGGGTGTTTCAACCGGGAAGACCACAATCCAAAGCAAAGCAGGAAAACCTAGACATGTGCTCAGAAGGAAAGCACCATCGATAGAGCAGCATGGCGCTTACGCACGGACAGAGTCTTCTGCATCTTCCTACGAGCCTACACCTTCACGGCAATACTTGGGTAGCAAAAGTTCACCCGGCGGCTATACAGATACTGGGCCAAGGTCCATTCTGGGAGTGACAGCTCCACCGACTTCCAGCTCATCTGTAGCAAAGATACCGAGAGGACTAGGTCTGGGGGCAGAATTCGCCACGTCGAGTTCTCACATGGCGAGCTACAATAGCCGCAACAACATGCCACCTTCTTCCACTCCGACTTTCCCTCCACCCACCCCGACATATGCCCAAGACAGTGGCTCCTCCACTCGTCGGTCTGAGTCGCCTAGCGCTTTCAGTCGAACATCGACGCCAACATCAATGTCGTCTCAATCGCCAGGTGTACCAACTCCTGCAAAAGCTCCAGTTCGCGCGCGACCGACTAGCCCATCTCGAAGTCGCCCGCCAGTCACAAGAAACAGATTTGCAGAACGCTTGATACATCATGAGGACAATGGAATATCTCGTAACACAGGACTGACAGCGGTACGGGAGTCTGCCACTTCATCGTCATCTTCTTCGACTTTGAAGCCAGAATCGAGAACCGGTACCAGTAGAGCTGCTTACGCAGACCGCTCCTCGCCGCAAGCTGGAAACCTGCCAACGCGCACGTCTTCGAAGAAAGAATCGACTTCGCAGTCTCAGTCTCAACCTCAGGGTTTCCCACAGCGCAAAGGCTCGTTAAATTACGGGCTTGAGCAGCGTCAGATGAATGCCAAGCGACTGGCAGAGTCCCCCTTGGAACCAGATGCGGAGCCACCGCGATCAAGGACAGCTCCACCACGACCAAGTCGCGACGGCGTCCCACAGCTGAACGTAGCGTTAGCTTCACCTACAGATCACACCCCTCGGCTTCAGCCCAGCGCTCTAGCTTCGGACGGTAAAAGCCGTGACTCCTTCGATACCGACAGACCAGAGCCCGAAATTAGGCTTGGCTCGAGTCGCTCACTCAAGCATGGCCTCGGCCGATCACCGTCAGATGTGACCTCCGTCCAGCCCTCGCGCATGCCATCACCGAATCTTTTGGCTTCTCGTCAGGCTACTCAAACAAGCCCCTTCTATTCTCGGCCTTCTCCATCCTTGGAAACTAGTCTCATCAGCGTAAAATCTTCGAAAGATCTAAGTCCGCAAAGTGCTGGATCGGCAAAGTCTTCAAGCCGTTTTGGCTTCTTCTCACGACGAGCAAAGCATCCGCCTGAAACTCCTTTGTCAGAACAAGCAGAAAAGACCGCCAAGAAAGGCCCTGCGGCAGGAACTGGTCACGAAGGTTATGGAAAGTATGCTCTAAGAGGGCGTAGTGGAAGTGCAACTACGAGTGCCAGTAGAGGCCGGTCAACGAGTTCTACTAGCATTGGGAGGACACCAAGCAGTCGTAAAAGCAGCCTTACGAGGAGCGATGAGCCTGAGCTTGACGAATTCTATCGCGACCGACTGGCACCTCGAGCAATTACTGGCGGTGGACGTAATGTTGAAAGCGCTAACGATGTGTACATGTCAGAAAGTGCACAAGGCTCAAACAATACGCTGGATAGCATTGCTCGAACGATTCCAGCCTCACAGATACGACCTCTTCGGACCGAGGTGTCTGCACAGGAGCCCGCTCACAAATTACACCATGTAAACCGAAGGCTGCCTCAGAGGGAGGGTGATCCCTCTAAGCCAGTATTGAATCAACCATATCAGCCAAGTGGCACCCCATCACTAGCCACCCGTCGATCGCTTCACCGATCTCAGCTCCTCCAAGACGCAGAGCCAGTCCGGATACCAGCACCTATTGATACCGCTAAGTCAGCAGCCGCTCCTTTGACTAGCCGAGACACATTCTTGTCTTCTGTCTCGCCTACTCATGGTGCTTCAGGGACTGATGACATCTCCGAAGGCCACGAGGGCAATTGGCTGAAGGCAAAGAGATCTGGAAAACCGAAGAAGTCTCCACGACAATGGAATTTCTTTCAGAGGGCACGTGGCTCCCCAAAGAGACCTGCGGTGCCTACCGCACCAAGGTCGGACGACGACTATAGTGCTGTACAAGCCCTATCTACTAAGGTCGCGGGAGTGACGGAAACTCGACAGGTCCCCTTCTATGCTTTGATGAACAATAGCGAACAGGACCCGTACGACCAAATGTCATCTGGCCAGCTTACAAGGACTACGTCCGAGACAGACAATCAAAGCATCTACTCAAGATTCCAAAGCAGAGACCACAGTCCAGCGAGAGAACAGCGCAAGGAGTCAATGCTACTTCCTTCTCCACCGACCTTGACCATGGAATTCGCGAAGCAAGCCAATTTGCAACGATCGCCAGAGCCAGAAGCGCCTTCAAGAGTCTCCTTAGAGAAGCCTGAGCCAACATCGATTTCGGAGCCTAGGAAGCCAAGGCTTCAACAGGTTGGCCGCATACCAAGAGTTGTGTCGAAACGCGACCATGTTCACCGCCCTGCACCGCAATCATTCTCACGTCCGCGGCCGGTGACTCCTCGAGAGGATCCGGTACCACACTCTGCTCCTCCTGTTGTCGAAGCGGGAACACTTCCAGAACCTGAGCGGCCAGTTCTCGGTGTTCAGACGGAAGCCCTACCACAAAGGCCTTGGGGTAGCTTAGATTCAGGCAAACCTGCGAGTGCACCGGTGAAGTCAAGCGAGACATCTGAGCATGCCAACCAGGCAGACGAATTCCTTGCCTTTCCTCCGAGGATTGGCTCTGAGGTCTCTGGCTCAAGCAGTTCTGGTATCCTTAGTTTTGCTGCTGCGACTACAGCTGTAGTTCCAGGACCCGGCGCTGCGCCTAATGATGACGAGATCTGGAACGAATACAACGAGTTTCTCGACACTGTTCAGACTCCGACTCCGCTGAGGAATGAAAGGACCAATCCAATGGAAAAGACAGCGCAACAAATCCGCATGCAGCCTGCCCCCTTGCACGTTCGAAGAGACTCGTCAGTCACGGGCTCTAGATCTGGCAGCCCCGTGAAGGAGCACGCCTCAACGTATCCTCCGGCGTCTGCTCCTCCAAACAAAGATCTCCCAATGCCTCCGAAACGAGGGAAGCTTTTCGATGCCCAACCACCGACTCCAGGAACTATTTCCGACCTGCTTGCTAGCTATGATCGTAACAGTACAGCTTCAAAGCATCGCAGCCGTTCGACAACCAGCCGCTACAGCACTAGCTCCATCGAATCTGAAGCTGATTCGCTTGCTGGGCGTGAAGCTCAAGGTCTGCAGCCTGGCTTCTGCGCTCCTCAGACCGCTGCAGCTTCACGCCTCTCTCAAATCTATCTTCGCCGCGACGCTTTACTGGCAAGCCGGTGGTTGTCTTTTGATCGCGTACTTTTCAGTCCTGCACATTTCGAGATTCAGACGAACTCAAAGAACAATGTCCTCATTCTGGATGGCTTGGGCAATGATGAATGGTCCTTCTACTGTGCAGAGAATTATCCAAAAACGCAAGTCTTCAATCTCAGCAGCAGCTTCAGAAATGACGTGGCGCCGACTGCGTCAATACCAGGAGTCAGCCCACCTCAAAATCATCAACAGCGCCGCTACCTAGGACTTGATCGCCCGTTCCCTTTCGCCGGAGATACCTTCTCAACTGCTGTCTTCCGCTTTCCGGCTGCAACCAGCGATGCCAACTACTACAACGCAATCTCCGAACTAAAGCGAGTCCTTCGCCCAGGTGGTTATCTTGAGATAAGCCTGCTTGACATCGACCTGGTGAACATGGGCAATCTAGCTCGCAAAGCTCTACGCGGACTCAAAGAACGCAAGCATACGCAAGACCCTGAAGTCTCCTTGAAGCCTGTAAGCGACAATATCCAGAAAATGCTCGGCAAGAAAGGGTTCGAGAATCTCAACCGCTGCACGCTCGACGTGCCAGTGGCTGGCTTTGTCAATAATTCCCGCGCTGAGTCTTTCGACGAGGCTTCTGGGAAAGAGCTGCCTCCTAAACGAAATAGTGCCCGGGCAAGTGGGAGCATTGCGAAGAATCTTTCCAAAGTAGGCCGGTGGTGGTTCACCAGCTGCTACGAGTCTGGCTTGCAAGGCACGATGTGGAATGATAAGGCACTGCTTGCCGAGTGCGAGGCTCGCGAGACAGGCTTCAAATTGCTCTTGTGCTATGCGCAGAAGCCAATCAACAAACGAAGGACACGATCCTTCTGATCATCTTCGCCACTTTCAGCCATGCGTGGTCGACAGAAACCGCCTTCCAAACACCGCTCCACCCTCAATCACACAACGAGCTCACCAACCTCAACGCCTTTGTGTGGGCCAACAGAACTTTTTTCCTCTTGACTATGTCCGACCTTCACTCGTTTTTGACTTTCTTTCCCAGCGTTTTTCGCATCTTTTCAGCAAGCGAAGCATTCATTGCGATGAATCAAGACCATATAAAGGCGCAAGCCCACCACCTATGACCAATTACACTTACATACCGAAATACGCACATACATACCAGACTACAAACCCCAGATCTCCAACGGCGCGAGCCCCCGAAGAATACTTCTAGACCCAACTTATTTGGCTACATAAGCCACATACATGTATGATACGACCTTCTCACGAACTTAATGATGCATCATCCGGTAATGAGCTCAAGACTTTTTGATTTGAATTCCTATACCCCTTTTTGGGGAGCAGCTGGTTTGGAAGAGGGAGACGAAGGGCAAGGGCTGGACTGTGCCGTGATTGTTCGGATTTGACGTTTGATATGTTTATATGGGGAGACGGAAAGGGACGGGTATGATGTGGTATATGTTCTTGTGTAGATGACAGAAAGAGGAATGAAGAAAGACTTTCAGTGAAATGACCTTCCCACTATCCTTGTTTTGAAGGATTTTCTTTTCGTTCATTCGTGCGTCTTCTACTTCTGACAGCGTTTAAGGCCATAGGCCCACTTATGAAGCTGAGATGCAGAGTAGATGCTGTAAAGATAAGCCATGCCGCAAAACCCCCACCCGCAAGCAAACGCCAACGCTCTATCATTGTGACCTGACCTAAAGACCCATGAAGGAAGATTAATGTCGGGGTATCTTCACACCATCGTTCTCTACGCATACATTCCCTTCTCGCTGCGACTTCGACGTCGTAATCGACGGGCACTTACTAACACATGCAAGCCCAGAACTCCCTTTCACTGATAAACATTAACCCCGTATCCCCCCTGCGGCCCACCAGCAGACACACCGCCCATCATCGGCTGACCCATCCCCCTCCCGGCCTGAGCCTGCTGCACCTGCGGCAAGTCTCTAAACCACGGATGCGTGAGCGCCTCAGTAGCTCCAACCCTCATCTCAGGCCTCAACTGCAACATCCTCGTCAAAAGATCAAGGGCGGGGGGTTCCATGTGCGGCAATATGAGTCTCAAATCCTGGGTATAGAAATTCTGCGCCGCGGGCTTATATTCCGGGAACTGGCTGATGCCGGGCCAGGAGCGCTCGGAGGGCGTTCCCATCAGCCGGAAGATCTTCTGCAGCTGGTCCTCGTTCGTGGTGCCGGGGAAGAGCGGGCGGCCCGTGTACATTTCGGCCATGATGCAGCCGGCGCTCCAGATGTCGATGCTGGTGTTGTAGGTGCGGGAGCCGAGGAGGACGTCTGGGGCGCGGTACCAGAGGGTGACGACCTCGTTAGAAAAGGTGTTGACGGGGATGCCGAACGCTCGCGCGAGGCCGAAGTCGGCGAGTTTGAGCTGCATTTTGTTGTTGATGAGTAGGTTCTGGGGCTTGAGGTCGCGGTGGAGGACGCGGTTGTCGTGGCAGAAGGCAATGCCCGCCAGGAGCTGGTGCATGAAGGACATGATAACGTAGGGGTCGAGGGAGCCGTTCGCGTTGCCGCGGGAGTCCATGAACTTCTTGAGGTCTTTGTCCATGTATTCGAAGACGAGCATCAATTTGTTCTCGGTGTGGATTACGTCGTAAAGGGAGACGATGTTTTCGTGCTTGAGCTCCTTCATGAGCGAGATTTCGCGGATGGCGGTTGAGGGGGTGCCTTCTTCGCTGTCGAGGTGGATTTCTTTCAGGGCAACCAGCTCGCCCGTTTGGCGGTTGCGGCCTTTGAAGACCTGGTCAAAAGGGTATCAGCGCTTGCTATTCATGCGAAAGAAGCAAATGGCCTCACTGTAGCATAGGTCCCCTCTCCAAGCTATGTGGAATGTTAGTGGGGTGTTTTTTGGTAGACGGGCGACATGGGCGAACCTTCTCCAGCTGCTGGAACGACGACGGATTTCTTTTGTCCATATTTTGTATGTATTCTTTGGATAGAATAGAGACTCAGCTGGCGTATTCTTACGCTACGGATGGATCTGCTATTATGCTCAACGTGGACGGTGGGGTGTCGCAGCCTGTTTCGTTGCTAAGGCCTGACAAAGTCGGGAGCGAAGAAACGACTGAAGGATTTGTATCTTAGATCATGAGTACATGTTCTTGAAGATCCTCGTGGGGAATTCAACTACTAAAGAGTCAAAGATTTTATAGAGGAATTGGTGGTAGTCATTTCATGAGTACGGAGTTAACCCTCCACAAAGCCGCAGAGGTGCGCCGCCAATCAAGTCTAAGGAGCGCTATGAATAGCTACATCAGCGTTAATGCGAAATTATGGGATGCAAGGCCATAGCTCAATGGCAGGTTTCATTATTATGCTATTCTAAGTGTCGCTGTAATGGGTTGCGAAGGAAATCAGAAGGTTCACATTACTTATTACACTTGCCGGCATGACTGATCAATGGCCAATCCGGAAATGTAGCAGAATAATCGGGTATCATATTCCCAAGCCAAGTGTTGCATGCAAGTCATCCTCCCCCGTAAAGCCATGTTCTTGTGGAGAAGCTCCAAAGGCGAAATGTCCACTTGCACCGCAGCTGCTCAATTCCTCCCCACTAGTGAGTTCCTCCTCTGTGAAGCTCGTTGCTCCTGGCACATTCATATCTAAAGAAGTCTTCCATATGTCGTCGCACCACTCAAAAGGCTTACTTCGCGGAACCTCGGAGATGCTGGGTGGAAGTTCAGATAAATATGAAAAAACGTCTTGTTGTGGTGGCTGCAGGTACGGTGCTGCTTGAGGTTGCTCGAAGTCATGGATCGAGTTCATAGGTGTGGTGGCACAATTCTTCGGAGTGTTGCCCGTACTTGTCTGAGACGAGGTCTGAGGCTCATTATTGAAATCAAGATAATCAAGATTCGGTAGAGATTCGGAGGGCCGCCGTAAGTGAGATCCCATCACATTTTCCGGCCGAGGATGAGTGTAGAGAAAGTCAGGGCCGAGATTGAGCATGCTCGGATAGTTGAAATTACGATCATATATTGGCAGAGAGGTGGTAGAGAAGCGACGACTATCCTTGACCTCAGGTTTGATTGGCGGACTGGTCGTGGTATTGTGAAAAATCATGCCCTCGGACCCGTGGCTCCTTTGTAAGTTCTTGGTCTTGCGTTTTGGCGCTGGCATATCTCCATTTGATTTCGGGCGTTGATTTCGGTTTATTACAAAGGGTTTCGCTGGCTTGACTTCCAAGTCAATCTTGGTTGTCGCAGTCACGACCTTCTTGAATTCGGCGGCCCCGGGGGCTTTGTTACGATCCAAGGTCGAGACGACTGAGCGGAGGAGTCGTCCGCTATCTTGATGTAACTTGCCTTGACGATCAAAATCAAGTGTTTGAAACAGAAGTCCAAATCCAGCCATGGTCATGATGTGATTCTTGTTGAGGCAGAACGAGAAACTCAGTCGACGTTCTTCGAGAAGTTCAACAATCTGTACGATGCGCTTGCTGGAGCTTCCGAGAGCGACTATTGAGCTCGATCTATGGTTACAGATGCTACAACTCGCGAGCGGACGGTGAATTAGAGTTCGTATGTAGTGGTAAGCCAGGGTCTTCGCATATGTCAGCACCGATACAAAATCTTAATCCAATGTAGACTTACTATGAAAGGCGATCTGCTTCCCACAATGTTCGTACACGGCTTGTCCTGAACAAACTCCAATTTCAGGTGTGACGGGACTTCCGCCCACCACTTGTCAAGGTCACCGCTGAGAGCGCTGATAGTCTGCAGCGAAAGGCGGCGTGGCGCATCTACCGGATACATTTCGTCCAAAACTCGAGACAGCATACGGGCACCACCGACAATAACAGGCGCCCGTGAGAGGCGAGGAGTCTCGCCTGACTTTAATGAAAGTGGAGTGCTGACTTCAGCATTTCCGTCTTCGTCGCCTTCAGGATATTCGCAAGTGATGTCTCCGTCTTCGAATGACTGCGACTGGCCGAGTAGCGAGGCCGAGAATCTGAAAATGGTCAAAATATTTTCAAAACAGCAGCTTCATGAGACTTACGAGTCAAGAACGTAGAGCGTCCAGAACAACTGCTTTCGTGTTTCGGTGATTGATTCTGAAAGGGAAGATCGCTTCTGGCTCTGATGAAGACCTAGGCGACGAGAGAGCTTGACAGCAGAAGCTCTATATCTAGGGAGCTTCTCATAGTCTCGCTTTGCAATACAGTGAATGATTGCAAGCATAACACATTGCAAAGTAGGAATACTAATGTCTTTGATGATGGCTTCGAGCGCGGGCTGCCAGTGTACTTCAAAAGCGATGGTGTCATCCTGATGTGGCTGATCGTTAGTATACGAGTGCAGATGCCCGAATGAATATACGAACCTCAGTGGACAGTGACGCAATACCAAACAATAGATTCAACAGAGCTATCGATTGTTGGGATTTCATCTCATCGGGGTCTGTAAGGTAATTTTCGTAGATTTCGAGAACAGCCTGGCGATCGAGGATGGGAAAAAGGGGAGACCATTCTTGGAAAAAAGTGTTGACCATCCTATCAGACTCCATGCGAGACAATACCTTCGGACCTCCACCGGGATGATGCTTCGAGTTGGGGGTGCGTTGAGTGCTGCTGTTGAAAAAAACCTGGGTCTTGAACGTCGGGCACTCTTTGTCGCACTCTTGTGTCTTGGCTTTGAATTCATCTAGCAAAATCAGAAGACAATATTTCAAAGAAGCTTCATATCGGACGTACCGACGAAAGAGCTGCCATTGGAATCAGCTGCAGAGCACGTTGTCTGTGACGCCTCATCAGGAGATACTTCGGAGTCTTGCGAATCTGAAGCTTCCACTTTTGGATGGATTGCGTCTTCGAAGCTAGTGAGAGATGTGGCATTGGTCGAGTTTGAAAATGTGCTCGATGGCCGATGCAATATAGGAGAGTGGGCGTGTATGCGGGACAGCATATCAATCTTTTCGTCCTTAGCGTCTAAGAGATCTTTCAACTCCTGGACCTCGCTTTCAAGAGCTCGCACTCTCTCCTCCAATGACTCGGTGTAACCTCGTGGAAATGCTCGCCGGCTCAATTTATCGCTAGTTTTGCATTTGAAGCCCACGTTTGCGCATTGCGTACAACAAGGCGTCGTGCCGTCACAACGGATTTTCTTGCTCCGACACCGGTCGCATGCTTGAGCAATGCGACTCTGCGCATTGGAGCCCACCTTGATCACTTTCATCGGAAGTATGCCCGGCATCTTGCTGGTTCATCGAACAAAGCAACTGGATGGTGCAGAGGTGAGAGTGATAGCAACAGCCCAGAATATAATAATCAGGGAAGAAGAGGGGTGGTTTTGCGATCGCGGCACTGTTATTGGCAATATTGAGTGTTTAGAGGGAGGGTGAAGATCTGATGTCACTGGCACCCATTCATAACTAATTGTGAATTTGGATGCATTGCGTATGAAGCAGGCACGATCCGAGCACAGCCGCGTCTCTGTTTGGCTGGTTTGCGGGTTCGGCAATTGCAATGGAAGGAAAATAAGTTCGGTCAGGCTTGGCAACACCTTCAAACCGGCACAGGGTCCAGGATGATTGGGCGGGAGAGTAGGACCATTTACTGCATTGCTTCAAGTGGTGGCAGTGGCGTCAAGCCAATGCAGCAGCACGCACGAGTCAGCAACAGCCGGTGCAAGTGCTTCCCACCAAGCTCAGGGGTGGGGCATAAACCCCAACCTTCAATATCCTTGGCTCTTCATCCGTCGGGGCTAGTCAGCCTATGAGATTGCGGGGAATCGGGCATGACAAAAAGGTCCACGTGCGATTGATCTAGGCCCAGATCGAGGCCACACCATCAAACATCAAAAGGAAGCTCCCTAAGACATTCGAGAACGACGCCACAAGAATCTCGATGAAAAAGGCCGACGCCGAGCACACTTTCTGTCCGCCTCCTACCATGAAGTCTGTATGACTGTACCTGGGAGGCGCGAGGCGGACGAGCTTTCAGTCAATCACACGACTCAATACGGGGCTAGAACATACCATGGCGCGCTTACGCAAAGTCATCCTCCGGACCAGTAGCCTCTTCCTGTGCTCCAAGGCCCAAATATTTTTGGACCACATGTGACTGCAGCAAAACACGTTTGCTTTCTTCGAAAGCCTCGTAACCCTCCAGAAGCAGACTCTGTTCGAGATCTCGCAACTCGATCGCATAGCCCTCGCGTTCTGCTCGGATCTCTCCGTCTTGCTGGATGGCCTGGACTCGCTCCTCGCTGTCTTTCAATCCTCTCAACTGCTCTTCAACCCGAGCTTGCAGGATCGCGATCGCTCGCAGTTGGAAGACGTCCCAGTTGGGCTCGACTTGAAGCATCTCTCGAATGCTTGCGGAGCTTACAAGGCTCCGCTCTTTCCAAGACATTTGCAGCTCTCTTTCTCCATCGTGGCTTTGTGCCACTTTAATGGCTAGACCATCTTCTTCGTTGATGCACAGCAGCCACACAAAGTCGGACTCCCAGTCGATGTGAGTATCCCTCTTGTAAAGGCGGAAACCAGGTGGAGCCTTGGAAGCCACTTTCTTTGCAGTTCCCAACGGGTCATCATTCATTGCATTCAAGCTCAGGAAAAGTTCTTTGGCAGACCTGGTTCCGTCTTCGATGAAACCATAGGAGAACAGCATTTCGCAAGCACCCTTGTCGTCTCCGTAAGTGATACTGACTTCATCGCCTACTGAGATCCTTCTACCATCCCTAAGAAGCAGGATTGCATTGCCATCTGCGTCTGTCTCGTATAAGGCAACTGTATTTTCTCCAGAAGCATGGTTGGCCATGTCGATACAAGGGACAGTTGCATGACCAGTCCCGGGTAAATCAAGGGCTCGGGATCTGTATGCAGCATCTACAAACTTCCAATTGTCCAAGGATAGTTCTCCTTCCTCGCCATCCCACCAGTGCCGATTGCACCAAGGAATGGCTCGAGTCGTATCATGCAGATGCTCGAACTCGCGCTCGAGACTCTGCAGCTTAGAGTTCAAGGCAGCATCCAGTGACGTTCCCTCAAGCAGTGCCCTCTCATCCTCGTTCCAAAACGTAGGGATACTGAACTCTTCTGGTAAGTACTTCACATATTGGCTGAAAGGGTTTTTCACCCCAATCTGTCCTTGTGTTGCATTGTGGGTTACCTGTAGAAGGAGGCATATCAATATTGCTCCTCGGGCTGTCTAGCCCTGTCAGTCAGAATACCCACGTATCTGCGGTGCGGAGTACTTTGGCCCAATCACCAACAGCCTCTAGTACTTGTGTCAGATGCTTGTCACATTTCGCATATACCCACACGTTCTCTAGAGAGAGGACAAGTTCGCGTGGAACTGTTAGAAGTATTGGGTTTTCATCAGAGAGTTGCCTTGTAGCGATCAACACAGACCCTCTTTCCGTAAATGTTGAGGAGACTTTGACCCCATTGAACTTGACATTGTTTAGATGGGCCCAGGCGTCAAGGTGGTCTATACCCAAAAAGGTCTCTTGTAGCATGTTGATGGGATGAAACAGTCTGAAGTTAGCCTTCTTGATCTAGAATCACTAGCGCGGCACTAATGTAGACTGCATCAATCATGACCTCATTTCAAGATTGAGATGACTTTGCATCCAGGACTTCTTCACCTTCATAAATAAGGCACCAGTATATTGCTCCCTACCCGGCCAATATGCTCAAGCCACGAAATAATTCCATGCTCCGCACACTACCTCGTCAACCCATATGCCGCCTCCCACTGACGTCTATTCGGCGGGCGGGCACTGGGACCGCTAATTGGGATGGGAGACAAGCGGACGAGCATATAACAAACCGTGATGATCATCTCAACGTCCAAAGCTCGGCATCAAAGTCTGGCCAAAAAGATCGATCCGGGGGTGAAGGGCATAGCCAAGCGACTACACAACAGGACAAGGGGAATCAGAACGAGCAGGCCAAGAAAGACCACCCGGAAGCGCCAGGGCCTGTCATTGGCATGAACGACGAAAGGGGAGGGGTAAGTGTCTTTACAAGTGTTTTGGCGAAGTCGGAGCTGATGTGAGGTCCTGTAGATGGGCCATAAAGGCTGAGCTAGATCGGGGATTCCGGCGTATTGCAATCGTTCGGCGTTCGAGATAAGTGATCCAAGGGGACAGCTATTGGCGGCAGTATGAATGCCAAAAGCGATCGCATGAGCATACACACAACGAGTGACAGCAGGATTTTCGAGAATACGTCGCCTTCGACAGTTCCCACCGGCTATCGACCGACTTTGTATGAAAGTATCTAGCATCACATTAGCATAAGCAAGGATCCTTCTCAAGATACCACTCACATCATTTTTGCCAATCTCGACAACCTCATCCTCACTCACCCTCACACCACCAGCACCCTCAACGTATGCCAATGGCGCATCTCCCATTACCTTCCTCGCAACATCCCTGATCGTCGTTCCCTTCTTCACCAGGACGCAGTCTCTAAACACAGCGTCATTGGAAGAGCTAGCGCCAAAGCCGTGTATATTCTTCACTGGAAAAACGGGCACCAGGCCCAGCAAATCCGCCGCTCTTGAAAGCACCTGCACCACGCCTGTTGAGCCGAAGCGGTATAGTACCATATCCTTGAGATTCTCAATCCTTGTTTTCAACTTCTCGTCCAACTCTTTCAAGCCACCACCGTCTGCCTCTCTCAATTCTATCAGATCCTCCCGTGTGTCCACAAATTCGCTGCCCTCAACATATCGCACATAATTCTGCTTGGCCAGCTTTCTCAGAAATACTTCCGATATAGCAGAGCAGAGCACAATAGAATTCGGATCCTGCATCTTCGCGATCTTCGCAATATTCTTGTCCGCGTCCGGATGATCAATCTTATTCAGCGCGATGACCGTAGGGAACTTCTCATCCGTAAAGGCATTCACGACCGTCGAGATCGTCTCTTGTGTCCAAGCCTCCAGCGGCTCTTTGATCTTCAGCTTGTCGAGCGTGCGTGCCACAATAGTCGGCGTAGACCCGTATCCACTAAACTGGTTCTGCAGCGTCTCGACAGGATTTGCCTCTGGAGATGTCAGCCCCCATCTCTCCGAAACATCCTCCCCCCTCCCCTCCCCCTTTTCGCACGACCACAACGTAACACAAGTACATACTAGTAGCAACATGCCTCCTCCTCACCCCACCCCACTTCTCCATCAAATTCCCCTCAATCCATCTTACCACCTCCCCCCTCAACCACACAATATCCTGACTGGGATCATACCCCCTAGTAGCCTTCCCCTCGGCATCCGTCGTCCCACTCACATCGACCACATGCACCAGCGCATCCGCGTGCCTCAGATCATCGAGGAATTTGTTCCCAAGCCCCTTCCCCTCGTGGGCACCGGGAACGAGGCCCGCGACGTCGAGGAGCTCGATGGGCACGGATCGTCGCCCGTTGATGCAGGAGCCGTAGTTGGGTTTGCAGCGTGCGGAAAGGGAGTAGCGGGCGCAGGCGCAGGAAATTTGGAGGTAGCCGATTGCGCGTTGGGGGTCGATGGTTGTGAAGCTGCGGGAGGGAGGGTTATGATTATGTGGGAAGCCGGAGGGAGTGAAGTTTGCTTACGGAAAGTTGCCTATCTTTGGTCAGTGGGAAATTGAGGCGAGGCACGTTTGGGTGACTGACCGACTTTGGAAGTTGCGTCTGTGAGACTGGAGGGGGATTAAAGCTATGTGGGTAATTGCGAATGTGGGTTGGCATACCTATTCAAGGTAGTGCTTTTGCCGGAGGATGGCTTTCCCACAAGGCCGATGAGGGGGTCTCGAGGCATGGTGGCCTGTATCAGCCTGATGTAAGCATGGGCGACATGGCAAAATGGGTTGAGTCTATGATGGAGCGGCGATCGCAAAATGATAGCCATAAGTATTCCAGCCACCCGATTGGCCCAAAAGCTGGGAATTAGATATATTCCAATATTTGCTTCTAGATGACCACCAATGCCTTCACCAAGCTTCCATGCTTTCCTCCGGGTATTGCAATCGCCTACTCTCTAGAGCCACCAAAACTGAGCTCCTCAAGGTGTCCCATCCCTCGACTCCCTAGCTAGCAAGACCAAATTTCTTTTTCCTTGCCTCGGATGCCAACCGATCCTTCTCACTCATCCAATTCGCCTTCTCTCCTCCCCCTCCCCCCCCTCCACCACCAGCTCCTCCCTTGTCTCCTCTTACCCTCGATCTCTTGCCACCACCTCTTCTCCCCTCATCACCACCCCTTCCCCTCTTCCTACTCCGTTCTGGCAGCGCCTGATCCAAACCCTTCACCTCCTGTGTCTGCGTCTCGGTCCCAAATTTCTTCGCCCGGTCCAGCGCTTTCTGCGCATCCTCGCTCTTCGCCTCCTCTTGTATGCCGAACCTCTGCGCGCGCTTTTGACGCTTTGCTATCTCGTCATCCACGCTCGTCTCTTGCAGACCTGAGGTGAAATCTGTTGCCGGCTTGGATGGCTCCTCTTTCTTGTCCTCGCTGTCTGCTTTCGGTGGGTCTACTTTCAGGTCGGTTGTTTTCGAGGGGTCGGTAGCAGTGGCTTGATTGGGTACTGCGGTTGGGTTTGGCACTTGGCCTTTTCCACCCGCCGCAATGGCTGTAGAGCCGGCCTCTGTGGATGCAGCGGCGGCGTCGGCAGTCCAGTCAACGTCGTCTATTTCATCGCTCTTGTCTGGTGAGGGTTTTACTGTGCTTTGACTCTCTTTAGATGCGTCGTTCTCTTGGAGGCGAGATATGAGGTCATCTTTCTTGCCTGTGTGGGGGAGGTTACGTGTTTTCAGGAGGTCTTGAAGTTCTGCGACTTTCTTTTTGGAGTAATCGGTCGCCATGTTCGCCGAGTGAATTTCTGGATGTGAGGATGGAGGATGGATTGAGAGGGAAGCTTTGGATTCTCGATGATGCGCTGGAGGTTATGAGCAAATCAATTTAGCTATGATAGTTGGAGACAAATAGAAAAGCATGTTGAAAGAAGAGTACACTGTTCAATCGCAATTGAAACAAGGAATGAATCCAATTGCGGTAATTGAAGGATGCCTTGATGCCACGCTAGCCGAAATCCTAGCCTCGCAGGCGATTTCAATGCCCCCTTTTCACCAAAAGAGAATTGGTCCTTCAAAATCACTTATATTCACAGCCCCTGGAAATCATGAGCAGAAGAATGGCATTACTCGTCAAGATATTGAATACTACCGAGTTCGCTGCGTCTGTTCGATCTTGCACCATGTGTCTACCATATCAGGGGCTCATTCGTCCTTCTACTTTCTATATGTCGAATACCCCGAAGACTTGCCTTGCACGTAGCTTGAGATCGTGCCTGCGAAAGCAACCGAATACATTTCTTTGGTTCATAGGCCTCTCGACCTGTAGTCCAACGCAAAGTTGGCATCCCACATCCTTGACGAACAATCGCGAGATGCTAGGAACTAGCTTTATGGCCAAGCTTAAAGCAAGCGAGCATTCTTCTGGATGTCATAATAGTTCTTGCTATGTCCTTTGTTCACAATGATATTCTTGTCCCATTGTCATTGATTCTTAGTCTCCATTATATCATTAAAAGTGTTGAAACCCCTGTTCCGTGTCCATACCTGCAGTCCACATTTGAGCAAATTGTTCACGTAGAAGATGTCAAACCAAACCTGCCACAAACCAACACTCTCTCACTCCTCCCCTTCCTCCTTCTCAGGGTCCCACTCCCTTTCCCCTTGGATACCCAAGGCATCCGCAAGAGCCACAAAGATAAGTCCCCAGTCCCTCCGCGAGCAAGCTTTTCAAATCCACGCGACTCGACAAGCCAAGAATATTATGAAGGCCTCACAAGTTCTAGGTGTCGAAGCGACAACTATTCTCCACGAGAGTAATTCAATTAATCCCACTCTCAAGCCTGGCACACAAGGACGAACCAAGAAGGCAAAGCCACATTGCCCAGCAAGCCATCCTTCGTTTGTGAAAGGCTTTAGTCATGTCACTGAGGGTCCACTTTGTATTTGTGCTGGTCCGCATTTTTCTACGTTCTCAGGGCAAGGGCCGAAGGCGACTGCTGAAGTGGGGCCAAATGATCACAGAGCAATAAAAGCAAGCCAACGGATGAAGAAAAGAAGGGTGAGCTCTGACACCGAACATGCTTCAGAGGCAATTGAGTTGCAAAAAGTGTCCAAGAATGAGTATGTGAGGAGCCAAAAGTCTGATAATCCGGAGCAAGATACTGCTGAGATAGTCTGTCAGCAATTGATTGACGCGCTGGGGAAGGACTATTGTGGTCTGAGAGATGAAGACATGGCAGGTGAAAGTGAAGGTGAGCCATTTGTCGAGAATGAGGAGCTCTGGATGTGCCAAGTGATGCGTGACGGAGAATTGGATACCAGAAGTGAGTCCGCCAAATTGGAGGGTATGTTAATGGGACATCAGTGTGAATCGGAGGCTGCGATCACCGAGATAGCAGGCAAGATGGATGATAGGCAAAGCGACTGCTCTTGGTTGAACCTCAAAAGTTAGGGCGCTGAGTGGCAGGATTCAGAGGACTCAGGTAATTGATAGCCATTGACAACTGAGAAGAGAATGGCAACTTCACTTGATGACCTCTTCTTCTAGTCTCTCTTTCCTGTCAACGATCTGCAAAGTGAATTCAATATTTAAAGACTCCGCATGTATAGGCTGTCCTCGCTCTAGACGATCTTCGAGAATCCATACGATGTTCAGCTGTGCACACTTAGCCATGATGTATGCAAGACTATTTTGGACGCTAGGCACTTGTTAGGCTGTTCTACACTTATCAACTCAAATATTTTGGTCTATATGGGCATGGTTCTTTACACGCCTTCAAAGAAGGATGATTTAGGATTGAAGCAATCCAGCAAGCATCCCTCCTCAGCCCAGGTGGTATCACAGGTGATCAATAATCCCATGCCCTTAATTCATTCGGCTAACTTCGTATCAGGGTTATCAGATCACAGGTAAATCGTTATGTGACCCGGCGGACTCTCTAAGTGAAGATATCATCTGGTACTCAAACTCTGCAGTATTTGTACTTTGAATACGAATCCCATCTGTTTACAGCTCGCTATTCGCAGAGTTTCTTCCGGCATCTGAAGGGGCTGCAATACTTCCGTGTGTGACCGTCGGTACAAGATTGGGGTCTATCTGAGACTCGATGAAAGAATCAGAAGATGGCCTTGAGCTGCTGGATATTGTAGAGGCATTGAGATCTGCCGCCACGGAGCGATGCGGTGATCCGGACCGCGGCAGATTTTCTTGTCTATGATATGATGCGGGTCGAAAGATCATGTCTGCTTCAGGAGGGGTAGATAGAGCAGCAGCCGATAAAGCTTCCAAACCCTTCGTACCTATTCCTCCATAGATTCCTTGCTGCATTCTTGGATCGTGCGGTCTTGAGATGGGTCTTTGAGTCTGTGGGCCGAGCTTGCCATCGCCGTCTTCTGCATTCAGATCGTCGCGATATGGATCAGTCGTATTGAAGAATGTCAGCTCCTTCGGAATGGCAACCCATGTAGTCTTGTCGTCAAACGTATTCTTGTAAGCGTAGAATCCATTCAAGCGTGCCCCATTTGAGTTGCTAGCATTCATCGAGGCATTATGTTGGTGGCGAAAGGCGATCCCGCTACATGGCTGGCAATCTCTGCCAGCCTTGCTACATTGTCCACATACTGGTTTCCTTTCGTCACATTTGAGCTTTCTCTGACGGCATGTCAAACTAAACAGACGTGAGCGAGCATAAGAGTCATACAGCAGATGATAGCTTACCAGCCGGTACGAGACCTCATGGCACGAACGTCCGGTAGTTCCGAACCTCGTTCATATTCGTTGTCTTTTGTGACTCTGCATTATATTGGCGGTCTTGCAGACGCATGAAGCCCGCGAGTGAATCGCAGTGACATGATTGAAGAGTGCAAGTGACCCCTCGGACAGACACAGCTCCGGGAGGGCCGGCCCTTTGCAGGCCGAGAGATTGACGTGAGCAAAAGATTTCGAATTGTATTTCATTTCATCTCAAATGACAGCTCTGTGAATGTGGATCATTGTTTACTATTTTTTTTTTTTGGGGTAGCTACTGCTTGCTACTTCTTGTTCTAGTATTCCAGAGCCTGTCCTAAGCTCAGGAGAATGCCATACAAGCTATGCACCGCCCTTTTCAATCATGTAGACTTGGGAAATGACATGCACTTCAAGTCCAACTCTACTGCAAGACGCATCGTAGCGTTTCATAAGCCGAGCGTCCATAACGATGTGTAACCGTGTGTAATCGCCTCCCTTGTTCCCACGCCATCCGCAATTCTCTAATGGGCCTTGGAAGGCAAAATGCATCGGCTGGATTGCTTTTGCGGTACCATGCTCGCTTTCAGCTACCATCCTCCCAAATGGTCTCCAAGTCTAAATCTCCCCTCCTCTCAGCTCCACATACACTCCATCTCTTCCGCTTATCCCTCATACTCCTACCAAGTAAGTCTGAGCTAGCAGTGGACTTTCGCCGAGTACGTTCTTCGGACTGCTCCTCTCTATCTGCTGCAGCTTTCAACCGAGCAATCTGTTCTGCCTCGATCTCTGCATCAGGCGAGTCGGGTATAGTTTCCAACGAAGATATGCTGGGTGATCTTGATCGCATCGATGAAGGCGTCGATGTAGCCGATGAGGACATGCTAAGCGTGGAAGGAAATGCTTCATTGAATTGGCCATTAGCTAAAGAAGGCGTAGAGGTGCTTGGTCTGAGTGAAGCTCTTGGCGTTAATGGTCCTTGTTGAATGTGACTAAGCGGGCTAGATGGCCGCCGTCTGCTTCTTGAAAATGTGTTGTGTGATGAGATGGATGGAGAACCTAGACTTGATTCATGATCGATGGTCGCTCGAGGTGTCACTTCTAATTCAGCATGCTCGGCTATTGTCTGGTCAATATCCAGATCATTGCCAAAGCTTGAGAAGGAGTCGTCTGATGGTCTCCTCAGAGGGCTTTGATGGCGACCGTACGGGCCAAGCGGCGACGCAGGGCGGGGTTGCGGAAAGCGAGGTGGGATATCTGGTATGGGAGAGGAATGGGCGCGGGCCATCTGAGGGGCACGTAGCACTGATCCAGAAGACCTGGAGCGCACATGGCCCCGGTTAAATGGCGAGCGAGTCCGTGGTCGGAGTGGGAGCGAAGATGAAATCCCGTTCACAAATGGTGAGGTGATTTTGGTAGGCTCGGGGGCTGTAGACCGTCTTGTTGTTATTGGCTTGCTGCCTTGGAAGGTATTTGACTCAAGCAGCGTATCGACAGGTGGAGGGGGGGTAGTGGTTTGTTAGCCCCCACGATTGGCTCTGAATGGCGAGGAACCATGTTCTGACAAGGATCATTGCATGTCAATGCTGCGCATCACCGTTCTTGCAGATGACGTGAGTCCTGGTCTTGATAGCTAGTCAGAGGGCGGAGATTCTATTTGGGGACGGCTCGAGACTGTGCGTTGTGTAGAAGGGAAAGCGAAGAGTTGTAAGAGCAGTTAAGTAGAGCTCAAAGGGCCTTTTGCAAAGACTCACCTTCGGCTTTGTCATGCCATAACAGTCAGCCGGCAGAATCAGATGATCGATGCAAGGATGGCGGGGAGTGATAAAGGGGCCCTTGCATGCCTTTTGGCAGGCGCTTATTCACGATAAGCGCCCTTGATAGGGGCGGCTGCAGGGATGTCGTGCCCCACGCCGCCACCCCTAATCTTCACCGTACTCATCGTCCGTAAGAGGGCCTTCCATTTGGATCCTGACCGAAAGACGGGACCTGAGGTACATCCTATCCAGTCAAATGTCTAGGATATTTGCTAGGGGACTGCAAGAACGGATACGTCAACCTTCGCCAGCCAAGCAGGTTTCTTTATTCGTGGTTTGATGCGCCTCCCAACTATTTCAGGGCTGAAGTCCGCGTACAGACGAACTTTTGACGGCGATCGCTTGCTATGACCAATGTATTCAGGGTAGTATGCCCTGGGTGACAGACAAGATCCTGTACGAGCCATCAGAAAGTAGATGCAGTTCTTAGTGTTCCAATGGTTTTTTTTAATTGAGAACAAGTAGGCAAAATCATCCTCAACAGTTTAGAGCAACGTTATTTAGTTCCAATTTCATTGAGACATAGAAAGAAAGAATCATCATCACTCTGCCCAAACTTCTTAGTGCTCTCAATCAAAAGTATGAAAATGCCAAGTGCTAAGTCACAATTTTTGTGTCCACATTATGCATCTCGAGTGGAAACCAGCACCGCCCATCACCATTGATACACGGATCACGAGGGCAACGATGCCCCGAGAAGCAAAGCTCGTCGTCACAATAAAGCCCCTGAGAACAAGGCGCCAAGCGTGCCACAACACGGAGAGCATCAAGCTTCTTCCCGTCAAGGGACTCCGAATGGCTGTGTTTACAATCAGAATAGTTGCAGACGCCTGCTAAATAGTGTAGGTTGCATAGCTTCTTCGGCTTCATCTGGCTGACGAGCGTTGGAGAAACCTTGATGGGCACGTCCACTCGTTGTCCTCTACCATTTCGAAAGACACCATCTGTCCGTTCCAAAGAGGGTGGAGTCGTAGCTCGAGTAACATCGTATTGCCATTCGGTAGAGTTGACCCTTGCAGTATCAGCCCAAGTTGATGGCTTGGGGCTCACCGATTTGGGTGGCGTAGTAGAGAAAGAGACCCTACGGGTAGGTATCTTCTCCTCACGGAAAATGCTTTTGAAAGAGGTTTTGCGGTATTTGTTGGCTAGATACACCATTTCTGCTGCGAAAGGTGCCCCTTCAAGCAATGTCACTCTGTTTCGGACGCCGATGTTGTTGCTGTACGGCCCAAATAGGCGTGCGTAACCGTTATCGGCTGATCCGCCAAAAATGATATGTTTGCACTGCATCTGACCAACATGGAGCTCGAATAACTCTGCTCAAGACTCAGCCATCTCACAGCAAACAGGTAAAGCTGGGTTGTAAGATTGCAATACGTGAAATCGATGTTCAGAGGCTCACCACGCAATTTATGGTCCGAGCATTCTTTGCCCGAACCAGCGTCAACAAAGTCACATAAAGGGTCACCCATATTGAACCCTCGCGCGAAACGAGCCAGACCATCAGCGTCTTGCAAGATCTCTAGCTCGCAATACCTCTTGCTGAGACCTTTAAAGTTGCAATATACTCGGACCAGCACTTTGGCTTTTTGATGAAGTTGAGGTAACTCCCGACGAACGTAGTCTGATGCACAATCTCGAAGCATTCGTGCGGCTTCTTGTCCACCGAGCTCCTTGGCCTGGATAAAAGAGTCAAGGAACTATTATTGTTGGCCTCATTAGCCTTTGACAGCACATTAGGTAAGCTGAAGGACGTGTGCCTCATGCTCACATTTGTACAATCACCATCAATCAAAACTGAAATAAATGTCGTACTATCCTAAGTTCGATCAGCTACCGGCAGTATAACATGATGTTGTCCATGTCAGAGGCATCTGACCAAATCATGATTCTTATTCTCGAGCTCCACGTTGACCTCTTTGAATCTTTTATGCCAATTTTTAGTATTTTCCTTTTCACGATCCAATTCTTCTTCAGTCTCGAGTAGCTTCTTCTGGGCTGATTCGAAGTCATTTAACAATTGCTATGTCGTATTAGTCCGAGAGCGGTGATATGGCTGCTTCATTTACTTCAACAAATCCAGCTCTAGCTTTCTCCCCATGTAGGAATTGTGCCCATTCGTCTTGACGCTGTAATGTGGTCGCCATTATGACCCATAGAATATAAGTACGTAGAATCGGGTCGGAGAATTTCAACTCGGATTTCCTGGTGGAAAAAGCAGACGAATGGAATAAGCAAGAAAGAACAAGAACCAATATTTGCACTTGCCCAGCTTCACTGCTGGAATAGCACTGCATTCGCTGTGTATGGGCAATAAGCACTGTCATTGGTGGCATCTCGGCAGGGTACTGAAGTATTGGGCAGCACCACTGCCGGAGATATGCAAGGTATGCGCTTGCTGCTACCTACCAAGCCAGATGCATAAGGCTGGAGGTAACTTGTGCCTAGTAAACCATTCTTTGGACAATACGACAAGACGGTACGCCCGAAGGAACCGCAAGTATCTGAAGTCAAAGCGCTGTGACTAATGAATTCCACCTCCTGTGGCCAGATACAAGGCTGCCTTCGGAAACCCGAACACTCGAAAAGGTGCAAGTGGATGTGTCTTGGCTTACTGGAGGACTTTGGTCATTAAAGCATCATATAAGGCTGTCACCGTGGCTAGCTTTCTTACGAAGCAGTGTTCTTTGCGACTGTTATCAACGTAAGGACAAGAAGGCTAGTTTCGAAGGAGTCTCTGGGCCGTCGCCTTCCGTTATCAACTTCATCTCCTCAGACAGTGCCATTCAAAGTGCTTTCGATCAATTAAGTCAAACAGCACTCTAAAGGGCCTCCCCCAGGCATTTGAAGAGCGAATATCAGCTTTTAGCTGGGACTGAGGCACTTAAGTTGAGTATCTGCTTTATTTAGGCGAGGATTTGTGGTTAGTACTTAGATGCATTAGTGGCTAGCAATATGTGAGATATGAAATTGAGTGCAAAGACTGAAGGCTCATATTGGACCGAGATCAATGGGGAAATCGTGTCTAAATATGCTGCTATGATCTTCCCTTAGGAGCAACTGGCAGAGACAAAAATGCTTGCGAGTACCCCTGATGCTTAGTCATTCACATCACATAGGGCTGAGGCTGAAAGAAAGCATGAGATCAGTCCACAAGAAATTCGGAGCTTGGAGCTTTTTGAGACCATGACTACAACAACAATTGAGGCCAGCCAGGCGAACTCTAAGAAAGAATCACTATACATTGTGCCTACCTCTCAGCCAATAAAACTGCTATCGACGGATACAGCACGATATTATACGCTCATACATCCTGCGATTGTGCTCGGCTTCTTCCTCTTGGGCTTCTCTAGTCTCGTTCATGACCCAGTGACCCACCTTGCATGGGCAACAATCCCCATTGTGCTCTTGCAGACTGCGTACTGCGTAATATGTCTTCCACCTTCCAATGGCAGCTCCACTGCACCCCACCCGTCGAAGACTCCGAAACGAAAACGGGTTCAATTCGCAAAAACGCCGGCGACGACAGGCTCAAAGATCATTGTGAGCTATGCTTTAATACTTCAATGCTTTAACAAAGTCCATCACTGATTTGTGCGATCCCACAGACCGCGATCCTTTCCCTCGTGCTTACCCTGTCCTTGGGTACTCCGCTACTCAATGTCATACTCGTCCTCCATGGCGCCCCATTCACGACACACTTTTGGCATAATGCTTTATGCGCCACACATATGGCCTTGTTAGGAGTATATCCGCTTTTCTACGTGTATGGAGTCAACGCCCGCATCTGGAGGGAGATCTCTGGGGCATTTCTGCCATTCGATGAGGTTTGGGGAGCTACCGTAGGCACAATGGTTTGGTTACATTGGAATCCGATATGGTGATATTTGCTGACGCGTTTGGTAGCTGGGGGCTTGGCTGGGGGCTGTACCCATCCCTCTTGACTGGGACCGGGAGTGGCAAAAGTGGCCAGTCACCATTGTTACCGGTGTATACCTAGGGTGGGCCGTTTTTCGATTATTAGGGGTATATGTGCTAGTTGGGAAACGAATCGATCTCGACGTATAAGCTAATCATCGTTCTACTTGAGCCACAAACCATGAGCTGGGCTGATACACGTTCAACGCTATCTGATCATCATGCAATCATTACGTCACGCACTGTATGGACTGGTATACTGAATTCACTCTCCAACCAGGATGGCTGCTGGTGGTTTTGCGAGACTGACTGCAGGGTTCACTTGTGGCTATGCACGAAAAGCACGTGCGCCCAGGGTTACACGACCAATTAATCAGCAGTAATCGACGTTCGCCAGTGAATCAAGTGGAAGGAGGTGCTCAGAGATAAAAAACCGCTAGCCAGCCGCGTGGTCACCATCGATATTAAACAATTCACAAAGGTTCGGTCCTCAGGATGCGAAAGATTGTCATGTACGTCGTGACCAAAGCCTAATAAATGCGTGGCCTTTGGTTTGCTATTTTGGCCACGGCTGCGTCTTTGAATTCAAACACCAACCAGACGATCAATGAGGCATTCCCCCAGATTGCAACACTTGGGCGACGCCCTGCCACTCGTCTAGCGCCATCACTCGGTGGAAGAGATGGAGAACGATGCTGCTTGGTGGCCGTTCGGAACTCTCTCATCGTTGACAATAGTATCCTAACCCTTCATAATTCGACCGATGTCAGCTTCAATAGAAACACAGATGACTTCAGACAAGCCCAATTTCCATGTGAGTACAGTTCTTGCGTTCAATCTATCTACCTCTCGATATCGGTTTCCTTCGTGCCATCATTCATTTGAAGCCACAATGTTCACCTATCCTATGCTTGGGTAACCTGCCCTCTTTGGCGCAGGATCATTTCACGCCTTCTCCTTATTCATTTGCTAGCTTGTTGACATCCACGACTCCTAGGTGGGGCGGAATACATCGGCAATGCAGGCGGAGCGCCGCTTGTGAAAGTGTCGCACTCCTGGTGTAATTCTCATTGTAGTGGTGAGTTATGTCTTTGTATCTAAACCTCCCGTCCCCTTTGTCATCTATCTGACCTACGTTCAGGCTGGCAGATCTCGAAGACCAAAAAAATAAATGAATGGGTCAGCCCTCTTGTAGGCTTTGTCGTCCCTGCAATAGTTTTCTGCCTTTCCATCCCGCGACGACGCAAAATCAATATTCCTGACACCCTCTTCGATGTTCCGCTTGGCGAAGTGGCGTCTGCTATTCGGACGCCTTTCATCGTTATTGCCGCTGGATTGCTCGCTATCCTTGACACAATAATATGGCTAGTAACTGTATTCACTCTGGCGGGCCCAACTCTCTTAAGCGGCATGTACGAAGCAACCCTCGATAGCCGAATGCTCCAGTACCTCGATGAGAAAATAACGAATCATCGACTTTCTGTAGCCCAGCGAGCACACCTTGCACTCATTGTATTGGTAGGCAACCTTGACATGCAATTCGATCCAGATCGAGAAGGTGACTAGACTTTCCTATTTTGCCCTGCTTGACGGATTCTTTGGAATACTGCTGACTTGTCTAAACCGCCTCAGGTGGTGACGACACCCCTTGGAACCAATTGATTAGACAAGGAAGCCTAATTGCGAGCCTTCAGCCAGTGTTGAACGGCAACCAACTCACAGTCAATGATCATAGCGTCGAGAGTGCAAAGACCAAATTACGGACCATGCTTGCGGCCCAGTACAGCTTTGGGGTGACAGTCGGAGCGCCTGTTGCTTTCTAACTCGGATCGTTTTTCTACACCTTGATTGATAACTTTGCCAATCTTGGTGATAATAACGTTTCACATGCCCTCGCTTTTGGTGCATGGTGGATGACGATTCCGCACGTTTCGATATGTTGTGGGCTCTTGCTGGCCGGAAATAACCCGAATACTTTAGAAGGAGTTGTGGGCGAGCCTACTGCCAGATACGCCGCCCTCACGATCTGCAATTTGCGAGCCCAAAGATTTCTTGCCTATACTGACGACTCACGCTACCGCCCAGCATGGATATGGCATCGGGGTCGAAGCAAGCGAGTATGGGCACATCGTCTTAGAAGGGATTGGGATCAACGTCATGGCCGTGGTACTGCATTTCCGACGTCAGACTTTGGATTTAGAATCCACATGAAAGCTGGTGATTGGGCTTGGATCGCCTTCCTAGCCTACTTGATGATTGTCATTCCGTCAACCTTGGCGCTTTTGACGTCCTATTACACACCATTGGTGGGCTTGAGCTGTCGTTCAATGACCTTCCTGACCTACATGCTCAGTCAAATCGTCCTCATAGCCCTGTGGATCTGCGATATCGAGGGCACCTTTTTACACGAAGGAAAACCTCACCACCCTTGCACTCGCCTCCCGTGGTCTCAAGATCCCCTTTGTCCCTCGTGGCAAGCTTACGCCTGGTATACTACGGCCTTCGTAGCCGGATCGGCCGCCATATTCATGACTATTGGTGGTACTATGATGCAAATAATGGGCGTTTTCCGAAATTGTCTGTGTGCTCTACCGCTTAAGTATTGGCAGAACCCAGGTGATATTATGATTGTGATTAGCAGCAATTCAAAAGACGAGATACACTACGCTCGAAACACTTGGGCCGGGACAGGAGCTGGTGCTATCGCATTCTTGGGCTGCGTAGCCTTTCTAGGGTGGTGGTACCAGAAACGTCTGAGGTATCAGTTCAAACTCATTATCAGCAGGATCGGAGACAACGCCGAGATCTATCCTTAAGCCTTGCAGATACACGAGCCAATGGCACATGAACGGCGTGTCATTCTGCTCTCATTGCGTGTAATCCGCGTTATCAATCGCGCGTTACTGGCAATACGGGAAGCTGGCTAATTCTGAGACGCGTGGCATTCGGCTTGAACAGTTAGGTTTGATGTTGCTCGATTACGGCACACGTTATCGGACATTTCTATGTAAAACAAAATGCATAATCGATAGTCTGATCTCCCCTCTATCTCTTGCCCTTCCGCTTCTTGGGCCCCTTGCCAGCCGTAGAACCAGGAGTCGCCGGCCCTCCACCTTCGACAAGCACCGTATCCTCATCACTGCCTACCTTATCACTCGCAGCGGCCGGACCAACCTTGGGAGCCTCAGTTCCAGCTGCATCGTCATTCAACTCCTTCATGAATTGGGACTGCACACTTGCCCGCTCTTGATCCCACCACTCCCTGTCCTTCCTTCCTTTTGCCTGAACCCCGACGATTTTTTCCCGAATCGTGGCATTGTTCACCATCTCATTCGCAGACTGGAAGATCACTTGGCCCCAACCCGCTTGTAGTGCATTTGCCTAAAAGTTTTATTAGCTTCCTCTCTCTCTCTCTTGAACACTAAAAATTCCCAGATAGGCGACTATGCAAACCTACCTCCTCGACCACATCCCTCAATTCCGCCTCCACTTCCTTTTCCGCCCTTAAAAATCGCTGCCAAAGCTCATCGCCTACACTTCCCCTCTGTAACAGCTGTGACAACGGCCCCTTCGCGTTTCTCACTTGCAACACCCTCTTGATATCCTCGCAGGCGCGCTGCAGTAAAGCGGCTTTCAAGACCGAGTCGGGAACCGTGGGAGCTTTCTCCTGCTCAGGGGAAGGCTCCAGATGTAGTAGGGAGAGGTAAATGTTACGTTGAAGGTGAGGGGGAAACCACGGAGATAGGGAGGCGGCGGAGGCTGGCGAGAATGGGGGTTAGCTGGGATAGGGGGCAGGAAAGGGAATGGGAGGGGTGGGAAAAGGGCGAACGAACTAGCTTTTCGTCGTCGGTAGAGAGAGGAAAATGTAGCGAGTGAGCCGACGAGTATTGTCACGTAGGCGATAGGGAGGAGAAGGCCGAGCCAGTTGACCATGTTGGCGAGTTGTTTGCGGAGGTGTTGGTGTGCGGTTGGATTAGCTATGAATTCTTGGGTGTGTGTTCATTCTCGTGATAGCCTCAGATCATTTGGGTTTACATGTCGAACCTCAATTTTCCGGTCGTGCACAGTGTCATGCTTGAGCATAAAATGCGACTTTGGCTACAAATCTTTTTTTGGGTTTCGAACACGTTTCTTTGGAGCGAGCGCCGGGTAACTAAGGTTTCAGACTTTGGGGGGCAAACGGCTGCCGTAATGGCGGCGAATGACGCGGTAGAGGTACCTGAATGCCTCGAGCTTTCGATAAAACACTTCATATGATGATACTACACAGGAATTTGTCAGCATTCCGTGCTACTTTACATGGATAATATACTTCGCTGTAGCTCGTGCCAGCATACTCTTACCATCACATCTCTGCTGACGGCATCATGCCCGCCGCCAAATCTATGATCCTACGTTTCCAGAGCAAGAACGGCCAATTTAGGCTATCTGTTGATCCTGACACACATTTTACAGGCCTACTCTCCCAGGTCAGTAAACAATCTTCGCTTCTCACCTGGTCAGGAACTTTCAGCTCACTTCATATCTAAGATCCTAGATAATCTACCGAAAGACGTCGATTCGCAATCCATCGTACTATCAAATAAGCCCCATGATGGGGAGGAGAGGCTTCTGAGCTCCCTTAGAGGTGTGCCTATAGCAAGAGTTGGTCTTCGGTATAAAATGCGACTGCCCCGAGGACTAAGCAAAGTACTAATGATTGCTGCAGGCATGGAGACCAGTTGTTTCTCAAGTATGATACACAACCTCCAATAAATGGCCACGCTACCGTACCCCTACCCTCACAAGCACAACCGCACAACTCTTCAAACAGACTGAATGGCCAGCCAATCTTACCTACCGAAGATCCTCCTCTCATCGACCCCACTCCTCAATCTTCAAGCACCGAACCTGGTAAAAGTCCTTGGGAGACTGTCCAGCAATCCGAGCTCGACAACCGCCTCGACAGACAAGATGGGAAGATCCAGCGGCGGAGAGATGAAAAGATGTGTAGGCACGGTCCGAAGGGAATGTGCGACTATTGTATGCCCATGGAACCTTACGACCCACGCTTGTTGGAAGAGAGGAAGATCAAACTTCTGTCCTTCCACTCCTACCTCCGGAAGATCAACTCCAAGACGAATAAACCAGAGCTCAAGCAGTCTTACATGCCACCGCTAAGTGAGCCCTTCTACCGTGTAAAGCTTGATTGCCCCTCCGGCCATCCTTCTTGGCCCGACGGCATCTGTACCAAATGTCAGCCTAGCGCGATCACTTTGCAAGCACAACCCTTTCGAATGGTAGATCACGTGGAATTTGCCTCACCCGATCTCATCAACACAATTCTAGATTTCTGGAGATCCTCCGGCGCACAAAGAACTGGGTTTCTCTATGGTCACTACGAAGAATATCACAAGGTCCCCCTCGGTATTAAGGCTGTCGTGGAAGCGATATACGAACCACCCCAAGTGGATGAGATAGACGGCGTTACATTGCAGCAATGGGATAATCAGAAAGATGTCAACGAAGTTGCACGATTATGTGGGTTAGAGCAAGTCGGAGTCATCTTTACAGATCTAATTGACGCTGGTACTGGAGATGCTAAAGTCATTTGCAAGCGTCACATTGACTCATTCTATCTTTCATCTTTAGAAATCGCTTTTGCCGCTCGGTTGCAGGCACAACATCCTAAAGCTACCAAATGGAGCGATTCTGGCTACTTTGGATCTAATTTTGTTACTTGTGTCATAAGTGGAGATGATGAAGGCCAGATCGCCATCACGGCATATCAAGTTTCAAACTCGGCCGTTGAAATGGTTCGAGCAGACATCATTGAGCCTTCAGCGGAACCTGGGGTGATGCTTGTTCAGGATGAAGAAGAAGTCAACGAAGCTGTAAGCCGTACACGGTACATTCCCGAGGTCTTCTATCGGCGCCTCAATGAGTATGGTGCAAATGTGCAAGAGAATGCGAAGCCCAGCTTCCCAGTAGAGTACCTACTGACGACACTGACTCACGGCTTCCCCACGGAATCTTCGCCAATGTTTAACAATTCCCAATTTACTGTCGAGAATCGAGAAGTGATTGGGCAAGGTCAGGAACTCAAGAATGTGTCTGAGCAGCTCGGCGTCAAGAACCAGAAAGGTATCCAAGCAGTCTCCGACTTTCACCTCCTCTGCTTCATTCATAACATGGGTGTTCTTAGCAAGGTAAGCCTAACTCCCGTCTGTCTTTATTTCCATGATTGAACACAGCTCTCTGCTTAGGAGGAAGAAGCCGTCCTTTGCCGAGTCGCACGCACACACGATGTTGGTGACGGATTCCAGCTTCTGGAAACCCCTGGTTGGAAGACACTGCTTGCAATATTGCAAGAGAGCGGTGAGAGACCCCCAAGCGTCCGTTGCCGTCATCCTCGGATCCCCGCGCAGGACATGGCGAGGGCGTCGCTGGCGACCAGCTTGCTAAGAGGTTCAAGGGAGCTAGCTTAGGGTAGCCTTTGCCCAAGCAACTCGCGGACAATTTGGGACACTTGTCCCCCCTTCTTATGAGTAGAGGACGACAAAGTCCGTCTCAATCAGCATCCAAGCTTGACGAGACCACGATTCCGATGCCTCCAATCAACACCACCATAAATCATTGCCAACCTCCTGAGGATGCCATTTCACGACTGGAATACTGGAACACCACTGCCATGAGCTTGGGCCTAGTAGGAAATATTGCGTTCCGCGGCGCTTCGCATCGATCTGTTTTTGGGTGAGCAGAGGGTTTTCGCGCAACTTGGTCTAGAAGGCGATAGGCTCAACAACTTATTTGTCTGAAGAAAGCGGGTCGCGTTGACATTGATAAGTCAAAAGCCCAGACTGTTGCTCAGTCTTGAAAGCCCATCGCCGTGGCATGCCATTTTTTCATTTCCTTCATGTACGATGGTCTTTTCATTTAGTGCGGCGATCGTTTGTCTATCTCCGTGTGTCCTCGCTCTGTCATCTCAGCGATCTCAAAACCTCGGATGTCAGAAAGGCTTCGTCAATGCCTCCAACTTTATGGAATCATGCGTGATGGCTGAGTCGTGGAATCCATCATTCAAAGAGTTGGGTCCAGATTGCGAAGCCGCAGTGCAACGTGCGTTTATGTTTTATATCCCTCTCTTCTACCTCCTCTTCTGGTCAGCGTTCGACTTGACAATCGGCTATTGCACACGTCCTTATCACCTTCAAGTCTTCCATATCATACAAGACGAGGGAAAATAGCAGCAGCATTCAACCAAGCTGCTAGTGTTTCCCTTCAACAAGGAACCTAACGATTTCAGTGTTCCAAGAAGACATCCCGAGCTACGGTCTCGACCGCGGCACCTTCACCTACTTTTCACCTATAACCACCCTCGAACCCTCCAAATCCTTCGCAAACTTCCCAAATGCCCCACGTCAAGACCATAGACTACTCAAGCTACCTAAGCGCTATGAGAGCGGGAGCTGCGTCGTCGCTGTTGTGATGATGAAGATGTTCCAGTAAATGTCCTTTCCCTCTCACTCTTTTTGACTCCCCACTCTCTTTTCACACTCACCAATCAAAGGAGAGAAAAAATATTGATGATGCATGAGCTGATACAGTTGGGATTTTTAGGGATGTAGCCCATGAGCAAGTCGCACAATACCACTTCCCCTGCCTCGACCCGGCCTTGATATTTGGAAATAGGGATGAAGTCTCCTTGGAAGAGCTGTGGGATTTGGTGGAGAATGTACGCGCGACTTGTCACAATGGGTGTGGGTGAGTGCTCTCTCCCCCGATATCCAATTCACCGAGGAATAAAATATGTGCCGGTTCCCGGAATGGGTAGAGAACGAGAGGAAGAGCGAGTGCTATTGATCATTGTGCTGAAAGGGGTTACAGATACGGCATCTCCGGCCAACATGGAAACGTGGGGGTTGTAAGCTGGTTCAAGAGTTCGTACTGGGATCACTTTGTTGCGGAGGCGGAGTGGACTAGTGGCGAAGGTGAGCTTCACACAATGGGCAACAACACGGCCTTAGTGTCGTGATTGGACGGGTAGGTTTTTGAGCTTGATGTCAGATGTGCTTGTTTTATGAATGCACCACATCTATCCTGCAGTAACAGGATAGGTCGACATTTATATTTCTTTCTCTCTACTTCCTTAACAGAACTACGGAGTGAATGGGTATTTGCTGGCCGTGTATATTGCGGAAGTGGGCCTGCTTCGTCTTGAGTCGACGTGATAAGCGCAGTCCAATTTTAGACGGCACAGTGACTGGAACTGGCTTACAGGCGTGTCTTAGATACATTCGTCTCTATCAGTGTTTTCTCGATTTTGTTTCCCCAAAATGCTCATTCACACAGTTCTCGATGACCGTTCCTCACTCTGACAAGACTTTTGTTATCATCGCAATAGAAGCATAATGATGCCACTTCCGGGCTATCTGCCCAGCTAAATTAGGACCATGTCAAGCTTGCACACGTGGGCGATACTTCTTGCCATATTCCTATCATGATCCCTTGTCGATGCTCTCCCTGAACCCCTCTACACAATGGAGACCATCGATATGGTCAATATCAGTCTCACCAGGCTAGCCAGAGAGTCTATTCCGGGCACAGACTTCCGACTCGAAGGACATTTCGAGATACCTCGAGTTGCTTTGCATGAAGCTTTGACAAGGATTTTGCTCTTCGACCGCGCCACCGACCTTCTCAGCCTTTTTGAAAATTTAATCGAACCTGAGGACGCGGGTAATTGGGCTACCTCTGTCTCAATCGAGCCGATACTTTCTTAGTCTATCCGGATACCAGCCAAAGTTGCAGCACAGGTCATGTATACGCTGGATGACTGTCTTCTCGTCTATGGCTTCGCTGCGTTGAGCTTCAATATCGTTCACTCAAGTGGACCAATTGCCATGGGGCGGTTGTTTCCAATTCGCGGGATAGCAAAAGCGAGGCCAAATAGTACTGATGCGGCCTCCTTCTGACATGAATTACATCGGATGAAGCGACAACAAAAGAGAAGCAATCTGTTCTTGGCCAGAAGAGCGCAGATTTTCCGCAATAAAGCAGCTCGAGAGGAAAGGAAGACAATGAGACGAGAGACGCAAATGTAATGTCAGACCGCGCAGCAGATATAGCTAGCAAGTAATGGGATGAGCGTATTTGAGCTACATAATACGTTCACAAGAGAGGAATATTTTGAAGCTGATAGGAAGAAGGATAGACTAATTCACAGACCTGAGAACGTCAAGAAAATGAAGCTTGTTCGTGCAATGGCCTGACACGTACTGCCTCCCTAGGCTGATTGAACGGCACAGATCATGACCTCAGACCTAGTAGCAGCCCTGTTCCCTTACTATTCTTATCGCCTCCTTCACCGGGCAGATATGTAACGTTCGGGTTGTTCGCCAACGTCTCTGCGATAGCTCTCCTTGCCTCAATCTTTCTGATCTGAAGCAACCCATCACCGTTCTTAGCAATGGCCCTCGAAATCGCTTCAGCACTCTCTGCTTCTCCCTCGGCCCTGATGACATTTGCTTGCCTTTCTTGCTCAGACTTCTCCACAATGAATCTTGTTCTTTCGGCATCCTGCTGTGCAATTTGCTTCTGTTCGACAGCTTTGGTGAATTCTCTTCCAAAGGTCATGTGCGTGATTGATACGTCCTCTAGAGCGATATTGAACTCGGAAGCACGTCGGAGTAGGTCAGCTCGGATTCGTTGTGAGACTGCTTCTCTTTGTGTGATAAGTTCTGCAGCATCAAATTGCGCGACGATGGCCTTGAGAACTTCGTTGCCTATGGAAGGGAGAACACGCTCGTCGTAATCGAGGCCAAGGGACTAGAGATGTAATTAGCAACAGCAAAGAGAGGGAAACACAACTTTAAAAGGGCATTATACCTGGTATATCTTGGGAAGCATCTTGACCTCAGGTCTATGCAATACTCTGAGCGTCAAGCTCACCATCTGCAAGTCTTTGCTACCGGTCGTGGTGCTGATATTCCTTGGCTTGGTCCGGACATCGTAAATGATAGCCTTTTGTAGCCATGGAATAAGGAAATGTGTCCCCTCGTTAGAGACCTGCTCCCGAACCCCAGATAGCCTGTCAAAAATCACAGCGCGAGAACCACCCTTGACATCGTAGAGAGAAGCTTGTGCAAGCGAGCCACCAATAAAAATTGGAATAGCCCACCTTGATAGGACTTGTAGACCTCTCTCCATTTGGCTGATTTGGGGAAAGGAGAATCTCAAGATGGATGAGCTGTAGTCGAGGAGCGGCGGAAGACGGTACTGAAAATATGCAGTCTCGATTAGGTCTAGCGCACCTCGATATTGTCCGTTTGCCGCAACCTGTCGACGACCATCTACTCCAAATATACCACAATCCAATCAGCTTGCAAGTGTCGAACCGCCCGAGAAGCACGTTCGAGGTTCTCAAGGAATTATGGGGGGAGGGAGTGAGCCACTGGATACTAAGCACGGCCAGTATGTGCAATGCGCCCTTCAGCAATTGCTTTCCCCGACATGCTCCCCTGCGATGAGCTCCCTTCAAGCTCTTTTGACTTCTCCAGCCCTTCTCACGTTCGGCAATTAATAACGTGATAGATAATATACTGACTTGACTTCTACAGCTACATTGGCGGCTGGGGCAACCTAGGTACTTTACCCATACCTAATATCCATATTGACCCCTCTCACATGGGCGGCTCTGCTCGACAAATGCTCCACGAAACCTGGATGAAAATCTATCGCGCGGCGACTAATAAGTCGAAACAGGTTCTCAACCACAAAAAGGAGTGACGACCTATGCTCTGTCCGCTAATCGACAACGACCGCTCGCGGGCACTTTGAATGCAGCTGTTTTCAACACGTGGCGAAGATTCAAGGCGCAGGCACTTTATGTTATACCCCCGCTTGTAATAGCATACTCGGCTATGAATTGGGCAATAGAGAAGTACGTATGACGGAGCGCTCGGTGCGGAATCACTTAGATGCTGATACATGTTCAAATAGGAACGAACATTATAATTCAAAACCAGGTAGAATGGAAGATGAGCAGGCGGCGAAAGAGGCCACGGCAGGTGGCTCTGTCAGAGGATAGGATTGTATTATAGACCACTTTGTACTTGCAAAAAAGAGAAGCATTACACACTCGTGCCTATCGTGTCTCTTATCACTAAGGGCTGAAATTGCTGGGATCTGGGACCGGCCTCTATTTTTCATTATAAGAATCGTCGTCACGAACCTAATCCGCATGTATTACTGCAATCTACGAACATTTGTAGGATTCATAGACCAATCTGGAAAGCGACACCAGATTTTCATGACAGTTTCGCAGCGAATACATTATTAGGCAGCCTGGCAGCGGTGATAGCCGTCTCGAGTGCGATGCCTCCGATCCAGAGTTTTCTTCTCCAATGGCGTGAAGGGTAGTAACAATCTGTGATATTTCCTCTGCTCCGGAGGGTCCGGAGAATTCTCGATGCTAGCGCATGTCATGCCGGTCCGCTCACCAATGAGCCCAGGAGCTGAGCACCTAACAATCTTCAGGGTTCTCACAGCACCATGACTTCACTCCGTCGAACTAACCTCCCAACTTCTTTTGCTCCGGTTCCTGACCGTCGAGGTCAGAAGGGCCGCGCCGTTTCATATGGGGGGGCAGCAGCTATTCTACCATCTCGATCGGCCCACGGTTCAAAGCGTTGATACTTTGGGTGTTTATACTAGGTTAGTACATACGGAGGGATGAAAGGTTGTCCAAGCGATTCCCAACCATATATAATAGTGATGTATTGTTTCTCACTCCTTTCCTATTCCCAAAATTTCCATCTGCGTTTCCTCACCAAAAGGTACCCGAAGCAGTGCATCCGCCACTGCAAACCAAGAGTGCTTTTTCCTCATCTCAAATCTCTTGCATTCCGCTTTTTGCGACCCTAAGACTCCTGGTCTACATCGTGCGCGCTCTTCCAGGGATATCTATACACTCTGGTTGCGCTTGACCCGCCAGGTTTGAATTACACCTTAAGGAAACAGAGATCCATCGAATAAGAGAGCATTTGAGGAACTCTAAAAACGCCAAAAATGACTGTCACAAACGGCCTCGGCGTTCTTGAACCGCCACAGAAACTTCATCGTCTCTCCTCCGCTGACGTGAAAGTTGAAGACCTACACCTTGGCCCTGCAATAATAGTCCCACCAGAAAAAATGAAGACACCAGGAGATGCCCACGAAACCGCTGCCGCCTTGGAACTTGCAAAGCATAGACTCTCACAGATTGAAGATGGACAAGTGGTGTCCTCTCCGGGAACCCCTCCAGAGTCAGACGCTACCGACACTTTTGCTTTTGCATTCGATATCGACGGCGTTCTTCTGAGAGGAGGAAAGCCTATCCCTGAGGCAATAGAGGCGATGAAGGTGCTTAACGGTCAGAATGACATGGGTCTCAAAATGTGAGACTCCTTCAATGTTCTCTCAGCGGATAGCGAAGGGCTTCTTCTAACAATTTGTAGCCCTTATATCTTCCTTACGAATGGAGGAGGAAAGACAGAGCAGGAGCGATGTCTAGACCTTAGTCGACAACTACAACTTGAAATATCACCTGGTCAATTCATTTGTGGCCATACTCCTATGCGGGAGATGGCTGAGAAATATGAAACTGTGCTTGTCATTGGTGGAGAAGGGGAGAAATGTCGGCAAGTCGCGGAGGGTTACGGCTTCAAAGACGTGGTCACCCCTGGCGATATCATCAAAGACAACAAAGACACAACACCTTTCCGGAAACTAACAGATGAAGAAACTAAGAATTCTCGGGTCCGAAATTTTGGAGAGCACAAAATAAATGCCATCTTTGTCTTTGCAGATTCAAGGGACTGGGCTGGGGACCAGCAGATTATTCTTGATTTACTGACATCGAAGGATGGTGTGCTGGGGACTCGATCCGAAACATTCGATGAGGGTCCGCCAATTTACTTCTCACATAATGACATGATCTGGTCAGCCGCTCATGAACACACACGATTAGGCATGGGCGCTCTGCGCGCCTCCATCGAAGTATTCTACGAGAAATTGACGGGCAAAGAACTAAAGTCGATAGCGTTTGGCAAGCCTCAGATTGAGACGTTTGAATTCGCTACAAGGCTTTTGCAGCAATGGCGAAAAGACACTCATGGCATCAACAAGCCACCGGAGACAGTATACTTCGTTGGTGACACCCCTGAATCGGATATCAGGGGGACCAACGAGTACAATGACTCAGATCGATCTGAGAATACCTGGTACTCGATCTTAGTGCGGACAGGCGTGTTTCGCGAAGGGACGAAACCACGCTTCACACCCAAGGCGACCGTTGACAATGTGCTCGAGGCCGTTCGACATGGCATTAAACGTGAGGCGGCAAAGGCACAGAAGGCCAATGTTTCTCACGGCGCCCTAAATGGATCGAACGGTGTCATCGAGGAATAATTCTGCAACCAAGCTCCTTATGAAAAATGAGATCTCCTCAAGAGAGTAGCTGGAGGCTACGAAATAAAATGACTTTCCTTGCTCGAGTGTGTTATTTTTATTATGAGGATAGAGATATAATACCCATGGGGAAATTCCCCCTCAATGTCGATAGACACAAATCGGTCGAATTGCAAGACCATTGCAACACAAGATCTAGTCAAACTAAACCCTTCTTCATCCATGTCTTCCGGATCCCTGTTTGACGGATTGATGACCCAATTCCAAGGTTTGAGCTACAGGTGGTGACAGAATTGTGGCCCCTTGGACGGTGAGAGTGGCTCCCGTGGCGTCGGTCCAGACCGAAGCAACCTCATTTCATTTCCTTCCTTTACCTTTATGGTGCTTTCCATTGTTTGCTACGGGCTTGCATGTGCGTCAAAAACAGTCAAACGGTCGCTAGTGGATATCACTCGGTCGAGCTAAGGCCCACAACGAGTCCGAAGTACTCCGTTTTTGGTTCTTGGCATTTACCGGAATGACTTCCCGGCTCTGGGCGTTGGGCACACAAGACCAGCTGATTTAGTGGCTACTTAGAGCAATCAGAATCTTGCAAGTAACAAATTAGGACTACCAATCACCGATGAACCATGTCAAGCCATATTAACGACTTGTCAGCTGTCCGGTCTCCTAGAATGGGTCCCAGAACGAAGAGTCCAGCTTACCTGGTTGATTCTAGCCCCGACTTGTATTTTACAGCCACAGTCGACGGGTGACGAGTTGAACTACCGAGCAGGAAGATATCCACTCTTGGCAAGCCGCTATTTGTACCACGTGTGATCACCAATCAGTGCTCATAGCCTTCCAACAGAGCTTGAAATTGCTCGACTAATCAACAGTGGCTGGCTGAGATGCGTGATTCTACCCCGATGTCGCTGCAAGAGCTCTGTGGGAGTGCCCATAGCAGCTAACTCACAGACCTCCAAGCCTTTGGTCCATGCTTGTGACCAGTGAAATCACGTTGTGTTGTGTCTCGATTTCGCTTGAGAGAGGACGTTAGCAGATTGACACCAGAATTAGCCAAAAAACACCGCTTGACAAGCTTGAGGCTTTGGCCGTGGCTGGCTGGACCGCAACGTCTCTATTGAGTCCTAATGAGGCTGTGAAATGTTTGTGAGAAGGCGGTCAGCGGGAGCCGAGACCGCAAGTATTGCCAAATGTTTCTACATTGGTCTACGCAAGTCCGGCTGATCTCTAGAAGTTTTCAGCTTCGTACCTGGGACGCTACGAGTCCAAGACGATCTAGGTGTAAAAGGAATGACTGAATTTCCTCACTCAATTTGTGTGGCTTGCAAAACTCCAGCTGAGGGTCTGATTTGAGTCAACACAGGAGGCAGAAACCTGCCTTCTTTCAGTATGGCTTTCTGCTTGTTAACAAGTGCTAGCCATACATTCTGTTCTCAAATCCCGCCTGTTGATTGTGGGTTGAGATTTCGTTGTACCCTGGGATGTCAGGTGGCACGGACCGCTCGCCCCATTCGACTATAAAGAGAGATGAAATTCCCATCATGTTGTCTCCATCAGAAATTCCATCTTGAGTCTTGGATATCTAAAGTACGAGTCATCTAGCACGCGGCTTTCACGAATACGTTAGTTCTGAGCTAGCACCATGTCGGCAGTTCAGGATGGGAAGCAGTATATCATCATGAACGTTGGGACTTCGACAGTCTTCGACCTTGCCAAGGGAGATCCTAGTAACGGTACACTCATTCAAGGATGGGAACTTCTCGTCAAAGAATACAACGAGAACACAGATCACCAGGTTTGGTACGCCCATTTCCAATTTCATGACACCATCGGAGACTGGTATTCGTTCACCAACCGTGGTACAGGTACCGCCATTGATAGTGGAGGATTGGTGAATGAGAATAAACAGCTCCATGCCTGGGTGGATCAAGGAAAAGGCAATGAAAACCAACAATGGCTTCTGTCTCCAATTGCACAGGCTGGTGTCAAGCTATACCAGTGAGTCGCTATTACTATTAATTGGGAAATAAGAAGTCGCTGACCTTTCGCGAAAAGGATATACAACAGGTCCTCTTACAGTCAACAGAAGCAATGGTACTCGCCTGACATGAGTGCTAATAGCAAAAACAATGGGTGCGTCCTATCCTTTTCTTGTAACAAATAACCAAGGCTACAAAGCTGAGCTCTCTAGAACGCCAATTAATAATTGGGGGTCCAGCCCTATTGGGACAAATATCAATCAGACGTGGATGTTTATTCAAGTGGAAAAATGAGGCACGAACAAGCTGAGCACCAGTCTTGACCTCATTAGTCAAGGTTCGATCTGTGAATACGCAATCATGTAGTTACTGTGTTCGATGTTGATTGAAGACGACTGTCGTTACCGATGATTACGAATCACGAAGTAAATCTTGATCGATATGAAGTAGAATAGTGACAAAAGTATCCTATCCACGCGCAGATATCGGGGTTTTCACACTTGGAGCCTCAGTAGCAGTTTCAGAAATGGCCATAAGATCGCTTATGCCCTCTTTAATCCTTAAGCGTTTAAGATGCCATCAAGTACTTATCAATTATGCTACTGGAGTGTCACATCCGGCAACGCTAGTCTCTGGCCTGTAGTGTGAAGAGATGGTCGTAAGAAGAACAGATGAATTCTGCGGACAGCCTTGAAGAATCGATGCCCAGATTTAAGTTTCGGGGCTAGCCGCCACCACATTTCTACCAGTCAGCATATTTTGTTTATACCCACAAGGCACAACCCCCTCGACCGAATGATATGATGCAAACTCACGATTCCAGGAGCCAGATTATACCATTGGCTAGAGCCAACGGGCTCGCTATGGTTTTGAACACTCCAAAGGGTATGGCATGATACATCTGCGAAGTCCGCCCACGACGGTGCTTACCTTACGCACCACCAGGAAGAGGAGTGTTTGCAACAGAGAAAATCCTGAATGGTACGGTGATTGAAGTCAGTCCGGTTCTCATCTTATCGACAAAAGATGCCCAATTGACAGAAGCGACTGTGTTGGATGACTACACGTAGTGAGCATCGTTAACCACGCACACTGCACAGCTGAAGAGCATAGCAATTGGCCCATCCAGAATCCTAGCTCTAAGAAGTTTGAAAGGACTCAAGCAATATCTCTTGGTCTCGGATCGCTCTTCAACCATTCTTCTCAGGCACAAAACGTGGGCTGGAAGAGAAACCTCGAATCGCAGTGTATCACTTACCTGTCGTTGAGAGAGATCCAAGCTGGAGAGGAGCTCTGTATCAATTATGGAAACCTTTGGTTCTGTGACGCGGATGGTGGTGATTTCGAGGACGCTGTTGATCGAGAGGCCGAGGACGACCTCTTGAAGTCGATAGAGCCGGACCCTGGTGCCTGATTGAGCTGGACCGGGGAGAAACAAGTCTAATATGAAGGTCGGCTGCCATGAACCTACCTTTCGAGGTCATCACATCTTGCGGAATGCTACTTGGTTGACCCAGCACCACTTGAGATTGTCCTAGGCCTCACGGTTTACAGCACTTAATACTTAATGTATTGGCATCTCTCCGATATGCGGGCGGCTTTCGACAACCTTCCAGGCTTCTAGTGGCCGTCGGACCCTTGCATATGACCCCTGTCGCTGCATGGCTAGTTTCCGAACAGGCTCAAGCCGCAGATCCTCCTCCTGATCCAGGATATCAGAGATCGACCCTTGATCGCACGCGGCTTTTGTTAAATACCGACTGGTGACCACTTTTGTTGCTGCCTCGTTGTCTTCTTATTTCATGCCGCCAACTTATTGTACTACATCTTTTTGTGTTACATCAATCCTATCGAGTACTTGCCACCTTTCACGCTATATATACTTACACCCGACCTGATTACATCAATAATCTGATTTTCGCCTTACACATCATTACCACATCTCGACCATGAGGATCTCACGCTCATCCTCCAACGCTTCCTCATCATCACTATCCTCCCAAAAAGACGTCGAAACGCAACAACTTTTTGTCAAACTCTTGTCAGGAGAATGTTCGTTGACCTTCCAGCTGCTTTCCTCGGCTCCTAGTACTAATACCTCTTAGTAATACCTCTCTCACTCCCGACATCCACAACCTTACCAACTCTCCTTCAACTCCTGTCGCTCCGCACTTCAGCACCTCTATCATCACTTCGACTCATCTATGCTGGCAAACACTTGACCGCGCCGGACTCCACATCGCCTACAAACACCCACTCATCAGCACCCACACTCTCGACCCTCGCCATCCCAGCAAACGCTACACTCCACCTTACCCTACCCATACTCGGTGGAATGCCTCCAAAAAAACAGAAATGCAACTACCTTGACTGCAAAGAAGCAGCGCAACGGATTGTCGGTGAATGCAGCTTCTGCGAAGGGAAATTCTGCCAGAAGCATCGGATGCTGGAGAACCATCACTGCAAGGGCTTAGAGAACTGTAAGGCCGAAGGGAGGGAACGTAACAAGAATACTTTGGAGGGGGAGAGGACCAGTGCTATAAAGGGTGTTTGATGGACATAAGAAAGAAAGCGATTTGGTATCTCGGGCTTGTACATACATGTGAGGCGTGTTTAAAGGACATAGAGAGGAAATCATCTCACTAGAGCGGTTCTACAGGCGAGGCGATGGAGTTGACATAAATTAGGATACGAGATTCATTCCAATATCATCACATACTCCCACCTCACATATTCACATAGGTACTGCGTCATATATACCTTTCAGCAAATATGTATAAGAAAGCCAACCATAACTACCCAAACATGAGATCCCAATCGCCCAAAGTGCTCCTTTTCCCACCGTAGCTCTCTATATGATCTCCACAACCTTAGGCTGATCCCTCCTCTCCCCCGCAACCACACTCCACACCAGCTCCCTCCCCTTCCTCTTCCTCCACCACTCCTCAACACTCAACCGACACACAAACATTGCCACCAGCAAATTCACCCAAAACACCCCCATCCACTCCCTCAACCCCATCTGCTCCCTCCCCCTCTCCTTTCCCAACCTCGTTTCACCTCATTAAACCTCTCCACCTCATCCGTCACCACCCCATCCAATCCCCGTCCAATACACCACCCCATACTCCCCCGTTCATTAACCGTCCACCCCAGCACCGGCCTTCCCATCGCATGCGCATCCCTCACGAACCTCCTCCCCAATACCGGACACGCCAAGCTCTTCTGCAGCATATTAAACCCCACATTCCGCGTCGCCAGAAATTTCTGCGCATACGATAGCGAGAAGCCTATATGGCTGATGGGAAAGCCGGGCAGATATTCCAGCGCAGGCGCAAGGAACGGCAGCGTCCAGATCCCTAGCACGATGCGCTCTGTCCAGGGTACTATTGCCCCGCCCCCATCGTGAGGGGAGGGGGCGGGAGGGACGGAGGCGATGGTGCGAGCGAGTTCGCGCATTATGGTCACGCCGTTGTTGGACGGTTTGATGTCCAGAAGGAGCCAGATGTGCGCGCGCGAGGGGTGGGAGAGGTAGAGGAGGAGGTCGTATAGGCGCGGCATTGGTTCGTGCGGGGCTTTCAGTGTGCGCAGGGTGGAGATCTGAGGCCAGGTCGTGTCGGCGATTTTGGTCGGGGTGCCGAAACAGCGTTTTAGGGAGGCGTCCTGGGTGTGGTTAGATTTGGGATGTATTGATGGGGAGGAGGAAGTGGAAGTGGAAGGGGAAGGGGAGGGGGAGGGGAGGGGGAAAGTGGAAGCCACTTACATGCGAGAGGACGACTACGTCGTCTTTTGTCAGGTGGATGTCTGTTTCGATTGCGTCGGCGCGCGCAGAGACGGCGCCTTGGAATGCGCGCATGGTGTTTTCGGGGTGTTTGGCTTTGTAGCCTCTGTGGGCGATGGTTTGGGGGAGCTTTGTGCCCGTGGGTTGCTTCTTCGAGAATGTCCATGTTGCTGGAGCACGAGTCAGTCAATTGCGATGCAAAGATTGCCATCTCGGAGAACCAACGGGGTGGTGGAGGGTGGGTTTGAGGTTTGGGCGGTTCTTCGCCCAAGCTCTGCACTACATTCTCATCCAGCAGAAACGGAGGCACGGCGACCTTCTCCAAGAGGGGTTCAGTGCCTTCCATGGTCGATCTGCGACCCATTGGACTCGAGACTGTGTCTGGGGGTCTTATCTTTGGCGCAGGCTCCTTCGTGAACGTAAGCAAGCAGGCAGCAAGGTTCTATGTACAATAGGTGAGTAAGAATATGAATATCCGAAAGAACGGATCGCGAACGAGATCAGGCCGTGTTCCGTCTCGTTGATTGCACGATCGATCTCACGGCTAGTTCATGGCGTGCATGGCGACACGTTTATGTGGCGGGGTGCGCTTTTCCGTTTTTCGAGCGGTGGCTTTGGGACAGTGTCCCAACCAGGCAGCCTTCTTACCTGAAAAGGCAAAGCAGATCTAGGCTAAGCCTGTTTGGGCAGACGGAGCTGGCACGCCACGTCCCCTTTCGATCAACCCGAGAAATCGGTCTTTTACAGGTCCCGGCTTGGCTCGTAGAAATCCCTCATTGGAGTGAAATTGTCCGTAGTGCCATGACAGCCAGACTGAAGGGTGGGATCAAGCAAGCAGGCAAGTAGATATCAATCTTTGCCCTTGAAGCGACTGGTCAATGAATGTAAGTTGGTTCAGACGGGCATTCCGGCGTGGTATGCTACACTTGACTCGCAAATCACGAGTAAAATTCAAATTCTAGCTGGAGTGTGAGTAAAGTAGAATAGAGTCGAAAGCGAGCATTGCAACAAATCAGACCCTTCATTATCTACAGAGTCGAGTAATATCGATTACGGAGGTGTCCGTATCTGAAGCGCGTGATTTAGTTATGAATAGCTTATCATTCAGGATAGTCGTGCTATTCATGATCTTGTCTTTCATACGTCTTGGTAGTCCATGAAGTCTGAAACCACCTGACGGAAAAGTTGATCGATGACACCATCTTCGGATATATCAAGCGTGTCTGTGTCTAGATAAGGCTGAGTGTAGATGGCTTGACCCTTATACGAGGTTGCCCAGAAGTCTACGCTTCGTTTTGGCAGGTGGGTGATAGATCGTCCTGACTGATTCTATCTCCATGTCATGGAGACAATCCACGTCGTAGCCGGGTATCTGATTTTATTTCCCAGGTAATTGTCCTGATTGCATCATCGCGGCGTTTTGCTCCTGAAATCGCTGCCCCAACCGTTCCTGACTCTTCATGTATTTGTCGACACACCGCATCGTGCAGCTTTCTTCCTTCGAGGTCACCGACTTGGTCGTGAAGTCATTGACGCAGTCATCAAAACACCGCTGGACGAGTCGAGAGTACATCTGCAGGTCGACGATCAGCGTAAGATATGGCCAACGCATCGTCCCAACGTACCGTCATCATATCTTTCATTTGTTTCTTCTCCATCCTCCCCTCCAGCTCCCGCTGCTCGGATGCGTTTAGTCTGAGAGCGATGTCAGAAGAGGAAGGCCATCGACATCATTCCCATGGTCACTTACCCATCCATGATGGTCGAAATGTATACGACGGTCGACCCTCCAGGATGGGGATCAGCGAATGCTATGCGACTTCTCGTATTCAAGGCCCCCTGTTTCAAACCAGCAGAGGCTCTAGGCGACGTTTCTTATGCAGCAGGCCTAGTGTGACAGGCGAAGGAAAGGATGGCAATTGGCAAAGATGGAAATAAGATTTCCCATTTTTTGCGGGTGAAGGTTCGGGTCTAGAGCTAGGCTTGATCCCGCCCATTCCTCTCAAGCCTCTGCCTTCTCTCCATGCACAAAAGCATCCTGTCCCTTGTTCCCACTTCCCTTCACCACCGCTATCCTCTTCTCTGAGAACATTCGCATCTCTGCCCTCTGGTCAATCCTTTAACAACCTGACGGAAAAGTCGGCCTTGCGATTCATCAGCTGGTGGCTTCTGTGCTTAGCTTTTGCACTTGGACCTTCCGGGCGGCAGCTGACTTGCTCTCCCCTCATTTAAAACCTGCTCCTTGTCATCAAAGCTATAAACAGCTGCTTGAGTCGCGTGAGCGCCTGCGTATTCACTGTAACAATGCCATGCAAAGCCAGCACTTGAACTACTTAAAGCCAACATACAGGTGACCAGGCTAAGACAAATACCGGGCAGCCCTACACGGCGCACAACGTCAGGAACTCAGAGCCTGTTATCATACTGACAGAACATTCGAAGAGGCTGCCACTCATTCCTCTAGACAGGAGTTGAGACGTAGCGACAACAAGGAGTGACTGCTACACGGCGCTTTCTCCGCGCTGTCGGGCGCGACCTGCCCCCACGCGACTTCTCGAGTCTAGATCTCCGCTGCAGGCCCCGACGGCCGTTTCGCTCAAAATAAAAATCGCTGCTGAAGTGCCGAAGGTCGAACGACGCAATACCAGCCAGACTGTCTACTCTTCGGTCTATATTAAAGTGCAGGGCCAAAGCTCCTCGCTTCACCATTAACGCTCTGATTCATCTCCAAGAACACGAATTTGAGCGGAACACCCTTTGAAGGCCGCACATTTTCTGCCCTCGGGAACGGCCTGTAACCCATGACTTCAAGCACTGCCGGAGCCAGAACGTCAGTCATCTCTCATACGCACCAGTCTTCTCCGTCAATGAGCGGATCATCGCCACCTTCAAGAAGAGACCTCACATCATGGTGGAGTGGCTTCAAGAGGAGGGCTAAGAAAGACGAAGAGAAGGCCGAGCCTCCATCGGGCATCTTTGGAGTGCCACTTGCCACCAGCATCAAATATGCCAATGTCGCTATTTCTCTGACGAATGATAAAGGAGAGAGCTACACCTATGGCTACGTACCAATCGTCATTGCCAAATGCGGCGTTTTCCTCAAAGAGAAAGGGACAGATGTGCACGGTATATTTCGTCTTCCGGGGTCTGCTAAGAGAATAAAAGATCTTCAAGCTGCATTTGACTCACCTGATCGATACGGCAAAGGACTTGATTGGACGGGATTTACTGTCCACGATGCAGCCAGTATCTTTCGCAGATACATTAATACGCTACCGGAGCCTGTGATCCCCTTGGAGTTCTATGACAAGTTCAGAGACGCCATTCGGAATCATGTGAAAGCGGCAACAGGAGACCCAGAAGCACCACCAGATCCCCTTCCCGCAGAGAAATTCGACCACGCGAATGTGATCATAGCGTACCAAAAGCTAATTACAGAAATACCTGCACTAAATCGGCAATTACTGCTCTACCTTCTCGACCTTTTGGCAGTCTTCGCATCGAAATCAGAGGCGAATGGCATGGACTCGTTTAACCTATCCGCCATCTTCCAGCCTGGAATACTTTCGCATCCAAGACACGATCTCGAACCGAAGGAGTACAAACTCAGTCAAAATGTTCTTGTATACCTCATCTTGAACCAGGATCATTTTCTAGTCGGGATGAGCGGAACGGAAGCAGACGAAAAGACAGTTAAAGAAGTGCAGACAGCTGCCCAACGCCAACCCCAGACCCCAACTAAAACCCCTCATGCAGGTCTTGGTCGCTCTGCTTCCAATGCAAGTGCTGGTGCCGATAGTCTTAGGAAACTGGGTGCTCTGAGAAGAAATGCTTCTGCATCCTCGAAGCAATCTAACAGATCCGGCAAGCCTTCGACCGGGTCCCCGGCTCCAAGTAGTCCATTGGCAAACTCAACCTCAGGAGGTGGCGTACATCGAAGCAGTACTTTACCATCCAAAAGGTCTTCCGCTATCGACTCCCCGGCATTCTCGAGACACGCTGGCGCTGAGCCTGGACCGAGGTCTGCCAGCCACTCCCCAGCAAGTAAACCTGCCTCAACTCCTCAGGCGACACCTCCAAAGGCCGAGCCTGATGTTGCGGCTTTGGAGCCAACACCAAACCCACCATCGGCAGCTCTGGCCTCGACTCCGGAAGAGGTCACGAATGCAGCGGGTGACCCCACCCCCTCGCGCAAAGTGAGCCGTGAGATCCCCGCAATAGCGTCAAATGAGAAGCTTCGCCTACAAAAACCCGAGCAAGGTGTGACAACGACCATAACATCAGGAACGCCAACCAAAGACCGGAGATCTCTCTTTGCCAAGTCACCGAATGGCGATAGTGAGCGGAAAGATTTACGGCAGCCGAACAAGCTTAAGAAAAAATCGCGTGCTGGAGAGTCTGCACAGAATGCTAGCGCGCGAAGCTCTTCCCAATCCCTTACGGACAGCGCTAGGGCAGTCGAAAAGCATGTCAAACCGCCTTCAACGCCACCGAAAGATCAGACAAAACCAGCAATTCCTACATTGCTAAGTACGGAAGCGTCCCCGACTGGAGAGGCGCCTCCTCGTTTGGGAGAGCTTGACAAAATGAGTTCCTTTCATGTCTCGAACAAGGGGAGCCGCGAGCCGAGCCCTGCAGTCAAGTCTGCCAAATCTCCTGCGCCCTCACTACATTCTGGTATGGTGACAGAGGAGTCTGAAGTAGAGCACAACGAGAGTGAATTGAGTGAAAAGGGACAGAAAAGAAGAAGTCGTTGGCGGCTGTCGAGTGCTCTGAAGAAAGATCATGAACCTAGCAAAGAAGGTCACCCTGCTACTAGCTTGAGCGCCGTTGCCGTACCTGAAGAAAGCCCTTCAGCGCTGGATAGCCCAGAACGTAAACCTCGAAAATCAGCGACTGAAGGCTCGCAACAAACAACAACAGGGACCGAGGGCTCAACTCCGTCAGCAGCACCTGTTTCCACAAGTGGGTCCACGCCATCCAAAGAACACGAGTCGGAAGACAAGGAGCGCAAAGGGCTATTTGGACGTATAAAAGCCAAAGTTCATCAGTCAAAAGAAGAGCGGAAGGAAAAAGAGCGAGCGAAGAGTCCACCTCCCAAGACTGGCGAGCTGGGGGCCAGCAAGCAGAGCTTGAATGCTATTGCATCGGCATCGGAAGGTTCCACAGGCGAGAAAGCGTCAGAGGCCAAGCCAGAGATCAAGCCCGAGGTTAAAGTTGAGGAAGGACAAGAAAAGGCATCGACAATTGTGACAGAAAAATCATGAGACGAAATAGTGTCACAGCTCTGACGCCCGTTTGCTCATTTGCCGGCCACGGATAGACGACAGTCTTCTAGCCTGTGCGGATAAAAGTGGACGTGACAACGGAATCCGACTGACCAAATCAGGTGTCGCGGTATCTGGCTTTTGTAACGATATGACGGACAATATATGGCGTTTTGGAATGGATACCCCTCTACGTTTATACCCGGGGTTGGGGCAGCTCCGCAACCTCATCTCTTCTTGGATACATGTTGGCGCACCCTAGCAGGCGGCTGTATACTTGGTATGGGATGGATTGCCTTCAGGATGGGGCTATTATTCTCCAAGCACGCTTGGCATTGGAGGCCTTTTGGCAGCGTACGGGGGTGGGTTTACAAAAACCGGTTGGTAGTCATATACAAAATGAGTGAGTGGCTGACCGTCTTCGCAATTGTTTTCGAGAAGAGGCTTTAATAAACACGTTCTTGATATCTTCATTTTAATACATCTCATATTTCCATGCCCTGTAAATTGCTCCCGTCACTTCTGCTTCATTTGTCTAGACCTGTCCCCATTTGGCTGTGGCGCTCCATAGTCCGCCAAGTTAAACCTTTTTCAGGCTTGCTCCTTGATTTCTTAAGACGACGTTCACGAGCAGTTGAGGCCCGAGTTGAATCAAACCCACGACATACTGGCGACAGAATTGAACGACGTGATGTGCAAGATCCAAAGCTGAATTGACCTGACGTAACATACGCAGACGAAGTGGGTGAAAAGACGGTCCTAAAATAGTAAGCAGATCATGGGCGGCTAGTGGGGAGCTTGGCTCGTATTTAGGATTCCCATAGTGGCCTAGCATCGACATTCCCAAACACCTCACCGTACCCTCCCCCCATCACCTGATCATTAATTACCCTATGGCCTTATCATTATTATTCCTCAATGCGAAGTCAATGGCGGCGGTCAGAAGCACACACTGATCGATAAATCTCTCAAGAAGTCTGCCTTTCTATTTCTTCATTTCTTGCTTCTGCTGTACGAATTGGAGCATTTGACTTCAACAAGTTATAAGTCAGCTAGCTGCAGCAGCAAGGGTTCGTCATAAGTGGGTCCATCACTGCGTGAACCCGACCTGCAGCCAGCAGGCCTCTCCTTCCACCACATAATTCTTCCTGTGCATACCTCCATCCACCTTCAATTCGACATCGTCACTCGTTAGAAACCCTGAGCGTGGGAGGAAGGTACGTTCCACATCCTCACCTGTCTACCTTCAGAATCCAATGAACCTACCCCATCGCGTTGCTGCAGCAAATAGGAGATCAAAACTAATTGATGTCGAACAGTACAATCAATAATCCACAATCGAGACAGCACAGTATGGCTTCAATACGTAGCATCATCCAATGCATCTTACTCCTCACCCTCACACGACCTTCTATCTCTACCGAAGCAAACGATCAAGACCAGGAGACTCAAGTTGACCAAGATGCATTTCAACATCTTCTAGCCCAGGTCGACCCACCAGCCCTACATGCCGCCCTTCACGACTTCTCCCCCAGAAAGTTCGCCCATGGGATGTTTCCTGAAGATCGGACAGCGGTCGAGGCTATACACAGGGAGGAGCCCGACATTGCAACCGGCATACTGAAGATGGCCAAACTTGGCAAACGTCAGGTCGCAAATGGAACCCTCACAACATCCACATCTCCACCGGAATCCCAGGTACCAGCTACCACGCGGGTGGCTCCAGTGCCTCAAGGCTCTGAGACTTCTTCCTCTGCAGTAGAAAGCTTTCAAAGCACGCTTGCAACCCAGACATCAAGCCCAGCCGTCAACTCGCCAACGCCTACGTCGTCTGGTTCTGCATCTCTCACAGCAGGTCAGGTCGTCACCACCACTAACGCCGCTGGCTTGACAATCGTTTCAACCGTCGGAGGGGGTGCAACCACCCTATCACCTTCTGCTTCGTCTTCATCCGGCCCAGTTCAGGGTCCATCTTCAATCACCTCAACTCTTCTGCACACAAGTACATTACCTAATGGCGACCAATCAACGATCACAGCGATCACAGTGGTCGCACCTAGCGCGGGAGCCGAGACACCCTCCGGTACCGCTGGTGCGGGCGCAGGAAAGACTACCAGCGGACAGCCTGGGTTACAGACAGGCGAAGCAGCAATGACGAGAGGCTGCGGCAAGGAGATGGTTGTGGTCTTGGGAGCGGCTGTGGGTGTTGCATTCATGCTATGACGATGGTGGGAACAGAAACGCCTGTGGATTGGGGGACCGGCAACGAGTATATGCATTATGGGAGTCTCAAGCAATCTTTGCAGTGAAAATACGAGCGTGCAAGCGTACAAGCGTTGAAGCGATTTATTCATTCCGAAAAGCATGCAGCCGATAGGGTTGATAATGTAATAGTAGAGAGCATAAGCACAGCGACTGTTCAAGCGTAAGGAAACCGATCAATCATGCAGAAACTTAATTATGCAGACTTGTCTTCATCGGCTTCCAAATTTTTATTCCCTTTCAATCAGTGTCTCTGACACTTGGACCGCACAACCTTCATCATCAACCATGTCCTCACTTCAATGCCTCAAAAGCACTCTCGCCCTACTTCCAAACATACAAAGAAATCCCTACCTAATCGACCATCCACCAAACCCCATACTGAATCATCCCCTCCACCGCAAGCCCCACCATCACCACCCCTAATCCTCCCGCGAGAAATCCAACAATCCATCCGCGACATCTACAGCACCACTTTCTTCCCTCCTCCCAAAACCCCGACCCTCACAGCTCTTCCTGAATCTACACCTACACACGGCTCTTCCCCCACCACCAGCGCCGATAGTGCCTCTATCGCTCCGCCCTTGCCCTCTTTAGACGAAACAAAGACAACAATACAGCAAGTGAAGACGCACCTGTATAACAGAGACTTCGAGCGCGCTTTTGGGGCGGACGATTTCAGGAGAGCGTACGCGGCGAGATGGAGTCCAGGGAGAGCGGCGGGGTATGCGGCTATTTTTGGGGAGGTTGATTTGTTTGGGCTGAGGGGGGCTGGCTTGGGTCTTGGAGGATGTGGGGAATTGGGGATTGGCAATGGGGAAGGGGATGGTGACGATGGCCAGAGGGGTCATGTAGGGGGAGAGACAGGGGGGGAGACAAGTGGTGAGGAGGGGGTGAAGGTTGTGTGTGTAGGGGGAGGTGGAGGAGCTGAACTCGTGGGCTTATCGAGCTACTTTCACCAGCATGGTAGCAATGGCGTGAATGCGGGGAAAGGAAAAGAGAACGAGGGAGGGAAGAAACAAAGGGTGGTGGATATCACACTCCTCGATATCGCAGACTGGTCATCCATCACCGCTGCCCTCACGTCCGCCCTCACCTTCGCCGGCCAATCATTCCTTCCCTCTCTGAGAACCCGGTTTGAAAAGCAAGACATCTTCACCTTATCCTACGAGGAAATCGAGCGCCTTTTTACAGGCGTGCAGCTCGTGACGGTGGGTTTCACGCTTAATGAGCTGTACACGACGTCCTTGAGCAGGACTACGGCCTTTTTGCTAAGTCTGACCAACGTGCTGGAGCCCGGCGCTGGCTTGTTGGTCGTGGATGGCGCGGGGAGTTATGCTAGTATTAATCTGGGGAAGGGGGAGAGGGTTGGGGAAGGGAGAAAAGAGAAGAGATATCCGATGGGTTGGCTGGTGGATAGGACGTTGCTTGTTAGTGCTGCCAGTGGGGAGGGGGGCGGGGAAGGGGATGGGGAAAAAGGGAGGGGAAAGAAGGCGAGGTGGGAAAAGGAGCTGTGTTGGGACAGTAGATGGTTTAGGCTCGCTGAGGGGTTGAGGTATCCGTTACCTCTGGAGGATATGCGGATGCAGATGCTTTTATATCGAAGGGTATGAAGGCGAATGGTGCAACATCAGGTGTGATTTGCCGAAAAACACAGCACAAGCAAGAATGTGTTGATGAGAGCCCGTTCAATTTCCTGCATATTGAGAAATATCTTGATACGTGAGATGTATCCAACCCTTCCCTAGGGATCTGGAGGGCTGGTCTTCATAGATAGACCATTTGATGTCAGACGCCGTCGCAATGCCGTCAAAGACATGAGACTAAAGGTTCAATGAGATACTCCCCTTACTTCCCCGTCTTAACCTTCTTCTTTTTCGGCTCCACACTCCTCTCATTCCCATTGACACCATTCGCCTCCTCCCCATCCGCATCACCCATTTCCACATCACTCCCACTCCCACTCCCGGAGCTCGAGTGCGCAGAATCATACTCCTCCGCCACATCACTATCACTCCCACTCTGAAAGTCCTCGTCCGCACTCTCACTATCCTCATCCGCGCTCCCTCGATCCGGATTCCCCTGCACCACCTCGTCCTCACTACTATTGATATCCGCATCATTCAGCGCAGCCTGAATCAAGGCGCTCGAATCCTCCAGCATCTCATTCCGCACCTTCAACCCCTTCGCCTGGAAGAAATCCTCTAGCGGCTTCTGCTCCTCCCGGTTGATGTTGCTGAATTGATGTTCAGTGCCCCCTGATTTCATCATGATGGAGATGTCGAACGTCCGGGATGCGGACACGGCGCCGCCTACGCGCGACATGACGATCATGGAGATGTTGTCGAAGGGAATGTAGGTGGAGGGTTTGGGGATGAACATGAAGGATTTGTCGAGGCAGAAGAGGTGCCCTTCGTTGGCTTTGATGCTGCATTTTACCCCGGATTGTTGATGGTGCGATACGAAGTCTTTGGAAGGGGTGACTACTTTCTTGCCGGCGAGGCCTCGGAATATTTGGGCGACAACGCTGTGTTGGGGTGCTTCGTAGCGGGATTGCAGCTTGCCTTTGTAGTTGCCTTCGAGGAGTTCGCTGGTGTTGTCAGTGATCCGTGAGACTAGGTCTAAAAAGGAGAGACTCACTCTGTCATGTTGAGTTCGATTATCACTTCCTCTTCTCTTTTGAATTGCATGACTAAAAAGGATATCTGGTCTGACCTTGGCGTAAGGGGGGTCAAGACCTATAGTGATTAAGGTATGCATGTCGTCTGGTTTCGGTAGAAGCATGAATTTCTTGATATGGTCGTACTGGATCTTGTAGTCGTAGGTTTTACCTCGTAATCGGAAGGAGTTTTCGTACATATCAACATCGAATCGACCTCTGTTTGCCATTAGTCCAACATTTCATGACACGAACGATGTTATCGTACCTTGGTGTTAGATGTAGGACATCCAAGAATGTCGCAAAAGTATCTCCAGCGACCTCCCCAATCTCGGCTTTGTCCATTAGTGTATCGTAGAAAACATTGGCCGCATTCTGTTCCTCCACGTCTTCACCGTCTACGCTTTTTTCATCCCCTTCATCGTCCCCTTCTTTCTTTGTCACTGTTCCGGGAATATAGAACCTCATCTCCACGAGCTGATCTTTGCCCGCACCAGCTTTGCGCCCTCTCGCTCTTGCCCCACCCAAGTCGCCGTTTGTGCCTGTTTCACTGCCGTTGGCTGGAAGTGAGAATTCAACCGCCACTTCATTCTTTCCTGCCAAGTTCGTGTTCACTATCTCTGAATATGGGACTTCAAATGCGGGGCGGTTTTGAACGTTGAAAGAGAGCTCCGCTTTGCCAAAGTCTGCTTTACCCCAATTCCAGCCGCGCAGATTGTGTTCTTTATTCTCGAGGTTGATGCCATAGAACAGTTTGAAGACTTTCGCTGTGCGATCGAAGTCCTGCAGTCGGTGAGCTTGCGCTCCTCAAGTGAGAAGAGACTTTACGTCTTGTTCAAAGCCATCCAACTGGATTACGCCGGCATTTCTTGAGAGAATTTTTAATTCGAAGCCTTTGGCTGCTCTACTCCATTGCACAGCTGTTATGTTGCTTGCATCTAAAGTGAAGGTGTCACCGCCGCCTGAGGGTTTCCATCCAAGGCCGGTTTCAGCAATCCTGCATTTACCAGGTTGCTTTGAAAGATCTAGGTATATTCGCTCGAAAGCTTCCATAGTACCTGAACTTTTAGTAGCGCACTGATTTATGGATCAGGTAGCGAGAATGGAGGATCTTGAAGACCGAATCCCTCTTTATGTGAAAAAAGTTTGATATCAAGTCGCGTTGGAGGTCGCGTAAAGTGGCTGCTGACTAAGCTTGAACTTCTATAACTTTTGCGATTAACAGCACCAAGACTGAGACTTCCTAAGGTATTCACTCAAAAGAGGGTCTCCTCTTCTACTGCAGTCTACTCTTTAGGAAACCCTTGTGTGTAGAACAGTACTCAAATGAGCACAGACACCCATCTTTCTCATAAATCGATGGCGATAAATGTGCTATGATGCAGTATCGATTCCCACAGAACCACTTCAAATGTCCAGTTTAGCATGTCGTCTACACGACAAGAAAGAGAGCATTCCCAAAGGTGTTGGGTTTGAGACTTTTGATTGTATTCTGACTTCAACAATATGAATGACAGTCAGGATCTATGCCTACACTGAGAAAGACAGCCTGCTTCCACCATGGGAGCGCTGAGATACGAGTAACGTTGCAATAAATTCCACATTAATTTCTCCATTTGTATTTCACCGAGCCGATCCATATGCTTCGTCATCGTTCATTGAGACATGGTGTTTCAATGTAATCCCCAAATTTCCTTGCCTCTCCGGTGCTTTCCCGTTATTCTGAGTTTCCTTTTTGGGAGCGGCTTTCTGCTGGATCCCTTTCCTTGACAGCTTGTTGAATGCCATTGTTCTAGGCGTTGTCGGACTTTTCAAGCCACCGGCAGTACCTGGTGTCTTTGGTGCCTCAAGCATTTCCCATGGCTGATAACGAGCTTCCTGATCTGAAAGTTTGGAGCGTCGAGACTCACGGAAATCTTTCGTTGGATACAGCGAAAATATTGTGAGAATAATGTAGCCGACTTGAATGGCGCTATATGAATGGTCAGTTGGGCGAGCATCACGGTTATAGTTTGAACGAACCATAGAATTACTGTGATTGCGAAAGCCGATTTCGCTTGCTTGCAATACCCATTCAAATCCGGATTAACCTCACCACAGCTTTTTGTTATATACCAAGGCGCCCCAGGTTGTGGATGTGCGGGATCGCTCATGTCCGACGCAGCTTGATTGTGGATGGCGACGGCCCAGACTGCAGCAAGTCCGGCATGCACAAACAGTGATATAATCGGAAGAAATATATGCATCACAGTCGCGATGATTTTGAGTAGAAGAGCGAAGATGGAGACCACCGAGACAATGACGTTAAAGTACGTTGTGCTGGGTTTCGTCAGCTGTTTTCTTCATAACAAGGAGCAGATATGGATGGATGCATACAAGTTGCTCCATGGCAATGGTGCATCAACTGGCTTGTAGTTGGCGTACGAGTAGATGATCTGGTCAGGACTGCTGTTCCATCCGTGGTCGCTACCCTCTTGCCAGAACTTCGTGCGATATAAATCTGGCTGTGATATACCGTACAGAGCGAGAGCAGGAACGGCGCAAATGAGTTCAAAGATGAAAAGAGCTCGTAGTGCTCTTGGTGTTCTCCATTTCCTTGGGATGGCGCCGTAACAGGATCGTAAAGTCATGGTGAGATCAATGCTCGAGATCCTCAATTCATAAGTTCGTCGTCGACCAAGGCACTTGAGGGCAGGGCCTGGCAGTCTGGGTTCGTCGTGTAGAGGTGGCTCAATGAAGTGGAGGTCGACAGGAGGTCATTTCGCAGGGAATCCTGTGTCTTCCGCCCATGTGAAAGGGTCTTCGGAGTCAGCGCCAATTGTAGACTCGAGCTGCATGATAGCCGCCGGTGAAAGAGCTTGGAGAGGGGGAGAACAGCGATCATCCTTTTGATTGGGCAGATCACAGTGAGCACTAATGCATACAAAGAATAGCGCATTGTGGGATGGCGGCCCAGACCGATTGAGACAGAACAAGGCGGAAACATCTTGTCGTCTTCCATCACAAACGCATTATTGTGATATCTATTATCTTTCGCGGCGCTCAGCATGTCGCGCATCCGCCTTCGGTAGGACAAAAGCTGGCGTGGAAGGTACACGCTTGTGTTATTGTACCCACGAAGCACATGGAAACGGTGCACTGAAGCACGTCAAAGTTCTTTGACCAGAAAACATTGAGATGTAGACATGTTCATTCCAGGCTATGAGATAGCGTGCTTCTGTAGAATAAAGAGTAGCTGGAAAAGATTGATGGAACGATTCACAGCATCGAAGTGCCCAGGCTTGTGACACGGTTCGTTTATACGTCCATAGAGAGTAATAAAGACAACCAGACACCTCATCGACCTACTACTTTCAGAGTAGAACTTTTGATTTTGCTCCACAGATATGCTCCACGGGTCCAGAAGTGGAACTGATGCTTGAAGCTTCCTGCGCCACAGAATACGGTAGTGTTGAGACGTGACTGATAAAGCAAGCAAGTATATAATGCATCCTTACTGTTCAGCTATCGGCAGCGACGCTTATTCTACTGCTTTTGTTTGCTTGCTTGCTCATATTATTGTAGCAAGAATTCACCATTCGACGCTCAAGAAAGCATGGGATGTATTGTACGCGTGGTTTTGGTGGAGGAGGGCTTGTGCGGGCGTGGGACTAGTGCGGGAAAATCTTATCGATGACCGTTGCCCTAGCAAATAGCCCTAAATACTGCACCAAGGCCCGGATTTCCAAGTATCCAAGAGCTTGGTTACAAGTCGATCTTGCGTGGAGAAGTTTCAACAAGCCTTTTGTGAATCATTTGCATACCAAAGCATTGGGCAAACCCAGAAAATATTTCTCAGACGGAGGTTCTTGTCCTTTCCCACCCAAAATTACGAATTCCGTTCTGGTGGCAAGCTTGAAAAACCAGGGAGTCGCTGAAAGCAATCGGAATCCTCAGATTTAAAGAATTGCCGCATGAGTTTCCTCTAGATTCTGGAGATCCTAGGGTCTCCATAGAGGATATCCAAAGATGTCAGACTCTCCACAAGAAGCTCCTGCAGGAAGCAGCTCGTACAAGTCTGATACAATGACTGTTGGAGACGGAACATGGGACACATCCAGGAATGCTTTCCTGTTACCAAATCTCGTAGGCCTTAATTTCGAGACGATGCGTTACAATGGTATGAGTTTAGGAAATCCCAGCGACTTTCGCTTATCTAATTGTGTCCTAGGCATGGGAAACCGTTTCCGAGAACTTCCAGGATACCACAGTCTAATCCGAGCACATGGAACCATCGCTGCTATCACATTCCTGGCCATCGTCCCAGCCGCAATTCTAGTCTCTAGATTCTATACTCGATATCCAAGAAGAGCTGTAAGGATACACATATGGCTTAACATACTCGCCGTCCTGTTGGTTACTGTGATCTTCATCCTCGGGAATATTGCCGTGGGTCCGACAAGACGCCTTTCGAATCCGCATCACGGTGTTGGGACTGCCATATTCGTTCTCACTCTTGTAGGCTTCATACAAGGCTGGTGGATACATCGCAAACATAAGAGGAATTCTTCGGAGGAGCCACTAGGAGTTACGGTGCGTAATATTTGGTCTGCTGATTTTCTTCAGGGTAATCAGTACTGACTCGACTACAGCTTCACAATTGGCTTGGGCGCGTCACAGCCCTGCTAGGACTGGCACAGATACCCTTAGGACTTACGCTTTACGGTGCTCCCAAAGTCCTTTTCATATTGTATGCTCTAGCGGCATTTCTTCTCCTTGTAACCTACTTTTGGTTGACCCGCATACGCGTCAAGCATTATGGTGGAACGGACTACGACAGCAGATACAGTTACGGCCCGTCAAGTGTAGCTGACGATAGAAGACGGCGCAGCGGATCGGGCAGCTGGCTCAAACCTGCGCTTGCCGGGGCAGGAGTGTACGCAATCGCTAACAAGCTGCGGCGAAGGTCAAAAGATCGAGCAGAAGGCCGCCCTGGACCAGAGGTCGTGGGATCGCGTCGAAACTCACTTGATGACGAAAAATATTCGGAATATAGTCGGGAGTTCAGATGGGAAGACCGATTACTGAGAGTCGCAGCACCCATAGGCCTCGGAAGCCTAGTCACCAGGTATTATGATAGGAGATATCACGAGCGCAACAGCGATGTAAGCTCGTATCGCCCTCCACTTGGCGGAGCAACTCCTATCAACGACCCAAGATATGGACCGGCGCCTCCAGCGGTGCCTTTGCCCTTCGGCCAGCCATTACCACCAGCGCCTGGCCCGTATGGACAACCCGCACCTTTAGCTAGTACTCAGATACCTCCACCTGCGCCCTACACCAGCGAGCATCACCCGTTAAATCGTACTCACTCACGAGAAAGCTCTTATTCGTCCACCCTACCAAGTGCTAGTGGAGAAGCTCAAAGGCCACATCGTGTTCGAGATGGACTCGCGACTCTAGGCGCGGCTGGACTGGCGAAGAACATCTGGGATAGATTGCGCGGCGGAGGAGGAGATCGTCGCCTGCATCAAGAGCAAGATGCTCGAATGCATGGTCAGCGTTTCACAGGTGATGGACGGCCTGCGCGGCACCATCGCCCAGGAATGTCGAGTATTAGCAGCGAAGCATCGTATGCCGCTCCGCACCCGACAAATGCACAGGGGATACCTCCCATACCCGCTGGTACGTATCCAAATGCTGGAGTCATACCAGGCGCCGGGGCCACTCGGGAGGCGGAAAGGGATCATCATTCAGAGCTTCCTCTTGGAGGCGTGCCTCGACGAACGGACATGCCTGCAATACCGCCCGATCCGCAGGGCGTCCTTCACCACGAATCTTCTAGCTCAGACGCATTCAGTTCACCTGGAAGGGGCGATCGTCACAATCGTCGCTCAGGGCGTGGCATTGCCCCCTTGGCGGGAGCTACTGTTGCAGAAGCATCTACCAGCCGACAAGATACGCAGGCGCGACATCAATCTACCAGCGCAGGTGAAGACAGCGGCGTCACATCTCCGCCGGTTAGCGTCAAAGTCAAGATGCACAAGGATGGTCGCAACATCACACTCAGTCGGCTACCAGAAGCAGAAGCTGAGGCGCGACGTCGAGCTCGACAAGGCGCAAATGCCAGCGAAAGCACGCTTAGCGGCGAAGGTGGCGGTGGCTCGCGCTTTAGGCGGCGTGAGGCTCAAGACCGACAGAATGCGGAGGCCATGAGGATCGAGAGCGAGAGACTTGCCGCTGCCAGGAATGAAGCACTATCGTCGAGTCCAAACGTACCACCAGTGACGCCTGTCAACTTACCACCTCCGCCACCAATCCCAGAAAGCTCAGGCTCAGCAAGGCCGCCTGCTAGCGGAAGTGTCGGTAGCCCACAGACTTACGACACGGACATCAGTACTGACTATGCAAACAATCGACGACGGAGAAGGGCCGAAAGGGCAAGAATAAAGCAAGCCAAGGAGGAAAGAGAGGCGAAAACGGGCAAAACTGTGGGTTTTGAGTAGATTCACGAGCTAAGTGCGACGACAGTTACAGTCTATTTGCGAAGTATTGGACAGCGCGGCGTTCTCAAGGTGAGCACTGACATCAGTGGTACATGTCTGTCAACTATTATTATGTAGATAGATTGGGACATATAACGGTACAGACGAATAACAAATCACACCATTGCCCCTTTTTCGGCAGGCGTTGTTAACCGCTAAAACCTTCCCTCTCCGCTCTAGCCCTCAGCACGTACCATCGTATCCACACATATTCCACTTCTACAACCTACGACTTTGCGTTGTCGGATGTTCCCATGTCGCTCTCACCACGCTGGCTTTCGGAGCTCAAATCGCGGATAGGGAAATGCATCATTTTTGGACTCTCAAATGCACAAATCGACGAAGCTGGGGAAATACTCAGATTAGTGACGAAGAATTGGAGGGAGCTACTGGTTGGATCGGAAGGGTATCTAACAGGCAGAAGGAGGGCGGGGATTGAAGGACGGCAGGTTGCGTGGGGTGATATGGTGAGTGAAAAGCTGTTGAGAGGACAACATGCTAAGGGAGATGGGTAATGGTAGGATGTCATGGTAGGTGCATTGATTTCTTTTATGGGTTTGTTTCTACTGCACGTGTCTTTTGCCCCAGCTATCATGAACGGATCCTATTCGAAGGCAATCATTTGTGGGAGGTTTCGGGCTTTTCGTATTTCCTTCATGCGGTGTGTCGAAAGCAGGTGCCTCAGGGACTTCCTTGCGTATCCCCCCGTTGACGCTGCCATTGCCAATCCTTCGAGATATTCCAAGACTTGGTGTCTAATTTGCACAAGGGTATCACCGCCCTCGTCTCCATATGATTTGCATGTTTGACCATTCAGTCAAGGTCATGTCAATAATGTGGAATACGTCCGCTTCGCTGAATCCGGGCGGATCAATTGGGTACAGAACTTTGCCCGTTATATCGACCCCATGCACAAGCAAGAATGGTCAGAGCTCTGCACGTCAAGTGGCGTTGGCTTGATATTACGAAATATCAATGTTGAATACAAATTCGTGCGTACTGAAATCTCCTGACCTTCTTCCTACGTCCCTTTGACCCTTTGCAGCCTATGAAATTTCCAGATAGATATTCGGTCTATCACAAGTTACGCTCTCCACCTTCGCTGAACGCCGATTACTTCATTTTAGATGTTCTGATTCTGTCAGAGAGACATCAGAGACCTGCGGCTCGGTGCACGGAAGACATTGTAGTGTATGACTATCGTCAAGGTAGGAGATCACCTTTGAAGGCGTTTATGCAAGACAAGTTTCAAGAGAGCTTCGCCCTCCAGGAAGCAGGCAAGAGGCGCAATGAGGCAAGGGTGCGGGAGGTGTTGCAACGGGTAGACATATTGGAGAAGAGAAGCTGGAAACAGCCTGATGCTGTTGAGGATGTAGGGATTCCATATCAGTAGTGCCCAGAGAGCCAGCAATGTCCAGCTGAATGTTGTTGTCTCAGTCTATTGTTCAGCCGACGAGGCTCAAGCGGGAGGTACAAGCCAAAATTCATCATGCACTGTCGATCATCGACTGGTACCTCTGGACAATCCCTTCTGAATTTGACGATCAGCTTTCGATCATTCGCCAGGGGTTGGGACCACTTTTGAGGTGCTCATGAGAGTTTGTGATATATGGAGAAATTCTTTGCAGCAAACAGCGGTCAGCGAACGTAACACATAATAGAAAACAGATTTGAGCAAAAAGCCCGAGCTTGGTCTCGCAATTGTGCTGTGCAACCTAAGTTGTGATTTGCTCTGCCGCCCGCGCAAAGATTGCTTACCGAACAAACCTCAGACCTCAGGCGGAAGTAATCCCACGATGATTCTTGCCAGTTGCAATCATTAACGTCCCCACCACTTGAGATCTTATTCTCCATTTGAGACATCATTTAACGTCCGCAATTGAATGCGAGACTCCTCGGCAGCATCCTTCAAGCTGGCTGGGAAAGTCTCGGATTAGGCTGACTTTCTGCTTCATGCCCAGAAAGAAGCCAGGCAATCAGCACAACAACCGCCATGAGAACGGCATCGTCGCGCCCGGAAAGAGAATAACCAAGCAAAAATCCAACGGCCATCTCAATGGTACTGCCGAAGGTGGCCCGCTCACCAGCGGCGTGCCTGCTCCGTTGACTTCCGCTGCTCGTGCGACATCACAAGAGCGTGAAAGGGGCGTGGATGGGGAGACAAAGGAGACACCGAGCCACACTTATGGTCACACGCTGCAAAAGCCCTCGCCTGAGAAAGATACTGCAAAAGAAGGGTCTCTGTCAAGTCAGCTGGGGCACGCAAATGGGACTGCCCACCCTTCTACCACCAAAAGCGAAACGGCCTTCTCCAAGTCCCCTACCATGCGCAAAGAGAACGCATTCAACTTGGCCTACACAATAATCCGGTCATGTCCTCTCGGCGATACCCTCACTATCCTGATCATCCTGCTCTCGATTCCGTCTACCATACTGACGCTCATCAACATCCTATTTGCCATCCTGACATTCATGACCCCGGCTTCGTCCTTCTTCTCTCTACCAAACACTTTCACGGATATCTTCCAAGGATATGGCGGAACACCCTCATTAGCGACAATCGTGATCACTGATATCCTAGGCTTACTCATATGGCTAGTGGCATGGACACCAATACAAGGACTTGCCCTTGAGTTCGCACAAACTGTGGTTGCTGCAACATTGGGAGGAGGTAACACATCAAAAAAGCCTGGATATGACAGTACAATCTTGTGCTTCGCTATAGTGACTCTCCGTCATATTTCAAATCGTGGTTGGATACCCTCAAGGATTTTTGGCTTTGACTGGCGAGCCGTATTGTCACAGATACCATACGTACCTCAACGCCCTTCTTCCTTTTTGTCTTTTTCTAATGATGAATATTTTACGACCGATTTAGGGTGGTGGTGGTGGTGGAAATGGTTTGAAGTTGGCATAGCGTTGCACATATTAATTCAAGGGCTCGTTCATGGAGCGAGGAGATGGTATCAAAAGCGGGAGTATTTCCAATCGGCATCTATCGGCAAGAAGGTAGACCCAGAAACAGGCGCAAACGCTTCAAGTAGGCGGACCTCGAATACCTTGGGGGATACAACGCAGCAAAATAGCATTTCGTTGTCGCCAAATACAGCTACAAAGACTTCACTCCCGATAGTGAGGGAGGGACGCGAAAAGACTACAAGTGGTAAGAAGAAGAGAAAGCAAGCCGCTTTTGTGAGAAGTCAACAACCGTTGTGGGCCGCTTTTGCAGCCACAAAGGTGACAATCATGCGAGAGTGTGAGCAGAAGGATTCCATGGGCGGAGTCACGGTACCAGATGCTAAAGATGCAAGTGATCTTGGGGATGCCGCCTTTGGTGGCGTAGCAGATCAGGTTTGGGTATCTGATGTGCTTCCTGATAGCTTTATCTTCCACACGACGTACGGTCTTAGCCGGGACAGCACGTATTTTGAGAACGACATCAACCCGCCTAAACCATTGCATGTTCGCATCAATGACACTGACTGGACGTCTACGAAGATGACGCGGATCCCCGAGGTTGAGGGTGGAGGAACTTGGTGGCATGGAATAGTCTTTGGATTAGCGCCGTCATCAAGCTACAGATACAGCGTGATTCAAAGCGAGGGTGACGTGGTCCTGCGCTCTATGACTGTGACTACATCGCCCTCGCCATCCGAGGAGACTGGTTAGTAACATCTGTTGTGTTTCTTTACTGTAGGCTAATAGTCGATCTGAAGAGTCAACAAATGCACCAAGCGAAGTTCCACAAAGATCTCACCGCCCATTCTCACCCACCACGCCTACTGCAACACTAAAGAATTCTATCGCTACCTTTGAAGCTTCTTTTAACGAATCATGTGCGCGTCAAAAGAAGGCCAAAAAAGACAACAAAGCCACTAGCTCCGCCATCAAAAGGGAGATTGACATCTTGAACGGAAAGATATCAAAGCTCGTCAGCGAGGACCGATCCCACAGCAATCGTCATTTGCAGTGGAATCAGTCTATGAAACAGGCAGATGAAGCTGTCGTGGCTTTGACGGACGAAATAGAAGCGTTGGACCGCATACCTGACGAAGAGCAAGAGATCTTTAAGGAGAAGAAAGCCCAAAAAGAAGCAATCAACAATCAACGTGATGCTCTTCGTACAGCTCTCCTCCGCGCTAAAGATTCCACTCAACGAGCAAAGGTCGCTGTTCAGACCGAGGCGCATACCGCTCACCAAAAGAAGGAGCGGTTGCTGGCTCGAAGATCAAAGCTCGACGACCAATGCGAGAAGTTCGAGTCAACAATGTTGGAAGGTCTCAATGACAAGGAACGCAAGGATTCTAAGCAGGCTTTGAAGGATCTTCAACGGGCGAATGTTGAGCAGCAGTTACATGAGCGCATGGCCACCTTCAATCAAGCTTGGCACGATTCTCGCTCTACCCTAGGCCAATACATTTCTCAAGCTCGACTGTTTGAGAATGCGTATCATGAGCAACAAATGATTGCTAACTCTGTACACGCCATGCAGCAACGTCCCCTGACCCCTGAAGGGGACCTCCCTGGTGAAAATCCTCAAAGTGCAGCTGCCGCAGCGCATCATCTACCTATGTTTGGAACTCCAGACTCCGCCGGTGGACTTCGAAGTCATTCGGGATCTTTCCGTCAGAATCACGATCGACAGCGTTCTAGCTCTTTGCTCTCAAACAACAGCAACTACGTCGACTTTGAAGACTTGGAACCACGACCGCCAATGCCTTCAAGGGCTATTGAGGCCATCCGAGGCGCTAGGAAGCAAAGTGGAGGTAGCGCTGGTGGAAGCTCTGGCAGCAGTAGTCAGCGAGATCCTGCGAGTCCGGTCGTCGTCAACAATAATCGAGATAGCCCTGTTGGTAAGAAGAACCCGGTTTGGAATCAGTGAACGAACTTCTGTAGCGCACAGAGTTCAGGTAACTTCCTATTTTAGAAAACATCTTTTCCACCCTTGAAAAGTAAAAGAATCCGCTCATCGCAATGCAGTGCAAGTATGATTTTGCCCCCTTAAAGAGACGTGTCGTACAGACGGGTCTCGCGCTAAGTTACTTTCTGCCACCACCACGCAGTGAAGGTTTGTCTGAATGGCCCCACCTGGCTTCCCTGACTTCAATTCTGTCTATCTATATTATGTTTTGTATCCATTTCGTCGTTACAACGCCCGCATTTCTTGATCTATAGCTCCGTTGTCCGGCCAAAGGCACGTTGCGCATGCACACAGTCAATTGATGTTCTCGCTCTGACCGCACCTTCCTTATAACCAATTAGAGAAACATGTCTTCTTTCTTCCAAAAACATATCAAACGTGCTTCTCAGGAGGCAAAGCAAGAGTTCCAAGGCACACCGAAAGATCCAGTGACTTCCGCTAGGCACAGCCAGCCGCTGAACATTTTCAAACGGTCGGTCTCGAACTTGCGTGTGACGAAGTCTCTCAAAAAGTCGACAAGCTCCACATCCACCAACCAGTCAACGAGCAATAGCCTCCGCAAAAGGGTCGAAGAAGTCAGGAGTGAAGTGCTACCAGGAAAGAAAAGATCGACAGTTGAGAATGAGAAGCGCCTTCTGATGGACGAAAACGCACATGTGCCACAAAAACAAGACAGGCCTCCAGACCTCAGGCTTGAGTACTCGAACTTCTCAAGCTTTGAGAAACTGACCCCAGACAGTAGTGGGTTAGCGACGCTTGAGTCAAGCCACCCGACAACACCATCCCCCGCAAAGCCGTCGAAGGAAAGCGCAATTGGGGCCTCTGAGCTATCTGAAGAGGACATGGGGCAAAGAAACTCAACAGTGAGGCGAAAGCCAATTCCTCTGAATCAAAAGCCAAGCCTAGACTGTTTCACGATATCACCACCAATGTCACCAAACACGTCATCCGTACAATCCTCAGCTGAGATGCATCCACCGCTAGCTGTTCTGACAAATCGACCTGCCTCTGTACAAATGCCTATACCACGGAGAAGATCATCTCTTACGGCATTACACCTCGACAGCTCGCATTTCGATCGGCCTCTTTCTTCAAGAGATGGCACAAAGCATCGAGCCAGTACTCTTACAAACACCTTTCCCCAATTTTCGCCAATTAATCTCGCCCCTCTGGAGAAGGCAGCACTGCGCCCTACCTTTTCACCGCCTTTGCGACCACCTGTATCGAATGGAAGGCCAGCCTCATCGTCTTCCATGGCACTCTCAACATCTAGTCCAGCACCACCATTCATCCATCTACCCAAGACCTTTCCGAATGGTCCTGTGGAGGTACGAGCACCTTCTTTGAGAGACAGCCATCACCACTGCATTCAAGGCCACCGTAAAATGCCGCGCAGTAACAACAAAATCTGCCCTACCCCGTGTATGACGTGTGGGACTAACCGCGAACTGTTCTGGAAATGTGTCTCCTGTGCTTTGAGAATCTGTGGAGAGTGCATGGCAGAGTTCTCGACACGGGGAAGAGAGTTGGAAAGACTATTGGTGTGGGTTGAGAAGAGTGGTCGATCGTCATTAGATTCTTCGGGGAAGCCTTCGGACAAGTCATCAATGACGAGCTTTGGGAAGGGCAAAGGGAAGGAGGGGCTTCAAAATATAGCCAAAAACAAGAGTGACGAGGGAAAGAAAGAAATAAAGATTGTTAAATCAACAGCCAAGGAGATCTCTGGGGCAAAGGTGACACGATACTTGGTGAAGGGCTGAATAAATGGTTTAAGGAGAGACTTCAATTCAGGAGCAAGGAATTTCACAACATAGTTCGTCAACTCCTTATAATGATATATGAGGTACTGGGCAATCAGGGTAGGTTGGGAAAGTGCTGTGTGGTAAAAATGACTGGCGAGGGCACTGATTGGCTGCATTGGTGCTGATTGCAGAATTTGGTTCTCGTTGTCGGTGAAGGGAGATGGGCCCAGCATCTCGTTGTTTGAACTGCTCGCGTAAGTCAACTTATACAAAGTTTAGCATATAATCAATTAGTGACAGACGCTTTGGACCTTCCATCACCACACACCAGCTTTGACCTCCTCTCCGCCACCTCCCATGACCCCATTCACCCACTCTCCATACCTGAAAACGTCCCCCCTCTCACTCTGCCCTACCCCACCCCCTTTCTGAAAAGTCCTCCTCCCTGTAAAGCCCTCTAGCGCCTTCTCCACCTCCCTTGCCTCCATACTCTTTCCACCTGGCGCATACACCAGCGAATCCTTCAACGCCCCAACATCTACCTCCCCAGTATCCCTCTCATCAAACGCCGCGAACGCATTCATCAACTCCTCATTCCTGCTGAACCGACTCAATGGCCCGCTCAGCGTACTAAGGAATTGCGCCAAAGGCAACGACTGTGGTGAGCCGGGGGGAAGAAGGCAGAAATTTCCTGCGGTGTGGAGGAGAGACCGAGTTCGTTGAGTGTGGCGGTCACATCTGCGCGGGTGATGCTTCCAGTGCTTGAGCGGTCTAGGACGCTGAATGCGGTGCGCAGTTGGGAGAGGAGATGGGTTGGAAGGGAGGAGAGGGCGATGTTGGCTGAGGAGGCGGATTGTTGGAAGGGTGGCCGTGGGGTTGAGGAGGGGAGGGGAAGGGGAGTCGCTGTTAGGGTGCTTGTTGTGGACGATATTGTTGGTGTTGGTGAGGGTGGTGCGTTGAAGGGGGAGGGAAGAGGAAGGTTGCGGGGAGTATTTGATGATGAGGTGCTGGTTGGTGGTGTCGATGCATTTTGGAGCTTGGAGGGCGAGGTGAGGATAGGTTGGTGGGGTTTTGTTGGGGAAGGTGTGGGGGTGGTGGGTCGGGATGAGGGGGATGCTGGAGAGGAAGGACGCGGACTTTCAGGGCGACGGAAAGGAGATGTCCTTGGGGAGCCGATTGAGAGAGGAGAGGGTTTGTATGTTGCTGGAAGAGACTAGAGATGTTTAGTCTGGTGGTCATGGGTGTAGTGGAGGATGATGCTACCATTTTTCGTTGCAGGTCAATCAGATACAGATGGCAAAACTAGTCAGGAGCTGTAGACCGTTTTCATCACTCATTCAAAAGATATTGCACTTCACAGTATGATATCCTCTGGCCGCAATTGACCGTCAAAGTCGGATGGATGTCGAAGTCAATAGATGCGTAAACAATGCCAAGACCGTGTGACATCCTTGTGCAGATCAGGGGAACCCCTCGCGCTCCCCGCAGGCCCACCACTGGGCCTCGAACGGCAGCGGGCTGGGGACTTCCCTCCATTTCAATCTTCAGGATTCTCTTCTTATTAGTATATAGGATACACATGGGCATGGACGGTGTTATTGGCGTCGGTCTTTCAGCTGCATATTCGGGTCCTACGTGACTTGGGATGGCGCAAACATAGCGATTCGTTGTCTCACAACACCCTTGCAGCTGGGTTGTTAGATATTCCTTTCTCTGCGTTTCCATTCTATCAAGAGCAGGATGAGTACCGGTCTCTCCTATAGACCCTCTACTAGTGGCACAAATGCCAGTGCGACTAGTTTCAGACGGCAAGGGTCGTTATCTTCCTTTCCCTCAACGAGGATTCCTTCCAGCCATTCCTCTCGCAATGGACCAACGTCTGGAAGTGTACCCGCTATTCCTAGACGTGTATCCTCAAGAAGTTCAAGAGCGACCTCTACAACTTCATCACTGAAACAGGTACCGTCCAAAACTTCAAGCGTTAGGCGAAGGAAAACGTTGAAGTCACAATATCCCGCCAATTCTCCGGAGAAACATGTGGACTATATATTGGTGGCATCATTTGATATTGACAAGGGATCTGTGATGGAACACCAATACCCAGGAGCAATCAGTGGGGATGAAAACATGCTTGCAGAGCTCATGCTGCCAGATCAATCACATGCGCGGAAAGAGGATTGGACCATATTCTTTTTGCATAAGGATCCCAGTGAAGAAGCCGATGCAGCTGACGAGGTTGAAGCTCAAAAGGATGTCAAAGACGAGACCGTTTCACCTGGGGATGCACCAGTTCAGGAGGATGGTGGTGACCTAGACGATGATGGCGGAGAGGGGCCACCTTTGATATACGTTCTAAACTTAGTCAATACAAAACTTGATTCTACCGTAAAAAGGCACGGTCATCATCGTTTTCTGGATCTATGAAGATGCACTAACAGGTTTGTACAGAGGCGCAATCGTCAAGGCTATGGCAATTTGTACGAGACACTCATTTCTACACATTTACAAAGTTAGTTCTCCTCTTCTCTTTGGGTGCCATTTCTGGATACGCACTTATATCTTCAGCCTCTTCTTCTCTTGGCTCTCGAGGAATACTACAAGTCTCCAGTCCCAGAAACATTAGAAACCCTTTACAATGCAGTCAACTCGATGGATTTATCATTCATGCCGAGATTATCGATGTTTGAACGACACATATTACTTGCTAGTGACACGAAAGATATGTTTACAGAGAAATTCGAACAGATGATACAACAACGTAAGATTGAGGAGGCACGTAATCCAGATCTAGCGCCAGATTCGCCATCTAAACTTGGTGTGGAAGCTACAAGTCAAAAGGGTCGGTATACCGTGCCCCGAGACACACATGAGTTCGAGACCAAGGTTTTCTACAACGGCGTGCCAGTACCCATCAAAGTACCTTCAGCATTAGTGCCCGAGACTGTTGGAGATTTCTCCTTTATCAAGCTTATTCAAACTTTCGCCACTGTTCACTCCACGTCACCTCAGCCATTTGCGCTCCATCCTCATCTTACAACGAACGGAGCATATACCCACCCAATAATAGTCCTTGTCAACGCCTTGCTTACACAAAAGCGGGTCATCTTTCAAGGGCACAACAGACCATCCGGTGAGGTTGCTGAGGCCGTCCTAGCCGCCTGTGCTCTGGTTTCCGGGGGTGTCTTGAGGGGTTTCACGCGTCATGCGTTTCCCTACACCGACCTCACTAAAATCGACGACTTGCTCAATGTGCCCGGATTTGTTGCAGGTGTAACCAATCCGACATTTGCAAACCACCCCGAGTGGTGGGATTTGCTATGTGACTTACCAACAGGACGCATGAAGATAAGCACCAGACTTGAGACAGCACCTGTCACCGAAGGTCTAGTTTATTTTCAACAGCAGAATCCTGGATTCGCACTTAGTCCGACCAGTCTTGGTGGGAAAGAAGCCATGAGCAATGATCCTACAGGTGATAGTCTTTTTATTGAAGGAATAATGCGTAGCATCAATTCTCGCCATGGAGAATCGGTTATTCGCAGCAGATTCAGGGAGTATATCATTAAATTCGCACGGATGTCAGCTGCATTTGAAGAGACTGTATATGGAGCGTCCGCGCTGTATATTGGTGCCTCGGAAGCCGACGCTGGTGCTCATGGGGTCTCAGGGCATGGTTATGTATGGTCTGATGATGCAGCCAAAGCTCGCGAGCTTGGAGCCAATGTATGGCGTATTGAAGGTTGGCGGACGACTCGAAGCTACTATGCTTTCATCCAGGATTTGACAGCTGCTTGGGAACGTAGACCAATTCGATCGATTGACCTAGCTCATCAACACGATCGACTGCGCAGCCAGAAACTGAGCCATGAAGACAGTGCTGCCATTTACATCGCTTTTGCAGAGTCGATCCGGACTTACGAAGAAATATGCCAGCTTCTTACGGTAACGCCAGGTAGCAATGCTGGGCTTTTCTACATTGGCCTGGGGCTCTTCCACCCTGATTTCAAGGTAAGGGTGGCAGCCGTCGAATTACTCGAAAGGATGATTGAGCATGAAGCTGGACGAAGTTTCTGGGCCCAACTCAGTCGCTTTGCTAAATTAGCATTCTTCAGGGTGAAAAAAGAGGCTGAGAAGCGGAGCTCAGAAGATGATGCAGGCATGGAGAATGGTATCGGCCTTGGACTTGATGCCCGTGTGAGAGTTGGGAATGTCGGTCGAGCAAGTTGAGTGAGAGTTTGCATATGGGCCGCGTTCGGATGTTTGACATGATACAATGATACCCCCAATGTAAAAATTTGATGTACATTTGTGAGCCAAATTCATTTTTCTCCGCCTTTTCCTTTCCCGCTCCTCGTCTTTCCCTCCCTCGCCCCTGCAGCCTCCCCCTTTCCTTCTGCCTCTCTCCCATATCCACTGATCAGATCCATGATGTTATCTTCCTCCTCCGCCTCCGGCGGCCCTCCTGCCTTACTTTCCTTGCCTTCGATCTGACCCCCCGAAAGCCCACCATCTTGTCCAAGCTCTGGCGATTGCTGTTCCGTTCCTGATCTATCTCCCGGCCTCGTAGCGTCCCATCCTCGTCCAAACTTCTGCCGGAATTTCTTCAATCGCCCTTCTTCGTCGGACTCAGCGTTTAGCAATTTCTGGGATGATGGATTCCAGAGAGGGGAGTTGCGGGTGTCTTTGGTGGATTTATAGATTGGTGCTGGAGAGGTAGTACGATGAGTGAAGGTGGAACCGTCGCTGAGGGTCACGAGTTGGGTGAATGTGTATGGGCGACGAGGGCGGCGGAGGAGCGTTGCGTGCCGTATCTGGGTATAAGATTTGAGTATGGGATTGTGGAAGGATGTGGTGGATTGAAGGGGACAGAGAGGCTGGCGGACACAATATGAGACGGTCATTCGGCCTTTCGAACTTGTTTCGTAGATACACAAAGGCAGGTCCAGTTGTATTGGGACGAGGAGGAGGGAGGGTGACTAGCGCAGGAAAATTAGTTCTCCGCTCCAGGTCCGCAAATCTGGTCTACGCTTCGCCCTCCAAACGTCATCGCAGCGAGGACCATTCAGCTCCATGAGAATGTGAAGTTGGATGGATAGACAGGCCATCCTAACGGACTTATGATCCGGTGGTGTATTCGCCGCGGCCTACAGTCCTCGCCCAATTTGTCTGAATGTACTATCCGAACCATCTTACGCTCGAGGAGGAAAATCTCTACAACACGCGAAGATACGGATGAATTCAATGATCAAGACAGAAGACGACTTGCAAGAATACAGATTGAGCGTAATCTACAGCGGCTAGAGAAAGAAATTCACACGATTAGCGCCGACGTGGAAAGACAGAGCCCGGTTGTACCTGGAGGAGAAATACTGCCTTTGGCTCAAGTCGATGAGGCTGGAATTCTGAGCCCGTACAGCGACACGCAAGGAGAGCTAGCCACGGAATCATTGGCTGAGGAGCCGTTGATCCTGTTCGGTGGAGAGTATCCACCGCTCCATGAACGTGTCGAGGCTCCATTGACAGGTGCTTCTTGACCTTCTTATCCCATCTATTGTACACTTATGTCCGAATTATGCTGACTGAATGGATCAGTAGAGCATCTGATCGTTAAATTCAAGGCATTAATGCGAGCTGTGCCTCACGCTCTTGCGGTTATTTCTTCCATTCTACCAGATGGCAGTTCACCAAGAGCCCTTCTCGTCTCGTCCTTCAACTCGGTCACCGTCTCTCCCATTCCCTACATCTCCTTCAACATCAGAAAGACATCCTCTACTCTAGCCGCCATCAAGAGTTCGAGACGTTTCATAGTTACAGTCATTGGTGATCCCAGAACTGCTAACGTTTTCGCTGATTTGGTACCCGGCGGAAAGATGTTGCGCCAAAAGATGTTGGAAGCGGATGGCCGACTCAAGCCCGAAAGCGGTGGTGTAATATGCATGGAGTGCAGGTACACTCGTCATAGGCAGATCGAGGTGGGCGATCACGTTGTCATTGTTGGAGAAGTCCTTGATGTTCAGCCCGAACGTGGCCGAGACCTGAAGGACACAGCTCTCGTGTATTGGCACGGCGAACATACTCCTGTGGACATGAATCATAGCAGATTTATGGCAGACTCTGCAAAGGAACGTGCGAGCACTGAATCGCGCGTTAGAAAAGTTGTCTATCCAGAAGCTAAGGAGTTACCTCGGATCCGAAGTGTGGTGCTTGATTTTCATGACAATCCAGATGATTTCTGGGAGGAATAGTGTGACTTTGTTCCCTCCGTGACATTTCAGGCATTGTACGTCAGTCTACATTTCCGGCTGTCTCAAGACTTTGAGGGAAATAGGTTTCCAGTAACCAATCTCAATCTTCCAGCTGAGAGCTGTCGCTCGAAATTTTGTTCCGTGGCTTCCGTTGGCTGTGTAAAAATCAAGGTCCAAGCCGTCGTTTCCAATCTCTTCGCCAAGTATTTGTGTCACTCTGCTCTGACGAGTTGTAGTTGAAAGGACTTTTCTGTCTAGATAAAGATCGTAATGCGGCGGGCTTATTGGGAGACTTTGAACTATGAAGCTGTAAACTATGAAGCTGGGTCTCCGGCCTCTGAAGGTTGTTGCCTTGCCTGCTCTGCTCCTCTGAAAATTCTCTCACGTTCTGCTTCTCGCTCGGCCGTCAGCTTCGCTTCTCTTCTAGCTGCTCTTCTCTGCTTCCTTCTCTCCTTCTTTTGCCATAAGTGATCTTCGTTTTCAATCTCCTCTAGTACTAACAATTGGATCAGTTCCTTGTGAACACTCTTTAGACTTCACGAGATACTCATTGACTCACCTTCCTTCCACTCGCGTTCTTGGAGATTGTCACCCGTTCCCAGCACTTTCTCTACATCCACGTCTTCGCCCCGCTGGACCTTTTCAATTACCTCCCGCAGTAGAGCAATTTTGCCATCGGCCTTGCGACTAAATATTTGATATTCATTTTGCAACACAAGCATGTTAATGCTTTGGGAACCTATGAGAATGAAAATCCAGAAGAAGAAAGTGGCCGGGTTCCATGGCTTGTCCTTCTTCTTCGGCTCCTGCTTCTCAGTTCCACGTTCTCTCAATCTGCGAGCGATTCCAGGATACAGAGTTGCCCAAAAAGACGGTCGCACGATCATTGGTAGTTTCTCGGTCCAATTGAAGTCCCGCTCTTGTCTCGCAGGTTGAGATGCTAGGTGACGAGATGGCCCACGTATAATCAAGCATTTTGCTGGCAATGAATGCCTCGATCTCGGTATACATCGTGACCGGATCATTTGTTATGCAACCAATCTAGGCGTAAGATGATTGGTGTCCTGAACGGTAGTATCGAGGCCAGAATTCAGATTAAATAGGTATCATCCCTCTTCTCAGACTTGACTGAACAGTGGTAAAAGACTTCTGGATACGCGTGTGATCACTGGAGAGGGTCCAACAACCCTGTCAAGGCGCCTCGTGTATAGGTGAGCCGGGTTTAAGAGTCTTGGTGGCTAGTTATCGCCGACTTCATTGTTTACAAAAAGATGCAACACCTAATGAAACGCACACATCAGTAGAGAGCATTGTCAACCTTTTGTAGCAACATTGTACCTTACACTGGTGTATTGACTCTTATGCCATGGATGAAATATTGCGATGACAATTGCGGAGCTGGCCCCCACGGCAGGCGATCTTCAGCGAACAATCGGCACGACAGAAACATGTACCACCTCGACCGTCGAAAACCTGAAGAAACTTTTGTTCCCATTAATGACAACCGAGCCGCAAGCTTACAATGGAACTTCTCGAACTCATAAACGGCCTGCGACCGCCGCGCCCCGAAAGGGTGCTCCATCAACTAAACCCCAAAGACTTGCTGGATGTTCTGGAGAGAACAAAACTAAGATTGAAGGGAAAGGGTCAAAAGACAAAGTACAGCTAGCGATTGCGACAAACGTCATCAACAGTACCTTGAAAGCACTCACGAGTGCCGCGAAAATACGATCTAGCCAGGTGACGGTAAAGAAGCATACGTCTAGACGCTCAAGCAATCTATGTCTTACACGAAGCACGACACCAGTCCGTCAAACGCCGCTGCAACCTATAAGTGGCAATAGATCTACACCTTTGAACAAGAGGCTCTCTGACAAGCACCGCCCAAGCTCTACCCGGGGAGAGAATGGAGGCCTTCGGGCTCAGGCGATGTGTGCTCACCTTGCTTTCAAAAGCCTCGCTACAAGCCAAGAAACGGACGAAAAGTCCATGGCGCTACCATTTCTTCAGCTTGAAAAGGGTATGTCGGCTCTTATCCACAAATGCATCGCCCTCGAATTCTACGACTTGGCAGCGCAGGAACTGCGAGAACTCAGAAAGCGATTTGTAAGCCTCAATGAGATTGAGAGTGGAGCCAAACTAGTCAACATGGCTTCGTCACGCCGCGCTCGAGACCGCGAAGACACAATCCCTTCAAGCAGCTTAAATGTGGCCCTCGTAAATTACGGTCCTATTCCAGGCCAGAGCGCCTTGCTGCCAATGATTATTACATCACAATTCCAGATGTTGAGATTACTGTCCGCGACTGGAACTGACGATCCAGGATCACTTTTAGACCTGCTAAGTCTGAAAAATGACGCTTCTCCCGTAAATCTCATTCTACGGCAAGTCCAGCGAGAAAAGCCGGAGACAGGACAGAAGGCTTGCACTGAACTTGAGGTAATGGCACAGCTTATGAGTAAGCTTGCCGAGAAGCTTACATCGGATGGGAATGCGCAACACAGTCTGTCTCTAAAGGTTCTAGTATTGACTATCAGGACAACATGGTGGAAGATGTCACAACACCGTGTCAATACTGCTAAGGAAGTATGGTCGCCGTTGGAGGTGATGATCAGAACATTTCACGGGATGTCATTGGACTCCAAGCCGTCTCGGTACCGCACAGTAATCCAAGTCTTTGAACAAGTCCAGGCATTGTGTTCTGGTCGCAAAGACGGCGGAGAATTACCTCCTGCATCCATCTATCAGGCGCTGGCAGAGTATGCAAGGATGGGTGATCAACTAAGAGAGTCGGCACAGTGGCTCCGAAAAGCTCGCACCTCCTACTCTGAGCAAGTTATGTCACCCATTCAAAAGTGCATATTAGCCTGTCAATACGCCACGCTCAATCTGCGGGACTGTATCGACAGTAAATCCTTGATGGTCGACCAAACATTATTGAATGATGCCGCAAAGCTGCTCTCCAATGATTTATCCGGTGACCCTGACGCTCTCGGTGAGCTTCTAGTCATAACCTCAACCCTCCGCAGAACTGCGTGTTTTCTGTGTGTGAACAGTTTGCGGCAGTCCAATTTGGAAAAAGACGCAATGGCCCCTTCAGACTTGCAATCGTGCGTGAGGATTCAAGTGCTTTGCATCAAGTACTTTGTTCGCTACTTAGGCAGTGAAAAGGGTCTGGACAGCTCTCATGCGTCCTCAGACCAAGAGCGACAGCGTATGAAACTACTGGATCCGATCGTAAAACCTACTATAGAAGGTACAAGCACATTTGCCAAAGCGCATGCAAAATGTAGCGCGCACGACTGGCAACTCATTGATAGCGGTTTGCATAATTGTTTTCAGTTGGTGCAACTACTTAGACGACTAAGAGCCAGTGAAAGTTGCCGGGACGATGCTATCAGTTCCCTTGAATCAGGAATGGCATCATTGTCTCAGCCATATTGGTGCCGGTATCTTCATTTACGGAAACTTGACAGTTGTGAAGATGATATGCTGGGGTCGTTGAAGACATCCATTGACGTGTTGCAACAGTCTTCAACGAGAGAACAGTTAGAAAATATGCTATTTACAAGGCTAGAACACTACACTCGCCTGGTTGAGAGCTCGGGTGATTTCAAGCAGGTTCTTCAAGTATGCAGGGAGAATCTACGATTATATCGCCAACACGGCATATTTACAAAAGCGACAGAGTCTTTGAAATACCTTCCTGTAACCAATGCCTTTGATTCGAGTGAGGAGATTGGGTTACTTGCTCGCACCCTAAAGACGTACTTAAGGGCCTCTGTCAGAGTGAATGGCACAGCAGATACAACGTTCATATTCTATGACGCTCCAGGTACCTCAACAGATGAGAGAATGGCTTTACTTGCCTACCAGTTCTCTGTTCTCTCATCAAAGCTTCATACTCGCAGTGGGTCAAGGATTTATATTGACGGCGTTCGATGTATCTCCCGAATACTCCTAGACTTGACGTCCGAGACCGAGTCCCCTGTTATACGTCGCTGGCTTGTGGTCCAACTTATGTATCTTCGGTTAACTCAGCCTTCGGCCGTTGACGAATCCGTACTTCTCCCAATCGTCAATGCACAAAGTGCTCCACAAATACGTTCGGCTCTCCACTCAAGCATGAAATACTCTTTGAGCCATATGACGGATTCGTTGCGTCTACTAACAGCTATGGAGAAGAAAGATGCCGACACTGAAGTGATTGAGGATGTATTGAAGACATGGTCAACAATGTTGAGGACCTCTGCAGATATGAGCGACATAGGACAGAGGACGTACGATATCCCACATTGGCAGCTTCAACTTGAGCTGGCAATTGATTATCTGGAATTTCATGGACTACTCTCGCTTAGCTGTCGTGCACTTGAAACATATACAGCGCTTCTTGAAAAGCTTGGTGTGGAGAAGTCTCTGACAGTAGCGAAGTTGGCTCAGCTTAGCCTTCAATATATCAGACTGGGATATATCAGCTCTGCAGATGCTACCCTTGAAAGAACATATCTGTACCTTCAAAATGATGGAGATATGGCTAGCTGTGCCCTCGAGTGGCATCTAGCTGCGGCTCAAAGAGATCTCGAAAGTCAGAATTTCCAGGAGTGTTATCAGCACCTCGATTCTATCCGGTTGGCGGTTCCAGAGCTTAGTGAAGAAAATCCTGCTGTCCAGACTGCTAGTGATCGTACTTATTTGTGGAGAGTGATCGCTGACGCTGAAATGCTACACTCAAAAATGGCAGTCTCTCAAGGTCAGAGTTACGAGGCACTACTGTACGCACGGCTAGCTGTTAAAGGCTATGATAGGATTTGGATGTCATTGAAGCGTCGGCAACCCAGCTACGACGAAGGTTCCAGTAATTTTGGGACTGATTGCAGTCTCCCAGACTTGACAGATGCATTCGCAGGAATGAGCACAACAGACAAGAGCGTCTTGGCCCCTTCTTCATCGAAATATTCCCTTCTACATAACGCCGAGTTCTGGACTCTTGTTCCTCGATTGTTAAATGGGCTGCTATTGCTAGCGTCTCGATTTGCTCATGCATGCCTTTTCTCGGAGACTGAACACTACCTAGGAGAAGCAGAGAAGATCATCGAAGCTAGTGCTATATCTCGGCTGAAGTGCCAATATGATGCAGTGCATGCCCAGCACGCTTGCTTCAGTGGAGATCTAGCAAAGGCCCGGCAAATTGTGGTGCAGGTCGAAGGAAACCTAGATCGAGCGCCTGATGACAGAATCAATGCATCGATACAATTACAAATAGGAGCCTTGCATCCATTGCTTGGTCTCACAGAACAGTCTATGTGTTCTCTGAATAGGCTGGAGCGATTAATGCAGAATCTGCAGAATCGAGCAATGCCAGAAAAAGCTTTGGGTCAGCAAAGCAGTATAGAAGAAGCCCGGGAAAGCTTGACCACCTTGTCGCTCGAGGAAAGTCGTGGAAAACGCAAAAATCAAAGCAGAGCACCGGCTGGTCTTCAAAACAGGCCTGCAAGATCGAAAACGAAGTCAAAAACCCATCTTTCATCCTTGAATGTGCGTTCCGAAGTGGGCGTGAACTGCTTGTCTATGGTGGAAGCAGACGTACTCAGACAGAAAGCCATCGTGGCTTTGGCTCTAGGGGAGCTGGATCAAGCCCTGCAATTTCTTGCGGCGGCTCAAAACAAAACTTGCTCTCCAACGAGTTCCATTAAGCAGGCAGTCGTAAAAGCAGAGATCCAAATGCAGCAAGGTTTGCACGATCTCACAACCCATCCTGTCTTCAGTATCCTTGCTGAATCGGCAATCTCTTATCCCTCCATCCTCGGACCTAATCCAACGGAAAAAGCATCAAACTCCGTACGTCAGATGAACAAGACAGCTCGTCAGCGACCGAAAGCTAGTAGAGCTCCGACTCGGGAGACCAGAGCCGAAAAGCTGACTTTGACGGACGAAGACGCTGGGTTCCTGAAGATGTCCCAAATTACTCTTAACGACGCTTTGAAAGGCGGTCTAAAGCACTTGTCAGTGAAGGAAATGTACCATATGCTTGATGTTCTGCGTAGAACAATGATCATTCAAGTAGCAATACCTACCTCATGTTCAATGTCGTACATTCCTTCGACGTATCTCGCTTTTACCGCAGGTTGGTCTCCAATCTCATCTCTTCAAAAAGAGCTTGGCTAATTCACGGCGACAGAACTTGGTCGGATGACCGCCGTGTCGCAGAAGAATTTGGCTGTTCGGATGGAGCAACAAATCCTTCACAAAGACATTCCACCAAATGATTCTAGCAAGAAAGTGGATGAAAGAAGTCTCGCATTGGCGACAGAGAATCTCGATTTGTCAGGGCTCCAAAAAGAGTACATTGACATTATTCCCCCATCTTGGAATGTGATCTCGATTACGCTTAATGACTCCAAAGAAGAGATATTTGTAACGAAATATAGAGCTCACGAAGCTCCATTCGTTTTACAAATACCTTTAAATCGCCAAAATGCTCCTGACAGCGATGACTTATGCTTCGGCTTCAACGAAGCGAGACATGAGTTGTTCGAGATCATAGAGCTCGCGAATAGCTCTAGTCAGGATGCCCGCTCAGTGACAGAAAAACAGGCAAAACTGGACTGGTGGAGCGCCCGAGATTCTCTCGACTCCAGATTGAAAGATTTGGTCACCAATGTTGAGGATATCTGGCTTGGCGGCTTCCGTGGTGTCTTCTCTCAGCATGAAGTTGATCCAGGCTGTCTGGCGCGCTTTCAAATGTCTCTACATGGTATTCTACAAAAACACTTGCCTTCGAGGAGTAAACCTTCTATGAACAAAGATGCGGCATGGGTTGCCTTGAGTCCTCATGTCCTTCATCTGCTTGTCGCCCTGGGCTACCCTAGTGATGAACACGATGTTGACGACCAAATCCTAGACCTACTTTACTTTGTCGTCGACATATTGCAATTCAATGGTGAACGCAATGCATACGACGAGATCGATTTTGACTCTATCGTGGTCGAAACTTTGGATGCTTTGCGCCATTACCATCGAGCAATATCGTGTGAAGTCAACGAGGAGCAACAAAGACACACCATTCTGATTCTCGATAAGCATCTTCACTGCTTCCCATGGGAATCTTTGCCATGCTTGAGGGGCCAGTCCGTCTCCCGACTCCCCTCGCTTTCCTGTCTGAGGAGAAGGATATTATTACAACAGGAGCAACAGGCTGAAAAGACCATAGCCGGCATTATTGCTCGTCGCCAAAACGGTGCTTTCATTCTCAATCCATCAGGCGACTTAAAGAATACCCAGGAGAACTTTGGGCAGACTTTGGAAAGCCTCTCCGGCTGGGAAGGCACGACCCAAGAAGCACCCAAGGAAGAGACGTTCAAATCCTACCTAAAAAACAGCGACATATTCCTCTACTTTGGCCACGGGTCCGGAGGCCAATACATCCGTTCCCGAACCATCAACAAGCTAGATAAATGTGCTGTCACCCTGCTCATGGGCTGCAGTAGCGGACATCTACAAGAAGCTGGTTCGTATGAGCCGTACGGGAAGCCGATCGATTACATGCAAGCTGGCTGCCCTGCCCTGGTGGCTAATTTGTGGGATGTGACGGACAAGGATATAGATCGGTTTGCACAAAGTGTACTGGAGAAATGGGGACTGTTTGGGAAGAAGGCTTTACCTCAGTCTGGTAGAGGTGGCAGGGGAAAGGGCAAAGGCAAAGTGGTGAAGGAGGCAAAGCTGACCGAGGAGAATACCGGTTCCATGTCTCTCGACAAGGCTGTCGCGCAATCGAGAGACGCTTGTTTTTTGAAGTACTTGAATGGAGCGGCGCCCGTGATTTATGGCGTGCCGGTGTTCTTGGAGTGAGACCGGCGGCTTATGTCAACATCAGGATATGACTGGGCTTGGGTATTGTAGATCAAGAGCATACTTTCTTTGGGATAGCATTAGCGAGCATTTGGATTGAGCGCTTGATCAAGTATTGAGACAGGAAAGTAGTTCTCTTGTATCGTACAATTGCATTGTCGTTAACTGGCATACGTTTCATCTTATGGATGCATGAGTTTGGGTCCCCATATATGCGGGTGATATCAATGTGCTTGATTCCTAGCCCTGTTGTGAGTAACCTGTCTGCTGACAATGGCCATCGTTGTTCGTCATAATTTTCGTTACATGACCTGGATCTAAATCAGCAACTGCATTGATCCAGGACTGACATCTCAACATACCCCACAATTTTCATCCATCACGATAGCTCCTCCTTCCTCTCCAACCGTGAACCCTCCCAACCCAATATCTTCACCCGCCTCTCGTCTCGCTCTCAGTCTCGTCGCAAACTGCGCCAACATACCTCTCTACAACGCAGGAAACCAACAGATCAGCCATCGAAGAAGCTCAGCCATTCTTCAAAGCTGACGGCCATAGGTCTCAACGCGGGAAAGGGACCTACAGTGATATATGCATCCCTATTTCCCCCTTGCCTCTGCACATCGTTCTGGCTCACAATCTGGTAGCTCTCATGCATCTTCTTCCTGCTCGTCAAGCCGTCCCCGAGCTGTGGCTCGTCGTTATTGGTGGTGGAGCGTTGGCGTCGCCGACCAGACAACGACGAATGGCCTTGAGAGCCGTGCGTGGAGCTGCTGATACTGACGCCATTTTTGGCGTCCTCCTGTGAGCGAGCGTCGGGGGAAAAGATCTTGATCGTGTGGTCGATGCCGGAGACGGCGAGAAGAGGTTCGTGGGGATGACCTAGGGAATATATTAACGGGGGCGTTGGCTTCGAGAGGAGAGAGGGATACCTTGAATGACATTGACGACCTCGCCGTCACCTTCGAGGATATTGAGGAGCTCAGATGTTTTCTTGTCCCAAATGAAAAGATGGCCACCATCGCTACCACTTACGACGTACTCATCTTGTAAGCCGAAGAAGTTTGCGTCTTTGACGGTTTTGACATTGCAGTGACCACGGTATCGGCGGGTAGGAGAATGGCAAGGAACGTGCTCTTCGACTCTGGCTCGTTGCCTACTGCGTCCAAGAGGGTACTGGAATAACGAAGGTTGCTCGGATTCTGACGGTTCGTCATCGTTATCATCAGTGTCGTCAGTATCTTCATCACTAGTGTTTCCCTCTACATTCCGACGGTAGGTTTCCGCGTCGCTATTCATTTCTTGAGTGTGTTCGAGAGACTCATGCATGATATCGGCTTCAGGGGTAGGATCAGCATCTTTGGTATGACGCTCCGCTGGTGGTCCATCGGATTTTCCCCCACGGGGTCTCCTCACCAAACTTGCCTCTTGTATGAGAGGCTCCTCTTCATCCGGATCAATATCTTCTTGAGCTTTGTCTTCGTCAATCTTTGCCATGCCTAGGCCTCCGAACGCGATATCGACGAATTGAAAATTGGCGCCTTCTCCGGCTTTCATGAGCAAGCCTCTACCCACTTTAAAGCCCCAATACCGAAGTGCTGTCTTTTGGTCTTGTGCTTCTGGTAACGACCCATGTAGACCGCTTCTTGCTGCTGGTATATCCGCCTTCGAGAGGTCGCGGAGAGGTATCTTAATTGCATTACCAAACGCAATTACAGCCGCTATCTCGGATTCAAAGAGCCTTCGCGTTTCGTCTCGCTCAAAGCGTGATGCATCAACGTCTGGAATAGGGGTGTCGCCTGCTTTTTGAAGGAGACTTGGTATCAATAAGTCGTGTATCGAACTTTCGTCAGCTTCGTCTGGTAAAGGAAAGCTGCTTGCATTCTTCCGCTGGTCTGGCGGCTTTTTGAATCCTTGAAGCAGGGCTTTTGATCCACCTTCCAACCAAAGAAGTATAGCCTTCAGAAATGTGTACGAGAAGATCTCACGTCTCATCAGTGGGGGCCCATCAGGCTGGACAGGTGAAATGTCTTGGAAAAAAAGTAGTGCAGGATGTGGAAGATTGCTTGCTGCTTGGAGCTTTGCACCTAAGCATCGTGCTAATGTGCCCGCAGCCTGTACAAATCGCTGTGATGAATTTCGGTTTCCGCGCAGGGTCTGTTGTAGAACAACATCTTCATCCATTGGATCCATCGGATACTTCCAGCTACCAGCAATCTGTTTCATCTCTGGGAGACAGCTTGCCGCAAATCCCAATGCAGAAGTGAACGAGGCGCGGTGCGCCGCGAAGTCATGGGAACCATTTGCTGAATGAACAGAAGCCTCGAGTGAAAACATCATCTTTCGAATCTTGACTGAACTCTTTGCAATCTGCAGACTGCGTTTCTGTGATTCAGTAAACACTGCTCCGCGAGCCCTCTCAAGCTCGGAAGGGCTTGGACGCGGCCCGATATCACTCATGACAACGTCTTCAACTTCACCATTCTCATACCGCGCTTCAATAGCTAGCTCGCTGTCTTCATCCGCGCTAGGGCCAGGCCTCGTTTTTGACCTCTTTCTTTCGGTCTCAAGAGAAGTCGAAGAGGCCGCTTTCTTGCGTTTTTGCTTGCTGCCATTTTTAGACTTTCTGGCAGCATTTCTATCTGACATGGTCTTCTTGCTTTCTGTTCGAAGCATGGATTCATGGCCTGGTTGAACAATATCGAAGCTGTAAATATGGTCCCCAGACCAACTGGCGATCAACTCGTTCGGATTGGCGTCACTAATCTTGCAAGCTGTGATATGTCTATCATCTCTTCTTCCCACCTGTGACTGTCCCTCTCGTGCAAGTCTACGAACGCATTGTGTAGCTCTCCCCATCAGCTCCTCTTCCTCGGCAGACATGCTACTTGCTGGCGAAGATCTTGTAGGGGTACCTTTTTCCGCGCCAATATCCCTTCCAAGCATTCTTCTGTCATGGATAAAGCAATGCAAGTGAGCGCCACCAAGAGCAATATAATGGGGCTGGCTAGCTGAACACGAGATTGTATTGAGGTCAAGGTTGTATCGTTTATAAGAGATCAAAGGCGGTGGCACATTAGAGTCATCATGGTCTTCTCGATGAGCGAGAAAGCCTCGACCTCCTCTTGGGGGTGGGTAAGCTGCAGACGGCATACGAAGATCGAATTGGCGTACCTGGTAAGAGCTTTAGCCATCGTTCCAGAGTACGAATGGGCTCAACTGCTGACCTCGCCATCTTCAGAGCATGTAAGGAAGAGATGTGGAGAAGACTCTGTCACGATCCTTTTCACTCTATCTGCATGCGAGCGGTAGACTCTCGCGTTCGTATTGCCGTCACTCAAGTATTTGACTCCTTTGTACATGTTTTGGAACCGTTGTCCCCGGGCTGTAGACGCTAGGCTTGACCCTTCTGACGATCCTGTATTTCTCCCATTATATTCAATATCAAATACCCTGACTTCCGCATCTCCAGCCGCAGTGACAAGCGTTCGATCATTCGAATGTGGCATGAATTTGACGGAGAAGATGTTCGCTCCATGACCGGTGGCAACAGTCGTTGCTAATGCAAAGGGGGCGTTTGACGAGTCAGGTTGATACGAATGGATGTTGAGATGCTGATCATCGCTTCCGGAGGCTAGGAGCCGTCCAGAAGTAGACCAACTATTGCAGGTGATCAGTGTTTGGCGACCTATGTGGAGGGTTATGTCTTACCTTAACGCATTGACGCAGCCTGAATGACCACCAAGCTCATTCACGATGTCCAAGTCATTGACCCAAGTCTTGTCTCCATAGATACCCCGATTGATCGAATGTCTTGAAGAATTGCCAAATTCCCGCCAGAGAAGCCGGTCAGGCAATCGATCCTTCATCCTCTTTGACCTCAAATGCATCTACATATCCTTCCCCCTATGATACCAAGTTGACAAAGTGTTCAGGGAGTGATTAACTCCCACGTTTTGAAGTTAAGCCAGCATCAGACGTGTAGCCTGTCAAATTGTCAAAGTATTTCAGAGATTAGAGGCTCAGAGAGCCCGTTCACTTGTGCTCATCTACGAGATATCTGAGCCGAGGAAAGGAGGCAAAGCTGAAATGACACACATGATATCATGCAGCTATCTTGAATTTGCCTCATCGAAATGGAATGAGCTCCGGCTCTCTAAGCTCCGCAATTGTCCCGCAATAATTTCGAGACAATCTTTCTTATCGCTTTCCGTAGCCCCCTTTCACTCCTTCGGCCTGCCAAGCCTTGATTCCCCCGCCTTGCCAAACTACGGAGTCAGCGACAGACGATTGCATGTTATGTGATCAAAAGTTGACTATCTCCTCATGAGATGCTCTCACCCGAGTGGATCTCGAACTGTTCTTGTATTAGAGCAGAGAGAAGTCTCTCCAGAGCAAGCCAACGTGATCAGTCTCAGGTAGCTGATGGTCTTACCACTGGGCTCAGCCCAATCACCTCGGAAATGACTACCTCGTTCAAAGGCGACAAATCGTCGATTCACCAAGATAGGTCTACTGCGGGTCTTTCAGATACCCCCGCGTCACCGAATACGGGTTTCTTCCAAAGCCCGCCAACGTTGAGAAATCAATTTTACGATGACGCTGCCTTCCAAAGAATCTTCTCTTGTAGGCTGACCATCTTCTTTCCTACATCATGCTTTCAAGCCACATTTCTTTCACCCAGTACAGTGCTCGTTATCTTCTAAGCATTGCTGCATAATATTTTGGCATTGAGGATTATTTCGACCTCTTTCAGCCACAATTTGTTCCTGCAGTGAAGATTGACAGAAAACTTCTAGCTTTTTTGCCAGCGTCAACTAGATCTGCCATCTACACAGAACTTTCAAATTTCGCAGGGTCAGTGCTTCATCCCACCATTTGGCGCTGGATCGCTGATGCAGAGGCTCACCCTCCATCGCTGCACACACGGGATGTATGGGGTAGGCGTGCTGATGAGCTTGAAACGAGTGAGGGATGGCGAAACCTCCAGGCTATGGGCATCGCCGAAGGAATGGTCGCAATACCTTATGAGAATACCTACGGCGAGTACAGCAGGACATACCAGTTTTTGAAGTATTATTTATGGACTGGCTCCTGTGCAAATGTGACATGTCCCAGTGCCATGACAGATGGTGCAGCAAGATTGCTTTCGATACAGCTAGATTGTCCTGAAGAGGCCATGGACTTTAGTAGAGTGACGCTGCAAAAGGCCTATGAACATCTGACATCAAGAGACCCCAAACAAGCCTGGACCTCTGGACAATGGATGACAGAGCGTATTGGCGGCTCGAATGTTCGCAATTTAGAGACTGTAGCACACCTTTCGCCATTGCTTGAGAACGAAAGAGAGGCAATAGACTCGGACGAAAATATTCTGGGACCATGGGTTCTTGATGGTTTCAAGTGGTTCTCAAGTGCAACCGACGCGAGCATGGCAATTATTTTGGCCAAAACGTCCGAAAAAGAATTATCGATTTTTTATGCACCTTTAAGACGCAAAGCACGCGTTGCCTATAACGACCTCAATACTCCCAAAGAAGTCCTCAACGGCATAGCAATTCAGCGCTTGAAATCTAAGCTAGGCACACGTCCATTACCTACGGCTGAACTATCGTTAAGAGGCACAAGAGCACATCTCATCGGCAAGAAAGGCCAAGGTAGCAAGGAAATGAGCACCGTTTTAAATATCACCCGAATACACAACGCGGTCACAGCCTGTGGCTTTCTAGGACGGGGCATAGCAATCAGTCGTGCCTTTACACGTGTTCGGCGTGTGCGAGGTACCCTACTCATGGATATACCCGCACACATTCGTACATTAGCGGCTTTACACGTAGAACACCATGCTTATATGCAGCTCACCTTCTTTGTTGTAACGTTATTGGGAATGGTGGAGTCAGAAAACGGCAGGGGGAAGCCAACTACCCCGAACCAAACGAAAGGCCAAATCCCATATCTCAAGGGATGTGACGACGTCGGTATACTGCTTCGCATCCTCACACCCGTCACCAAGGCCTTGACAGCTAAGGCCTCTGTTTCAGGACTTGCTGAGTGCATGGAATCTCTTGGAGGTATTGGGTACCTCGATTCCTCTTCGGCATCAGATATGGAGACAAACATCGCTCGTCTCTACAGAGACGCAAATGTACTCAGCATATGGGAAGGAACAACACAGGTCATGGCTGAAGATGCCGTTCGGGTGCTCAAGGGGCCTCTCAGCACACAGGCTTTGGACCAATTGGACAAGTGGGTCAAGACCCAGCTTCAACAGGCTAGTGAATGTATACCGTCTCTAACAAGCGGACGAATTGAAGAAACGTGGAATAACCTCTGCAACTACATACGACTAATGAATACCGAGCACCTAGTCATTGTTGGGAGAGACATTGCCCAACAACTGGGATGGATTATTTGTGCAGTACTTTTATACGGTGACATAAGACAAGGTGGCGACGAGACTTCACGCTTAGTCGCAGAACGATGGACTGAGAAGAGACAGCACAGAACACTTGCTCACACGAACATTACCGAATTGGTTGCGCAAGATAAGATTCTTGCTTTTGGTCAGGAGAAGCCTACACGAGATGCCAAGCTGTAAGAGGACTGCTTGCTCCCCGTTGAAACCGCTGGCTCCTCTACCGTACGACGCAATGCTAAGAATTCGAGATGGTTTTTAAGCCTCATATGACTTCCGGTGTCGACGGTTTTGTGAAAGGGGTTGGGAAACTTTCTAATCAATGTCCCAGCTGCAAGATCTTCGTCATGCATGAATGAAAGAAAAGAGAACACGCAAATGCGTACGTACAACGCCGGCAACCGAGTCATGTCCTGCAGGTCCATACCTCACAGAGCATAAAAGGCCCATCGTGTTCTAGAACGCGGATGTGCACCAACGCGCGTCCAATGCGGCATCAAAGTTACTGCGATCTCTTTGAATCACAATCATAATAATAGGCGAACGAAGGAATCATCAATTCAAGACTCCCATTCTGTCGTTGGACCAAACGTGCCGGTTGGTGGGAGATAGCATCATTTATCATTTGAGCATCTGACTGCCCCCATGGACTTCTTTAGCTCATTATGCGAGTGATCTCGATCAACGAGATTTAAACATTCCGATACTTTAGTAAGCGACGTTGCGACCCAGCATTGGCCAGAACGCTGTCTTGGCGTGTAAGTGCCATCTGGTCCTTTCATACCATCGACGATCCCCATATAAACATGTCCCATATGAACATTCGCCGTACGTTTCAACACAACTTCCATCTTTCCCAACGCATCACATCATGACTCTCTCGCCGAACAAATCAAGGCCACAGACCCAGCCCGTCCAATACACAGCATCCTACAATTCTTCCGATAGTGATAGCTCCACCTCTTCCGACTCGTGTGGATCGTCCCCTTATGCCTCCGAGAGAAACTCGATGGAAAGCACACCTATGCCACCGCGTTGCTCTCGGTGCAAGCGATCGATCAGCGTAGACGGCTCCAAACCTACGAATGCGATCTCCTTTTCAATCAACAGCTTCTATTGCGGGCACTGTGCGGACATGGTGGGATATAAACGATGATGAACGGCTTTGCAATTAGATTATAAAATTGCAGTCAGCATAGCGTACACGGCGATTTGCTTTAGCGTGGAGTTCGATGGGATTTGGGACTTGGACAAAACTTTACGAGCATACGACGCAGTGGCATATCACAAATTCATCTATCCTTCATTGGAATGGGCGCTCGCCGATCCTCAGACCAACACGCACAGTGACTAGAGGGGCTACCTCCTTCCGATATCTGTTAGTCTTGATCAGTCTTGATCAGTCGCCGCAAAGACTGAACAAGTGGACATGCGATACAGTTGATGGATGGTGTTTCTCCCTTGGGTTTGCGGGACGGACCCGAAAACATCGTGAAAACACTTCGACGGGGACTTGAAATGGGATATGGAATACGAGATTCCTGTAAATAGTTTTCAATTTGAGATTTCAATATTTCGAATGCTCAGAATGTGCGCTTTCTTTCCTCTACGATTCGGGGCTTCCAAAAATGGTTAAACGTAAATACTCATCCTTAAACCTACGTTACACGCTCGTTATATGCATCTAACACATCCTAAAACCCTCCGCCGCAAGACCATGAATGACCCGGAAACCAATGAGGCTCAAGATTCCACAGGTTGCCGCCGCAGGAGTATGCTACCGCAATTGTCTCAGAGAAAGCCGCCCTCACGGATCCCAAGTCCTACAAAAGCAGCCTCCGCCGCCGTCAAACAGAATGACACAAGAAGACCTGCCAAACATGAATCAATCAGCCTTACGAGACAGCACTCCACCGCCGCCAAAGCGAAGTCCTCGATGCCACCCCCACCAGCCCCCGGGAGGCTACGCTCTTCGACAAACACTTCAACAACCTCAGCAGCGACGAGACCTTCAACGACGGCATCATCGCGGAGACCGAGCACAACCAAATCCACCGTTCCGGGCTCTAACCATTCACTTCCGCCAGCAAGAAAGCGTACAAGTTCTGTGTCTAGGACGCCATCAGCGGCTTCAAGAGTGCCGTCCCACAATCGATCAACCAGTCACCAAATCCCTTCTACCTCTCGACCAACCGCACCCTTAAACTCACAAGACGTGAGTTACGCCCGCCGGGCATCCCTCCGCCTCAAAAAGCCCACCTTCGCAGCCTACCAACAGCACTACACACCCTCCAAATCCACCACTCGAAAGCCCGCCCTCCCCAATGCCAAACCCCCTTCCACGGCCTCAGACCCTTCAACCCCAGATTCAGACCCCGTGAAAACCACCAAATCCTCCTCCTCTCCTCCTCTCACCGCAGCTCAGACACACGAACTCCTTTACCTTCACCTCCTGCACTCCTCCGCCATCCCAACCCTCTCCTCGTGGCAAGATTCCGCAAAATCACATTTCTCGTCGCGTTTCGTGGAGCTTCAGGCTCGGCATGTGGAGCTGGCGGCAATAGAGAAGGAGCAGCAGGGCTTACTGAACGCGATTGCGCTGGCGGAATGGGGGAGTGGGGTGCCCAGTGCGGTAGTGGGGGAGCGGGTGGCATCGTTGTCGAGGAATGTGGCGGAGTTGGAGGGGATGATAGGGGAGGAGGGAAGATTTGAGCGGGTTAGGGGCGTGTGGGAGGTTTGGTATGAAGGGGCGGAGAGGGTACGTGGGGGAAGGGGGATGGTGGGGGAACAGGGGATTGGGGAGGATGGAGGGAGGGCGGAAATGGATTTCGTAGAGGGGATTGGAGATGGGTGGAAGGCGGAGGCTATGGTTTTGGAGAGAGAGCTGGGGTATGTGGAGCGTGAGATGGTGGGGTTTGAGGAGGTTAGAAAGGGATCAGGGTTGTGGAGGCTGGTTGGGGAGGGGAGGAAGCTGGTCAGAGGGTTGTTGGAGGAGTTGGACGTTATGCAGTGGATTGAGGATGCTGTGATGAGAGAGGAGGAAGCGTGGGTGGATGAGATGGTGGGAGAGCTGGGGAGGGGGCTTGGTGATGGGATGAAAATCTGACTGATTGTTGAGCCTGCGGATTATGTCCTTCACGATGGGTGAATGGGAATTAAGGCGTTCGAGGAGCATGATCAGATGACATGATACCCCCTATATTGCATTCAATAGATACTTTATTCATACTATCAACCCCGTCAAATCCCCCCCACTATTTATATTCAGCAGTGAATTGATGAGTCAAGACTACGAGCGCATTTCAAGTACCTCATAGTATCGCTTTTGTACCAGATATCTACGCACCACTGATGGCGAGACACGACTGGGAAGAGCAGTGCGGTAGCACAACGTTTCCCTTTGTGGATTTTTGATAGCGCTGCATCCTATGATCCATACAGATGATAGACATAATGACACCTGCTCGCAGCTTTGACGACATTACATCTTTTGAGAAGGCGGGAAGGCAGGTAAAATATCATACAGTTCTAACAATAAGATTCACACTTCTTTGAAAACTAAAAGAGGACCAGAGAGAGCATGCTTCGACCTTAGGTTTACAATTCTTAATATCTTTAAGAAAGGAGAAGGCGATATGACTTTATATTAATAATAGCAGCAGTACCCCCTAAATAGAACATAATAGGAAAATAACCTTGAAAGTGAATTGCGCTAGAATTGCTAATGTTTAATAGAAGAGTCCTTGTTGGAGAAGACTATATAAGATATGTGTTGTGTTAAAAGTGTCGATGCAAACAATGCTGAGGGGAACAAAGACTTGTGAGATATACCTTGAAGATATTTCTAACGTTAGCAGGTTCATGCGTCTTTAAAGGGAGACATGTAAAACTGTGTGCCTTAGTCAATTCTTGCACAGAACAGCAACCATCAAAAAGAAAACACGCGAACGCATATTGCTCTGACGAAGCAACATTAAGATTCTATCGCTTACATCCATCCATGGACTTTGATTTTTCCCATCTATGCCAATACACTGGAATGAAGGAAGAAAGAAGTTAGAGAGCAGTTTTATAAAGGCACAATGCGGCCTTCAGGAAGAACAGCATTCATGACTTCACAAAGGTTTGCTTTGATCGACTAGACACAATGCTCTTTCAGTATCCCTTCTGCCTTGTCATGAACGGATCCAGATGTATAATAGTCCACTTACCTCAACAGCAGTGGCCTCAAAACTGTCGCGGATCATCCACATTGCCCCTTGACAACACTCAACAGAAACAACACTTGTCACATCAGAAACAATGCCCCCTATACCCCCTGGTCTCCGTGCAGGTCCTCTGTGTTCTAACCCCCCAACACCTCGTTTACCCAAGAGCCCCCGTTTTCCCAAAAAGATTTCGCATCCTCCATCTCTAATGCCAGGCTCCCACCCCACCCAACCCAAGAAGGTTACCCAATCTATCAATAACAGAATCATGGATCGCACCGAGCAGCGAATCAAAAACAGATTCCAGGCGGAGAAAGATAAGGTTCTGGCAGAAATACGGTGCGGGAGATGGCAGAGTATTGATTACACGCAAGTTTGTAGGGATCTGGACGCGCAGTGTGCTTATGAGATGAGGGTGGCCAAGGAGGTGGTGGAAAGAGAGGGTAGTGGAGTGAAGGCGGATGAGGGCATGAGAAATATTGACATGTTTTAATAATCGCGCAGAGGCGTAAATGATTGTGTTTACGTAGCATGGAGACCAGGGAAGTATCCCCTGCAGAGAAATCAATCGTTACCCCGGGACTGATCGCGCAAAGAAAGAGGTTGTGCTCACGAGGAATGGAGAGAAGAGAGAATCAAAGTCTCATTGAGTACCTAAGACGCAAGAAGAATCAGTCGGGCATCGCATCGCTCACCTGAGAGTGAAGGAAACATGCGGAAACGGCCTCTCCGTGCGAGGACTCTTGCGGTTTATTTCCCGGAAGAAGACAGGTTCCTTAAGGGTGGATAACGGCGCTTCTCTGCTCCACCGCAATACCTCCGATCATTGACTCATCGAGAGGATACTTTGCTGACAGCATATGGCTACACGTAGCACTCCATGAGATTGACGGCGGAAAAAGGGCAGACTGTCCAATGATAAGGGGTGCACACGACAGATCAGATGAAAGAGAGAATTGATAATTGATAGAGTGAAGGAGAATCAAGCTCAGGTTTAAGGGCCCGCATGTGGCTGTCCTTCCCCACGAAACGGAGGTGATCAATGCAGTGTGATAGCTGTCGTCACACCGGTAGGCAGCGTGAATGGAAGGTCGAGGGAGTCATTCGCTGTCATGGCTCGAGCGAGTCAGGGATGGCCTTTCTGGGATAAGCGGCTAAGGCAGCTTTGCGTAGTTGCGTCGTTGCATCGTTCGATGGATTTCCGCCCACGTGTGACCCCTGCAAGTCACTGTTTAGTATCTCCTAGCGGCAGCAAGGCCCTGTCGTTGGCCGCCCACTTTCCTATCTTTGGGCCACTCCGAGAAGACCCATCTCTGCCCATCCAAGAGAGATGATTTGCAATCGCATTATTGCGCCTCTCTCGATGTACAGCAGCAGGCATCCGTAAGTGAGCTGGATCGTCTTCCAGGAGATCCCCAAGGTCTGACGGCCCCGTTACAGCACAAGACAACAGGCTGCAAAGCGACCGGCCTTAAACAGAGTAGTGGCGTGGCGCTGAACAGGCCGAGAACTTGTAAGCCTTCTTCTTCCCACTCCCTGTCTGTGCCTCTCGCTCTCATCCTACCTCCCCACCACCATCTACTTGCTCCTTCGGCGAACTCCTCATATACATAAAAGTCGCAGGCTTAATACAATTGCAGATCATTCAAACAATTCTTCCACAGGCCGGGGAGTTGGGTACTTCCTTTAGCTTCACACTAATCAGCAAGGGACGTCACTCCTCACACTCCTGAAACAAAACTGCAGATCTCGACCGAAGTTTCGAGTCAGTGACAAAGGGGGTCTTATACAGTACTCCTACCATCCCCGGCACTTCTCCATCATCACATCTTGCAAATGGGTCGCTCCGTTGACCAAGAATCGTCACGCCCTATTATGGCGCCCAGCGTAAGTTCTCCACATACACTTTGTTGACACTGGATTGCGATTTCTGTTTTCCCGCTCCATTGGGTCGGAAAAGAAGAATTCGGTGGTCACTGCCACTTCTATGGCTAACATGCATCGACAGGTGGCCTCCAAACGTGCATCAAAGCGTTTCTCCACCTTCAGCGCTCCTTCAATCGCTGCCTCAGATACTACAACCCGGACAACCGGCACGACCGGTACGGGAGATCCACGGATGGCAGAGATCAAAGAGTGGACACAGGGACTCGAGCGCCTGGAGCAAAAAGAATTACAAGAGCAACGATACGCACCCACACAAGAGAAGACCGACAGCCTCAGCAAGCTGGCATTAGGCGCCAAGGTAGAACGGGCGTTGGGACGGAGAATGACAGACCAAGATGCAACATTCAGACCAAAGCTGTTAACTGAAAAATCTCCATTGGGAAGGTCAGCATCAAGCGTAGTATGACTCATTCTCGTTGAGCTCACACAGTACGATCAGGCGATGAAGCGACTGAGAATGTTAATGGTGGATTCAGCACAGCACATTTTGGAAGAGCGGGCTTTGGCATGCAGACATGAAGGTCCGCAGGGCACGGTCGTGTATGAGACGTATTGTTCCTCCAGATACTGGAATACCCCGCGCGGAAATGCATTTGGAGTTGGAAGGTTCATAGTTGCACTTTAGATCGAATTTGCCATTGTCACCATATTTTAGTGACTTGAGTCCGAAATGCAATGACTGAGGAAACACTGGGAGATGATCCTGTCTGACAAACAGGACCAAGTCTAAACAGTATATTGCCTTCTCTACGACTATTGACTACCGACTTCTCCACATCGAGTCCTCCGAGACTTTTTCTCCTCTCCATCGTCCGAAGCTCTCAAATTCACTACTTGTGTGCCCTACGAGTCGAAAGAACCTATGAACAGTCACCAGTGGGATCGTAACCATTCGTTCAATCAACAGCAGGCAACGTTCGAGCTAGTGGCTTGGCGCAAAAAAGCCCGCCCGCGAATTTTCCCATCTGCTCCCACAGCTTTCAACGCCTTTTCCCACCTCGCGCGAAGACATTCACAGTAATACAATAATTCAACCCACCTATATTATTAGACCAAAAGTCTCGCGCACATAGATATCTGTGACTACTGCCCCAAATTACCTCACCTCATCAATTCACCACGGCATAAATCTCATTCCCCAATCCCTCTACCGACGACGCTTGACGAAGCTACGATTTCCACGCTCATTTCATTTTTGTCTTTGAGCGAGGCGTCTTGTGCTTTCAGGCTTGATTCACCGGGAGGCTGTATCTATTTGCCTCTCTTGTCGGTCTGTCCACGTGACCGGCTTTGACCCCTGGGATACTTGCTCACAACAAACCCAGGTTTTATATTTCGGTTGAGTGTGCTCCTTCGTGGCTCGTCGCTTGCACCTAAGGACGACTTCAACATATTGATACCCATCACATTCTGATCGCATTATTTACGCGCCTTACGATACCGCAATCATGGCTGCCGCGGTCCCAGAGAAGGCTGTCAATGGTAACCATGGAGCTCATCATAATTATGGCACCGCTGAAGCGTATCGGTCCGGCCAACCTGCTGAACCGAGTAACCCACCATCCCAGTCAGTGGAGCAAAATCAAGCCGCTACAACTACTACATCTTCTTCTACCGCAGGTGGCGAAGAAGAGAAGCCTCTTCCAAAGGAGATGATCGGATGGTACTTTGTCGAGCAATACTATAACACCATGAGCAAGGAGCCCTCGAAACTCTACGTGAGCTCAACCAGTCCTCGTCCATCAACCATTTAGCGCTAACGAACCCCTCCGCAGCTCTACTACACCAAGAAATCACAATTTGTCGCAGGCAACGAAGCTGAAAAAGTCAACGTGGCTGTTGGGCAGAAGGTGAGTCTTCGCTAGCAACCAGACTCCAAGTCTTGCTTTCATACGGTCATTGAAAGATGATACTAACTAAGATGTAGAGTATTGCCGATAAGATTAAAGAGCTTGATATCCAAGACTGCAAGGTTCGCGTCACGAATGTCGATTCCCAGGAATCAGGAAAGTGCATTCTTGTCCAGGTGATTGGAGAGATATCCAACCGAGCCGCTCCACACCGCAAGTTCGTGCAAACTTTCATACTTGCCGAACAGCCAACGGGCTACTTCGTACTCAATGACATCTTCCGATATATCGTCGATGAAGAGGAGGAAAACAATGTACCGAATGGAGTGGTGGAAGCACCTACAGCCCCTGCTGAGACGGCTGACCCTGTTCCTGCTACCCTCACCAACTCTAACGACCCTGAAAAGCAGGAAGAGGATGCTGAAAAAGTCGATCGCAAGCTTGATGAAGAAGTGCTGAGCAAGCCTTCGGAACCCGTCCCCACTGTTTTGGAAACTGCTGATGCAGCCGAGGCTAAAGACTCTGCTCCAGGCAAGGAAGTTGACGAGATCCCAGAAGAAAGTGTCAAGGAATCGACACCAGAAGCACCCGAGCAAGCCGCTGAGTCTGCGGCTGTTGAGGACATTGTCAAGCCTGAGAAGCCGCGTGATCCTGACCCGACTCCGATTGCATCACCTGCAAAGCCTACCAAAGCCACACCAGTTGAAGCTCCTGTCGCTTCTCCACCCAAACCAGCAGCTCCAAAGACTTGGGCAAATCTTGTGGCTTCCAACGGCTCTACAACATCTGCGCCAGCTTCCAACACTAAGGCAGTCCCTCCTGCAATTCCTGCTGCTCCGAAGCCAAAGACCATGAATAATGCTCCAAAAGATGCTTCAGCCCCATCTTCAGTGGGCGAGGATAGCCCAGCAAAACCTCAGCAGAATGGCGGAAACGGCTGGCAAACGGCGGGCCCTGATAACAAACAACGTCAAGGACGCCAACATTCTCAATCCGTCTCCAGTAGCCAGGACAACGTTCTAGGCTATGTCAAGAATGTCACTGATAAGGTCGATGCCTCAATCCTGAAGACTACATTGGCGAGTTTTGGTAAGCTCGCCTACTTCGACGTCAGCCGCCAGAAGGTATGTGCAGTCCTTCGCAGATCAAATCATCAGGCTAATGCCTTTACAGAATTGCGCGTTTGTCGAGTTCGCTGACTCTGCGTCCTACAATGCTTGTGTGGCAGCTAATCCACACAACATTGGAGGCGAGCAAGTCTTTGTTGAAGAACGCCGCCCTCGTCCTACCGCCTTCGGTGGCTACAATGGTAGAGGCGGCATGCGCGGCGGTCGTACTGGACCCAACGATCGACCTGGTAGTCAGGGGCGTGGCGGCTTTCCGAAGGACGGCGAACGTGGTGGCTACGGTCCCCGTGGTCGTGGTGGTGCCATGACTCCTCGTGGTCGTGGAGGCCAAGCCCAAGCTGCATGAAAGTCGGTTCAGCCGCAATTCTGTTATCAGCTTGGGCCATCCGTGACCTCCAGCATTACATACTCAATCTTAGCATACCTATCATGCAGCCTTTGGACGGCTACTAAACTACAAACCCGGCGACCGACACACCCTACCTTTTACGTCACCTCATTGTATTAGAGAGAAAAAGTATTATTTCACAAACCTTCACTTTGATTACGACCTTTTTTTTCGAATGGGCACAACCCATTGCATAGCGCATGCGGTAGAAACGGCTTCAGATACCTTTACAGCTGCATGTCACGACTTTCTCTTTCCCTTGGGAGTCTTGGCCTACACGACTGACCAAGTATGCCTGTGAACTTAACCTTCCTGTTATACTAAAGCATTGTTCTGTGGCAGCGGTGGGGAGGATGGGGGGGAGGGCGAGGGAGGACCCAGGGATTAGAGGTATCACTTTTGCTTGGATTTGCGAGCGATCGATTGACAGACAGACCTTCCACGTGAATACATTCGAAGTGTATATAGTAGATAGATATCCATCCAATGCACGCTGCATTTTTACTTACACCATCCTGTGTCCCTGCTGATGCAAGCCCACAGACCTATATCCTCTCGTGGAGCTTCGTTGCAGTCGATGTCATATCCCAGAGTCATGGTCGTTCCTCAACTATAAATCACGAACCTGACCCAGCCTAAGCTACATACCTTACCAGGGAAACTTTGACGTCCAGTACCACCCCATACCCCGAATCCCATACCCCGTACCCCATACCCCATAGCTAAGGTACCCGATCTGTCACCCCACCCAGCTGACATGACATGACATGACATGACATGACATGACAAGGCAAGAAAGGTACCCGTCCCGACAGGGTAGTGACAGCGGGAAGCGCGTGTCCAAAAGTCGGGTGTCTTAGGGTTGGGGTTGGGGTTGGGGTACAATATCACGTTGCCCTTGCGTTCCTCCCTCTTGCTTGCAAGCAAGATTGTCAGACGATGAGAGTCTGCTTGTGTTTTTGAAGATCGTGGGAGGGGGGACATCAATTAGTAGTTAGTTCGTATGATGTGAGCTTCTGTCATCATTGGAGGACTTTCGATGATGTCCTCACTGGGGAGGGGGGAGCATTGGGTGGGAATACCTGCATATGCTTACTAGGAAGGAAGGTGAGAGGTACTTCTCTTGCTGACTTTTGATTCCATCTAATGATTGTACAATGTGTCTCTAACATGAATTTCGTCCATTAGCCGTTGAGCTTTCGATAAACTTCGTTGGTGGGGTTGGATAGCTCATTGCTCGTCTGTTCTTCTGCTGCGCAATCTCACGGTCTCTACTTCCCTTTGTTGCCCCCTTATTACCAGAGTTCCCATGGTCTACATGCTTCTTAACCTCTACCTGCGCGTCAGCCCCTCTATCATCAAGAAGTAGTTGCACCTTCCCTGCCTCCGTTCCCAGCTCTTCATCCCCCACCTTTACCCTTCTGACCCTCGCCATAAGTCCCATTGTCTCCGTCCTCCTCACTCCCACCGCCATCTCTCCAATTCCTTTCCCCCTTGCCTTAGACGTCAGCGCTAGAGCAATAACCTCCTCAATCGTATCCCAGCACGCACATGTCCGGCGGAAAGCCAGCAAACAAACAATATGCGCTAAAGCGAGGCTGGTGTATATGATCATGACGCCGATGGCGAGGTAGTCAGTCACTCTGGAAGCTTCAAATGCATAGCCCTTCAAGAATGCTTTCATTGTCAAAGGGGTATAAGAGCCAGTAGGAGGTTTAGGGCAGAACCTCAGACGACTGTATTTAGTGATGAAATGGCAGTCGGCTTCTGGCGAGGAGGTGAAAATGGTCGCGGATTCGTGCGGAGATACTTTTTCAAGGCCGATGCGGGAGATAGCGTCGGCGAAGACAGTGGCGATGACGGTTTCGTAACGCTTGATTGAAGCACTGAGCTGAGGCTGGGCGGGTTTGAAGGCTTTGGAAGGATCCATATTGGCGGCTTGAAGGACGCTTGTGATGCTCGTGGTATCGGCTTTGGAACTTTTTGGATTTGGCTTGGCATTAAGGGCTTCAAGGAAGGAGCTCTCTGCAGTGATTGTTCTCCAATAGCGGTGGTCGACGGGCAAAGCTGCCTTATGCAAGGTATCGATGGGACAGGAGCCACCGAGGGTCGCGTTGACGGGGTTACCTTGTTTCTCGACCTGGCGAAGGTACGTCGTTGTCTCTGTCACCGTGTGTGATGCATTGTTCCAACGAGCATCAATTGAGCAAGTAAGGCCGAGGCGTTTTGTTGAATGGGTTGAATTTAGAGCTCCAAGAATCACGATGCCTGTTGTCATGGATGTCAGGTTCGCTGTTGTTGGGATCCAAGCGACTGCAATGTTGCTGTCATTAACAAGAGAAGCTGTGTTTAGGCTCCAAAGAGGTTTCGGAAGTCGTACGTTTGTGTAAGGGCCTTGGGAATCTTCGGTGGCCCAAGTGGTGTACTCTGCAAGCATTGGTAGAGATAGCTCTATTGTTGTGTTGGGAAACTCCTGAAACTGTCTGGTGCATACTGTACGGACCACTGACATCTGAGCATCAATGTGCATTGATCTCTGACCTGTAGCATGAGTGGTACGAGGGTACCAGTGGGGGTCATTCCACATCTCATTGGCAAGGAAAGAGGTTGGTGCATGAGGGGCAAGAGACCAGGTCTCTGCACTTCCACTACCTCGAAGGTACGCTTGGATGATCCTAGGATTGAGTGGCTCTTCGGTTTGTACCTGATAATCCACCTGGTTCCGAGCATAGGTGTAATAACCTTCAAAGAGTTTGAACCCCTCAGAAACGCAATTTGCGCCATTTCGTTTCAAACAGTTTGGTCCTCCAATATGTTCATCAGTCAGCTTGGTTGGCCAATAGTCTGTCGCAGAGCCATTGAACCAAAATTTAGTATCGAACGAATGCGTCGTCTACCAGAGATTAGTCTTCCGCTATCAATTGATGGCTTTGAGAGGGCCAAAGCGAAAGAAATTTACCGTGATTCGAGGGAGCATGAGTACAGCACTCGCAGGCCCAGTAGCTAGAGTTAGGAAAGACCCAAATAGTATGAGAGCGAATATTTGCAAGCCCCTGAACCTAATGGAGCTTGTGCTTGTAAGCCCACCCCATAGAGCTCGAGACACCAGGTATCTGGGGTTCATGAATGAGAACCCGGCTGCAGCCCAGCCATAAGGAATCCCCTGGCCGATTAGTCGCAATTTCACAACGTGAAAGACGACTGCCCCGGTGCTCAAAATGACCAAAATCTCCTAGCGAGCTCGATTAGTATGTCGCTCGCAGTGGAGGCGGCAAGGCCTACTTCTATCTTCGCAGCCACCTGGATTACCGCAAGAACTACATTATCCCCATTGTCACTGTTAGAAAGTCGAAGGTGAGAACCGATGTAAAAGCCTCCAAAATTCAACCAAAGCAAGACTCCTGCGACAGCCAGTGAGGGAATATGAATCAAGCAGGCTAGGGAGGCAGCGAGTAGTGATCTTTCGACAATGGGTCGCTTAGGCTTTTCTCGTGTCCGATATTGATGCCATTTTCCTCGAAAATACTTTTGAACGCCATGGACATTGAAAGGGAGACGCATTTCGCCAGAAGAGAAAGGACTGGTCAGCGAGATGCTGCCGGGATGAAAGTACTCTTTTACAGAATGCCATAATTCTGTGCCTCCAAGGCGAAGAGCTAACTTGTGCTCTGACCGAAGTTGGCACGCAGGTCTATGACCAATACTGATAACGAGCTGACATCTCGAGACAGCCAAAAGCACAAGGCTGAAGCTGATCTTGAGCCTTATGTTTCGATATAGAATGCAAGATCAGATGATGCTACTGGCAGAGAGGAACGCCACAAGCAATACACACAGGGGGTTGAAACAAGCCTGGCTTCGGTCTATGCCTGAAGCAGGAGGTAGAAAGAAGGTCCATGGTCAACTAACGATGTATGTGACAGATCCTCCCGTCCTGCATAATGGGGGCCAGTATGAAGATACGCCACGTTGCCTGAATTAGCCTTGTTCACTATCTCGCCTAGGCGTGTTTGATACCATAGATGACTCAAGTCTGCTGGTATCTGATGTCACAAGTCCCGCCAGCAAGCAGTGAAGGACGAAGGCTTGATGTTCGAGAGGAATGGAAGTCAAACCTGGAAAAGGGGATATGAAGTCTTGGCAACCACTAGGCCTCTTTGGTCATTTCGACGTTTTATCATTAAAATCTTTCCACTACCTCTGGTATGTATCGATGTCTCACTTTGCCAAACACTCCTAAGTATATACAGGCCTTCCCAAACACGTCTCTTCTTAGATTATATACAAGATACACGACATCCTCCCAAGATCTTTCGTCTTATTTGCATTCCCTTAAAAACTGAACAGGCCACTCCTCCTCTTCCCAAACGGATACACGACCAGCGCACTCATGAACAAGCCCACTGTAATGCCAATCGCGATCTGTATCATCGAGTACCCAACATTCAACACCGCAGTATTGACCTCGACAGCGCCAGGGCCACCGCCCGCTTGAGTTCCATTACTCACAGTCGTCGCCCCTCCAGTTGTTATCTGATGCGTGATTTGATTTGCGCTCGTCACTCCAGAGATGAGACTCCCACTTGCTGCTAGCCCAGACGGCACCTGCACGAAGATCGCTGGCAGGAGGACGGCGGCAGCTAAGCCGTGCCTGAGGCGAGAGTATAGATTTGCGAGGACACCGATAGCAAGAGCGCCCAACGTTTGGGCGATTTGAGCATTCGAGGCGAATCGTTGCGCAGAATAGTGATTCACAAGGTACCCGACCATTGCCAGCACCAGCATGGGAGGCATTTTCTTCCACTTCCCCTGGTTGATGATGATCAGACAAAGGGTGAAGGGCAGCACGAAAATGATCTGCCACCAGAACGGCCATGTCGTCGTGCAAACAGTGGCAGAGGTGGCATGCGAGTCAATAGCGCCGTATATTGAGGTGCCAACCGTAATACCGAACCCGAGAAAGAGCGAATATATGATTGCGTAGACCATGCGCACGCTACCAGCCAGTATGTTCTTCGACTGAAGCTCTAGGGAGCCACAGAGGACAATATACCCTGGAAGGATGAGTGCAATAGAGGATTGAGCAAGCGCGGAGAAGCAGAAGACCGAACCACCTCTGATAGAGCCAAAAGCACGTGCCAGAAAGGAAGTGAGCACGGCGGCCGAGATTTCGAAAATATTGCTATACAGCTCCGACCTTGGAGCGACGATCAATTGCATGAATCCCAGGAGGCAGCCAAGGACAAAAGCGAGAGGAAGGTCGATCGGCCGAGCTCCGAACGCAAAGGGTCCAACGCAAACAGAGGCGAAGCCATAGACCAAAACGAGCAACCATGGGTGAAAACGATTTTGAGAGCCGTTGATCTCGTCCAGGCGAGAGATTGCTTCATCAGCACCTATCTTGTCGTGGAGCACCTCCTTATAGATGGCATGGGTGTCGTAGAGCTTGGATAGGTTGACTGACTGCGCGCAGCGAACAATTCGGACGTCCGTTGTTTGCCAAGCCGCATCACCAAACGAGACAATCATACACCCTGGCATGTACAGGAACTGGCTATCAATCTGGAGAACCCGAGCCGACATTCGCATATACTCCTCGAGCCTATGAGTTGGCGCTCCATACGCCATGAGTGCTCGACATATTTTCAACAGGTAAGCTTTACGTTGCATCACATCCGCTACATGCATATGAATCTGGATGACCTGGTCTTTCTGAGGTTTTCGCCCCGTGATCGCATCATATGCTTGAGACTTCAGGGGTTTCTGCTTAGGTGATGGCTTAATGGCACCGCCAGTCTGAGCCATTGTTGGCTGGGCAAGAGACGTAGATGAGCTGACAAGATCTGCAATTGAGCCTGTAGAATACGGTTGCGAGTTTTTGTAGTACCATTTCTCTCGCTTGATTTTAGGGGACCCTCCAGGACTATAACTACCCGAAGAAGAAATGGAGCCGACACGGCTATCTGGGGGAGTAGGAATTGGCGTGGTCTTCTCCGAATCCAGTATTGAATGAGTATCGCTGTGCCTGCGATAAGTATTTCCCAGGGGGCCCTTGGCAAGAGCTGCTCCCATGCCTTGTTCATTGTATAGCTTGATAAGTGAGCCAAAGACGCCTTCTCTGTACTGCTTTGGTGGAGGAACATAGTCGTATGGGTCTCTCTCGGCTATCGGGGTGGTCTGTCCTGACTTTAAAGGTGGTTCTTCGGCTTGGAATTTGAACCACTTCGCTGGGTCCCGGTGCGTGTGATGCTTGAGTAAATGTCTTGCAGCACTGTGCAATCGGGTTTTAATCTCATTACGTTTCGGCTTTACGCCTTTTTCCTCATTCTCATCATCCGTATCATCATCAATCCCATATGTACGTCTTGTTTCCAATTTCTCCAGAGGAATGTCAGTGAGATCAAATTTCGGCTGCCGGCCATTCTGTGGAGATGGCGGAGGAGATTGAGCAGCCCGCTTCTCAGATGTCAAAGGATCCCGGACTGGGGAAGTATATCGTGAGCCAGGAGCCGATCTTATGCCGACGCTTCGCGACAAGCGTTCCGCTCGTTGCTGTGCCGACCGCTGTGAGAATGCTTTTCCTGCGGCCTCTCTGAGCGTGCCTGAATCATTCCTCTCTTGTTCAGATGTTGACCCTTTGTCATCCGGCTCATTGCCCTCTGATAATGCCGCCTCTTCCTGCTTCGGTTCTAGCGCTGCTTTTCTTAATATTGGAGGCTTGGGTCCGGCAGATACTGATGTTGATGGAGCAGGTAGTGACGGCGATGAGTGGTTCTGTTTTGAAACTTGCAATACAGCGCCAGCGCTTGTTCCTCTTCTCGTCGCTACTCGTTCTTTTGGTTTTGGTGGTGACCTAGCATCCTCTTCACTCTCCGAGCTGCCGTTACTTGGCAATTCAAAGGTCGCTCGTATATTCTGTATATCTAGAGTCTCTCCGCCACGATTCCATTGTACCCTATGCTTTTCTTTATGGAATTTCGGGCCATCCTGTGAAGACGACAAACTTGGCTCGGCGCTGACCTCTTTTAATCTCCCTGTCTCGGGGGTTTGAATGCTGTAAGACGGCTCCGCAGGGTCCATGCTCTATGATTGAGAGGTAGGAAGTGGAGATGATAAGGAAGACCAGGAAGACTGCAGTCTGATTCCCCTGGCTTCTAAATACTGTATTCGTAAAGAATGACGGCCGGACCCTTTTTATGCGCACGGAAATTGATATGCCTGCTGTTCGTCGTGTCTTTGCAGTCAGTGATTAGTAGTCAACATGAATCATCGCCGCTCATAAAGATTTTCAAGGTGGCAACAGATTTGAATTATATGCTTTTGAGAAGCTAAACGAGGGTCTGCAGGCATTAGGTGAGCGACAGTGTTGGCATAAGCACTCGCAAACGAAAGAATAGCATGCTACACAAAAGAAAAAACGTTCTTTACAAGCAATTGAAGACGGAAGATTGGTAAAATGGCTAGGGAGTATGTAAAAGCAACGAGGGGTTGGTGGAGCATTCTTGTCCATCGGATGAAGCCGAGAGAAAGGAACCAACGTTAGAGCCGCTACCATACGGTTCAGTGGCGCTAGGATGAGGTCAACATCCATTTTGCACCTCTCGTGAGCAGCACGATGCATGGCAAGGTAAGACGTAGGAGAGTAAGTAAAGAATAGTGGAAGTAAGAAAGGTGGAAACGTGGGATGGAAGAAGGTGGCTCGTTCCTGCCGGCCTAATCTCGGCCCCAGGGGCAGTCCCCTATCAATGTCTATTTTTAGCTCTTTCCTCCTTATCAAAATTCATATTGGGAAATCCGTCCCCTACAGAGTCTTCGATCCTCCATCGGAATGTTGCATAGTTGGGCCTGATAGTGATTCCTCCAATTGCTCTAGCTGTTGCATATGAGTTTCTCACAGATGACTTGCCCTGTAAGGATGTCGCCGGGGCAAAACGTTAGTCGTATCTCGCAGAGTGCAATACTCAGGGAAGGAGAGTTTTGCTTTACAAGGCGAAGCATGGGGACTACAAGATTATATTGCCTCTTAATGGACTTCACGTATAACCTAAACCACCTCTCGGCTCATGTGTCCTTTGCTCGTCAATTGGTTCTGGAAGAAGCTAGACGCAATCATTGTACCTCAGTATTATCTGTATTGGACGAAAGGAATCAAGACCATTTCCTTCATCAAGCACTTTGTTGATTTCAGTAATCCGGGTACGGTCACTGCTGGCACTTTCATCATCAAGCCGAATGGTCAGTATGGCAGCATCAACCCGACTTTGAAGGATAGCAAGTGTTGTTCCATCAGCTAGAGGATTACCATCCAGAGGAAGGATGGTATCACATGTTGGTCTTTGCGGGGTTTGTTTTTGATGGCATAGAAAATAGACTGTACCATAAAATATGGTCTTCATGAATGTCTCGTCTTTGCACTTGGCTTTATCGGAAAGGACGATCGTTGCCTCAATCCAGCGTCTTTCTGGGTCTGCATTGTACAAGACGTCACTCTCCAGCGAGTGGTAGTCCAGGGAAGACGTTGCGATTGAAAGGCTTGGCTGTTCGCCAGAAAAGATTGGAGTTCCTGGAGCGGTTCGAATCTTCTCGACCATGATATTCCTTTCCATCTTTTTTTGAAGCGTTTCCATGTGCTCAACACGGAATTGAGGCTTAAAGATTGAAACTCATTAGGGTGCAAGGCGACCTCGCCGGCGTTTCAGCCTCGTTTCGCGGTTAGTGCGGATATATCGCATTGGATTGTCTCTAATTATGGGACGACATTATTACACTTAAGACATGGCCTGGGGTCAAAGTTCATGATTATTGACCGGAGCATCTGGTGGCTAGCATTGAAAGTTTGTCGGCAAGTACGTAAAACGTCACCACGGGTTGTTGGCTCAAAGGCGATTCTGCACTGCCCTTTCATTTGACGGTCGAATTTGATTAGGCATCATGTATGGCCAGGTATTCGCGAAAGGTGAGACTTTGTAGTATTGCTGATTCGTCCGCCGGGAGGAGATTTCTCCAGATCTTCGGTTGTGGACATGGATGCGCCAGTCTAGATCGTGGGTATTTATAGCGATGCGATGAGTTTCAGGAACACGGTCCACAAAGTAGGCGGCGCTCTATTTAATTGTGGCTGAGTTTACTCTCTCCGATAATTAATATAAGAATCATTGGAAAGCCTCGTAAGGAATTTTGTCTTGCACAAGCCAACGGATCTCAAAAGCATAACCCTATTTTTGAGAGACAGCGTTTTTTAGATTGAAGAACAGAAACTCCTTTGACAATGGCAAAGATACTGTCTTTTGCACTTGCAGCAACCCTCGCAGCAAGTGTCACTTCCACTTCCAACCATTTCATTCAGCCAGAATACAATCTGCTCTACAGTCGACAAGACAGTGGTAATGGAACTGGAAGGAAGATCTTCCGGACAGATCTCAAGCAGGACAATAGTTATGACATCCAGGCTGGGGGCCAGTCACCTAGATATAAGAATGTTCTTTGTAAGTCGTCCGCCACGCAGTATGCTCCATGAATGGATTGCTAATCGCACCTCGTTCAGTGAGCCATGTAGATCTCGGAAACGGAAACTACGACGTCTCCTTCGTTCTGGCCTCTGAACGTGCCAGCGCAGATCGCGGGTTAGACGTCGAGTCACGTGGAATTCCAATATTCATCTCTGGTCCAGGCGTCGTTGCTGGCGCTATACCCACCGCCAGCGGCAACGCAAGCTCGGGCTCAAGTAGTAGCTCATCTACTGATTCAAGCTCGGGCTCACTGTCAAGCACTCTTAGTACTAGCTCGGTGAATGGGACAAATAGCACCACCAGCTCATCAACCAGTCCTGGATCATCAAGCAGCTCTTCGGATGGAAAGGAACTCTATTTGACAATCGAAACGGGTTCGTCAGACATAGCAGGGATCCAGGCGGTCACGCTGAGCACTACTCAGACCAGTAAGGGCTGGTTCTATACGGTAGGAAACGAGATCAAGGCCCAGAATGTCCAGCCACAATGGGACACATGGCTGGTTTGCGACGGCAAAAATGGGTATCCGAAGCTCTACTGGCTGGGTGTTGGTGCAAATGGAGGTGTCTCATTGCCATATCCAGTGTGTCAGCCTGTCAGGCTATACGCCGATCCAGAGGATTACGTTTGGAAACCACAAGACACTTGTTATTGCTGCAATTCATCATGAGCGTCTCTAGGTCGGTGATCAGAAAGCAGGCTGGTCGTTTGGTAGTTCTCGAGCGTCATTGAGACATGTATATTATAAACGGCTCACGACATACCTTAAACCAGAAGCTTCGTCCCATTTTGCCTAGCTCTCCAGGTCATCTTTTTGCGTTTCCACACGTGACATACGTATTCACCTATCTCTTTGGAGTTGTCAATGATATACTTTGCAGAGCGCAGCTTATGTTGATGAAAATGCATTGAAAAAGGCAAACTCGTAAGATATGACATACGTTAAGGTCGGACTGCGTATTGAGAGAAGATCGCGAGGCTAAAGGCAAATAGTAGCTTTGGCATGCAACAATCCAGGCTGACAATTATCCTACCATACTTTGGAAAAGACAGCGCAGCCGATGTAATAATGCTAAAGCCATGAAACGTCTCTCACCTTTCTCCGATCATTCAAAACAACCCCGAAGCACCAGGCGCCTCGCTACTGGCATCGCCATCGCATTAAAACATCACATCATTCCCCATTGCTCGCCTTGTGTAAATTAGTCTCTTCCATAAGTGCTTTCTCAATATTTTTCCCCTTCTCACTCGAGCTCCTCGTCCGACGAGCTTCGGGTGACCGGTCTTTGCAAGGACTTTCACTGGCCGTGTCACTAAGTCTCTCAAATACTCTGTGTTCGATCAGATCTTCCTCCTCATCAGGCTTGTCCTTCTCTTGCGCTCCAAGGAACTCTACTTCATCGTCATCTTCGCCATCGCTCGTGACCAAAATCGCATTCTCGGCCCTATCTCCGAGCCAGAATCTAGCGCGCTTCCTTGATGTATCTTCGAGGTCAGGTAGGCTCCACGTTCCACTTGCTGGTCGCTTTGGTCTCACAGTGACGATGCTGGAAGGTGTCTTAGACCCGCCCGGCGTTTCGGTTCCCACCCTACTAAGACCACGCAGGTACAGATAGCAGACTCGCTTCTTGTTTTTATTGAAGAAGAAGTAGTTGAAGCTCCACAGCGCAGCTTCATCTTCACTGTCGGTAAGCGGATCATCTTCTGGCGCATAAGTGTAGACGCTGCATTCTGACAGCTCTATTGCCTGGTTGATTTGGTCCCACATCTTCGGCTCCCACTTCTCAATCCCTGGAGGTGTCGCAGGAATTATGGCCGAAGTCCTGCCCGGGAATGCAGATACTGAGATATGACGAGGACGAAGATTGTACAAGGTTGTATCGAATATGTTCATGACCTTTCTGATGCTTCTTTCGCGACGGAAGTCCGACGGGCGCAGGGTTTGTGAAAAGTCATAGTCGGGATGGCTTGCATTGAGGGTAGCGATAAGGTATGCAAACGTACGGCGACTTGAGATCTGGCTGAGAGGGCCGAATGGGCTTGCGCGCGACAGATTGAGAGCTTCGCCTGCTTCTCTAGCTTCGTCTGGGGGCAAGCCTGCCGAGAAACTGAGGAGAGATGCATACTTGCTCTCTAGGCTGTTCTCAATATTCTTGTAGAGCTTCTTGTCAGACCCAGCAGCCTTTGTAGTGTACACATCACAGCCTCCAATGACCCGACTATCTGACGTGTCGAAATTGAGGGCGCTCGTTACTGCGTCGGTTTCTTTGAGGGGTAGATACTGTGACGCATTAGTTGCCTAACTTCAGACTTCGTGGACTGACAGGAAGATCTAGAAAGAGGGTACCTTCATGATGTAGCTGGGAAAGTGGCCACTGAGGACGTGAGCAGATAGCTACGCCAAACAAGGGGTAGCTTCACTTGATATCAGAGAGTATTACGATAGCTGCAAAGCTCACGCAAACTGCAGCGGGCTAGAGAACTGTAGCGCGCGTAGGCTATACGTGGTCGAGATATATTTGCGACGTCTTTGATAAGGCACTCCGTGATTCCTTCCGGACAAAGGCTTTAACTCCCTGCCGCTCCTAAGGTTATTCCAGTCTGTTTGAAAGCCAGGCGATGATCGCCTAGCTTGGAAACACAGTCTGGCGGTACGCCATGATGATGCGATAATTCATGCGATGGGATATTATGGAGGAAAGGTCAGCTTAAGAGTCAGATGAGGTTCGCGACAGGCTAGGTGGCACTAGCGTCGGGTTTCTCCTATGGGCTTGGCATTCCTCATCTGGCCACCAAGTGGTCCACGTGCAGCCATGCGCCACTGCAAGCAGGTTTCCTCCAGACGATAAGTCATGCGAACGAGAGGTACAGTACTGGAGCCACAGATTGCCGAAAAGAGCAGAAGTCTCAGTGACTCCAAGCGAGGCCTCTAGACCTAGGAAGTGGCGGTGACTCATTCGGAAGCTCCATGATTGTGTCGCGGTATGTAGGTCAATCTTGTTCTTGTGCAAAGCTTTTGATAGAGTGATGCTGTTATGAAGATGCGCATGTTCGGACACCACAGAAGTAGTCATTGTGTCCGTGTGTTGAAAGAACAGGTCTGAGCCTGATAAAATCAAATGAAGCCAGCCTTCTTCAAGCCATCCACCACCTCCTCACTAGCCTAGTCAGGTGAGGATATAGTGTCAGCATATTTGGTTTCGGATTACTTATACAAAGAACATTTCAGAAAGATCCCATTACAAATGCTTCCACCTGGGATTAGCTCATTACATGATCTTCGTGATGCCCTCATCCTCGACCTGAAATCAGGTGCCAATGTCAGTGATAGTGAAGAGAGTCAATCGGAGTGAGGATATGATTGTTTAAGGGAGATGGTCGCTCGCTTGAAGCCAATATCAAAATGAAAATCGTTTTACGTACCTCCATGTCTTCGAGACTGTCCTGTTGGCTTATGCACCTCAGTACGTTCTTTTTACTGCTTTCCTGCATCTCCCCTGCCAGTAATAATTCGTCAAGTATGAAGTATGCTTTTTGAAAGTTGAAGATGATGTCCAATTCGCACACATTTCCGTAGTATTTGTCCATTTGTTCAACATATCGATGAACTATCTCTAAGGTGATAAGCTCATTGTCGGTAGAGGAGCAGCCAGCAATAAAGAACAAGGAGGCATAACGTCGATAGACTATCTTCGTGTCTAGAATCTCCGTCAGCCAGGAATATGTACTGACGGTTGGATTAGGCACTTGCCTTTGTACTCAAGGAAATTGCACATGCGTGTCCGTCTCGCCAATACCAATTGTGATACATCCTTGATGATTTTGGCTTTTTCCTTTGGCGAGAGGGTAGTAAACCATTTGGCAAGACGCTGCGACCAAAATCCGTCAGTGTGCCAAATTTTCGATGGTGGGCGACGAGCGACAAACCACTTTGCCCTGCCGGGACAGCAAAATGAGGTAGCTAGGCTGCAGTCAGCTGCCTGCTATGTCACCGAGAGGTATCACACCCAAGACTCACTTGATGGCCATCCTGGCGGCTTGTGCTTAGTTCGTGGGGAGTAATAAATAAGGCGGTGAGCTGCAGGAAAGTCTAAAGCCTGTCAGATTGGGTTGTTCCTCGGCTAAAGTGGTCAAGCCACACACAGGATTGTGGCTGGTGCAGTCTCTAAGGTTTCTTCATGCACGACATTTCTCTCCCTGTGCGACCGGTTTGACATTGACTATAGATCCACTTTAAAGCCACCAAAGCTGTGTCAAGGCGGTGCTAGAGCAGCAGATTTCACCTTGAAGTGCGCCTTACCATGAGGTGACCGTTCTTGGACGGGTTCGTTTCGAAAAGGCCTCAGTGGTGACAACATGGGAACCCACCCAAGGAAGAAGACTAAACTCATTCTGTCGACATCGTAAGCTAGAGAATACTGGAAGATGTTCAGGACTGACGGAAAGATAGCAATGTAGCGGGCGTTACCTCTCCTCATCTGAGACGCCTAGGGACAGATAAATCTAATGTAGAACTCGTCAATTCTTTGAGCTCACAGTTCTCTGCCAACAAAAACGCCGAGAATGTCGCTACAGATGGGGAGCATTTCAAATGGTGTGACAGCCTCGGTGGTACATCCTACGAGCACTGGACTTCACGTGAAGGGGACTATCTTTACGTCCCTTCCATTGATTTTGCCCAATCTGGCTTGACAGAAGAACGATCTCAATATGAGATCACGGCCAAACTTTTCTTCTTGCCTGGTTCTTCATCAGGTGAGCGGCGAGTTCACGCGCAGGAGGCAGTGGATCTTGTCCTCAAGGAGTTGCATGTTTCGTCCATCGATCTCTTGATAGTCTCATTTCCGGGCATTTCATTTGATCCAAACAGCCATTGTGACGACCCGAACACTAGAGGCACCGGTAATACGGGCGAAGGAGAAGATTACGATTCCATTGCTAGGACGTGGAGCGCGATCGAAAGCTTGCATGAAAAGGGGCTTGCTTCACGCATTGGAGTTGCAGAATTTGGAAGTGATCGCCTTGCGCATTTTCTTCCCAAAGTCAACATTTCTCCTGCGGTCGATCAAATATTCATCAAGGAGTATTGTGCTGTTCCTGCACCCCTTATGCAGTACACTAAGCAACACAACATTGAGGTACTGACCCACGAAGACTGTACCAATATCTTGCCGGGGGGAACGACAAGAGAGCTCCTTGGTTCTGGAGAGAAAGGAGCTGGCCTCCTACTAGACCAAGATGAGAGTGGAGAAGGCCTCAAAGGTGACATCTTTCCCCAATGGGTCATCAAATACACAGCGATCGTCCATGATCGGGGTGTCGTGGAGAACAAAGGTTACTTTGCAATGGCGGAACTCCACCCCCAGCCTGCTTGAAAGGGCGTATTAAGGTCCTTACCATGTTTACAAGAGATAATCTCGTGCAATGGCATGCCGAATCTAGAATTCGAAGAAAGTCAAGCTTTTGGTGCGAATTCGTCGCTTAAATGTCTAGGTCATAGGATTGGCAAAGATCTCTGACCTTCTGGATTACCATTCTATAGTACTTACGACTCACAATGTCGACCAAGAATATAATGAAGAGGTACAATAGTGAAGGTGACTTGAGATGAAAACAGAAACATGACGCGTGAATTGGAGTCATAGATAGAACACCGATGGAAGATCAACGCAAGTATTGCGCCTGATGATGAGCATAGATGGTGGAAATTGTAGACATTCTTCTATTTGTACCTACCAACCAATGGAACCTAAGATACTGAACCCCAATCACCCAACCATACTCCTCTTCCGTCCTCTTAATCTGACATCCTCTAACCTCTTCAAGACCACTTTTGCTCCCTTATAGCTCTCACCATAAGCCTTCAGAACATCCTGAAATCTCTCCTCAATTTCGGGATGCGTGCTTCCAAATGCCCTCTCAAGCACATACAGATCCACGGCCTTGTCTTCGTCCTGTAGACTCTGCGCGGCAAGGCCGAAGTCTATCAGTACAATCTCGCCTTGCATTGTCCCCTCATCTTCGTGGGTGCCGGTGTTATTCATTGCTTCATCATTTAACATTGGCGAAGTAGGGGCTGTAGGTCGCAACATCATATTACTCGTCGTCAAATCCCCATGCACGACACCAACCTCATGTAATCTCCCAACCGACCTTCCAATATTCTGCATCAAACTCTCCACCTCATTCCCCCCTCTTCCTCACTCACTCCGCGCTTTTTTCTCCTCACCCTCCGAAGTTGTAGGGCCTCCCTAACAGTCTTCCCCTCAATGTACTCAAGCACCATCCACCCCCCAGCACCCGTACCCTCCTCACCTCCTCCGCCATCAGCATCCAGCCCTAAAACGCCTGGCACACTAACTCCTTCGCGTCGACATTTGACAAGTGTCCTTGCCTCGCTGAGGATGCGGTGACGCGTCAGGCGGCGATCGAGCGTGGGGTGACGGTATGCCTTTGAGGGGCGATATTTGAGGATGCTGTGGAGGGTAGGCTGGAGGAAGTTCGTACGGTAGATAAGAGCTTCGGCGCCCTGGGTTAGGAGGGTTGGTTGGGGGCGGGTACGTGCGAAAGGGGCGGGGAGGGGGTGGAGTTGGTGGTTAGCGTCGGAGGAAATGTTGGTGGTCGACATCGCGGAGATGAGATGTCGATAGTGAGGGATCGAATGGCTATCAGATGTTTACAAGAGTTGAAACGATCTCTACGTGCGCATTCTTTAACATTCTATCGCACGTATACGGCGTTTGCATCATGCTTTCCGAAGGCTTAGAAATGTAATTTCTGGAAGCGGTCTTTGATAGTGTACACACTATACATCGGCGCCAGATTCATTCCCGAAGTTCTCACGACTGGCGAAGTTCAGCCGAAGCTTGGGTTGAGACCTCTGCAAGTGACGTCAAGAGGTCTCGAAATACCATCCACCATCTACGACTTGCGCAGGGTCCGTCTTCAGGTAATATCCATATTCACCAGCCACCACATGAAAACATCGCGAAACAGTTGAGCCACAGCAGAGTCTGGGCGCCTGAGAATGGTTGCAACGCCGTCTACTCTAATTGGGGCCAGTTGTAAGGACGCCTGACGGCACTGCAAGAGCTGAGGCTCAAGATCTCTGGGTAGGGCTAGGCGGGACAGACTATGACGATTCCCCTAGTGGAGCACCATTGCCTAAACGGACACTGAAGCATCGTTGTTAGTGCGGCCCTTCACACATTGGCGGTGAGAACTCAAATGAAACGTCTGTGGAATCGAGAGGGTTGGATATCTCGACAAGACGCTAGGCGGAGTTCAGCCACAGCATCCCTGGGTACAGATCGAATAATGCAGACACGGTTGTATAGTCAGCTGGCACCAGCATGCGTCGTTCCAATCATATAACGGGACCAAAGCTAAATTGCAACGTTGGTGATGCCCTCTCTCTGCAGTAATGCGGCACGACTGTGTGATGAGGCTGGTGTCGTCGCTATTGGCTACACGATATCGCGCTAACCTCACTTGTGGCTGTGCGAAGTCAAATATCCGACCCGCAGCTCTTTGTCTGACCTCCCCTCTGCAACGATATAAGACCTCAAGAAAGACGGATTTTAAGGCCTCCCATTCTCTTACCTTGGTGAACCGCAGCAAACCCTTTCTTTGGGAAACCTTATGCTCGTTAGCTTCTAGCACCGTCTAAACATGCAGGCTCTGTGGCTTTACAAATGGCATGGCTTAAGTCATGCTCGTTCAGGTCATTCTAAGCACCGGGATGTCCTCGAGTCGGTATAGTCGTGTTGCCTTATTTCTTTCATATAGATTATGACTGCTGTTGTATAAAAAGACTTCATCGCGCCTTGCCCATCTCCTCCTGTCTTAGTCATTTGTCGATCGCATCTATTTCATGTCCTCTCCTCATGGCAAGCCAGCAATGGCTAGTTGTTCTCTCTATTCTACCATAAGACTTGCTCGTGTCGTACAACGTGTGAAGGACCGCTTGAAGTCCATACGACATAAGGCACCCGAAAGGACCTTGACTGCTAAGGTCCGCGCCGAAACGTTCAGGCCAGAGATGGATCAGGAAATTGATAGGCAAGTTGTCGATCGTTGATCTCCATCATATAAGCTGACGTGGGGCCTCAGGTACATCAAGCCTATATCCCTGAAGGATAGGGGCTCTTCAGGCGACCACCACCCGAGCCCGCCACGGACAGAGACTGTCGGGTATGGCGACATCAAATCTTTTGATTTCCAAATCACTGATCAAAATTGTTCCATCAGCTTGTTTCACGTTCTCGATAGTCATGTTTTGCTCAAGCATGTCTCGTCATTTTCTCTTGCTTCAGATGATTCGCTTTTCCTACAACATCATCATTTCCACCGCTCTTTTACCAAAGATGTACCAAAATTACGTCAGATTGTTGATGTATGCAATACTTTGTTGAACTTCACGCGCTGTTTCTCCCTCAGTTCACAAGATACTCATGACCGGCGTACCGGCTTTAGTGACAATTGTGGTACTTCTTCAACATGCGACTTTTCATGCGAAAAAACTATGGCGAACCTGGAGTACCTTCTCATGTGGTTTCGAGACTGTGCCTTGAACTTAATCCTTCGTCATTACCTTGACTTGATTGAATATACTCTTGAACGTTATCAGCAATTTTGGCTTCACAAAAAGGGGGCTCTTGGCAATTGGTTCAACGAGTGGCCAAATGGACAGCGTCCATTAAGTACGACATGGCCTTGGAACGTCAAGCCCTCTCTATTAGTCCTATGGGGTGTATGTTGGATGTTTTTCGACCACGAAGGCAGAAACTTTGGACCCCCTGAGAACTTCGGACAGGACTTTTGGACGCGTCAGGCAACAACACAGTCGCAGCCGAGCACGCAGCCTTTACAGCAAACTTTTACAGGTGTGCACCTCCCCAACGCATTGTGTTTGCTCTACTAACTCGTTGCAGAAAGCTCTCTGGCGCCGGCTGTTCCGGCTACTTATCAAAATTACGCATGGGGCAATCCCTACCAGGCAGGCGCACAAGTGAGGCGCGCTAACGAAGGTGACTCACACCCCCCAAAACGCGATTCACACGAAGTCATCTGATCGCGAGACGAGAATGAGGATATGTGACTAACTTTGACCTGCAGGCATCCCCGCGAACACACCATCTGCGGCTCCAACTAGCGCATCACCGTATTCATATATATCTGTCTCTTCGGATGAATCCTCAGACCTCTTCCCCAGCCCAGCACCAGAAGGTTGGCCTTACCTTTCAGGCATCAGCCCTGCAACCGTTCCAGCATTCCAACCAACAAACTTTTGGTCGTCGCCTGGTACTTTCGCCGCTCCGAATTTGACAGCTATCCAAAACATCGAGCAACCAATCTCACTTCAGCCGTATGCTTTGCCTCAGGCCAGAACCACTCAGGCAGGCAGAGGAGGGACTCCCAACCGCCTTGGGTTTGGAGGCCTGGGAAGTCAAAGACGCAACATGCAGGACTATCCGAGTCCTCAGCTGAGCGACGTTTCAGGCCAAGCAGACCCTTCATATGCAGCTTTCCAGCCCCAGATCATGGCCACCCCCGACACTGGTTTGATGAAATCCCCAAGTCTGTCTAGAAGTCCCACCTCTCCCAGTTCTGCCAGTATAGGAAGAGAAATTCTCAGAAATCAAGCCGGCGAGTATTTCTGCAACCATCCAAGCTGTGCTCTCAAACCGCCTCGTTTTTCGAGGAAGTGCGAGTGGTCGTAAGATATCCGCTCCTTTTTTCACCCGCATCAATACTGACTTACAGAAATAGTAAACACATGGATAAACATACCCGTCCCTACGTCTGCGAAGAGCCCGGCTGCGAGAACCTCCGCGGCTTCACCTATTCCGGCGGCCTGCACCGTCACCAGCGCGAAGTCCATCGCCAGCACGGCGGTCCCCGCGCCGCATGCTTCTGCCCGCACAAAGACTGTAAACGTAGCACTGGCGTTGGTTTCTCTCGGAAAGAGAATTTGGCCGAGCATTTACGACGGGTGCATCGAGATGGTGGGGATGAGGGGGACAGAGAGTCGACGCCGGCTTTGGAGAGAGTGGACTCGCAGCCTCTAGACTCGCAAAGGGGGTTGGGTGGGAGTAATGGGAGGAAGAAGAGACGACGGGTTGATGAGGGATATGGGGAGGATGAGGAGGATAGTCAGAGTTCGCAGCAGTTGAGGCAGGAGATTAAGAAGTTGAAGAGGGAGTTGGCGGAGAAAGATGAGAGGTTGAAGAGGCTGGAGGAGCAGATGGCATTGCTGGCGTCGAGCCAGAGATTGGGACGTGTATGAATATGAAGATGCATATGAGCGAGATTGTATGATTGGGAAATTGTGAGCATTGGCAAGGCATGGGATGGGCTTTCTTCCCTCAACCTGAGATATTCGGGCATTATCTGCGGTGATGGTTGTGATAGAGGTTTTTTTTTCAGTTGCCTTTCGGCCTTCTCTTTTATGATAGAGACATTTCTGTCGAATTATAACAGTCGAACTTTCTGCTCTTCCGCTGGGCTTGATGTGAAGCCGAAATAATATGCCCAGCATGATGTTCGCGAAACGTGTGCCGTTGATTTCAAAGACTCTTCCCTTCTTTCAGCTGTGTTCCTTTTTGATGATCGTGCTGGCATGCCGTTAAAGTACTTACATATCTGTCTAAGCAGGTTGCGGTCGGTAGCGGTTGCTGTGAAGGAAAATTAGAATCAATAGCTTCATCATCACGGTGTGATGATGGCAGTAGTGGATTTCTAAGCTCAACGAGTTTTAGTGTCAACATAAACAAAATTTTCGCGTTTTCTTTTTCTTCCTTCCTTCTATACACTTCTTACAATTGTCAACCAATTGGTCAACAAAGTGCCTTTGAATTGTCTAGGCACGAGTTCCAGGCTACCTTAGCCCTTCGACCCTTTTCGAAATAATCGAAAGGAGTCCAATCATTCTTGGGTCTCATCGCTCAGAGATTGATGAAAAACCGCACGACTCAAGTTTAGGCTGAGACGTTTATTCAAGACTCTTTCTCCTTTTTCTATCTCGCCTTTGGTTTGATATTGGAGATCACGGCTTCGGCCAACAATTTCTTGGAGGTATCCCAGCCTAACAGCTGAGTACTTTCGCTACTGTTTAAGTAGCCGAGTGAGAGCTCATTAGCACCGGCAGCATAGTCTGCGTGCTTTTTTACACAATGCCACACCACATGGCAAATCCGAATGATGATGCTATCCTTGCTGATAAGGACGCGTCACATTTTGAATGAGGGTTCTGATGGATCCCGCCTTGAGTGCCACAGTTTAGGCTCGGCGCTTTATTCACAAACAAGAGCAAGTTCAAGCTCAGATTCGAGTCATGAATCTTCGAATCTCGATCATGGCCAGCGTCCACAGCGCACGGTCGAGAGAATAGAAGAGGGTGCCGGTCTCGAAAGCAATATCCAGCACACGGGTGAGTCGGATCCAAGCTCCGCCCAACGTGTATTAGATACTGTTGACGAAACGGCCAGTCTCGATTGCGAGGATGATTGGCTGGCTGAGTATGAGTCGATGGTCGCTCAGACTGCTGAACAGACTATGGACGAAGTCGATGAGACGGCTGAAGGCCCAGGAGAGCTTTCCACACCTGAGACGGACTCAGCGGAAGCAGACACCTCCTCAGATCCAGACACGGAGGCTGAAAATTTCATAGATCAAGGTATCGTTAATCCCCGAAAACTAAAAGTCTGCGCTATGAGGATTAGTGACGCAACAGATCAGTGGACAGGTTTAGCCGGCAGCCCATACGGAAACCCTCTCGATTACACTATGAAGTGTCGCCCTTTTGTTGGTCCAGCCGGCAGCGGGAGCATTCGCTTCGCTTTTAGGGTCAACAAGAACAAGAGGAACAAGAGAGTCACTACCGCAGCGGGCAGTTTCGAAGTCTTCGCGGCCCAATTCCATATCGGTGCTCTTTCCAAAGAGGGGCAACACATCTACGACTTCGATGGTGTCCCTTTTGATGAGATCCCTGAAGACGACCCTCGCTGGCACTCGAAGATCGCTGACCCTGACACAGAGAAAGGCGAAGCCAACCGAGAGTACGTGATGGCCTTCGAATTCAAAAGCGATGGCTGTGAAATGACAATGGGGGACAAGAGATGCTGGTCGCACCTTCCGAATGAGGTGCAAGATCTCCTCAACACACTGTTTAGACCGGCGGTCCATGGCTCTTTAGCCGTGAGATTCTATATGGAAGCACGGCCTAACCCACACGAGGCAGAAGACCGTTGGATCAAGTTCATGCGTCGCAACGTCAAGGCTCAGACCAAGAGGTCGCAAAATGAAACGGCTAAAGATTGGTGGGAAGATGGTGCATAAGTCGACAAACACAACAGTCGAGGGGAAGCATTAAATAAGCTCTCTCACTATCGCAGATTGCTCGGATCCCTACACCATATATGTACCTTGTGTGTACCGATCTCACTATCCTGCGACACACCAGCGAGTATTCAATCTTGCCTTTCTTTTCAAAGCTGAAGTGCTCAACGCCCGGGAAGCCCAAAAGTAGGTGCGTACTGAAGACATCTTGGGTCTCTTGATTGGCTTATCTTTCAACGCTCACGAAGTTGAGGGTAGATCGACGCTATGAAGGCAAGATCTGAATAGGATCAACCAGCAATGTATTCCGTACTTGTGTCTGGCACAAACCTCTGCCTCAGCCTACCGGACATTCTTCAGGCAGTCTCAATGCCCTCATGGATTGAAGGCGTCCAATAAAGACTCTGCACAAGCAACTTTATAAATCTTTCCCTAGCGTGTAGAGGGTATATCAAGCCCTTGGTCTGGAAAGGGTGTGGCATGCTTCACGACCCGAGGGAGGATGGGGTGTGCAGGCAGTGTCGTCGATTCAGCGATGGCAATGATTGAGATCCAGGCGCAAGCAGTGGGAACTCCACTATCCCCTGCCCGTGCAGTTGAGGTCTAATTGTACATCCGAAATTACCACCTGGCATGTTTTCATGCCATCACTTTTTGAGTGGGTGGATACCAAGCTCAGTGCGTCAGAGAAAGTAGTTGGACCAGAGGAGGGCCCATTGCTATACGATCTTCCACAGGTAGGAACTGTGTCATCTTCCGGATAGTTGACTTTGCATAGAATGTCCTACATATTGATTTCGCAAGGAAAGGATTACAAGAGTCCTTCTGAACGGCTGCCGATATATCCAGCTAAGACTGTACCCCAGATCGCCTGTGGCAAAAGGCATGACATGCGTACGTTTCATACTGAGCACGCATTCATAAGGATGTCTGCCGCTAGTCTAAGCCCGGTTAGGTCGAAAATCCGAGCTGATCAGGGCGAAATGTTCCCCAACAAAACCTGCAAAGTATCATTCAAGCCTGACTCCGCGCTGAGAGATCTATTTACCACTTTTCGGTGATTAGGAGTAGCGTGCTGGGTGCTTTAGAGACCTTAAACAAAGTCATGGGTACTAGAAGACTAATCAAGCTCCCAAGTCAGGACCAAGGTTATATTGAGCAATAACATTGCCTAAGCTTTGAGGCTGATTCTAGGAAGTAGCTGCACAATGTTGACCTTTGACAGCTACCATTGGTCAAGGGCGATCTGATACTGAAGTTCACGAAGCTATACAGATAATTTCATTTGAAGGACTGCTTACCAATACTTCGTGTATCGAGAAAAAAAAGGGGAACAACAAATGTCGAAAATTGCTTAGCCTCTCAATGACCTAATCCTTGAGTATCTCGGCAAGAGAGGCAATACAAGGACGGAAGCACAGCTGGCTCATTTACGGTGCGAGAAGTAGTCAGTGAGCATTAAAACACGCAGGGACTCAACTCATTCTATCAGCCTAGACACAAAGAGGGACCAATCTAGCATATTCTGCTTAATTTGGCAAGCTACTTTCTATCTTTGAGTAATGATGCCCGGCTCCACCATATATCGGTGTTCAGCTTTGGGAACAAGTTGATCTTTCGGACAAGCTGCCAAAAATTCAGCCAGATCTTCGACTTCCGTGAATGCAGAGGCCTCGTCCATATTTGATAGCTGAGAATTGTATGGCCTTTTACGGATGAAGATGAGACCACGGGACTCATGACGGCGCCCATGTGAGAAATCGCCGTATGCTAGGACTTGGAGTTTTGGTAGACCAGTCTCCCCAAATGCGAATTGCACCAAATTCCAGAGGCAGTACTCTTCCAGCGAGGCACCTTGCTCCACTACATCGTAAATGCAAGTGTCTTCGCCTTGCTGTCTCATCCGATCACAATATTCGAAGGCTTTCAGGAGGGAATCCCGAGTACCATGTTCTGGGTTACAAGCTGATCGTCTCAAGTGAAGGACCTTCCAACTGGGTACTGGTGGGCCCAAATCTATCAGTTTGCCAAGCTAAGGCAGAGTAAGATTGACTGATGTCCCTTGTCGTGACAAATCGCACTCACCAGAGGAAGTGTGGAGGAAATGCTGAGGCCAAAGCACTCGATCTCGCACCGGAAAAGTCTTTGCAGTGCCTCGTCGACGTCAAAAATTTCTAGGTCGTCATCGACGACTGGGCCACCAAATAGAGAACCTGCGGGGTCAGGTTTCGTCTCCCAGCGATGCAAAATCAATCTTTTCATTGTAGACTTATGAAGCTGCAACATCTGCCATACCGACTCAGGAAACGATTGCCTTCTCAGATAGCACCTACGCAGTCCTCGGGAAGCACATATGACGTCCCCGAGAAGGTCAAGGCTCTCGATGTCCCATTCAAGATTCTCCAGTTGAAGCATTTTCCCTTGATCAATCGCAGGCGTAATGAGCCGATCCTCCTCACTGCATTCACGTAGCGACAACGATTTGAGTCGAGTAACATCGATGCATGCTAACAGGAAGTCATATCCCGAGTGAAAATGATACTTGCGCAGGCTAAGACTGTGCAGCGCAAACAGCGGACGGCGCATTGCTTCAATCCCGTACACTGATGTTCTTCTTGCTCGAGACTCTTTAGGACGCCCGTGCCGAATATCCCACAGCTTCCAATGGTAAATATCGACCCATGCCATTTCGATTAGAAGCTCTTGGAGATGTTCATGGTTGGCCTCAAGCGTGCGTCGAATGGAAAAGACCTCTTTTGCAAGCCGGATACCTTGCCAGGATAATTTCGTCAAGCTTTTGAGAAGCGAAATATCTGTATATCGGGCTTTGTTGGCATGAGTCACGAAACTACAGTCTGCGGCGGTGATCAAGGAGATTTCTCTGATCTTTGCTTGTCGGGTTATCAGAGGACTATCATTGGCGAAAATTTCCTTTGGCACACAAATTCCAAGGTCAAATTTGAATGTGAGGAGCTGATCCTGGGGTATCTTTTCGAGCAGAGGAATGAGATCTAAGCCTAACCAGGATGCCCTGAAAGGATTTGTTTGAGGATCGTTGACAGTAGGTAGAGTCTTCATGTGATATTCCTTGGAATATTCCCCGAAGGACGGGCGGACGCATCGTTTGCTAAGCTGTTTGACGAAGGGAGCGACGACTTCAAGGTGCCGTACATGGTGGCAGAGCGACGCTGGTGCTTCCGAGTGAGGCAATTTATTATTTCCGCGCTCTTCACTAACCGTGATCGTTGTCTTTCTCCACATGTGGGGCTCCAACCAGCATCGGAGATCTCGCGATACGCTATATAAAGCGAGTCGATCAGCTCTTGCAGGAACAAACGAGAAGAGCTCTATCCATATATCGGCGTCTAGCTGAGTAGGCTGAGATCGACTTGCTGCAGGGCGTCCATCAGCGGCTGTTGTCGCCGAGTGAACACCGGTCGGTGAGCTTGCCTCGCCGGGCGTTGACATGCCGTTTTCGAGAAAAATCGGATGACCAAATTTCTGTGAATATGATCAGAGGTTTGTGCTTCATCCAAGTGACAAATGAAGTAGCGGCCAGAGATGTTGTGAAGTTTCGCAAGCAGCAAGTAAATTTGCGTATACTTCGATCTACGCCACGCTGAAATGCTAGAGCTGTGTCGTTACTTGACCTCATCTCGGTAAATATTACTGCTCCACTTGAATGCCTCCGGTTTCGCAACGCTGGGTGGCGAAAGGAATTCTGCCGCTTGGCATAACACAGTTGCGCTCACCGTAAGTTCCCCATCACTTCATGCCGTACCCCTCACTCATCTACTCTTACCGCGTCTTACAGTGATATATTCGTAAGCAAAGTCATGTCGCGGCCGGTCTATTCCTTGGGGAAACTACTAGAGCTCGGGGACACTGCTAAAGGCTCTCAGGTCAAAGGATGCTGGAAGCCGCCAGCAGCCTTGGCTTGCTTTCTGGCAGTAGTTCACCCCGACGACATTGATGCACCGCAAAAATATTGTGATATTGCCTATTCTTCTTGGGAATCAGCAAAGAGCACGGATAGACGTGCTCCAGCGCCCTTTGAAGCCGCTCGGATTTTTGGACCAATATCGTGTATGATCAGCATATCTGGAAAGACGGCTTTCGGTAGTCTGTTTGAGGCCAATTCGATATCCCCAATGCTCACCATCAACCCTGGAGTGGGAACTTCTCCCCACGTAGCCTTGGACATCAAAGCTAGAGCTGGAACGAAAGATCTGTATAGCAACATCTGGAGAGTCAACGACACTTTGAACAATACTTGGGCTTTGACGTACCTAACAATCTATGGGGGTACGGCAGCTATGCGAGACGAGAAAGTGACACCGTTCGAGGTGCGAGCTCAATTACCGAACGAAACTTATTTTGAAGACCTGGTGTGTATGGAATTCACTTCTTGGGCTCAGGTGATAGACCGTGGAACTGCGCACAATTCTTCTGTCCTCAAACAGGGCCAATCTGAATCCACCCGAGAAGCTTTGGATGTCCTCTTTGAACCAAGACGGCCTTACAGAATCAAAGTCTGGTTTCTTTCTCCGACCGATTTCGAATCGCTAAGAAGCAAGGTGATCATCTTTCTTGAAAAGTCCTTAGCTGGAATGGTACTACCCCTCCTTTGTTTCCAGGATTCGAAATTCGAGTATTTCCTAGACTATCTCAATCGGATTCAAAGGCCAGCTGATAGAAGATTTGGGGGGTTGCACCGAAAGCATGACGAGTGGAACGACCCAGCGGAGCGAAGGGTGCGAAGGCTGTATATGTCAGCGGCGAGCGGGGATCAGAGACAGCAGGACCATAACCTCAAACCCTAGTCCTCATTTCTATATCACAGAAGCAGGTCAGTGATACTGTAAGACTGTCAGAAGAGAGCTAGCTGACGAGTGTACGAAGATGTAAAGTGGAAGCTCTGAGAAAGGATCAGGCTTTGAGACAATGAAAAGGATCACAAAAGCTCAGATGTGAAACGGGCAGAACGTCCCCAGAGGGCTTCAACAGCTTTAAACGACGTGCATCAGGAGCAGAGATCCGAGAGAAGATACATAATTTCTTAAACATGGCAAGGATCAACTCTGACCCCAATCCTGTCGAGACATCTGGTGAGTACCACCTCTCTTGCGGCACCTATTCATGCTGATATCGTAGAAGGAACCAAAATTGACGTAACAGAACCTTGAGCAAGGCTTAAGTGACACATGGTCATGACGGGTTGCACAAAGAATCATTGATACATCACAAGTTCTTTGGGGAACTGAGAATATTTGAAGGATAATGTCAAATACGTTAGTAAGATGACTGTGGACGAGGGAAATGGGACAAACAAGATTCTTCAGATTTAGAACGAGACAAGGCTCTGTGGTGACGATTGTGGGAGGCCTGAAGGCATTGCTTCAAGATTTGTATAGACATGAATGCTCACACAAAGATCTACTCAGGCTGTGACTTTCTGTTATTTGCTGAATTTTTATATTGTAAATTCCTTGCTATCCTGGTCTCGCAAGGCGCATCGCGTATCATTCCCGAAGCAAATTAAAATATCATTCTATCAAGTGTGATATGCAAGACGAGCTTTCACCCCTTGCGCCAAAATAACTCAAAGAATCGAGAAACTCGGGGGTGCGTTTGGCTCTCTTTGCTTACACGGCATCATTTAAGCACTTTGTAAGAGAGGGCCATCGACACGTTCGAGGAGTGGGCGTTGATGAAATTGTCTAAATACTTCTTGCGTATTCTGTTGATCATCTCCAAAGCCTCCAGCACAAGCATTTGTCCTTGAAACCATGAAGCGTCTCTTGATCTCCTCTGAACGATCTCTGAGGCTAGCCCAGTTTCTTATTATCTTAATAAAAGTCAACCGTTATGCAGATAGCTGACAGAGAGATCATACCAAGAGCTCCCTCCGACTCTTTTGCTAACAGCTCAGATTATTGAGATCTACTGACGAAGCCGTGTCCGAATCCTCAACACCATATGCCCAGATCTAGAGATAGGCCCGCAACTGGTGCTTGGTCTCTACGGAAGTCTCCCAAAGGTTTCTTGTTCCCAATTTTGACTACAAACGGCAGGTCATCCAGTACCATCGCTGGCTTAGAAGAGGAAGCTACAGTTGCACACCATCATGTTAGTTTTCGCCTAGGCCTAGGTGACTACCTCGAAGCCTTTCGTGCGGTATAGGGTCGTAACTCACCGACTTCGCCGACCTCATGCTGCAGCTGTGCAGAGGATGGAGACAGTTCATGTTTCGAAGCATCGTCAACATACACGGAGCTGTTCTATGGCTGACGCCAGAGTCTCTCCATCACCATCGTTTTTCTCTAGAGAATCACGTGGTTCCTTGTGGTCTTGAAGATTGTCAGTCAAATTCCCAGATGAGGACACACTTAAGCTGGGAGGCTGCGAGCTGGAAATCGTGACTTCTACCGAGCTTGGTGAGGACTTTACAAAAGACTATTTCAGTGGAAAAATTTGCCAGACGAAGATATATGGAGCAAATTCAGGATCTTGACACGAGATATGGCGCGCGTGAGAACGATGTGCACAATAACCGGAATCGCTATATTATGCGACGAAGTAGAGGTATAGCTTGCCAAAATAAAATAGGAAAACGAAATTGATGGGAGAAAACTTGGGATGGCTAGGACGAACGGGCCGCTAAGTGATGATATGTTCATGTCAACGAGGGATAGTAGAAATCAATTACTTGCTAATCAGACGAACGCCAGTCAAAAGTGCTCTGATCACGTCTTTGCTTGCTGGTGCGATTGTTCTCCCCCAGCGATTATGTATACAAAAGCATTTCTATACAAGATCCTGATAATTTAACAGGCGTCTCATTTTGCCAAAAGGAGGATCATCCGAGCCTATTCCACTTTTATAGAGCTCGTGACCACCCTCATCTACAAGCAGTTGCTCTACACTCAACCTTCAAACCTCTCATCTCTCACTGTTACTGACTGGCTCTTGCTGGAGAAATGACTGCACTTGCCGCAGTTAGCCTGGTCCAAATCTTCTCTCTACGACACTCCCTTGACTGGGCAGTGTCAAGGTTAGTCCATGTCGTGGGTAGCGATTCCTTGTCACGTTGATAATCTTGCATAAGTAGCTTGATCTCATTCTTTCGTGAAGAGCTCGCGGTCTCCTGAGCCTGCAAATTGTCAATCATGGGGAGTATTTCAGACGTCCAGCTCTAGACAAGTCTCTCTCGGCCTCCCTCTCTTGAACGTTCGACTACCCAAGTTCGGCTTTGTCTTTGAGGCGCCTCATCCCATTCGCATGATCAGTCTTTACGCTTTCATTAGCCTGCCGGTGATTATTGGCTTCGGATAGTAGCCTCGTACGTTCGGCTTGAGACATCTCATGTTCAGCCTTCATGACTTGGGCCATCGCCTTCTCAAGCTCGGCTTCATCTTTAAGACGATGAATCTCAACTATGCGCTCAACCTTCATAGCCTTCACTGCATGTCTAAAACGCTTGGCTTTGCCGTACATCTTGGTCTACTTACCTATCGACGTGTCAAAGTTGGCCTAGATATGATGAACGTTCAACTTTCCCCGTTCGGCTTTGTCTTGAGATTACCTTATATCGATAGTCTGCTCGTCCTGCTTGTCTTCAAAGCACTTCTGAAACTGAGCATGCTTTTGGCGCCACACCAAAACTTTGCGTTTTAAGTCCCATTGTAGTCTGCTCTGACGTGCCGTTCATGGCTTGAAGACAGCTTTTAGCCGAGGTCAAGTGGTCTTTCTCCGTCAACAGCTGTTGGATACTGGCGTTCTGTTCGCCGTAGAGCTGTTGAGCGTGCCTCAGTCGGGAGGTCAAGGAGATTTTTCCGGCGGCAATATTGTGATGAAGCTAGAGTTGCTCCTGCAACGTAGCCATTTGGGCTTGGGGAGTATCCCTTCCCTTCCTCGATTAGTCATTGAAAGTCTGCGTGTTGCGTTTCTGCATCGCTACTTAGACATTCCTCCTCCTCTGTAGGTCAAATTACCCGCTCTCCCTGCCCAACAGTCCTTGTATTCAGGCTGTATCGTCCCCGAGCCCAAGTCTGCCGCTAGCTTTCTTGTCAAAGTCCTTCGGGGACGGTTCAAATGCATTGTTTCGGGCCTCAATACGACTTCTCCATTCCTCAAGCTGACTTTGCTGGCTTTCATTCATGTCAAGCAATTTCTGGATGTTTGCCTTTTCTTCTGTGGAGTCATTGTTGACTTGGGCTTCCCACTCTTTGAGCTTAATTTCGGTGGCTGCTTGTCTGTTGGACCGAGCGTCGAGAACAGCTTTATCATTCGCGAGCTGAGCTTCTCGGACTTTGAGCTCTGCATCATCATGATCTAGTTGATTTTGTCTTGCGTCGAGGTCTGACGTTCGTCTGGCGAGGCGATCTTCGCGGGCAGCAAGTCCCAAGATTTCGTATACCAAATTCACCTCACGGGTGTCTAGGTCGGCTTGCTCACATTTAAATTTGTCTTCTCCAGTCTCCGAGGCCGACTATTCTTGTTCTACTTGACGCTCGGGCGCGTTCAGCAGCACCCCTCCCTCCTGAAGCTGCTTCTCACGCGCCTCCAGGTCAGGATATTTTCCGATCGGTCGATCTTCGAGTGACTTGAGTTGCGACTCCTTTGCATCGAAGGACTTTACTTTGTCTTCCCATTGAGCGAGGACACTCTGAGTCTCCTGTAAGGAGCTCTTCGTGTCGTCAAGTTGAGCCTCAAGGCTTGTCCTTTGGCCATCAATCACAGACAATTCTTTCTGTCTCTGTATGAGACTGTTCTCCCAATCGGCTTTGAGCTGATCGGCCTCCCTGCAGAGATCTAATAGCCTCTTATGCGAGGATCGAAGCTGATTGTTATACTTGGTAAACAAGTCAACAATATCACGCAATACGTCATGATCAGCCTTTGCGAGGAAATAAAAGAAGGCTTGAGCTTGTTCTGCCAGCTCCTTGCTGATTTGATCAAGCGAACCTTGCCATGGAGGGACTGTTTGTCCACTTGCATGGCTGTCATTGCCTGAGACAGGATTAAGCGAAGCAGAGCTTGTGGCTACTGTTGACTGCAATTCCTGAATCGCGTCGACAACCGACCTTTTCACTGTTGTGGATGAGTCGTGATGGGACATTGTTCAATTATTGTTCACACAAGCGCGATAGCTTTTAGTGACAAAAACTTTGGCAGTCGCTGACTGCAAAGCCTGGGCTGAGCCCAGTAACCTTCAGACGAAGCTGAGGTGTAATCTACCGACGGTAGATGTGTGATTTAAATCAATACCCCCGAGCTGAAGCTGCGAGAGACAGGCACTTCCTTCGGAAGCCGTAGGTAGCTGTAGCTGCTACAATGAACAATGCACATGGAGTAATGGCATTGGCATGGAACTAAAGTAAGGTAGATGAAGAAGAAGTTGAAATGGTGCGGCGAGTTTAACTTGGGTCGTCTACATTAGCTCTTCTCAGGGTTAGGGCAAAGTCATTAGGGCAGACCCTCAAAAGAGACACAAGCTCAATAGCAGGCCCTTTGAGACGACAGATTGTATTGACTTCTTTCCTCATGAAACCATCAATTGACGGATAGTAAAGCAGGGATGCACCGTTCCGGGTCTATCATGGACGGGCGAGGGTCAACGACTCGAAGGAGAGGTCTAAGTCAGACATTGTGACCAAATGAGATAACAAGGTGCAAACAACGCGAATGAGCGAACAACAGTACGAGGGTTCCCCACAAGCAATATAGGGTGGATATGAGGCAGTCTATCGACAGGTCGAACACGTATGCTGAATTTCTCAAGGCTCCTACATCAATTTCGCCTTGATGCAAGCATTCTTCGAATTGCTATTCAGTCGTCATGGATTGGTGGTGACGCCAAGATTTTACCTCAACACGTCAACAGATAATGAACTCTCGGCTCAAGTATGATCATCATCTTCTTATCCATCCCACGCAAAACCTCTCGTTGCAGCATTTTTGTTGCCAGGCGGAATCTAGGAGATAGCTTGACAATATCTCCAAAATCTTGCACAGTGCAACAACTTGCTTGATTCATAAAAAACTCAAAATTGTCAATACTTGACACGCCTGTTAACTTCATTCGAAGTCAGGTACCACGGCTTCTTCAAAAGCCGTGAGGCAAATGGCTGTAGCACTGATTGCTTTTTGATAAACATGTCATCTCACGGTGATCCACGGTTTCAGGCTCTGGCCACAGCAGAGCTTGAAAAGCGCCTCGAACGGAGTGAAGAGGAAAGAAGGCAGCTCGACGACAAGATTACTGAGTTGATGATGGAGATCATCAGGCTGCGCAAAAATGCGCAACACGACCGAAGAGAGTCGGAGAATAAGATCGACGAATTGGAGGGAAAGCTGAAAGCTCTCTCGGAGTCCAATCCATCGGCGCCAACGGACTCGAAAGCTTTGGATGTGGATACCAGCAATGCTATCAAAGTTCAACACTACAAGAAGTTGAACGACCGCCAGTCAGATGACTTTTTTAGGGCCCGTCTGTCATCGATTTCCGAGGCCAAAAAAGCAGACGAGCTCTTCAAACAACTTGATTCTGACCAGCGCACGCTTACCGAAGCAGAGACCAAGGTTGACCAAGCGGTGACTAAGCATAAGGAAGCAGTGGCCAAGCGTAACGCGACAGTGAAGAAATGCCCCCAGGCACAGCAAGAGGCGCAGAAGTCTCGCCAACTAAACAGTAGCAGACGTATTCCGATCTTGAGAGTCTAGAAAGAGATGAAAGAGATAGCCGAGGGCGAAAAGTCAGAGTCATCTGCTACGAAACAAGGAGAAAACTCCAAAAAAGCCAAGGAGTTGGGAAGTAGCCCTCCGCACGAATCAGAGCTGACAGTTGCGTCAGAAGAGAAATCCAAGGTTGCGTACCAGGGTCAAAGAATGAAGCGTAAAGCCCGAGGAAACGGTAAGCATACAACTCGAGGACCAATCATTGACTGACTTGCATCAGACTAATTCACCACCCTCGAAGAAATTGTGCCACCGCTCACAGTCGACACAGCCACTCTCGCCCTTTGCGACGCATCGAACGAGTCATCTCGAAATACCAGATGCCGGGAACGAAGCACCTGTTACTTTTACTGATCAGGAGACTGTCCTTCCTGAATCTGACGGCCGAGGAAGACGGCTAGACCACGCAAAAGAGAGCATAGGAAAAAGCTGCAATGGACGGAGTGCGTTCTGATTTCAGGCATCTCGAAGTCTCAGACTTGCTAGTCACGGCAACGCGACGGATGACCGAAGGATAAGATGTCGATGGCAAGATCTTCTAGAATAAAGGCTTAATTGAGCGAAACATCAGGGCGATTAGGGAGGCCTTTTAGCAGTCCGTGGCGGAGATTAAGAGACAAAGATAAGAATAGGTGCAGAGGAGAGGAAAGGCTACTAAAGAAACGGAAGGTCTGCATCTGACCTCTCAGGAATGATAAGAGCTGTAGAGATGGCAGTTGCAGAAGTTATAAAGGGTCGCATTGACCCGGGGAGGAAGCGCAGCTAGCCAATTTGGGCGAAACGAGAGCATAAATTCGTTCATAATTGCATAAACCGCTCACTTCCCCTGCCAAAATTACTTTTCCTACATCACTGCAAAGACATACATTATCGTTACTCATAACATCATTCTATCCAATCAGTTCCTTACATAGCACATTACCCTATCCCTCAAGCCTCCCCCGGCCACACCTCCTCCGCCAACTTCCGAACTAATTCCAACTTCTTGACCATGTCGTCCCTACCCAAGGCATTCCCCTCCGCCGCGCTTGCAAACCCACACTGCGGACTCACTCCCATTCTACCCAACGCTTCCTCCCTACTCTCCATATTGCCCTCAGCTACAATTTCCGCGGCCTCCAGCACCCGGCCCTTCAGCATGTCCAGATCCTCTAATTGTGGAAACTTCGACGTTACAACCCCGAGCACTACATTCTTATTCTTCGGCAGATGCCTCAGAGGCTCAAAGCCGCCAGCTCTCGGGGTGTCGTATTCGAGGTAGTAGGTATCCACGTCTAAGCTGTCGAAGATGCGTTTCGCGACCCGTTCGTAGCCGCCTTCGGAGAAATGCTTGCTGTTGGCGAAGTTGCCTCGGCAGAGGTGGACGCCTACATGCATGTCTCCGGGCCGTTTGGAGATGCAAGCATTGTAGAGGTCGATGTATGAGGTGAGCATTTCGTCGCTGGTGGAAGTGTTGGCGGGGTCGGCGGCCCAGCCGGTAAGCATTTTCTCGTCACAGAAGTCTACGGGTGTTAGCAAGGTAACTCAGGGGGAAATGACTTACAGGCTAAGTTTGGGTCGTCAATCTGGGCATTGCGGAGGCCATGGTCGTACAGGATCTGGAGCTCGGCTTGGTAGGCGGCGGCGATGTCCGCGAAGAATTCCGAATCGTTCTTGTAGACACCTGGGGGGTAAGACTTGCCTTCTCTGTATCGGAAATGGTACAACTCCGGTGCAGGCAGGGTGAGCTTGCAGCCTCTGGCCTTGTCTGATGGTACGATGTTCTTCAGATAGTTCCATTGATCTGTGTATGTGCTGCCTGTGTGCTTGATCTTGCCCGTGCAGAAAACGCTCTCTGGTGGCCTCTGTCCAACGTCTGTGAATGCAGCGATGTTTGGCATGTACGTGCGGTAAACGTCGACCTCTGGGTCAGGTATCGATGTGAAGCCTTCCAGACCCGTGTAGAAGGTTCCCCAGAACACTAGACCATCAGCTGAGTCGCTATGAGAGTGAGGCACTTACTGCTTCTTCTGTACTCGCCATCTGTGATGCTGTGAAATCCCAGCTCGATCTGCAGCTCGACAACCTCTTTCACCGATGCATTTTCAATCTGCAGCAGTTCCTGCTGACTGATCTTGCCCTCCTTGCTATCTGCTCTTGCCTTGAGTAGCTTCTCAGGTCTCAGCAAAGAGCCCACCTGCTCAGCTCGGAAGGGAGGATTGCGTCTCAAAGCCGCCATGTTGTGACTACCAGGGAGACCCCGCTCCCCGTATAAAAGTCAGACGGTACCGTCTGACCGCCAGATTATCGTCAGACGGCGCCATGACGAGGAGGCCGGATGCAGAAGTGTGAGCCGTCCCGATAATTGGGTGGGACAGGTAGTGAGTAGTGAAGGCTACTGCTCCTGAATGGAATTGCCGTGTTCTGGCTTCTGGTCGGCAATGCCTGCACGTCATTGCCGACGCGCTAGCTTCCCTCCCTGAAAGTCAATTCTGCAGGCTTCCAGGCAATTCAATGACCTCACGCCTACCGAAGGCATCGTTCGAGAACCGTTCCAACAACAGGAGGGTCTGATCCCTTCAAAAGCTTGACAGCACTGTGTGTTGAGGGTGCCGCTGCCTGAAGCAGATGGCATTGGGCACAGCAGCATGAGGAACCAATCTCCTGGAACGGGGACATGGTACACAATTCGCTATATACAGAAACATCCCCCCGAAAGAGCAGGATCCAGAACGTCGGTAAGCAGCTGACAAAGACATGCCGAGATATCATATGCACTCCGATCTGAAGGGTTTGCATAAGGCCCCTAGCTGGGCCGTTTCCTGTCAAGCTTGTTTGCTGTCATTATGCAGGGGCTCCCCCACGGCGCCCTTACCGGCCTCTTAGCGTGCCTCCCCCTCAAGCTGTTCACACGTGTGCGTGGCAGGAATTCATTTGCTACTGCATAGCAGCTGTCTTGCGCCAACATTGTATCTCGGATAAGGTCCCGGCAAGTGCACGAGGCTCCGGAAGTTGACCCAACACCAATACCATCGAAGACATCCTACTTCTTCCATGAACGCTGCTTGGGCCATAACCTACCGTCCTTCCGGTCTCCGGTGGCGCTCTCTCTCAACGGCCTGACCGTGTTGTGAGCAATCCCTACTTGTCAAGATCAAAGGGTCGCTCGAGGCAGTCGGTAATTCTACTTGATGACATCCCGGGTTTGACTTGGCAACTGCCCGCCCGCTTGGATCAAATGTGTGTACTGGCGTTGGTAATCAAATCGAAGCAATACATGTGCTAGCTGTTGCTGATGCGGGCCATATTGGTCCTCGCGTCGACGATCCTTGCATCTTAGGATCCGGCAGACATCACCAGTGCGCGAAGAGCCTAGGGTACAATGCCAGCAATTATGGAGACTCCATTGCATCACATTTGTATTTTTATGAGTTCAAGGCCATACCTAGGGTGACAACGGTACAGCGAGGAAAAAAGGCAGAATAATCCCCCAAGGCGAAATCGGTGGCAGTTGATATGCGGTGGCTGCGGAATGCGTGAATCCAGATCCATTTATTCTGAGAGCTTAAAGGCTTTGTGCTGCTCCGTTGATGAATTTTCAAGCCCAGTGAGATTACACTTGCGCGATACGAGCTCCAGAAGCGGTGTCAACGCTAATGCAATCATGCATGAATGCATGAATGCCGGAGCATTCTTCACCGCTGACCTAGAACATTCTGTTTCGCCAAGGGCACGCTGGTCTGGTGGCTTCGATCCATATGTTCCGTTACGCTAACCTCTCTGTAGTGTCCTGTATCCTAGCATTGCCGTATATGACTCGTCCAACTGTCTAAGACGAGCCCAAGTCGTCAAGCCAATCTGCACTCGCCATTTCGAACTATCCCAAACGTAAGCATTTAGTCTTCATGCGTTGAACGCTAGGCACTTACGTCTACAATGAAAAATATGCAGCAGAGACCTGTGGTGGGGGCGGAGTAAACAGCGTCAGTTGAAGCGTAAGCTAAGATCAACACGAGGGGGCTTCAGGCATTTGGGGGTCGATGTACTGCCGTAAATATCAACATTTGTCGCTGTCAAGCCCCTTCTTGCATACCGATGTTCATTTCAGTGTCTGCTCGACGTGATAGCTGAGACGAGGGGTTGTCCGTGTCCTTTGGTCTTGCACGTTGGCTTGAAATGATTGGGCCAAGCTCTTCTCCTTGCTCTGAGCTTGTGACGCTGGAATTAGAAATAGGATTGTCTGTGATGATGCATTAGCGGGACAGGCTATTTATAACGGAAGACTGGAATTACCTGCCACTGCCTCTCGGTAGGCGAAGTAAGTTGAGGCTAGAAGACACACAGGGACAATCTGGCCAAACCCCATCTTATTCTGATCACCGTCCATGCTAGAGGGGCTGTTTGTGCGAAGATCGACTATTTGATATAGGACATACCCGAACCAGCCTAAAGACCCCGCCCATAGGATGCAACTAGACCCGTAGATGGTCCAGATGCATCGATAAAGCGTGAGCAGCGACTTCCAGAAAAAGTATTTGATACCATGAAACGCCCCGAACACCTTTTCCATATATGGCCTCAGCAGGGTCGGTACTGATAGAGCGTCGGCTCCGCCGTCCTTTTTCTCCTTTAATTTTGCTTTCAAAACCCTCTCGGGCCAGTCGTGGAACCATTTGTGCAACATTTTGCTGGGACCGTTATAGATATTCGACATACCAGACACGTAGCCCGTCGATAACAGCACCAAGTCAACGGCAAGCCAAAGTGCAGAAGAACCATGGATGTTAGACATCAGGTTGTCATCAAATGCGCACTGCGCAGGCACGCACCCGTAGTCTCCCCAATCATCATGAGCTTGAAGGAACTCAAATGCAATTAGGAAGCAAAATTGAACAGTCATCAGTAATGCTCGCCAATTTTTGAGTGAAGGGTGCCTTTTGAGGTAATCTCCAATGGCCAGTAGCGTGGTCATATGTACGCTGAATGAAGCCCACGCGAGGTTGTCGACGAAAGAAAAGTTGTAGATTGGGATCTGGCAGTGCAGTAGCGCTCCAGCGATGGCCATCCCTAGGCCAACAAGAAGCTGCTGATCGCTCAGGCTAAGTATGACTTGCTGCAAAACCTTTTGCTCCTTTTCATATGACTTTGTGGCTTTGCTCCCGAGCTTTAGGAAATCTTTTGACTTTTGAGCCACGAATCTATCGATCGCATTCGTTGTACCATCTATGATGATGGTTAGTGCCATATGGCGTAGTGTCAGCAGCAGCGAGAGAAAGGATGTCACTAGAAATGCAAGAATGACCTAAACTCTGTCAGCTTCATGATCACGTAAAGCAAGACGTGGACGCATGCCTAAGCCAGTGATGTCTGAGTCGGCGTCGCATTCAGGACCATCTTCGTCCGTGAGCCAGAAAGTGCAATTAGGTGGATTGGCGCTACAGAGTCCCATGCTGCGATGGTGTATAATGAGGTAATGTAAGAATCTGAAGGGCAAGAACTGATCCTTCCATTATATATCAAGATGAGAAACAGTCATGAGCACAGCCCTCTCAAAACGAAGCTGGAGTAAGTTGTGACTCTATAAGTCGCTTGAGCCACACGAAAAGGGGTTCTGCATATAACCGTTCGAAGACCCAATGAACGAGCACTCCCACGTGTCACCATCGCGGGACGAGGCTGATAATACGGTTACCGAAGTGTCTGTACACGGGCATGGAAGCACAATTGGGCGCTGAAGCCTAAGTGATATGCAACCAGATATTCGTGACTGTCAGTCAACAGTGCGTCCTCGGTGGCAAAGAGCCTTCCAATATGACCGTTATCGACAGAGGTGGCTCAGCAGCATGAATCGTATACTAAACATGACATCACGTTTGCTAGGCTGCGTCTCAAGAGGCCTAATCATGGGGTATGATTCTCCCAGGCAGTCGAGAGACTCCTGTTTCCGGTGCGGGAGAGTCTTCCCGGGCTCAATCAAACCTTAGGATTTTATCAGAGGGCTTTTGAGCGGCCGATACTAAGCCGTTTCTACCACCTTTGAGACGCCAAAGTGCCAATACTTTCGAGCTCGAGACGGTATCGTCAAGTCTCCCTGCTTATAAAATGCGACGAGATGTAAGTTCCACTATGCATATAGAGCGGAGTCTCAACGATGAAATAAGCTTATTGAGGTCGGTAAATGGTTTCCCAAGAAATCAATTATGGCCTCTCACAAGAATGTCGCTGGCGGAGATGTCTTTTCAGCGAGCCCAGTGTCAGTCGACATTCGGATAGGAGTGAATTGATACGGCGAGGACGGCAAAAAAAGGGGCTATGCTAAGGCTGGTATCAATATCAAATATTGTAGGGACGACACGCTGTATGAGTGCCTAATCATGAAGATTCTCGATTTCAAAGTGCAACTAGCATAATCCAAAAGAGTGACTCTCCATCCTTCCCTTCATAATTGTCTTTCGTAAAACCTTCCGAGTGCATCTTTGATTTCCCTCTCGACATCCCTCCTTCCATATCTCAAAGACTATCGTCTCTCGTCATCACACTTCAATATTTCTACTTCTTTTCGCTACCAGCACTACCTTCATAGTAGCCAGATCCGCCAGAGTAGCCCTCAGAAGATTGACCGGTAGACCCAGATCCTCCTCCGCTCATATAGCCACCAGCCGCATTTTCTGCGTACGCGTTGGCGTTGCGGTCGCCGGCAGACTGGGCACGAGAGCTGAAGGAGTTGGATCCAGTATCGTGGCCGGCTTTTGCCTATGGGTTGTTGTCAGAAGAGGGTCAAGGTATGGAATGATCAAGGTCAAGGTAGACGGAAAGCCTAACAGGGTAGGTGGAGGAAGGGAGCAGAGATGTTGGAACAAGCGATTTGCTGGCGTAATGAGAACAATAGGATGATAGGGAAGGCAAAGATGAGCATGGTGGATAGGTGCTTACCTGTGAGGACTGGATGCGGGAGGCATCAGACTGACTCATTTGATTCGAAGGCATGGTGATTTGTGGTGAGTAGAGAACTGTACAGCTGAGTATCTGGGTGTCAGACTTGATGTATTAAGAGTTGTCGAAGTTTTGATGGCTTGCTAGTGAAAGGAGATGGTTGTCAAGATCAAATCTTAAGAGCGGATGGGTAGGTTCTTAAGTGACTTGGAGGGGGGCATTATGAGGGGTCCGCATATACATGCTAATCGTGGATATGCAGGCGTCCTTCTTTTGTTGAGCTCTGCTCTTTAGAGTACTGCGTCTCTTGAAGTGCTTTGACTCATAGTGGAGCATGGTATGAGGTCTGCATCGACATTCCACTTAGACGCATGCAGGTATCCGTCTTCCGTTGAGCTCTGCATTCCAGATCAACACATGCCTGGAGAGATTATGCTTCTGTCATATTCATATCTGCAAAATTGAGATGATGAATCTGTCTGACCATCGTTAAACATTTCTTTTGTTGTCGAGTACTCAAGAAAGCCCGATTACGACACGTGGAGCTTAGATTTTTGGGCCCAAGTTTGTCATTTGCGGCTAGCTGCGTTACCGTTTGGTCTTGCCTTCTACCTTTGAGAGATGCAGTGCGGACCCTTATGATCGTACCAAGTGTCTTGTGAAATGAGAATGCAAAGTCGAGTTGGACATTCTGTTTCTGTCAAGAGGTGGACGGGTATGTACATCTGTCCAAAGCTGGTCTTGGATAAAAGGTCTTGCGGGCTACTTGAGGGCCGTAGAAGACGTCCCTGTGCTACAAAGGATGTGTGTGAGTACACTGCTCCAGAGAAGACCCTAAGAAGACATCACTTGTGCTTACGCCACAGCATCAGCCTCACTCAAGAAGAATATAAGTCTGGGCTATTGCAAGAAGCAAGGCAGCATTGAGCGTGCCACTATTCCCTCTAGCGTCCTCGCATTCAGTCTAGGCACTTCGACAATCTACCCTGACCCTTGCCAAGCGTGGAGGGGAATCTTGGTATTATAGCTTTTCGATCTAATAGAGAGGGCGGCGGTGAGAGCACGGCAAAAGGTACATTCCACCAACATCAGACCATCACAGCTTTTCGGGCCTTCCCATGTTCAGACGTCAATGTAAGCTAGTACGGTAGCGTGTGACAACAGTTCTAGGCTTTGCATTAGTTTCAGCAGCCTTTACCATGCAGTCCTTGAGAAAACTTTGCCGAAGGAGAATAGGCAATTCTAGCCTTTATGCCTGTCCCACGTTTACGTGATCGATCATTTCGCTTAAGTCTATGTATGGAGACGGAGAAATCCGTGGAATCGAGTCAGGATACACATCATCGCACATAATATTGCAGAGTACCTAGCCTTGGCCGGCTTCGGGAGACTCAAAAATCAATGCCGTGAGGTGGTGCTGTCGTAGACATTCCTTTCAGTAATTGCGACGCTATCTACCTCGCTCATGTTATAGCCAATGAGCCACCCGTTCTGTTGAATATCGAGATTGCAGTTGCACCGGGTACGTTGCTGTGTCCTCCATTTCAAGCCTTGACAGGGCCTACCTCCTTCTTCGCCCCACCATTCCTCTACTGGCGTGAAGATCTTCGGCATCATCCTTGAAAGGTCTTTCATTTTAAATGGCCAGCAGTTGGGTGCTTGATATTGTCGGGACTTGCCTTATGCGAGCCAACTTTGGACTTCAAGTCCGATGATGAGAGCTGGAAAGCTCTTGTAGATGGCTGATCATCGAATTGACTTCCGGTTCCTAGCAGGAGGCTGTTTCCTTCGTGACGCCGCTTGATTCCTCCAAAGCTGTCCTTCTGCAAATCTTTTGATTGGCGGGGCACGTCGCTCAAGTTGGTATCATGCCTCCGCTCCTTGTGATCTGCTTCCAGAGATGTCGACATAACTTTGGAGGCGGATGCAGCGCACAATGAGAGTAGAAATCGCTGGCGATCCTTCCGAAGTCTGACAATCGACTTCTCTTAGGAGATTTTATATTCCCGGTCGACGAACTGCGGCCAAGAGAGGCTCTAGCTAGATGATTATATTATATTAGGATAAGTAAATTCTCGACGGTCAACAATGGGAGACATTCTGGCAGATGTAGGCTGGGACGGCGCCTTTAATAGGTAAGTGTTGAAATTATGGAGCTCTGCATCCTGGAGGAGTAAAATCAAGGAGACCCCGGAGGCGCAGCGTGTGCTTTTGATTGTATGTGATAGTGGAGACGAGTGACGGCAAACCTAGAGCTCCGTATGACTTGTCTGAGATCGAAAGGCTGGCTCCAAAACTGATTGGGGCAGTCGCATCAGTGGCTTCGCATGGGAATACGATGGTCATCCTTGGTGGATCCGCAAAATCATGAGACGCGAAACAGTACTTGACTAGACGTTCCCGACGATGGGAGGCAAATACCGCCAGTCTGTCTGCCATCAATTCAGGATTTGACGTGAGGCTAATGGCAATGCGTAATTTTCGAGAACCCGTAGAGCCAGATCCCTCGCTTGGGGTCCAATCCTCATTTGGAGTCTGATGCTCGCTGAGATGCCTGCGGTATCTAGATCCTGGGGGAACCTAATTTAGGCCGGTCTGACGGGAGGTCCCTTATGGCCTTCCATTGATGCTGTTGCAACGCAAGGCTGGGCTGCTAGGAGCACCTACATAGCGCCTAGCCCAGATCCGCCTTAGACCAAAGCAGCTGACTAATTAATCGATCTTTCTGCTGTAACTCCCACGGTAAGCAGAGGCGAATTATTGACGGGTCAGAATTGGATGAATCATTGAAGGGCGTTCGAACTGAGCTGTCCATTAATTTGTCGCCCGGTGCAAGACCAAAAGGCTCATGCGGTAGGTATACAGATTCCATCGACTGTCTTCATTGATTGAAGAAGAAACAGAAGGTAGGATGATGGGATCGAAGTGACAACAAATGCAGCACCTTGATCAATCCTCAGGGGCTCCGCACAAGGCGTCTCGGGATATCACATTAGTTTGGAGGAAGGCCAGGTGAGAGTGACCGCACTGCAAAATCACTGAGGTGCCGAATGGAGAGTTTCTTGCGACTGTTTGGGTGGCGAGAGTGAGACGTCTGGCCTTATTGGCTACGTTGTGTCCCCCAGGCCCGGAGTATAATGAGGCTCGACAGCGGAAGCCCTACCCACGCTCTGCAACAGGCAGGGGCTAAGCCGTTGCCGAGATCCGAAGGCCTCAGTCATCAGATCTTAGGAGGATGATCGTTTCAATTCTCCGCCGCCAGCCTAGCTGCTGGCCGCTCACTAAGAGCGTCGGCCGTCAGGCCCTGGTAGCGCTCGCCGCTTCTTTGTTGTACCCCTACCCGCTTCCTTGAGCTTCTTGCGCCTGATTTGTATGACGGATCACGTGTAGCTTATGTTTCACAAGCACCACATCTCATCTCATAGTCGCTGACCGCCTGAGCAGTGGGGTCATTATTCATCATCGCGTATTGCGAAGGCATACATCCTTGAGTCCTAGCGTGCGGTGCCTATTGCCACGATATTCCCATCAACACCGCCGTATGTCTCAAATTCCTTGAGGGCCATGTAGACCATACAACCCCATAAGTATTGTCAAAATAGGAGTCATCAACATCACAATCTAGCAGAAGCAAGGCCATATCCACAAATGATCGTGAATGAATGGTAGAGATGTATTGACTCAATATTATTAGCTACCCTTGATTGCAATCGAGTTGGTACAGTTCGTGTTCGTGTCTATCCTAAGATCGACTAGGTATCCGTCATTTCTCTGTTTCAATCGCGCTGCTCTAGGCACATTCAAAGTCTGCTTGAGCACAATTTGATCGTCTGAGATTTGACGATGCTGAGACGGCTTGTATGATAGCTTGGGTACGTAGGATTCAGGAGCTGCCACCGTAAGATTGACAAGTGATAAAGGGAACAGTGGCATAGTCGTACGGGCTCTGAAAAGACTTGTCACCGTTACTTTTGAAGAATGCGCGATTTCTGTCTAGAGTTACAGTCATGTTGTCACGTTATATACAGATGTGCGATACTGGTCTTTCCGCTAGCTCAGCGTGTGTTCAGCCGTCTCGTCGTGCGTCACAAGACTTCATGAGCATGGGAAGAAGTGGTACGCTTTGGTTGCTTAATAAAAGTAGTCGAGCAAGATCAGTATTAACGCTCGCAGGAATGATAGCCTTTTTTCGTGCTGCTCTTCGGTACTTTGAGGATGTCAGTTTTTGCGTTGCAAAATTGGATGACGACGGTGACCGACACTGCCGATAGCTACCCCAGCTCAGGCTTTGCGGGACTTGGTGTCGTCTCTTTTCGCCAAAGAAAGTTCCACGGGCCAGTAACCGGGGCCAGGATGATTGGTAAATTGGCTGCCTACCCCAATCAGAAGGTTGTTCTTCCTCTCAACCTGCCCTGCTAATGATCGTGCATCTTTCTGGAAGCCATCTGTTCCAGTCTGTGCCTTATCACACGCAATGACCTTGTAATTGTTGTGGTTGCCTTTCTCTCCGGGTGCTGGCATGGCTCTAGGCGTGACGATTGCTCCAGATAGGGGTTGATTCGAGGTGCCGTTGTAGCCTTCGGCGATACTTGCAACAAGGTCGCAGAACACTCTTGAATATAATCAGATAAATTCCGAATGAAGAAGAAAATCCGAAAACGACGACAATCAAGCCGGCAGACGTCTGAAGGAGGGACTTGGACATATATGTTTTCTAAGACGCGCTTTGTGATAACAAATTTTCCGATGTGATCGACGAAACAGTGTAATAGCTGACTTGGCGAACATGATTGATTTCAGCGAGGTTCGCCCTAAAAGGGCGCAGTTTGTGAAAAAACTACGGCTCCACAGCTCCACGATCGGCGCTCCAGCGAAGTCGTCAAAAGGCAAGCGTGAGATAATCAAATGTGACAATGATCTGGTAAGGCTCCGCGGCGGATGACCACACTTGCGAGTGCGTTGGATCACACTTTTAATTTGCATCGCGTTCTCACCAAGCTTCACCCTATATGTCTGAGCTCGGGCAGCTTATGCAGGCAAGGCAGGCAGTAAGCGTAGCAGCCAATCAGACTTGTAAAATGCTCATAAGCGCCTGTCAACCAACCCTGTCATTATGTGGTGCCGAAGCTGACGGCATAGAGCATCTGCAAATCAGGCCAGCATTGAGTCTTTCACCACGGTGAGGTCTGGATTCCATGCGGCACCAAGGGAGTGCCTTGCATACTCCCAGAGCTGCATCGATCTTTGACTTACGGAATACTTGAAGACGATAAAGCTCACGAGGCTGGAGATCTCGATTGACTCGATAAGGCTCATAGTTGACAATCAGCTACGGGCTGCCGCTCACGGTGGCAATAATGATTTGACCAACGAAGGCAGCATCTCACTATACAAGAAAATACGGCCATATCAGAGTAGTCAGCTTTAGTGCCCTGAATATACGCCAACATGTGCGGACCAAAAAAGACTCATTAGTGATGTGCAATGATACGAGCGAGGCGGGCGCCAGTGTCATTCTGTGTACCGGATCCTACTGCGTTGAATGTTCCCAACATGTTTTAACGATTGATAGACCCTTTGATTGTACGTGCTAGTGACTGGAGGACAGGTCATGTTAGGCTTTGCGGAGTAATAGATTTTGTGTGATTTGCTGACCCGGGCTATGGAGGAATGAATTGACCCCCACAGCGCGGTTCGAACAATGATCCTGAAGTGCTGCAAAGCCTTCGTAGACTTATCGCGGCCAACAAATAATCAATCAGGCTCAGACCCTTAGCGCAATCATCCTGGGAGTGGGGCCTTGCAGGCCCGCTGCTGACGTGAGTGTATCCGCTCGACAGACGAAATGACAGCACATGCGGCTCAAAAAGTCTGCAGACATGTGGTGACGGCAGGCGGTAGGAGGATTGAAACCAGTCAGACGGCCTGATGCATGCAAGTAAGAAGGATTGACGCGTTCGACCTAAAATTTGGCTCGCGGCACGACAACAGGCAGTAAACAGCGGTTGGTCTTACCCACCATTCACGATATGTCATGTACTGGCAGTCTTTCAGGGGCCATGATAGACAGCAGGCGCTTTGCTGAGGGGATTGGGCTTCTTACAAGGCTCTCCTGCACTGGCCATGTCGCAGATGCCTGTGCTCAATGCTATTTGACGGCGAGCAACAACGGGCCACTCGACCGGCGTTTCAAAATCGGACTTCCTCGCTTGATTGTCAATCGCCCACACATACGTCGCCTCCTCAATACCAACGAAATTGTATGTGATCCGCAGATGACCACTTCGGCTTCATCAGTACCCTGATTCGTCTGATATGTAGCTTAATTCGAGTGATGACAGTCCTTCAGCATTTCGAACAGACTTTTCTGGGACAAAGGTATTGACGATAGCGTGACTGCCGCATTACACAGAAAATCTCTGTGTATGCGTACGGAGTAAAATTATGGACATCCCGGTCAAGAGCTACCACAAGTTGCCACATCTCCCGTAGACTTGCGACATCTGTCAGTGCCGATTGGGCAAGACAAGTCGACAGGGTCGCATTTCCAACCAAAGGTATAGTCTGACATATTTTCCGAATCAGTGCCATGTGGATGACTGCTTCCAAGCCTAGGCGAAAGAGTCTTGGTTTGCTGACAAGCTGCTTCCTGTACTTTCGCGTCATGGTCATTGGAGGAGGTTGTGAGGTCGGCAATGGAAATTTGGGAAGACCGCGAGGCAGCATAGCCGATGTGAACAAATTGCTCCCCTACTCCTAGAAGGTCATTGCTTGTCAAACCTGACTGTTCGGCCTTGCCATGCTTCGATTCGTGCAAGGCCCGCTGCGTTTTTGATTCAGAGGAAAGCTCGAGGCCACCTTTTGGATCTGCTTGTTTTGCTTTTCGAGACTGCGACATTACTCGAGGTGATAATAGCGCAAAAGTGTGAACGAAACATGGTCTCTGTCCCTTTTGGCTAAAAACCGTCGAGAGAGTGTGTGCAGTAGGTCAAGTACGCAGGGATACCCGAGTGATTGATCAAGTTTCATCAAGTGGATCAATTGCCTTCGATAAACTGTTTATATTGTAGTGACTGTAACTCGCCCCAATAGTCGTTGATCGCCACCAATTGACCAATAATTTATGCAGCAGCAGGGAGGACGGTCTCGGTTCGCAGTACGATGTATGAAGAGTAGGAAACGTTAGAGACACGACAATCGATTTTCGTGGAGCGGAACCAGACTTCTTAGAATATCTAAGAACAAAAACGTCTCGCCTCCATGATTTTCCGAAGTACGAACACTATGTAGGTAGCAGAATCGACATTGTTTGGCGTTCTTGAGGTTGGCAAGACTTGCCCTAAAAGAGCGCACATTAAGTTGATTTGTTTCGTCAGCGCGAACGTAGCCACTGAGGCGCTAGTGTAATCCAGTCCATGAGAGACAGGCACTTATGCAAGCCATGAGTTGTGAGGATGATGTCGCCCTTGTCCGCCTTTCGGAAAAGGCAGCAAGGACAGCCCCACTTATCTGGTGGGCCCTTATCTGCATGGAGGAAAGGTACTAGCATGCCTTCACACATGAGGGAAATTGTTGAATTAACGCCTATAGCATACCGCAGCTGCAAAGACCTTAAAGGAGCCGGAGGCAAGCTGACCAGATCTTCAACAATGAAATATGTTCTTGCGAGACCTTGCACACTCATGTGAAACCTGGTGAGTATGGCTATGGTATAGCTCTAGCTCACTGCTTAGCTAGTCGCAGAGATCTCATGTGATCGCCTTGCCGGTTCGGAAGTCCCGAGCATTCGTGCTCTAGCCCTCCTCGTGTCTGCGAAGCTGACCACAGCTTTGGCAGGGTATTCGCGTGGACGATCAAAATAAGCGCCTTTAGACAGACAGATACATGGCGCGATCGTCCTCATGAGCGGAGGCTGATCCTCGATGAGGTTCACAGTCGCGGCTCAACTATCTCCGGTCAACTCTTAGATTCGAGGTGGAGTTGAACCATGCTGCGTTTAGGTGATAAATAGAGATGTCGTTGTCGTGAGACGTTATGTAGGAGTGGCAAGCGCAGTCAAATTAAGACTAACAACAATAGACTAATAGTAGATGATCTTCGCTCGGACTGTCCCTTGCCGGAGATTTTGATCCATACCCTCATTGTGGTAGCAATTGGGGTTTGATCCACGGTGAGAGCCTGTAAGTGTACGTCAAACACGGCGAGTGCCGCATGTTCTCGAGGCTATGCTAGGACTTCAAGTCGAAGCTGCAGATCAAATGGTCTGCGAACTCTGACAGACTCGTACTACAGATCTGGCGGGTATGGCAGGTGCTATACAGAATTGGAGATGCATACCATCTCCGAGGCAAGCATCATTGAGTGCTAGGCACGTAGCACGTACGCCGCAGAGTTACGAAGCCATCGAGCTGCCATTAGGTGTGCGGAATATGGCGTTCCGGTTGATCATTTCGCAAGCTGCATGGACATTGTGAGGTCGTCGAGATGACTCGTCCAAGATTACCATTGATAGTCGGGAGAATACGAGGAAGGAGGCTGAATGATCGCTAGTATACACACTGCTGAGATGCCCTGCAGCACCGTTTCTGATCCGTATGCCCTGAGTGCAGATCCGTTCGGGGGTCGCCAGGCGGTAGGGCAAACCTGGCCATGCCGTTAGACCCCCACCAGGGGCCGCAGGTATTAAATAAGCGCCTTGGCACCCCCTTTTTGGATTCTATAAAGTTATACAAAACTGTCTATTTACTACGTCTTACTCTTTATACATTTACTATTGTTGGTGAGGAGTTGCTTATATTAGTAGGGCATTTTACTAATATATTATTTTACCTCCTTTATTATTATCCTTTTATAAATATAGCATAGTATAGCTTTTATTTTAATATAATTAATATAAGTTTTTTTCCTTATTTTTTAAAAAAAAATATTCTAGATTGCCTTTTACTAGTTGAAATTAGGTAAATTAGATAAATAATATAAATTAATAATATTGTTTTTTTATTTATATTCCTTTACTATATTAATAATCCCTTTTTTCTTAAGCTTTTTATTAAGGTAGAGACTATAAGAAGGATCTCTATCTTCTAGTAAGAGATAGGCTTACTTTAATAAAGCTTTTAAATAGTTAAAATCTTTTTTATAAATAAATAGTAATTTTTTAGTACCTTATAATATATTATTATTATATAATATCCTCTTAGTATAGCTTCTTTTAAAAGAGTAAATACTTTATATTTTATTATTCTACTAGTAAGTTAAGTAGTAGTTTCTTATTACTTTTTTTAGAACTTTTATTTATATAGTTTAATTTAGTTTATATACTATAAATACTTATTATTATAAATTTAGAATAGTCTTTTAAAGTAATAATATAATAAAACTATAATATATATAAATTCCTTTTCTAAATCTAGGATTTTTTATATATATTTATCTTTTTTAATATAGTTAGCTTTATATAGCTTATAGCTTATCCCCTATTAGTTAAAGTTATAATAAGCTTTATTAATAATAAAAATATTTTGCTAGAAATTTATAATCCTATACTTTTACTTTTTATAATATTTAATATTTAAAATTTAAAATTTTTTATAAATAGTAGTAAAAATAAAGACTTTATAACGCTAATATATTTATATATTATTTATATACTTTTTTAAATTTATTTATAAAATTTTCTTTTTAATATTAAAGCTATAGTAGTATATTTAACTATATAATAACTATGTTTAGATATATTAATTAGTATAAAAAAACTTATCTTATATAAATTAGTGTTAACAAGCTTAAAATAATAGCTAAAATAAGTACTTAATAATTATATATAATAATAGTATAATAACTTAAAAATATCCTATTAATATTTTTATAATTATATAATATTCTTATTTATTTTTTACTTTTAATAAATTTTAAATTTTTTTTTTTACTTCAGCTATCTAATGCGTTAAAAAACTATATCTTTTTTATAGTATTTATTTTAAACTTATTATTATAAAAATAAGTATAGCTTAAAAAAAGTACTAAGCTTTTTATATTTGCGAGGGGGATTAATTCTAACTATTATAGAATTTTTAATAATTTTTTTAAAATAGTAGTATAGAAGTAAGACGCGTCCTTAAATCCGGAGATATCGGCGCTTATTTAATTCCTGCGGCCCCTGGTGCCCCTGGCAATGTTTCGTCCGCGTCTCGAATCATTCAGACATGTCAACTCGTCACGGGAAGACAAGGTGGGAAGGACCATTGGTGTTGCTGTTCAGTAGTCAGAGCTCGTGGTGGACTGCATATTGAGGGATGCCGTCTCTGACGTCACATGTTCGTATTCAGCTGTTGCGAGATGATTTCCAGACAATTCACTCACCCCTTCTTAACGATACTTGCGCTTCTCAAGAGTCCCCCATTCCATTCCGCGATCGAGGGAGGGCAACATCGACCGTCATAAAGGATGCAGAAGTCACAAAATGACTTTCATTTTCAACAAGTGGGTTGGGACAAGGTTATGCACAACTTTATTGATGTAATAATACCACGTATATTCATCCAAAGCTTCATATAAACGTTGAAGAAATGAAAGATGCCGAATTTATGTGAGCTAATTTGTACAGGAAGGCAAACATTCCAGGGTATCATTATATCCTCTCAGTGATTGATAGCGACATTCAAAAAGGCGATGATTGGACAACCAGATCCTCAGGAGAAGATGACATCGGGTATATTCTCTGACTCCTTCTCCTATGCAGTGACATGGCCGTTGGCACACCCATTAATGGCAGCGCCATTGGCAGTCTTCTCGATCTTACTCCAAAGGCCCGTATCATTGGGACTGCCGTTAATGGCGGCTCCGTTGAGAGATCCATGGGGTTTGCTTTTGATGGCGTGACCATTTGTCTTCTCCTCAGGAGCTACGCCGTTGGGCAGCGGCTCGAGGCTGGGCTTGATGGCGTGGCCGTTCAGCTTCTCTTCGGGGGTAGTGCCATTGAGTGTTGCTTCCGACCTTCCTTCAATGGCATGGCCATTCAGCTGCTCCTCAGGCATCATTTGGGTTTCCCTAGCAAGCTTTCCTTCGACAGCATGGCCATTCATTGGCTCCTCGGCAGCAGCAGCGTCGCCCGTAACAGCAGGGTTTACTTTCCCTTCGGCAGCAGTTCCGTTGGTATGTGATTCCAAGACCGTACCATTGGTCTTCTTCGTCAGCTTGTCAAATGCATCGTCAGCCCCCTTCTCTTCTCCCTCAACCTCGTTATCTTCCTTCAACTGCTCGAGCACTTGTCTTTCCTGTTCAGCTTCTTTGTCAGACGGCGACTTGGCCCTTGTCGCGTCGGTGCTTGGCTGCTTACCGGCACCAGCGTGCCAGCTCATTCTGTTCTTACCTGCGCTTTTTGACAGGCGTCGACCGAAGCCCGAAGTTGCTGCAGTGACGCTCCAACGTTTCCTTGACGCTTGCGTCTCACCGTTGATTTCAGTTGTAGGCTTCTCTACATTTTCCATGGCGGTGATGCCAAGCACATTCTTTAGCTCAGATATTTCAGCGTGACCACGCGTATTTCTCATTCGCTTACACCACGATACCTTGGAGACAGCCTTTACTCCTTGAAACGTGTCGCTGGGCTCGAAGAGAAACTCCCCACCTACTTGTGTGTAGTCGCCGCCTCTAAACAAGTTCTTTCCGGAGCGAAGTTCCTGCCAGATACTCCGTAAGGCAAGCCGAGGTATTGAGGTATGCTGCATATATTGTGGGCTCTTGTTACCAAGATTAAGTGTTCGGCCTAGGCGTAGGGTTTTGTACAGGCGTGTGGTGGGGTCGGCGTAGATCGGGTAGGGACAGCCGGTCATGTCGATGTAGTTTTGCATCAGAATTGGGGAGCCGCAGCCAATTACGACGATGGAGGTAGGTTGCGAGAGTGAGGCGAGAGTCGATGGTGGGATTTGAGAAGAGACGGAAGTAGTATATTCTTGACAATTCTGTGAGAAAGTGGGGTCAGTTGGCAATTCATATGGAGGCTCGCAGCAATTTTGCCAATAATAAAACAGAGAAGCTGGTGTATTGTTACTGGCGGAAGAGACGTGATGACTTACACCACAAAAGAAATGCCGTATAAAGATAATCAGCGTCCTGCGCGGGCTGCCATCGTCCTGCTGCAACAAGGTCTTGAATTTGTGCGCCTTGTTCTCTACATCAAACACGTCCAGTTCCACAAGCTTCTTCAGCTCCTCCTTCGTCGGCAGCTTGCCATCGGTCTTCATGTCCCCGTTCACCTCCGCTGGTGGCCCTTGCGCCGCATTCTGCGCCTTTGTCAACGGCATCGTCACTGTGTCTTCTTTCCCTCGGCTTCTGTCTTCACCACCCTTTTCTTCGGTGTATACACCCAAGCAGTTATGACGTCCAAACTCAATATTACGGGCAATATTATCATAAGCAGGAAAACCACCTGCGGGGGAGAGAGACTCTTGAACCACTCGACAGGATGGGCAAGGAAGAATGGCAAAGTCGCCCCTGAGAAGCTGTTCAGGAAATCCATCACTCACCTGCAAACGGGAAGTGGAAAGTATATTGTACCGGTGGGAAATAAGATCTAAATTAAGGAAACTAGCACGCCAGACGAGGCAGGTAGCCAACCGATAGATGTCCACCTGACGCAAAAGCTTTGAACCCCTTCGTCTACCGTGCCTGACCGCGAGGAATCGGGGAGGGGCAGACTGGGCCAGGCAGTTTCAAGATTATGGAGGCCACGGTCAACGCTATTGATACGCCCTCAGCGCCCCAGTACCGATGCTAACCCGAACAGTCCTTACTTCCATAATCTCGTCCTATCACTCGTGGGCTAGAGGCAACCACTTTGGCCCGTTACGGCGGGTGGAAATGAATGCGGCAAAAGATCGGCCCCCATTCAGCGCCTAGGGGACCCTAATTGGGACTGCTAACAGCATGAAGCTTAGCTCGAGACAGGCTCGCTTGGAAGCGTTGAGATTGTGCCATGCACGAAGACGGAGAAGATGGGGGGGACCGGGGCCACTGCGCGGGATGAGACGGTGGCTTGCATATGATCTATGTGTCAGGTATGCAGGTCAAGGTACCGATTGTTTAAGCGAGCGAAATGCTACACGGCGTTGCACTCTGGGACCAGTGACTATGTACGTTGTTGGGATATCTTCATGGAAGACATCACGCGATCCAGAGAAACGATCATGCACAGGGACCCGGACATCTTCTGGCAACATACAATCTGCATTGTTGTCGGAATCTAAAAGAATGTGATCCTATCATACACGCAAATTCCATCTATTAAAGCATTCTGATATTGTGAAACTGTAGAATGCAGCAAGCTGCTGTGACATTGCCGGCAAGACCTGCTTCGACCGTTAGTCAGGCTTTCACCTATGAAAGCTCGAGTCAAAGTCGCCGGTAGTCAGCATGCAGCGCACGGTTCAAACGTGCAGCTTGAATACTCAAAAGCCCCTGTTCCAGCCCCCTCCGCCTCTCTACTTCCGATCGGTATCGCCTTTCACTCGTAGGCAAATGTTTGTTGTTTATTGTTTGTCCTGGAGCGGCTGCGGTGCCTGATGACTTTGCACAGGTTCGCGCCGGCTGTTAAGCCGGCTGACTGCCTAGATCATCTAAGGCATGCAGCACTCATTGGATGGCCTCCATGTTGCTCGCTAGAATGATTCGAGAATGTCTCAATCGATGTTGTTATCAAAGCAATCATCTTGTCCCTTATCCATCATAATGTCCATGCACAGCTTGAGAGCTGTAACCAGTAGATATACTTCGTGCATCGTCGTCCCCGTGGCGACCATTGGATTCGACATAGCGCTTGAGGCGATCAGACTGGCTGAGACTAGCTTGTTTGGCATCATTGATACTCAGACCAGACAGACTTACACCACCTTTGCCATCTACAGTACTGGCAGGCCCATTGATGTCAGACTCGGTAGCAGCCACAGATTCGCCAGCAATACTTTCAGCTGCTCGACTTTTGATTCCATTTTGACGGCGGTCGTTAAGCGTGGGCCATGTGTCTTGAAAGCCAGAGAACATCTGTGGGTAAACGGAAGGCACGCCAACACCACCCACAGAGGACGAGTGATTTGAAGACACGTCATCAGGGATATATCCGACCATCGAACCAGCGTCGCTGTACTCAGGACGTGATCCATGACGTCCATTCGTCATCCCATTGCTCATGTTTGCAGCGCGTTGATACGACATCTGATAGCGTTGTGGTCCACGATAGCTTTGCTTGGGACGACTGAATTGCAGCAAAGATATTTGGAGATTTGACAGCGGACCCTCCACAAGGCAGTTGCGCTCCTTGAAGTGAAGAAGTAGATAATGCCATAGCGGATGCTTTGATAGAACCTTTGGATTGCCGAGAATGACCAATCCGAACTTGGCACGAGTCAGCGCCACGTTGAGACGACGCGGGTCACTGAGAAATCCGATGCCTTGATGATCATTGGAGCGGACACAAGACAGTACAATGAAGTCTTTCTCACGACCTTGAAACGCATCAACGGAAGCGACTTCTATCTCCTTATAATTCTCCTTTCTGAAAGTGCCATTCGTCTGCATAGAGCTGACGACATAGCTTCGCTGGCCTTCATAAGGTGTGATTATGCCAATGTCTTCAGGACGGACACCTGCCTTAAAGAAGCGCGTAATCAGTTTCTCGATGTTGGAAGACTCAGTACGGTTGAGATAGGATGTCCCAGAAGCAGAGATTTCCTCGTTGCCAAGATTGGACCAGAACATCATGGGCGCGTCTTTGATAGGCCATGGGAAGTCAACATCATGGCGGAGACGTTGTGCCATGGTTACGCCGTTCTGTAAAGTACCCTCATAGAACATGTTCGACGGGAACTCTGACAAGCAAGGGTGCATACGATACTGCACATTTAGACGAATCGGAACACAGCCGAGGACTACCAGGCGTTCGAATAGCGACTGGTTGAGACCAGCTTTTGCTGCCTTCTTGTTCATGATGACAGGACCAAGTTGCTGATGATCGCCAACAAGTACAACCTGTTTGCAACCAAGGACCAATGGTATCATACACTCAGGCTCAGCCGATTGAGTAGATTCGTCAATGAGAACAGTCCTGAATTTGAAGCGAGCAAGGCGAGGATCTCCAGCCCCAACGCAAGTACAGCAAATGACATCTGCATTGGTCAAGATCTCGCGCTCGGCATTGCGGGTGAGTTGCTTGTATTTCTTTTCATCTTGACTGGACAATTCACCAAGTTCGTTCTTGAGCTGATTAAGCTTGACCAGCTCGGAGTTGCTGTCATTCATACGGACTTGTTCATGTAAAGACAAGAAGTTGACCGGGGAGTCAATATCCTCCCTGGATTTAGCTGTGACACGAACGGTTTTCAAGCCAGTCAGATGAATACGCTCGCATAGCTGATCAACAGCAACGTTGGACGGAGCGCACACCAAGACTTGGCCATTGTTGATTTTGTTGAGATGATAGATGATCGTAGCCGAAGTAACGGTCTTGCCAGTACCAGGAGGACCCTGAATCAAGCTCAGTGGTTTCTGAAGCACGCTCTTCACTGCATTGATTTGACTGCCATTCAGCTCAGGAAGGCCTGGTACACTGAACTTCTTTGGCATTTGCGTTTTCATCGGTGCGGCTGCCACCTCATGTCCAAGCAGGCGATGGAAGATATAGCCTGAAACACTCATCTCATCGACAGCAAAAGTCTTCATCGCGAGCTGCATGCGATCAAAAGACGTTGCCTTCCAGACGTAATCTGCACTGAAATTGTGCGTGCACTCCGTCGGTACGGACTTGTGATCCCCTTTGGCTCGGAGCTCGAGAGTAACTTCGTCCGACTGATTGTTTGGTATTTTAATCACGTATCCAACACCTTCCCAAGGGGATCGTAGTTCTCCGGTATATTTGATGCGCATCTCATCTCCAACTGCAAGCTTGACATCTCCTAATTCTAGCTTTGGTAGAGTAAAGCTCGCAAGGTGCTTATTATTGAGACCAAGATCCCAACGAATCACCAAGCCATCCTGTGATTGCGCTTCCTTTAGCTTGCGATCGTAATCTGCTTCAATCTTGACGAGTGGACCAAAGACATTTTGATACTGATAAGCATCATCATAATGTAGGAGTACGGGCGCCGGCTCGTCATCAATTCCAGCACCCTTCTCCAGATCTGCAATTGTAGCAGCAGTATTTTCCTTCCACATTTCTTCGAGTTTTGCAATCATCTGTGGGCTTAGATGGCGGGCTCGAAGCTGTTCTTGATCTGAAGGTGGTTGCACAAGCCATGAGAGAAATGAGCGGTCTTCGATCAAAGGCTGCCATTTTGACGTATCCCAGTTCATATCTTTAGTAGAAGGTGTAGACGCACAAGGCTGTCGGCAAAGCAGGACCACGACCGTATCAGATTTGGCAGGGATAAAGCCAAGTAGGAAGACATTCTTGGTCCCACAATTGTAACATTCAAGAACAGTCTCTCCCAATGGCGAGCTTGGATGTAGCTGTACCTCCTTGTGACGTGCACGTACCAAGTGATTCACAATGTGTGAGGTTGATGTATTGCTTCGAGCGCTACAGAACCACTTTGAACAAGTAAGGCACCGGACGACCGATCCAGGATTGTGAATGCCACAGTAGCTATGCGTAGCATTGGTAAGCCAATGCATCAGCGCCTGAGAAGATACTCACGCGCAAGCGTGTGGTGGCAGCTCTTTCTCTTCCTCTGCCCCCGCTGGTGCCTTCCCATTCACGCCGTCTACTGGCACGCTCACCACACTTTCTGTATCATCATCATCGAATACCTCCGTCCCTTCATCTTCATCATCATGACGGCGCCTCCTTGGCCCACCAGATAGGTTGCCTCTCCCGTACTCACGATCGAGGATGCTCTCATCTGGATCTATGGTTGAAAGATCATCTCCGGCATTGATGGTCGAAGCTGAGTCCGAAATGAGATGGTTCCCTAGATGTGTGAATGCGCCCTCCATGTTGCCCTTATGTTTTGGTGATTGGGGCGGTGACGAGCGGTGCGATCAAGCTGAGATGGACCCAACGGTCACTCCAACTCTAGCAAATAGAAGTGATAAAACTCGCCTCCTCCCCAACTTGATGGTAAATGAGTGTGGTCAGGAGAAGCTTAGAGGGAAGGAGAAGTGAGGCTCTGACGAGCGGCAAAATGTTTGTCTGAACTTTGTTTGCCCCACCAAAATTTTTGCTAAAGTGCCACAGCCAAATTCACCGCGGCAAGTGTGCGTCTACCGGTCACAACCTCGAGGTCATTGTAGACGAATGTCCAGAGCAGCTTACAAACATGATTGTGAGATAAGTCAGTTTAGACGGCTGAGGAATGCGGCTGACTTAGATCTAATAGAGACGGCAAGCTCGCCAAAGACGAGACTACCTCTACCGTCGAGCACTACTTCTGAAAGATGCAGAGACAGCAGAAAGAAGAGCTAAGCTCAAGGTATCGCTTGCTACAGGAAAGCCCCTGGATCCATCTATAGCAAACGACAGGACCCTCCGCGAGGACTACAAGTTTGACGAGACAGCTGAGGCACATGCGGACATTGACGATGAATATGCACACCTCTCTGGCATCATTGATCCGAGACCTCTAGTCACAACCTCGCGCTCCCCATCAACGCGACTATCTGCTTTTGCAAAGGAAGTCCGCCTTATCCTACCGACCTCCATCCGCTTGAATCGAGGGACTCTCATTCTTCCCAATCTTGTCGCTTCTGCCAATTCATCATCGGTCACAGACTTGATACTACTTCACGAGCATAGAGGTGTGCCCACAGCGCTCACAGTATCCCATCTCCCGCACGGACCTACTGCATCGTTCTCTCTGCACAATGTCATGCTCCGTCATGACATTCCAAATTCAAGCAGGGGAACAGTGAGCGAGTCGTATCCACATCTAATATTTGATAATTTCAACACTCCTCTCGGCAAGCGAGTTGTTCAAATCCTGAAGCATCTTTTCCCACCCCGAGAAGCCGCCACAAGTAACCAAAAAGTGGGCAACCGGGTCGTTACATTTAAGAACATCGAAGACAGCATCGAAGTACGACACCATGTCTTTGTCAGGACGAGCTATCAGAGCGTAGAGCTCGCTGAAGTTGGTCCAAGAATGACTATGCGACTCTTTGAGATCAGAGGCGGCACGCTTGAGAACAAAAACGGGGATAAGGAATGGCATATGAACAACTATACGAGAACAAGCAAGAAGAAAGAGTATCTATGAGCTTCTCTTTAGTTGCTCCCAGAGCAACCAGGTGATAATCATATCTCTCAACAGATTGAGAGACAGTCCTTGCACAGGCTTCGCAGGCATTGATTGTCAATTCTCCGACAAGAAGAAGTCTTACCTTACGCCAGTATGCAGGTTTCACTGAGACCAATTCTTTTGGCTATTACACTTCAATACCCGGCAGGTGTTTCAAGCCCTGCTCGATGCCATCAGTAGAGAAAAGGTTCTGCCAACGGCCTGTGACCTCGTCTCGCCTCACCGTCATTCCACGACAGTCCATCAAAAGAAAGGCTCTCGAGTTTTGACTGAAGCATATTTTGTCACGTAATATTGAGGTGAAAAATGATTCTCACAGACAGCAATCCATTTAACCTTACATCTATCTCTGCCCTCCCCGACTTGAACATTACTACCTTCCTCCCACCGAACCCAACCTTACCAATCCGCCCCGACTTCTCCATATGCGACAGCTTTTACGGCTCAAATCTGCTTCTCGACGATGCCACTTCCGCAATCGCAAAACTGCGCACGGGCGCCGACCCAGTCCACTACTTGATAAACCAACCCAGCGCGCTCTTCAACCTTCCATTCACAGTGCAACACAATCTCGTAGCTATCAGCGTCGAGCCTGCTGGCCCTTTCCGAGCCTCTGCCGTACTTTCCATTGCCCTTCGTCCTAATCTCATCCGCAGCCTGGCAGGACACCTGATGTCGGAATGCGTTGCATCTTATGGCATCGGCGGGTACGCTACGCTCGAAATATTGTCTCTCCTCACTTATGTGACTTTTGAGAATGTCAACATTCAGTCGATCCCGTACCCGGGATTCACAGTCTTCGCCACAGTAACCATTGGAAGTAGGTACAGATATATGCCACCACCGGGCGATTACGACCCTAAGATCGCAGCGGCATTGGCGGAAGCTGAGGGGAGAGCAGAAGCCGCTGCCCCGTCTAGTGAGAAACGTGTGTTTGCTGAGAGAAAGTCGAAGTTTGCGGCACGCGCGGCAACGATGAGAGTCTTCCTTACCACATGGTGGGATTTCCTGAGGGCTTCAAGTAATGAGAAGGGAACGAGAATCAAGGACGGATGAAGGAGCTAGGGAACTGTGCTGAATGATAGAGTCCTGGAGGGTCATAAGAGAGTTGAGAGAACGAGAGATGAGGGAGCTTAATGAAAGTTGAAGAGAAATCTTACATTCCTTAGATTTTTCAATATTTTAATGCTGAAGCTTCCAATTGACGAGAAGAGAATAGCTTTCGTTCAGTGAAGTTATGTCTATGTCGAAAGCTGACCGTTAATTGTTTCGTACCATGCAAATCATTATTCATCGAGTATTAAAGGAGTATGTTGAGCATACAATCGTAGAAAGCCAGATTAGCACTGAGCAGCAGCCTTAAGCAAGCTGTAGCTCCGGGGCCATTGCACTAAAAGACCCCCGGAACTCTATGTTCCAGCCTCCATATTGGGCAAACATCAATCAATGTTCTAAGGACCCTTGCCGCTAAACTTTAGGTGCATGTCTGGGCTCTTAGACTGGACAACCTTCAATATCAAAACTTCATTCCTGTCGTGCACAATATCTAAGCAGCTTCTTGTTACTGATCGCGATGTTCTATCAAGTAATACAATAATTGCATATACTACTAGTGGACACCTTTCGAAGTATGTCTTGCCCCACACTTAGTTGGTAGCTGCAAGTTGATGACATCTGGCAGTATGGATTGAGCGAAATAAAATCAAAATCAGAAGCAAACGTAAACGTAAACAAACATGGCGGATGTCGACGAGAAAGAAAAGGCCGAAAAGCTCGCTGCTGCAAAGAAACGGGTGAGAAGCAATTGCCACTAAATTTTGAGCCCGACCTTCTCACGCGTCTTGAGTGACAGTATGATCAATTGAAGAAACAAAAAGGGAAAGGGGGCAAAGTTGGAGCAACGAAGAAGAAAGATGACTTACCGGAAAATCCCAGTGAAAGATCAGGTGCCCCAGCGGCTGGCGAGGAAGTATCTACGGAAGATGTCGAGCAACGTCAGGAAGAGTCAGATGGAAAGGACCAAATTATGAAGGATCAAGCCGACTCCGCGGAGAGTGTATCATCGGAGCCTAAGATTGAGACTCCAGATAAACTACCACACAACCGCCAAGCTTCTTTGAGTCTGCAGTCTAGGATGAGGTCGTCATCATTTCGGAGGACATCGCTTTCGCAAGGCCCATTGTCACCTAGCGCAAACGGTGCAAAGTCGCCAGAATTGGGGGCTTTCTCGCCTGATGCGGAGTCAGTCAACATATATCGAAAGCAAGCTGCGCGATTGGATGAGCTGGAGAGAGAGAATAAACGTCTGGCTAAAGAGCTTCAAGAAGCGGAACAGAAATGGAGGAAGGCCGAAGAAGAGCTGGAAGAGCTACGAGAGGCAAGTGGAGAGGTCGCAGAGCTTAAGTCAAAAGCGAAGCGGCTGGAAAGCCTGACAGAAGAGTTGAACAAGACGGTATCACTGTTGCTATCTCCTTTTATGCATACGAAGCTGAACACATTATTAGCGCCAAGAAAACGCTTCTCTCCAACGCCAATACTCTCAATTACAGTCTCAATCCTCGAAGCGTCACGCTTCATCGCCCAGTCAGGCTAATGCCTCCAATCCTATTCAGTCCCTCCAATCGCAACTCGACTCGAAAGCTTCCACTATAGAGTCTATGGAAATGGAGATCTCCAATTTGCGATCACAAGTCTCCAACACTTCTCATAGGGAGCAAGTCAAAGCGTTGGAAGAGAAACTCAACCGAGCAGAACGAGCTGCAGGGGCCGCTCAACGGGAGTTAGCCGACGCAAAAAAGAACTTAGAACGGGCTTCCGAGAAGGCGTTGCGGGAAGGTACCGACAAAACCTCAGTAAAAACCAAAATCAGAGGCCTAGAGCTCGAAGCCGAGGACTCCAAGAAGTCAGCAGGCGATTCTCTCAAACGTATCGATGCGCTCGAGAAGAAATTGCAAGCCCTAACCAATATGCACAAAGACGCTGATGGCCGCCGGCAAGCATCCGAGCGAGAGCGAGAGCGGCTCGAGAAAGAAACTATAAGATTTCACCGACGATTGGCGAGTCTAGAAAACGACAACCTCAAGTTGCGGGAAGAGCGTGAGCGGCTAAGAAAACACGACTCTGCCGCCGGCGCAGACGACGAGGCTCTGGACGAACTCGAAGACGGCGAGCGGAGAAAGCTTGAAACTACGGTCCGCGATTTAGAGACAGAAGTTTTCGAGCTCCGCCGAGGAGTCTGGCGGGACAAACGGCGAGACATGCAAGGGGGTATGGACGGTTCTGACAGCATGACGAGCACGGGAGGGAAATTCGATGATGTCGATCTCAGTGGCCCTACCCTTTCGAATCTTCGAAGACCGAGTATGGGCGGTAAAACGACAACGAGTAAACAAGGCTCAAGCTTCTCGGATGTACTGAACAGTGGTATAAGTGCGTTCACTGGCGGGAAGGGCCAGGATGACCTTTTGGATGAGTTTGATGACGGTGCTTTCGATGAGACGGCCTTCTTGCAGGCACAGCAGGAGGAGGCGCAGAGTAGAATTGAACGGGTTAGGGACATCAAGCGAGGGTTGAAGGATTGGCAAGGGTGGAGGATGGATATCGTTGATTTAAGGAAGGTTGGCGGCGGAGGAGTGGGAGAAATTTTTGAAGTATAAGCCAAAGAATATTTGTTGAATGCTTCCCTCTCACTTCAAAGATCTACATGGACATATATTGTTATCAAAATGGAGTTTTCCCCAGATATCAATAATATGCTTGTCTTGGCATGACCGAAAAAGGCTAGCCGCATGTCTGCCCTCTCTCTCACCTCTGATTCGCCAATTTTCAACAATCGCAGACGACGCTCCTCAGCTCAATTGCTCGAGCCACAACTCAACAATGACCGTGACAGAGGCAGTGGCCGAAAAGGTGGAGGGTGCCCTCGGCATCAGTCCTTCAGAGCCTTCAGAGCCAAGTGAGTCCTACCAAATGCTTACCCTAATCTACCTGCTCTCCATTTTCCGTCCTCAGAGCGCCTATCGTAAGACGCTTTCTTTGAGATGCCTGAGCTGACAGATAGTTATGAGCTCAGGAAGAGCGACGAGGGAAGAAATGTCCGCCGCCCGCCTCCCACTCGCCTACAGAGACAGCTGCGCCCACCTTCTCATCCCGCTGAATCGGTGCAGATTCGAAGAGTATTATTTACCGTGGAAATGTGAGGTGGGTTCTCCCCTGCCAATTTTGATACTGCTTGGAGGATGGTGACCATAGGGGCCGAGCTGCCATTGAGGGGCGAGGGGTGGGGACGGCGTGGTTGCAAGTGTAGCGACTAATCGCCGAGCAGACAGAGAGACATTCGTACGAGAAATGCCAGTATATGGAGTTTAAGAAAAGGGTGCAGAAGATGGATGAGATTCGAGCGGCAAAGGGAGGGCAGAGGAGCAATTAGTTGGCCATTGTTGGACAGCTTTGACAAGGTTTCCAAGGGCAACAGGAGTCGGATGAAGATCTTTGAGTGTGCCCGGAAGAGGAGAAGCCTTTGCACATGACTCTTTGGTGTTAGGAGAAAGGAAGAGGGAATGTCAATGATGTTAAGGCGCGTCGAGGAGCATCAAGTCAGCAAGACGCTGGGCTGTCAGCAGCCAGCTGTGGAAATTGTATAAGATTTGAGAGAAATGTCTGGGGTATCACATAAATGCCACGCTTAAATGATCGAAGTTGCCAGCACCAAATGTTCAGACCTCTCCAGGCCCACCAGGCGCATCCTTCAGTATTTCCCACCCATACTCTTCTTCGACCCTTTCTGACTCCATTCCTAACGCACTTCTCAGAGCCCTGACCTCATTTTGCAATCCACTCACCACCCTCAGCGGGACCTCTTCTTCTTCACATCTCAATCGGTAAGACTCCCTCATCATGGCGACCGCTCGCATAAATTTGGCATGCCACTCGTCTTTCTCGATACGTGCCTGCAGATGGGCGTCCTTCTCCTCCTGTAACAAACCATTGTAGTGCCTGGCTTGGGCATTGAGTTCGCTTTTGTTGTCGAAAGTATGTTCTCGGACTTTCTCGACGAGCTCGCCTACTTTGTTCTCCCATTCGCCAATCAACGATGTGTTCTCTTTTTGCTCCTGGATTAGTATCAGGACCTTATGTTGTTCGGTAGCAAGTCGACGCTCAAGATCAGCTATCCTGGCAGCTATGGGCTGGTATTTAGTATAATTAAAGAGTTGAGATAGGTGTGAAGACGCACTGGCTACTTCGGCATTGGCTTCTTGCAAAGATGGAGATGCCCCATTGGCTGCAGCTCTTGTCTGGAATCCCATATAATCAGCCATTTGGGATCCGGAAAGCGCTTTAGGGATCTGGGACGCATACAGCAAGCTCTTCAGCACCGGCAACAATTCCAGACGTTTTCTCTCGATTTTCTCGTAGGAGATCACTGAGTTCGAGGACTTTCTGGTATAGTAGATTGACGTCCATTTGCTGCCCAGCACTCATCGGCATCCCATTAATCGAAGCACCGTTGCCATTGATGTGATTACTTGGTTGCTGTTGGTTCATTGGTGAAGGAGCAAGCCTTGTGGCACTATTCGGCACCGGAGAGTTGGAGCTATCTAGAAACGAGGGGAAGAGACTGTGTGAGGCCATGATGAGTCGATTCGATGGGTTTAGCAGACCTCTCCATCCATCTAGTGTACCAAAAATGTATGGTCATATGTCTTCTCAGGATCCTCGGACGTATCGATTGATCTCCCGCAACATCATTATTCCGACCCGAAACGACCAAGTTGTTGGTCTTCCGACCAGTTCATTCACTCGTCCGCAACATATCGGAAACCCCATGTCAAGCCACTTTAGCTATTGCCCTAACGCAATCCAGTCGTGTGTGTTCGGCTTAAAGTTTGCCTGCAGGACAACCGGAAAGGTGGGGTTGAGTCTGCAGCAGTATTGATCAATGACCTTCGTTCTCTGATCTTAGGTGCACGGAAACACCAGACGTCATCAAATCCAGACTCAGTAAACATCACATCACCCTGTCCAGCTTTCTCCCAATCTTCTGGAGATCTGCTGAAAGATGCGATCTCATATCAGGCATTTGTGATTGACAGCTCCCGCTACAACTACAAGGTTTCGCATGTTCTACCACGCAGCACTTGGGCGCCTCGGGCCTGCATAGAGTTCAGATCCACTGCTTAGGGCTCAGTCATACTCGCAAGGCTTGAACAGTTTGCAGACCTAGGCAAAGCAGGCAAGAGGACTGCCCTGGGCGAAAATGTTGGTACGCGAACAGTGCGAGAATGCCCGGAACAGGGTCCTCTAGTGATTGATTATGTTATCTGCTACCATAGAAGAGTCAGCAAATCAAACAGCACGAGATCCCACTTCTTGCGCAATTTGGCCCGCTCTGTGGGGTTTAGCCTTTACAAAATATCTAGAGCACTCGTCAGGTTACGCTTGGCATGGATAGTCTGGCAAAGACGACCGTGCTTGCAGACATTTCTGTTGCTGATGTTCAGCACTAGGCTTAGCAGAGCGAGTCCCCTTTGAACGTACCAGCATGCAACAGGTTTCCACCCATCAGGCCTCCAACACTCTCTGGGGAAAGCCTAGATCCCTTGCATAATGCTTGATAGGCAATATATGCCTGTGGTGAGAGTCAATTGGCTACGCTTACAGCTCCTCCAGTCATTATCGAGAGATCGGTATCCACAGGATTGACGTCGGCTACACATTCACGGATATCTGCAACCTCCAAGGATCTTGGTAGCCTTCAGCCAGAAGTGCTAATGCAAAACTTGTGACCTTAGTCGCCCAACCAATATGCGTGTTCCCACTACTGCCAGTGTTAAAAGTCGAGTTCTCGCCATGAAAATTGGAAAATTCCCTCGAGACACCCACTGTCTGAAAAGAAAACCCGCCATCTCTGCTGCCACTAATCGAAGAGAATTTAAAGACTCGAAATGCCACCGTCTGCTGTAGACCCAGGGCCGCCTGCTGCCAATGGAGCCGGAACAAATGGCTATACCAACGGAACCAATGGAGCCAATGGAATTGACTCAATTGTGATCACTGACTTCTATACGAAGGACATTCGCTTTCCAGTAATTTTGGGATCATCATTGCCAGACTATCTACCACTAATGTAGTACAGACCTCTCTTAAGGATGAAGGATCGGACGCCATGAATGGCGCCGTGGACTTTGCAAATCCGTATCTGGTCTTGAAGACAAATTCGGACCTCGAAGGCCACGGAATTGTCAGTCGCCTCTAGCGGACCGGGTGAGTATGTTGTGCTGATACGGCATGAATAGACGTTCACGATCGGCAGAGGAAATGAGCTCATCTGTAAGGCCATCGAGATGCTTGCACCTTTATTGATGGGCCGGTCCCTGGCTTCCCTTACCTCCAACATGGGCAAGACCTGGAGATATCTGGTCTCAGACGGGCAAATGCGATGGGTAGGACCTGAGAAAGGCGTCGTCCATTTGGCTCACTCTGCCATCATGAATGCCATATGGGATCTTTGGGCCAAATCCCTGGGAAAGCCAATCTGGCGTCTTGTTGCCGACTTGACACCAGAGGAGTTCGTAAATTGTATTGATTTCCGATACATTACTGACGCTTTGACACCTGAAGAAGGTATTGAGCTGCTTCGAAAAAAGCAAGAAGGCAAAGAAGAACGCTTGAAGGTAGTAGAGCAAAATAAAGCGGTGCCGATCTATACAACTTCGTGAGTCTTTGTACCGCTGCGAGAATGGTATTGGGCTTTCATTTAATACGCGTAAAGATGCTCGTGGCTTGGCTATTCCGACGACAAGATGAAGGAGCTGCTGATTCAAGCGAAAAAAGACGGCTTCCATCACTACAAAATCAAAGTCGGAGGCGACATTGAGCGTGATTTGCGCAGAATGAAGCTCTTCCGAGAGGTGAACGGATGGGACGACGTTCTCATGCTTGACTCAAATCAGGTTAGCTCGTTTGTTCAGCCTCAGGGCGCCAATCTAATGCAAGTAGATCTGGTCAGTCAATGAGGCTGAACCGTACTTGGCTCAACTCGCGGAGTACAAACCACTCTTCATTGAGGAGCCGACTTCTCCAGATGACATTCTAGGGCATGCCACGATTAAGGAGCAGATTCGCAAGCACAACATCAAGGTCGCTAGTGGCGAGCATTGCCAGAACCGTATCATGTTCAAACAATTCATGCAGGCCAAAGCGCTTGATTATGTGCAGACTGATGCATGCCGGCTTGGAGGGTTGAATGAGGTGCTTGCAGTGCTTCTGCTAGCTGCTAAGTTCAATATACCCATCCATCCCGTGAGCTTGTCGATGCAGCCACATTCATGTTTTGCACTTACATTCCATAGCATATCGGTGGTGTCGGCCTACCAGAGTACACACAACACGTTGTGACAATCGACTACCTCGTTGTAACTGGCAACACGACCGTGGTTGAGTACATTGATGCGCTCCATGAACACTTTTATAACCCAGCAGCCATCAAGGACGGGTACCATGTAACCCCAACGGCGCCAGGCTACAGTGTACACATCAAACCTGAGAGTATGGAGCAATTCAGCTACCCTGGTGAGGGAAAGAGTTGGTGGAGGAGTGCCGAAGCGAAGCAACTACTTGAGCTAGAGCGAACCGTTGGCTGGCAACCTGCTTACGGAAAGCTTAACAACTTACAGGTTAAGGGAGATGCAACGGCATTCGCCAATGATGACGGTAAGACTTAGGTTGGCGCTGACTGACGCTTTGTGAGTTCAACATCTACAAGAGCGTCACGCATCACCCTGCCATCATTGGCCTAATGTCTATCAACTAGACGCAACGTCGGCTTCATATGTATGAGAACGATTTTGGAGGCAATTTCAAGGCATCTAGCAGGCCAGGGTGGTCTTTTGAACAGCGTATATACACTCGCATGGATTGCGACATAGCTCATGCTCGTTACAATACGACCATTTCACCAAGATTCTGGTCAAAGCACCAACGTCGCTTCATGATTGGAAGATGACTAACAGAAATTGTTTGAGTTGCACTGTTTGCTGCGTTATTTCTCTGTCAGATCGACTCCTGTAAGACGTTGAATATTCAAAATGGTTGCATGCGATCTATGCCAGCTTCAAAGAGTGAATCAACGCCCGAGATCTGTCTCAACCTTCCGTGGTGAGTGCTTCTATGTAGTCTCTTCTACTCAGTAACGTGTTTCGAAACATAAAGCAACATGTTGTCCTTGTTCGACTTGATCAGATCGACGTTCACGGCTTCACATTTGACAATGACCTGTGGGAAGACGCAATTTACAAAATACACTGACTGATATCTCACGTTTTGGTACCACAGCTCATCCACCCCAACTCCGTGGACAGGAAAGACGATTCTATTTGATAGGTTTCATTTGCCATAGCATCGAGAAGAGGCTTTTATCTTCAAAATTCTAGCATTCAGTCTATTGGGACATGAAGACACATGGCAAGGGATTGATGGATTTTTGTTACGGCAAAGGCAGTATGTCTGGCCACCCAAAGCGAAAGCAAGTATCCTTCTCCGTCGGGGAATTATGCATTTTTGACTCGCCTGAACGCCTAGGTTTCGGCCGACTCCGAGAGAATGACGTTGGGTCTCATCGTATGTCCACAGATCAACTTTCATCGATTGAATCTCATCTATATCAACGATGTCTTCCTTTCCGACCCTGCTTGATCAGCTTCGATCACGTACTGCAGTTGATTGTGACACACTCGACGAAACTGTAGCGAAAGACCTTGGACCGTTTCAAGATGCTACTTCGAATCAAGTCATTGCTTATCATGAATTGAAAAATAAACAGCATGCAGGTTTGCTAACTAATTCGGGGAGATTGGCTTCTGACATTCATGGCCGGTTCCCAGGGGTCAATGTTGCCGAATTAGCGGTCGAAATAGTAGTAAGCAAATCAGTCAAGATCTTTGTTGCGTATGTCCATTTTTGCTGAGTATTGACTTGAAGATGACATGCCTCGCCCTGAAAATGGTACCACATCTTCAAGGCTTCGCACATGTACAGACAAACCCAACATTCCCGGATGATATGGAAAAGACTGTTGATAATGCCCGACGTAAGTGCCCCAGAGCATGCCCCAAGCGACACTGAAACGACTTCTACCTAGTTGTGCTTAGCATGCCTAAATGCTGACCTCATACAAGGTATCATAAGCCACGTGAACGCCATAGATCCTCGAGCTGATGCGAAAAGGATCTGTATCAAGGTTCCGAGCACTTGGGAAGGCCTCCAAGCTTGCCGTATCCTGGAAGCCGAAGGCATTGCAACGCTTGCCACAACGCTTTTCACAATGCCCCAGGCCGTGTTGGCTGGAGAGGTCAATTGCACGTACATCGCACCGTACGTGTACGATCTGAGAGTGCAAGTCGACGAATCGTAAGCGGGCAAACCATTTGCGTTCCTTTTTCAAGATACCTGTTGTCTTTTCGTAAAAACATGACTTACGACTTATCACGTACTCCCGCAGGTATAAAGACATCAATCCGCTCTTTCAACTTCCAGCGTCTGCTCAAGGATACTACAAAACGCACAATTACCGTACCAAAGTCCTCCCAGCTAGTCTGACGACTCCAGGCGACGCAATGAGACTTGCTGGAGTAGATCATATGACAGTTGCTCCGAAAATATTGCGAGAGCTGAACGAGATGAAGTTCAACGCGGACGAAACGGCTGCAACAAAGTCGATGTTTGACGAGCCACCTCAAACTCAATGGGACACCGTGCATTTCGGAAAGGACGAAGATTTGTTCAGGAAATTACATGAGAAGGAACATCAAGATGGGAGACTACAGGCCGTATGTGTTTGACTGAAGGCTCGGATCAAATGGGCGTTGCTGACGACCTGGCCATGCAGGCACTTGCGATTTTCTGCGATGCTCAGAGACAGTTGGAGAGGATGATGGCGCCGTACTGTGAGACTCAGGGGAAATGATGAGGGATTTTGTACTTGAGACCAGGATACTGGGACTGTATATTGGAGATAAATGAATGAAAAGGGATCCTGTTGTCGTACCAATCCATATACAAGATACATAATCATGTTAGACTAGATCAATGAATCGACTTTGAGGCATGGAATGGGCCTCGTTCCCATGATGGTCGCTTCGGGTTGGGCTAAAAGGGGTAGTGGAGGTAAGCCAAGGTCTCGGGCGACGAGAACCCATCGCTCTACCACGACAAAGCTGGGAACCCACTCGAGATAGCACTCCCTTGAAGAAGCTACTATCGCAGTCTATTGGAGAGCAAAAGGCAGTAACTTGATCGAACGACCCAGTGGTCGCATAAAAGATCGTGATGTCATCCCGCAAAGGAAAACAGATGGAAGTCTCAACGGTTTCCCATCAAAGATCAATTACGCTGCAGGACTACAGTGCTCCCTCATGGCAGTCAAATCGCCTCCCTGGGGCCTCAGATGGCGATCTAGCACCTTATTCATCTGCAGTACTGTCGGCATTGGCCTGTTCACCGACCTCTTCCTCTACGGCATTGTCGTCCCTATTCTTCCATTCATGTTGACAGACCGTGTCCATCTCCCACATGATCAAATACAGCGCCATGTATCTGGCCTCCTCGCAGCTTATGCGGGAGCCAGTGTTTTCTTTTCTCCAGTGGCTGGCATCATCGCAGATCGCTACTCAAAGTCTCGCCAATTGCCCTTCCTACTGGGCCTCATCGCTCTCCTCCTGGCTACCATTATGCTTGGGGTCGGAAAGTCTATACCCGTGCTGGCAGTGGCAAGAGTCCTACAAGGGATCAGTGCGGCCGTAGTGTGGACCATTGGGCTTGCATTGGTCCTTGACACTGTCGGCCCTGACAGGCTGGGAGTCATCATTGGATCCATCTTTGGTTTCATATCCGTTGGAGAGCTCGCGGCTCCAGTACTCGGGGGCGTGTTATACTCTAAGGCGGGTTATGGAGGGGTGTTCGGCCTCGGAGGAGCCATCCTCGCCATTGACTTTATCATGCGGATTCTCCTCATTGAGAAGAAGGAAGCGAAAAAATACATGCCAGACGAGGATAGGCAAAGAGATGGCAACGCGGACGAAGAGCAGACGAATGGTACAGAAAATGACGAAGAGCCTGGAGAAGAAGACCCATTACTCAAGAAAGAAGATCCGGATCGGTTCAAGGTGCCAGAGGGACAACCCAGAGCCGTCCGCTCATTCCCACTGCTTTACTGCCTCAAGGACCCGAGACTGCTTGTTGCTCTGCTCCTCGCCCTCAACCAGGCTACACTTCTTGCTACGTTTGATGCTACAGTGCCTACTATTGCTCAAGACTACTATGGATTCTCCTCCCTCGAAGCCGGTGTACTGTTCATAGCGTTGGTCCTTCCATACTTGATCGGTGGGCCTGTGGCAGGCTGGATCGTGGACAAGAGAGGGCCAAAGCCTGCTGCTGTGATTGGCTTTGGCTACCTGGTGCCTGTCTTGATCTTGCTGCGGCTTACTACCCCAGGCGGGAAGCATCAGATCATGATTTACTGTGTGCTGCTTGCATTGAATGGCATTGGTCTTGCGGTGATTGGCTCGCCTTCAGTAGTCGAAGCATCATATGTGGTGCAGCAATATGATAAAGCCAACCCTGGCTTCTTCGGAGCAAATGGACCATATGCGCAGCTCTATGGCCTCAACTCGATGGTCTTCAGCGCAGGACTGACCCTGGGGCCAATCATCAGTGGAGCCCTCAAGGATTCGATTGGCTACGGAAATATGAATCTGGCGGTAAGCATCATCGATCTTGTATATGAATCTTATTGTATGGTGGAGGCGCTAAACGGTCTGACAGGTAGCGGCCCTGTGCTTGGTGACTGCGACACTCTCGTTCGTCTACATAGGAGGGAAACCAGAGCCACTCAGACGCAAATAAGCAATGGGCCAGAAGGACTAGGGTGCAGGTTACTCGATAGAGTGCCTTTAGCTCTACAGATCTGAACCTTTTCCGGCCAGCAGCTCCTGCGGTTTTGCTCGGCCCCCCATGTCCTGCCGAACCAATCAGTCCATTTCTGGATCCAGAAAGCTCTCCACTTGCATCACCAAAAGATTTCCACCACAACCATGTCTTTGTCTTATCTTTCAGTCATTTTGAAGCGTGCTCTTTCTCGTGCTCTGCATTCCCTATCTATGCAGTGGTTCCTGCATCAAAAGTCTCGTTTGCAGGAGTTCCGGTCTTCGAAATGGTTCATCTACATCGTCATTGACCTTGCTGTCTTCACAGATGCCTATTTGTACGGTCTCGTCATCCCGGTATTGCCATTTGCTCTCACGAAATACATCCACATTCCTCCAGCGGACGTTCAGAAATGGATCGGGGTTTTTGTAGGAGCATATGGCGGCGGCTTGCTCATCAGTTCCCGTTCGTTCCTCTTACGCCCCCCCCAAACCTCCCCTCTGACAAAGGAGCCATAGCTATCGCCGGTTACCTCGCCGATAATTGCAAGTCCCGACGTCCGATCTACATGCTTGGTTTGATTGCACTCGCAAGCGCAACCTTCATCTTGGCCATCGGCCGTTCCGTCACCGTCCTTATCATTGCTCGACTCGTCCAAGGTGCATCATCAGGCGTTGTACACTGCGTGGGAACAGTATGCTCAATTCAGCGGTGTCTAAACTTCACTGACATGGGGCACAGGCTATCCTTGCAGATGCGGTTGGACAAAATGGGATTGGACCCGCAATGGGCTGGGTCACTTTCATGATCGCTCTCGGAATGGTCACCGGTACGTGAGAAAGAGCATGGTGGGCTTGGTCGGAGCTAAATGTCGACATAGGTCCTGTCGCTGGAGGAGCAATATATCACAGCTATGGCTATAATGCTGTGTTCTTCTCCGCCTTCATTGTGATAGCTCTCGATTTCGTGTTCAGGATTCTCATGCTTGACCCAAAGCAAGAGGTAGCTTTACTCAACGAAGACATTCCTCACCATCCTATCGCCAATGGAAGCGCGATCCAACAAGTCTACGGAACCTTCCACGACGCCGAACCCCCACAGGATTTCCGGCGGGCATCCGACTCGTCCCCAGGCGAGGAAAGCTCTGAAGCCTCGCACTGCAGCTCATATACATCAGACACTTCTCACGAGTCTGAAGAAGTAAATTCCCCTTCCTCTTCAGAGATTACTTCTCACGGATTCCAACAGTTTGACCCGTTGCTCGAACTACACGCCAACAAGACCACATCCACATTCCGCCTCCCTGTCTTCTTCGAGCTTCTCACCATGCCCCGAATCCTCACAGCCCTCCTTGGCGCCTTCATGGAAAGCTTCGTCCTCACAGAAATTGAGACCATCCTCCCCCTCTACATCAAAAACCTCTTCAATTACAATTCCAAAGAGGTCGGCCTCGTCTGCGTATTCCTTCTCCTTCCCAGCATCAGCTCCCCGATCCTGGGCGCCATGACCGACAGATTTGGGGTCAAGATCATCGTGTCACTCGGCTACACCTTCTTGTGCCCGTTCTGGATCCTGCTGCGTCTGATCAACACCGATGGCGTCGCTAGCCTCGTCGGTCTTTGCGTTCTCCTCTTCTGCATTGGGCTAGCTGTTGACATGGTTCTGACCCCTGTATTTATTGAGACGAAGGAGGCGGTGGATGAGAGGATGGAACAAGAGCCTGGCGTTTTCGGTGAGAAGGGAGTGTATGCGCAGGCGTACGCGCAGATGAATATGGCGTATGCGGCTGGAAGCCTGCTGGGACCGGTGCTGGGGAGTGCGCTGGTAGAAGAGATTGGGTGGGAGAATGTGACTTTGTTGACGGGTATTGCTTGCGCCTTGTGTGTGGCTCCGAGCTTGTATGCACTAGGAGGGAGAAAGAGGAAGAAGGGGAAGGGCAAGGGAGTGGCTGGGTTTGATGGTAATGCATAACGGTGCTGAAAAGCTGCTTTTCGGGTTTATTGCTGGCTATGCAGCAGGGGCTTATGGCTGGTGGTCTACATGTAATATTACTGGCCGCTAGAGCTCAAGACTCATTGTCCACCCAATGTATCAACGCTGCACTTCATCTCTTCATCTCGACCCTCTCTCCTCCTATTTCTGTCCTGAAAGCATCAACCTATCCTCACTTTCCCTCCCCTTCCTCCCTATCCCCTCCTCCTTCTCCCTCCCCCCCAAAAACCTCAAACCCAAAAACCGTCCTCCTAATCTCCTCATCCCCCTCATCACCCTCAAACATCACCTTCTCCACTTTCTCCTCCAGCACCTTGTTCACTCCCAACCCCCTTCTCCTGCAAACATCGAAGAATGCCATATCCTTGTCCATCAGCCAGGGTCTGTAGGGCGTGAAGAGCACTAATGCTTTGCTGTGCTCCCGCTTAGAATCGGTGGGAGAAGGGGTGGTGGAGGAATGGTTGGTAGAAGAGTCGGGAGAAGGGCGTTTCAGCGTCAAAAGGATAGTATCCACAAGATCCTCATGGCAGGAATGGTTGAAGAGGAGGTCGGCGAGGAGGAGGACGTCGAACCCTTCCCTACCGCCCCCCACATCTTTCCCCTCCCCCTCCTCTTGCCCTCCGCCCTTTTCTTCCTCTCTCGTGGTTAGTAGATCCAGCACGGCCCTCACACCCTCCCTATCCCCCCATCTCAACCCTCTAACACCCACCCTCCCCTCCCCCCCTCCCCTATAGTTCCTCTCAACATTCCCCCTCAAACACCCCACCAATTCCCCATCCGGGAAATCCGTGCTCACCACCGTCCTCGCACCTACCGCCGCAGCGACAATGCTGCACAACCCCGCGCCCGCCCCGAGCTCGAGCACGCATTTGTTGCGCACGATGGCCGGGTGTCGCTCGAGGTAGGAGGAGAGGAGCAGGGAGGCGTTCCATATGTGGTGGCCCTGTATACCCGCAGCCGCCTGGGTAAGCTTTCTTGAGTTTTGGTGGGGGAGTGTGAAGGGGAAAGGGGGAGTATACCCACAAAGGATTATACCCCACGAGGTTCAGCGATAGGACGCGGCCGGAGTGAAGGGTGTGCGTTATACATCGTCCCTGTGGAGGTGGGGGGCGGTAGCTTGGTGGTTCTGTGAAGAGGGATGGGTCTAGGAAGGGGAGGGGGGAGGAGGGAGGGGAGGGTGTGGTGGATGTGGATTTGGTGTTGGTGTTGGTATTGATATTGGGATTGGTGGGTTTGAAGGATGGAGGAGAGGGGGGAGGTGAAGTGTTTGTAGGATGGGGTTCGAGGTGCATGGTTTATCTTGAGGGTGTGGGTGGTGGGTTATTACAATTACATCGTGATGGAGATAATTAGGAGTGGAGGAGGAAACGAAGATTCGGTGGGTGGTTGTAGAAAAGTAAGCTTTCTGATGATCGAATGTGGCTCGCTCATGTGAAAAGTCTTTGATTAAGCTAACAATCCGCACAATCTCACGTGTTGACAAGTAAGGTCGGGGGAATGTAGACTTCTGTACTCCTTGCTTGCCCTGAACAATCCAGCCCAATACAATACTACACCACCACCCTCAGCTGATGCACGAGCCGTAAATATTACTGCCCCACCTCTTTTCCAGTGGTATCAATGTAATTCGACGAGAAGTAGCTCCGACAGAAGAAGTGAAAAGCCTGCCTCCTTTTCAAACCCGATTCTGGCCACATGCGCCGCGTGCTGAAACAGTCGAAATTTGTCGTCAATGCAAAGGAACCGCTTCGTAACAGGAGAATTGTAAGCTGTCCTCTACAGGAATGGGGGGCTTTGTAGTTGGTGGGCGGTAAAGGAGGGTTCACAGGCTCTCCAATGCCCGCCCAACTACTGCGGAAACAAAGGATTGGATGCTTGCCTCGAGATGCTAGAAATGGCTTCGTTTGAGAGTTCGTGATGACGGGAGCATCAGAACATCAAGCCTCCATAAAATTCAGCTTCTCTTCCATTCGTTGGTGGTTGGGTCTATAACAGACCACAATCACGAAGGTTTTCTTGTATAATGATATCTAAGGACGGCTAATTAGCAAATGTTAGATGTAGAGGGACCTCGGGAAAGACTGACCGTTCACTGCCGCCATGACAAAGCGGATCTGAGTTGTGTCTGTGGCGCACGTGAAATGGGTATAGATCTGTTTAGTCTCATGTTGATTTAGAGAAACGAATCGGTTGAGGATGTAGTCGCATGCTGCGGCGTAATCCGCTCCACCTTCAGCCAAATTAGATCTCTGATGTGCTCGTCCATTGGTTCCATTCTGGTCTAGCTTGCCTTCATAATCCGGGAAGTAATTCTTCATTGGAGAAACAGGAAGTTTTTCCTTGAACCTGTCGATCTTGTTCAAGAACAGAATGATGGACGTTTTTACAAACCATCTCGAATTGCAGATCGAATCGAAAAGGGTCAATGCCTCTTGCATTCGGTTGACTGTCTCATCTTCGAAGAGAAGTTGATCGTACTCGGAGATGGCGACAAGGAAGAGGATGGTGGTCACGTTCTCAAAGCAATGTATCCACTTCTTGCGCTCTGACCGTTGACCACCGACGTCGAACATACGATATGTGAGTTCGCCGATGATGAAAGTTGTTTCCGTAATGCCAGTGGTCTTGACACGAGATCGGAGCACATCTTGATCGTTGGGGAGATAGTCGGGTTGTGCTATGCGGTCGATGGAATCAAAGTAGCTATTCAACACATTAGCTCTGGGAAGGCCTCCCTGGAGCCCTGGAGGCAGAAATGTAATATCTTGTATGAGACACGTATGCAGCTTGTCTGTAGATTTAGGTGCTGAAAATGACTCACTATTTGGCCGAGTCATTCAGCTGGTATTCTCGTGATCGTTGGAAGCATTGTTGAACTCCACCATCTCTCCACAGCTCTTTGATGGCAGTTCCGACCTCCGGTGGCAGACTTTCACCTTCGATCTGTGCGGGTTGCATGAAAATGGTTTGAACGTGGTATTCGGATCGTTGATCGTCCAGAGGTAGTTCTAGGGATTCCATTGCCTCTAGTATCACGCGCATTGACTGGACGGTATTGCTGTATATGATCTCTTTGAAAGACTCGCGCTCATCTCTTGAATAGCTTCCTTCATGAATGAGCTTCATTTGTTTGAGGATTGTTGATTTGCCAGACTCTCCAGCTCCTGTTGCGACAATGAGAGTTGAGTATATAGATGTGGTCAAGTTTCTTACCGAGAAGAAGCATTTTTATTTCATTGCGCTGGAGTAATTTATCCCTTTTTAATTGATTTTCAATCTGCTCATTCCTCTCCTTGCCCTCCCTCTCCTCTGTGCTCATCCCGCAACCCATCTTTGCAGCGTAGGGTATTTATTCGGGGTTCAAAGTGAGACGGAGTAGAGCTGGCTCGCCTATGTGATTTTGTTAGAGAGGGCTCTACAAAGCCATGAAGCAAGCTGCCTAAAAGCGACGCGAGTGGAAAGCGTGCTGAAACAAGGCTCTGGATGGAGGCTGCGCAGGAGAAGCCCGGTCGTACCCAGGCCAAAGATATGGTCGTAGATGAAGCTTCACAATCAAGAGTGCGACTGACCGTGTAGGGAGTATTCTTTCAGGTGCTCTTGTATCTCCTCCACGGCGGCGACGCCTCTCTAGTGTATGGCTTCACTTGATGGAGTAAGGAGGAACGGAAGAATATTTAATGAGGGCGGGCTACTAGCGCACAGCAGCGGAGCGAAAAGCGTTGGTGCTGGGGTGAAGTGCAGCCTTTCGCTGGCTGTAATACGGTGATGGTCACTGCAACCACGTCGCTGAGAGCAGTGCAAGGAGACGATGAGCGAGGTGATATGTACGCGGTGGAGAGTAGTAATGGTGGTTGGAATAGGAGGTTCAGCAAGGGAATAATCTATGGTTTGTTCTTAAAGTTTAGCGGCCTTTTTGCAGCTTTGGCACCAAATTGGGAGGGCGGTCTGGCACGCTTGAGACTAGACCTCGATCGGCATGTCTCCGGCTTAGAACTAGCTCAGCTGCATAAGAGAGGCAATAGCTAAGCAAGGGATGGTCACTGGTTGAAGAGTTTCCCAGGGAGCGAAAGGGAAAAGCTATGGTAAGTCCGAAGAGTGATTGTAAAGAGGGACATTAATGATGTTGTATTCTAGACCCTTCAAGAGCAAACACGGGCTGGCAAGCCTATCTACTCTTGCAATTCTATGCACTGACCGTGGCCGAATCTCCATCCACAGCGTCACCAAGCTGCCTGGCTGGTCAGACTACGCCGCACTTCCCACCCATGCGCACCACTCTACAGCCTTCTCCGACGCCATGAGAGGTCCAAGGCCAGAGCAGGAGTGGTGAAATAATGATGCCTCATCCTTCATCCTTGTGGGGCATAATTCTAGGGCACCTTCCCCCTCCTTGAGCCATGTTTCATGTCTTCCCATGTACCGAACAGAGAAGTCGATCCAGGGGAGAACGACTCGCCGGGCGCTCTCCCGCTCACCAAAGATCGCCAACCTTACGACTTTGAGCTTTATCGCCTTAGTGTTGAATGCTCAGCATGGCATGAGGTTTGACGGGTCGTTCTGTAAGGGTCGGAGAAGGAGCGTGAACATGCACAAAAACGTCCTGATCGATGGACGAGCAATTGCTCCAACAATGAGCTTTTAAATCCTTTCTCGGAGCTTGATGATCATTTGACGGGCTACCGCTGTCGACTGAGGCTATTGATTCTTCATATCGACGCTTCTGCCTTCTTGTTTTAGTATCACTACCATCAAAAGGTTCAAGCCACCAATAAGAGTCTGGCCAAACACTTGCATGTAGGCACGTCGTTCCTGGATCTCTGATATATTGATTGGACTTCTTAAAGATAAGGTTAAAGACCAAAGGCATCCACTCGAATCCCCCATGAGAATGTCACTAAGCGCTTCGCGCGAGTCATACATGCATATGACGATAGTGTTGCTGCTGGACAACCACATGATTGTCTTAGGGTCTCTTCAGGTTTCAGCGTTCACGAAAGCGAAAAACCCTGGTATCTGTCGAGCTTTGATTATCTTTCTCTGTCCCCACTTATCATGCGTGTAGATATTCTGATGATAGCAGTGCCTGCATTTGCCCTTGCGGTCCCATTGGACCAGCTCGGTGTATCGGACACTCTGCTGCTTTTCCCTGCCACGAATCATACTTATTTTTTCAATCTAACCCAACCCGGTATCCGTTGCTTCGAAGAAGAACCTACGCTGAAATCGACGACGGTAGATTCATGTCGTCCTGCTCTGACAGAAATGAGGAATTTTCAAGATTACAGTCGTACACAGACTTTCAGAGAACATAAATACCCCAAGAAACCACTGACTCCACCTATTGCGTGGCAAGCTCGAGGTGCGACGTGCGACATTCGTTTGGGTTCTGGCGACCCTACAGTGGAGGATAAGATTAGCTGGAAGGACATTCGTACTGCAGTCACGAACATAGTCGAAGATTGCCAGCCACCACGCGGAGAAGGCAAAGGAGGCTGGATTGTGGTTGGACAAAAGGGGGAATTTGTGCTCCGTGTCTTGGGGAGGGATCCAGTGGAGGTAGATGATGACCTTGTTTTATGACAACCAATGACGACGGCATTGCTCGAGTGCATATTGCTCCAGTCGAGCAATTGAATCACAACCCGGTAGCTCTTGAGCGTAGCCTATGTTCTGCGAAGAACAAGGATCGAGCAGTACGAATCATCCTAGGTTGTCATTTAGATACTCCACAAATAAAGTGCGAATCCGTGACTTTGATATATGAGTCTGCCGATTCATGTTGGTAAATTGCCGCCGAATACGTTGCAGTTGAGGAAGCGAGACTGGGTTGGAAGGTAAAACAATAGTATCACTTCCACACTTGATTTCCTCGCCAGATTCGCCGGGATGGTCTTTTTGCCAGTCAAGCACACTACTCACGACCTCTTGAGTAGATCTATCAAGCTCGTACAAGTAATCTGACTCTGTTGCCTGCGGCTTCACCAGATGTGAGTAAAGAAGTTTTCAGTACCAACGCGAGTCTACGTACAGTGATTGTTGCAGCATTTGGCTTAGCCATTTTCATTTGTCCATCTGATCCAATGATAGCGTCCCATATCTGCTCAACAGGAGGCTCTGTATCATCAATTGGGACTGTAAACAGTGGACTATCCCAGCGTGTCATCCCATTCGGCTCTTCATACCGAAATATAAGGTTCTCGAAGATATCCTGCTCGTAGCCATCTTTCCCTCCAGCCTCCGAGAGTAGGCGGTCGTTGTTTTCTCCGCATTTTGTAGCTGGTGTTCCTACATGGACGACGCAACTTGGCGTTCGAACGGCCTTCGCTTCGCAGTAGAGTTGATATCGGAAGCCTTTGATGTAGTTCAAGCCGTCCGCAATGACAATAGCATCTCTGCTCAGTAATCTCTTCACCGCAGAAAGCTCAGCTGCACGAGCGTCCTTCTCAGTCTTTGCTTCTCTGTAAACGCCTCGGCTGACTCCTAGTGACTGATCATTGATTAAGTGAACGGTCAATTTTCGTATACGTTCGTCAGACGAGGAATCGATCTTTGGTTTGAGAAGGTCAAGGAGTTGCTTTGCGCGATGAGTCTTGCCTGAGCAAGGGAAACCTGATATCAAGATCAGCTAGAGTGGTCAGTTTTGAGAGTTCATGCAGTAATGACAGCTACTAACAGGCATAGTCCCAGACTCGTGACCTGGAAAATCACATTGACTTTGATCGTGATCTGCATCGTGATTCTAATTCGCATGGCGGAGTTCCCCACATTTCCCGCATTCCTGCACCTCGTGCCCCGCCGACGTCATGGCTGGCGTTTGTTGCCTGGTCGTCCCATATGTCTATATCTGGTATTCTGCATTCTCTGTTTCCTACATCCGAGCAGTCCATACAATCATCTACCAAGTAAAGGCACATCAACCAACCCCAAAAATACCGCAATGACTGATAAAGACTCTTCCACTCTCAAGGGCTATGCCGACGAAGCTTCAGGCAAAATCCAGTCCACCTTAGGCAACTTGACGGGCAACAATGACCGCCAGGTACATCCATACCTTCTCTCTTCTTCCTCTTCACTGAACATAATTTAGGCAGAAGGCGACATCCGCAAAGGTCAAGCCGAGAGCGAGCAGGAAGCCTCCCACACCATCGGTAAAATCGGGGGATACAACGTCTCCAGCTCTGGTGGCATGTCTCAAGATGATCCACGCCGTCAGCAAGGAAGCTGGGATCAGACCGTCGGCTCCGGCAAAGAGGCCATGGGCAATGCCCTTGGCGTTGAAAGCTTGAAAAAGGAGGGAAGGGAGCAGAATGCTAGGGGCCAAGGCACGGAGGCTGAGGGGCAGTTGAGTGATTTTGGAAGTGGTATTAAGGATCGAGTGCAGGGAACTTTTGGCGGTCAGTCGATCAATCCTTTGATGTTTTTAAGTGGTGGCTAATAAGTGCAGGTGCTGCTGCTGGCTTGACTGGTGACCGTGAGGCTCAAACGCGCTATCAGAATCAGCATGACGATGGCAAGACGGCGCAGCGAAGCGCGGAGCAAGATATTCAGAGGCAGAACCAGTAGTCGATTCGTAAAGATGAATCAATTTTGAGCGTGACTCCATCGAGGGCGAAGGCAAATCAAAGTCTAGGATAGCAACATTAGCTGAGCGCTTTCTAACCATCACTGTGAAATCATAGCGACTTTCAGTGAGCCTTCTGTAGTATTGTTGTTTTGAACCCGGACTAGCCTTCATGCATCATTGAGTCTTTCGCTTGCTCCATTCCTCCCCAAGCTCATACCTCATCCCGTTCAAAACCTCAACTTCGGCCCTACAAAGACCAACAAAATGGCAGCCACCCACAGCCCTGCGATCCATGCATATAACATCATCCTTCCCCACAACCCCTGTCCCTCACTCATCATCCTCAACATTCCCATTCTCTTCCCTGCCGCCTCCAACGCCGTCTCATTGTTGTCCAAACCCTCAGTAGCTCGTCGAAGTGCTTCATCATCGGCTTTGAGCGAGTCGGAGAAGGTATGAGTGGAGGCTTTGAGTTGTTGGGCCAAGGAGAGAAGGGAGCTTGTCAACTGAGAGGCTTCGAGATCAGAGGATTGTAGGAGCGTCGCTGTGGTATTGTCTTCGTCCGTAGATGGAAGATCGTCTTTGATTTGTGAAGAAGCTGAAGGAGCAAAGCGATTACGTAGACCAGCACCGGGAGAAGGGGGACGATCGGAATTTTGGGCAGCTGTAGAAGCTGGAGCCGGTGCTTCTGCAAATGCTGATTTCACTTGGTTTTCTCCTTCGTTATCTGAGTCCAGCAGATCATTTGAGTGGTCACTGTAGTCATCTGCCTCATCGCCGGTTTGCTCTATCTTGTGCATGCGATCCGTCAGGCGCTTGAGAAGGGCGCGTTGGTGAGAGAGCGTCGACTCGGCGGCGGCTTTACGGGACGTGATCTTTTGACGAGAGGCATCGTGCTCAAGACGGAGGAGAAGGGTACGAGCATACTCAAGATTCTTGTATTCACGGCATCAGTCAACAGCCTCGGCAAAGAGGAATGTAGACTCACGGAGGAAGTTTTGTTGCGCTCGAAGCTGGAATGTTGAAGTTTAGGGTCTGCATCTACGGAGAGAAGCTGATGCTCTAGGCGAACGAGGACCCGATTCAGATCTATGGCTGCGATTTCGCGTGGGCTGGCATTTGTTGTTGGATTCCGTGCCATGATGGTCAACTGAAGATTATAGTGAAATGCTGGGGACGCGTAGCACAAGATTCCATAACTGAGATTGTAGGTCCGTCAAAGTTACATTATTGCAAGCATTGGCCACATTTGGGGCACCACACAAGCTCCTAATGACAGCTTCGATTATCTAAACCAGAAAGATTATAGTATTCAAAACCACTAATAGTACATCTATACCATCGCTCATTACCAAAATGCGCCCATAATCATTCACATCACCGTGCAACAGCTCCTCGTTATTTGCTTTAGGATCTTTGGCAAATATTTCTTGACTTGCTTTTCGATCTCGGCGTTTTGATTGTTTTGTTGCTGCTGCTGCTGTTGCCCATACTGCTGCTGTTGCCCATACTGCTGTTGCTGCCCATACTGCTGCTGCTGCTGCTGCTGCTGCTGCTGCTGTCCACCGTAATGTGGCCCTTGGCTATGAGGTTGTTGATGCGGATAATGCTGCTGCTGCTGTGAATATTGATGTGAACCTCCGTATCCTGCATGATATCCACCGCCATGATGCGCCTTGAGATCCTCAGGCATAATGGCCGTTCCACCCTGAAGATTGATAAATAATCTCCCGGCATTTTCTTCTGTCGCGAATTGTAGCCCTTCCTCCCTACATATTTGCTCCACTCGTGGTTTTATCTTTTGCACATGCCCCGGAGAATGATTGCCCTTGCCAACAATAACATGTAGATGAGACTGTCCTTGAGACTTCGCGTAACGTATTCGTTGCTCTAGTATCTGCTCTGCCTCCTCGACGAATTGTCCATGCAAATCAATGGTGTCGCCTGCCACGCGATCCATGCTGTTATTTTCACGAAAAATGAACTCGCTAGCCTGCCTGTTGTATTGATCGACCATGGCGCCATGACGCTTGCCTTCCTCAGAAAGCTGGTGTGCGCCTCCGCCATCACCGCGCTCGTAGGCTTGCTTGGACTTGACAATCGATTAGCTGTCGATATAGTCAGATTTGCTCCGGTGCGACATACTTTGGCAAAACAGGAAGATCGTTTGCCCGCCTCCTGACGCGCAAGATCACGAAGGCGATCATATTCTGCTTCCGCTGAGGAGGACTGCGGGTGATTGAACGCTGAGATATGGTTGTGAGTAGGAGCAAGAGCATTGAAAACGGCAGTGCTTACCACCACTGCCCAATTGAGTCAAGGGATATGACATGATTGTTTTAATGAAAAGCCGAAGCTTCTCACCTGAAGTGCTTCGAGTGTAGATTATATTGGTTAATGCGAGCTGAAGATGCAAGATCCGCTTCCTCGGCAGAAGGAACCGTTCCGCACGGATTGACTTCAGGAACAGCTTCAGGGACATTTGTCATGGCATACCCAGCACTTTCGCTCACATTCCGTGATTGACATGGTCTCGTACCGAATTGATTCGCAGTTGTAAAGTGATTCTCTCCATGAAGTGGCATTTCTGTTGCCACCAAGATGAGCACTGGTCTTGGTCTATCAAAGAACTCCACGTCATTTCGTCATCATTCCAAGACGACCAAAGCACCCACGACTCGCAAGCTGTAAAAGCTTAGTGACTTGGATGCTATTAATTGCAAGATGGTGATTTTTTACATCGCCAGAGATTCATACAAGGTGTCATTGCTTATGCTGTCAGACTCATGATTGAGGTCGTAGATGAGATTTGCCTCGAGAGTATTCTTTTGCTCGATTTGGCTCCCTGCTGTGTAAGCGTACTTATTTCATACTCATCTATGTGCCCATACTCCTTCAACATGATGATTTATACCAACAAGAATAGTTCACCTGACGGTTTAGACCGAATGAACGAAAAAAATGTACCATCTTTCGCTCCTATCTGAAAATCTTGGCAACGTTGCATTTTCTGTTATTGCTATAATGGTGATTCGAGCTTGCTAATTGTCATATAGAAACCGTCTTGCCAGCATTCATACTGCAATTGGGAGTTCTACCTGCGACTCAATGCTTGTGCTACACTGTATCGCTCCGTTCATACATCGTGATACTGCAAAGCCCCATAGCATGTTGCTCTAAGAAGTTGGACAAGTCTCGACTTGCCATTTTCACACACCAGAGCCTAGTATTGAGGTGATTATGTCAGCCACATCTCACTACTTCTCGGATTATAGGCTGGTCCGAAGCGTTCAAAGCCTGACTGGGTAGCCCGGACCAAAGTGGACATTTGTGTTATGGCACATTCATATGATCGAATGTATCACAGAAAAGGCGCCTCATTATGGTTTCTATCCCTACTTGCCTCACCCTGTGTGTTCATTGTTGGGGAAAGCAAATCCCTCGGCAGACACCTTCGTGGACCAATCATACATAGACGAAGGTACGAGCTCCGAGTGGCTTGAACGCAGGAGACCCAAAGCCAACGGAGGCAAGGAATTTTTCAGGCTTCGATAATTATCTGAGCTGTTTCGACAGTGCACGGACCTGGAGAATAGATGCATCAAGTTGGCAACCCACTTAGTGCTGACGAGGCTGAATTGAATGTTCTTGTTCGTGGGGGACAACGTTCATTCGGAACCTAAGAAGACCCACTCTATATCTAGTTTTGCAGGATACGATCTGTGAATCTTCGACAGAGGAATACATCAGCAGCTAGGAAACGTGTCCCAGGAATAGGAATAGCTCCTCATTCAATTCAGACCTGTCACGACTCAAACAATCAATAGTGTTCACATTTCACCGAGAAGCTTGGCGTCCTCAAGCCGATGAGATGCAGCCTTCCACTCCTGTAACCGAAGTCGGAGGCTCTCTAGGTTCGTGCAGAACGGCGACAATGAAAATGCCTCATTCTCCTAGCCTCTATCTGTAAAGTAATTGTCACCGATCTCTTCGATTGCCTGCAGAAGTGGCTTCACGGGACACATATTCCAGTCAGCAAGGCACAGTAGTCATCCGCTTGAGGTGGTATCATGCAAACCAAGCTGTATCTCATGCTTCCGTTGGCAAAAATCTTCAACGTGATCTCTAGACCATCTGCCGAAAGATGAGAGGCTCAACAGTCCTGGCTAATATCGGTGGAAGCTTGAGGATACGGTGTGCGATCAGCATGATAATACCGGGCGAGAGAGCCGTTCGAGGAAGCTGCTACTAGCTTGTTGCCTTAACTTGCATATGCGCATGTCGTTCAACGCTCAGAAGCAAGAAACAGCCGAATACAGCAGGATCTCATGCGTACTCTATTCCCCCACGCGAACATCAATGTGGAGAAATCCTTTACCCCACAAGCGAGGCACACCTCGCGGTCGCCTAAGTTGCTAGTTCCTGCAACGAAAGACGCATCTGTAGCAGTTGATTCGCAGGACAAAGCTAACCGACAAGTCACTCATCTTGAAGCTTATCTTGCTGGTGCTCGGTTGTCACCATGTAGATGTACGAGGCCAGCGCTGCAGCTACCTGGTCTCGCTCATCTTTTTCTCGCTCTGAGATTTATATTACTGGCCGGCAATTGCCCACCAAGGAACTGCGCTGGCGACAATCGGGACTAGAGAGATGGCTTCCCCGTATCCGGTTGGCTTCGCTGGCAGCTGTCACGGCTACTTGCTGACCCATGGTCGTGCCACGTCACATCAATTGCCCGAAACTCTCTAAGCTCCTGCCGAGCTACTTTAGCTGCTTCAATCGTCGAATTGCAGCTTTTCTGCACGCACGCCAACGAACCAAGCACATATGCACTATCACTTCTATTGTCCTCATTGGATCTACTTCCTTAGAATACCGCGGGAGATTGGATGACCCCCATCCAGCTCACGGGGCCCACTTTCTGAGCCGCCCACTTTCTGCTAAAGAAAAGGACGCCTGCCCCCCATGCCGGACACTTCTCATCCACTTTTTCTTATATCGCACCGCAGTATTCTTATATTTACAGGACTTTGTATTCGAGCACGCCTTTGCTCTTTGCGATAAGACCAGTATTCCAAAGGCCAATTTCCACTTTCCATTTGGACTTTTGCAAGCACTTTGTTCAGTGTTTGCTAGTCCCCCAGGATTCCCACTTTAGGAGCCCAAGAGGACATCTTTTCCAAACCAGGATCAAGGAGCCATTCTTCAGGATTTTATCCCAGGACGCAGCATATTGTTTAGATTGCTTTCTTATCATACATATTGCAGCACGGAGCGGCCTTCCGCTTGCTGACCCCCAAGATGAGGTACCACCCTAAACCCCAATCCATTTGCCATTCCATTTGTCATTTTCGCTTTTTGGTGTCTATTTTCCTATCAGAAAGATGGCCGAAGACGGCTCCTCTCCATCCTGGCCAAACCATGTGAACACCAGATGAGTGCGTATTTTTGGACCAAAAATTCCGTTGAAGGTTTCAATATTCTTCCTGTCTTGGACCCTGGAGCTTTGTTATGTATTGGTCACCCAGGCCAGAGGACGTGCGATTCAACTACTGAAGGGCGGCCCGCCTTGGACCTGTGCTCGGACCTGCTATTGGTTCAATGGCTCGATCTTTTGCGCTTTGCTCGGGTATTTGATCTGTCTACCAAATCACTGTGGATTCTTCTGACTCCAATTGCCTTTCTGGGCATTGTGGACACCCGATCTCGCAACATTCTTGGAATATACGAGTAAAGTATATCTATCTGTAACACATACTGGTTCTCCTCGCAGTCGACACACGGATTTCTTTGTTTTACTTCTGGCGTTAGACATTGGACCATAGCTTCCTGCCACTTGATTTTGACGATCTTCTTTCGGATGGATGGTCTGCGCTCCGCAGCCGGGTCTTGATTTGTGGCGTTGTTTGATGAACTGTGCCAACAACCGCAACGACGCGGAGGATCTATTCCCTCTCCTGGGGGTTCCGTGAGCTTAGCAGCTTATGATTTGCTCAAATTCACGGCCCCACATGTGTTTACCGCCCGGAGTGTTCTGTGAACTATGTGAAATCCAGGATCTGGTGGTCACCACGCCTAGTGTGAAGAATTCAATGAAGACCTCATTACCGCTAGCTTGGCCTCGAGAAACCTTGGCGGACCTTTCACTCAATGCCTACTCTTTTCATTCCTATTGTTATGCTTTATTTTTATGAGAAGCGCGTATGTCGAGATTCCAGCGAATACTAATTCATTGCGTTCAGAGTGCCAGCATCATCAAACAAGTCTACCGTGAAGAAGTCTTCTGGTCGTTCTCTCAAACAAAACCTTATAGCCACGGAAGGATCAAGCGATTTGAAATCTCCGACTCATTCCAGGAGCAATTGTGATCAAACTATGGAAGACCCAAGGAATGGATCCCAACCGGGTACTCACGTCTCAGGACAGTCAATGAGAACACAGTATCATGACCCTGTCTCTGTTCGTCGATGGGCTGCATCCAGCGCAGCAGGATGGGACCCCTCTTTTCACTTCCCAGCCGGACATTATGGCGATGACAATATGCCTCTGGTACCTTCTACCGAGGATAGTATGCAGACGACTACGCATCTAAATGTGCTACAAAGTCACGTGCAAACCTCGTATGGCTGCGATCAATTATCAAGCCTCGAGTTCGTTGAATCTGATTCTGCTCCCAATGGAATCCACTATATCCCGCAACATTATTCAAATGCTCTGAATGGACTGGACATGGACGCTCCCCACGTCGCTAATGGATCATATGAGCATGCAAATGTGTACATTGAAAATGGCGCTGCCTTTCCCACGCCGCCAACTGATGACCTGTCTTTGTTTGAACCTATTGGAGCTCCTGCTATGTGCCGCCAGGCGAGTAGTCAAGGCTTTCCGGATTATTCAACCGAATGGAGCAGTCAGGACTCTCCTCCAGGATCTGAGAGTGTACCTATTACCCAAGGATATCCCAATATGCAGTCTGTTTGCATGAGTCCGACTTCCAATGTGGGGTCTCTGCCTTCACACAGCCACATGGATACTCCTCTATCAATGGCAATACTGGATGACGCAAACTGGCAAATGATCGATGGTCATGGCCCAGGAGCAAATGAAGGTCTTTTACCTGTACCTTCGGAAAACCTACAATTACCCCCCACCACGTATCCTTGCGATCAAAGGTTTGCCTTGCCTTCTGATTCCCAATGCGTAGATCTAACTTCAATGACAGCACCATCAAGGCCCATGAAGCAATGTCCAGGCCCAGGATTCCGGATATGGATTATTGGCAACAGATGCACACTGAGATGCCGTATCCAAACTACATGGGAGCCCAATACAATCTTTCTTCGTCTTCGCGGCGTCCAAGCGATGGGGAACCCACTGTCACTGCTCGGAAGCATCCGCTTTACCAAGCCCAACCCAGATCTGATGGCCTTTACCATTGCCCGTATGAGAACGAGGACTGCAAGCACCAGCCTGAGAAGCTAAAGTGCAACTACGAGTAAGACCCCATCATGTCTTTATAGTGTCGCGATTGCTAAGTGAAGGAAAACAGCAAGCATCTGGACTCCCATCTGAAGCCTTATCGCTGCCGAAACCCGGATTGTTCCAATATGAGGTTCTCATCGACTGCTTGCTTGCTCAGGCATGAACGTGAAGCCCACGGACTCCATGGCCATGGAGAGAAGCCTTTCGCGTGCTATTTCCCGGACTGTGAGCGTGCTCAACCAGGCCAAGGGTTTCCTAGATCATGGAATTTGCGTGACCACATGAGAAGAGTCCATAACTATGTCATTCCAGGGAACTCTCCATCTAATGACTATCCCTCTCCAGCAAGCTCGCCAGAAACCAACTTGCCCATCCGAAGGAAGAAGAGCCCGGAGGTCAGCGCCAGTGCTGGTGTGAAGAAATCCAAGACTGGAAACTCCGCCAAGCCCTCCAAAAAGGAATCCAATCACTCTCACCTGGAATCTAAACGGGATGAATATCTTTCCCTCAAGGCTTATATTGATCGGACTTATGCCAGTCTAGACCCAATGGATGCCGCGGCAACAGAACGCTATCATGGGGATCAGGTAAAGCTGATGGCAATTTCCAAGGAACTCCGGAAGAAGAATGCTTCTTAAGGACCTCCGATTCTCTACAAACATATGGGCTTACAGAACCATATTTTTGTGTCAGAAAGGACCACACAAGGTTCCACAGGCCTGCAACTGCGTGGCCATATTCTGAAAGTTTAGTGTGTGCATGTAATTCCGGATCCTATGGTCACTTCGCCACAGGACTTACTTTCGATCAACAGAAGACTCTTCCGCATGCTCTCATAGCAATGGCCTCGGACTTAAAAACATATCCATCCACGGAGGCCCTTGTAGCGATCCAGTCGCGCAGTATTGTTCCAGACGCTGGACACCCGCAAGGCCCTTTCAGGAGTCAGGAATTTTCTTTCGTTTGTGTTCGGTATGATGTTTTCGCTGTTTTTTAATGTATCGTTTACTGTGGAGAGTATGCGGCCGGGCAGGTTCCAACTCTGATTTAGACTTGATGAGCCTTCATTGGCACAAAATGTCTGATACTAACGGAGTAATTATTTGGGTTTGGAGGCTTGCTCGTCCTGGCACTTTTGGGGGGGAAAATATCTCTGGTGGTCTTTTCCTGTTGTTCGTTGGTTCCACGTAACTTTGCAATATATGTTATGACTGTATTTATGTTCTCCGAGCAAATCAAGTTTTCAGCTTTCTAAAGTTCAGATGGGCCTCGTACAGAAGTTCCCACCAGACTTCCGACCGAACGCAGGCAGCGGCACTCACAGCTTACAAACGATTCTTTCCCGTCAGTCTCACTGGTACAGCCTTCTTGCTTACGTCAATGGCTGCGTCGACGCATTCAGGTTACTGGCGCATAAAAGAAAGCCTTGAAACCATCGCAACTGAGACCTTTCATGTCAAGCGCAGCATTGGGTTACCACACATCGAGACATTCCCACGCTTTTTATAATTCCGATAAAATGCCCCTTCTGATCCTGCATGCCATTCGCGCGTGGGGATTTGTCGCGGAAGCGATCGGGACGTCTAACACAAATCAACATGTTGTTGTCTGGATCTGGCCGCTTTGTGAAGCATGCAGGGCCGCAGTACCACTCAAGGGTAATACAAATACCGAGGGCGCCTTCCTTGCTCCTGCCTCCAAGCCAGTCTCTGCTGATTGATCATTTGATACCTCTCGCGAGAAAGTCCCGCTTGTATGATGCAGACTCAAGCGAACTTCCTCACTATCCTTTCGTGCATCACCAGCTTCTTATCTCTAAGTGCCGGCCTTGCTCTTCCAGATCTCACCTCTGCAGTCACTCAAGATGTTGCTGATAATACTACTTCCTTGGTCTTGCCCTTGAACATCACACTCCCGTCGTAAGAATCTTATTCTCTTTTCCTCATTCGCCCCGACTAATTCTGGCCCTTTACCAGCGTCAACATCGACCCAAGCCGTTATCCCGTCCCGGGCTCTGATGGCGTAGTCATCCGTGTCGAAAACCGGGGCAGACCAATTCCTGTCGAAGTGGCAAGTAACATCATGAATGCCGCCGCGGCCGAGCTAAATCAACGCGTGCCATTCAACCAGCCCCATCGGAAAATGAGCGAAGACCACGTCTTCAAGCTGGACCCCTGGCCCAAACCTATCCCTGCAGGTTCCCCGGAACTGCTCATTCAGACACCGTTCGCAATGAACACGGAGTGGCAATGGGTCCGGGATGCTGTGAGGGGCGCGTTGCAGGTGTTCTTGACGCCAGAGGCACGCGGGGGCACGGGAAATGTAGAGATTTCGTTCTGGTACAGTAGTGACGCGATGGGGATTTTAGGCCGGGGAGTTTTTGGGTATCGTCGTACTGGATTTGTGCTCGGAGAAGACAGTGGTGTGGCTGGGAGTAGTCTGACGCAGTGAGCGTAGAGCTGGAGCCAAGGGTGTAAACCGTCCATACGTGGACAGGGTAGACTTCTTATAGCTCTGCTTTACGTGACCATACACAATAGAATCAACACCCTACAGTCTGCAGCCCTATCCCCATAGACCCATATCTACACATGAATTGACAGCTCCATCGCGTCGATAGCCGCAACACCCAGCCAGCGATCTGACCGCGGAAAGTGGAGTCTTCTCCCCACCGTCCCACGTTTTCCATCTCCACTTCCCAGTCTCCAGCTCCAGGGTCAACCTACGCATGGTCCCCTCCCGCCGATCCATCCCGCGGGCTCCTTGACTACATGTCCAAAGCCTCAACACCCCCTCCATATACCCACTACATATCCCAAGCCCACCACAATGGCTCCCTCATCCGCAACCCCAATCTCAATCCCAACCTTCGCGCGCACCCAGCTCGAGTTACTCGCCGCCGAACAAGCAGCCGAGACCGCACAGACCGCTACACTCCTCTCGTCCTCCTCGCCAGCTACTCTTGCGTCTGCGGGTCTCGCGCTCACGAATCTGGTGCTTAGCGCTCAGCGGACGGGGCTGGGTGGGAAGACGGTGGTTGAGCTGGAGGTTGATAGTGCTGTTGTGGGGAAAGACTCTAGCGGTGGTGGGGTTGAGCATGGCATTCGCGTTGGGGATATCGTGAGGGTGGGGGTACAGCCTAAGGGGGCGGAGAGGAAGAGGGAGAAAGCTGAGCTTGATGGTAAGGGGGTAGAGGGTGTTGTTGTGAGGAGTAGGAGGAATGGTATTGAGGTTGCTGTAGACGAGGGGGCAGGGGGGAAGGGAGAGGAGGGTTTGGATGGGCTACTGGGGGGGAGGCTGTGGGTGTGAGTAGTATGTGTTATTTCTGTGTTCTTATGGAATGGGAGCTAGAAAAGGCAGAGGCTGATAAGTGGGCGATGGTAGGGTGAAGCTGGCTAATGATGTTACGTACAAGAGGTGAGATGCTTGTGGTCCCAATTAAGCACGAGAGATGCTAATATGTGACTGGGTAGAATGAACCAGGTGATGGGCAGGCTAGAAAAGCTGGAGGATAGGGAGCAGACGATCCTGATGAGGATACTGTTCGGACTCGATTCACCTACGCCCCTGCCGAAAGACCTAGAAGATGTGAGCTTTCTCGATACAACGCTCAACGATTCGCAAAAAGATGCCGTGCGCTTCGCTTTGTCTTCGAGAGAAGTAGCTTTGATTCATGGTCCACCAGGGGTACACCAGCAATGTACTCTCAATGAAGGCCAAAGCTAACAATCATCAGACCGGTAAAACCTACACCCTCATCGAGCTCCTCCTCCAACTCCTCCACCGCAAGAAGCGAGTCCTAGTATGTGGTCCCTCTAACATCAGTGTGGACAATATCGTCGAGCGCCTCGCCCCTCACAAAATCCCCATTGTCCGTCTTGGCCACCCCGCTCGCCTCCTGCCCTCCGTCCTCAACCACTCTCTAGACGTCCTCACTCAAACCTCAGAAGCCGGATCCATTGTGAAAGACGTCCGCAAAGAGATGGATACAAAGCAAGCCAGTATCAAGAAGACCCGCAACGGACGCGAACGCCGCGCTATCTACAGCGACATCAAAGATTTACGGAAAGAGTACCGAGAGCGAGAACGCCAATGTGTGAGCGCGCTTGTCAAACAGAGTCAGATCGTCCTCGCGACCCTCCATGGCGCTGGTGGGTATCAGCTCCGGAATGACAACTTCGATGTCGTTATCATCGACGAGGCTTCTCAAGCGTTGGAGGCACAATGCTGGATTCCGCTCCTCACAGCCAAAAAGGTCGTGCTGGCAGGCGATCACCTGCAACTTCCACCTACTGTGAAATCCGCCACGCCTCCTCCCAACGCCTCCACCAACAAACCCGAGAAGGCTACTAAAGCAGGAAATTTGGAGACTACCCTCTTCACCCGCCTCCTCTCACTCCATGGCGAAGGTGTTAAACGTATGCTCACGACTCAATACCGTATGCACCGCACCATCTGCGCGTTCCCCTCCGACGAGCTCTACGGCAAGAAGCTTGTTGCTGCCCCTTCGGTTGCAGATCGCCTGTTGACAACCCTGCCTTATCCCGTGGAAGACACGGATGATACGCGAGAGCCGTTAATCTTCTATGATACCCAAGGTAGCGCTTTTCCCGAAGCTTTGCCCGCAGTAGACGATAGCGGTGGCAGTGAGGGTGGGAAGGGAAAGAAGAGCGCAATACTGCTGGCGGACTCGAAATCGAATCCTTCGGAAGCGGCGCTGGCGGCAAGACATGTGAGGTCGTTGATTACGGCGGGAGTGAAGGAGGAGGATGTCGCTCTCATCACGCCGTATAATGCGCAGGTGTCCCTGCTGTCATCAATGCTGAAGAATGAGTTCCCGGGCATTGAGTTGGGCAGTGTGGATGGGTTTCAAGGGCGGGAAAAGGAGGCCGTGGTGCTGAGTTTGGTGAGGAGCAATGTTGATGAGGGGGGTGGTGGCGACGGCAAGAAAGACGGCAAAGGTGGAGAAGTTGGTTTCTTGGCTGAGAAACGGAGACTGAATGTAGCGATGACGAGGCCGAAGAGGCAGCTCTGTGTCGTCGGCGATAGTGAGACAGTAGGAAGGGGTAGTGCATTCTTGAAACGGTGGATGCAGTTTCTAGATGCGGAGGCCGATTTGAGATATCCGGATGTCGCGGAGTTGAATATTGTGGGTTGATAAATTAGCATTCTTTGAAAGAAGCGAGAGAGTATTCGAGTCTTGAGCATAGAGTCAGCAGCGAGGACTGGGGTTATCGCTGTCAGGAGGTCCTCATCAATTCCTAAGCAGTGACAATCGGTGATTTATCCATCCCAAAAACCATAAATTGGAAGCCAGATCATGTGCTGAGCCAGATGTTAGCCAGAAAGCAACAACGGAGGCCAAAGCAATCAGTCGTCTTCAATTTCGTCGATCCACTGTCTACCTCCGTTAGGATCCTCAAAACCGAGCCCCCTAACTTCATCTCTCAGTATCTCCTCTTGTGCCTTAAGCCTGGCTGAACGTATCGATCTGGGAAGGGAGGCACCGATAATTGTCGGTTCTGATAGATCCTGAGAAGTCCCTTGGTACCGGTCAGGCTTCTTGAAAAGGAGAGGTTGCCGCAATGAAGCTGATGAACGAGGAGGATAGACCGGTGGTGGGATCTGCGCAGCACTTATGAGGGAGGGTGTTGGGATGGGGCTGGTGAATGTTGATGACGGCTGAGGTTCAATCGAGGAAGGAGAAGCTACTCGCGGACTCGGCAGGCGGTTGCCATGGTTGGCTGAGGAAGGAGTAGGCGGCTCCTGTAAAGCTGCGTCTGATGAGAATTGGATCTGTAGGTCATCCCATTCGCTTTTTGCCTCTTCCTGTGAGATGTCTCCATCGTCTGCTTGTGCTTGCATTGATGCGGTGTCCATGCCTGTTAGTGCTTTGCTTGAGTCATCATCTACTGGTGTCTCCTCTAGAAGATGAGGGTTTTGCTTTACCGGGCTCGTGCCTTGTTCTGCCATGATGGACGGCTGGGTCTCATTTGGCCTCGATGAAGACGTGGGCTCTTCGAGGTCCCCTTCATCATTGGAGCACTCGTTGCCGAAGACGAAAGATCGCCAAAGGGTCTCATCGTCTTGAGCAGGCATTGGCTCCTTTTCTTGACAATACAAAGTAGCCTCTGTGGCAATCTGAGGGTCTTTATTATGTCTATGGCTCGCTTCAAGTGTATCGTGCCTTGGAATGGGTGTAATAGGCTTATTGGTAGTAAGATCATATGGTTGTGCCCTTGGCTGGCTGGCCATCGAACCATGGTCGCCGTCGAAGTTGACATATTCCTTCCAGATTTTCTCTTCATCTTCTTCGTGTGGGTGTTCAATTGATTCATCCTGCGCTTCGGCATAAAACTCACTGCTCGAAGCAACTGCCTCATTCTTGCTCACAACTTCATCAGATCCTACATTAGACAGACGAGGCATCATATGAATTCCTGGCACCACAGCATCATTGATACCGCTCCAAGTGTGGAATGTAGGGGTACTACTGTGATACGCATTTGGGTGATCGAGGCTGAGGAAATAATCAGAAACTTCTGCTGAGCCGGCATTTTCAAGGTCATCCCGAGATAACCTCGCCTTGCGCTTCCGAGATTTGGATTCTTCGATAGTCTTCCCCATTTCAACGTCTCCTCGGTGAGCAGATCCTCGTTTCTGCGCTTGGGTAGGTGAAGCTGGAGAGCTGGAACGCCTATATTGAGACAGCTGCCCATCTCGCTGATCAGAGATCCAATTTTCAGAGTCCAGATACCCATTACGGAAGGGGTTTGGGAAGCGGTCTTCGGACTCAGCGACTTCATCATCTAACAACATCTCATCGGCATTCAGCTCTGCAAGCTTAGGAGAATTTCCCCTGCATGACCCACCCTGCCTCAAGCTTTTTTCAACAGTACTCCCAATTCTGACACTGACATCTGCTAGGCTCACATAGTCCTGTGACAACCTAGGAGCACCGCCTTGACCATCGAAATACGAAGTACGTTTCGGCCGCTGTTTCGTGCGGCGAGTCGGATCATAGTCTGGAATTTGGCTGAGTCGTCTCCGCTTCCCGATTTGTTCTCTATCTTCCATAGCGATGAAGTTGACTCTAGCTGGTTTGGTACAGTTGATACCAATCCAGTCGCTTGTGGCAAGGAGGCGGCGGCGGTAGGCTTCGAGTGAATGAGTGCTTTCGTCGTCGTTGTCATCTTGTGACGGCTGCGGTGGCGGTGAAGCATCGTTAGATGATGAAGAGTCTGATGAGCGAGAACTGATGCTTATTGGCCGAGAATGCTGTGAAGTGGGCTTCACTTGAGACTGAGCATAGGCTGGCGTGGCTGATCTCTCACGTTTGATATCATTGCGCCGAGGTTTGATGCCTTCGAGCCTACTGGCTATAGGTTGCGTTTCAGCAAACTCATGCAATGTCCTTTGGCCCCCAGGCTGTGGATTCAAGAAGGCGAAAGGGTCTGCTGGATGAGGCGATGGCTGGGGAGCATTTCGCTTTGCTCGGATTTTGGCGAAGTGCTTCTTTTGGATGGCAGTGAGGGAGGCATTTGCGTTTCGAGATCTGTAAAGAGATCCACCTGTCCAATTCATTACTGGCTATCAAGTGTTGGAGGTCTGAAGGTGTAAGCAGTAAGGGCGAAAGGAGAACTGAAGTTCGAATTTGAAGTCGTGGTTTAAAGCTGCAAGTATCATGGTCGTAAAATGAGCGAGTATCTGTTCAATGAACTGTGTTAGAGGCGGCTGGCTGCAGGTCAAATTTGCTCGAAATAAGGATACTTTGCAATGGCAACAGCGATACGAGCTTGTTAAAACATACTACATTGCACATGATCACGTAAAAACGAGCATGGCCCTTCATGTTTCCTGATTCTGTCGAACGTGAGCTCTATTCCCTATCTACCGGACCGTTACGCCAAACAATTTGCTAGCTAAAATGCTGCATTGAGAAAATTTGGCCGCCCATCATTCTGTCCGCTAATCGCTAAAAACAATTGTGCAGGTACCTCTTAGGTTTGGTTCTCATGCTACTGATGAATGTGATCGTGGGTTTCTGCATCCGAGTCATTGGCATTTTCATGATTATATGGTCGGGCTGAGAAGCTACTTAGATTTCCTGTAAAACCTTGAATCGAAGTATCGTATTGAAAGAAGTCGTAATTTGAGCTATCCGGCATCCCAACAAAGCCTCCTGGGGGGATAGAGATGAGGGTAGGATCAAGATCACCAAAAGCAGAACTTGTAGGGTCGAAAGGTTGACTGGGGTTGAATTGGTTGTCGCCGTAAGAGGGTGGTAACTGGCCCGGTGAGGAGAGCATCCATGCTCCAGACGTGCCCATATTAGCAGAGGGGTTGGATTCAAGGTTCCCTGTAGAATGAATCGAAGCACCAAAAGGGAATTCCGCCATGCGGCTGGATCGCTGGCGTTGAAGACGGAAGGTTGAGGAGGCTGAGTTATGACATCGGTGGCAGATTGGACTGTCTGTCGCATTACTGGATTGTACGGATGCACTGGGCAGGCCACACATTCGCAATCTTGACCGCAAGTACAGACATGGTCTACCGAAACGGGTCCAGTAGAATTGAGATTATCTCCTCGATGAGCTGGGTATCTTGCCAGATTATTGGAGACGATAGGTGCCGGCGGCTGACCACCCGGATTTCGATAAGAGCTTTGAGGTGAATGGAAAGTAAAAGGATCGACCGCTGCCGGTGACGGGAAGCCGCCAGGCGAAACTGACTGATATCCTGGCGTATCAGGGTACGGATTCGTTGGCTCATTGAGGACCATTCTCGGCGAGAAATGGGTTTCGGGCGATTGACTTGAATAGGCTAGGGGAGGAATCGAGCTTGGAGGTGTCGACTGCTGAGGAATGGCTGACCCAGATACTAGCCCAAGAATAGCGGGAGGGCTACAAGATGAATACTTTACATCCTCGCTGACAAGATGATGTTGTAATTTGAGCTCCTCGGAAACCTGAGGTTGGACCTTGGCTGGATATTCGCCATCCACTTTAGTCATATAAAATTGCCGTCCTTGTCGACAGGAGTGTATGCCTTTGGCGGCTTTCTCCCGGTCACAGGGGCACGTATGATCTAGATCCATATCAACTCTCATACAAGCGGAGTGAGAAAATGTGGGACATACTGAGTGGAATGGCTACCAAGAGGGACATTCGTTGTCCGGCACAATCGCACAAATCAGGGTTTGGGTGCGGACACGTGTTGGGGGGCCTGCCGGGCCCTTTCACTGCGATCATCCATCTATCGAAGTGTGCACACGTCTGTGCCCTATGGCCAGTGATGCAGCTGTAGCTATGAGAATGTTAAGTCATTGTTGAGAACTTTCACCGGGGGTTACCTACCAGGCCCAACGCTGCTGGAACTCATCGATCGGCATGATGACACAATGTAACGAGGATGTTAAGCTATCGAGCTGCGTGAAAGAGGAGCCTCAATCCCTCGACGAAGGATATCGATATTGAAAAGAGTACAAAGGCATCAAATACTCGATGGCAGCAATCTCTATGTAGGATTGGTGGTGTAGATAGTGGGGGCAACAATTAAAGATCACAGACCCTGAAGAATGGGGTACGTACATATTGTTAAGGCGTGAGGCTTTGGAGAAATCGAAAGCAACCATCGAAAGATGTTGTTTGATCCTCCGAGGTTAGGTTTCGGTGGAACCGCCACCCGCGCTCGCGGTTGGAAAAACTCCTCGGACGCCACCAAAACCAAGAGCATGAATATATATCTAGAACAAGCCGTCGCATCAACAAATTTCTGCCTAAGAACTACTTTATATTTATAATACCTATAACTTTGCTACTGAAAGCTTTGGCTTGAAGCTTCATCTTAGGAAGTTATCTTGCAGCAACTTTTGAAGGTGTCCGAGGAGTTTTTCGCACCGCGAGCCGGGTACGCCACACCACACAGCGGGACTGCCCGAACTTTAAGTCGGTTTCGGGTTTCTTGGGCTCCTGCCTTTCTTTGGATTCATATTGGGCGACTCTTGCTACGCCTGGACTCGAAAACGGGGCGCATTCATGATCTGATATGCCCTCATTACAAACAATGCCGAACACCTTGCATTGAGCGAGGCGATGACTAGTGAATTGAAACTCCTGCTTACGAGTCACTGTTCGTATCATGTAGAGCAACGATTTTTTGGATAACACTGAAAGTATGATCGCCAATAGAACTGCCATTATATGTACTCTACTATATGATCTTTAGATGGAAGTATGTAGGTCTCTTCACATCGTTGACTGGCATATCTGAAAGCGAGGCTGATAGCACAGCCACCCAAATAGCCTTGCCAATGCCAAGAGTGGTTCTGCCCGCCCCATCAAAATTCTTGCTCAAAATGGGGTTCTAGCCATCGCTCACCAGACAATGAGCGGAGTCGATCAGTCCTCTCGAGACAAGGATCAGGAGCCAGCGAAAGCATCTGCTAGCCCTCAAAGTGCACGACAAGGGTACGGAGCACAGTTCTTGGGGATCCCCCAACCCATAAAACGCGTGTTCGACAGATTCCCGCTTGTTGAGTACGAATCAAATCCTTTACCTGGTAGCTACACAGCTTCTAGAGAGAAGAATGTACTCTACATTTTCATTTCAAAGCTTGACGCGGGAAAGGGTCGGCCATCATATAACCCAGGTTGCTTGAAATGGCAGGTAAGGCATCGCTTTTCGCCGGCTTGGGAAATTTTTGACAACCTCTGGGCAGGCATACCTCCGTTTTCGAGGTGTGGACTTCGTCACTGAGCCTTCAAATAATCATGCCTCTCCAAGCGGGGCGCTTCCATTCCTGCTGCCCTCACGCTCAATATCCGGCACTCCCATACCTTCGAACCGACTTCAGAGATGGTGCAATGAGAATGCGCCTACAAACGATGGGCATGGCAATGCAGACCATATGAGTCTTCGTTATGAAGCGTATATGTCTCTTCTCGACTATCGGATACGCAATGCATACGTGAGTCTTCGAGCTAAAGAGTAAGGATGTCTTCTCATATCTCTGCAGCTACACAGCCTCTACCTATGCCCTGAAAATTTCGCCTCCATCGCGCAGCCGCTCTATGTCGATGGTTCAACATCCAATATGCTGCTCAGACTTGGCCTATCCCAACGACTTCGTCAGACTGCTCGTTCCGAACTGCTGAAACAGTCATCCGTGATTGACGTTGAGGCTTTGTATAGAGAAGCACAGTCGGCTTTCAGCGCTATATCTGAGCTCCTAGGGAACGATCAATACTTCTTCAATGAGGAAAGAGCTGGCTTATTTGATGCCGCTGTCTTCGCATACTCAAATATACTGCTGGATGAAAAGATGCAATGGGCAGAAAGACGGCTTGTTGAGGCTCTTGCAAAATGGCCGAATCTCGTGAGGCATCGCGACAGAATATTGAGGACCTATTTTATCGCCGAGAAATAATCTCTCCCATATCTCATCTATTTAAAGTGCTGTCTTCGAGAGCGCCTCCGCCATGCTACGCTTGAAACAACGCTATGCCATCCATCCATCATGCGCTCCTCTCCACGGATATGTATGAGTAAGATCCCCTTATAAGTACTAGACTTGCTAATTGAGCACAGTACCCCATGCGCTTTCTCGCAAATCCTCAACCAAATCCTCGACATTGTTGAGATACTTTCCAAGAAATGCTTGTTTCTCCTCCATCGTCTTCGTATCACCTTCTCGTACTCCAACGCTGCTCCCAAGCCGCTTGCTTGGTGTCCTCTGCAAGCCATTCCCGGCACCTGCATTTCCGACTGGCGTCTCAGGCATCAAATAAAAATAAAAGAACTCGACAATCCGCATTTTCACTTCTCGCCCTGTACTACCATTCTTGAACAGGCTTGTGATAGCCAGCAAGCCATCGACTCGTTCAAAGCAGCGTACATTCTTCGGAACTTCCAACAGCGCGGTGACTAGGACAAGCACGGTCGATGACTGAATCGCAGGACAAGATGATGGGTCGAGAAGGTCAAGGAGAAGGTTCATGTAGATCTCACGGGCGAAGAGAGCGCGAGACGGAGGATGCATAAGTAGGATACCTTGTAGGAGGTCGAGAGTTGAGACTAGGAGGAGGTCGTTCGCGCCAGTTGATGATCGCGAAAGTAAGCCTTCGAGAGTCATTGTAAGACGCATGGCAACTGCTTCAAGTGTAAGCATTGCTATCACTGGCCGGGGCAAAAGACAAACCGTTCCACTGAAATCCTTCCTGTAATTTGAAAAATTCACGAAAAGCTGGATCATCCTTCAGTTGGCCCAACTCTTTCCGCTCCTGCTGTGTCGCATCACTAGTGACTGCTATCGAATGCCGCCTGTCTGGACCACTGCTTGATCTGGAAAGGCATATTTGGGCGAGTAAACCTTCCAGTTGGCGGAGGCCTTTGCGGACTTTGATGCCATCGTGGGAAGACAGGTAGTCAAACGACAAAGACAGCAGAGACTCCATTTATGCTAGTAAAGATGCTTGTCTCTAATGATGCTGGCCAGAGTAATGCGCAAGACGGTAATGTTGAAAAGTCCCGAAATGGAAAAATGTAAACAGAGGGATTGCCGAGGCTTCAGCCACAGTTCGTCCGCCCCACTGACGTCGTCCCTTGATAGCCGCGCAGCCCACTTCATGTCGCGTAGAAGATGAACAGGCTGCAGCATGTGAACGACCAGACCTCCGCATCCAGACCTTCCTCAGATTACTGAAGATGTATAGGGCGCGTTTGGGGAATGAGCGTTGGAGAAGGTGCGCCACTTTTTGGGCATGTGAATAGGTCACCATACGGAAAACCGTCGCACCAACCCAAATTGGCAAATGCTTGCCTAATTCACTGAGCTCTGTGAAGAAACGCCATGTCTCCGGCTTCACACCAATCTCCAAACGCTATACCTCCCCGCCGCAGCTCCTCCGGCTGGCACTCCCATACCTCAAGTACCGAGAATCCTACAAGACCAGCACTCAAGCCTGTTCCTGAAGCATCTTGGATGGCTTCAAGCAGTCACAGTAGCCTCAATGGTGTAGAAACCAATCATTTGGATCCAGCTGTCATATCCACGAATCCGCAACAAAACTCGAAGTACCCAACGACATTGACACCGTCCTCCGCTCAACAACTTAGCTTCGACGCTGCTGCCTCCACAGTAATACACAAGCACGGCACTACCTGGTCACTCCAGAAAGAAAAGATTCTCATGGGACCCTACGACTATATGGTCGACCACCCGGGCAAAGACATCCGCAAACAATTGATCGGCGCCTTCAACGCCTGGCTGAAAGTTCCTGCTGCCTCCTTGGGGATCATCACCAAGGTTGTTGGAATGCTCCACACCGCCTCATTACTTGTCGATGACGTCGAGGACTTCTCGTTGCTTCGCCGAGGTGTGCCCGTTGCGCACTCGATCTTTGGGACCGCGCAAACCATCAATTCGGCGAATTATGTCTACTTCGCTGCCCTACAAGAACTTGTCAAGCTAGGAAACCCAAAAGTCATTAAGATATATACAGACGAGCTTTGTAATCTACACCGAGGTCAAGGCATGGATTTGTTCTGGCGAGATACCCTGACGTGTCCGACCGAGCAAGACTATCTGGAGATGGTGGGCAACAAGACCGGCGGGCTGTTCAGATTAGCTGTACTTCTCATGCAGGCGGAGAGTCAAAGTGAGAAGTAAGCACTCCCCTGACAATCTACTCTCAACCTCCTAGCTTCAATGGCCTTTTGAGGCTGACCCATTTCTACAGAGACTACATCCCCCTCGTCAACACCATAGGCCTCCTGTTCCAAATCCGCGACGACTACATGAACCTCGCCTCGACCACCTACGCCGACATGAAAGGCCTCTGCGAAGACCTCACAGAAGGGAAATTCTCATTCCCTATCATCCACAGCATTCGCTCCAACCCAAACAACCTCCAACTCATCAATATCCTGAAGCAGAAGACGACGGATAATGAGGTCAAACGCTATGCGGTCAAGTATATGGAGAAGACTGGCAGTTTCGAGTATTGTAGGACTGTATTGAGGGAGTTGGAGGGGAAGGCTTTGGGGATGGTTGAGGAGATTGATGGTGGGTCGGGGTCGGAAGGGGGGGGAGGTATGTTAAGGCGTTCTTGGAGAAGATGAGCGTGAAGTGAGGGGGATTTATTGGGAGGCTCTATTTCATGGATGGATCGAATGGATACTCGGATTTAGCAGGCGAGGCGTATGGCGAAAGTATGGACTGAGGATTTTTGCCAGCTTGGGTCTTACGATGTGGCATCCATGGATAGTCGCTGAATGCTTGGATCATTATTTGAGATGGTATTTTGTCTGCCATATTTGCATCAGCTGTACAGAGGAGAGATTTGGCAAATCAAATTAGTATTAATCTATGTTCCACCTATCGACTCGTTGGCACGCATATGGCATGGGTTTAGTGCAAGCACAGGCAAAGCTCCTTCAACCTCCTTTGGGCTAGCGTCTTCCCTTCTTGTTCGTTTCCTGCTTCGTTCCCTTTTCCTTCTCCCTCTTCTCATCTTGCTCCTTCTTCTTGTTCTTTTTCTGCTTCGTTTCCTTTTCCTTTTCCTTTTCCTTTTCCTTTTCCTTTTCCTTTTCCTTTTCCTTTTCCTTTTCCTTTTCCTTTTCCTTTTCCTTCTCCCTCTCCTCCTTCTTCTCTTTCCTCATTCTCTTTTCATTCAATCGGCGTTTCTCCCGCCTGCGTTCCGCTTCTCCTTCCGATTCATTCTGGCGTTTCGCTCTATCATCCCTATTGCGTTGGTCCAATCGAGCTCTCTTCTCGTCTGGCGTTAGGTTGGCACGATAGGTCTTGTCGTAGTCACTTTGCTCTTTATTCCTCAATTTGCGCTTCTTTTCATCCTTGGGCGTTGGAGGGGGCTTCGATCCTCCTGCTGCTTTGCGCTTCTTAGGATTACTTTCACCTTTTAGTTCCTTTTGCGCTTGCGACACTTTATCCGGCTTTTTGGGCTGCATCTCCTCCTCTGTGGCGCCCCTCTCACCCTTGAATGTTGCTACATCCTCAAGTGTGCCTAGATCCTCATCTGCTGATTGGTCATCATCTGTTATTTCGAGCGAAAGATCGTCATCTTCATCTGATTCTAGCACTAGTCCAGTAGGCCTTCGACTGGGTTTATCAGATGTTCTTCTATCTTCATCTGTCGATCCAAATTGGTCAATATCTTCATCCGGTTCTAGCAGTGGTCCAGGCCCTCTTCGACCAAGTGCTCTAGGTGGTGTAAACCCTTTGTCTACATTAGCATTAATCATGAACGTAATGAAATTGGTGTAGAATACCTTGTTGGCGATCGAGAAATCCTGTATGTGTTTCACTGTACATCATAGGCAAGGTCTCTGTCTCTTGAGTGAGTTGAAAATGGCTACAAGGAGCGTCGTAAGTAAAAGAGACTCACGGGATTCGAGCTGTGGATTGTCAGGAGCTGTTAAAGCATTGGAAGGTCCGATTGTGGATGTAGCAAGCCTCGTATTCAAGTCCTCGAGCCTTAGATCTTGTTCACAAGCTTTGCAATATAGAGGATGACCTTCGTCGAAGTCTGGCTCTTCGATTTCCACCGTCTCCCAGCCCTCACAATGCCCTTTTAAGCGGCTACTTTTCCTTGCGTCACATAGGTGCGGCACGCGATTATCGCAGCCCCTACGTCTGCATGTAGAGTAACGGCACATGAGAGGCTTCCCCTTTTCCTGAATAGATTTGAAGTCGTAAAGTCTCGAGCCAGCAAAGATTGCGAAGTCAAAGTCCAATCTTCAAGAGTAGAAAGCAGTGAGGGATGAGAAGAAATCAGAGGAATAACCCCCTATATATAATTGGTCAAGGTGACAAGAGCGTTTGGCCATTCAAGATAGAAATGCGTTGGTAGGCCTGAGGCTGTTTCATAGTTTCTCTACGCCAGCTGCTTTCTTCCAAGTATTGATTGGCCTTGAAGGGCCACGTGAACCTTCATGTCGTTGCTGGGGCCTCTCAATGCGGGGCGATGCCTATCTGGTAGCCAAAGAAGATAGAAATTGACAAACTCCATCAGGATTGTGAAGAGTGGGGTACGTAGATTCGTGTTGAGGAAGGCTTTGCCATTTGACCAGGGTCCAATGGTTGTAGTCAGATACGTTTGCCATTCAATACTCCTGACATTCGTCGGAAACAATGAGGATCGACGAGTTTAGAGAACTCCAGAGTTCGCAATGTCGCACAAGATGATGCATTAGTGGTCACAACACAGTGGGGCATTATGTAGGTCATGTTTTAGAAATAGCGCATTCAATGAAACGATAAGTCTTGATTTATTGAGTCTCAACAACGAATATGGCCAAAACAGGCACGAATGAGGTCTTGAGAAGAGCGCAATACCTGAACAAACACAATCATGTCACATGTTTCAAGGAGTAAGGGTGGATGAAACTGATTTCAGCAAAGGAAAAGAAATTGATCCTCAAGGTCATGGAGATCCGACGCTAAAGTATCCTTTGCACAAGCCCAACATACATGATCGGAGAAGACCATCAGATGCAGCTGCTTCTGAACGCAGAAAGCGGCAAGAGCTAATCTGGCTAGCCAGTTGCCTTTTGCTCGGATGATTGCAGAATTTGGGGGCAGGTCTAGGACCTCGAACCAGTTGTCGAGCGATATTAGCTCTCCAAATATTGAAGAGTCTAGTCTTTGCTCATCGTCGTGTGTGCACTTGCTGGGGAGAAAGTGCAATTCGGGGTGGCGCAGGATTACATTATCGGGATAAACGGGAAGTTGAATATCTTGAATGACCTTCAGCAGATCAATGTCGGCGACCTTCTTGCCTCCTTCACAAGCCGATATTACTGCCTCCAGAAAGAAAAATTCTTTATCCCGAGCTCCGGAAATCTGCGTGTCCAGAGGTCGCTCGTAGCCAGTCAGCCAGAGATGGAGCGAGGTGGCTGTGAACTTGTTTTCGTATTTGCCGTCGAAAACATTGGTGTTTACAAATTTCAGGTCTTCAGGGTCAAGTTCTGGGCTGTCTAAATGTTGGCTTGACGTGAGAAATCCTAGACCAGGTTTGCCCACATTCCCAATAACGTGGCGAAGGCGGTGAAGGGGATAATGGTGACATGGATCTTGGAATATTCCCTCAATTGCATATATCGAGTTCCCTGAAGAGATGGCGAATACGGAACGAAGCTTATCCGGCTCAAGATCTAGGTGGCCTGTCTCAAACGAGCTGACACACGCAATCGCAATTTCTCTCTGGAGCGGTCGTTAGCGTACGGTGAGACTCCATTGTGTTCAAACCGCATTCTCGGCGTGCTGAGATGCGTGTGCCCAGAGAAAGGGCTTGGGATAGGGCGATAACATAAGAATTGGCTACTGACTTTCATTTTGAACTGGTTGCTGCAAAGGGCTCTTGACCAGAAGAACGAATGCAAGCCTTTCCAAGACTTAATTTCAAGTTCAGCGTTAGGCATGACCTCATAGATTTCAGCTGCCCCAGCGAGTGCTTCAAGGGAGTTGAAATAGTCGTTATAGCGCTTATCGTTACACGTGCGCAGGTTCCGTAGGTACGTGTGTAGCCATTTCGAGTCGAAGCAGCCAACTTGTAATTGTTCAACGACCTTTTCGGTTGGGAATGAAAGATCATATTTGACAGGCAGCTGATCCTGATAGTTGTTTGACATAGGTATAAAGACAGCCGACGTGGCAGGATCGCCAAACATGCAGACATAGTTTTGATTGTCAAAGACGTGGGCGAGCTGACCAAGTCGCCAGCCTTTGAGCATCTTGGCCTCGTCCCGCTCGTTGATACTTTGGCGGGCAAAAGGATGCAAATCATCCAGAGCTAGTGGTGGAAGTGGGGATTTTGGAGATTCCCACCGGAAGATTGGGGCCGGCGAGTCAGCATCGTCAACCGAAGAATTGTAAAGAAAACCGCACAGCTCGCCAGCTCCGACAATGATTTCTATCGAGCGCCTTATCGACGAGTCTGTTGTATTCGACGATCGATTACCAAATAGCTTATCTTCATACACGACATTTGCGGACGCGTCAGTGCCTAGAACATGGGTTGAAATGTGGTAATCGTATGGCATCTTCTCATGGCCTTCGAAAAAGTCACGTAGGAGTATCCAACGACGGTGGAAAGCTTTTGTTGAGTGTCTGAGATACTGAGGGGCAACGCTGGCGTACTCTGTTGTCTGAAGGTCTTGTCGGACTGTACGGATAATCGCAGACTCCATGTCATCTTGAGTCATCATGGTTGCTGAGATTTTCCTCAAGGCCCGAACCTGTTCCTCAGTGTTCATTTGTGGAAGATAAAAGGCTGGATCACTCAGACCAAAACATGGAAGAGGGTGCTTCCCTTTGTTTGCAACCCAGTGAGGACGTCGTCGGCCAAGATTAATGTAGTAATCGGTGGCTTTGCGGGCGCTTTCTGGCAATGAAAGATAATCCTGTGACTCTTCTGCGAAAAGGTGTAACCAATTAGTAGGCATGTCGTAACTTTTGGTGCATTCGTTGCGCAAAGCGACTATGCATTCGGCCAGATTGATTGCCTTTGAGCCTTTGAGGTGCCACTCACTGGCTAGACTTCCCATTGCAATCTGCAGAAGCTGGCGAAATGAGACACGAGAAGAACTTGAATGAAGCGTACGCTGACAGAGAAGAGGGTTCCCGTAATACCGGAGATGGGCTAAGGGCATTGACCAAGTAATCCCTGGTGGGCCACTGATAGATCCCTCATGTAATCCAACGGTAAGAAGGCCCCCTCGGGGAACAAGATAATCATTTTGGCGTATGTCGGATTGTGGGGCGCCGTCAGCCACGACATACATATCTGGATATAGATGCCTAGGTCCTAGTCAACATACTTCTTTTGGGAAGAGCTAACTTGTAAGGCCTAATCAGGCATAGTGAGTCGACCACACCCGAGTAAATGATCAGGTTTGTGCTTCTCACGCCCCGCCCACGTCTACAAGGCGAGGGAAACCACGGAATTGACAGCAAGTAGCTATAAAAGTGGGCTTACCATGCATTCAGCGCCATGAGCGCCTCGCCACTAGGATCGGTTTGCGCTACACCGGAGGCTAAATTCTCCATCATAATCAATGACTTGGTCCACACGTCCATGATGCTATCATAGAACGTAGGCTTCCCAGGGACACGAAAATCCAGATTGTCAATAATTAGCTGCAGTTGTTTCTGCTGAGCCTCTTTTGCTAGATCGGCGACTTGGCACCACTGATAGCGAATAACTTAGTACTGAGCCTCAGATTTGATTGCGGTAGCATACTAGGATTAGCATGATCTACTTACTGATCTTGCGCTAGCATCCCACTCAGCCAACTTCTCTCGTGGGATGTCAATCTTGGACGAAGTTAGGAGGTTGATATGAAATTGTTCCTGCTCGAGCCTTTGCCGCAGGATTGCTTGTCTAGCGGCAACAAGTTGACTCCAAATAGTGATAGCTTCTGGAGGGGACCATATTCTGGCAAGCAGACATGCAAGGAGATGAGCCTCAATAGCGCCTCTGCCAGATGTTGCTGCAGCCCAAATAGAAGTTCCGTCGGCGCCGACGTAGTCGGCTAAAGGTCCAGTAAGTTCTGTCCCAAGGGGCTGAAGCTTAGGACATCGGACAATGTCTGACGCCCTACGGCCATACGCTTCTTTCAGGTTAGGAATCCTTGGTAGGTCGTCTGCAAACAATGCTCCCAATTGACGAGCGGTAATATGAGCTTTGCCGTCCTCAGCATCGAGTTTACGCTTCCTAGAAAGATGCTGACCAAGGGCTTGGTATTCTGGTGGAGGATCCATCTTGATTATAGAGAAGTCGAAGCTCACGTTGGCAAGAGCCAGCGTTGTCTCCTGAGCTCCACTAAACAAAGCTGTCGTCAATCTACTGATTGAAGCCATTTTCGTTCAGACACTCGCGTGCAATATTCAATTTCACTCGATTGAACTTGAAGAGCTGAAAAACGAGATCGTCTTCTCCCCATAAAGAGTTCTTTGCGTCTTGACGCATTGACATCGGAAGATTTCTGTCTAAGGCTGAGACGTAGAGAGCCTCGTCCCTCCTGCATGAAAGTCGAATTGTGGGGACAGCTTATGGCGCATCCCACAATTTCAAGCGCGCCATCCGGCGAGGGTGGGGACGCATTGCCATCCTCTTGTAGCAAATCGGATTTGTAGAATATGGTGTAGCTTAATTGAGGTCAAGAAAGCAGCAAAGTCTGTCCATGGATACTTGTGTATGAAGTGCCCTCCATCCCCTTGCTTACGGTGTGGAGAACGAAGCACGACTGAACCAAAGGAATATTCTGGAGTTCGATAGGACTTTGGTGCTAGTACTGTAGTGACTGTGAGCCTTGATAGGTCCCCTGCATGGCGTTGGCTGCACCATCAAAGTTTGGAAATGTCAGGCCTCTGGCTTCCAATTTTCCCCTATTGCCGCTGCCGCCGGCTCGGAAGATCTTCCATGCCGGAATGACGTCACATGGCGATTGTTTGCGCTGCCTCGGCCTTTGGCAAAGGAGCTTACATATTATTCTCCAAACCCGTTTGATGTTGAGGTCCCACTTACTCATCGCATCAGCCGCAAAAAGTCTTGTTCGATCTCCAAGCATTTTCAGTTCCGCCTCATTCAGTCGAAATACAACCCAATCGAGTCTACGATATCAGCGTAGTATGGCATCAGCGACATCTTTCTACGATTTCAAACCCAAAGATAGTACGAAGTGCTAGAAGCTAGATCTTAGCTTCATACACTGACTATATCTCTAGAGAAGGGCACACCCTACGATCTCTCCACCCTCAACAACAAAGTCGTCCTTATAGTCAACACAGCCTCGAAATGTGGCTTCACGCCACAGTTTGAAGGCCTAGAGAAGCTCTACAAGAAGGTTGGCAAAGAGGGGGACTTCAAAGATCAATTCGTCATACTGGGATTTCCATGCAACCAGTTCATGAGCCAAGATCCAGTACGTCGTCCTCCAATGCTTCCCTCCAAGTCCTCTCTCGGTTGAACACCACACTAATACAACCTTTACAGGGCGATAACGACACCATTCAATCCTTCTGCCTGACCAACTACGGCGTGTCCTTCCCTGTCCTCGGAAAGACCGACGTGAACGGTGACAACGCTGAACCTCTATTCGAGTGGCTGAAGTCCGAAAAACCAGGCATAATGGGTTTGAAGAGGGTGAAGTGGAACTTTGAGAAATGGCTTGTTGGAAGAGACGGAAAGGTAAAGGGGCGATGGAGCAGTAGCACAAAGCCCGAGAGTCTCGAGGGCGATATCGTGAAGGCCTTGAAGGAAGGTGGGAAGAGCGAATTGTAGGATGTACATTGGTGGGCTTAAAACTGTAGGGCGTCGTGGCTAGGAGCTCTTTGTCAAGGTTGAGAGACGATTTTATGATGTCATTTGCATGAGACTGGGTTGCGCGGCGTTGCAAAGCTTATAGACACACTACCGGGCAAAGAGATGCCATCTTTGCTTATTTTCCTCCGTTCTTTTCTCTTACTGGAAGCACGACAGCTGAGTATCTGCACCTCAAAGAACATCTGATGATAGATTAGTTCCTCAAAAATGCCGAAAGCAATCATGAGCGAGCCATTGAATGTCTGACTGGTGACTTGCTGCAAGACAGTTGCACTTTCCATTCACAAGAGAAAAGCCTGTTGCAAAACCAAGCGTACTTTGTTCGGGCATCTTAATAAGCGGGCTAAAGGCCCAACTCGATCGCCTTTAGAAAGAGATTAGCCAGCTCGGCCACGGTTTAGTAGACTGGCTGTGGTTCAGGCAGAGCTCCCAGCTGAGCCAGGTAAGGCGTCCATTTCGAGCGGCAACAGGAATGCTGGCTGATCCGTCTAGATCTTAGATCAATCGATCCGCACTGAAGTCAATACCCTGAAAAGACGTGGCTCAGAACGACGAACATCTGAACTAGGTTGTCTGCACACCGACAGACTCTTTCTGGACCTGTCTGTTATCTTATGACGTTGGGAATCTTCGTAAGGATTATATTTTTTCCCCCTGCTTAAGGGTTTTCAATAATTCTAAACAAGTCTTAAGATCAGGAATTGAGACTCAACGCTGAAAGTGGTAGGGGTTACAGTACCAGCCGAAGCTGCGCCGTCGAATGTTTCAAAGCACCGGGTTGAGACCCGTTTTGTTTATTCTGTTCTGGACATAATTTGATTTTTGGTTTTCTTTTCTGTACATTATTTCTCCTTTTTGGTTTTATAGATAATTTGCCAAATCACCTAAATGGATGTCTAGGCAACACTTGCCTTTAATTCAAATCCTCCGCCTTTGGATTCTTTCTTTCTGCGATCATCCTCCATGGTCAAAAATACATCAAGTCACTCAATAAACGACTTGCGTTAGTCTCGTCTTCTGACGACGAACATGCGAGTCTCGAGGGTTCAAATATTGGTCCACTCTGTCGGTGGCCGACGTAATGTCTTTTAGTCTACGACAACACTTCTATGCGAAGTATAGTTGGTCTGTGCCGACGTCTCTGTAAGATCTGTCGTAAAATAATCGACGGCGAATCTTGTATAATCGGCAGCGTCTCCTCGTGAGGCGTTGATCGGAAAAGATGGCACAATCTAACACATGGTGTTATACCAACCAGAGAAAATATCTCGCCTGATATAGCAGTCTCTGATGGTTCATACTTCCTCATTGAATGCCAGGAGGAGGACAGAAGCTTACGAGGTTATTGATACCTCCGAAGATGAGGCTTTGGAGACAGACTTGTGTGACTGGTACCTATTGCAGTAAAAGAAATACTAGCCTACGCGATATGCAAACCCTATACATCATAACAGGGTTCAAGTGAAGGCCAGGACACCCAGCAGAGACTTCCCCATCGACCTTGAACAATGGGCCTAGCAAGATTGGGGATAGCCATCAAGCAGCAGGAGTCCAGCTTGATCTAGCGAGAAGCATATTCGAATTGACACTAGAAGCTTCGGCCTTGTGGGCAACAAGGTTGGAAAACAAGGTCAAGTAGCAAGTGCTCAGCTTGATCTAGCTGGGATTTAATCAACGTTCAACCTTAAGATTAGACAATAGAATCAACCTTGGAAGGGCAAAAGCAAATGCGTGCTGTGAATCATGTTGGCTAGCTTACACTGGCAGTTTGAGAAGGCAGATTCGACAGGACAGGAAGTTCTTGAGCTTTGAGTGATCTTTACAAATATATATATAACATTAAGAATATGTTAGTCATCAGAGACCTTGCTTCCAAAATCTTCGTCCCCACAGTCCTTTCGGTTCATTTTCTGCGTGGCCTTTGCTCCACCTTCGCCACCGGGGTGCCTAGGAGCCGCTTACAATTAGACAGGATTTATGGCCTTTGCGACGTAGACGTTTTGCCCATTGTGCCGCCGTCCTCTTCGGGGAGGATACTTCATATCGTTACTTCTTGGCTCTTGATGTCCTAGCCTTGTGCACGGAAGCCGTGACCTACCTGACCTGCACTTCGTGCCTCATGATGCGTGCTTCGTAACTCGTTGCCCTGACCGGACCCTGTTTGACCAGTCGCTCAGGGACGAAGACTCATTTGTCCACTTTCTCTCGTCCATCTCGTCGGTCTCATTTGGCCAGTGCCTCAAGGAAGGAATGGAAGACCAACATTTCATTCCATTGTGAGCGTTAAGGCAGCTCGTCTCTTCATAAGTCAGATTTTTGCCGCATCGCTCCAAATTGTTGCTGCCCGAGTGAACTCACATAATGCAACAAGTCTTCGAGTTTTGAGGCGGTAGTACTGATGAGATATAACTCTTTGAGGTATTCAGCTAGTGTAGATTATAGTCAATTTGGTTTTTTCAGCTGGACCTAAAGACAGGAAAGGTGCTAGCATTTGCCACCTACGCACATTGAAGGAAGAAAATGCGTTTCATACACTGGATTGCACCTCCAAAAGGTAGTTTCCTCTTCTAGACTCTGTAGAGACACAAAATGGTGGGGATACCTATCTCTTGGAGCTGCACAGTCAAAATGTGCCCATGGTGATTTCATAAGACGTATATTGCATACATCGCAGTAGTGGCAAGTGTTGTTCCATTAGTGCCAGGCAAATCTGCTTGACACTACATTTCCCACTCAATTTGATTTTTTCTCTTCATTTCAGGCTTCGATCTTTCAGATCATTTGTCGGAATTTAATCAGCTCTGAAATTTGTTGTGAGCTCAGGAGTTGTTTAACAACCCGGACACAGTCCATCCATAAGGACCGATAGTCACTGGGAGTACCCACGTGATTCTACAGACTCGTCATGATGTCAAAATCATGTCATAAATCTGACGTTCGGCTCAATGCTGCCGTCATTCAAACAAACTTCATATGTGCTAAAGCCTCTGTACGTGCTGGCAAGCTCGGGATTACTCCTGATCATAACCACAGCGGGGCTTCGCTCGCAGACCTTCCAGCAGAAATGCTGGAAGAAATTATGATGTACTTTGATCCTGATGATTTCTCTGATTGGGAGTGCCTTAGCAAGCTGCGTATGACTAATCATCAACTAGAGATGCGCACTCGGCCTCATGTTTTCAAGAGCATTCCATTGTGGTTGAGTTCGGAGAGCCTGCAAACCCTCGACAATATCTCCACGTCGGCGCACATCGCTCCGCACGTGCGTAAACTTTTGGTCGGGCCAACAGAGTTTCCTCGAGTACGTGAACAGAGGGAAAGTTATGACTGGGATCTACATTCTGTCATTCACACTCGGCATCCAGAATGGAAAAAGGATAAAGTAAATGAAGAGAAAGCACGCTATGACTCTGAGTGTCATAAATTGTACAGTGAGCAAACTCAATTAGCACAAGAGGGTTGTGAGGGAACACTCTTCTCTGCTTTGAAGCGACTACCTAACCTCGAGACGGTGGAGGTCAGGCTTGACAACGAATTCATCGGATCAAAAGAGATCTATCGCAAGTTGTTGAGCATCTACTCAAGCAGCTACCACAGGCCATACGAGCACAGCTGTGACTTGATCCTCCCTTCATTACTTCACAGCTTGACGCGAGCCTCTTCACAGCTGAGAGCATTGAAATTGACACGGCATAACAAAAGTCTTGCAGACGCTAAAGAGGGCAGCCGCACAACCGATGTACATCTGGATACGAGTCACTTCGATACTAAGCTCAGCGAAGATGCCATTTCCAACAGCTCCAGCCACAAGGACCATAGCGTCACGAAACTTTTGCAGAATTTGGAGGAATTTGAAATATTCCATTTCAGTGACTTTCTCCCGATAAGAGAATATACGACCTTCGATGCGCTGAGTGAAGCTCTCATGGATATGCCTTTACTAAGTAGGCTTACCCTGCGAGGGCTTGAATGGTGCAATCATCTGTTGTACGATGATGATCTTGAAGACACTTCATCACTGCTACGAGAGTGTCATTTCGCCCATTTAACACACTTCGAGATTGGTGAGGTATCTGACCGACACAAGTCATTGCAGATGTTCTTGATCAGCCACAACAGGACACTCACGGTTATCAGGCTAGTCAACACAAAGATATGGAAAGGAAACTTAGAAGAGCCGGTGGATATTAGGCATAAAGCCCTCCGCAGGGTCAGGGAATCTTCGACTTTCGATAATTTGAAGATCTTTGAGATAAGGGAAGAAAAGGATTATATGGAAGAGTCACCTCTCACGTTGGATGCCACAGAATACATGCGACGCAAGGAAGATCTCAGTCCGCTTGACGAGCCCTGGGGGCTGGAAGTACTGTCGAAGCAGAAAAAAGCGAAGGAGAGAGAGTTGCAAGCTGCACAAGAAGCAGCATTCTTATCTTCTGATGAAGATGGATGAATGAGTAGTGCGGATGAACACGAACGCCTTGACCATACGCAGCCGAGCAACATCTCTTCAGAAATAGTGATTCCTGGAACCTTACGCAAATTGAAACACTAGGTTGGGAACGCAGTCGTCTTTCTCCATAAATTATTACAGCTTCGTGAAATAGATCTGTATTTCAGCTACGATGCCCTGAAGCTTGAGTAGACATGACTGAGTTTGCATTGCTTGGCGGCGTACACAGCAATGAGAACGGATGTTCCTGCACAGCAGAATCCATGTCCAATATTCGTGGAGAAAGGCTGTCCTTTAAGGACATGTTCGCGGGTCAAGATTATGGTAACAGCAACGGATATATTGGTGACTAGCGACTTGGAGTTATCATTGCAAATGGTGATTCAGGTTTATGACAACGACACGGCGTGATTCCCAGTAGCTCATGGTCCAGAATTATGATAGCAGTAAGACGCATCGTAGTGACTAGCGAACCGACTTTATCATAGTAGCAAGATATCTATCCATGACTGACATTTCACGTTTACGATGGCAGCGAAGGTGCATCAATGACTATATTTTACTTTGTCTACAGCATCAGAGCTTCTGTAAAGTCTTCAGAAAGTCTATAGATAGCACTTTGACAAGGAAGTGAAACGGTGACTAAGGGGAGATTGGACGTCCTACATGACTCAGGTCTCTTGTCCCACTAACATCTTCCCTAATGCTGAAGAGACACATGCTGTGTCTGCAGATGTCTAGCGACATTCAAAGACAGATTCGGAATCATCTGGCCCCAGGGCAAACTGCCACCTTTCAATCTTTGCTATGAATATCCCCTCATCACCATTGACCAAAGACTATTATCCTCATCATCGACAGGATTTTGCGATACTTTGTGTAGCAGCCATGGAGCAATCTCCCTCGAACTGCTTGTTTCGGGGCAATCAGTAATCGAGCATTCGACGACTTGGAAGCTCTGTAGTGATCCGAATTTGCAGGATCGTCGGATAGCGTCAAGTGTTTTGATCCGAAATCCGCCATTAAGTTTCAGAAATCGAATCTTCACAAGTCTGACGACTTCGAGTGTGCTGTTGTTCATGGTGATGAAGTCGAGAATCCTCCCTGTGCGATCTTCTTGTTCACCAATTTCGAAGTGAGTCAAAGGGGGAAAATGATGTGAGGGCAGCATGTCTGACACATCTGGGTCATCGTAACTTGAGATTGAGTATCTGAGATGCCGGAGCCTCAGCTTCCTCAGTTGCGGCATCTCCATTAGAACATGGCCGATTGATCTGCATCGACCGGAATAGTCGTAATCACCCTCTTCTCTAGGAAATCTTTCGATTTCTAGTTCCTCTAGAGTCCGTAAGTTGATTTCGATGCGAGGGTTTTGGAAGCCGAATATGTATTCCATCGTGCACATTGTAAAACTTTCTTCGTCAATGTGTACGGGGAGGGCCGTCGTCTGTTGATCTTTCCCCTCACATGGATATTTAACCACCGCGGTATAGCGGTCCTTCTCTATCAATTCACCGAAATTTGTCAATTTTACTACCTTGAGCCGGCGGGGTGAAAACGACAAGGAGCGGAATATTAGATTCATGGCAAAGGGGCGATATGACATGCAAGTCGAAGCAAGGAATGAATAATCCTCGCATTCAACGTGGTCATGAATCTCCTGTGAACCGATGAATTTATTGTCCGATCTGACTTCCAGAGATTCGAGATAGGGTAAATGGTCAAAGATGTAATCCAAGTACCGAGAGCGACATCGATGTCTCATATTGCATTGATCTTCGGCAAATCGATCATTTGCGAGATGAAATTCGTCTTTCTTAGCAGTTGCAACGTCGAGACTCATGCCAGGATATCCATGCCAGGATATCTTTGTGCAATCTTCGAGACATCCAACCATGACTCATGCTGTTCATATTTGAGACCTTTATCATTATAATACATCAGTGCGACCATTACCTTGCGAACATGTTTCGCAAGGTTGTGATTTTTTGACAGTTCCTTGACACGGTACAAACTTAAGGGACCGATCCAAAGAGGAATGCTGTAGAAAACGCGATATGTTGTGCGATCTGCCATTTCTTTGCTAGTCTTTCGCAGATGACTGATGCATTTCCAATCTTCATAGTTATCCTCATCAAAACGAGCAAGGATCAAATGAAAGACTTCGTTCGGTAACGTGTCAAGCGAAGCCTTCTTTATTGAAGGCATTGAAGGTTGTTCAAGAGACTTCTTTATGTCAAATCGACCAGGCGATACCTCAAGTGTAGCAGGAACAATTGCATGGGGGCCGCTGAGGATTGGTTGCGACAGTAAGGATCCGCCTTCAACAGGGAGGGATGTGCCAGTCTCAGGCTTTGCAGCCGATGTTGACATGGTTTGATTATTCGAAACAGACGAATCTGTGATCGACAATTTGCTTCTTCACGAGAAGAAACGAGACTTGCTTTCTCCCGAAGAATTGAAAGCGAGATGAAGGTTACTAGTAATTCGCTGAGCTCCATTCTGCAGCAAACGATTTCCTTTGACAAGGATTGAGGCCAATTCTGGCCCAAACGACGGAACGCCGCTGGTTTCTCTTCAAATCACGCACAAGATGATGCGATGATGAAGTGATCAGATCAACTGATCAGGATTGTTTTTATCATGCAGTCGAAAACGGTGCAGGATCTTATTACTTGTAGTAGGATGCGATGAAGTTTGAAGATGGAAGACTCTGAAGTGTAGTCATTTGCGGTCGACCTTGACATTTCGAAATGACCGTCTGCGCCGCCAAATATTGCAGAAAGAATGCCTTTGTTTGTTGCTATCAAAAACATAATGATACACTTCCGCTTTGAGCGCCCAATTCTCACTGACTTTTGAACCATCTCAACTGCAACGCTATCAAAATCACAGGCAGAACGCTAACAAGCTCACCAAGCCCAGCATATTGTGGTGCTATCCGTACACGAACGAATGCTCCTGCAGCAAGCAAGATGGCAAAGATATTGTAAATGAAAGACCATACAAAGTTGAATATGATCCGCCGAAATGCAGCTCGGGACAGATCGATCAGAACAAGGATCCCTGAAAGAGTAGGCCTTACGAGAACGGCATCAGCGGCGCTTTGAGCAACATCCGTTCCGCTCTTCATGTGAAGGCCGATATCCGCTTGAGCGAGGGCTACGGCATCATTGGTGCCGTCTCCACAGAACAAGACCGTCTCATTACTACCGTCCGTGATGGACTTGACGTACTTCTGCTTCTCCGCCGGTGAGCATCTCGATCTGGTACGTGCCATTGGAATACCGAGCTGATTACCAATCTTCTGGACCGCGCCATCGTCATCACCACTGACAAGAGAGACAGCAATACTGCGTTCTTTAAGCTCTGTTACCGTCGACTTAGCGTCGGCGCGCAGGGTATCGTCTAGCCCGAAGACTGTAATCAGTTCATCATCCAGTGATACGCAGAGGACTGTAAGACCTTGAGAGAGCAGCGCCGCAACCTGTGGCGTCTCCTGAACATTGAGCCAGCGGCAGCTACCTACTCGAACCTGTCTATCTTCCCACACTCCTTTCATCCCACATCCGGTCACAGATTCGACGTCTCCGACGGAAGCAGACTCAACTCCTGTTTCTTTTAGGTACTTGGCAACGGCGATGGAGACCGGATGTTTGCTGTCCATGGTAAGAGCCACGACAAGCGAGGCGGCTGGTACATTCGAATCAGGCAAATATTCCTCATGCGAGACAGACATTTTGCCCTGCGTAAGGGTGCCAGTCTTGTCGAAAATGACATGGGATACCTTCCGGCCAATCTCCAGGGTCTCTGCTGATCGAAAGACGACACCATGCTTTGCGCCAACGCCGCCAGCAATGACGATCACCATCGGCACTGCTAAACCTATCGCACATGGACAAGAAACAATGAGCACAGTGATTGCATATATCATGGCTTGAACTACAGCATCGCTCCTAGATTTGTGTTGGAGGACGACGCCCAGCACAATCCAAACGGCGAAGGTCATTAAAGCGAGAACCACGATGACTGGTACAAAAATCGAAGCAACTTTGTCTGCTAATTGTTGAATCTGCGGCTTGGAGAATTTGGCAGCGTCCACCATAGCGGCAATTTCGCTGATTGTGTTTTCCCCAGGTAAGCGTGTGAGACGAGCTGTGAGTGGTCCTGAGCCGTTGACTGATCCAGCAACCAGTTTAGATCCCTTTCGTTTCTCGACGGGCATGGCCTCTCCTGTAATGTGCGACTCGTCCACTTCGCTTTGTCCGGCTACAATAGCACCATCTGTGGGAATGCGGGTATCTGGCATCACTTTGAAGACATCACCATACTGTAGCAACCGCGCATCTACCTCTCGTCCGCCTAGACTTGTATCATCGACAAGAAGAGCTGTACTGGCCTGTAGAGATCTGATCGAAATCGATTGAACAGCTTTATGCCTGGCGTACGCACTCACGAGCCGCCCTAACATTATCAAAGTCACAAGCAAGGTGCTTGTAACAAAAAAAGATTCTACTGATAGGGGTCGACCCGAAATCTCGTATCCAAAGGCAACAATGGAGAAGATGTATGCTGTAGATGTGCTTAGCACGATCAGCAGATCCATCTCAACGACATGAGTAAAGATCAATGCTTTCAAGGCACTCGGATAGAATGGCCCAGCCACGACAACTTGCACGATCGTGGCCAAAGCCAAGGATGTTGCCCCGTACGCTACCTCATGCTGGGCCAGTGGAGCCCAAGCCAAAATCAGTACGGGAATAGTCAGCAGAGCAGAGAATAATGTCATGAAGAGCGCTTTGCGAAGATGGTTGCTACCGTTCTCCAGGTCTTTGGAAGGTCGAGCGGGAGCCAGTGCGATTGCATGATTGAAAGTCCTTTCAAGCAGGTCTCTTGCACCCACAAGTTTGGCGTCGTATGTGATACGTACCTTCTTCCCATCAATTCCGATCATAGACTTCACTCCATATGGTATCTTCTGCTTGATGAAGTTTCTCACATCACCCAGAATGAGCACATCCAGGCTATGGTCTTGTGTGAAGATCCTATGACAGCTGAATCCGGTCGCCTTTGAGACTTCTCGAATGATATCACTTACGGAGGCAGCCTCGGAATTGACGCCAAATTCCGCCTGCGACATCACCAGACTCGTTTGGAGATTGTGGATCCCGTGCATGGCATTCAAGGATCGAAATAACTTGTTCTCGCAACCCATGCAATTAAGCCCTGAAACGCTAAGGGTGACCTGTTCGAAGGCTTCCGTGTCGCTCTGAATGCCCTTCTCAAGGTCATGAAGCCTAGAGATGGCCCTGCCTTGTGGCAATTCTGGTGTACTTATGTCAGAGATCTTAATATTGCTGCAGCATCCATCCTCTTCACTACTTTTGCAGGCGTCCAAGGGGATATCTGCATCTTCTGGATATGTACCTGCTTCTTTTTCACAACACGACTTCTGACATGCATCTTCCTCTGAGGACTCATCACAACAGGACTCGTCGCAGCAGGAGCTGCTTTTCTTCGAAACTTGACCGGTCTTCTCACAGCCGCCCTCTCTCCCTTGCCCACAACAATCGCCTTCGGGCTTTTGCCCCGAAAGCTGATTTTCCTTCTCGCAGACATCTGACTTCATAGAGAGGTCGGCTCCTCCGCAGCAGCTACCTTCCTTCCTTCGCCTAGCAGTCTTCTTCTGTTGCCGTCTAGCAGGAGAGCAGCAGCTCTCCAGATTTCGTTCGATGAGGGCTTTACATATACATCCGATAGCCGCTAGAACTGAACTGTATCGTGCATAGGCTGCTTTGCGGTGCCTGACGCATGGGCTTTGACCTGTGACGGGTGCCTGCATACTGCCGCCTTCCGTATACTTTGAGTAGTCTATTTGTGTTAGTCTGTCGTCTGAGAGCAAGAAGGGCTCTTCAAAGTAGTCGATTATGTAATGAGCACAGCACAAAGAGTCTTACTGAAGACCGCGACTCAAGATTATTACGCCCGGCTGACCACTTCTTGGCTACAGAGGTAAGAAATACAAAAGCCAAAGGATGATCATTCTCGCCATAGTTTACACGGTAATAAGACAGACTCTGGAAACGAATCACCAACCTCAACCACAAAGCACAAGACTCACCTTCGACACCTCCAACCAGAGGCACATCATCATTATCGTGACAATCCCTCTCCCATTCTATTTGCGCCGCAACCCCTAAGCATTCATCTAGGCCACAACAGAAACATTAATGGCTCAATGTCTCCACACAGTGGAGTACTCAGAAATATTACCGTTGCAACAGACTTGCTCTCCATCTTCGCATTCAGGACGAACATTGGGGCAGGGTGGGCAGCATTCGCACGAAAAGACAGGAAGGTCATCATCCTCAATCCTTTCAACAGCCATTCTACTGATTCTAAGCAACGCCTTTACGGTCTAAAGTGCCTGCTCCACGTAGAGAAACCAAGCTGAAGGACTGGCCTGAGGCCGCAGGAATCGTACATACAGCGCTAGACCCTAAACAGATTAGTCTGAACCGACTTGACCAGTCAAGGCAACGCAAAAGCTGTTGCCAAAAAGAGATATTCCAATTGGAGGGAGGAACTTCACTGGCTCGGAATCGAAGCACATCATCGACCAGTTCTGAAGCGGCTTCTGCTTTTGCAATCGACGTCTCAAAAGTCGACATCGCCTCTGATCCGTTCTATCTCGATCAAATTTTTGCACGTCTGAGATTCTTTGAACATTATTAGATACGTAATTTGTGGATACACATGGACGCACTCTGTACTATCATGGCAAGTGAACTGCCCTTCTCCACTTTGCCATATCCAGCGGCCCCCTCTTCATCCTATCCAAGTCTCTCCCACCAATAACGTCCTCTATTCACGTCCTCATCACCTATCCACCCCAAACCCCAAGTCTTACTCCCTAACCCTCTTCAACCCCCTTGCTCCCGCCCCATCCTTCCCCAAAGCTCCACTCATCCCCCCCATCATCGTGTCATCCGGCAACCCACCTCTCTTCGTCCCCGGCAAACTCTGCGTCCGGATATCATTATCGTCCTGACTAACCCTCCTTTGCGGATACGTGACATTCGGCGGCAGATCCGCAAAACAATTTGCATTAACCTCCCCGCTTCCGTCGCCCGTGCTCTTGAAATAAGGGTGCTCCATCGCCTGTGCTGCCGTCAACCGTCTCGTGGGATCGTAGTCCAGGAGGTGGGAGAGGAGGTCGAGACCTTGGGCGCCGGGCGAGCCTGGGTCGTTACCACCACCACCCCCAGCAGCAGCAGCAGCACCTGATGTATCACCGTGAGAACCATCGCAATTGTAGCCTGTAGCGCGCAGCGTGTTCCAGTACCAGCTCTCCAGCCCAATAGGGACACCATTCGCGTTCTTTAAGCCAGGATTACCTTCCCGCGCAGCGACGCTCAGAGTCTGCAATTGGCTGTACTCCGGTTGCGAAACCAGCCCGCCCCACCGCTCTTTCGTCGGCATGCCTATGATCTCCACGATCTTCTGCATCTGGTTGCGCTGGAAGGGCACTGTTTTCTTATTATCCATCTTCGCCTCCTCGCCCTTGAAGATCGGGCGCAGAGACAATAATTCTGCGAAGATGCAGCCCACGGCCCACAGATCTACCGCGGGAGTGTAGTGCCGGCTTCCGAGCAGGAGCTCGGGCGCGCGATACCAGATTGTGACGACGACTTTGTCGCCGGAGAAGAGGCTGTGGAGCGGTTTGTAGAAGAGGCGCGCGAGGCCGAGGTCGCCGATGCGGACTTCGCCGCGGGAAGTCACCATGATGTTGGCGGGTTTGAGATCGCGGTGCAAAACCCAATTTGTGTGTAGGTAGTGCACGCCGTTGAGGAGTTGGAAGAGGATGGATTTTACCATGGAGGCCGGGATGGGGTGGCGGGTCGGCTGGGAGTGGTGCTGGATTATTTGGAGGAGGTCGTGCTCGCAGTATTCGAAGACCATGAAGATGCACTTGTCTTCGAGGATTATTTCCGCGAGGGCGATGATGTTGGAGTGGGAGAGCTCGGAGCATAATGCCATTTCGCGGATCGCGGATTGGGATATGCCCGTGTATTGGATTGTTTCGCCTTCTTTGTCAGGTTTGAATCTGGGTGTGGTTAGTGGGTGTAGGTGGAAGGGGGTGGATGGAGAGATGTGGAGTGAGGAGGGAGCATACTTTTTGATAGCGAACTCGCCTTGGACGCCATTGTGGCCCACGGCTTTGTAGACACGGCCATAAGTGCCACTGCTGATGAAGCCAACGATCTTGTAGCGATCGAGGACGCGGACTTTGCTTGAGTAGCCACTGCTTGTAGATGCCGGCTGCTTTGGAGCACTGGATGGTTCTGCAAAAAGTGCCGTCAGCTCTTCTCCGCTGAACATAGACTCCCATGTATGATTCAAATCATCCTCCATAGCGACTGACCAATCCGTCTGCGCCGTCCATCGAACTGCATCTCATGTGAAAGGTGAGTTGCCTGTCATCACCTTGACGACAGATTCGCCCGTTTTTTGGAAGGAAAGAGCCAGCACGCAAGCAACCGATCAAGCAAACAGCAGACATCAAAGCTCCAACCATCTCACCTTCAAAGGCAGCTAAGACACCCTTCTGAAAAAATGGCTTGACTTGGACATTCCTCTGTTGTAGCGAAGGATGTACAGCGCCATGATAATTCATAATACAAGCAGTCGACACAACACTACTTCAAATGCACCCACAAATCCTGCGCAATTCTCATTCCCATATTTTCAACCACCATTTCTCCATCTACAGAAAGAATCAGACTAACAAGCAGTAATCAAGAAAACCCCATCTTTCGCCTCTCCTCTTACCTTCGAAAGCAGCCTGCACGCTCCTCTTCACGCCCTGACTCCCCTCCAGCTGTCTAGCAGCAGCCGCGGACGATTGTTGTTGCGCATTCCCCGGCGCGCCGGCGGAGTCATTTCGTCCGCTTACGACGCTCATATGCTCATCCTCTCCGGAGATAACTCTACCGTACGTTTGATGCGGACTGTGCGCTAGTGTTGGTATTCCTTTTGGCGACGGGAGGGGAAGGTGAGGGGAGGGAATGGGGAGGTGAGACGGAAAAAGGTTCGTTGGGCAGCAATGCGTAATGCTTGCTGAAAGTGGGTGTGGTCAAGGTACTTGTGGAGAAGCTCGGAAGCAGGTACGGAGGGGGGGTCTCTGACAGAAAAGTATCGTGGCCGGGGGAAACCGAGAAGAGAGAATTATCGTGGATTGTAGCAATGCTGCGTTGAGAATATCGCTTTTCGCAAGTATGGCCTTGTGCGGAATAAGACTACATGGACGCAGTGCTGGTGCAGAAGTGGATTTCGTTCATTTTTGAATTCAGGTGTCATTCTCTGCATCAACGTATCTGTCTAGAAGCTCTACCTTACAGACCGCCATGTCATACAGCAATCATTTCAAACCCTTTTCACCGGGCAATCAATATGGGTATTGTGAAGCAAATGGGGGGATATCAATTTGTCGAGCCTTTGCGCCTGCTTATAAACTCCGTATTCGTGTTCCTCCCCACAGGCCCTTTTGCCTGACATGCATGCCGTGTTCACCAAGCCAGCCAAGCCCACCGCTAATGATATGGTACGGAGAAATCGTTCGTCGTCGTAGTAGCAAGAAATGAAGCCGCCAATGCCAATCAAACAGAAACTGTCGTATTCGCGAGAGAATGGACTGACGGTAAGGATAGATATCGTGAAGGGTGCGGGAACCGAAATATTGTGAATCCTTTGTACAATTTTGATTGGCAATGTAAGCCAGGTGATATTTGTACATGCAAGATCGTAGATAGGTCATGAGTGTGCTGATCTCGAGTCATCCTTGTTTGCGGCAAGTTCAGAAATGGTGCACCGGATGCCTGAACGTTGCTGACAAAACATCGCATATTGCCCGAGCAAAATCGCAGCTGCAGGTGATAATAGATGGGCATAGAAGCGAAGGCAAAGTGGCTTGCTCTCTCAGGGTGACGACGGTGAAGACTCCTTGGGCCGTAAATTTGATGACCCAGCGGCGGCTTTGTTGCCCATCTTTCTGGTGAGCTTAGCATAATCTATGAGACGTTAGCGATCGTGATATCAGATCAGACATATGATAGACGTACGCAAACCACAGGCGTTGCACAAGGTTCTTGCTCCGTCGGGGCCTCGCCGCCATTCGGGTGTCTCAGCTCTGTTGCAGCTGTGGCATCGACCAGGAGGTGCAGCTCTGCCACGCCTCTTCTTCGCATCAGATCCCGCGAAACCCCCTACCCCGTCCATCTTGTCATCGTAATCACCTCCGTCTTGAAGATCATTTGGCGCGTGTTTATAGCTCTGCTGATCATAATGCCTTTGTTCGGCAAGAGCCAGTTGTTGTTGTAAAACGATATCCCGTATCCGGCCCATTGAGTTCAGGACCGCCTTTTGCTGCTCGATCAGAGCGTCACATTCAGTAAGGGTTGGCAGGGAGGCTGAAGATGGTCCAGATCTCTGCGTCGCATGCCGTGAGTCACCGTATCGTCGTGAGAATTCCAAGGTCTGTCCAGATCCACGAGCAATCTGGAGGAATTAGTCAAGCTCATCCGTAATCGCAAGTGGACACTCACGTCGTTCAAGGACGTCTCTAAATCAAAGAAATCAAGATGTCGCTTGACAGATTCTCCATATGCTCGACCACTGCGTGGACTTTCCTTAGAAATGGCTCGGCGAATGCCCTCCTGCCGCTCTTGGTCCGAATGCCCGTTTCGCCAGTCATCTCCAAACGGACTCTGAAATGATGTAGCAGCTGGAGTTGTCGGGGGATATGAAAAAGCAGGCTGGGGTACTGCATAACTGTGAGAGGCACTAGTTGTTGGTTGGTGCCGCGTGATGGGAGATTCTATGCTTGACGTTGTCGGATGTTGCTGAATGATTGAAGGGGAAGGTCGAGAATATGCTGCCAAGTCTGGAAGCGCTCGTGGCGGTTGAGAGGTTGGAAAAAAACTGAAACTGTCATTTACGACGGGTGACTGGCTTGGGGCGAAGTGAGCTGCGTGTGAAGAATACATGGGACCACTGCTCCTGCTGATAGCCTCGTATGGCTTGGATTCGCGAGGAGATCGAGGCTGATAGGAATCGTTTGGAGGACGAGATGTGTCGACGGTGGGTCGATGTGTTGGACTTGTCGGGCTTCTGGCAATAGTCGACGATCTTGGTGGAGCGTTGGTCGTCAAAATTGAATGTATTGAAAGCGCTTCGTTGATGGACGGTAGCGACTGCCTTGGAGTTGGATATGAATGCTCTTTATCGTCCCCTCTTGCTTGATGATTATGCAGTGGTGCGTAAGTTGCAGGTACCTGCCCGCTTTGAGTGCCATTGTTTCCACCTACGACCGAGCTAGATGCGGATGAGGGATATGAGTAGGGTGGAGGTGGGCCGGAGAATGTGGAAGTTGATGGGCTAGCCATGGGAGGAGCAGGCATGTGGATCGTGGTTGCCGGATGATGTAGAGGATATCCCGAGCTCTCTCTTTTCACCTTTTCTAGATCTAACAAGCCTAGTGGGGGAAGAGCACCACTGATCCACCGTCAGCATGTTTGCGCATCGCGATGGGCCTGTTCATAACGGTAAATATGGATGTGCCGGGGAAGTTGACAGACCTTCGGCCAATTGGATCCGCCATGATGGGGTTTCAATAGAGCGGCTTTTACTTCTCAAACTTCAAATGCTATGACCGTTCGGCCGACATGCCGTACGGCTTGTTCAGACTGTGTAGAAAGTGGCTCTTTTCCACGTCGCTATCCGTCCAATTGCGGGCTCGATCACTACTGGCCAGCAAAAGGCGAGTGAAATGGCGAATTGGTGAATGAAAGCGTTTCGACCTCGGAAGTGCCCTTATTCGTTGCTATATCAGTTTGTACAGCCGTCAATATGGTGCCTGCGAGGTTTGAAGTGCAAAAGTGGTGATGGCGTCGTGCGATCTCTGGTTGAAGTCTTGTTAGATAGAGTTTTGACAGCCACACGTGAATATCCGGGCGAGATCGGAAGGTCCTTTCCGGTAAAAGCAATGTGTCACTGGATCAGGGTGGTCACTTTCGTCACAATGGCATAGGGGCTCTCTTCCGTGTGGGAACGAATGGATTATGTAGTGGGAGAGGGTGTCGGAAGGATATGGCAGTCGACTAGGACGGTGGGAGGAGAGCGGCGGAGGGGAAAGGTGTGAGAGATCAGATCGGGCGCAGAACCAGATTGGCGTCAAGGGAATAAGACGCCAGACAGGGGGGGCTTTTAGTGGCTTTGGGGGAAAGGAACAAGTGACTTCGGGGTCTCTCAGGGCTCGTCTACAGCGCCAAGAGATCTCTACAGCGCCGCAGCACTAAGCGGTAGCACTACCTGGAGATGCGCTAGGGTACCGTATATTTCCAGTGCCTAGGATGACCTGGATGAGATGGGCGGGAAAACCCACTAGGCAGCTAGTCTCTGTCTCACGGCCTTTTTTTGGCTGGTCTGCCTGTCTGGCCGTGGTTACTTTGCTGCTTGCCCTTCGCTTGGGACAGATGTGCTGATGAGTGATGACATGACCTTGGCTAGATCGAAAAAGAGCATCATCCTTGCTCGTCCGGCACCGGCTGACGCATGCATAAGTGCTCCAACTCAAAATCGTGCCTCCCTTAAGCCACCCACACACAAGCTCCTCCACCCACACGCAAATCTATCTTCAGAATATCGCATGGCCAAGGCACCTCGCTTACACCGTTCACAGATCATAGATCCCATCCCCAAGGCCGTCATAACCGGCTCGACCAGCCCCGTTCCTCTCAGCCTTTGCCCGACTCACCAATGACAGAAGAGCCCAGGATGGTACCAAGGAATCGGAACGATCTGACTACTGTTTCGAACGCCAACGGCTGACTTGTATCATCTTGGGGAACGTTCGCATGGGGCCTGTTGACTTTGAGACCGGCAATGCGTCCAGAGTCTGTAACCGAGGCAGCTTCCTGGTCAAGCTCTGCGCAAGTTAGGAAGATTATTCAGAAGCTGTCAAACAGGCATATCCCAAGAAGGTAAAATCTTGTCTCTGAAGAGCGTATCACATTCCCTCAACGTCTGAATTTTCCTCGTATTGGACATGGATGATCGTGTCGATGAACTGCCTGGGTGGCTCTTAGGCCCCGCCGTTGAGCTGCAGTCCAGAAGCGGTTGAACCAAGATCTTTCTAGGTCTCTGATCGTCGCTTGTGCGGCCCCTTCTGCAAGCCCCTTAGGCAGGCCTTAAGCACGCTTTAGGCCCCTTTCAGAGAGACCTCTAGCCTCGAGGTAGGTGATACCGTGATTCTAGGTATGGCTTCCTTACGGGTAATGCCGCTCCCATCGCTTATCGAAGGCACAACATAAGACTCGTCCACCTGAGAAGAGCTGAGAGTCACTCCCACCACGATTGGCGGTTACTTCGATGGGACTGCATAGCTAGCTGCGTCGCATCCGACAACGACATCTGTAATGCGGACGCGACTGTTAAACGCAGCGAAATGCGTGCTTTCGCAGCATCATCTGACAACTGTACACTGCTGTCAAATCGTCGGGCTGCGCCAACATTTCGCATCGCACATTCTCGGATGCAGCACTTCGAGTGAGAGTTATAACCGCGATTCTTGCTTTCGATTTCCGAAATTGCAGCGGATTATTGATCTAGCCAATCTGGAGCTGTTGTTTCAACTCTAAAAGATAGACGGCATTCCTTCGAAATACACTGTTGCTTGATCTCCCGAAAGATTTGGGGGCGCGATTGTTGCCGCGGGGGGCTTGCAAAATACCCTTCTGTGGGCTTTTTTAGCAACCTACATTCGTTGCTGGCTCGGTTAGAGAGTTGAGGTTGGAAACATGGCTGTGGTGCTTCATGCAATTTGCCGGATGCCTTATTGGAGTTGACCACTGGGAGGCGTACGATGCTCTGAGAAAGTCGAAGCCCATGACGGATCTACGCGGTGGCAAAGTCCAATGGCGCGAAGCCAAATGCCGGCATATGTGCAAGCGACATCCTCCCCAAGGTCACTGACGTCCCGCCTGGCTTCGGCTTGTGGTCTTTGTGAGTGTGCAACAGCCACAAGAACCTGTTTTGTTAGCTGCAATATGCATGCAGGTCGGAGCTGTCAATCTCACAGCTTACAGTTGTCCGAAATGATGCGAGATGGAGCGTTGAAGCCAGATCAAGTGTGCCATCCATGTACTTGGTACCTGGAGGCTGGAGCAACAAAGTAAATCGACAGTCACCTCGGCATCCACGATGCTGTGTATACTTGCGTACCAACTACCGGCTTAGAACACGCGATAGCTGCCCTGTGTTAGTCTGGCAAAACTGTCTCTTCTTGTTGGTCATGACGGCCAACCTAGAGCTACGTCAAGAATTCGCAATCCATGTTCCTTGCTGTAGGCAAGGCTGAAAGGCCATGTGTCAGATATTAGAAGTCCAAAACCGCTTGACGGTCTTTGCTTTTGATTCTGTTCCTGTAACAAAATCAAAGCAGTACGGTCCAATCGCCCGTTTGAGAACAAGCTTTCCATCGCGGGCGTTGGATCGTAGGGCACAGAGTTGTTACCTTCGTCAATTCTTACCGATCACTAAAAACGACCGGCAACAACCAATGTCCTCACTCAGCCGCTGAAGTGCAGAAGAAGCTCATCTCATCGCTAAGGGGACGAGGACGGGGAGGTCGACCTGTACGATAATAGCACAACTGGCCGTATTACAGCCCGGACATGATTGCTGGAATCATTCTGTTGATTTAGCTGAGCTTACGTGAAGGTACTTTTCCTTATGAAATTATTTGAGGGAGCTAACTGTCCGTCTATTTGGTCTATCAATAGTGTATCAATAGTGTCACCCACGCTTTGGGCAAGGATGTCAAATCGGCAACGTTGCGCACCCGTGACTCCCGTGACGAATTTGGCTTTCCTGGGTCCGCCGTTTCCGGACAGACAGACATTAAGTGATGACTGTGATCCTTGCCGCGGACGGGGGAACGCCATTGTGTGATGATTGTGTGTAACGCTGCGACCTTGGGGTAGCAGGAGCTTGCACCAGGGTGGGATCGGCGATGGTACCCTTGCATTCTCTAAGGCCTGGGCAAAATGTGTCTCGAAGATGACCTGAAAAATAACTATGTGACACCGGGCAATGGATAACAAGTTGCCTGGCAGTGCCATACTAGCATCTACTCGTGGATTGAGCTCGGGGCTGAGCTTCAGCCGTAGGCAAATTCGCCTTGTAATTCTTCGTGTGATGCTGCACCGTGTTCAAAGTCTGTATCAGATATTCCAAATCAGGCAGAGAGTCTATGGAATGCTATTGTCTCCTTGATTCAATCGCTTGCACACGACAAGACATCGTTTCCACTGTCTCACCGCTCTCCCCGGTGCCAGCAGGAACCACGGTTCAGATACTCTACACTATTGTGAACGGAGTCATGGACAGCCACTTTTGACAGTCAGACTTGATCGAGACGCCAACGACTATACTGTTATTTGCGGCGATAGTGTAATGTACAAAACCTCCTGTTACCGACAATCTCACCTTATCTGCTGTTCTCGCTTTAGTCGATACCAGCATTTTCGTTTTCTAGCTCAAAAGATCGCGCAGTCTCTATCGTCCTTTGCACGTCGTCAAAAGAGTCTCTGTCGAAGTCACGCCCGACTTCAGGCTAAAGCATGCCTCTCGCTGTCCCTGCGTGCACTAAGACCTGTCAAACTTGCATTTGGAATGAGCCACGGACGTGTCAAAGGGTAGCAAAACACAGTTCCTGCAACTTTGACAGCTGGCAAATATGGTTACCTACATGATTGGGAGTCCAGAGCACGCCTCCGATTGCCAAATCCACATGAGCTTCTCGCCTCCCGCCGCCACATATCCAATCATGCCCCTGACTGTCGGTTCGGAAGACCCACCAGACAGTGAGGAAAAAAGGATCTGTCAGAAAGCTTCAAACTGTCAGAAAAGTGTTGATACCCGTTTTCTGCCACCTGCAAGAATGACAGCGGCTCCCTGCATACGTGTGGCCGGTGACCGGTGGAGCCCCAGCCCATGACGCGGCAAGAAGCTGCAGCGCCCAAGAAAGAAGGAAAGGAAAACCCACCCAGTACAGGCGACGGCGATTGCATGGGAATGCACAGCACAGACAAAGTGGCCCTTCTCTCTCGCCAACTCACGGCTTTATGCCGGAAACAGGGCATGGGGGAAGGAGACCGTTATACTGCGCAAGACTCTAATCATGCAAGTCGCACCCTTCTTCCTGCTCATCCATTACCCGACTTGCACTGGCCCCATCGTTTTTGTTGGACCCAAATACATCGAGATTTCCCCACTTCGCAAACGGCCTACTTTATCTGCTGTGTCTTGCGCTGCGCTTGGCTCCTGCCTGCCTTTTTCTCATCGAGATCTCCCTGGCAAATCAACAGCCGACCCGGCGCTGGCCTCTCATTCCCGATCCGATGCTCCCCCGGCTTTAGGACCCGTCGTTGAAAAGGTAAGGTCAGAGGCATTAATTAGTCAACCCCTTCTCTCTCGGGGGGAGGGGAGGGGAGGGGGCATGCGTTTGTCGCTAAAACATGCATACAGATAGAGTCGTAAGGTGGATAGAGTGAAATGCCGTTTTCCTCTTTTGAGTTTCTGAGTTCAGACTGACAGCTGTCAGTTGGCGCAAGGAGGAATAAGCCGCCGCTGCTTCCCTCCCCCATACCCATAGAACTACCCAGACCCATACATGCCATTACTACATACATGAAGCTCCACCAGTGCTTTGAAATTGCTATTTTCGTGCATCGTTGTTCCTGATTCTTTAGCTGCTTTGCTTTGATCCTGCTCCAGGGCGGTTTTAGAAGAAGCTTTTCACTAACCTCGCGGAAGCTGGACTTCCCCGTCATGATGTTGGGCGTAGGCGTTTCGGATGGTGCACTTCATCTCGATCTTCTACAGAAGCAGAGGAAATGTATTTTGAGTGTTGGGAGAGGTTGGCTGGTATCAATGCTCTTGCGCTATCGAGTTGGACTGAGCGCTGCATTGTGGTTCTGTGCTGTTAGGAAATGAGGGCCGTGTATGAGCACTGGCTGGGCCAAAACACATGCAAGAAAATCCGATTTCGACTGTCTTTCATGCTCCTGTCAAGCGTTCTCCTCGAAATCAATGGACTTCGTTCTTCGAAGACCAGATGGGAAGCAGGATAAGGTCCAACTGTTCTGCAGGAGAAGATGTTTTCACATTGCTCATGCAAATTTCAACTACTCCTCCTGTAACCAGTACAACGCCTCCAGCTCTCTGACACTCTCAGTCTCCCATCCTCACCTCCCATCCCTATCAACTCGCGACCTTGGCCTGATACTTCCCCGCCGCCATATCAAACAAACTCTCCTTCTCCTCCAAATCCACCAACATCGGATGTCTCCCACCCCCCTCACCCAACACCCCCAGCTCTCCCAGCCTCTCTTTCAACCGCCCATCTTCCCCCTTCCCGCTATTCCCGCTCAAAATCTCCCAAACAATCGAATTAGCGATAGCATCAGCGTCATTCTCGTCTCGCTGTAGTGCGTCGTCCAAAGCGGCTTTCGCTTCGTCCAGCCGACCGAGGTGCATTTCGCATACGGCTTGTGAGACGAGGGATTTGGAGCCAGAGGCGTCGGGCGCTTGAGCCATCTCTTCGAAGACGTAGAAGGCGGATTGGTAGCGGTCGCCGCCCTGGAATCGAACGGGTGCGGTCAGTGAGGGGAGGATGGTGGGGGAGAGGGTGATGAGAGGGGTGGAAGAGGGATAGGGGGGTAAGAGGGTGGAGGGCGAGGGGGACGTACGACTCTCAAGCCCACCCAGCTTTCTGCAATGTTCACTAGTAGACTGTCCTGCGCCCATTTCCTTGCTGCTTGTACTTCTTTGATGGCGAGATCGACACGGTTCTGTTGGAGGTGGATCTGGACTATGAGTGCGACTCTGCATAGAAATGCCATTAGCGACCTAAAGCTTGCGAATGCAGGAAATTCATCATTTCACCCTGCCTCCCCCCTCTGCTCGTCTACGATAGGAAAGGGAAGAGTAAAAGAGAGATAGACATACACCTCCAAGCTTCCCTCATGCTTCTCCGCCAACGCCAACGCTTCCTCTACCTTTCCACTCCCATATAACACAATGCCACCGAGTAGTTGGACTGTGGCATTTCCTGCTGCGTCTTCATTCTCTGCGAGTTCCTCCGCTGCTGCTAGTGCCTCTTCTTGCTTCTCTGACGTATAGAGAGCGAGGGCTTTGACGGCAGATGCTTCATCATCGGTGGAGCTTTTGAGTTCAGAGAGGACGGAAGAGGCTTCGCCGCTGGCTAATCGGGCGCGGTATTGGAGGATTTTTGCGGCGGATTTTGAGGAGGCGGAGAGGGGGGTGAGGTCGAAGGAGATGACGGAGGAGTAGGCGCCGCGGAGGAAGGAGGTGTGGATGTTGAGGAGTTCTGTGGTTGGCGAGGTCAGCGTTATAGGTAAATTGGGCGTGTGGGAATGGTTCGTGTGTTGCTTGGGCTCAATCAATTGGCACTTACCACCATCTGCTGAAAAGGGATCCATGATTATGATTATTGATACAGACGTTCCATTGGAAATAGAGTGCTCTGTGTCGTCTGTGTATTGAACGTACTCGGAGGAACCATTGGATGAAGCTGTCGTGACAGATTTTAGGACTACGGATGTTTCCGCTGTGGTGCAGATCCAGGCCACCAGCGTTTTCAGCCCGTCAGGGCCCCACCACGGGTCGTGATTCTACATCTCCTCCGTGGAGGCTGTCTTCATCATCTATCTTGCCAGTCGACGATCTCCATTCGAGCATTGAGCCCGTCCATTACGACCTGGGACGCCGGAGCTTCGCCACTAGGCTCAGCCTTTCTCCTTAGAGGTCAATTAGACCGGCCCTAAGTGGAAAACCGCTCATGTTGTTCGGAGAGCTTCTTTGAGGCCCTTTCTTTGACTGTTCTGAGTCGAGCAAGATGAAGCGAATCATTCCAAATCGTTTGAAGAGCTACAATGGCAAGAATGACTCTCCAAGCCAGCCCCACAGCAGGGGCACAAGTCCAATGCGAACTCCTCCGGTGGAAGCTAAAGGCCTCGTCCTCAGGACGAACGTTATCAAGGGGCGGAACTTGGCTGCGAAAGACAAGGGTGGTACAAGTGACCCGGTGAGCTCAAAGCCATGTGAGACGGCACTGGTGAGAGACTAATTATGTACACTAGTTCCTCGTCTTAAACCTGGGGGACGCCGCTCAGACGACACCTTGTATCGCTAAGAATCTCAACCCAGAATGGCACGTCACTTTCGATATGCCAATCAGTGGCGAGCAAAATCTGCTCCTGGAAGCTATATGTTGGGATAAAGATCGCTTTGGCAAGGACTACATGGGAGAATTTGACGTGGCAGTTGAAGATGTTTTTGCCAACGGCAAGGCTATCCAGGAGGTCAGTTATGATTTGAGCAGAAATTGAGTCGAGCTAGCTAATAAAAGACAGCCAAAATGGTACAGCTTGAGGGCTAGAGGCAAGGGCAAGAGAAAGAACGCAGAGGTGTCCGGCGAAGTTCAATTACAATTCTCGCTCGCGGATACGTCCAATCCTTCTGCTTCGCCAGAAGAACTCCTACAAAAGCTCTCCGTTTTTGCGGCAGCTAGCAGTGACAGTGACGAGGAAGACGCTAGTGTCGACAGGGTGGATAGCATTGATGTTGATAGCGAAGCTGAAGGCGATAATGATGACCAGGAACCGGACACATCTGATGAGACAGATGATCTTTCAAAGCCAGAGAAAGCTGCAAAGAGAAAGCGCAAACTGAGACTGAAGAGAAAGAGTACAGTCCGCACCTACGAATTCTCTAAGGGTTCTGATTGTGTGGGCATTCTCTTCCTGGAGATCAATAAGATAACAGATTTGCCCCCTGAGAAGAATAGTAAGGGTCTTAACAAGCTCGCTTTGGTCTTTTCTAATTCTCCTCGCAGTGACCAGAACATCTTTCGACATGGATCCATTTGTAGTTGCGTCACTCAGCCGTAAGACCTACAGAACTCGTATCATCCGCCATAACCTCAATCCTGTCTTCGATGAGAAAATGGTATTTCAAGTTATGCGTCACGAACAGAACTACTCTATGAGTTTCTCCGTTGTCGACCGAGATAAGCTTTCTGGAAACGACTTTGTTGGAACTGGGAACTTTCCTCTTTTCAATCTGACGTCTGCTGCCCCTGAGGCTGACGCTGATACTGGCTTGTACAGCCTGCCAGATCCCCAAGAATCGTCAGTGAATCTCCTTCAGAAGCAATCTCGGTTTAAGCTACCGCTTTCGCGGTCGTCTTCTGCTCAAAGTCTTACCAAGCTTGCCAGACCCAGCCTGACTTCGAAGAACTCGCAAGCGTCCATCCATAACAGCCTAGCGGATATACCGCCGCTTCCCACTAGCGCTTCGATTGACAAGTCATTTCTGACGCCTACTACATCAGACCAAAGTAATCTTGCGACCGATAATGGTGACGAGGGTAACAGCATACATTCTTCTGATGACCCATTGATGAAGCCGTTCACTCTCCCATTGCTTCTGAAGAATAAAGACAGATGGGAGGATAAACATAACCCACAGCTCTTCATACGTGCTAAGTACCTGCCTTATCCTGCATTACGACAGCAATTTTGGCGGGTAATGCTTAAGCAATATGATACAGATGAGAATCACCGCGTTAGTAAGGTTGAGCTAACCACAATGCTGGATACACTTGGATCGACATTGAAGGAGTCTACGATCAATGGATTCTTTAGGAAGTACGCCAGTGGAATCGAAATGGGTGATCCCACACTTACCTACGACCAAGCTGTGATGTGCTTGGAGGACCAATTGCAGCTCACAGAGCAGCACAAATCCATGAGAAGCAGGATCAAAGCGCATCTTCCGAGCAAGATAGTAGAAAATGCCAAGCTCGTGACATCTCATCGCGATGCAGATGGGTCGAACCTAGCGAATGAGGATCCCGAGCAGACAGAAGTACCTGCACTTGCACAGCCCAATACTGGGGCACCTGGAGAAGAGGGTGAGCTTCTAGAAGACGACCTCGTAGATGAAGGAGGAGAAGAGCATGTCATCGAGATTCGGGAATGCCCTCTATGCCACCAACCACGTCTGAACAAGAAGTCGGACGCTGATATCATCACTCACATCGCGACTTGTGCCAGTCAAGACTGGAGGCAGGTAAACAATATCGTCATGGCGGGTTTTGTCACTTCTAGCCAAGCACAGCGAAAATGGTACTCGAAAGTTGTGACTAAAATATCGTACGGCGGATACAAGCTTGGTGCCAACTCTGCCAATATTCTCGTCCAAGATAGGACTACGGGTCAAATCAACGAGGAGCGCATGAGTGTATATGTGAGAATCGGAATTCGCTTATTGTACAAAGGGTTGAAGAGTAGGGATATGGAGAAGAAGCGAAGTAAGTGAAAGCGCTATTTTAAGGCACACGCTGACTTGCTGTAGTCCGCAAAATGCTAAAGAACCTGAGCTTCAAACAAGGTCGAAAATACGACGATCCAGCTTCTGCTCAGGAGATTCAGGGCTTTGTTAACTTTCACCAATTGGATATGTCAGAGGTCCTGAAATCTACGGAGGAGTTCAAGAATTTCAACGAATTTTTCTATCGTGAGCTTAAGCCAACCGCAAGGCCGTGCTCTGCACCAGACAACCCCAAAATCATCGTGTCCCCCGCAGATTGCCGTTCCGTCGTCTTCAACACTTTGGAAGATGCACAGAGTATCTGGGTTAAAGGAAGAGAGTTTAGCGTTGAGCGTCTCTTAGGCAAGGCGTACCCAGAAGACGCAAAACGGTACAAGAATGGATCTCTGGGCATTTTCAGACTTGCGCCGCAAGACTACCATCGATTCCATATCCCGGTGGACGGCATCATGGGTGAACCTAAGCTAATCGCGGGTGAGTACTATACCGTCAATCCTATGGCCATTCGATCTGCACTCGACGTGTACGGCGAAAACATACGGACCTGCGTACCAATCGACTCGGTCGCGCACGGACGGGTGATGGTCATCTGTGTCGGTGCGATGATGGTTGGAAGCACTGTGATTACACGAAAAGCTGGAGATAAGGTGAAGCGAGCGGAAGAGCTTGGCTATTTCAAGTTTGGAGGCAGCACAGTCCTACTGCTGGTTGAATCCGGGCGAATGCAATTCGACGATGACCTGATTGATAATGCTAATGGGGCGTTAGAGACACTGGTGAGTAATTCATTCCGTTCCTGAAGCTCTGATTGCTAACACAAGGTCAAGATACGCGTCGGAATGTCAATTGGCCACTCTCCTGAACAAGAGCAGCATCTTCCAGACATGCGAAAGAAGGAGGAAAACATCACGGCAGAGGACAGACAGGAAGCGAAGAGACGAATAGAAGGGAGCCTGGCTCCAGATGCGAAGCCACCACGGCCGTCAGCAATGCAGTGAAGAAGTAAAAGTACGGTCGTCTGTAAAGCCTTATTATGTAGCTGTGCATGGTAGAATGTGCGAGATGATTGATGAATGTAACGATTTTCCAATTGTAAATCCGCCTTCAGAGGCCATGAAGTCTTGGCACTATGAATGGGCTTTACTTATTTCAGACTAGCTTGACGCGAACCGTAAACAAATGAACTGGGGCTTCTCCGCTCGCCAACTACCAACTCCGCAAGAAATCTGGACGACGGCGACCCACTTTGCAACAAGCTTGTTCGATAACACCGAACTGCTGAATTCGATCAATTCAAGGTTATGCCGTTGAAGATCTAGTGGTGACCATTGTGAAGGGAGCACGTTACACCTCGCCAAGATTCTGGATTGAACATCAACACGCGACGCTGGACGACCAATTCTTCAAATCCTCAACGAAAAGCACGACGAGCCTCAATGACTGCCTACGCGACGCGCGCTCCGCTTCAACTGATTGAGAATCCACATATAATGAGTGATGCGCAAAGGCAGGGACGAAGGACCAGCTCGAGATTGGCGGAGAAAGAGGATGTCATACCGAATGGCTTACATCACGATTACGGATCGGTAAAACATAACCAAAAGCCTTCCACAGTCGGGAGAGGTACCAAAGCCGCAACGAATGGGAAGACTGCGATGAAGAGAAAACCTGGTGAGTGGATCATGCGCGCAATCATCAATAAATCAAGATGGAGAGACATGCAAAGAGGATATATCAGATTGGACTACAGGTGCTATGAGCACAAAGGCTGATTGCTCTGTAGCATATGACGAAGAAGACGAAGGTTTTGCTTTCACGAGGACACGATCAAAGAAAGCTAAAGCTGAACCACCTCAACCATCGATAGCAGAAGAGCAGGCGCCAAAACAAATAGAACCAACCACGCAGAGGCAGCCAAGAAAGCGGCCGGAAGATCGATCAAGTGTTGGAGCGCAGGTGTCGGAGCCTATTAAATCCACCCGCAGAGGCACTCGGAACGGTAGCGGTGAACAACAAGAGGAGGACCCACCTCAATTAGCAGTCAAGAAGAGGAGGAAGAGAGGATCAGACGGGTCGAAAACCTCCAAGGAAACTCAAGCACAGCTGGACGATGGATCTCTAAAGCAAGACCTGCAACAGGATCATACACAACCAATACAGATTGATTCTGACTCGACGAAGATAGCTCTCCCGTTTGCAGATACGCCAATAATACGGCGGAACAAACAGATGCGGCGAGATGCAAGTAGCGGGAGTCGACGCAGCAGCCTAGGTATGAGAGGTCGAAGGGCGAGCTCTTTAATAGATACTGGCAAATCGAATGGTAAGAGATTTTGGGCGCCTTTTTTGAACGCGAGAATCTGACAAAGTGCTAGCCCTTCCTCATGAAGAGGTCGAAAGCTCTCAATTCTACAAACATATTGAAAGTGAAGGTCTCAGTGAGCCACGGCGAATGAAGCAGCTCCTTACGTGGTGTGGGACGAGAGCTTTGGGCGAGAAACCTTCTTTTGGTGACAAGGAAAGGGATGCTGTTTTGGCAGGTATGCACAATTAGCCATGTCCACATTGATTCAGAAGCTGATTGAAGCTAGCACGAGAGATTCAGTCTCAGTTACTGAAAGACTTCTCCGCAAAATCGGGGCTGTCAGATTGGTTCAGCAGGGTATTTACTCTTTCACAAAATCTGTAAAGAAACGTCAATTGACAGAGTTCACAGGATGATGCACCTCGAGCACCATCACCACCGAAGCCCAATCCTAAAAACATTGCAAATGAATCAAAGATCAAAGAATTGGAAGACCGATTAACACGGTAATACGATTTCTCCTACCCATTGTACTTCTCCACTAATCATTTTTCCACGTATAGACTTAAAAGTGAGCACGACGCTTACAACGAGCTTCTGAAACCTCATCCTTTGGCAAACGCCGTCCTGCCACCTCCCACTTCAGCTTCGGATCCTACAACACTCGATTTGTCCCTGCTACCACCATCGCAGCGACCGCACCTAGAGTCCCTCCTCTCTTCACAAGCTTCTTCTACAGCTCCAACATCCTCGGCTCCCCGCCGGCTTCAGTCGGTTCTCTCAAATTTGGAGCCCACGCTTGACACTTTTGCCGTATCTGTGCATGCGCTGAGATCTTACAAAGAGGTTGCAAGTGATCTAGCGGACAACATGCTGGAGAAGTGTACCACTATACTCGAAGATAGGGACAGAGAATGTGTAAAAAGAGCAAACGACGGAGAAGGAGGTGAGGGAACACGAGAAGTCCTCAGGGGACTGAGCAGGGTACTAGAAGAGCGGTAACAACCAGTGACGAGTCGGACCAAAGATTTTGGCAATCTGAAGGAATACTTTATGTTTTCTAATGACGTGAGAATAACTGTTGATTACGGGTTGAAGACGCTCAGTGGGGTCGCGAGTATGTAGCATTTGCGAAACCTCTTCTGTACATATCGTACGCGATTGAGCGAGGACAAATCATCTTAGGTTGCTGCATGTGAATTTTGCGAGTCTTCAAGCGCTGATTATCCGTAAGCATACACGTAAGGAAACCCCTCCCTTTTGATGGCGCGGAAGGTTGCTCCGCATCCGTTCGCCGGAGCATGACCTTGCTGGCAAAGGATCCATGAGTCAAGGACGGGATCTTATATTAGTACGATCCTTCCCTCGACTTCAGACCTCCGTTCTAAAAGACTTCTACCATGTTGATTGACATTCAGTGACATTTGGCCCCAATTTGCCTCCGTCGTCCAGACGGGGAAGGAGGGCATGTGATCGTCCAAGTCGCCAACAACATGGGGCCGACATTTCCGTCAGTCGCAAGCTACGATGATTAGCGCTTTGAGCCAACTCTCCCCTCTCTTGGCTGTCTCGTCCTCCAAAGAAACCATCAATACGCGAGTCTGACATGCATCAATCAGAAGAAACGAGGACTGGGGAAAGAGCACGAAAGGCGAATCCAGCAGTGAGGTGTGGTAGCCAGAGGTTGCACGGAAGATTCTTCTGGGATTCTAGAAGTTTGCCTCTATCGGCGGTTTAGCCTGAAACAGCCTTCGAGAATCGAGATAGCCTTGCGGGCAATAGAGAAAGGGCGCTGGGCGTTGGGCGGTGGCTGATGGCAACCTCCACAATGACCGATGCATTCTCTATCGTCAAGGCTAATTCTTGTCAAAAGCCTAGGAGGCGCTCCAGCCAAGCATAGGAACAACAAAGAGAGAGTCCACTAGGGAATATTCTCGCAAAGTCTATCGTTAGCAGGTCGACTGCCTCCTCAGGAGCGAAGAGTGATTCCACTCCGATGATGAGAACACCGACAAGTTCTCTGCCCTCCACTCCCAGTCCAACAATTCGTCAAAGCGGGCCACTCGCTGCGAGTTTACGACCGTCTCACCGGCGACGACGTGGCCCTCTAAGTCACCCGTCGGCTTGTACCTTCAATCATCATGGTCTACCATGCAAACGCTAGACAATGCTATCAAAAGTGGACCTATCCCAACGTCCCAAGACCCGACTATCTGACTTTTCCCCACAAGGCAACAAAATGCCATGCTCCACTCAGCCAATCAGACTACGAGCGCAGATGGCCGAAACTAGTTGAGGTACTTGCAGAAATAAGCAAGAGACCGAATCATCATCCCGTCCGGGTACCAAGGGTCCGAAGCCCCTCCACCCTTTGTTCATTTTAGCCCTCCTCCTTTCGTTGGTGACGAGATCCATTGGTACTAGGGCGATGCAACAGATAGCACTGTGCCATCGATGCAACCCAACTACTCTAAAAGAGCCGCGGTATTTGGATCGTCGCCTAGCTTGGCCAAGGAAGAAAGGGAAGCGGGGAATCGAGGCTCATCGTCAGGCCCCGGTAAACATCAGCAACAGAGCAGTAAGATGGCGAAATGCATAGACGCCTTCCTCAACCCGGAAGGTTCCCACGAATTGTACCACCCTTACGTACAATTCTACTCGAGTCTGACATGCGATTGGGGTTACGCAAAGCTCTCCAGGTGATTATATTGACAGATCCATCCCCACACGCTTCAAGAGTGTCAACCGGCATATTTGACTTAGCCTGCGACTTGTGTCCTGCCTTGCCTCTTCTTATTCGCTAGCGGGCGCATTTTCAGCTAGACGCAACCCAAGGCGGAGGGCGTAGCTCAGACCCCTCGTTAGTCAAGACACGCCGAAAGCCTGGGGCTCAAGCTCAAGCTCTAAAGCTTCAACTTAAAGATCAAGGCTTCCCCTTCTCCCCTGGGTCCTCTTCCCTTATCATACCCGGCGACGTTGCGCCACCTCTTACTTTCTTTATTTTCTATCTCAAGAGCGTTGTTATCACGCCTCATCGGGGGTGTGAAGCAAGGAGTGGTCGCTTCCTGATCGGGTTACCCCTCTTTGAGCAAGGACCCACAGATACACCACCTCTTCTTCGACCCATCACTTTCCAACTACTACTTTCCACTGCTTCAATTCACAATGGACAAAGAAGCGTACAATATGGGGAAGCTTAGTGGTGACTCGCCGGAGCATGACGGGCGGCATGATTCTGCCAACATTGTGCATGAGAAAGGCGTGGCGATGGGAGAAGCAGCGGATTTGTATGGTGATCTCGAAACTGCAGAGGATTATGGATATGTATCCAGAGGGTATGTGCACAGCATCTAGTGGCTTACGATCTGCAGAGGCTGGACATGACTGACAAGAACAAACAGGCTCAAATCACGACACATACAATTCATCGCTCTTGGTGGTACAATCGGAACTGGTCTCTTCCTCGGTATTGGGAGAGCCTTCACACAAGCTGGCCCTCTGTCCCTTCTCCTTGGGTACACCTTCACTGGTATCGCTATCTTCGCTATGATGATGTCTCTCGGTGAGATGGCAACATGGCTTCCATTACCTGGCGCAATCCCTCAGTTCTGCGCTCGCTACGTGGACGGCTCCGTTGGTTTTGCTGTGGGCTGGAACGTAAGTCTCTCTAAACATCCCCCGCGGGGCGTGGCCATACGAAGACAAGCTGACTCTCTTGAAGAACTGGTACCAATCCGCCATCACACTCTGCGCTGAAATTTCTGCAGCCTCCGTCGTCATACAATTCTGGGAAGGATCGCGTGACATCAATGTTGCAGCGTGGATCTCTATAATTATTGTGATCATTCTCTTCCTCAATGTGTTCGCGGTCTCTGTCTACGGAGAGGCCGAGTTCTGCTTTGCGTCAATCAAGATTATTACCATTGTCGGTTTGATCATATTCGCCTTTATTATCGACTTGGGCGGTGGACCGAAACGCGACCGACTCGGCTTCCGCTACTGGAACCATCCAGGGGCTATGAAAGCATTTGTAGCTGACGGCGCAACGGGTCGCTTCCTCGGTCTCTGGTCTACACTTGTGAATGCCGCTTTCTCTTACGGAGGTGTTGAAATGGTGGCCGTTGCGGCCGGCGAAGCGGAAAATCCAAGACATAATATCCCCAAGGCTGTGCGGAGAGTCTTCTGGCGTATCTTGTTCTTCTACGTCCTTGGATCTCTGGCAATTGGGGTCTTGATCCCATACAACGATGACAGGCTGTTGAAGGCACAGGAAGGTTCGGGTGACACAGGCGCTGCCTCCCCGTGGGTCATTGCTGCGTACCGCGCTGCAGTGCCCATCTTACCTAGTATCATCAACGCGGTCATCTTGACATCGGCGACTTCCTCCGCCAACGCTTTCCTTTACACCGGATCAAGATATCTGTATGCTCTAGCACAGAACAGGCAAGCTCCGCGCTTCCTGCTTCGATGCACGAAACGGTAAGCACTTTGCTCTCCTCTGTTCATAAATCTCAATTGCTAACGATAATCGCTTACAGGGGTATTCCCATCTACTGCATCCTGATCACTGCCTCAATCTCCCTCTTGACCTACATGTCCTGCTCTTCAGGCTCCGCCACCGTCTTTACGTGGTTCCAAAACCTAACTACAATCGCCAACCTTTTCACCTGGATGTCCGTCTCGCTGGCTTACATCAAATTCCACGCTGCACTGAAAGCTCAAGGGATTGACCGCAGTCTACCGTTCAACCAAGAGACCAACCCGAATGGCCTCGTTTTCCGCTCACCTTTCCAACCATACACTGCCTGGTTCAGCTTGAGCTTCTTTGCGCTCGTCACGGTGTTCAACGGCTTCTACGTTTTCCCTTCACCAACGAGGAAATTTGACCGAGACGGGTTCATTACAAATTATGTCGGTATTCCGATCTACTTTGCACTTCTGATCTTCTGGAAGGTGTTCAAGAGGACAAAGTGGGTGAAAGCAGAAGAGGCAGATATCTTTACCGGGAAGAAGGCGCTAGATTCGGCGGTCTGGCCTGACCGTGTGCCGAGAAACGCCCTGGAGAAAATATGGTTCTGGATTGCTTAGTTTGAAGCCTTTTTTCATTGCATTTACACGGATGGCTAGCTGGGTTGCTGTAACTTTTTCACACGATCGATTGAGCGCTGAACACGGCCCGGGAGGGCCTGGAGGGGATGTGATCGCATTCGAATGGCTCACGCCGGGGGTGGTGGACGAGGATAAGGCATTTATGTATGAGGTGACGAAGCAGATATGAAGGGTCGGTATCTAGGAAGAGAATTAGTAGGGGTGAAAGCAGTCTAGTGATCAAGATTACTATCCCAGACCAAATAATTGTTCTGAAATTCACTGAACTCAACGATCCACAGCGACGATGTAACTTTAGAGTTGACAGATGGTTGGAATAATCCTTGTCTGCGGTGAGCTGACGTGCGTTAGGCGCCTTTTGAGCCCGTTTTACAAAGCCTTTCTTCGGTTTTCCAGGTCCGCAACGCGTATGATGTAAGCAGTCCGGAGTAATTGCACAAGGGGCTCAATATTGCTTGTAAAGAAGTAATGCTCCGATCAGTCGTTACGATTTCGTTCGCTCCAAGCCAATGCATCAAGAGCATGACCAAGCACGTCCGGACCATGCATTTTCGGGATTGATCCACGTCAGGGCGGGGTCAGCACCCCCGAAAAAGGCCCTCCCTTTCTGCGCATTCTACGACAACTACCAAGTATCACAAGTCTAACTGCTAACAATTGCCTACAAACTACAAATACAAGATGGAAGGAATACATGGCGTGGACGTAAGCTGGCTGCATCACTCACCAAAAGGTACATCCTCTACCGTCAAAGCCCGATCAATCAGCGCCAATGTCGAAGCTTCTCACCCACCATGCGAAGCTTTGCTGACCCTTCATAGCAGACCGCAATGCGCATAATGCAGCGACCCAGGCTACAGATGCAGACGGCAGCCCAGCGCATAAGACAGCATCTGCTCCACAGAACCACCAGCAAGATACCTCTCCCAAAACGAACGGTATTACCTCCACACCTCATCAGTCGCATACTCACCGACCTTCGCTCTTACACCGGTCACAATCTGAGAAAGCCGAGAAGGCAGAGTCTCCTCAGATTGTCCCTAAAAGCCAAAAAGACCAGAAGCCGTCGGGTCCGGGACGAAAAAGCTCATGGGTTTCTAGCATCAGCTCTAGATTCTCGAGTTCGAAGCAACCGTCGACAGAGTCAACCGAGGTTTCAACGTCACCGCCTTCAAAACCAGCCAGAAGCCCATCAATAGACCACTCAAATCCGTTTGGCGCCGCCGTCTCTCCAGGCCAGAAGGATGAGAAAAAGAACACAGAGCCTCTAACTATTACCCCACCAAACTCTCCAGGAAAGAGCCATGGCTTTTTACAAAGCGCGATGCGAAGATTGTCTGCCAGTGGTAGCTCTTCTATTGGGAAGCCTGCGGGCACTGGCGCGGCTTGTGCTCGAAAGACCATGAATATTGATCCGTACCGGGAACGATGCCCATTGCCGGACTTGGAGCAACAAAAGTTGAGACGGGTTGCTTTTTCAGTGGATGTCGAGATTGCTGGATCGGCACAATACCCGGGCGCCGAAGTGGAACCGCATGTCAACTCGCTTTACATCGATGGAGAGCCTCAGCGGAACAAGCCTGAACGTGAGGATGAGGATAAGAAGCAGAAGGATCAAAAGCATAAAAGGGCGGAAGGAGACGCTCTCAAGGGTCCCTCGCCGAGTCTTGTAGGAGACAAGGATGTTGAGAACGCAGACAAGAATTCCAATATCGGACCAGTATCAGATGGCACAGTAGATCTACAGCTAGCGAATGGGGAGGAGAAAGCCGAGCCAGCTAAAAAGAAAGAGAAGAAAAAGCGATCGGAAGAGGAGCGCAAGCAACGGAAGGAGAGAAAGCAAAGGGATGCTCTTGCTAAGGGCAAGATCCCGGCAGAAATACATCGAGAAGGTAGTGATAGTGGGAGCTCAACACCACCTGGCTCTCAGACCCCACCAAAAGCACAAGATCGACCGACTACAGATCCTCTGAGAATATACCGCCGATGTTGTCAGCTTCGAGAAACGCCTGTTCAGAAGCGGATTGTCGAGCAGATATCTTCACCTTCTGCTTGTTCCCAAACAGAGCCAGGTGTTCTCTCCAGCCTCGATCTCTCTGGATACTGGATGCAGCTCCCTGACGTGATCACCCTCGGTGATTACTTAGCAGTCGTGCCCGTCAAACGCTTGAGTCTGGAAAATTGCGGTTTTGGAGACGAGGCTGTACGAGTCATTCTTGCTGGTTTACTCGGAGCCAAAACACCAGAGCAGGCAAAGTTCAACAGGAAGTTGGGGAAGAAACATCCGGACAAAGCAAAAGGTGTAATGGAGACACTCGGGGTTATTGAAAAGCTCAATCTCAAGAATAATCCAAAGATTGGTAAAGAAGGGTGGCGGTATATTGCCCTCTTCTTGTATCTGTCGAGGTCGCTAAAGGCCATTGATCTTTCGATGATACCATTCCCACCACCGCTTACAAAATCAGACAGCGCTAAATCACACAGCGACCATCCAGTCAGCCAAATAGACTTGCCAACGATGTTGCATGACGCAATCAGTACGAGGCTAGCAGGTGATCATCTAGAGGAGTTGGTCATGTCGAAGTGCAGTCTCAGTCCTGAATGTGTGGGACACATTGTTGAAGCTGTCATCAAATGTGGTGTCAAGCGACTTGGTTTGGCTAGCAACGATTTGACAGAGGAAGGCTTTGATCATGTGCTTCGATATCTGAGAGCAGGACAGTGCGAAGGACTTGATATCGGTGGCAACGACGTACGGAGATATCTAGAGGCCCTCACGGAAGTTCTAAATGATCAACATCCGCTCATTGCACTGAGTCTTGCAGATTGCAAACTAGCTCCATGCTCTCTCGAGCACCTCTTCCCATCTTTGATACGACTGCCCAACTTTCGATTCCTCGACCTCTCTCACAATCGCGATCTTTTCACGACGAAGCCATCCGCAATCAATACTATTCGTAAATATCTACCCCAATTCCCGATTCTGAAGCGATTACACCTTCTTGATGTTGCAATGACACCTGAGCATGCGATTGCGCTCGCAGAGGTCCTACCAGAAAGCAAATTGCTAGCCCACCTGAACATCCTCGAGAATCACCTCCTCGCTCCATTATCCGAGGCAAAGACAGAGACAGCTCAAGAAGAAGCGTGCGCCTTCTATGCATCCTACATGGCGGCTGTCCGTGTCTCCGAATCAATCATATGTGTAGACCTCGAAGTCCCGAGTAACGAATCTAGCGATATCGTCAAAGCTTTGGCGAAGCAAGTCGTTGCATACTCTCTGGGAAATATGGAACGCATGCCACTTGCCGAGACTACAGACTCTGCAATTGCAGCAATGACTGAACCTCACGGTAGCGATGAAGACAAGACTGTACCTGACATTCTCCTCCATCTAGTTGGACACATGGACGGCTATCAAGAAGATCATGACGATGACGAGCCTGCGCCAGACAACGACTACATCGTTGGAGGCACAGGCCTAGTCAAAGCTCTTGATATTTGTTTGAAGAGAGCAGGTGAAGGAAGGATGGGATCATCCACCGACCTGCAATCAGCAAGCGGCACAGGTACCCCTCAAGCAGTTCTACAACATAGTGAGGTAGCCAAAGGCAAAGCGAAGGAAATGTCCAAGAACCTGCTCGAGAGCGCCCGCAAAATCCGCGCCAGACTTCAGCCCGCTCTCATCAAAGAAGCTCGCGCTGGGAATGGAATGGATTATCGTAAGCTTTGCCCCCACAAACATCTCTCTCTCATCTATTCCATTCCTTACTTACAAATACCAGACCGTCTCAAATTCCTCGACACAACACTCGAAGGCATGATCCAGCGTTTCGAAGACGAATACCCCGAAACCCGCCTCCCTGCCTCTCCCTCCACCCTCCCCACCGACATCTCCTCGCCGCCACCCTCTTCACCACCCACGTCATCCCTCTTCCCCGAAATCGACGCCACAGCCACAACCTCTATCGTCCACCACCCCACCACCAGCTTCTCCTCCCGCCGTTCTTCCTCTCCCGGCCTCGCATCCCGGCAAGCTCAAGAAGAAGGCCGCATGCACCGCATTGGACAGCGCCTGCGCCGCGAGATTTTCAAAACCGACGCCGAGACCAACAGCGAGGGCGAGGGCGCTCTCCTGGATCGCACGGGCAACGAATCCGACCCGCCCCATTTGCAGGAATTGAGGGGTAAGCTGGAAGAGTTCGAAGGGAGGGAGCTGGAGGAAAGGATGAGGACGCTGGGGGTCGAGGGCGTGCTGGGCGCTATTGGCGCTAGTAAAGAGGAGTTGGAGGAGTTGGAGCGAAAGACGAAGATGTTGGTTGAGGAGGGCAGGGGGGAGGGGGATGAGGAGGCGTGCAGGCGGTGTAGGGAGATGAGGAGGATTAGGGAAAGGGTGGAGGAGATTTGGAGGGAGGAGGTTGCGAGGGATTTGGAGCGCGGGGGTTCGGGCGTTTTGAAGTGATGCTGTTTTTTATGATGCTATGCTTGGGCCGGGGGGTTAGGGGTCTGTATGTTCTGAGAACGGGCGAAATGACTTGGGTTTGGGGTTGTATATGCTGCTTTTATCCTAGTTTAGTTTACATACCCCGGATTGCTTGTTTTCTTGTAGCGAGCTTTATGGGTGTGAATTCATTGAACTTTTACTCTCCTCAACATGCCTGAGTCCCTTACCATCTCCATTGAGGCATCGTGAGAAAGTTGTCCGTGCTATTTGGTCTACAATGGGAATTGTTCGGTTTCCTGATTCGGTCATTTTGAAAGTCTACCATCGGATTGGTTGGAGTTTCTTTCCGGCGCGTGACAACTTCTTGCCGGTACTTTTATCTACGTTTTCTGCTGGCTTCTTTTGCCAGCCCGGGGAGAACGTTTGACCTAGGCTGTCTATTTTGGGCATATATTAGTAATTTTGTTCTGGCTGAAGACTACGCACCTTGTATGAATCATTAAGATTATGGGTAGGGAGAGGGATGGGATGGACGACAGTCGAGGTTTCTGTTTCTGTTAAAAGAGGGGGAAGGCGATGGGGGGAGGGGGTGGCATGGTGGTGGAAAGGATAACAAGAAATACTGTGTCTATTTCGTAGGAGACGGCTAGAATGTGACAGTGTAGCTACACATCTAGCTACCATCGAGAATCTTCAGACCACGTCTGTTGTCCGTGTACCGGCGGCGAGCATTCACAATTCCCCTTGGACCCAAGCTAAGGACCTGCTCATCTGGACTTCTTGAGCAAAGCCTCGCGCTCCTTTTTGCCCATATCCTGTACTCTGTCTCACAAATCGCCCTTCACCTTTTCAATCTTCGCCTTGACCCTCTCTCTCCTCTCGTCATACGTCAGCTTCTTCGTCCTGTATTTCTTCGACTCCGCTTTCCAGTAATCCTTATCCTTCTTCTCCCCATCCTCCTCATCATCCTTCTTCCACGGATCCTCCCTAATCGCCTTGTGTGCCTCGGTGTACACCTCCTCCAACCCATCTGCCTCCACCTCATCATCAATATACCCTTGAAACTGGCTCTTATACCGCTCCTCATCATCGTCCGCAAGCGTCTCCATATACTCCGCCACATGGCCTCCGAAGATATACTTCCTCAGCGTCTCAGCGTCCAGCTCCTTGCTCTCCAGATCATACCCTGGAAACCTGTTTTCTGAATGCGGCACGAAGATACCACCATCGCTTGCACCCTTCATAGCGCCGAATACACGAGCACCCGTAGACGTGCGGGCTAGACCAACGTCCAAGATCACTTTAAAAGGACGGCGCTCTTCACCATCGACCTCCGCCGCCTCTGTCAGGGCAAACTCCCCATCCGCCTCCTCCACGCCCGTGAAACTCTCCGCCAAGTCCAATTTACTCAGCGCCCGTCTCGCAAGCAATAGTCCCGTGGCGTACGCGGCCGCCCAATTCGCAAGACCGTGCTTGATGCCATAACGCTTAAGTTCGTGGGCGTAGGCGGCGCAGAAGACCTTGTCACCGTCGATCTCGGCAACGATGATTTGCGTGATGATGTCTTTGTTGGTGAAGCGGACAACCATGCGGTATTTCGCGGCATTGTATTTGTTCTTTGCTTGGCTGATGAGCCGTTTGCGGGCGTAGTAGTCGGTTTTTCCTTCGCGGCGGCGACGGTATTTCGTTTGGTACCGGCTGTGGGGTAGATTGTTAGTGAGGTCGTTGTGAGTAGGGAAGGGGATAGGGAGAGGGTGTAAGAGGGTAAGACGAATGAGATGGAGGAAGGAGACAGACCTGTAGTACGCGCTGTTTTTGACCAGCTTGGTGAAAGTCTAGAGGTGCCATGTTAGCTTGTCATTCGAGCTTAAAGCAGGGTTCCTGCTTATGGAAGTAAAGGATGATGCAGTGGGAACGTCAGAGGAAGCCTTACCATCTTGATGGCCTTTCTGTGCTGGTAATTGTCAACTCAACACGATGGAGTGCTCGTGGTGGTTAGGAAATAATTTTGGTGGGGTGGATTTTGTGTGCCTCGTCCCCCACCAAAAAAGCAGAAGCGAGCAAAACCGCATCTGATGTGAATTCTGTAGGGTCTTAGGGGAAGGGCAACGTAAATGAATGCGAAAGATTGCTCAAGTCTTCGATAGATCGTTTTGATTACCTATCTACCGAATTCTCTGGTTCTACACCATGAGGGCTGAGGGAGCCTCTTGAGCTTCAGTCCCCTTCGAAGCCACATCCAATGAACACATTTCCAGGGCTTCGTCTTCCAGGATGCCCATCAACATCACTTTCAATTCCGAATTGACCTGCAACACCAGTTGTCGCTATGTACAACATTACGAATTAAACATTGACACAATAATAAGATAAATATGGGGTATAAAGCGTCGCATATATGCGTAGGTGATCCAAATCCAAGAATAGGTATTAGATATCGAAGACCGCTAAATAGATAGTGAGGTATCACATCATCATCATGAGTTTAGTTGTCCGCCGTTCAGGAAAGCGTCTGCCGGCGCCAAAGCCAAGTCCACTGCTCGGCATTTGTGCCGCTCTGAAAGCGTGTTGCTCACAGAGGGTTCGGCCTTTCCACTCGAAGAAATCGTCCCTTAGGATCTTGTGGCATTCTTGGCAGGTGAAGCAATAGGAGTGAAATTTTCTGCTTGTCTCAGTCTCCAGGTACTGTCCTTCGATGCCCCTGTCACAACCCTGGCAAAGCGAGTTGTTCAGCTCGTGATAATGACGAGAGCAGTATGGATGGTTTTTGAGGACATAAAAGTCCGCTGTCAAAAATGGATTGCCACATGTAGTGCACACAAAGCAGCCTTTATGATAGCGTCCAGTCAGACGACCATCTGCTGAGCTGACAGACTTGCCTCTAATAGGTTCGTCGCAGCCTCGGCATATTCCTTTATCTGGGGGCCGGAAGCGTTGTGGTGGAGGTGGACACGAGGCGACTGTTGGGAGAGCAGGCCGCGACGGTGCAGGTGAAAAGTGAAAATGGTCAAGAGAACCTTGTGAGCCAGCACTGGAGATCATGTAATCGTCCGGCGACGTCTGCTGAGGACTGGTCTGTTGCGCTGGATGTTCATGGGGTTCAATCATTGGGACGGTAGGTTCGGTAGACAAAGATGGAGCCCGAGAAGGATATCTCAATCCCTGACGATCAAACTGCGATTTGAAAGGAGGCGGATATGGTCGCGATTCTTCAAAGGGCGGAGCAGTTCTTTGCCTCTGCAGTGGTGGAGGACCATGATCGAGCTGACCCATTCGAGGTGCCTGATCAGGAGCAGAAGGCCTTCGAGTTCGTTCTGGCGAAGGTGGATGTATTGCCAGAGGTGGATGATTCTTTGGAGGTTGAAAAGATTCTTGTGTTGGCGACTTCCTTTCGACATCAAATTGGAAGCCGCTGAATGGATTATCATTACGAATATCTTCAAAAGCAGGAGGCTTCTGTCTCTGGGGCGACTCTTGTAAAGGGGGCTCGACCTCGAACTCCCTGTTCTTACCCCAGAACTATAAGACCCATTAGAAGAGGTTGATTCATTAGGTGTATGGTTTGATGTCTCGGAGGCATGATTTGCTTTTTGAAAGGCTGCTGGAACAGGTGGAGGATCCTGTGGCGTGGTCTTAATGCCAAGCTCATTCGGAGTTGGTCTGGTTGATGCTGTTGACGCTTTTCGACCCCGGATAGAGCGTGATGACTTGAATGAGCTGGAACTGCCAATGCTATCCAAAGGAGCCATTGCTGCTGTGACAGAAGGTCTCGGCTTATGAGTGTATGGGTGAGGTTCCGGAGCCTTTCGCTCAGTACTTGGTCGCCGTTCAGGTGATTTGTTGTCATCGCGTCTCTCCGTTGGGGTCTCGTCCGAATCCTGAAGACCAAAATCAAAGCCTTTCTCTTGTCCCTCGTGAGGCAATGTTGGGCTATCCTGCAAGGTTGTATCTCGGTTTTTGAGCTGTGATGGAACCGCGGGTACATCTGGTGCATCCATTGCGTATCGCGAAGTTGTACTCGATACTGTAGATGTCGATCGGACTCGCGTATAAACGGAGCTGGAGGCTGAAGTCTTGCGATTGTGTGATTTCACGGTCAAAGCACTCGTCGGCCGAGACGAAAAGTCTTTACTACTTCCCATTGATGGACTCTTTTTGTGCCCCTTGAGAGCAAGACCCTCGCCAACATCCTTCTTAGCACTGAAAGGGCCTGTCGAAAGACCGTTGAGCTTTTGCATAGTCTTGCTCGTTGCAGTCACCGAAGTGTTTTTGGAGGGTGGCTCTATTTCTTTATTTTCTGGTCTTAAGGGTAAAGTCTGAGTTCTTGCGAAGGATGGTTTCACTTCCACTGGTAAGGTTGGGGTAGTGCTACGTGAACGAGTCGTAGGAAACGTAGGGAAAGCACCATCTTGAGGAAGTGAGATATTATCAGATGGCGGTCGCGAGGGCAGTGGAGATGTTTGACTTCGGGATGGTGGCAGGTAAGGAGATCTGCGGCCAGATAACGACGGGACAGGTGAGGCAGTTCTAGGACTACTTTCTCCGCTGCTGGTAGTCGAGAAGGGTAATCTGATGGAGGATATCGAGTTTGCTGTGGGACCTGGTCAGCAATCTCCAGCAGGCCGCCTTGGGTGTCACTCTTCAACCTACATGTCCCAACATTTTGGAGCCTGGGCGGGGGCTGCCGATTGGCACTCAACCCCAATGGTGATTTCTTGCGCGGCGAGAAAGGATCGCTGAGTACATCGAGGCGGGCTGCAGGTGCTGGAGGTACTGGGACGGATCAGTCAGATTTGTTGGGTCGCAATAGGTGGAGACGCCTGCAATTACCCTTTGAGCAAACATGATCTCCCAGTTGGGAAATCGGGATATCGACACTGCAGTTGGAGCATTTTATCGTGGGTAGGATGGTAGACACCCTGACTTCCGCCATGACCGTTCTATCATCGCCTCCAAACGCGCCTGAGCTGTGGAATGTCCAGGGACGCAAAGACGGATATTTACTGCGCGTACTGGCAGTGTTGGGTATCTTCCTGTACTCCAAAGATCATGATAACATTAGGAATATCAATTGTGTAGTCACAAAATCACACAGTCCATCGTAGGCGCTGGATCGAGGGAAAGGATTGTCGTGAGAGCGTTCAATTCGTCGATTGGTTGATCTAGGGAAATGAATTCAGCCTTAAGAATTAGTGAGGATTAAAGAATGTATTGGTCTCCTAAAAATGAGTGACGTCGATCAATGAATGGAAGGGCAAGTCGAAGCCTGACCCTGACTATCACTTGGAGTAAGTGAGCCTTTGAAAAGACAAGAAGCAAAGGAGCGTGTGTATGGGGACGGAGAGCAGCAGGTGGTGAATTTGAGGTCGCGCGATACAGCGAAATTGGCTTAAGCTCCCACCCTAGGCTCAAACAAGAAAAGCCACCATCGTTAGCCGCACCTTTAGCCGGGCTTGGCATCCCTTTTCTCCTTTTCTTGCACGAGTCCAGCGCCGTCGTCGCCGGATGCAATTTCCCCCCCGCCTGCAGCTTAAGGGAAGCCCATGATCTACTTCCGTATGATGGGATACCAACATTCCCATATGTCTCGCCAGCACCGACGGCATCAACCATATTGCTCTGGCAAACTGTTGGGCTACTCAATGTTGTCACACCGCAAAGTTGCATGACATATGCGCTCTTGACGCCAAATTCTCTGCCACATGCAAGAGCGGGACACATCTTGACCGCTACAGATGCCTCATTCCGATAGGTTGTTGAGGGTCGGGGCCTTCTCTCTGGTTCCTGACGATCTCTCAGCGCATGCGACCCCCTGATAGCCGTGCGCTCTGAAGGATTCAGGGGACTGCCAAAATGTGCCGCATGCCCCACAGCACCCACCCACTGAGACTTATGTTATCAGGGCATTGGAGCGCAACCTTTCGTGTTCTCGGTAGAGATCTCGTCGGCACCATGTCGGTGCTGTATTCCTCACTGTCAGTTGGCTTGGCACTCGTGCATCTCTGTGCCGTTACAAGTTGACGCATTCGTCCCTTCCGAGGTCGGAGGCCACTTCATTCGCCCTGGTAGCGAATGAACACAATGATGGGCCCGACGACGACGAGGATGGCATCATACTCGATATCTCAAGTCATTTCCATTGGCCTTCCAGCCCTCACGAGTCCCATTGCACTCGACAATGCAGGTGAATATCTGCCTTGTTCTGACGCAATTCATACACGATACCACTTTTTAGCTTGGGCATCGATGCTTCTCACAATGATAGTCTGAGCATTTGCTGCCAGTTGGTTACCAATCTTTCCAATGAATTGCCTTTGCCCTAGACTAAACGCTATCGATAGCGTGCTTCGCAAGAAAGTGGGGTGTTCGATCTCCACACAATAAAAACGTCCATCCTCTTCGTACTTCCTCCATATCCTCGTTCATGTGGGAAGCATCTGCATAATTTCGTCAATCCTCACCTGTCGACTATATCTTCTCTCCGGATCGCACGAGTTGCGATCACGAACACCGCCAATACGTATTCCAATCTATTAAACTCGTCAGTAAACCCCACCAGCAAGAAGCAGTAGACCCAGATGATCAATTGCTGACAAGCATGCTCTACAGAGTGCACCACCCGTTCAACGGAGGCCGACGCTCTTCCTCTCCAGGCGGAGCATCGGACTCGCCCTACGTCAAGTAAAAGACTTCTCGACTCTCCAAGGATTACCAATCACCGAGAGACTTGATCAGTCCTCGCAATGGCACCACATGCTGAACTCTCCAATGGGTATTCCCATATCTATGGGATTCCCCCTCAAGAGAACAAGGACCTGTTGGAGGTTAATTCTCCCAATGTGGTCTATACAGACCGAGAGATCAAGAGCAAGTATGTCTACCATACAACTGCGGTCTCCAAGTCTGGCGGCAGATACGTTGCCACGCCGAAGGAGACTGCCTATGACTTCAAGGTTGAACGGAAAGTGGGGAAGGTAGGCCTCATGTTGGTCGGCTTAGGCGGTAATAACGGTTCGACCGTTACTGCCAGCATCATTGCCAACCGTCGTGGTTTGACCTGGGACACTCGCGAAGGGCCTAAGACTGCCAACTACTATGGCTCAGTCGTCATGGCGTCGACCATGAAGCTAGGCAATGAAGCGAAGACTGGTGACGAGATCAATATTCCTTTCCACGACGTCATGCCTATGCTTCACCCTAACGACCTGGTCATTGGAGGTTGGGATATTAGCAGCATGAACGTTGCCGCAGCCATGGATAGAGCTGCTGTGTTGGAGCCCTCTCTAAAGAACCTTGTTAGGAAGGAGATGGCCGAGATGAAGCCGCTACCTAGCGTTTACTATCCGGACTTCATTGCTGCTAATCAGGGTGAGCGCGCCGACAATGTCATCGAAGGATCCAAGGCTAGCATGGCTCATGTCGAACACCTTCGAAGCGATATCAAGTAAGTTTCCTGTAGTCAAATCCTTGCCGATGCTCACGTATCATGTAGAAACTTCAAGCAGAGTCATGGCCTTGACAAAGTCATTGTGCAATGGACTGCGAATACCGAGCGCTTCGCCGATGTCGTCGAAGGCGTCAATGACACAGCCGACAACTTAATGAAGGCCGTCGAGCAAGGTCATGCAGAGGTTTCACCCTCCACCATCTTCGCCATTGCATGTATTCTGGAGGGTGTCCCCTTCATCAATGGATCTCCTCAAAACACCTTCGTTCCAGGTGCTATTGAACTTGCTGAGAAGCATGGTGCCTTCATTGGTGGCGATGACTTCAAGTCTGGTCAGACGAAGATGAAAAGTGCCCTTGTCGACTTCATGATCAATGCTGGTCTCAAGCTCACTTCCATTGCCAGCTACAACCACCTTGGCAACAATGATGGCCTGAACTTAAGCTCCCAGAAGCAATTCCGATCCAAGGAAATCTCCAAGTCCAATGTGGTCGATGACATGGTTGCTGCAAACAGTGTGCTCTATGAGAAGGACGAGCATCCCAATCATACTGTCGTCATCAAGTACATGCCGGCTGTAGGTGATAACAAGCGTGCATTGGATGAGTACTATGCCGAGATTTTCATGGGTGGACACCAGAGCATCAGCATGTTCAATTCTTGCGAGGATTCCCTTCTGGCATCACCCTTAATCATTGACCTGGTGGTTGTGGCTGAGATGATGACTCGTATCTCTTGGAAGCTTGAGGGCGACAGCGAGTACAAGAAGTTCCATAGCGTGTTGAGTGTGCTTAGCTATATGCTTAAAGTATGCGCCATCCATCTCAACTAAGCCCTGGCTAATCAATGACAGGCTCCCTTGACTCCGCCAGGCACTCCTGTTGTTAATGCACTTGCCAAACAGCGCAGTGCATTGACCAATATCTTCCGTGCCTGCATTGGTCTTCAGCCTGAGTCCGACATGACTCTTGAACACAAACTCTTCTAAGATGCGCAAGTATGGACTTGGCTGAGAGCTGCATTTCGGGTTTTGTCAAGTTGGAGGCTGCAAGAAGTGGATAATGCGTAGAATCATTGCCTCATGATCAAGCCACATTCATTGAATCATTCACCATCGTCGGGAACGGTTAGTATTGGTAGGTCCGTGACGATGCATGGCGGTAGGCAAGCATTCTTTCCCGTCCTTAGATCACCTAATAAATCTCGTTCTGCCGCCTCGACAATTCTCGTTTGCTTCATGACGCTCTGCACATAGCTGTCGTATGCATTGTTCCCTGTTCAGTCCATCAGAGACAGACTCGCAGCAGCTGCAAAATTGAGCGCCTGTGGAAGCCCACTTGTCCAAGCTGGGTCAAAGCCCTAGTTTCGTTGACGACACTCTTTTCCACAACCCAACTATTGGCATATTGAACACCAACAAAGTGACCTATACCATCCCGTGATGTCTGCTCAAGCATCGTCCATTCAATCGTACTTTCAGCGGGAGAATTGCAACCCAGGGACCGGCATGCAGCGGAATACCACAGCCGGCGGTGATTCTACTTCCAGTGCCAAAGGACCCACACCGAGTGAGAAATGGCAGCCTCGCTCCCAATACACTGAAAAGCAAATCCGCGATCTCAAAGTAGGGCCAGGCAACGTCTCGGTGACTGGTAGAGTGGTAAACTTCTATGAGCAGACCAGCAGGGGCAAGTCACCCCTCGCCGCAAAGGGCTCCTTAAAGATTGTTGTCAAGGATGACTCTGGTGCAATCACGGTAAGCTTGTCAAATCTCGTTTCCGGGCAACCTACTAACATTCGTGGCCTCCTAGGTCAAGCTGTGGTACGCCAACAAGATTTATGCTCTCAAACTCGGCGACCTCGTCACCATCTGGACTCACCATATCTCGAACCCGGAAAACTCCTCTCCTACCATTCAACACGCTTCACTAGTGACATCGATGTTTCCGGAACGGGACAATACTAGTTATTTTCAAATTCAAGGGAACGTTCCAGGTTATTCAGGCAAGACGCCTCTCGGATACCGCTTCGGATTTCCAATGCCTGGCTTGGTGACCCTCAAAAACTTTATCGATGGTGCTCATGAGGTCACAAACATGAGTATACTGGTCTGCGTGAGGAGTATTGGAGTCATGAAGAACTGTAAGCAGTAATCTGTGTTTGACAGTAGACGAAACTAACATACAGCAGTCACAAATAAGAAGGGTCAGCCCATTCAAAACATCTCCGTACACCTCTTCGATCACACAGCTAGCATCACTCTCACCTTATGGGGCAGCTTAGTCGCGTCTACAACAGCGTGGAAGCCCTCAAGTACCGTCCTAATGATCACAAACCCCGATTTCCGTGGTGATCACAAGCCCACCATTGGTCTTCGTAACGAAACCTGTGTCGAGGTTGATCCTCTTATGTTTGATGCAACGTGGCTAGAGGATTATGCACAGAAATTAGCCAAGCATGAATGCGTTAATCCTCCATTTCCTCAAGGTGGTAGGTGACGTCTCCCTTCTAAATGACTTATGCTGAAGTCTCTACAGTATTTGACTTGAACGCCATTTTCGCGTCTCCACAAAGGGCTTTCTTCACAGGCGAACAGCTTAGTAATTGGTGCGTCTTTCCCTGTCCTATATCCATTCTCATAGGAACTTAGGTGCTGATATCTCTCAAGGGTAAGAATCGCCCCGGACCAAAAGATCACCGGCTACCTCGTCGTACGCCTCATGGAGCTGAACATGGACTCACTGCATAAGCAGAAGAGGCTCTTATGCGCCGAATGGTATGACTTTCTCATGACCTTCCCCCATCCCTCATCTGCCCTCCCCACAGTCCTACCCTGTTGTCTGTTGCCTTCTCCATCCCCTCCTTATGGCTAATCTGCCTTATTAAATCATGTGCTAACGGCTCTAGCTGCGGCATTCCCCTCTACTCCTCCTCAACCAGCCGTCTCCAATGCTCCCATTGCTTTAATATCGTCGCGCTCCGCCCAAACCCTAAGATTCTCGGCCGTGTGATCGACGAATCGGGTGCCCTGGACGCCAGTGGCATGATTTTCAGTCCTGCAGCCTGGCTGCAATTGTTCGGCAGAGATGCAGAGGGGCTGATTGAAGCCTGGTCCGGGCGGGGGGAGGTAGGCAGATACTTGGAGTCGAGACTCCTATAGCTGAATTTCGCTTTGCTATTTAGCTGGGACGCCAGCGTAGGGAAGCTCTACGTGCTTCGCTTGACGGTTGTTTAAGTGGCGACGAAGAAGAGAAGGTAGATGCTTCGTCTATTATGCCTGCAAAAGGCACGTTCCATAGGTAGCTAATTAAAATAAGACTGCTATTCCTAAACTTTATATGGTTTCTGATTCTTGCAATGAATATTAGATGTTTGAGAGGCTAGCGAAGCTAAAGAAGGAGGTAAGAGCGACTCCTGCAAAGCGAAGGTATCCTTTGTAAGCCTTAGATCTTTTCGACGATATATAACTATCCTTTTCTATAAATCTGCCTATATCTGTAGAGCCTCTAGTAAAGTAATACATAAATTAATACCCTCGTTAGAAGTGAATCCTCGACCTATGCGTAGGTTACTTCTTCTACTCAAGAAGGTGTATATGGCTGCAGCAGCAATGCTATCTAGAAGAAGTATTTATGTATTACTTAGACATTGCATTTGCAACCCATTCTTTACCGTAGAAAAGAGAACTTTGACTATTGCATAGCTGGGAACAGGGATTGAACAACGTCTAAGCGGAGTAGGAACTCTAGAATAGACGTATTTAGAGAGGCAAAACGGGATGTAGGGACGGCGGTGGCGTTCGGTATATAAAGAAGGGGGCAATGACACACTTTGGAGGGTGGAAATGAGGTATTGCGAGGGCATAAAGGGGTCAAGAGACGCTGCTTATGCTTTATGCATATTGGAAATAGAGGAAGTAGCAATGCTTCAATAATTAACTTTAACCTCTATATTATATCGCGTATATAATCTATATCCTCGATACAAATTTCAACGCCGGAAGAGCGCCCGCAAAAGTCTCGTAACTTGACTCGATACAAGCGTGGAAAAACAACCAGGAGGGCCGGGATTGTAGGTGTTGTAGTGGAAAGGGACAAGGAAGTCAGGCTTCTATTGATGCATGTTCCTCACAAGCCAGGTCTTTGCCCTTTGGCAGTGTTGAGAACATCGCTGGCTCGTTGGATTGGCGGCCTTATTTGGCTTTGTGAGAATCTGTTGTTCTCTTGTCTTTTTTGGGTTTGTCGAGATCATCGGGCAGATTGGCGGGATATCGTTTCGATTGTTTTTCGTTGTCAAATTGGCTGCCGATGCCATCGAATAGGTTTGGTGAGGAGTGATTTTGCTTTTCTTGCTTTTGCTCGTTCGCTTTTTCGGTGATGCCCCCTTGCTGAGAGAGTGTTGCTTCTGAGCTCCTTGAGCTGCCTTTATGTGCTTGCATTGACATGGCGATTGGTTGAACGCGGACGGTCAGTGGATGCACTACTCGTGAGTGGGATAATTGAAAAGGAGACCAGCGAAACAAAATCTTGTGGAAACTAGAAAGGAAGATCGTTGGGGTAGGTTCAGCAGTGGCTCCTTAGAAAATTGAGAAACAACACAGCATTTGAACGCTCGAAGGTCATGAGAGAAGAGTATTTAAGTAGACTAGAGAGATGAGAACAATAGGAATCTTTGTTGACTGTTTCCCATGCAATCGTGAAGAGGCCGTTTGTCAATGCCATTGAAGGGTCAAATCCCTGTCAAACATGCAGACAAACACCAAAATGAAGATTGACCGCAAATATGGAGGCCACGAATCGGAGACTATCTTGTTGGGTGCAATGTCAGTGCACATTCGACTGATGATTTGCAGGATTGAGCGGCCTCCCATAAGGCTCACCCAAAGAAGCAAAGCACAACTGACATTCGCCTGATGATTCGCAGGATCGAGCGGCCTCCAACAAGGCTCACTCAAACAAGCAAAGCAGCATGCATGAGAGCAAAGGTATGATGGTGGGTATGATTTCTCCAGATTGAAAGCTGCTGACAGCAGCGGCCTCATCTGGTGGCGCCATAGCCTGACGTTTGCTCGCTTTTGAGGAAGGGAGACCTGATTTTGTCCGGATTCCAGAATGATTGGACACAGGGACCGGCCTCCATGGAGTGGATCGTCATACCGAAAGCTCTGTAGCGATGAGATGGCATCTGCGTGCGCTGAGGCTAAGGCTTTTTTGATATTGCACTAGAACTAGGCTCAATTAGGCAGGAGCGGCCTCCATTTAGTGCGATGGAGGCCGCTGCTCTCATCCACTGCCAGCTGTCCAAGCTCAACGAGGCTGAGGGCGTCTGAATGACATATATGAGGGTCCCGCAACGCCTTCGCTCTTCCGTCTTTCACCCTTCTGGATTCCACCGGGTCCTCTAAGCTCCATCAAGGGCCGTTGGCCATTGTGAAGGCCTACCTGCAAGAACGCTGACCTGGTTCGATTTGAGGCCTCAGATTCACCTTTAGCTTGGGCTTCGGCCCAAGCTATCTGTATACATCCTTCTCCCAACTGCAGGCAATACCCTGCGTCGTCTTGATCTGCTCCAACAGCAGGTAAGAATTAAGCTCCAGCTTTCAAGAAGTGACTGACTCTGCTTTAGATCGTCCCCTGCCAATATCTGCGGTGACCGCGCGCGGGGACAGACCGTCTTCGCGCTCAAGTCATCCCTGCAGCTCATCATGATCATTACATAAGAGAAGGACAGCGATGCCTGCTGCAAAGCCCAGACGGATACCTCCACGTCAATTGTGAGCCTCATGAATCTGCTCACTCGTACGGTCCGTTACGGACATCGGCAACTGAAGATCCTACCTTGTGTTCGTTCAATTTCGAAAGCCTCGATTGGGATGATAGCTTCTTCGACTCGGCCCAATGGGCCTCCGAATCTTTGCTGTACCCAGTGTCTATTGATTCCGAGTCACTACATCCCGCCCAAGACAAGATCCCTTCCATTGCTACAGGAGGGCGGCCAGAGGTTATAACGAGCTTCGAGGTTGAACAGGCTAGACCAAGGCCCGGGGATTCTAGCGATGTTAATTTTGGACTGGACTATGGCTTGGACCATAATACCAATATTTCATCTTCCACCGAACCCACGACTGGCGCGGGAACGCCCACAGAGCCTAGCCAGCATCTTTCACCACGAATTACACCTTTTTCAGATATTCCATCTCACTATGGCCACACCCTTGATTCACCCAAATCCTTTGCTGTCGACCAAGCAGTCTTGATCTTGCCTCAGGCCGCGAATTCTTCATCACGTACGAAAGATGGGATAGGTCCATCAAGACTTTCACGGATAGCGTTGTCTCCGATGGATATCATCAGATGTCGAAAATGTTCAAGCAGCTTTGGATCTATGACAAGTTTCCGGTAAGCGGACGCTCTTTCGTCAATGCTTTGAAGTTGCTAACATTTCCCAGGAAACACGACAAGTCGCACCGGAAACCTCACGTCTGTAACGCCTGCAACATGACATTCTCGTATCTTAAAGACCTGCTTCGACACCAGACTAGCGATAATCACAGGGAAGTGGTTCACGGTAGCACTACGTCTTCACCGCGTAGATTTGAATGCCCCAAATGCGCAAAGACCTTCACACGGAAAGATAACATGACGCGACATTGCGAATCCACTCACAAGACATAAACGTGCGAAAAGGTATATCTAATTAACACAGTGAATGGGCGAGGAAAACGCATGGGAAAGAAGAGACTGAATGGTTGTTTCATGAGTATCTCGCTTTTGATTACGAAAAGTATCCGCCTGAGCTATCAGCTGAGCTGAGAGGCTTTCCTTGAGCTTGGATGATCGTGTATTCGGTGCGTCTGCTCGTTCATTGAGCAGGTCAGCGTCGAGCATCGTGCAGGATCCGTAAAACTAATTGACATCTTCATCATCGTGATGATGATGATGATGATGATGATGATGATGATGATAATGTTGATGAGCTTTCGGTCATTACCATAATTTTATAGACGGCAGACCAAGTGGGTTTGTATAGAGAAAAAGTTTGCTGCGGAGACTCTTGGGCATGAGTATAAGTTGCAACCACCGGGTAGAAGTACTAATATGCGTGATGGAGGATTAGGTAAGGGATCTAACAACAGCTGAAAATATACGTTCCAACGATAGACCCCCTGGGCAGCGAATAGGGGGCTGGCGACCGCCGAGAATTTCGTGAAACTCACAGCTACAATGCCTAGGGTGGCGGCCAAGGCTCTATCAACTCGTATAGTTTCTGATTGAATAAGGGTAAAAAACTAGGAGGGGGGCAGATTCAACGACGAGTTCTTTAAAATTCGAAGCGCGCCAAGCAGCAGCTGAACCCCGTCCTCATCTACCAGCAGTAGGGTCTAAGAATACTGTCGCTACTATACACTTTGTGGCCGCATAAAGGTTGTCCTTATGGGGAGGTAAAGAACCTGTTGCTCAGCTATAATGGATATGTCCTTGACGCTGTCTTAACAAAACGAAGCAACCTGCATGCGGATATCAAGTTGAGCCAGCGGGTAAGAGGAGGAGCTTACATATGCATTGCCATTAACTATTAGGTCAGTGGACGACAAGGAATTCTAATGAAAATCGCTGACGGCTAACATGGAGGATTCTCTGGTAGATAGGGATGTGCTGGACTAGCTTCTAATAAACGCCTCCGCCGGGGAAACCCTCACGACACGCTATGAACAGATAGCCCAGCAACAGTAGGGATAGTCAGAAAGCAGCCTAGGAGTCCGGAACACTTTGAAAATCGACTCTTTGCTACAAGAGAGTATTAATAGGCCACCGCAGACAGGAGCGGCTAAGCCTGAGCAAGAAGGCGATCAAAAGTCTAGATAGATATGGGTCAAATAGCAACACCCTGGATTATGCGAAGATGAGGCTATTCAACAAGCCTTATCGTATGGCGTCGGGGAAGGAGGCTCTCCATCACAATGGGAGGGTCATTATACAAATATGATTCAGGACGTCTAGTTGGCTTGGATATGTATTGAGTAGTTTAGCATTGCTTCATAACTGGCCTCAGGCTGGCTGGGTGTTCTGAGACCCAAACAATAAATCAATCGTAACAATGCAAGGCGTCGGTGAATGGTTTAAGAGTCTGCTGGACAATAATGGGGGAATGGATTCATGTCTAGTAATGAGCGTAATCCTTCGCCCGGAAAAGCTCAACACGAGTAAGTTTCGAAATTCATCTCCCAATCAGCATTACCAAACCGCATACTTGTGAGAATTGGAGGAGGAATCCGTCAAAACCGCTCAACTTGGGCAGCTGTTCCAAAGACTGGTCTAATTTGAGCGGAAGCTGTAGTCGATACGGTCTGGTCTCCTTCGAGTTTTGAAAGGAAAATGTTCCAAAGCCAGTTTCTAAGCCGATTACCGAGCAACTGTTACACTACTACGCTCAAGACCGACAACTAGAAGGCCAAAGCGACCAGCTTGAGCCCTGAAGAAAGTGACTGTTCAAGACCTGACACCTGCATTTTGAACTACTCATAGATTTCAGCAAATGGTACAAAATTTGCTCCTTTGAGTTCCCTCTTGTGAAACGATCCCCAATGATTCAACCCGGTCTGATGCTTCATTCACCAGTTTTCATTGGCTCATACTGATCTAATTTCTCATTCCCCTGCTTCCGCATCGCTCATCGCCGCAAGAAAGCCATGTGAAACGCCAGTGCAGCGAATCCTCTGGATGAATGAAGGTTTTAGAACGCTTAGAATATTCCTCTGGCTGTGTGATGTCTGTCATACACTTAGTGGGACGGAGTCTGCGTGATCGCTTCTGTTTGACTGTGATGTTCTGAGGAATCCTGCACCTCTTCGGTAGTCAGACTCGAATCCGCCAATCTACAAGATGAATGATTGCCGTTGTGGTCATAAGGATCCGGCAGTCGTTGAAGTTGTATGACCAGAGACACGACTTCATCCCATGCGAATGGTATCGTATAGAGGCCTATTTTCACCCAACCTTGTTGCTTTAGGTCGAGGGAGCGACACACAATGGGTCTGAAAGGGTCCGCTTCTTGATAATAGATTTCCATCACGCGACCAAGCGCGAGACTCGTGAAATTAGGTTTGGTCCTCGTTTTGCAATAGGTACAGGCAGCCTTAAAGAAGTCGTCAATGAATGAGTCTTGCCATCTCCTTTTCAGGAACACCATCATCAAGCGACCCATAAGAGAATCGTAGTCACTGGGAGCAGAAGCTCGGTTCACTGTGAATTCTATATCTTGAAAGTTACGGGTGTCTTGTCCATACCTAGGCCTGAGAGGTATCCCTTGAAGGATGTCTTTGACATGGTTTGGTGAATGAAAAGAGTGCTCCAAAGGCCCTCCTCCGATATCTGTCTGCGTTGAACTAGATATCAATACGCTTGAGATCCGTCGAGTAGCGCCCGGAATATTACACTCCTCACGCAGAACGCCGGTACAGTTGGCATCATTATGGGTTTGGTCGCGGATTTGACGATTTCTCTCTTGCTGTCTCTTGGCTTGTCTTCTTCGTTGTTGTTTGGCCCTGGCATATTCTGTCTGACAAGATGTCTTTGAATTCTCTTTCATCTGATCCTTCAAAGCCAATGTCTCAAGCTCGGTAGATTGACCGTCTCCATCACACTCCTCGAGTTGCAAAAATTCCAGGTCCAAATAAATATGTTCGTCGATTCTAGGCGGCAAGGAACTCTTCATTGATAGGACTCTGGCATTACTTGCAGACCCAGCTGGTTCAAGTTTCATCTTGTCACTTCCCGCGCTTTCGATAGGCAGAATAAATACCAGCCATTTCAGCCCATGCGAGTCTTCCGAGTGGAGAAAGTCCGGCCTCGATGCTGCCCTCTTTAGATTCCTGATTCGAGAATTTCGTATCTGCCTAGAAAGCCCATGTAGATTGAACGCTTTACCAGTATAATGGATCTCCGGTGTAGAGCGGGTGCAAAGCGTATACAATCTGCAATGGGCAGTCGTTTCCTCAAGGCTTGTGATAATTGTAGACGGGTTTAGAGAATGTGGCAATTCATCAAGGGGTGACTGACACGCTGTTGGATCGCAGACGGGTGGAATTGACTGGGATTGCTGGCGCTGCACTTCGAGAGGGTTGCGATAATGTGTATATGCATCTCTGGTGATCTGCTCTTCGTCTTGGTCTTCAGGCATCGCTATTCTTCGTCTCGGTCGGCGTAGTTCCCACAAGTCTGAAGTCTAAGAGAATGTAGTCGTGGTTGGTCGTAAATGGTACTTGGTAGTTCATCCAGAGAATCAAGATCAGAGACCTTCCCGCTCTTGAGGTGGTATTTTGACAAGGCTGTATGGACTTTTGCACTAAAGTGAGGCCTGCATTGTCGACCAATCGCTACTTATGCCGAGCCAATCACGGCTAGGGTACGTACCTGCACTAACCTCCAAGAAGGTGGCCTGCTAGCAAAGTTGAACGTGGCCGCGAAACAGGCAAGTGGTAGCTGCGGCGTCAGCAAATAATGGCTTGAAAGCTTTACGAGACCATCAATGCTGAAGGTGGGATATCGCCTGTTAGGGGGCACGGAGGTAGAGATTTGCAATATAAAACTCGGGCGATGGCACAAGACTTTGCAGTGAAAGCGAGTCGTTACTCAAGCTTATTACCTCCTATTTGAGGCATCTCGTCTGTTTAAAAATTAGCATTTAGACCTCTTATGATATATCACCAAAGATACAAACAGACAAAAAGTGAATATGCCCGTCCACATCGCCCCAAAGCCCCCTTCTCTTCACTTCGTAGCCTTCTTCCACCCCCTCCTGACCTCTGCATCTACCCTTACCAACTCAGTGTTGGCTGGCCGCGTTCCCATCGTCCTCCCCTCCCACTTCTGCGACGGCAGCACTCCCAGATCCACTTGAAACCGCCTGGCTGTGGGAGCCACCCATCTGGGCGAAGTCACGGCGGATTTCCTCGACTGCCTGACGTCTCGCGACCTTCTCAAGCTCGTTCAAAAGCATTTCGATCCCACCAGGATCACTGACGACGTGTGGTTTACCGGTTTTAGGCCTTCCGTAGCAAAGGGATGACGCGCTCCCCATTCTGCTGCGGTTCGCGAGTCAGAATACAGTGATCTTCGCTTGGGAATAGCCGGTCAGGGAGGAGACAAAATAGTTCTGACCTTGTATACGCGTATTCTAAAGCCGTTGATGACCCTGGATAATAGATATTGACGGGAAAAATGGTAATAGCAACTAACGGGATTCTTGATTGCGGTATAGAGCTGATTGTGCAGTTTTGGTAGCGCCTTTGCAATTAGAGATATTCTGTGAGAGATATCGATTGCGGAAAAGGCTTCTTGTACACGGACCGGTAATCTTGAGGAAAGAGGAACGCAAAGGACGTCTTAATCGTCTGTTTTGACCGCAATCACCGCTAACACAGCAGGGCTTGCAAAGGAAAAACGGCCCAAGTGACCCATTTTGAGCATTTCTGGGCTTAAAAACGTACGCAAAACAATATTTCCGGTAGCAAATCGAGAGAATATACGACTTATTCCATGGGATTGAGCTTTTCTACGTCTTCAGGGTCAATAGGGGCTGAGATGGCTTGCAGAAAACACCAATGTCTCTCCCTGCACAAGCCTCTTCATGCAACGGATCTTTCCATCCTCCATCACCGGCCTGAAACCCTTCATACCTTCACCGCATGATTCAACTGCAAGCCACGCAAGCCTACATCAAAGCTTGCGCAGGGCAATCAATCACGGATCTCCCATTGGTAGAGACGGAGGGCAATCGCGATGGCCGACGAAGGAATAGCCCCCAACACCACCGCCCATCAGATCACGCTGGACATTCTCCTGCTCCTCCATTTACTCAGAGCAGCGCATTGATGTTGTATGAAGAGATGGGGTCTGGCAAGAGGAAGGAGCTACCGAGAAAACCACGCAACTGCCGCTCGGGAATCCCCACGCCATCCACGCCCGTAGCCCCGAAATCCAGGAACAGATTGGTCATCCAACGACATCATCTACATCATTCCCAGCCATAAACCAGCGATGACCCTCTTCAGACCATTTGAGTGCTTACGCGCATCAGCAAGCGTCGATTCACCCTTCAGAGACAGTGGCTAGCTTTGAGGAAAGGAGCGGTCCGTCTGAGACCTCATGAAGTCAATCAAACCTTCACTGCTTGCACCCAATTCCCCTCGTGCGACCTGTATCTCCTGGGAAGTCGTTGGTGCGACTATTCAATGAGGGGGTTGTACATCTTGAAGTAGTACAGGAGCTGTACTTGAGAAGACGCTTTTCAGTCTGGTCTACTATTCCCGCAATCAATGCTCTCGCCCCAACATTAAGACACCCCACAAGCGACTAGACTAATGGGTCTCCTCGCATTGGGTACACCCTTGAAATGGCCGGAAGCAAAGAAGAATGCAGATCATGTGCGACAATGGGGCATAGAGCAGCTACTGGCGATATGGAATCGTGCCAAGGGCAAAGAGCGAGATGCCTTGCGCTGGGGAGACGAGATCGAGTACCTGGTCGTTGCGGTGGACGATGAAAGCAAAAAAGTGAAGCTTTCACTGAGACAAGCCGATATACTTAAAGCGCTGGGATCAGATGAAGAATTATGTGCAAAGGGTGGATGCGTGCCTGATTTGCAGAGGGTCATCCGGCACGAGGAAACCTTGCCAGTCTTTCATCCTGAATTTGGAAGATTCATGCTCGAAGCTACACCAGGCAAGCCGTGGGGCATTGGATTTAAAGATTTGCTGGACGTGGAGCATAATATGAAGTTACGGTCAGTTTACAAAGCTCTGAACAGTGGCTGGGCGAAAAGGATTGACTTCGAGACAGACGAAAGATCGCAAGAAATCACATGGAACCGAACGAATGTCCGATTACCCTCACAACATTCCCACTCCTCGGCACGAAAGAGTCTCTTAGCCCCGATTTTCCACCTTCTGGCGAAAGGCTGCGCTCACAATTTTTGCCAGACGAGATCGCAAACCCCCATATACGCTTTCCCACACTAGCAGCGAATATTCGATCGAGAAGAGGACGAAAAGTCGAGATCAACGTACCAGTCTTCCGGGACGAGAATACTCCCCTTCCCTTCAAAGATCCAACTGTGGACTATGATCTACATAGGTGGCCGGAGGACGACGATGTACGGAATGGAGCTGCAAAGGACGATCATATCTACATGGACGCGATGGCTTTCGGCATGGGAAGCTGCTGCCTGCAAATCACTTTTCAGGCGAAAAACATCACAGAAGGCAGGAAGCTTTATGATCAGCTCAGTCCGCTGGGTCCCATCATGCTCGCTCTGACTGCGGCAACGCCCATATACAAGGGCTTTCTGGTAGATACCGACGTGCGATGGGATCAAATCAGTAGAGCAGTAGACGATCGTACAAGAGAGGAGCTTGGAGAGATACCATTGAAGAACGACAGATGGCGTGTGCCCAAATCGAGATACGCTTCGAATTCAACATACATCTCTCAAGACCCACGATTACGAAAAGAATATCTAGACCCAGATTTAGTGGTGGATGAAGAGCTGAAGCAGAAGCTGATGGACGGAGGAATGGACGACCTCCTTGCCACGCACTTTGCCCATCTCTTTATTCGTGATCCCATCGTGATATTCGCTGAAGATTTAAAGACGCTCGATCTTAACAAGACTGATCACTTCGAAAATCTTCAGTCAACAAATTGGCAGCACATGCGCTTCAAGCCTCCACCGCACGACAAGGACACCGGATGGCGAGTTGAGTTTCGGCCCATGGAGATTCAAATCACAGACTTCGAGAACGCGGCCTTCTCCATCTTCATGGTCCTGATCACTCGCGCAATCCTAAGCTTCGACCTCAACTTCTACATCCCGATCCCCCTCACAACCCAAAACATGGCCACAGCCCATATCCGAGACGCAGTCACGACCCAGAAATTCCATTTCAGGAAAGACCCCTTTCCCATCCGCCCAGTCAAAGTCAACGGCACATCAAACGGCACCAACACACCTGCTCACATACTTTCGCGTCCTCCAACGCCCACCGGCCCCGTAGAAGATGAACACGCACCCATGACCGTTGACGAGATCATAAACGGCCAATTCGCCGAAGACGGCTTTCCCGGCCTCGTCCCACTTGTAGAATCCTACCTCAACAGCCTCAACATCGATGTGGAGACGCGCTGCGAACTAGGAAGGTATTTGGAGCTTATCAGCAAGCGAGCGAGCGGGAAGCTGTGGACGTGTGCGAAATGGATCAGACATTTTGTGAGGGGTCATGAGGAGTATAAGCAGGATAGTGTGGTGGGGCAGGGCGTAGTGTATGATTTGGTGAAGGAAGTAGAGGAGATTGCGAGGTGTGAGGGACGGGAGGGGCATGGGGAGGAGATGTTGAGGGCGTGGTGGAATCGAGGTAGGAGGGGGAGCTCGTGTGGGTGAGTGTGGTGGATCTAGGGGAGAGAGGTGGATGATTTTCATGTTTGCTATGTACTGGGTTTGAGGGTGAATACCTGATAGAGGAGATGAGCAATGCATTCTCTGGCTGTATGGCTGCTTGCTGAGCTATTGCCGATCTGTATTTTGGCTTTGGTTGTTGAAGGTAGATGTGTATTGCCCAGAGAGATCCAATGTTGTGTGCGCCTTCCATTGTTAGATTTCTCATGTCTTCTAGCACCCCTGTCCTCATTTCTCTACCTGTGAACTTTCCTAGCGTCTCCCCCTTGTCCTCATTTTTTGTAAGGTTCTCTTTACCCAGCTCGATGCTCGTCTCGTCGAAGTGATCCACAGGTCTTCATTCCCTAACACATAATTTCATTTAAAACGGGAGGAAGTCGACAGGAGCCCTGCCTTGGCTAAAGCATGATCTGTACGTAATCTTAATTTGAAGGCATGAAGCTGGGAGTAGTTGACGCGTTCTTCTTGACGTCTCTCAGGCGTGTAGGAACATTGAGGCTCTCGGCCAGGCAGACGCCTGAGGTTTTGGATGCGCCTTTCTGTGAGAGGATGGGAGGGACGAGGTGATGTTGAGAGGAGGTCGGTAGTCAGTGGAAGGTGACATGTGCGTCACTCGGTGCGATTTGGTGAATCGTAAGTTGCTGTTGCTAGTAGGGTCGTCAGCTTAAGAAGGCTTCAGAGCTCAGGGGGAGTTACTTGATTAGCTGAGTTCAACAGAGTGTACGAAAGGATCTGGTTGAGGTATGGGTGATATCTACCGTTCGAGGGGCGTGAAGGTCATTCAACCATCTAAAATTCTTCTCAAATCGCTCTCTTGGAAGTGAATGGTGTGGCTTCGGGGTGGAGGTAGCTGTAGAGCTCAGCCGAAAGAGGACTGGTCACTGGAGTCACACGAAACCTGAATAGTCAACAGAGGACTAGAAATGGGAGTCTTGTAGCTTGCTCGAGACCTCCACACTTTGGCGTCAGAAGCATCTAGCTTGGTTGAGTCTTCCTCGGGCCGCTTCACCAGCATCCTTGGCTGGAGGTAGAGTCGGAGGTGTCCAGAATCGAAGACTCTTGAATGACCGGGTTTCAAACAGATCAACAACGTCAATAGAGGACCATCAATAGGCAGATCGTACTTTGGGAATGATTCGTCCGTTCGATGAGAGTGATAGTCAGCTAGCTAGCGAACATTTCCCTCAGATCGCTTGCTTTGTAGGGCTGCCGGTTTGAGGTAGCTGAAAGGCCCAGAGCTTGAACACCATGTATGTCAATCTTGCAAGATTCGGAAGGTAGCAAGAGGACCAATCGCGGACGCGTGGTGAGCTATGAGTATCTCATCCTGTCGAAAAACGTGAGCGCCTTCTAGCTAGCTAGGCTGTTCCAAACAATTTCAGCTAGTAGCAATCTGGTAACGAGGTACCTGAAGGGCCTAGAGAGGAAGGGATCACACAGAAGAGACTCCATCAGTCTAGAACAGCATCAAAGGAATTGTCATGAGTAGTAACGTGCTTTGTGCTCGATAGGCTCTATCCTGCAATGTTTGGGTCATTGTATCGGCTAGAATGCTCTCAGCTGTGCAAACTCGTTGAGACATCAGTCAAGGATGACTGACAAGTCCGAAGGCCCATGATAGACTTGATTGAACTGGCTGAGTCTCAGAAATTCTAGAAGGTCGGCTGAGGACCAGGAGTGCAGAGAGCGTGACCCGTAGCTGATTTGTCCTCTTGACGAGCATGAAAAATCATCTGGCCAGCTAGCTTTTTGTCCAGACCGCTTGAGGTCGGAGGAACTTGAGATCGAGATATCTGAGGAGCTCAAAAAGGAGAGACTCAGCTAGCTGGGTCCAAGACTCTATTGAATTGGTCGTCAGGGTGATAAAAGACAGAGGCCAGGTTCAGGGGCTAGTCAAACTAGCCTCCTTGGCCGCAATGATTGCCAGCCAGGGAGCCCCTGATGTCGTGCGTCAGAGCAGCTGGATATGAACAGCTAGTAAAGGCTTGAAGTGGACCTGTGACTGATATTCCTTTAGGTACGCTGTTTGATACGTTCTCCTCTTCTTGTAGTACTCACTTGCTAGATCCTATTTTTGCAATCGTGAGGAGGAGGTGAGGGAGGCTTCGTATTCAGAGGTTCCTGAAAGTGGGCTGTGTGGATCAGTACTGTCCTGACTCCCCCAAATACCATTGTAGAGGCCCATCTCTTTCTTTACAAACTCTTAGTTGCTAGGACAAAGATTAGCTAAGTTAGTGATCTGACATGCCAGACGTGTCCCAAGCTACCAGATCTCCGATGTCACAGAGATCTCTTGACTGACCTATGGTGTGCTTCAAAGGGCGGTAAGCAGCTCTTCGTAGGCTCCATGAGGTGCAGATGCCCTGTTGTCATACGAAGTCTCCGAGATTTCCTCACAGGCTCTGCTAGGAACGATCGGACATTCAGGAGACTTCATCAGCATCCTCGATCTATCATTATATTCTCTGCGTCGTCGTCCGTAGCTACGTCTGAGCACGGAGGGGGTTGCTTTTGGGTCGGACAATGTTGAAACTTGAGGCTTGGAATTTCGTTCTCAGCTTCGATCAGCTTCAATAGACAAGAATGGCCTGGCACTGATTATCCGTAAGTCACATTTGCATGGCAGAAAGTATGTTGCATAAACGTCAGAGTGGTCTTTGTGTGATTCAGACGGATATCTAGGAGAAATGGAGCTAGTGAAGAAAATATAGTGTGGCGATGACACGACATTTCTACTTACCTTCTTTTCACTTTGTAACGCTTTCTGATACCAGGCATTCTTCAGACGGGCTTGGATATCAAGCATTTCTCTCATCTATATCTATTTGCTAAGACGACTTGTCTGACGTTTGCTTTCCTGTTGGCAACCGTTGCAGTAGGAAGCCGCATAAGACCGGCTACCCACCTGCCCTCAATATGCCGCAACGACTCCTGATGCGTATCTGGTATGGGATAGTGTTCTTCTTCTTACCTTCCGCGAAACGCAAGGCTTTGACGGGGGGAGAATCACTGGGATCATCCGATGCTACTTCGACTGCTGCATTATCATTAGAGACTCCTCTAGAAGCCGACCAAGAAACCAGAGAGCAGCCCAGCTGTTCGTCAATGGAGTTTCTGGCAGATGACAGCAAGGCTGGTAAGGGCAGAATCAGTTCCTCTATCAATCCAACCGCACTACAAATGAGACATAACTTCTCAGCAGGAACGAGTAACCGCTCATTCTTCGCTACGAGCACATGATACCATCGCCCACCCGATCTTCAGATTGCAGACAAGCGCACTAGCTCACAGCGTCAATCCTGAAGCGGACTAAAGTTTTCCTACAATCAATCGAAAGTCTAGTCTTGGGACAAATGCAATCCGAAATTCACAAGAGACCTTAAAAGATAGGCCAAATGGGAGAACACCGCGTCTTGATGCACCACCAGCTACATCTTTTGGTAGGCAGAGGACGAGGGCAAAGTACAGGCGCCATACCTCGCATTTGTGTACTTACAGTTCTCCAGGTGCCTAACCACGTTGCAGAAGCTTCAAGATTGGCAAGAAAGCATTTCTAGTCGACTTTACTGAAAGATATGCGATACAATTTTCATCAATGAAAGAAGGGCTACTACAGCAGGCATGAAATGAGCAACGCAAGGCAAAGGAAAGAGATACAAATACGAGAAGAATTTGCAGGAATGAGTTCGTGTATCACCAATTGACTGGTCATACAACCAAAGACGTGATTGAGACAGACTCCAAGGAAGTGAGGTCGGGGTAGATGGCTGAATTTCAGATAAAGGTGCGTAAGAACTAGCCATAAGGACAAATTTTGAGTATGAACTAAGGAGTATCAGAAAAATGCCTACAACAAGCTGTCGACAATATCCGGTATTCACTCACCGGGTGTGACAAGCTTGGCCAAATACTATCGAGGATAACGTCGGTCAGGACTAGCTAGCAAGTCATGGAAGGCACGACCTTGAGATCAGAACGCATCCGTCACAAAATCTGCTGTAATATCTTCCCTACTTTGTCTAATTGATGACTTCTCCCTCACGATCCCTCTAAACAATCCGTCGATCCTTGGACAACTTGTTCTAGCCAAAGGCATATGTCATTATGAAGTCTCTCACCTTTCAAATCGTTGTGTGCTAGAAAGCAAGTCTGGGTCTGCTGTGGACGTCGACACTCTTTGATTGATTAAGAACAACTCCACAATCCCTTTGTACAACGAGAGAGAAGTACAGCGATGTCTATTCCCTCTGTGGAGCACCTAGTATCCAGCAATGGATACGTACCGGGAATTTTGAATTTCAGATAAGAAAAATACCAGAGACTCGAGTCAGGATCTGATCGTTTCCTTGATGCTACACTAGTCATTGTTTCTCCCGTACAACTGCTTCTCTTGCTACAGCCTTCCTTCAACTATTCAAAAGCTACTACTGCTCAGGGGCGAGTTTTGTGCTATCTGTATATGCGGGCTGCCGTAATAATCTCTGCCAAGACCTCTTTACGCGTGGGAAATTCCACGGCACATCTTTCGCGTCTCCCGACTTTGGATTACCTTTTGGGAGACAGCCAAAGGCGTTTTCCTCCGCACACCAAAACCTACTCCTCCCAAATCTTCGAGTGACTAACATCCTGCCCGCGACCGCGTCCTTCAACTGGTCTCTAACCAGCTTTTCCAAGCACCTTGCCGAACACCCGCTCCTGCATGAAAGAACCTCCCGCCTGCGCTTGAAGACACTGCCACCATGGCTCCGGGAGGCCGCGAGATCTATGCGGCTACTTACAGCAATGTACTTGAAGAAATGAATGAAGGCTTGCCGAATACTGACATTTGCCCAGGTCCCTGTCTACGAATTCAACGTTGCCGGCAACCATGTCATGCGAAGACGCTGCGATGACTATATCAATGCGACTCACATCCTCAAAGTCGCTGATTATGATAAACCGGCAAGAACAAGAATACTAGAAAGAGAAGTACAGAAAGGGACGCACGAGAAGATACAAGGAGGGTATGGCAAGTACCAAGGTCAGCATACATCGCCAGATTGTTGAGCAGTCCTGATGAAGAGCTAGGGACATGGATACCCTTACCTGCAGGCAGAGAGCTCGCATTAAAGAATGGCGTCTTTGAGAAGCTACAACCAATTTTCGACTACGTTTACGGCGAATCCAGCCCACCTCCTGCCCCTAAACACGCTACGAACCCCAATAGACCTCGAGTCCCGAAGCAACCTGGAGGAAGAAAGGCTGCGGGTATGGTTGCTCCCTCAAGTGGCCGAAGGGTACTGATTGCAGATCCAGGGGCGTTGAAACCTCCTATTATGAGCGATGACTATGAACCTTTCAGCAGTCAACCACGTGATGATGACTCACAAGATGCAGAGACAATAGCTTCTACATCGTACCTAGACGGTGACGACGCATATGGTAGTCACTACAATCCGAACTCGCGGAAACGTAAACGGGTGCCCGATAACTCAGACCAACAGCATACCCTCATTGGTGATAGAATCCTGGATTACTTCATGCTGTCATCGCCCGATGAACCTTTCACTAATGCGCCTGCTCCTCCTACTATCCCTCGCACTTTTGAAGTCAATCGACCAATTGATGATGACAAACACTGTGCCATTCATTGGGCTGTAGCAATGGGGGACATTCCCATACTCCGAGCATTACTGAATCTTAATGCCGACATCCACGTCCGTAATAAGCGTGGAGAAACTCCACTGATCAAAGCTGTGATGTTCACCAACAATTTTACTAATCAAAGCGCCGAGGATGTTGTAACAATGCTCCAGCACAGCCTCACAGAGAAAGACCACTTTCAAGCGTCCGTTCTACATCATACTGTAATGACGACTAACAGTCGCACGCGTAGGAAGTGTGCTGTGCACTATCTCAGCGTGCTGTTGAAGACACTGGAGAGGACATGTCCAAAGCAGACGGTCGAAGATTTTCTCAACTCGCAAGACAGACATGGTGATACAGCGTTGCATATTGCGGCACGGTTTGATTCCAAAAGGTGTATCAAGATGCTGAAAGAATATGGAGCCGCGAGCGATATCGCAAATTACAAGGGAGAGACGACCGATCAGTTAGTCACAGACCTTCGATCTCTACACGTAGCGGCTACATCTTCCTCGCCGCCCCCAATGGATTTAGATCCCAAAGTGATGGGGTTTGCAGGGATTGAAAGAGGATCGGCGCCCTACAAGGCCGAAGCCGCTCGATCATTCAGCGCATCTTTCGACAATTTGGCTCAAGAGAAGGCTCTCCAATTGGCTCTAGCGATTGAGAAGGATTTCAAAGACAAAGAAGAGTCGTTGCGGGAAACAGAGCAAGCGCTTGAGAAGAATGAGGAGGAACGGCAGCAAATTCATCAAGCTTCCCTCAACTACACTACCCTAGAAGAAACCGATGACAGCGAGCGCGCAAATTTAGAAGAGGAATATGAAGTGGTATATTCGCAGAGTGTGTCTTATTCCGAGCAAACACAACATCGTGAGCTCCACCAAAAAGTCAGAGCTTTCGAGCAAGCGTTGCCTAAGACTGCGCACAATTTACCTAACGGCACAATCTCGAGTGATCAAGTTCTCGAAGAACAGGCTCATGCAGCGATTGGGTTGGCACACGAGCAAAGTAGACGGCGGAGACTGACAAGGGATGTAGCTGAAGCTCAGGCATATGCAGGTATGGGTGCGACTGGACAGGCCATGAAGCAGTTGGTGGCCGACACGACTGGTGTGTCACCAGACGATGTGCCTGCGTTGGCACCTGAATTATTGGATGCGTTGGAGGCTGATAAGATGGAATACGCACGAGAACCGTTCGCTCTCGCGGTATGATTACACTGGAGAGCTCATCGTTGGCCGGTGCGGAGGATGTTGCTTTTACGACTTCCATAACGACGTTCAATGACGCACGGTATGTCTATCTTTCTTGATACTACCCAAGTGGCTAGATCTGTATTGCTAGGCATGCACCGAAGTGTTTGCTCCCGGTTATTGTAATTTAGACAATCAATTCTTTACGAAGATACATCATTTCTAAGCGGCGTGGCGAACTACTAGCCTGCTTGAAAGAGATTCACTACGGTAAAGGTCGATCATCCTGGACGTGAATGGTAAGCATTTTTCGCCTTTAATATTGCTGCTTGAATCAGGAAATTCCCCCCTGACACCATTTTAAAATGAGCCTAGTCTGTCTGAGCAACACATTGTTCTCGTTTGACCTCCTTCAAACCCACAATCAAGTATCACATTGAATCATCACGTTGAACCATCCCGCTGAGCCATCACGTTTTGTCCTCGTTACCTGACTTCCTATCTTATCGACAAATCGAGTGATCAACATGAATCCATTGGACCATCCAAACTCGTCGAGTAGGCGTATTTTCGGCCAGAATTGGACACCTATTCCAGAATCAGTAATCACTGAACACGACGAAATGCCACTTGAACATCAGGAAATTGACAACTCATGTCCTCCTCGCAGTGAACCACAGTCGACCCACAAGAAAAGAATCAACGCAACTGTCGCTAGTCAACAAGACTCGAGCCAGACAGATTCTCAGAATCTCATGATCCACGACGTTGATATGACAGACACATTGCGCAGCTCAGTATTAACATCGAGTCATCGCTCCTTTATACCAAAGCAGAGACACTCATTGGCTCTCGAGAAACATCCCACCACTCAACAGACAGAGTCATCTGCCATCCCAACGGCACTACAGCCCAGTACATTGGCCAATATAGGAACCTCTAGCGAGTTTGATTTATCTTCCGTTGGAACCACTGCAAAAGAGAAAGCTAGATATGAAGCTATTGGAACCCTGGAGAAGCCTTTTCCGAAGTTCAATAAGCATCGCCAGGGCAGAGCGGTCGATATGCGTCATTTTAGCAGGCAAGGTTGGACAGCCACAAGCCCTTATGGAGCAGGTTTCACAACGCCAAGGAGCATGGGAATACCTGAGATACACGAGAACGAGTCAAGGGACCCAGAGGCAGAGCATCAGGCCTCAAATGAACTACCAGGTTTCGTCCGCAACTCCAGCGCTAAGAGCCAGAAGAAGATATCCTTCAGGATACCGAGCGATAGATTCTCAGCCTCTACAGGGCGTGAGAGCCTCAGCATCGACGAGCAGAGCGGACCAATAGGCAGGGGACCAGGTGTAATTTCAACTAACGAGCACGAAGCTACTGTCAAGTCCAGCGCGAAAGGCAGCAAAAGGGTGACGTTTAACGTCCCCAACCCAGATTCGCCGACCAGCAGTAACGCCGAAAGCCCCGCTCCACCATCCCCAAGCCCCACCGCCGCCGCAACAGAGCCTATCACGCCGGCAAGTCCGGTCGAACCAGTTTCGAGCTACGGCTCCTCCAGCCCCGCGGCCGCCAGCCCCCCAGGGAGTCCTGCCTTCTTTGCCGCCGCCCCCATCACGAGCACTGGCATCCCATCCTCTTCCGCTGCGCCCACGCGCCCAACGAGCCCTTTCTCCCCCTTTTCACCCGCCATCTCCGCCCCCAGCTCCCCCCTCGCAGCGACAGGTACCACCACGCCCCCACCACCATCAAGCCCGCCCCTCCCCCCGTCGGATACTGGTCCGACAGTTCTATCGCCTCCTCGTCGCCCTCCCCGCCCGCATCCCCGTCCCCAGCTCCCGCCAGCGCCCCGCCCACCTACCCCGACCCGACGACCCTGCCCCCCGGCGCCATCGAAGTCCCTTCAAAGGGCATTATTGACCTCATCACTCTCCGCGCGAGCACCATCTCCGCCATGCCGATGGCTTGGGACAAGCCCGTACCTACTAGCGTCTGTTTGGCGGCGGGGCGGGAGTTGCTACGAGAGACGCGGTGGAGGCTGATGCAGGTGGAAGGGGAGGAAGAGGTGGCGCGACGAGCGTACCATAGGGTTCGCGAGAGGAAGAGAGGGGGGGTGAGGGTGATGAAGGCGGCCTGGTTTGAGAAGCGAGATGGGGTTACCGTGGTTGAGAGGAGTGTGTTGGAGATTGAGGAGACGGTATGTTTATCTTTTGTGCTTTGATTTTAAGGCTTTTGCAGGGGTTTCAGTGGTTATTCGGGGCGTTTGGATCACTTTGATTCAGCGAATGCGGCAGGATTTAATAGAGAGATTGGCTAATGTGGTTGTTGCATATCTAGGTCCGGTTTTGGGAGGCTCTTTATAAGCATGGCAAGGTTGTTGTGGGTGACACCACGTATACGGCGACGTATACGAAGGAGCAGGTAGAGGCGAAAGCGAAAGCTTAGTGGTTTTGATAGGATATGCTGCTATTATGCAGCGGTTTGAACGAAAAGGCTAGCTTTAGCTAGTAATAAAGATATATTCTTTCTCGGTGTCTTGCTGCCCTCTAACATTATATCTAAGAAGAGAGAAACCCTTTCTATTTAGATCCACCTATGGAGAGGTCTTGATTACTTAATTATAATTGTGCAAGAGACAGGAACCGCAAGGAAATAGAGCTGAGATAACAGAAATAGTATGTACAATAGGTAGAATCAATAGCTTTTATTCTATCTAGATCTATTCCAGCCACTCTATCTTGCTCTATCCAACTATTTCGCCCCATTTACCGACTCCTTCCCCTCCTCCAGCTCGCAAAACGCCTTAAAAGTCGTAAAACCCTGCCCCGCACTCTCCAGCACAACTTCCGCCGTCGCCCCCACAAAAAACACGAATCCCTCTTTCATCTCCTCCTTCTTCGGCCCTACGCTAATCGTCCCCTCCCCTGCGGTACAAATCAGCACACTCGGACCTTGAATTGGCTCAAACGTCGCCTTTGCGCCCTTAGCTAGAAGATCCGTTTTCACGACGCTAAATTCTTCGATGGGCGGGTCGTAGAGCGTTGAGGCGGAGTTGGAGGAGTAGGCGGTGCTGTTGAGGGTGACGTAGGGGTAGTCCACGGGGGACATTTTTTGCGAGGAGATGGGCGCGTACGAGTAGGTTAGCATTGTAGTAAGTGTCGGGATGTCTTGGTATTTGGGGGTGAATCCAGCGCGGACGACGTTGTCGGAGGAGGCCATACATTCGATTATGTCTGGTTGGGTGGCAGAGAATTAGTAAGCTGGGCATGGGAGGCGTGAGGAATGGGCAAGGAAGAAAATGGACAATAAAGAGGTGCAGAAGGTTGAAGAGGAGGAGGGAGGCGTACCACCACTGAGATAGGCGTGGATGTCATCAGCCTTCAAGAACATGGCTTCCCCAACCTCAAGCTTGACGTAGTTGAGGAAGAAGAGCACAAATAATCCGATATCGCCCTCAAATTGCCCATTCAGGCGGACGACTAGATCTGCAAGCTCTTTGCCCGTATTCGAGGGCCCGCCTTCTCCTGCAAATTGAGAACCTTCTTTTTGGGCAGCTGCTACTAAGTCTTTGGTAGCTGATGCGACAGCGGACTTGTCATTCTGCATCAGAGCGGTGAAGCTGGCCTGGAGAGCCTTCTTGTTGCCTTGAATGAGGTCCTCCGAGTCGGGCGTCTCCTTGCCCTTGACTGCATCTTGAAAGTTCTGGGCAGCGGTCTCGCCGACCAGGCTACGGAGTGAAGGGACGGTGGAGAGGAAGTGGGAGATTTCTTGGAGCGGGCGGAAGCCGCAGAGACCGTCAAAAGGTGTGATGGCTATGGTCATCTCGGGCTTGTGGTTGTCATCTTCTTTCTATTAGTCCCATTTACACTTCTTGCCTCTCCACATACCTGGATAGTTCTTTGGATCCTTCGCATGTAGTTGCTCAGCCAGCTTCTTATTCGGATGTGCCTGAATGCTCAACGCCTTCCTTATGGAAAGGACTTTGAACAAGAAAGGCAGCTTCTCCCCATAGCGCTTGCCAATGTTCTCGGAGAGCAAGGCTTTGTTATCTTGTACGAGATCGAGCAGCGTTCGTTTTGTTTCTACATCTTTGGATGGGTTTGAGGGGTGCGTGCCCATCCATAGCTCCGCATATGGCTTCTCTGCTTCTATTGAGAGCTCACTTGAGGGCGTGGCTGAGGCATATTTGGCTGCCGCTGATGATGTACCGACTTTGCCTGGTTCAATTGAGCTCTATCATTTTGCAAAGGTGAGGTTTTGTCTTTACCCCAGTCGTAGCTGTTGACTCCTGCAGCCAATTAGCCGATACCAGACTGGCATAAGATACTGCCTTACCGCACTGGAGTCTGATCAGAGGTACTTGCATGTTGCCGTCGTCAACGCGAGTTGCAACTTCCTCGTATTGAGGCTGTTCGTCATTGCCTATAAATTTATCACCGCAAAATCCGGCGCTAGTGGTCCCTCAATAAATTGATCAATTGCCGCTTCGCCTTCATCAACTCTTGCCATCTCATTTTACATGACATCTGTAGCCATGGCGGCTAGAAATAGACCTAGAAATGGTCTGACTAAGGATGATGGGTCTGATGCCCATGAAGAGAGCATCATGTGGACCTCGATCGTCAGTGGGCTCCGTAAGCTTCAAACTATCCAAGCAAAAGCGTCAGATATCGCGAAGCAACAAATAGACTTGGAGTCAAAATTGCAAAACTGTAAGTAGGGTTGTGTTTTATTTTGCATGCCTTCATTGCTGGGTCTTGCTATTCTGTTTTTATGGAGGTTGGCACTTTCGTTCTGAGGATTTCACACTTCTCTTGCTTCTTACCTCAACTCAACAACTCTGAGTTGCCACTTTCACGTGCCAAAAATGTGCGGGTACATCGGACCCGTATTCAGTATTTTGCGGCGGCATCAAGCGCCTGCTGACCCTTCGCATCTAGCAACACCTACGGTCAAGGACATTGATGAGTTACAAGAGCTCTACCGAGAAGGAGTGAGGTTGGCCGAGGAGGAGCAGAAGATCTTGAATGAGGAGCCAAGTGATATCATTAAGAACATTGGTATTCTAGCTGCTCTACGTGCGGCGAGCGAGACTGAGCCGGTCAGACAAGCTCAAACGATAAAGCCTCGCAACCCGAAACGACAAAAGATCGAGACTGATGGGGCAGCTGATTCACCCTCTGTGTCGCCCGGCATCGCGCCTGCTGTTAATAAGCTCAAAATTGGTGGTGTCATGAGGAGTGTGTCAGTTCCGCGGCAACCAGAACCGATCGTGAAGATTGAAGAGGGTACCGAGAGTAATAAGCCTCTACCGCTGGAGAAGGTGAACAAGCTTGTCATAGGAGCAGATGTAGCTTATAAGCAGGCAAAGCCAAAGGAGGACGGTAGTCAATGGATACAATGCATTATTACTAACATTACTGGTGAGGGCAATAAGAAGAAGTACCACCCCCTCCAATCTCCATTGATATTCTCTCTAACCATTGAGAAGATACGAAGTACAAGATCCAGAACCCGAAGATCAAGGGCCTGGTCAGGTTTGGAAGACTTCAGCCAATACATTGATTCCCATTCCTGCTGCAGACACTGTTCTCCCTGATTTCCCAATCGGTAAGACGGTTTTGGCACGGTATCCAGAGACGACGACATTCTACCGAGCGGAAGTCCAAGGTCTCCGAAAAGACAATTATCGATTGAAATTCGAGGAAGATCAGGGCCAGGATACGGACGTTGCGCGGCGGTTTGTGCTTGATTGGGGGAGGTGACAGCGCTTGCCTTGGATGCTTTGGATGCTTTGAATTGGATTTCAGACTGTTAGCTTTCGAGATACCCTTTGACTTGCCATATTGGAGCCATATGTGTGATTAATAATTAGATAAAATTAATATGACTTTTGAGTTGCCCCTGAGTCCCCTATAAGCCGCCCCTAAAAGACGCCCACATGGTGCACGTGCCTAACCGTGGCTCGCGCATTTTAGGCGTAGATTAGGGCGATTAGGCTTGACGCGGCGCTCCGAGATTGCACTGACGCACTTCGAGGCAACAGGATTCGGTCCAATTTGCATCCTTGTGGCCACCTTTTCACCACTAGAATCAAACGAGACAGCTTTGCACACCCCAGTAATTGACCCGCTTTGAGCCTCAGTTAAGACCAAGGTCGCCTCAATTGCCCCAGACTCCTCAGTCCCTTGTTGAACGCTCCAAGCGATTGCACTACCTCACCCTGAAGGTCCACACTGAAAGAGCAGCTATTGTGGTAGTGAGCGGGGACTGGAAAGGGGCAACGGGCAACCAGAAACAAATTCTTAATCGCACAATCCAAGCTCTGTAGAGCACCATACTCAAGATGGGGGGCTCAATGTCCAAGATGATGAACAAGCTCTTCGGCTCAAGAGAAATGCGCCTGCTGATGCTGGGGTTGGATGCTGCCGGGAAGACAAGTACGTCCCCTTGACCCCTTCGCTTCCTAATGTCATCCCTGAACATCAGCTGAATCTATTCCCAGCAATCATCTACAAGCTCAAAATGAACTCCGACGTAACCACCATTCCTACCGTTGGCTTCAACGTCGAAACCCTGACCTACAAGAATGTGAAATTCAACGTCTGGGATGTGGGTGGACAAGATAAGATCCGGCCTCTCTGGCGGCATTACTTCTCTGGAACTCAGGGGTTGATTTTCGTGGTGGACTCGACTGATAAGCAGAGGATGCAGGAGGCGAAGCAGGAACTGCATCGAATTATTCTGGATAGGGAGATGAAGGATAGCCTGCTCCTGGTGTTCGCCAACAAGCAGGACATGAAAGGAGGTGAGTAAAACGCTACCGGGATTGAAGAGTGCTGACAAGTGCTAGCACTGTCACCACAGGAAGTGCAAGAGGAGCTCAAGCTGAGTCAGTTGAAAGACAAGACCTGGTATGTTGTGCCGAGTTGCGCGACAAGTGGGGAGGGTCTGTTTGAGGGACTGGTAGGCCGCGTGATTTCCTGCTTGTGAGGATGGGCTGACAATAAAAGGCGTGGCTCTCGAGCAACATCAAGACACAACCGAAGAAACCCTCATGATCTTACCTATCCGACTGAAAAATAATGCCCTTGATTTGGGTGAGCATGTACGATATTTACCACGATACCGGCGGAGAACCTGCGTTTGACATTTAGGATACCCTTGCGCTGCTTGCAAACCAAGAATGCCGATCTTCTTCTACACAAACTTGTAATAGACAACAAGGCTGGACTTTGATAGTTTGAGCAAATTCAATTATGTCGAAATTGCATACCGGGCCAAATTACACTACGCATCATGGGGTATCTCATGCACTTGCAAACGCCATCGAACACACCGCTCTCCCACGTCCCATTCACCAGCCGCCCCTCCTCTCCCTCTCCCCTCCTCTTGTCCTCCTTCCCCCCTTGAAAACCCTCCTCAACCACCCTGCCCAACCGCCCTAACCATCTCCCTCAACTCCCCCCCTCCCCCTCACCAACTCCCCACCCCTCCGGCGTCTCCCCAAGCACCCGCGCCGGCTTCCCCCCAACCACAGAGAAACTCGGCACCACCATCCTCTCCGGCAACACCGCCCCCTCAAGCACCTTCACATAATCCTTCAGTATACAAAACTTCCCCACCACGCTTCCTTCGCCGATATGCACATGGTCGCCAATGCTGGCGGCTTCGATCACGCAGTGAGGCGCTATGTAGGTGTTCGTGCCGATTTTCATCGGGTAGAATATGCTCGTGTTGTTCTGCATGCGGGCGGGTGGGCGCAGGACCGTGTGCGAGGAGATTATCGTGTAGCGTCCTATGGAGACGGAGGTGCGTGTGGGTTGGGGTTGGGGTTTGCTGCCGTCTTTTGTGGTGGTGGTGGAAGAGGACGAGGAGGAGGGTGGGGGAGGGGCAGGGGCAGGGGAGATGAGGTCGCCCCGGATGCAGGCGTACGGTTGGATTACGGTGCGTCCGCCTAGGATGATGTGTTGGGTCCCGTGTAGCTGGGCGCGGCGGGCGACTTTGTTGCCCGTGTCGGTCTCGATGTATTCGGATTTAGGCTTTGGAGGCATCGTGGACGAGAGGGAATGGTTGTTGCTTGAGGGAGGTGTGACAGATGATTTGGCGGGCGATCCATACATTATTGAAGAGGTCTTGGCGCGAACGGAGTTTAGAATAGGGTACGGGCCGTTTGAGCAGGAGCTTATTTAATTGGCTGCTGGGATCACTTGTCTCCCGCCAGAAGACTCAATGCCTCTACAGTGTCCAGATACCATGTCGTAGGTTGACAATATCCTTAAACTCATTATGAGACGCGAGATACTACCAGGAAATTCTGAAGACACACCGTTTGTACCAGTTCTATCGAGGGTCCTTGGAGTCCTTGATAAGAAACCTGGAAATCCTTCCACAAGTTTGGTAGGGAACGTAGTAACCGTCATGGCTCAGAGAGCTATATGTTACTATCCAAGTCTGACTACTGTATCTAAATCTCAACTCAAACCGGCCGCCGCTTGGCTGAAGCTGACATTTGGTGGCTCGTCCGACATATGATGTGGGTTATCAAGCGCAATTACCACTAGAGGCTAGTAGTTTCTTGTCGAGCTTGTTGGCTTAAGTACTCAAGTGACGCTCTCTCTTCCACACCTTCGTATGGGACTACTTGTGATTCCAAGTTGGAGGCTCGGATACTGTGCTTGTTTTTAAAAAAGAGGCTGATTCGAATCTGTTTCTAAGAAAGGCGTTTACCATCTTACAAGTCAGACTTTGGAATCCTTATTTGAAGTGCTAAATAATTGTCATGGAGGACACTGAACATTGAGTACATTGAAAACGTCGAGAGGCTTAGGAATGGCCATAAGGGACCAGGAGTCCAACGCCCGTTTGACAGCAGCATCTCTTTCTGAATGTTCTCATTGAGCTGAAATCTTCCTTCTTCTCTTCTTCAATTTCAACATCCGCCCCTTCTCTGACCGACCTCGATCATCGCCTGGCCTTTCATATCCTTCCGCCTCACTGCCTTCTCGCCTCTTCGCCTCTCCTCCGCAGCACTCTTCCACAGCCTATTTACCTCCCACCCCGTCAAAGTCACTTTCTTGACATTTGTCTAGGATGTCTCGTGATGTCAGACTAGGAGCTCGGATATTGTCCAGATCTTTCGTACGTCCGCTGCTTTGTTAGCTTCGTAAGACTTCCGTCATGATATGAATTAGAAAATATATTGCTTCTCTTTGAGGAGATGGATTTACGAGACAATCGTCATAGAAATGATTGATTGAGTAGTCACATGCTTGTTCTTGTGCTGGGAGCTTCTGTTGAGGAACCAGTCCATATGATAGTCGTATCGGCGCGACTTTAGAGCAGTAGCCCAATCCTTGTTCGCTTCCTTTGCAATCATCAACTTAACACAACATTGAAAGCAATGTTTGTTACCAAGTATTTCCCTCAGCTAGCATAGGAATGAGAAAAGAATGTGATCTCGTCACCATCAATAGTCGTTGGTGAGTGAAGTGTTGTCAGCTCGCTGAGTGTCGTAATTTCCCGCGGAAGTTGTATTTTGATTTTTGAAACGCGACCGATTCCCTTTCTCCCCATACTCTCTTGTTTCTACCTCTGTGTGATTATCAAGACAGTGCTTAAATAGGACCAGAATACTCTTCACAGCATTCTGGTGCCGCAAATTCGGACTCCCTGAGTCCTTTAAGAAAACGTTCGGCTAGACCGGGGTTTTTATATACATGAAATGGAACTGAATCAGTTCAATCAGCGTGGACTTCTCCACTCTGATCATCAAGATCAAAGAGAGGATGCTGTCCATTCTGCAACCATGTCTAGGGGCCTCAGTGTCCCAGACTTACATAAACTTCGAAGCAACTTGCCTTCTTCTGATGAAGTACCGCAAGTAGAGCTAGATGCCACATCTGCTACCGCACGTCCTCTAGAAACATCTGAGGCCGTTTCTGCCACTCTAAAGACACAGATATCAGAGGCTGATACTTCTACCTCAGTAACAGATGCGGACAAAGCGAAGCTCACACCTGAGCATAGACAGCAACTCCTGCAGTGTCACATAGCCCATTTTCGGAGCAGAGGAGGAGTCGATCAAGCCTCGTCCCACCAGCAGACCCAAGTCGTAGTAGCTAAGAACAAGCGAAAACGCTCAAATAGTACCAGCAACACGCGACGCCGGGAATGGCTGGACACCTCTGAGGAACATCGAGCCCCAAGGGGCTCAGCGAAAGTGAAGGATCAAAGATGCATAATCAGAATAGACAAGAAAGCTTGTTTCGGAGATTTGTACGAGACCCTCCCCTTTTCTCCCTTGCTCACCTTGAGTCCCCTGCCAGCCGAGATCCCCTTCCTGAAGCTGATGCTAGCTGACCCAAGAGGAGGTGCATACTACGACAATCGATGGTACATCGATCAATACGTCCCCGTGCCTAGCATTACGAAGTTTGAGGCATTCCCTTACCACGATCACCCGGAGGTGTGGCCTCAAGGCTCGAAATACCACGATGTTCTTGACAATGTGCGCGAAGAAGACAAGGAATCGCTGGTATGCATACGGTTTAGGTCGTGGGCGCACATTACACCACACACACCTGAGCATCACGGAGCACGCGATCCTTTCGTTCGAAGCGTAGGTGAGGAGCTCAATATCAAGACAACCAAGCGGTATATAACAGCTTTATGTCGCCCCAAGAAACCGTTCGAAATCAGTATCTACTTCGTCTCGAAATTTCCCTGGAATCGGTTGTGGTGGAAAAATTTCTTTCCCCTTCGCGTCGCTCTCGCAAAGCGAGCAGAGCGAGTGCACGGCCCGCGATTACCAGATGCAAAGAACGAGGAAGGCACAGGTGGGACAGAAGAGCTTGACACGCCGCTGGGTTATGAAAGCGATTCAGCCTTGGACGAGATGGAGCTAGATAGAGATGAAGACGGAAAGATAGATACTTAGCTCAATGTGAAAGGGTTAGGAGGATTCTATCAAGGAAGACCGCGTATTTGTTTAACTCCAACTCTCCTCGGCCCCTGAGACTGCTGCTCCTTCTCTTCCAGGTCTTTCTCAGCCTCGACACCATCAACAAGTGTTGAAGGTGTTGACCTGAAGTGTTGTAATCTCTAGCCGAGATTGGGCATTCCTTTTCTGAGCGGACTTTCGTGAGAAATTATCCTTTCTCTTTCTCTTTATTTCTTACCTGTTGGTGTAGCCTACAGCTATTCCGACACCTACAGATGGAACTGAATCAGTCCAATCCTCGTGGGCAGCTCCACCCTGATCACCAAAATCAGAGGGAGGATTTGTCCCACAAAGGGACGAAGCCAGTGATGACTTCGGACCACTGTAGCCCTTCGGGTTCGCCCCGGGCTAGTATTACAAACCAATCCGTGACCTCGTCTTCGCCAGAAGATGCACAGGCTACGAATGAAGCCACAGACCCAGTCTTGACTTCAAAACCCATACCGCTTAGTTCCGACCACTTGGTTCAAAAAACACACAAAACCTCCTCTTCACCAGAAGAAAATGAGGTCTCCAAACCTTCAAAGCAGAACGCTCAATCAGCTGCAACAAGCCCGACGCGCTCTTCCGAGACAAAACTCGCCCTCCTGAAAACAAGGCTCTCGGGCGTGGACACCTCCATCGTCATCACGGAGGAAGAGAAGGCACGGCTTACACCTGAGCATAAGACGGAGCTCGGGAGGTGGTTTATAGCCCGCATCGTAAGGGATGTGGAAGTCAGGGAATTTGCGAACTCCAATGGACCGCCCTCCGTGTCACCTTCGCGAGATCGAAGGCGCTTAAGGGCGATCGAGATGGAACGGCAACAGCGCTCCCTCGAGGCCAGACCGACACGTTATCGAAGACCCTGTGAGCCTGAGGAGGATGAGGAAGAAAGTGTGATAGGGGATAGTGCCGACGGAGGGGCTGGGAGGAAGAAGATTAGGCAGATGTGACGAAGGTGGATATGGACGAAGATGAGAACGCAAGAGAAGGCAGCGAGATAGCTACCTAGCTGAATATCAAAAGATCTAGGAGGATTTGATTGAAGATTGTGTCTTTTGTTATTTGTGTCTTGATGGTTAAGATGTTTGACTAAGAAGCTCCTTCCCTGCACAAGCTCCTCCTTGTCCATCGTTCCTTCTAGCCTGTGTTTGCCGTAATTGAGATTTTGATACTTTCGAAGGAAAGCACGACCCTGCAACGCGCAAAATATGCAATTTTATAGATGCTTCGTCAGCCACCAGGAGTGCAGTTCCGGAGCCAAGGGTCTGCGCCCTAAAGAGCCGCCTAATTTCTGCGGATGGCGCCCGGGATTGGCGGAACTTGCCCCTATTGGCTCGGAAACTTTGGGGCCCCTGCTGCTAGGACGGGCGAAAATTGGGCAATCTTTTGCATAACATTGCGGCGATCACTGTCTGGAGCATTCCATTCTTAAGTTCGCTCTAAGAGCTTGGATTGTAGCATACAATCTCCTGCTCCATCGCCTTCCGCTTTATTGCACGCGGAATGCTTCTACCCTGCCTTTCATTCGTGAAGTCCTCCTCCATATTACCAGCACCAAGCCACGGCAACTTAATTCACGGCCACCCAAGCCAACTCCGTCAGTCGTCTTCCTCATCCTTCATCGAATCTTTCAACCTCTGCTTCTAAAACATGTGTGGCGGATCCAAATTACTTTGGCATTCAAGATCTTCAGCGATCTCCCTTCGAAGTCGTTCGAAACGGTAGAAATATTCGAGATTAAGATTAGACGGTCCGAGAGGCCATTCAGGCAGTAGCACTGGTGGTTTGTCTTCGACGTAGTAGTATTACTCCTCCTGATCTTTATCGTAAGTTGTTAGACCTGGGACTTACGAGGCAGCAAGATAACCTCTCGGCGGGAGCATAGTAGTACTCATCGTTCTCAACGGTGACAGCACCAGCGCTTTCCTCGCTGTTCTCGTGACGCTGTCTGCGATCCCGTCTCTTGCTCTCCAGATGGGCCACGGGGTTTTCGGTGATTGGCACTCGAGGGAGCCCGGGTTTGTGTACTCGCTGGACTCGATTTTGCTGGACTCGATTCGCCGGCAGTCTCCGGCTTCGAAACATCACTGACGGCCTTTGGATTTGGGTCCACGAAGAAGGTTGTGTTGTAATTAGCCTTTGATGTCGATCTAATCTTTTCGGCAGATGTTTGCAAACTCGCATCCTTTTTGATGACGGCGTTGGACTCATCTCCCAAACTCATTGATTTGGTGGGGAGATTCGAAGGTCCAATCTGTTGTGACCGTCCAACAGGGGTCATAAGTTGTGGACCGTTGTTCTGATTCGTGGTTTGTGGCTTCCTCTTCTTCTCAAGTCGACTTACATGGCTCTCAAGCACATCGACTTTGCGCTTGACTGTCTTCTTCTCGACATCTTCTCTGGCTACGCGTTGTGCTAGCTCACCGTTCAGTCGGACGATTTCTTGGTTTGCTTCGTCGAAGTCTTGACGCAGTCGGTTAAATTCCTGTTGGAGCCCCTCTCTAGCGAACTCAGAAGTTTCTCTTGCCGACTCGGAGTTACGCAGAGCGATTTTAAGAGATTCTTCTTGATCAAAAGTCTCAGAGGTCATTGTATTTTTTCTCTTTACTTCCCGGAGATATCACCTGCGAGAATGAGTTTGCTTCACGAGGAGATGATTTGGCCTTTGCTAGAATCGTGCCTTCGCCCTCAGAAGACCTATGAGCAGTCTGTCGATACCGTGGACGACGACCTGTCATATGAATGACAGCTTAGCTACTTTGCTTAAGTGACAGGGGTTAGACAATGAAGAAAAGGATCTGTGTTGGTAAATGATAGCAGGCACTAAACTCAGCCCTATGTCTTGGCAAGGGTTTAGAGGTCATAAGTTCCGGCGGAAGGCATGCAATTATGGCAATAACGAGTCGCAGATTCAAGGAGAAGGTCGTCAAGCTTATCACTCAAATCATTGGTATTCTCACAGGGGTAAAGTCAGTCAACTTGATATTGACTCCAGCCTCTAAATCGAACTCAATGGCACTTCATACCCAGAACAACTCAAAATTTCGCGGCGAGTGCTTCAGTCTAGCTCAAGATAATTGCCAATTCCTCGGTCCCACGCTCTCCCTCATGGAACTCCATTGACCTTCGCAAGCGAACGCTACAGCTCGTCAATTGCTTGCTTGTAGCTTGTACGCATTGCAGCCACTTTGCGGTCATGCTCCTGGAGATGGTCTACCAGGCCTTGGATCAACGCTCGCAGATGAAAGGTTTGCTGGCTCGAGCTCCGCCCCTTTTCACCATCATCATTTGGCTTGGTCATATGTTTGGTGCGCCTTATCCTCATGGGTCGAAACACAAGGCCCCTAAGCCTGTTCATTTGGCGATTTTTCCCTGTCAAAACGACTTCTTGATCAGCCACGAGGTTCATAAGATGCATGACCTCTCGCTCCATCTTCCAAAGCTCGTGTCGAGCAGCCTTCCTTGCTCGCTCAGAAGCATGAAGTGCTTGCCAGAGCGCCTCTGGTTCGTCAAAGCCTTCTTGCTCGGACTCTTCCTCAGAGTTTTCTTCTGATGTTGCTTGGTTTTGAAGGAAAGACCGCCCCTGAGAATCCCCCCAATACCACAGGAGGTCTCGTTCTCGACCAAGTTCTGCGCTGAGAAAGAATAACATCGTCCGATTGTGAAGACTTACCCAACCCATTGGCGAAGGAAACCATATCGAGATCGGGAATGGACTTCTTGGGCTACGTAGGAAGCCCAATTGAGTTTTCAGAGATTGGCCAACCGAATCCTTATACTTATAATCTTTGGCGAAGCCGTCTAGTAATGGCCAACTGGTAAAACGGATGCAGATCAGGTCCGCCAAATGGTCAAATCCCCATTTCTCTATCACATCCTTGTCAGATACCTCTCCGTCATTGGTATTGTCCTTCACACGAAACGCTTCGAAGTCCGAAACAGCAAAATTGAACCCGTCATGGGCGTTCATCTTCCAGTCGCTTCTGTAAAACTCCTCATGGTCTTGATCTCTCAAGGTCAAAGTGATTGTTGGAGGTCCGTTCGGTCCTGGATACAGGCTGACACGCGCCATTATCGGATACGCGCCAAAGAAATCCCCAAACGCCTTCTTTCGTCCGATTTTCACCATGCACTTTTGCGGTTTCAATGCTCGACATCCTTCCATCGATGGAGCCTGAGCCTCAATTTGGTGTAGAGCTTTTTCCCAAGGTTGTCCGGATTGCTCACGGTCCCTTTGGACGCCGCTCTTGGAGACTTCCTCGTTTCTGCCTGCTTCTTGTACATTAGACTTCTCTTGACGCTCATTGATTTCTCCATCGCTCAATGAGGAGGTGCCGTCTGACTGGTTTTCGTCGGATTGACCGGTGCGTGTTTGGCCGACTTTGCTTCCGGCTGTGATCAAATCCTCGTTCTTCGCGCCAGTCGCGAAGGCTCGTCCGCTGGGACTCGCAATACCATGTACAGGAACTGCATGTGCTCCGTCGTGGACTCCCGTTGATGTTTCTGTGCTGAAAAGCTCGTCAGCCTCAGCGCAATGCCCAGCACCAAAGGTCTCGGAAGGTTTCATCATTATACAAGTCACGCGGCACAGCGGCGCAACAAAGCTGACCTCAATTTGACTTGAGGAGCTGGTGAATTTGACGTGACTTTGCAATGCAAATGGCTCAGTCTCAAATTCGGGTTGTCTCGTGTAGAGGTGGGAAGGTTGATAGTCGCGTCCGGTGTGCGTCCAGTGTTGGGATGAAGTGTTGTCAGGCGCCAAGACTTGATCCCAGCTGGAGCGTGGCAATTGATTGCAAAAAGTGAGATTGCTGAGAGACATAGGGTGCAATGAAGTCTTCTTTGTCGAGAGGTGCATCGGGTGATACTACTTGCACAAACTACTTATAAAGTATGAGTAGCGCTTGGCTACATATCCTGAGCCGCCGTGAGCTTCATACTGCATTCTCTAGATCATCGAACCTTTGAAATCGAGCGCTGGGCGCCTGGGAAGAGCCTCTTCGAAAAGACATTTCGTTTTCATGGGGATGAGGTCGGTCAGTGTTACTGTCGAAATCTTCCCGTGCTGTAAATCGCAAGATTGGGTTTCTTCCCATAGGAGAAGAATTCCCACCCGATTGGAGAGTATTAGCTTGCTCTGGCATACCGAATGAATCCCGATCTCCGCTCAGGTCGTCGAGATTGGAGAAACAACGACGAGAATGTGTCGTGATGAAAGCTAGACGAAGATCAAATATTGTAGCTCTCCAGCACGGCCTTCAATTCCCCGTGGATACAGCGGCGACGATGGTGGCGTTATCACGGATCAATGGAGACTCCAAATCATTCACCGCAGAATTGCCACTTAATGACGCTGTCGTGATATGACGCTAGCTCCAATAGGATCAAAATTCCGGCCTCTGCCCATATGACAATCGCCACGACATACACTCGCTCATGGGACCTCACAGAGCTTTGACGCAATCCTTTTCGTTCGTTACCTCTCGAAGTACGTCTTTCTGCAATCCCAGAAATCATCACACATTCATCCAGTCACTCGAATTCTTACTGTGGTGAAGTGTCAATCCGAACGCGCTCGAAATCAAAACAACACCAAAATCGTCACCTTCTCTGACTTTTTCGCGTCGTATCGCACCGTCTGAATCGTGTCTGACGATTGCTTTGAATTCTTCGAATCACCAGAAGAGGTCGCTCGCTCAGAGCGGACATTTTAACACGGCGTGCAGGCAATCCTCAACGTCTCAAAATGGCATCCTCCCCAAATGACCCACCCCCGACTGCAAGTAGCAGTCCTCCCATCACGCCTCAAATGGCAGCGGTCTCTACAGAAATCGGCTCATATGGCGCCATCGCCTCGAATAAAAAACTCACAGTTGAAGACAAGTTGAGGATGCTTCGCGAGAGATATGATGAATATTGCATTGAGAAGAAGAAGAGAGAAGACGAGCTCAAAGCAATAGAGCTGCAAAATTCAATAGCCAACAATCCCAACATTGCAAGGTTGCTCAAAGAGCCGACTCCCTGGGAGGTCTTCACACCACGAAACATCCAAAATCTAAATAGGCGTGTCAGGTGTGGATTCAGGCTTGCAAAATTGGATCCGGAAACTCAAATACCTCAAGATTTGACGAGCATCATCGGTAGTCCTCATGCTGATCCCGAGGACTATCAGGCGTTTGTGAGATACGATGCAGGTCGATATGGTGACGGCCGAGTGACGATTACCTTCAAGATTCGCAAGAGAGTGGCGAATGAGAATATCATTGACACATCAGAAAGCGCTTCGTTCATGCTCTACTGTACGTTCAAATTAGGTGCAAAGCTAAGAGATACTGGATACCAAATTGACTGCTTCGACTACAAGCATTTCAATGAGCTCGAACTTGGGGATGAGTTGTATGACGAGCGAATGGACAAGGAAATCAAGCCAGGCGACACGTTTACCAGACCACATCTCCATTGCTGCATGTTCATCAGCCATGGATGCGTACAGTCGCACTACGACCCTCAAAGTACGGCACATCTTCCGCAAGACGTCCAAGATGTGTTGCGGAAACTTTTCTGCGACACAGGTACATTTAGAGTGGTCTGCTATCATCCCATTCCCCAATCTGCGGAGGCCAACTGGCTCAAGGCTCTCCGGCACAACATCAACCACCATACTCCTCAGCTATGGCAGTATCTCAACGAGGACGGCTCAGTCAATTACTCATTGGATCAGCCTTTGATCGTTAGAATGCAGGAGGGGATGTACGTGAAAGAAAATGGGGAGTTTTACACATTCCCTGAGAATCTTGACTGGGACGAACTACATGTATTTGCGATTGATGCGATGATCCCTGCCATTCGCGAATACCAACTCGCGTTATGTCACGGCCAAATCATCAGCCAGACACGCCATCGCGCATACGCACAACAAATGCCACAGCATCTTATAGACTTCAGAGATGAGACCGGACGACACGACAGGCTGTCGAGGACGATCAATCTCTTCGTCACGTTGACACAGTTCGAGGATTTTCTCGTCAAGGAAATGAAACCCGCAGCAGGATCAAGGGTGCTAGTCTGGTGGGATAAACCGCATGATTTCATTCCGAATAGCTCTACCAAGAATGGGACGAACTACGGCGTGGTCGTTGATGACGAAGAAGGGTGCTTAGCGACTGGTGCTGCTTTTTGTCTAAGAGTATCCCTCAGCAAAAGTGGATCCAAGAATCCACCTCGGCAAATGAGTGAGGGTTTGCAGAAATTAAGCCTCAAAAAGCTCAATTATATTCATATCTATGTTGAAGTGGATACAACAGCTATCCAACGCCAACTGCTGGCGATCAGTGTCTTGTGCAAACCCAAAGACCAGATGACAAGTGAAGAGATCGACGAGTCGCAGGAATGGGACGAAGTTATGAATACCCTTTGCCAAAAGCCGGGCAAAAAGCCGAAAGAGTACAGGATCGACCTCACAGCCATCAACCCTGAAGCGTTCAGCACATGGTACGAAGTCGGATCTGAGATTGTCAAAGATAGTCCAGATCAGCTAGCAATTATTGACAGCTTGGAAAACGTCGATTCTAAACTCGTCGGTGTTTTAGGTGCAGCTGGAACCGGAAAGACGAACATCATGGCCCTACTTGCTGGTGCTGTCGGAGTCCAAGGGGCTCAGGTCATGATTACTGGCACCACCCATGCTGCGCTTGACACCAGTGGACGTGCTGTATGGAAGTGGCTCTCTAAGGACGCAAGGAGGGTCCTGAGATTCCTGCGTATGGATCTGGTATCAGTTGAGATATATCATCTCCAGCAGTCTGTCGAGTGGCTGGGAAGTGATGCACTCGAGCCCAAAGGAGCGTGGAAGCAGCGAATTGGAATCTCCGAGAATGGTGAGACCTCCTTCACGTTCTGTCTGGCTTCAATGACACAGGCGGCTGCTCAAATCTTCGAGCCCAGGGATATTCTCGATGAGGCTGAATACGATGAGCTGTTTGACGATTTGGAGCTCATCGAGAATCAGGAGCCGAAGACGCAAACGTTTGGAACGGGAAAGGAGTCCAAGCTCCCTCGTGTCATGACTCTTGCCTGGCGTGAATGGGAGCTTCTTGATCGTGATTCACGTCGAGCGCAAGAAGCCTTTGAGAACCTTCATGAGGCATGGACGTCTCCTGAGAAGACCGAAGAGGAATGCTTGGAGTCGAATCCGAGAATGTCAGATAGGTTGAAAGAGGCATGGCAGAGTGAACCCATCCGCGAGGAAGAATTCAATCGAAGAGTCCGAGATCACGAGATTGAGAACGTTGAGCAGCTCAACAAGTCTCACGGATATCGAACGCTGTTGTGGGATTTCGTCCAGGATCTGTCCAGCTTCAACAGCCAAAAATTCAAAGCGCTTATCAAAGCAAGAATGGAGGTAATTGGCCGCATTCTACATCTCACCACCTTCCTGCTTGTCACTTGCAACAAGTCCGCAATGCCAGAGATCAAGACACACTTCAAGGCTCAGGTTGTACTTGTTGAAGAAGCTGCTCAGATGAAGCTGTCTGATTTCATGACTGTTGTGTACAGCCAGCCAGACGCAGATGCTTACTATCTCTTCGGCGATCCAAAGCAACTAATTCCGTACAACGGTGCCTTGTTGGTCAATGAGAAAATATCCCAAAGCAAACGCTCGCCTCTGAGCCTTCTCGAGGTGAAGAATCACAATATCAAGCGGCTTACTAAACAGTACCGTGCTGCACCAGCGTTGATGCAATTCCCCAACAGGTACTTCTACAACAACACGGTGGAAAACGCCGCCAAGACCTTTGGCAACAACAATTACCGTGTGAAGACCAGAGAACTTAGCCAGCGCTACCGAATCGGGAAGACCACAGGGAGTGAGCTCTTTTTCATTGACGTGCCATACGGTGCCTCGCGTGCAGAAGAGAAAGGTACGTCTCTGACAAACCCTGCAGAGGCGATCCGTGTTGCGAAGCTGGTGGACCAGTACCTCCAGATGGGGGTACCAATTGGGAAGATCACGATTTTGTGTTACTACAACGCGCAGCGCGATACTATCAAAGAGGAGCTGACGAGTCTCAAAGAGACTCTTGGTAGAGCCTGGCAGGTCCAGGACATACTGATCACATCCGTAGATCAATATCAGAACCTTGAGAACGAGATCACGATTGTGAATTTTGTCGCCGCACCATCAGTAGACCGATCCGAAACGGAGAACCGAGATGATGGTAGTGAGGCTTATTCCGGTGGATGCTCCATAACAAGCTATGTCAAGGATAAACATCGCTTGCTGACGGCTATCACTCGGGCCAAGAATGGCTGCGTGCTAATCGGCAATATGACAGCCCTGCTTTGGTCAACACAGAAAGAAAGCGCACCTAGTGCCGTTTTCGAGCTGATGTTGGACTTGTTTTGCCGGAACTTGGTCGCCGTGGATAAGAGGAGCAAAGACCAATTGTTCCAAGACAACCCAAAACTCACGGAACAACGTACTGCGCAAGCTGTTGCCAGGCTAGATCAGGCTTTGAAGCGCAAGAGCAAACCAAAGGTGGAAGGGGACGTTTATGCTGCGCCGACTTATCGGCTAAGGGAAGGTCGGACGCAGAGGCCGATTGATACTGGTAGTTATGGGATGGAGGCTGATGAGTATGATGAGGAAGGCACGATCTAGGGAGCCCGAGAGGCGGGGGAAGTGTGAGATTGACTAAGCAAGTAGGATAAGGCTGCCTCGTTTGGTGACGTTTAATAGATAGATCAATGTATATTCACATTCATTGCCAATCTAATGCCCAATTTCCCTCGGCGACGGGAGCGCCGATGCTTCCTTCACCACACAATGTCATGAGGAGCGAGGCCAGACATCAAAGTCAATATAGCGCGCTGTTGTCTGCGAAACCGTGTATTGTTGACCAATCAACAACGTAAATTCTCAGCTTGAATCTTGAATCTTCCGCTAGACTTAGCAACGTGTGGTTAATCGATGACCACCAGAATCACCACTGATGAATTGTCCTCTGAAGCCTGCCGCAGAGTTAGCGATTTTCTGTATGAGACATCGATACCACCTAAACTAGGCTAAATCTAACGTAGCAGAAGTCCCCTTACGCCTGTACAAATATTCGACAATCCAAAACTTCTTCTAGACAGATATATCAAGGTAAAAGATCTCGATTGGAAGCCTCCTTCGTTAGTTCAGTTGGAGATCCATGTGCTTCAGCCTTCTCCTTCGCCTTTTGTGCTTCGTGTCGTTGGAGGAGCTCCCATTGAGATGGGCCTTTGCTAGGTTCCAACATGTTCTCAGGTCTTAATTTAACCGGAATCGCGGCTACTTGCTTTGTCGGATCAGATTGATCCAATAGCCTTCGCTGCTTGTCCACTGTAGTAATCATAGGCGCTTCAAATGTCTGAGGGTGTCTTGGTCCCGACGCTTGACCCTTAGATAGATTCCCTGAATTCTTTTGACGGGTAGACGCTTGATTCTGCGACTTTGGTTGGGTTTTACCGACGGAGCCTTCACAAGAATCTCCTCGCTTTGCGAGATCCGCACGTGAAGGTGAGAGGGGCTCTTCAGGTTGAGATGGGCCGAAGAGGTCGTCATCGTTTCTCAAGTTCCAAGAGTCGATGTCAGGCGAATTTCTAGAGCTCCTGCAGTCAGGCACCTGCATGGATAGACCGCTTGTAGAAGTGACCTTCACATGATCCGCTGCCTTTGCTGACTCTGTGATTGCAGATGGCGACGGATTTTCTTGTGAGCGCTTCGGCTGATGCTTCAAGTGCTTTGAATCATCGTCATACTTTGACTGTAGCTTTCTCTTTTTCCGGAGATGCTCTTCAAACGCATCTGCTTCTCGCTTAGATGTCCTTCGTTCGACCTCTTTCTCAGCATTGAACGACGCGATCTCGCCTTTCAGCCGGGCGTTTTCACGCCCTAATGTGGCAACTTCTTGCTCACTGCGGAGAAGTGCGTCCCGAAGGACTTCTACATCATCTATGTCGTGGTATGACATTTTGTTATAAACGTTCCTACGACACTGCGCAGAAATCGAAACGCTCTTCAGCGAAGAGCAAAAGTTATCCGGGATCTTGAATCACGAATGTTTTTTATCTTGAAAGGTTGGAAAAGCCCAGTGTTGACGAAAGAATGTTCGGAACAACCAGTTCAGCCCTATGTCTTGGCGTCAAGACAAAAGGCTCTCCACAATGGCAGGCAATGCTAGAGTGTACGAAACGGAGACTTCTTGTATGGAAAGAGAGTCTGAAGGCCTCAAATTTGCTGAGCCCATACTAATCTCGTAATGAAGAACACCAGCTTGACTGTCTCTCAGTTTGGTCAGCTACCTACAGTTCGCTTGCCACTCGATACTTCGAGAACCTACCGCAGCGGCAACAGTAAACCCTCTCATCCACATGACCATTCTTCTAAATTCCTGCGACCCTCTTTCAGAGACGTTCTGCTAGCTTCGAGATGGCAAACATGTCCTTAAAGAAACTTGCCCCTCGTTTCCGGCACGCTCCTACGCCCTCAATTCTCGGTGATTGTCTTTAAGCTCTTGTTTTACCAGTCAATCATTTCCGATGACCCGTGTATCTGAAGGAATGGCTGCCCCTTGGAGCAGTTCACCGCAACTGTCATGGTTGTACTTGCTTTTCCATCTCAGATGCGTCTTCTGTTCCTCAAGAAACTCAGTATCTCTTCGTTTTCAGATGATGGGGATGGCTGCATAGGAAAAGAGGTTTCATCACGGGTTTGGGTAGGATATTGAGCGAAGATATTGTCTGAATTAGGCGTAGTGCGACTTTCAGCCCTTTTTACTTCCAAAAGATGTAACGTTGTCTTAGGCTTTGTTAGTTACGGCTACTGGGGTCTCATAGCCCTGCATTGTCACTTTGATGATTGACGGCCTCGCCTTCAAGGCAGCTGACCTTGCGTTGTAAAAGAATCAAGTGAACCATCTTTGGTCTCGAGTATTGACTCCGGGAACTCGATATGGAACCTTGCTTCAGCGGAAAAGCTTGGAGACTCTTTTTGTCGTGAGCGGACATTGATAGTCAATCTACCCGTGACATTCCAGGGGCTTTCTGTGTGCGTCTTGCACGTCTTCTCAGAAGGCAGAATTCTTCAATTGGCTACGTACGCATGCGAAGTACAATGTGTGAAGATCTCTGATATGTTTGTCCATGGTCGACAAGTTTGCTCCCTTACCTTATTGTTCTCTCAGCACCTACCACGCTAGTTCAGCCCTATGGCTTGGCATAGAAAGGGGTTCAGGGGGCCCCATCTGAAGGCAGGATGCGCGCGCTCGCAGTATTATGCAGTTACTGAATCACTTGATTGAATCACACATCGATAGACTTTACAACCCAATAATCTCTCAACCTTGACTACTTGATGGCAACATATTTCCTGAAGCTCTCAGCTCACAACAAGGCGTCAAACTTAGTTTCTTTCAAACAGACTACATCAGAGACTACCGAATTCAGAAGTGTCTTCACAGGAAATGCCCTCTCTCTTGCTGATGGGTCAAAGTCTGGGTGCCGATTGGCATGGTCGTCATCTGATTGTGTTTACAGATTCGGCGATAGCTCTTCTGCAATCTGAGCTTCATATGTTCTGTCAGGGTCAACGACAAGGATTAGTGGAAGTAGGGACATTAGTGTCTAAGCAAAGTTTTATGTTCGTCTTCGTAAAAAAAAAAAGAACTCACTTCCTAAGTCTTTCATTGTTGTTGTCGATCTACTTTGAGTCAGCAAGCATACCATCATCACCATTATGAAAATCTCATATAGTGTCACTAGACTTCTTACTTACTTTTGCCTGGCTGGTCTTCGAACGCGGTCTTGGTGACATCTTCCGTCCGCTCGCGTAATTCCTCTGCAGCTAGCTCTGCTTTTCCCTTTCATCCACCGCTCTCGTATTACTCGTGACAGCCTTCCTCTTGAATCTTCGCTTTCGTGCTCTATCGTTTCAAAACTCAGGCTATAGATGCTAGAGCTAAGCTTGAGACTGCCTTGTGAGACGTTTGTCAGGTCACACGTCGTAGTTGGATGTTGAGGCGGGGATGGTGACTTGAGCTTTCTAAGAGGAGCACGCCTTTTAGAAGGCGACGACCGACACACAATGTGAGCTTGGTCACTTGTGATAAAGTGTTTGCGACAGTATGGTGAGAGAGTTTAACTAGGCCCTGCTTGCGACCGTTGCATTGCACCTTTGACGGTGAAATCTACTACCCTGGTCTATGTTTGGACCTAGCCTACTCTATCTCGGCTTGTCACGCTCACAACTATTCATGAGTACTGTACTCTGCCGAATCCACGAAATAGTGCAATGATTGTTCCACCTTGCTGTCCTTGTATCCGCAACCAGTGGTCCTCAATCGTCCAGAATGATGTTCCATTCGCTAGAATCAAGTCGATAAGAAGCTGCAGCCTCGTTTTGGTAGAGTGATAGGTTTTGATTCCTGCTAATCCTGTTGATCAGTCTCTTTCTGCCAGAAGACATGGTACATTCTTTGAGTCATCTTCTCCTGCGCTCCAAAATTGGAATGAATTCTGCTGGCGCCCCCAGTACAGACGTCAAGTATGAACAGGATCCGTGTTCAAGCCTTCCGAGACTTCCTCGTCTCGTTTCCGCTTCTTGTTCTTAGCACCCTGATGTTCTGCTCCAAGTGAAACATTCGGCGGCAAGTGCGAATGAGTATCAAGATTAGACTCCTTGGTACCGTCGATTTCAAAAATGCTGCGCTTTGAAAGATCAAACGGCTTACTGAGCGTGCTCTTCCCCTTTTGCTCTTCGTTCCGTCCTGTAAGTGCGACCGGTATGTGACTTGCTCTGTCTCCTTCTGTTTCCATCGTCGAAAAGTCTCGTTCTCCAGACGACGCTGTCACCATTTCATCAGATCTCTGTACCGCGGGCTCTTTCTCCTGCTGTGTGCCACACTGCTTCTGAAATTTACTCTTCAAGCGTTGAAATACCTCACTTTGTACTTTCAAAAACGCATGTGATTCGGCGGTAAAGTTTTTGATTTCCGCAAGAGTAATTTTTGTTTCTGGCGAGAGACTGCTTTCTTTTTGGCGCTGAAGGTTATCTTCCAGCAACTGGCACCGCTTTCGAGACCTCTCGAGCTCACATTCGAGATCGTTGATTTTAAGATCTCGCTCCAGAATTTGATGTGCCGTATCTGACCGCAGACTCATGATCTCAGCTCTGGCATCATTGAGTGCAGTTTGAACGGTTTTGTTTTCTTGAGTCGACATATTGAGAACAGCACACGTGATATACCAATGAGCTTTTTTCCAGAGCGCGTGTTTCCTCGTAGGCACAAGAGACTCACGCGCAGAGCTGTCTTTAACTATGGAGACGTGTGTATGCTAAAGTACAGCTCCTCCAAAGCCTTCGATGAAAATCTTCGCGAAGCAAAAACTTGCTCCAACACCGTGTTGTATCAACATTTACCACGCTAGATGAGCCCTACGTCTTGGCAACAATCGAAATGTAAGGGGTCATACAACTCTGGATAATAATGGCGCCTTTGGTACGCCAAGGTGGATATTGAGATCACTTAATTGTTTGCATTGCAGAATTTATCTACTAAATCACTCGTCATTGGCATGTCGATACCTCTCACCATTCATCGTGCGTTTTTGAATTATTGCCTCAATGTAGGTTGGTATCCACTATGCTCAGATGTAGGTCACGTCCTTCTCCCAATCAATCCATGTCACAACCAAAGTAATCTCATTCTCGTCATCTTGATCCTTCCCTAAGTTGGCTGGTATGCTGACGAAAATAATGATCGTCATCATAAAAGAGTGGAAGTCCAAATATCTCTAGGACCTAATTCTTGTGGGATCCTGTGGCGTCAATATTGTTTCTCCTGTCAGGGATGTCGGGACTGACAAAGTCACCGTGTCCGCCTGACCTTTTTGACCTCTTGTGGGTAGACATGTCAATCTAATGACATGAGCGAATATCCACTCAGGAGGATGGGAGTCTTACATGGTCACTAGGCTGTTTTCGTTTGTCGACAAGTCTATAACCACTCGCATATTCTGGGGTCATTCCATCAAGTATTGCCTTAAAGCGTATACTTTGACAATTCTGCGTATCAGAAGATCCGATTAGTGACTCTGGCGCCGTCTGAGCATCATTCACTTTTGTTCGTAGAACCGCCGGTTTGCTTGTAGCACTAGATGGTCTTTCAGGTGGAGGCGATCTGTGCTTGTTACTCGTCTTCTCAAGGTGTACTAGACCAGTCTTTAAAGCTTCGATGGAGCGCAGACCTTTCTCGTATGCTTCGGCTGCCATCCGATCTAGCTGATGAAACGTTGTAGGCGATTCGCTCAGCTCTGTCTGGGTGAGAACGCAAGCCTTAAATGCTTCGTCAAGCTTCTGTTGGCGCTCTGCCATAGTATGTGCCGCCTCTCCTCTGCTTTTTAGCGCCTGTTCCTGGTCGATGTAATTCTGCGTAACCTGGTCATTGTAGCTTCTGAATCCTGAAGTGGCGCTGTCTGACGCTTCGACTTGCGCCTTCAGGGATGCTTGGAGTCCAACAACCTCAATGGTGAGCTTCTGGACGTCTGATCTTGAAATCTCACACTTAGATATTTGCGTAGATGGCACCAGAGAGTCTCTAGTGTCTCTCTCGCGAGTTCGCTTGAGAATTCTGTCAAGTTCCGCGCATTGTCGTTGAAGACTTGTGATCTCACCCTCGAGACGGACACTCTTCAGCTGAGACCCATCGATGAGAGACTCTATAGTTCTTGAATCTGATTTGAGGCCAGCAATCTCATTCAATGCTTTCGTAAGTCGAGCTCGGAGGTTCTCCTCATTGTCAATTGGCATTCTAAGATTAGCGATCCAAAGATCTTTGCCTAAAGACGGTTATGCGTCACTTACATCCAGCACTGTGGCCGCTGGAGATACGCTTTAAGCGACAGTACTTGGAATCAATGTCTTTCTCCGATATTTTGGTGGAAGGAAACTCTGTGCTTTGTTGTATTACGGGCAGCCGCGCTAGCTCATTTTGATAGCTTGGCATTTACCACAACTTGTACCCTGGCACTATCAAAAGGGAGAGCAAAAGACGCTATTTGTTGTCCTCAACCGTCAAGTTGATGTTTAAACACGTATGAGTAGGTCGGGATTGAATTTTGAGTTTTACTTGGACTACAATCATTCGGCTTGCTTCCTTTACGTTCAAATGCGCAAAGATTCTACATCTCTCCCATCATATCTGCTCATATTACAATATTCCATGTTTTTCGAAGCAGTTTCAGCATCTTTTAAATTCTAGCATCAATATCGGTCCTCTTCTCAGCATCCTTCCGCTTTCTCTCCGAACCATCAGAATCTTCACAGTCGGCCCTTGAATCCACAATGGGCATCCTCTCTTCACATTCATTCTCCCGTTCATACTTTTCTTCTTCTTCGTTTCCTGCTTCCTCTGACTTCGTATCGGCTGCCTCACGTACAATCCCCCCTCTCATGTGTCCCTTGCCGGGCAATAATGGTTCCAGATTCTGTCTTTGCCGCTGTATTCAAATTCAGTGCTCTTTCTTGAGATGGTGCCCGCATCGATGTGGATACTCACGGTGTAAGAGTACGGCAGCAAAGTGTCCAAGACTGCTCGCTTGACGAATAGGCCATGTGCAGGCATGATGAATCAAATCTCCACTGAATATCGGCGCTTCTTCGAATTGAGGTCTTTAAATGTCTTTTCAATGGAAGTTGGGGTCCGGTGGGTCTTTAAGCTTTTTTGATGCATGTTGGATTGAGTTCTTTGGCCAGGGTTGAAGTAATTGTAAGTCTGGAATTCAAGAACCCTCTGTAAAGTCAAATGGGCTAGCACCTGGGGCTTCACGTCTGAAAGTCTCTCATCGAGAAGGCCCAACTCATACTTTGATCAATGTACCAGTGATTTGTGTAAAGTACCGCCTCTTCTACCTTGGGCTTCTCTTCACCCGAGGCTGCACACATCTCTTGCTTCCCTAGCTCTTACCTCTTCACATAGTGAAGGCTCTACGTATCCCAGGTCCATATCACCAGAGCAAAGTCCAAGGCAAGTTTGGCGGTCCCGGAGAAAGCGAAAGACGGGTCATGATAGACGTCAGCATGCCGAAACTTTACAATGGCTTTATTTGGGTTACACTAACCACAGTTGGTCTGTTTTCTTCACAAGTTCTCGTGAAGTTATTCCAAGACTGTCGATTCCTTGAATTGAAGTGGCTCTAACGAGGACACGGTGATTCTAATCCAATGTGATAAAACATGATTATCGGTGTTCTACATGACTGGAATCGTGCGACCTGACGCTACCTCAAATTGGTGTGTTGCCAAGCTGTGACACCATTGCTGCATGACGGCGAACGGATATTCATCGACATCGCTTGCCTGTTTGCACTATGTTTGTTACACATAATTGATGTATTTGGCTAGATCTAAATAACAAGCTACTCTTGACTGCTTGGTCGAGAGCTCAAATAGCTGGTTGAAGACTTCCTGTCTGCAATCTTTTGCCGCCTGCAGACGTTTCTCAGGCGTATTTAAACATTCTACGAACCCTTCATCGTCTAGAGACGTTCTCAGGCGAATCTAAACATTCTACGATGCCCTCACAGGAATCAGTGCCTATCGGCACTTCCAATGATGACGCACAAGATCAACAGCAAGCATGTGGGTCATCCTTGGCCTCTGAAGCTGTGAATGATGAAATGAGCAGATCGCGCCCCGCCAGCCATCCATTACAAGCCTCTGATCAACGCAGTCTTCTCGATGATCAAGAGGAGGCAAATTGCAACACAGAGGTCCTTGAGACTCCCAAGACTCGCTTACTGCGTGGGCTCGGGGTCAATCATATCAGCATCTCGAGTCACAAGCGGTCTCTCAGATGTGCATTCATGATCTTCAAGAAAAACGAGAAGGGTAAACCCATCCGAGACTCCGAATTGTTTGGCAACCCTTACTTCCACAACGCACGATGTAGTATTAACGGTCGTGCGTACGGTGGTGAACAGGGAGTCCCTCGAATTGAGCTTTCCTTCACATTCAAGCAGAAGCCTCTCTTACCGAATACTAGGTCGTCCAAAGGCAGATATGTCACGCTGGCTCTCAAGTTCAAATCTGGCGTGAGGATAGGTAATGGCTACCAACTCGCAGATTTCAGATATATCCCCTTCGATAAAGTTCACCGTGAAAAGCAGATATATGTCGAAAGCCTTGACACCGAATACGGTGCAAAGCCAAATCTCCGGCAAAAACTGGCTGTGTTCTATGTTGAGACTGACGGGTGCGAGATGCCTATCTATGAGGCCGAGACCTTTGCTTCTCTCCCCGAAGAGATCGTTAATGTTATCTTAAGGCTGATCAATACCTAGGAAAGACTTGCTTTTGCTATGTACCTACCGGTGTTCCCGGATTTCACGGCCGCAGACAAGGACTACCTTCGATACCTGAAATACTTCGTTAAGAACCGAGTATCCGACACACGTCCATTCTTGGATTGAAGAGAAAAAAGAACAGGATCTGAGGATGGAAGAGGGAGGGCGAAGATAGCAGATTCTGTCCGAGGCGCAGTAAGGGGACAGCCCATGAATAATCTGGAAGAGTCATGAATAATCTGGAAGAGTCATGAACAGGCGCAAAGAATGATGCAGAACCACTAGCAATGAGGCTTCAGGTCAGGGTCTCACGACGAACAACTGGGTGTCTGTTGAGAAAAGGGATGCAGCCATATGTGCTTGAGGAGAAGAGACCAGCAAAGACCAGCTCTCCAAGTCGACGAAAACTGTGGATACAAATTTTGGAATTTCTACTCTTGTGTCTGGCAGCCACGGTGTATTTAATGAATCTTATAAAACAATAAATTGGGATCAAGCGCAACTCTTGTCCATCCCCGCAAATCTGTTTCCCCTCTCACATAACCATTCTCTATCCCTCCACTTACTGACTGCCAATACGGCCCATAAGAGCACGACTTTCTATCGAGGGTCTTCTCCGCCTTTATTTGCATTTCAAGATACTGCCCAGTAAGTCGCGGTGGGGCGAGGCACTCAGTAGTATTCTTGATGTTAAAACATCCATCAGACTAGTTGAGATCGAACTTCGGTGAAGCGATGCAGGGTCGTAGAAGGTTCTCTGGCGACTTCCTAAAGTTAGGGCGAGAAGACTGCAGGTCATCGGCCAAGACGAAGAACGAAAAATATGGAAGCCTATGAGAGCATCCTATTGCTGAAGTTGAAAATCAGGGTGCATATTGGTCTGTTGAACATAGTCTGTCTGAGATGAAGACAACCCACGTAGCAGTCGTTGGATGTGGTTTGAAGGAAGGCCGTTGTCTAGTATGATTTAAGATATGACCTTTGTCAGCCCTAAGACTAAACGCGGGCATTGAAGGTGTAAGACTTGACATTGCCACCAAATCATTGAATGCTAAAGGTATGACCTCATTTTTATTAGCATTGTCGTTGGGTTTGGATTAAAGAGGTGGAAAGTAGTGTACAAGTTTAGATATGAATGAAAGTTGCTTCCCAAGTCCCGATGGAGCATTCAAAGGTCAGCTGTCGTTCAAGATCGATAGTACAGGCATGCCCCTTGTCCACCCAAGCCTAAAGAGAGTACAACCAACAGATACCATGATCAGACCATGGCCTCCACTGCACCATCTTACACTGTAGCCATTGTATATGAAGCCTCATCAAGCATTGTGTTCCGTACGCGCCTAGTGCTTGACAGGCCTGTAAGAATGGCAAACAGTCAAGTGGAAAGGTAAATATTTAATGCTAGGGCGCGAAAGCATTGGCTGCTTGAAGTATGCCGGCAATATTGTTGGGCAATCCGGTGGCATTCTGGGTGTTGTACAGTATTATCTGCTTATATGTCGGGTCTGTAACCACCGTCACCATAAACGCGGCGTATTTCTGTTATCAAGGTTAGTTACAAGGCTGGCAGAATACGAGTAAGGCTGTAGAGGATTGAGAAAGGATGGAGAATTGCCAAAGCAAAGATGGACCAACCTGAAAGGTAGTATTAAATGAGATAATGTCGTTGTATATGGTTGCTCGCAAGCCAAAAGTGTTGATCAAGATGTTTGATTTTTGTGCATAATCGGCGAAGAGCTCTTCTATAGTATTTCCAAAGTATCCCCAAGAGCGAGCCACATTGCTCTCAGTCGCAGGGTCAGAGGTGGGTGTCGTTGGATTTGTAGCTGCAATAGCGTTGGTGATTGCAGCAGTGAAAGATTCGAGGGCTGGTGGTAGTGCCTGATGTTGGTATAGATGTTAGCAACGTTGCGAGGGCTTGATCATAGCCGACCAGTGCCAGAAGGAAGTAGAGAATGGGCCTTGGATTCATGTTCCGACGTACTGAGGCTTGTGAGGGGGTGGTTGCGGTTGAGATATCTACGACCGGCTTGTCAACAGTATCGGCCTGGTCTGTGAGCGCTCCATTTTGCGCAATTACGTCGCTCGTGGTTGCTGCGTAAATGCTAGAGGTAAACAGGAGTAAGGCGACAGTCACGAGATTCTTTCGATACATCATACTAGAAGAATCCGACAATGAATGCTTTCACGTAGAGAATCTTAGGGGTCTATGAAAGGATTATTCAAAGAAAGGGGGCGTTTTCTTGGGGTCTTTATGGTTACAGAATGAGGCAAGTGGCAATCTCACAAAATCGGAGAGTTGTTTAATGAGAACGAAGATACCATACAATCCTGTAGTGCCTTCTCACCTCAATTACGAGAACTCCTTCTAGAACGGGTTAGGCGGTCGGTAGGCCACAGGTCTAGGGTCAGCAACCCGCATTAAAGCCAGTGTCAGCCTGGTCAGCATCTCGTACTATTGGAGCCCTCAATACAAACTCAAGCAGGAAGAGGTTGTTACCGACCGCTCGTGGAAACGATGGCCCGGGTGGTGCATTTGGCGTGCGTTTAGACCCCAAGTGGCTGAACATCCTGCATTACCCCTGAAAAACGTGCTCGTCGAATACCGCAGGATCGTGCGTCGAACATGATACAAAATGAACATATGCAGTGAGACGGGTCCTCTGGTTCGCAGATAACGGCTTTGGGGCTTTAAAACTTGCGAAGGATACACTGCGGCCTTGTGCTCGTTGCAGGGTTGAATAGCGAGAGATCTTGGCACCCCTCCTAAGCGCGTACAATACGAGAAGGTGCAGACAGGTAGGTGATAGAGCAAGCCTCATTGTGAGATGTGAGCTGAACATTCCTTCTGGCTGACACGGGATGCGCCCATACGCACCTAGGAAAATCTCTGCGACCCCACGCCACCCATCGTCTGCATCAGCTACTCTCCTGTATTGAGTGTTCATCGAATCACCCTCCCTGCCGTGAGGACATAATTACCATGCTTGAAGCGGTGTAGCCTGCAGTGGTAAAGTATTGATTGAACCTTGCAGGTTGCGTTCTTGTCGTTCCGATGTTGGTCCGAGCTGGTGGAAGATCCCGGCGGCCGCTTGAAGCTAAGACTAGGGCTTGCTTAGGGCTAAGCTAACTTCATACGTCAATCGCTGAAAGTCTTCAGCCAATTTCGCTCTCTTCTCCATTGAAAGAAATGATTGAGAAGACACGAGCAAAATGGTTGCCGGACTTCGAAGACTTCTACATACATAGCCATGATCTTGCTAGAATCAACACATCACGGAACTCACCGCATATTCAATCGCAGCCATGTCAGGTCGCGTGACCAGGTACCCAACATGGTAATGATCGCCAATATACCTGGTACGTGATGTAAATGCCGCACTATGTTTTCAAGGTCATTGTACTTAAGATGGTGGTCTACCCTGCTTCTTCAAATGAATCCGTAATACCAAGCGTGCTTCCGTCTATATAACAATGTCACGAAGTGCAGTTGAGGTCATATCACTCCATGAGTCACTGCCCACAGAGGCAGATGGGAGAGAGATCCACATTGAGGAACAAGATGCATCGAGTCTTGATATAGCCAACACAAGGCAGTACGAGTCAAACAGAAAGAGAGCTTGCGTACTGATAGGCTCGACATTGCTGCAATTGCCGATCTGGGGTAGGCAAAGTGCTTTACCATAACGATAGACTACTTATTAATGCAGGCTTTGCCATGAGCTATGGCGTCTTCCAAGAATTCTATTCTGATAATTGGACTCTAAAGGGGAGTCGTGGAATCACAGGTGTCATTGGCACGACCCAGAATGGCGTCTTGTACCTCTCAATGCCCTTCCTCTTCGCCCTCTTCACCAAGCGATGGGCTCAAAGACGACAGACAGCAGCACTATGTGGCGCTGCACTTACCTGTGTCAGCTTCCTTCTGTCCTCCTTCAGCATGCATGTCTGGCATCTAGTCGCGACTCAAGGAGTCATGGCCGCCTTGGGCTGTGCTCTGATCTTCAGTCCAACAACGCTATCCCTCGGTGAATGGTTCAACACCAGCAACCGCGCCGTCGCCTACGGAATCACTCTCTCGTGCAAGAACATCGTGGGCTCAGTCTGCCCCTTTCTCCTACGGTATCTACTCGATCGCTATGGTTTTTGCAACACGTTACGAGTCTGGACAGCCATGGTAGCCGGAACCAGCATTCCTGCCATCTTCCTCATTCCTACACATCCCTCAAATTTATCACCATCCACTCCTCGAGCTCGGAAGATTCCATGGTCATTCCTCCACCATCAAACCTTCTACATCTACAGCATCGCCATAATCCTCCAAAGCTCCGGCTACGGCATACCACAGACCTATCTAAATACCTACGCCCACGAGGTTACCTTACTCTCCCAAACCTCAGCCACGCTCTTACTCACTCTCTTCAACATCCCTGGCATCGCTTCCTCAACATTCTTCGGCTATTTGAGCGACAACAAGCGCTTTCCCATGTCCGCAACGACCGTGACCGCCATCTCAGCCGTCAGCTCCGCACTCTCCGCCTTCCTCCTCTGGGGTCTGACCTCAAAAGGAAGTATGGCGCTTCTGGTACTCTTTTCCATCACCTTCGGTTTCTTTGCAGGCGGCTACAGCGCGACGTGGGGTGGTGTCCTCAAGGAGATGGAAAGCGAAGCCGCGCAGAGCAATGAGGCCATCGATACAGGAATGCTGTATGGGCTGCTGAATGGTGCGAGGGGAATTGGATACGTGAGCGGTGGCTTGATAGGTGTGCCGTTACTTAAGGTCGGCGGGTTGGAATCACTCGGGAACTTTGCGTATGGAACGACTTACGGTCCACTTATCATATTCACGGGGCTTTCGTCTGTGTTTGGAGGCTGGAGTATACTCTGGCGGTGGAGGAAGCTGTTGCATTTGGTGTGATACCTGCAAGGTCTTATGGGATCTATTGAATGGCGAGGATAACTTGATTGCTATCAGGACCATGGGGTAATGTCTAATTGTCAATCTGAGCTGCTCTGGCATAGCCTTGGGTTTGTGGGGAAATCGTATGAAAAGAGAACACATTCTTGCAGGAAACAACACGAAGAGGTTCGAAGTCTAAATGACATAGAACTCGAAATCTGTATCGTCTATGCTATTTGTAGTAATTACAAAGCCCACGACGTCTACGCCAAAGGCAGCACAGTCTCCTCCAGCCCTCCAGCCCTCCAGCCCTCCCTCAGCTCCCCATTCATTAGCACACGCACCAACAACCAGACACATGAAGCCAGAAAGCACACAAAACCCATTCTTCCCGACTCCTTAAGCCATAACAGCAGTCTCACTCCCAGCCATCCTCCTCATCCCACCTCTATTCTGGCTACCTCTCTGCGAATTCGGTTTTGCAAGTGTATACCTATTCATACAATCAGCAACTCATCCTCCACACGCAGCACAAAAACAGAAGAGGGAGATGGATCGGGGAATAGGAGGAGGGAAGGGGGAGGGAGGGGGGACATACTTCGCAAAAGCTCTCGCCAGCGCTTTCTTACAGCTAACCTTCTGCGCGCCCACGAACGAGTCGACCGTGACAGCGATAGCGCGATCGACATCGGCAGAGGTACAATAGTCCGACAAACGCATCTTACAGAAAGCCTCGGAGATACGCATGATAGCCTCGAGATGTCTCACCTATCAAGTCATCAGCAAACCATCCACCCTCCCACCATCAACCTCGACGGCAGAGAGAGAGCAAGCAGAGAAACTCACAGTAATAGGATAAGCACCCGTAGCCAAACTCTCCCTCCTCATATCCGCAAACAACCTCGCCACCTTATCCTGATCGATCTGATACAACTTCGGCCTACACCGTTCCCTCGCATAAAGAATATACTTCCTCAACAACTCCTGCGAGATCTCCACCCCCACCCCCGCCCCCCATTCCTCCCAGCAGGCTCGCCTCCATTCATATCTTGTCTCCTCACCGCATCCTCATGCTCCACCTCCATCGCCCTCGCATTAACATCCGCAGCACTACCAACACTCGGATGCGCCCTCCCATGACTCTCCACCACAAAACTCGCCAGCCGTTCATCTTCTGCGGGATCCACCGTATCCCTGACAACGCAAAGGATATCGAAACGCGAGAGGATAGGTTCCGTGAGTTCAACGTTCTGCGCGAAGGGGATGGTGGAGTTGTACCGCCCGCCGATCGGGTTGGCGGCGGCGATGATACCGCAGCGCGCCTGCAGGGTCGTTACGATGCCGGCTTTGGAGATGGAGATGGTTTGCTGCTCCATAGCTTCGTGGATGGAGGTGCGGTCTTGGTCGTTCATTTTGTCGAACTCGTCAATTAGGCAGGTGCCTTGGTCCGCGAGGACGAGGGCGCCGCCTTCGAGCGTCCATTCTGCTGTCAAAGGGTCGCGGCGGACAGAGGCTGTTAAACCGACGGCGGAGGCGCCTTGGCCTGTGGCGAAGACGGCACGGTGGGCGGTCTTTTCGACGTATTTCAGGACTTGGGATTTGGCGGTCCCGGGGTCGCCGAGGAGGAGGATGTTGATGTCGCCGCGGATTTTATGCTTGCCTTGTGCTTCTTTGGAGACGCCGCCGAAGAGGGAGAGGGCGACGGCCGTTTTGATGTCTGTGTGACCGTAAATGGAGGGGGCGATGGACGAGATGATGCGGTCGACGATTTTGGGATCGCGGCTTAGGGAGCGAATTTCGCGCTCGTCTTCTTCGGTGAGGCGGAAGCCGGCGAGTTGGTCGTGGGATTGGATGACATGGTTGGCTTCTAAAATGGTTGCGAAGACGGGAAAGCCATTTTTGTTGTTCAGTTGGGCGGAGTAGGAGTTGCGGTAGATTCCAGTTACCTCGATCTCTTCACCGGGCTTTGCGGAGTCAATTAGGTCCCAGAGGAGGATGACTTCGCGATGGCGGGGAAGACGACCTGCAGGGACCGTTCCGGGAGATTCTTGAAGGGTGAGTTTTTGGTAGTTGCGGTAAATGGTTCGTTCACTATTCAGGGTGAAGGGGCCACGGGATTGGCAATTCTGGCAGTAGGATATTTTCACTTCGACGTTTGACTCCTGTTGAAACGGACCAAGTGTCACGCCACATTTCGTGCAGTCGAAGCGTACGTACTTGAGTTGGGGAAAGACACCTGTTCGTCGGGTCACTACACCGGTCACTCGTACCAGGCAGTTTAAGTGTGTTTGTCGGAGTTGTCGCAGAGTGTAATGCACTGGTAGGTCTGATATACGGACGTGGATCTCAGAATGAATGCGCTCATAGTCTGGATAATGTAGCAGAGTGACATCCATTGCAACTTGGTCGAAAATCTTTAGCACTTCTGCCGGGGCATTGGCTAGAAAGTAGGCCAGAATAGCTTTTGACGCTGAAAGGTGGTCGTATGATACTTCAAGAGACTCGGCATTGACCTCACCAAGGGTTCGGATGCGGGTGCCATAGACTGATGTGCCCTTGACGTCGGTGTACTCAGTTAAGAAGGATTTGAATTCCCTGAAGATTGATCGGTAGACTGCCGGCAGGGCTACCCAATCTTGAAGAGATGAGGCTTTGACATCCTGTAGAGTCTCCAATGACAATTCCTCGTCCATAATGTTCTCGTCTGCGTCCATGTCGTCTTCGTCATATTGGCGGCGGCGACGTCTCTGTTGTCTTGAAAGATCCTGCATTTCATCTTCATCATCTTGGAGGAAAGCAGGTGCCATTTTTCGCTGTCTGGCAAGCTCTCGATCACGTCGATTTAGACGTGCTTCTAGTTGTCTTCGATCCGCCAGATTGAGTTCATCGAATTCCCCTTCATCGTCAATGTCAAGTCCCTCATATTCATCGTTTTCACGCCGCTTGTAGTCCTTTTCAAAGTCATCGCGGAACAGGTCAATTCCATCTTCATCTTCGGCCATCTCATCTGCATCGTCAATGTCACCAATCAGGTCTCTGTCTGGGTCTAAATCATCGTCGTCATCATCCATTGGAGGCATCATTGGAGGCGATGAGGGAGGCACTAGCAGGAGTCAGCCGTGTGAATTTGCTATGTATTTCGTTACAAACAGCTTGAGGGTGGCGCTGCTGATGAAGAAGGCAGATCGTCATCTGGCTCTCTTGAGCGCTTGCGCCCATTACGAGGAGGTGGTCCTCGGTTTGCTGCAGACATGTTGGGTCGAAGTGGTGAACTGGAGAGGTTCAGTGAGACAGAACGAGAAGCAACAAGCGATGAAAATACCTCATTGATGCAGGCTGTGGCAATACTTAGTAAAGCTCTGCTGTGTTGACTGCACTATTTGAGTAAGGGTGAGGGACGAGTGCCAGTTTGAACGTGATTTCCGGCGCGTCGATCAACGCGACTCACGCGAACCACTTTAGTTAATTTACCCGAACATTACCCGATTTACCTTCCGAATGTCTTCAGCTCACTTCCATCGCCCGCTACTTGGGAGAAAGCTAGGATGGCATCCTCAGAGCAAGCTCAGTCTTCTACGGATGGTTTCAATGCGAGGCCTGACGCTTCAATCATCAATGTGCCATCTCAGACAGCCTCAGACTACATCAATACCCAACTCCGCCTCGAAAATGATGCGCGAGAAGTCCTCCCATTCTCCTTCGACCATTGCACTAAGGATCTTGGTCCATTACGACAGAATCTCTTCTCTTGTCTGACATGTAACCCTCCTCCTACATCCCCTACCGAAACTTTCACACCAGCAGCCGTATGCTACTCATGCAGCATCGCATGCCATGGCGAGCACACTCTTGTCGAGCTCTTTCACCGTCGCGACTTCGTCTGCGATTGTGGTACTACTCGCTTTCCGGCCACCAGTCCCTGTACACTTCGGATTGACCCTACTACTGGGATGAAGGCGCCCGTGCATAATCAAGAACCTGCTTCGGGAAATTCCTACAATCAAAACGCCAGGAATAGATTCTGTGACTGTCACGAGTGGTATGATGCTGAAAAGGAAAAAGGAACCATGTTCCAATGTTTGGGGTTGGCCAGTGAAGAGCAAGGCGGGTGCGGTGAGGATTGGTGGCACCCAGAATGCGTAGTCTGGGGCGGAGAAGAAGGCAGCAAGCGGAGAATGGATGCAGATGAAAAGAGGAAAGAAAAACGAAGGAAGAAAGATACAATTCCAGAGGGTCAGACAACGGAGGGAGAAGCGCAGGAGGAAGATCAAGACGAAGAGAATGAACTTCCCGCCGGCTTTCCAGATGAAGACGATTTTGATACCTTCATCTGCTGGAAATGCGTTGAAGCCGTGCCTTCACTGAAGCAATATGCCGGCACTGAAGGCTTTCTACCTGCGGTCTTCTTGCAAGACAAAGAGCCAGCAGAGAATGGCCATACAGTGAACGGTCATGCACTCGAGACAGCTGCGTCACCCAATCCAGAGCCCAGCGCTCCACCAAACCAAAACGGCGAACCCGCCACCACCAGCGTCCCCACCCTGGCAAGCGAAATAAGTAAGAAGCGCAAAGCATCAGACACCGACCTCAACGACGCCGAGACCGCCTCCACCTCCTCCAAGAAGCCCAGAGCCGACCTCGAGGAACCAACACCCGCCCACCCAGCAGCCTACCACACCCTCCTCCCCCCTCCCCCGACCAGCAAACTTTCCCTCTTCTGCACAACTGACTTCCGCTCCTCTCTCTGCCGCTGCGCAACCTGCTACCCTCTCCTGCGCCCGCACCCTCAACTCCTCGAAGAAGAAGACACCTACGAGCCACCACTCTCCCCCGCTGCCTCCGCGCGTGCTTCCCCATCCCACCCGAACCACCGCACCACGAACTCCAACGGCAGCGTCGGCTCAAAAGCATCTACGACATGGGCGAAGAAGCGCTTAGCAATGTCGATAGAGTGAGGGCCATCGAGGGGGTTATGGCGTATAATCATCTGAAGGAGAAAGTGAAGGGGTTTTTGAAGCCGTTTGCGGAGAGTGGAAAGCCGGTTGGCGCCGAGGATGTTAAGGCGTATTTTGAGAAGTTGAGGGGGGATGAGATGGGGGTTAGGGAGGCGGGGAGGAAGCCTGGGGATGCGGGCGAGGGGGGCGGTGAAGGGGGAGGTGGAGGCGGGGAGGGGGAGGGAAGTGGGAGAAGGGAACAGAGTGGTTAGTATATCTTTAGGTGTGGAACGGGGGAGTGCTTGCTGACTGCGGTGTCTAGGATACTGATATCTCGCCCGAGGGAGGAATAGAGGAGATTATGAACAGGGGAAAGAGAATCATGCTCGAAGCAATCATTTTCGGATTTAGAAACATATAACGTCGATCATGCAAAGCCCAGGTCTCTTTACAGCACCCTGGTCTCAGCTGTTCTATTTCTCGCAGTTCAAGCCCTCCGGCCCTTGGGTTGTGGAGCGTGGTGTCGATATTTCCGCTGCTGTTGAATTCACGTTACCGAAAGCTTCGCACATTTACCCTGCTACTACGAACTCAATGCTTCTTCCTCCTCCCGTTCTATACTCTTTCAGCCATAAAGGCCGTAATAGCATCCCTGGTGACTTTGCTCTCATCTTTCGGCATTTCCTGCACACAATTCTCATGCCACTCGCCGTCTGCAACCAAAAGCGTGACTTTCTCATGTTTCTCCTACCAAAAAAAGGTCAGCATTTCTCTCTTCAAAGTTGCAACACATATCGCATCTCGTCCATCCTGATGCCTTCCCCCTCGCGTGTATCCATACAAATCTCCTGTCCGAGAAAAACCTGCCTCTTCTCCCCTCCTCATCACCTCACACATCAAACCCCAAGCAGACAAACCAACCAAACAAATAAATGACGGACTCACCTTCAACCGCGCCCCCAAAACCCTAATACTATCAATCAACACCTCATCCGTCCCCGCCGTAACCAACACCTCCCCCACCACACCCCCCAACCCTTCCCACCACCCCTCCGGCACCTTCCCCCCAGCAGCCTCATTCCACCCATCCTCTTCCCTACCCCCAAGGAAATTGTCCACCCAATCATGCCCTCTCACCAGAGGAATCAAATCCTTCATCTCATTCGCCTCCATACTCTCCCACGAAAAATCAAAGCTCGCCCACGGACTGATCAGCACCGCGCCTCCCAGCTTTCCCCCTTCAAATCGATAGCAGCGGTGGCGGGGAGGTCAGGATGCGGGTGCAGCAGGTGGGAGAGGAGGGCTAGGGTGAGGTTGCCGCCCGCGGAGTCCCCCGCGATTGAGATCTGGGAGGGAGAGAGGGAGAAAGGGGGAGAGAGGAGGAGGTGTAGGGATTCGGCTGCCTGGGAGAGTTGGGTTGGGTAGCTCGCGGTGGGGGCGAGGGTGTAAGCGGGTAGGAGGATGCGGAGGGTAGGGATTAGGGTTGTAAGGTGTGTTAGGAAGGTCAGGTGGGCGGGGGTTACGGGGAGCGCGTAGCCGCCGCCTGGGTGAGGTTAGGGAGTTGGAGTGGTAGGAGAGATTGGGGTGGGCAAATGTGGAGGGAGAGAGCAGTGGGCTTCTTTTGTTGGAATAGGTAGGGAGCGGGGATGGGGGAACGGAATGACTGGGGGTTGAATGTTGACTTACCATGGAAGAAAAGCAAGGTCTTCTCTGCGTTCTTGTCGCCGAACCAGTATGCCTCCGCTCCGCTGGGTAGGGTCTCCCATTCAGGCTTGAAGTTGTGCTTTTTAGCATGGGCCAGATAAGTGTCGCGTGCTGTTGGCAGGATTGCTCTGCGCATGCCTCAGTAGGGCTCAGTCATAAGAAACAAAAGCCTATAAATCCACGAGGATAATCGACGTACTGCAAATGCTTCACGCTCGCCGTGTTCGTGACCTTCCTTGTAAACGACAAGGCCACATGCTGACCGTATTTCTTGGCACCTTTGCTTCCACGGAAGGGAGCAGTTATGGAAGCGATGATGGTATGATTGACTAAAATTGTTAAGTGAGTGTGTTCAGAATCATGTAGAATTTACGTACGAGTTCTGAGAGCCGCGTAAAAGAGCGTAACATATTCCCATGCTGACAATTCAGGTCGCTTTTGATTTGAAGCCATGCTTGGTCTTGCTCGACCGGTATATTCTGTAGACACGTAGTTCAAGATCTATGATGACTGAGGCCACTGAATCGAGGTCTGCGAATAGTGATCTCTTTCTCTTAGTTCACCTTTTGGTGTTCCGAGGGCCAAACTCCGAGGAATTGTGATTGTCAGTCCGACTAGATAAGATCGATATGGTCACAGGAGAAACGAAGCTCGCGGAGGCTTCTTACTGGAGAGAGAGCCGGTCGCATTGACTGTAACTCTTATGTAGTCAACACGATGCAACACCAAGAAGGTGAGCCCGTGGAGGAAATGAATGTCCAAGGTTCATTCAGCTCTTGGCACTAGGATTCCGCCTATTCCTGCACGATTGGACCCCTGAGAATAGGCTCAACATGCTATTGGTTGGGGAAACTTTAGCCCAATGAGAAGTCCTCGCTGTTGCCTACAGGCTACTCCTCTCGATGGATGAATGAAGCAGAGATATTGTTCCATCGCGGGAAAACTTTATGAAGAGATATGTCGAGAGGCGAGTGCAAGAAGATTTGGAGTCTACCGGACTTATGGTCTAAACCGTCATCAAACATGCTTTCATCAGCATCGTAGGCACTGTTTAGTTGTCTCTAGGAGAAGACAATCTTAGATGTATATCGCGCTTCGATCCGGCTCTTTTCCTGAGTTATACTGAGAGCCCCTAATCCTCAATTTGTTTGTATATAAAACCTTCATGTGTCTGCGTTTCACACGTCTCGCTTTTGATGTCGAGGTCTGTCTTTCTCGATCAGAGAGCAAAAGGAAATGAAAAGAGAGATCGAGGAATCCCGTGCCTTAATGGCTACAACGCGTACGCAGAGAACAGAGTGAATGTTCTCCCAATACGTTCCTGGCTCAAGCTCCATTCTTATCCTCAACACCTTCAACAATGGGTATGTGCTTTAGGTTTACGACGATTCTGATCCTCTTCTCAGGCCTGGTAGTTGAGAGCAAAGTGACCAGAGGCTCGTTTCAAGCCAAGCTAGAACTAGGATCGGTGTCGATGCGCGCCAACGTACTTAAAATCATGTCGCTGTGGACCTCTCCACAACGGTGAGTCTTTGGCGTGGTACCTGCTTTGCGGAACCCCTTTCCAACGCTGGACATTTCTCCTCGAACAAGTGACTCCCTGAAATGTTTCCGTCGACATCGTTTTCGCTTCCTTTGGATCCGCGCCATTTGACTCGTGTTTGCTTTGAACTGACCAGATGGGCTCGAAGCCTAAGTGGGCAGTCGCAAGCCCCTTTAACCTCGGGATTTATCAGGACCGAGCTTCTGGAGTAAGCACGGTCAGACAATTACCTGATCAAGAGACTCCAATGGAACGGCATATATTTGCGGTGTTCTCGTCTAAACTTGCGTGGATGAGCAATCCGGCGACGTTGACGATCGATGGCCTTGTGGGTATGATCCGGCGATGCTGCATGTCTCAGTATCCTACTCGTTGAAATATGCATCGCAGCTAAGTCTGTTTTCAAGTTCCTCAATTAAACCTGAGATGGGGCTTTGGATACTTGTCATCAGGGACAACGTCATTATTGATTGTCTTGCTTGTCTCTTCCATGCAATGCCATATGGTGAGTACTGAATCCAGGATACTTTCATTTTCGGCCTTTGCATTCGATTCTGCGGCTGTACATCTAGCACAAGATGACGGATCGCACACACGGTTGAGCAGCCTCAATGTTTCCTGATTATCAAATAGCGCCGCCCAATATCGACCCACCCACTGATTGGGGCCAGGTCGATGGACATCGGCCCCATGATCCAAGAGCATCTGTACGATACCATTACACTGTAGAAAACATGCCCAATATAACGCGGTTCGCCCTTCCGAGTCTTGTTCGCCTATGTTACTCCATTTCTCGACCAGGAGCTTAACGACTGCCTCATGTCGTCGGAAGACTGCTTCATATGGTGCAGAAACCTTGGGCTGGTACGACCTATGATCACCAATCCGAGCAACATTAATAGTGAACTTGAACGAGGTCTTTTTTGAAATGTCCATCTTGTCGATGAGGAGCCTTACGACTTCCTCTTGGCCTGAAATTGCGGCCCACCTCATAAGCCAGCTTTTGGTTTTTTCCTTTGCAAACGAAAGAGCACCTTTTTGTAACAGCGTGGTTAGTATCTCCCAGCTTGGATTTTGTGATCTGCTTAAGGTATCGAGCGGGCTTCCCAGAAAGCCTTCACAGTCGACGCGCGCACCTCTCTCGATCAAATATTTCACGATCTCGGCATATCCTCCAAAGCAAGCTGCATTTATAGCGCTTTCGAATAAGCCTCCTTGTAGGTTGACGTTTGCTCCACCTTGAACCAATGTTATTACGACAGGCATATGTCCCTTCAACGACGCGGCCTGTAGTGCATTTCCAAACCGTCCAAACTCTTCATCGACTACTGCACCATGTCTGAGCAAATATCGAACAACTTCATTGATTCCAAGACACGCCGCGTAGTAAAGTGCCGAGTGTGACTTGGAAGGTTTCGGCTCCTCTTCACAAGGTCTATAACGGTCAAAATCTCCAAAAGAATGGTTTCTGATCAGGCCTAATGCTTCAGGGTTGTAGTAAGGACTCCAAATACTTGGCTCTTCAAGTATGTTGATGATCATCTCCGTGGTGCCCTCTGTGATGCACTCACCGCATTTCTTGGCATGAACGAACCAAGTACGGGCAGCGTATAGGTAGAGAGGAGCATCTAAGGGTTCCTCAGACTCAATCGACATGGCAGCAAGAGCATCGCTCGGGACGCAGCATCGAAGGTAGTGTAAGCAGCCTCGGACTATTTGCTCTTGCGCTACGGCGTGACGTATTCCGAAGCATGCTGCTGGTCCCTCCGATACTCTTGCAGATGTCAGATATTCTTTGACCGAGTAGTGTGCAAGGTGGATTTCCAACAATGGTCCCCGGGAACGCGTTGATCGCGTGAATGAGACCAGGCTTGATAGAATATTAAGAGCGCTCTCTGGGCTGAAAAATCTATCATCCGGGCTAAAAGCTGGCTCAGCTGAATTGTCTATGACCATTGCTTCCGCAAGCTGTCTCAATGAAAGCGGTCTTTCTGAGTAAAGCAGCCACATGAGGGCCAATATGGCTTCCTTACGATACGTTTGGTCAATATTTAGTAGAATTCGATCGTAGGTATCGTCTAATGTTCGAGGTAAAGTTTGAAGTGTCTGTTTTACGGTGCTGGCCCGGAGGCATTTTCTCAAGAGTTCTAGCTGACAAGACGCCCACCTGAACCTAAAAAGCCCCCATCAGCGCTTTGTCTTTAAGACATAGGAGACCAGGGTCGGTCAATCTGAAAATCGCCACGACAGGCCAATGTATTAGGCAATAGGGGCGGCGCCTAGACTCGAAGCTCCACTTAAGTGGCAGACCTTAGGCATTTTATCCATATGACCGCCTCTGGAACTAAAGCACTGGAGCTCGGCGGAGGTATACTCAGACCATTCGACCCTCGGAATAGACTTACATGCCGTGCGAGCCTCCTGCCAATTTACTTTCAATCTCATCTTTGATCTCTTTTGGCCAACCACACAATTTGGGATTGCTACGTAGCTGCATTCGAACGTGCAACAGAATGTCATTGTTGACATCTTTATTTTGAATGCTAACTGGGGGATCTGTCACCAGGTCCTCAAGATCGATCAGGTCCAGTTCCTTGCGGCTTGTAACGAGGATGTGCAAGGTGGGCAAATCGAATTTCTTGAAAGATGTGAGCATTGAAAGAAGCTTGGCGCGTTCTTCGTTGCCGGACGGACATTCGTCAAGGGCGTCTAAGATAATGTAGAATTGTCCAGATTTGGCAATGATAGCTTTGAAAGCCTTGAGTAGTGCCTCTTGTGAAGGTTGCTCGTGCTCATGGCCGTCATAAATATCCAAGACAGCTTCAGGCACACTTGACTGCTGACAAAGGACCTGAAGCATCAGGGATCGGAGCATTGACTTTGCGTTTTGTCGTGCCGCATCCTTGAAGCTAAAGTAGTAGTATGCGACATATTTGAAGTCTTCATGCAAACAGAAAGAGACTATATCTTCAATAATAGTCGAACTGGAACAAATTAGCCATGGAAGAGGGGATGAGCGTTGCCCTACCATAAGACTGTCTTCCCACATCCTGGAATCCCATAAAGCCAGCAGAAGGATCCTGGACCGTCTTTCCAGGATCTATATCGATCGCTCTCGATGAACCAGTTGCCTGTGTGTGGCTCACGCTGCTCGCAAGCCCTTTGATGATAATCTGCGACTTGGTCGGAAGAAGAAATCCATCGCAGTACTTTGTCTCTTCGATCTCCTGGAGCATGATAGAGAATATCAGCTTTCATACTATTTCATGTCAAGATCCGACGGATCTCACCCATGTCATGGCTTTTGGCAAAGATAGCGGCATTTGAGACGCCGTCTTTGAGCTCGCTCAGAGCAAGGCTGGTCTCATCCCGAACGGAGTCTATGTTTGCATTGATACTGGACAAACCCATCTGTGTGCTTTGATGATTGGCTTCTGAGACATCCCTAGGTAGACATGAGCTTCACAGTGAAGAATAAGAAAACAGGCACCAACTTACAATTTGAGGATATTGATAGAGAGGTTAAGGTGGCTCAGAAGCTCATGAGAAACGATCTCCCTCAGTCTGATGATAGTACTCTCTCTGAAAGGGTACTGCAACGCAGCTGGAAAGCGAGCGACAGAGTTCGTCATCACCTTACGCGATTTTTCCATCTTGTGTGCCAGTCGGTCCAGACCCGCTTTGCAGGCTTCGAGGTTCTCAAATGCAGTCGCAGCTATATCACGGTGACTAGATCCTTGGATAACTTTCTCAACTTCGGTGAGAGTCCTTTGAAGTCTCTCTATCATTTCGCATAATTCCCTGACATCCCGCCGCGAGCCTTTCACAGACTGGTAGAAGTCCAAGACAGTCTTGCATAATGATATACCAAAAGATGTGATGCTCACGGCAGAGGCGGTGACGGATAGAGGGTCCGCCATCTTGTCGCTTCAACTTCATGTGATATCGAAAGTGATTAAAAGTATTCTGCTCACTCCAGCCTTACGCTGACCACGCTTAGCGGTGGCTTTGCAACTTCAGCCACCAGACCTGCTGTGGCACAGCCGTAGCCTGCAGCTGGCACTAGACTCCTGCATATCAACACACTATTTCTTCCTGATCCATCCGCTCAAGTGTCTATTTTTTAAGAGGCCTTGTGTGTGTGAGGAGCTATAACAACGGATTTAAGGTATGGATCAAGCATAGATCTCGAAAGAACAAGCTTTAGGTGACTATGGGCAAACAAGATGCACATAGGAGACCAATCATAGTATCTCAGTGTGAGACCAATGCCAATACTCCAAGCGACCCAGCAAGGGAAGGTGCCGAGTGCCTGAGATCGAGGATCTAAAACATAGCTTAAGCCTGATCAGTGGCTGTAAACACAAGGTCAGCAAGAGCAAATAGCATTCGAGATGGCTATTGACATGTGAGGAGTCCAGAAGATATTGACGGGGACTCCGAAGAGAGGGACGATTCCTTCACTGAGCGATTTTCCGGCTGGAATGGACAGATTGTGGGAAGCAGCGGATCATGGCGAGGGGTGTGGATCACGAACAATGTAACAGAGACATTTCAGTTTGGTGACAAAAGTCCAACAATCCCTAGAGCCCGTTTGAAGAGCGTGGCTGAGAAACGGCACGTATTTGAAAAGACGTGTAGCTTGTGCGTAGATCTCCCAGAGCTATTGACAGGAACACTACAATAAGCAGCCGATGAGTGAATGGCACAGCGGAAGCATTGCAGAGAGGAGTGACGCAATGTGGATGCCTTCCGAATAACGCCAAGCCCGCTTACCAATCAGTGCTTGAAACGGTATAGCGCCATTTCCTATCGAAATTGTGATGCTGCAGGTCAGCCACATATTCACACATTGCACCAACAAGCATAAGATGCAAAGGACCGAATTCTTAGACGGCGTATACTACTGCAATCTTCGACTTAATTCACTACTCGTAGCAAACGAAAATCAGTCCTCACCATCGGTCCGATGGTTGTACGCATAGACCAAGACGCCGTCAAGGCAGACTCTCAATGACGCATTGTGGAAGTCCCACGACCCCTCTCGACCCCCCAATCATCTTGTACGCACATATGATTAAGCGTCTTGATAAGCAACACCCCTATCCGATCATCAGGATAGGGATCTCCTCGCTGCAGGATCGAAGCACGTCCAGCCAATAGTACGACGCTTGAAAGGCCAGACTTTCTTCGTACCCATGTGTCGTCAGAAGCTACATTGAACGGGCCGTGATATTGAAGCTTAGACCACTCAAAGCTCGCTTCTCGCCCTATTTGGGGTGCATTCATTGGTTTGATTTGCTTAGATCCGGGCTCTAAAGAAGCGAATGTCACCAGGCTGAGCTACTCCACGACTCAGCTGCGGAAGCCTAGATGCACGTTTACCTCTTGGCATGAGGGGCTTCACGTGCGGAATGAGAGATGTGCTATTTATATATGGCCCACTCCTACGTTCAGCTTGAATATCAAAACTAACTCTCAACTCTTTCCTATTAAAATCAACAACTTTGGCTGAGCATACAAAGAGAACATTGCAACGTATCTCATTATGAAAGGAGTCACCGTCGAAAAACCCGGTGCCCCATTCGTGGTAGTCGATGACCTGGAGATACCTGAGCCGGGCGATGATCAGATTCTCGTCAAGTCAATTGCTACCGCAATCGACCCTGTGTATTGCCAATTCCCTTTATACGTGCGTTCCCAGCTGACGGTGTCTCCTACAGAGAAGGTTACATGCAAGGCACAGGCCTCTTGATTACTGCATGGCCTATTGTCCTAGGATGTGACGCCAGTGGTGTCGTAGTCAAAGCAGGTACGGCAGCTGCCTCCAAGTTCAAACCTGGTGATCGAGTCTGTGGCTGTACTCGTCTTGGAATCCCAGGCTATTGTACATTTCAAGAATACTTTCTCATGGACACAAATCTCGTGATACCAACGCCAAAGTCATTCTCTTTCAACGAAGCAGCTGCACTTGGTGTCGGCGCCGAGACGGCATGTCTTGGTCTCCTTCATGGTATCAAGCTCGAGCAGAATCCTACACCTAAAGATATTTGGGTCGTTGTCTTTGGCGGCGCGGGTAGCATTGGTCAATATTCTATCCAGATTGTGAAAGCACTCGGCTACAAAGTGGTCGCCACCTGCTCCAAGCGGACCGCAGATCTTGTGACTTCGACTGGAGCTGACGCTGTCATTGACTACAGCCTCAGCGAAGATGAACAAATCGCTGAATTGAAGAAAATAACCGAGGGGAAATTCTTCGGCGTCTGGGACTCCGTGGCGAAGACCGAGAAAGTCGGTCGTCGCGCTCTGCAAGAAGTATCCTCTTACAAAGAAGGAAAGGTTTACGCCACGACAGATGACTGGACTCCGATGGAAAATTATGACGATCATACCACGTTCAGAGTAGAGCTTGGTCTCATCGGCAGGAGTGAAGAAGAGATGAAGGCGGCCAGACTTCTGGGTGACAGTCCCACCTTGAATGAGGACATAGCTGGAGACATCAAGCTCATACATGATCTTGCTGAGAAGGGCCAGCTCAAACCCAACCCACTTCAGGTGATCAAAGGAGGGTTTGAAGCCATCGCTGGAGCTTTCGAGCTCCAACAGAAAGGAACCAAAGGCGGGGAGAAAGTTATCGTGGAGATCCAACCCGAATGATATTGTCGCCTCTCACAACAACAGCTTTCAATTCACTATATACCTAAGCTCTCGGTAACAAAGAATTGGTGCGCAACATATATGAGAATTGCACTGCTCACTGACTGCTCACAATTGACTCTGCCTACGCATTGCGCTAATACCTAATATGCAACCGACTACGCTGTCTGAGACCTGCCTCACTTTCCCAGGTACATCATCCAGTCGCGATATAATCTATATTTGGAGAACACGCATCTCCGACGATCTGATTTGGTCTCCTCGCCGGCAAATTTTGTCATCTTCCTTGCGTCATCTGCACCATCAATTCCCACCAACATCTACATCAATTCAAATCTCTTCCATCTCAAAGTACTTTCAATATCTCCAACCATGATAGCTTTCTCTTTTATTCTCCCACTCCTACCCTTCTTCCTCCCCCTCATCCTCTCCACCCCAGCCCCCTCACCGTCGCCCCTTCCCCTCTCAGCAAACATGAAAGAATGCTACCAATCCACACCTCCCCCAGTCCATCCCATCATGCACTCAGACGCCTGCGACGGCATCACTACGAGAATCCTCTCCACCCCGGGCGCCGATACCCCGCGCTGGTTCAAGGCCAACACCCTCCCCATCTTCTGGAACAGTCCGGACTGCAAGGTTACGCTCGACTCGCCCACGGGCAAGGATAAATTCTCCTACACGGATATAGCTGTGACCGCGCAGTTTATCATGGGGTTCTGCCATACAGTGATGGCGCAGAGGGGGGATTGAGAGGGGGCTCGGGTTTCATAGGGAGGAGGGGGGTATTTTTCGTGGACGTTTGGAAGCCTGATGCTGGGGAGATGGCAGGTGAAGCTGGGGCAAATGGGACGGTGGTGCAGACGGTGGCCGTGGAATGAAAACCCTCTGGCCATGGCCTTCATGACCTCAATATCACTCGAGCTATCACTACCACAGCTCCAACGAGGCAAAGTATGATCCAGCGCACATCACCTCTGCGCCTGTTGATATTGCGTCGAACTCGCCATCCTCTTTCACTACAATGAGCAGAAGAGTTTGCTCTCGATACCCTCCGCTACAAGATACGCAGCAAAGTATCCGTCGCACCATTTCACTTCAATCAGAGGAGCTTCAATAAGGCTGGATCTTGTCTCGCTCACCATCCGAAACCTCAACGATCCGCATCTCCACATCTTGCACACCGCACGCAGAAGCGCAAGACACCCGACCAACACCGCATTTCCCCTTTCCCATCCTCTCCCGCTCCTATGCAGCACTCAGCCCCCGCCAACCAGACATCGCCTCTCCAGCCCAACCTCACTTCCCAAAATTCCGCATATCTCGGCTCTCTATCACCATCACCTCGATCTCCGCTCACCCATTACTCACTCACGTGCCAACCATGCCACCTACCCTCCACCTGACCCTCACCTCCCTCACCAACTTCCTCCTCGCCTCCTCCCCCTTCCTAACCCTAGCAGCCACCCTCTCCAGCCCCCTCACAACCACAAACTTCACCTCCAACCCATCCACCAACCTCACCACCCCACCACCCTACTGCTACCCCTCCCCCTCGCCCCCAGAACCTCCATCTCAAACTGCCAATCCATAATCTCCAAGCAGATCTTCCCCTCCCACGAGCCCGGGCTGCCACTAACCTGGTCCTACGGTGCCGGTGGTGCCCAACGTGCCCTCCCCGCCACATGGATCCACCGCGACTGCATCATCGGACTTAAACATCGCAACCCGAGTTCGGAGTGCATAGGTACCTGGAGACTTTATGATGTGTTTTTGAAGCTGGATGAGGTGTGGGATGTTTGTCGCAAGAGTGCGGGTGGGGGGAGGTTTGATTTTAGAGGGGGGAGGTGGTTATTGGAGGCGCGGCGGGAGGGGAGGGGTTCTTTGTTGAGGTTTATGGTGTTAGTCGGAGGGGGGAGGGTGGGTCGAAGGGGATGGGGAACGCGACGGTGGAGAGTGTGGAGGTCTCGTGAGATTGTGGAGGGAGGGAGGGAGGAATTTGGGGGTCAGGAATAGCGAGGCTATTACGCAGGCAGTCGTTTGCTGCTGCTATCGCTGTAGGGCTCGGAGTTGGATAGAAAGGATACGCGAGAGCGGACTGTGCAACCTCAATCGGTGGAGTTGGCTTGGTGCTCGCACGAGCCTGTTGTCTCTCACCTTTTCTGTCCTTGCAAGAGATTATAATGATCGATATCCCCGTTCCTAACCTGAGCATTTCTAGACATGCCGTAGTCTTCCCCCCCCTACGTGAAGGCTCTAGGTAGAGTAGGCAACGTGGCGAAATGGGAAGATACCGGCCCCTCCAGAAGGAGGCTCAAAATGCCTGTACTTTGCCTCATTCCCAACTATAAGACACTCAAGCACGACACTATTAGCAGCTCTTCTCACCCTCCAAGATCGCGGCAAGATTTAAAGTTCTTATTGTTAGTGAAAGTGCAGCACGATGTGAATCTCCCCAGCCCCTACTCAGAGTTTTCTCATACACCGTGAACACATACTGACATCCCCTTAATTTAGGTGCACCAACGTGACTACAACAAAAATGAGAACACACCCCTTAGCGATCCTTTCTTCAGTCACATCGCTTGAACAATGCGAGGATCGAAAGAACGGAAGGCCATGTCAGTCAACGGACACACGTATGATCACGAAATTCGTGCGAAGTGCGTCATGGAAGGACAAGGGACGTGAAGATGGTGAAAATAGTGATGGAAGACTTGGTGATGAGACTATGTGATGAAGGCTTAGTTCTGGCAGAAATCGGGAGAGAAAGGAGATCATTTGAGCACTTGGGAGGAGTAGGACATAAAGATTTCTCACAATGCAGTAGATGCTAGTAGATTGATATTTAAGGAATGCTTGATCAGTCTTCTCTTCACAGTATTAACGCCCTTTCTCACCCCGAGGTCATTCCTCAGGCGTGAAACTCTGCGTAAGACAAGTGTTTATTCTCATAGATTGCAGGGAGCCAACGATCAAAACCTCTATCGTCCGTTTTCAACGAGCAGCATCTGTTATGATCGTTTTTTGGGTAGCTTTATACAAGCGGCTCATCGCTCTTGCGAACGGTCGTGATAGTTCCTATCGCTTCCATCACAGAAACCAGGCAAAGGAGGCAATCCTACCGTACAAAGCGGTACAGGCTCCTCTCAGACATAATAGCGACTTAGCATTTGCCTTGAAAGTCACCATAAAACCCAATCCGACCACCGCCCAAAAAAAAAGCCACCCTCAAACAAAGATCAATCACAGAAGACCGGTTCTGAGAAATCCAGCAAGCGACATAAGTAAAATCGAGGAATCACAACAATGCATGCACAGCCCGCTTTGTATAATGGTACCCATAACTGACGTGCACGAACATAATCACCGGAGAAACCTGCAAGCGCTGCCATACGGTGCTATGGAGCGACGTTCTTCACGTATCATGCGCAAAAAGCAGAGTCAAACTCGCGTGTCAGCCGAAGGACGTCAAGAACGTTGAAGAAGTCGCCAGCTGCGTGAGATGCGAGGAAAAAATGACATAGTCACTGGAAAGGAGCACAGGCAACTGGGTAATCGAGACGGGAGTAGATGAACATTTGGTGGTGGAGTGACAAAGCAATCAAGGGCTTCACAAACCCACAATTTTTGATTTCAGAAGAAAAAAGCTTCGTCATCACATCCAGCCTCCCCTATCTTCACACAGCGCAAACCCCCAGTACCACAGCCATGACCATACCCGCGAACGCCGCCGCCAGCAAAGGGACAGCTTTCCCAACCCCTCCCACCCTCGCCGCCGCGCCCGAAGTCGGCGAGGCCGAAGCTGTCACCCCTCCCCCTCCCCCTCCCCCTCCCCCTGCGCCCGTACTCCCCACCGTCACAGTCACAGCCCCCGTCGCACTCGCACTCGCGCTCGCCGTCCCTGTGGTGGCAGTCTCATCACCCGCACCATCAACGCTGTCGTCGCTCGCGTTGCCCGTGTCCGCTGTGTTCGATTGCGCTGCGGAGGGGGAGGGGGTTGCGTGACTGTGATGGGGCCTGCAGTTGATGGAGGGGTAGGGGTGGGGGGTGGGGGATTGGGTGACTGTCACTTGGCTTGGTTGTGCTGCGGCCGACGAGGAGGAGGGTTGTGTGTCGATGTCGGAGGAATCGGAATCGCTGTCAGAGGAGGAGGGGCTGGAGCCTGCGTTTGCGGAACCCTGCTGGTTTGGGCTTTGAGGCTGGCTTGAGGGCTGTGAGGAGGATGGGCTGTTGTTCTGAGAGGGCGATGGATTTTGGTTCGGTGACGGGGATGGCTGTTGGGACTGTTGGTTCCCGCTGTTGTTACCGCCGTTGCCGGCATTGCTCCCACTGTTGCTGCTTCCGCTACTGCTTCCGCTGTTGTTGCCACCACTGTTACTTCCGCTGGTGCCAGTGCTTCCGCCGCCGCCACCACCTCCCGAACTACCTGACTTGGGACTGCCTATATCATTGATGCAATTCCTGTCACACGTGGGCGCAGCAACATAATTGAACGTCAGTATCCCGCTATCTGGATCATTACTCTGCTGGTCGACAAAGTGGATCGGTACACTGCCACAAGTCGTACATTTATGATCCAGGATAGCGTCGACAAGCGGTCGGATCTTCCCCAGTGTCAGGCCTGTATGCTGCGGGAAGAGGCAAATGCCCCCCTCGTTGATGTTTCCGCCTAGTCCGATTGATGCACCCGGGCTGAATCCGCGGATTGCTGGTCCATCAAAGCCGATTTCGATTGTTATCTTCTGGCTTTGCGAGACGCACACTACATGGTCACCGGCATTGTAGACGGTACTGTCTGGCTTCGAAGACGCATACACAACGTCTCGCAGGACCTGAATGATCGAGGCGTCGTTCTGGTTATTCCAGCTGGCGCGAGGGCAGAGTCCTGAGCCCCGACAGTTGATCCCGAGTGCTTTGACTTGGTTCAAGAACGTTACAGCGATGAGAAGGAGAAGATGCATCATCTCGACGAGCGTTCGTCGGACCAATGATTGTTCTTAGCTTTTATTCCCTCTCAGGATCTGGTGTATCTCTTGTCTTCGAGGAAAGGGAAGTCAGCAGGAGAAAGCAGAGGAAACGAAGGGCGGGGAAGTCATGATCATGTATGTGCAACGTTTCAGCCTCGTGTGACGATATGCAGAACCGAGCTTCTAGCTACCCTCTAGGTCCAGCTAGCAGACTACCGGCTCACGGCGCGGTGCCTGACGGACGTTACCAGCGCCGACGGTGTCTCTTTCTAGCGCCTTCATTCCTCGCTTCCAGGCCGGCTGCCACTATAAACTCAGGAGGCTGGGAGCGTTGCACCCTAAAGTCAGCACTAACCCCACGCACGAAGTTTCTCGTGGTTTTAGTCGCAGCTGTCCATTCCAGAACCGGAAAGGCCAACCTGAGGATGAAAAGCCTAGATGGGGCGTTCTATTGAGCCTCATTCAGCCTGTTGCTCGAAAAGTTTCTTGAGATCTGTATTTTAGGCAGGGTGCTCCAATGCTAGATTCACACATTTCCACAAAACTCTTGGAAGCCGAAATTAGATCGGGACGAGTCTCGTGCAAGGGATTCATCTCCCGCAAGAATTGGCTTTGTGGATCAAGGGTCATATCGTGAGCTCGTCCTTTCGCACTCCCGGGTGAAAGCGAAAGTCTTGTCACATGAGATCGACCGAGTTCAACATGTTCACGTCCCTTGCTTGATGGATATAGACCTTTAGGCCATAGAGCCAGTAGTCATTCGTCAACAAGCAAGCTTTTGCTGAATTCCTTATGGGAGGATCAAGAAGTCCTCTATCGACTCGATCAAGACCCACCAGAACCTGTGAGAGACCCCGATGAGAGGATTGAGTATTCAAGTGGGAAAAGTCCTAGCCTTGTGTTTGCTGATTGCTCGTTGTGCCTGATACGAAAACCCAAGACTTCAGGCTTACGATGCAATTCCTCCGAGTGCGAATAATCTATCGCGCGGATCAGTGCTAGAGTGGTCTCTCAATCGTCCTAGTAAGTAAAGAATTGGGACCTCGGAGCCTTCTCTCAGACGATGAATAATGCTAGACATGTTGTATAAATTTGAAAGTCCTGTGCACGCAGATGATGACTCGTAGCTGAGGTCGTTACCTACATCATTCGCGAATGTTGCAACGTAAAACTTGTACGGTTGACTTATCAGGCAGCTTCCACACACAAAGGTCGTGAAATGAGCAGCGATAGCCTCTTGTACCACCCGCAGTCTATTAAACCACTCTCTTTTCTTTCGAAAAGAGATTGCCAGCCGCTGCGTCCGTCGCTTCCCTTGAGTATCTCTCTGCCCAGTGCCCATCGCTCATCGAGACTAAGCTCTCTGTTGTCCTCAATTTCATTTATCTTTGCACATAATGCGGGAATTGCTTCGAAGAGTCTAGTGATAGATTTGTCTTGCTCACCCAGCCAGATCATCACAAGTCTAGAGCTGGCGTAGATCTGATACATCAGGGGTATCTGAACTGCCTTTTCATGTAGTTCGAGCTGGTCGATGCAAATAGCATCGACCCATAGAACCCGACGCGTTTCCCGGGCCATTTCGCACAACGCTGCGTGCAGACGAGCGGTGATTGGTAAGTATTGACGATCGAGATAAAGTCGATGGGAGAATAGCGGCTCGCCCCAAGCGTAAGATAGAGCTGTGTAATATAATTCTTTTGCTTGCTCTATCTCCGTGTCTATAAGTACTGCATGAAGCTCATTCCCAGGTGCTGTTTCCTCCAAGCAGAGTAGTCGTATATGTGTAGGAGATGTCAATGGATCATGCGAGTAAAGATTTCTGTCCTGCTCCATTTGAATTGGAGGTTTGTCGTCCAATGCGGGATTTGAAACGCTGTCGCTCATGTCGTGGTGTAAGTGGTATTTTCTTGTAAGGTGTGGACAAAACTCCAGTCTATTGCACAGTGGTGATTGAAGAAATTGACTTCACAAGGGTTGATGGAAGGCAGGTTGATCATTAGCTCTCGTCCAGCTGCGTAAGCATGCAGGAGGCGTGGAGCGCCGTGGACGAATCATCCGTGTGGCGTCCAAAGCCAAAGCCACAGGCACTCATCCCGAATCACCTGATCACAGCCTACCGTCGTGATACGCATCTAGGACAATATCATAGTGACTCCATGTTGATGTCAAGACCTATCATGGTACCGTATTGTTATGAGGCATCGACCCTGAGTCAGGCAAAATCTGCTGCCCTTCAGCTTCTATAATTTGTTCAATCGTTGTTCAGCAGTTGCGAGACAAATCCCTCGACTTATTAAGTCCCTTGATCTATAAAGGAATGTGTAACCTCGACATGTTCATTGGTGATGACAATTCGGGATTTGACGTCTAGAGCTTTCAACGCGCCCAAAATTTCCATAGTAAATTGGTTCGCCTTTGCTTGGTGCCCTGTTCCTTTTCACGTTGTCTCGACCTCACAAGCAGGCCTTTTCATCAGCTGTGGCGTCAGAGTCGGAGCATCTGAATCATGAGGTCCTGACCCGCGTTTAGGATCAATAAATAGTGGAGAGCCTTGCTATTGCCGCAACACAAATTCTCCGTCGGGGTTCAGAGACACTGCTCCAGCCAACAATCTGATGTCCTCTCCAAGGACATATATTCCACCGTGAAGTCTGCCGAGCACTTGCATTCCCAGATTCTTCATTTTTCAACTTTGAGCTTCTGCGACGATCATCGCGTAGAGCCTCCAATCTACTCGATGACATGCTGTTCGTCATCTCACTGATACAAACCTATCTCTTCCAAATCGCACATACATCCTTAATAACTACAGGCCTGAATCACACAGCCATCTCGCGATACAGCATACCAACAAACAAGCAGCCAAACTGCGAGGCTTTCCGCCCCGGCCCAGACACGCATACCGTACCCGTTACCGAATCTGACTGCAAGGACGCAATAAACACGATAGCTCTCGACTTCCCAGGACCAGATCCAATTGCTTTTTACACCGCCGGTCGTACGCCCCGAGAATGGCGGCAAGCCATGGTGCCGTATGACAAAACCATGGGAACGTGTGGAATCGTCATCGACCTAGTCGACGAGGCTCCAATCAAGCTTATCAGACCAGTGGACTTGGTGAGCGCGCTCGAGGGCGTGCAGAATGCTTGTGTTGTCAATGTGACGGCGTCGATGGGTGGAGGCACCTTTCAGGATGATGATGGTGGTAGTACGGTTTTCGTGGGGTTGTTTCCTAGCAGCTCATATTCGAGCCTGACTACCTCATGATTTGAGGAGATACCTTGCATTCCGCGCACTTGTTAGATAGTGTTTAGTTCAGAAAGTATCTCAGAGGTTGGCTGCCTGTTCTTGCGACGCTGTTCAGACATTGAAAGAAGCATTGTGCGAAGAAATTTCGCATAGATTCCTCGATGGACGCTGATCTCGCAATGCTTTCAATCGATCCATATTGCCGTTCGAAAAGACTATCTGGAGGTTTCAGCTCGCGTCATGGTCATGGTTTCTTGCAAGGCCAGCGCTTGCAGGCTCTCGCGCATCCCTGACAACCAGAACACGGACGGCGTGACATAAAGATGTTGAACAAGGACTCTCATCTGATCTGATTGCAAGACGTAGAGTGCGATCTTCCATGATTCGACGCAACTTGTGCCGCTTTTCGCGTGTGGCCTTTCGTATCTTTGCTTTCTATTTTTGGAACACGTGATTCAGTATGATGGGACAATGAGATTTCGGTCCCATAGCCGCGAAACATAATCATCACCACACATCGTGGCGGTCCCATTTGATTCCAAAGCGGTAAGCGTCTCACATAGATTTCCTCATAAGAATGATGTGGTCGCAGGGAGCATCATTACTAGCTTCGTCTGGCATCATGCAGACTTTCCGCATGCTTCTTCAAGCTTACGTCCTTCAGGCCACACTGACTCACGCTTTTCCCTCAGTTATTAATGACACAAGATTAGAGCAGCTTGCCAACTTGACCGAGCAAGTACCTCAATGTAAGGAGCGCCCAAGCCCTCCAGCAGGCTCACCTCCATTACTCATTGACTGGGACTGTCGAGAAGCGATAAACTCGATTAGCCAAGAATTTCCAGGCAACGAGCCAATAACCGTCTACAACGATCTCGTGCCGCCGCTTGCAACTCCTCGGATTAGGGCTCCTTACAAAAAGAAAGAAGGATCATGTCAAGTCATCATCGATCTCGCAGAGGGCACCGCAACCCGATTCTTTCACCCAGACGACCTCATTCGACTTCTAACTCGGTTACGTAGACGATGCGTCAGTGATATTGAGCTGATATCCATGGGTGGAGATATTGAGACACAACCCCACTGGGGGCTGTTCGCGTACCTCAGACCGTCAAGTCAGCCGTGGCCCGATCCTCTTAATGACGATGGTGTTGTTGCGCTACCAGCTTCGGAAACCGAGTAGTTGTTTGTTACACGACATTGGGGCTGCATTGAGCAACGGCATAGAGATTTCCGAGGAGCCTCAATTACCTCAGTCGAGCTAGGATCGATACCAGTTCCACCAAGGACCAGAAAAGCATTCCAATGATCAGCAGACATTTCATGAGACGCCTAGCATGACCAAAGCCTTCCGGATGGTAGATTCCCCATTCTCGACATCTCCTACCTTTGGAGAGATGTGCCAATATAGTGTGGATGGTACCAGACATATTATATTTCTCCTATTGAGGAAATGAAAGCCTGTTTCTTGAGCAACTTCACCGACGTTCCGAGAAACCAGATACGTTAGCGATGGACCTCCACGCTATCTTGCAACGTCACAAAGGCTCAACAAGATAGGCCTGTAAATTCATAACAAGCCCAGTGTGTACTAGCTGTGATGAGAAAAGCTTCAGTAAGGCGGAGCCAGGATTTAGCAATCGCGAAAACGGGCTTCGTGCACAACAACTTCACGCTTGAAAAAGGCACACAACAAATTCCAACGTCAGTTGTCCTACGCGACCATGGAGGAGCCCACCAAGCCTAGCAAACAATAGCAACTGTCCAACCCGTTGCTATGACCTTTCAAGACTTAATTGAAAGCGAATTTGGCCTTTTACGAGATAGAGACATCAAAATGTGGCTTCGTTAACTTTTAAATTCGCTTGTATCAGGCGTATGCCGCACTATATCTCAGGATTCATCTAGGAGTAAGAAGAGAGGAACGGATTTTAATGAACTTGGGTGGTGTCTAGCCCCATTAAGCTAGCTTCAAAAGCTACAATCTGTAAACTTTGGCATGTCTTGGCATCTCTGTCTGCAGGATGAAAAGCATCAGCAATGCAGCGCCCAGAATAATATTGATTGATTCCCCAATCTTCATTCTCTATACATTGTCTATGCCAGTCTAATTCATTTTACAGCTGCATTTTACGGATGTAATCTACTCATTGCTGCCTGCTCCTTCTCGTGATCGCGCCCAGCGCAAGACTCTCCCTCGTGCCACATAATCCCAACGTCATACGGAGCATCTAAAAGGCATTATCTCTAGCGACTGCGCTCCACCACCCATGATACGCATGGATGACCAAGCGAGACAACCTTGTTCCTTCAATCGAGGGTCCTGACGCAACTCACTCCTCCAGTCCCTCTCCAAACATCCCTACCCCTTCCACAAGCCCGAGTTCCAGACCAGCCTCACGCCGCCACTCACCTCTCCGATCCATCCTGGCGAGCAAGATTCGCATATCACCACCGCCTCACAGCAGGACCTCGACGCCTGTGCAGAAGCACGTCACGTTACAAGATCCCAAGGATTTTGCATCTTTGGACTCAGAATCTGACGAAGAGGGGGAGGAGAAGATGGTGAATGGGCGCCCACCATTTCACCGTCCAACTGACGGGCGATCACAAACCCCATTACTCGGGGGCAAAGATGAGCGTGGAAGATCATTACTCACTGATGAAGATGGCTCGTCGAGACCAGCCTTTCACGCCCGGCGATCAACATTTCGGTCCCGGAGTCCAGACATGGAGGGCGCAAGCGCTGTGAGGAAGAAATACATATATGCGAGTTTCTTCCTCTTGCTCAGCTTGGTGAGCTTTGTGGTGCAGACGGAGACGGCGGTATACATCCAGCACGATCTGAAATGGAAAAAGCATTATGCTATGCTGTAAGCACCTCCCCAGGCCGACCCCCTCCATCCCAAGCTAATATGTTTCAAGGTACTTCACACACGGCTCTTGGTCCCTCCTCTGGCCAACCCAACTCCTCATTCTGCGAATATCATACTGGAAAACTCCCTGGCGGCCCTTCTGGCGACGACACCTCTACCTCCTGCGCACGACAGCCCAAATGGTTGAGTCCCAAGACCTGCACCTCACGAGCCGCGAATCCCAAAAATCACCCATCCCCTACATACTCAAAAGAACAGCTATTGTCACGACGGCGCTGACCGTGGCGGGCGGGTCATGGTACGTAGCCGTCGACATGACCTCGGCCAGCGATCTGACAGCCATCTACAATTGCTCCGCTTTTTTCGCCTATGCGTTCTCTATCCCGCTGCTAGGCGACAAGCTACGGTTTGATAAAGTGTTCGCCGTCGCGGTCGCCATCGCTGGCGTACTGACGGTCGCGTACGGCGACTCCAACCCGGCCAAACAAGGCGGCAAATCAGGCGGGAGTAACGGCGGGGGCGACCAGCCAGAAGAAGCGAGCAATCGTGCTTTGGGTAACATCGTCATTGGGGTCGGCAGTGTTCTGTACGGGCTATACGAGGTGCTATACAAGAGGATGGCATGTCCGCCTGAGGGCACGAGTGCAGGGAGGGGGATGATCTTCGCGAATCTATTTGGCAGCTTAATTGGGATGTTCACGCTCTTCGTTCTATGGGTTCCGTTGGTATTCTTGCATATTACTGGTATAGAGACGTTCGCGCTACCGAAAGGAGAAGCGGCGTGGATGTTGGCGATTTCTACACTTTCGAATGCTAGTGAGCGTCCCTCCCTTCAACTTTCCTCTCACGATCAGTGTGATTTGGTATCGAACACTAGTATACTGACATCTACGCAGTCTTCTCCGGCTCCTTCCTCGTCCTCATCTCCCTCACCTCACCCGTCCTCTCTTCCGTCGCTGCACTGTGAGTTTCCCCCCTTCCCTCCCCTCAGCCTCCCATAAACCCTCAACTAACCATCCCTACCAGCCTCACGATCTTCCTAGTAGCAATAGCCGACTGGGCGATAAAAGGCGAAAGACTGTCCAAAGGCGCCATAATCGGCGGTCTCCTGATCATCGGCGCCTTTCTGTTGCTGACATGGGCCACGTATAGAGAGATGGTTGAGGAGAGGGAGAAACGGTAAATCCCCAACCTCATTCTCTGCTCGCCTACACCCGCCATCACCTTTCCCTACCTAAACGGCGTGATCACTATTATTCCATGATTGGAGATGTGCTAACGGAGAACGTGCCGTAGGATAGAATCCGACCCCATAGAATCCGACGACGATGAATGATAGACTGGACGCATGATAGAATAGAGACTACCCTACCACAACAGGCGGTGGCGGACACAGCGATATCGGTATGTTGGTGGCATAGATTCAGCTCGCATGGCGAAGGCGTTCTATCGACTTCAGCTTCCCCAGCCCTCTCCCACCTTGCACATAATAGATAGGGAGGGGGAGACGAAGAGGGGGAAAAACAAGGCACGTTCAGCATTCACATAGCATAGCACAATATCATAAAAATAAGCAGTAGAGCTCTCTGGCTCCATTTCATGAAGGTAAAAGACTGATCAACCTATTCTAGCAAAGTGATGAGAAATAGAAATAGGGGTTGGGGTATCAATGCCGTTATTACTGCTTCCTCCACCTCCCTCTGCCACCCGATCGCAGACTCCACGCACGCTAAAATGTATGCTCATCCACCCCCTTCATCTTCACTTCCTGTCATTACACCCCTCGCCTCTCGTGTCTCCCTCCTCCATCCACTCCCGTATTTCAGCATTCATTCTCATCTCCACAACACGCTCTCCACAACACAAGAAATATGCCTCCGTCGAAATTTAAAATAGTACGTAGGTGAAGGCGGGTGGTGGGGTGGTGGGATGGGTGGTCTAGGAATAAGTGACCCGTCCGTCCTTCCCGAACGCCAAGCTCCACCTCTTCAGCCCCCAGCGGCGCACGTACAGGACTTTGGGGATGAGTGTGTATTGGTGCATCTATATTCCGAGAGGGAGGGGGGTAAGCGAACGTCATGCGCGATGTGGGAGGGAGAGGCACACCTTATGCACATAATGAAAATCCCCCATCTTGACTCCCAACCTCTCTTTATCTTTCCTACGTCTCTCCTTCTCTACCGCCTTCTCAATCCCAACCCTCTCCTTCTCCTTCTTTTTCGCCTGTCTAACCTTCTTCCTCTTTTCCGCAGCCCTAGCAGCCTGCTTCAACTGCCTCTCGATCCGCTCTTCCTGTGCTTGTGTGGGACCTATCGTTTCCTACCCGACTATCCAACCTAGCGACCCAACCCAAGGCCAAGGCTGCCGAAAGCTATGGTAAGGTGTCGTAACTCCTAGGGAGACGTGAGGAAGGTTGTGGGATACTATCAGGTATGAGGTGATGGATGGGAAGGAGGAAAGAAAGACGGATTCAGACGAGGATTTATTCGGTCAGGGCAGGCGCGCTGGCAGCGCCAAGGAACGGCTGTAAACAGGTTTCCAGGTTGAATTGAGCTTGGCGGCCGGGACGGAGCGCTTGGCGTGTGGCGACGTGGCTGTGCACTGAGAGAGGTGTGGCTGTGCTTGTGGATTTTTGTTCACGATCGTGGGTGAATTGAGGGTGGATCTTACAGGAATTGATATCTGGGCTTGATGGGGGCGATTGCTGGAGTAAGAAATAGTATCGTGATAGATTGTACGGTCGAGTCTAAGGTCAATCTGCCAATGTCCCAATCCTTCCCTAGATTGATCATTACACGAAGCATTCTGAGACCAAAACGACGTCTTCTACTCCCGTTTGATTCTCGGCCTACCACGTTTCCTCCCCGTCCTTTTCCCTGCCATCCCCTTTTCCGACCCATTGCCTTTTACCAAACCGACTTGATCAGTAGCACAAGTGGTTGCCTCCATCTCCCCCTCATCCACCCTTGCCCCCGCCGTAAGATTTCCATACATAAGCTTCTCCCAAAGATCACTCAATTCTGGCACCAAGATACGGTCCATTTGATTTAGAGTCCTATGACGCATGATACCGTTTAAATACATGACGTCAGTCTGCGTGAGGCAGGCATTCACATTCTGTTCCAGAAACACCTCAAGGACTTGTGGCGAGGGTTCAAGGGGCCCGGCTGAATTGCCGAGCGTTTGAGATTGGCCATTAAAGGTGACGTTGCATTCAGAAGTCGCTGCGGGTTCTTTGAAGACCGCTGCTTTGACGAGGAGGGCAGCGACGCCGGCTTCCTTTATGATGCTTTGACGCGATCGTAGAGCCTGCTCTAAGGATAGGTGAAGGTTGAGGAGGGTGTAGAACAGCAAGACTTGGACGTCAGGTTGGTCACTCACTTCGCGGAATGTCTTGATCCATTTGAGTTCGAGGTGCGTCCAGATGATGCGGGTGAGCAGATCGTCTGTATCGCTTGGGGGAGATGCCTGTAACAGCGGCTCTATGAAGTCTGCTACGCAGACGTTCTCGCAGATTTCCAGGCTCAGAGCGTATTGCATGAACTCGGATGTAGCTAAATTGTATCGTGCGGACATGAAAGCGATATCTTTATGCCCAGGATCTGTCTCTGCCGGGGTGCCTGAAGAATGTCGCTGTTGATGTCGAATGTCACCATATGCTAAGCTGCAAAGAAGAGACCGAAAAATAAGGACCCTGCCACTCTCCATTACATGTTCACCGACGTTCTCTTTGATCATCTTCTCGCCTGCTTTGACCATTACAAACTCCTTAACGGTTTGATGGATGAATTGGACCATATCCGGCTTGGAGGTCCTCCAATGACTGAAAACTTCTAGAAGCCCACCAGACAAGGCGTTGAGTCGCCGTACCATCTGATCATACGACATCTTCCGGAATACAGGCTGTGCAGGCTTACCCGTCGTTAGAAAATGGGCTGCCATGAGCATATCGGTCATGGTGAAAGGCCCGAGTGCAGATATTGCAATTTGAAAGATGGCAAAAACCTCATAGCCAGAATTCTCCAAAGTCATAGCCGTGGAAAGTCTCGCACGACGCATGGCTCGAACGTAGAGATCCTCAAGTTCCACTGGGATTTCAGACAGCAGTCTTTCTAATTGGTCGAATGTCGCACCGTCCGTCAATCCTTCAATCAATTCGTTGACGACCAGCCTGACCCATAGAAAGACGCCGCGGGCTTTTGCCATGATATCGCTGACCAGTGATTGGAGTTCATCAGTGCCTTCAACTGTGAGTTCACCTCGTTGCTCCTTGCGGATTCTATCTTCGGCATAATGTCGAATGTCGCTTGTTGTATAGTCATGAATGGCAAATCCTGGGTAATCTGAGAATGCAGTCCTGAAGACGTTTTCCGGACGTCCTGCGACGCATAGACGGATGCGAAAGTACGAATTTTGCTCACACTGCGTCAAAGACCTCAAGGTCGAAATCAATTCCTGGTGTTTTCCATCGTGTTCGTCCAAGGCATCGACGAATAAGCAGAGGTTTAATGGGTAGGTTGACTTGGAGGCAATTGATCTAATGGCATCTTTGATATGGCTTGGCTTCCAACTACGTACCTCGGGCCGTTCGGTGTTATGTGTGTCTCGTTTCACACTTGTCCAAATTGAGTATATGAAGGTGAACAAGTCCGGTTGCTGTTGCAAAATTTGGTAAAGAATTTCGCGCAGAAAACCGTTGATCGATTTTTGTACCTCGGTGCCCCGATCATGAAAGAAGTATCCGGCTATGTTCCAGCTGTTCGAATCATATTGCTCCAGAAACCCTTTAGTTTTGGTGTGGCCCATGGCATATTTCATTAGGGTAGATTTACCAGAGCCCGGCTTTCCGTTGATCCAAAAAATTGGCCTCTCGTCTTTGCCCGAAAGCCAGGAAGTGAAGCCAGTCATGTCATCATATAACCACTTATAAGTGTCATAATATGCTGGCGTGACATTCTCCATACGCGTCCTTGCTGCTGCGATGTTGAGTGATTTAAGGCAATCTTCGCATTCTTTATTGTACACCTCGTCAAAGATAAGACCGTCGGGAAGCTTGGAAGACTTGATTCCAGATTTCACTACAGTACTCGGCTGATCTGGAGCTTGATTGACGCTCTCAAGCCAACGTCCTAAGACGGCGATTATGCTTTGGAAGCCTCTATCGGTAGAGTCGCGGAATTTCGCAATCTCCTTATGATTAGCATGGATGTAGCCTTTCGTTTCCCCCAGATATCCGATGCTGGAAGCTTGTTCCTGCACGATCATGTAGCCATGGGTCTTTAGCTCCTCCTGGAAGGAATGTACTTTGACTTTGCCATCACCAAGGATCTGTCCAAAGCTCCGGGTTATTCGATCAAGGGTCTCTGAATTTTCCGTGATTGCGCTCAAGATTTTGTCATTAGCATTCCAGTAGAAGGTCCTAATCAAATTCATAGCAATCTTTCCGAGTCCCGCAGCTTTCGAGCCATGGTGGGGTGTGCCAAGAAACATCACTCCGAGTGTCGTGGGAAGGATCTCATCGATCCATGTGGCTTCGTTTCTTGATCGACTCAAGGCATCTTTGACGACTACACCGCCCAAGCTATGGGCAATAAAGATCAGCGGTCTCCTCTTAGCGGAGTCCGAGCTCCTCCTCAGGGCTAGATCAGATAACAAGACTCCCGCATGGTGAAACACCGAGTCCTTGGATTTTGGTGATAGCATGTTTTTCAGGCTCACGTCATAGCCCCATGTCATGACTCTTGCCTGCGGTAAAGCTTCAGGCAGTAGATCTCGGGGCCAGAAGACTTCGTTTGACTGTATTGCGGGCTCAATCCGACGCCGCTTTGACGGCGGGTGGTCGAGATCAGGATCATTCTCATCAGAATCGTTTGGTTCTGAAATGGCTTTCGAATCCTTGGGGCTGCATGTCCATGTGTCTTTAGGATGGCCGAGGATGCCGTGGACAAAGACAATACTATTACAGACAGTTCATCAGTATCCTGAAAGACGCAGATGCCTCATAACGTACTCAACCGAATGATCTCTTGCCTTCTTGGGCTCATACACCACCGTCAAACCCGTCTTGTGCACGACTCCGTCCATGGTGACCGAGGCAGCGCCAATTGAATCGGCGATTCAAGAAGGCAGCTATTCTCTAACAAGACCTCCAAGCATTGAGATCAACATAACAAATTGCAGGAAAAAGGGACGCGCAAAGTCTGCAGGAATCACAGCAAGAAACCAGAACGAAGCCACTATTGAAGTACAGCAGCCAGACGCCGCACAGCCACGTCCATTTACCTAGGAACCTCAATCATCCGTAGGCCTCCTGGTGCCTCTAACGAATAAGCCGAGGCTGGGCTAAGCACGAGGCTGATAGCGCCCAAGCTGCTGTAGAGGCAGGCATTATTTGGCCCCCAATCCATACCGACCCTCCCCCTTCTTCCTCTAAAGCCAGAGACTCAAGGGGAATAGCTCTGAGCGCTCGCATCGGTGCTGATGTGAGATCACAATACTGCTGGTACCTCCTGCATCATTTCACGACCTCCTCGGTTTGAAAGTTCAACAATCTCGTCAGGCACCAGGACCAGACCAGGACAGCAAAAGAAGAAGACGACTCGCAAAGAAGGGTGTGATGAAATTAGTGTCGGGTTCTCGGGCCGTGAAAGCGACGCGCCAAGAAACGTACAGCCAGCATGCACCCACCCAATCAACCCCTTATCTATTTTAAGCACCAAATCATCACATCTCGAGACTCTCGTCAATGCCATCCACCATTTGATACGAGAAGTGCTCGCAGAAGGCATACAGCAATATGACGATGGCAGCCTTGACCCTACCTATGATACCATCACCTCTTTCCCTTTCCCCAACCATTAAGCCTCCAAGATCATGTGTGATATAAAGCCCCCACCCCAAGGTTGACTTAAAAGACGTACAATCCTACCCCCCCACCCCCGTCCCCCCTCCCCCTTCGCACTCACAAATCCTACATCCACATCCCTCATATCCCTCACGTACCTACCTATTCAAGAACACCAATAACGCGTCCCCACATAGACTCGGAGCGGAGATGCAGAATGATGGTAGATGTTATAAGCTCTGGGATAGGGGTAAGTTTGGGGATGGGGGAAGGGGAAGGGGAAGGGAGGAGGAGGGGGGGAAATAGCCCAGTAGAGGTGGAGGTACCATCATGATGCGGTAACAGCATGAAGGGATGGGATGACAGTACCCACGCTCCCAATCACCCCCTTCCCTTCCCTTCCCTTCCACGGCTTGTGGACGAGTCCAAAGCAGAGAACACAGCTCCAAAAAATGATCATTTACATTGAATACTACTATCCAGTCATCACCAACTATTTTTCAGTCATATCCAATCGTCCCCCCTCCCGTCTCCAAAATTCATCAAACCCCATCACAACTCATCCCTCTTCCTCTTCCCCGCCACGGGTATCATCTTCTGACTCCTCAGCCTAAACGCCGCTACGCCATGACTCGGCACATCCGCCTTTACACTCCCACCCGCCATCAACGTCGCCACCTTCACCCCCAGCACAGCCGTATCATTCTTCTTAACAGCGTCCGCGTACGGCGTCACCGTAACATTAAACGGCGTATACGCCGCCGCCGCCGCCGTCGTAGTATTAGTCCCATTACTCGGGGTAGGGGCAGTCAAGCTCTGAATCCCGCCATCTATGATCGTCTTCGCGGTAGCGTCGTCCATCCTATTCGCCCACAAATCGTACACGTCCCATGTATTTGCCGTCTGCACGCTCGGCTTACTGGATCCAGTGGTAACGTAGTCCACAAAAACCTCGTCGATGGTCGCGGACAAGCTTTGCTGCTGAGCTCCAGCGTTGACGAAGGCGATTACCTGGTCTCCGCCCGCGAGACGGCCGGTCCAGAAGTAAGTTTCCCCCGCTGTGTAGAGGTCGGCGGAATACGTGTTGTTTTGGGAGGAGTAGGCTGGTTTCTGCCAGACGCGAAAGGCGGCCGTGCCCAGACTGTCTTGGGAGATGGCGAGGATGGCGGGGTTGGAGAGGATGGAGAGGGAGGGGGCATCCATGAGGGTGAGGTCATTGCCCATTATAAGGGGGATTTGACGAGGGCCCTGCGGTCGCTTTCATCAGCACAGATGTCCGTGTTAGATGAAAGGGGGGGCAATCCCACCACATAGTCATATGTAGCTTGTATTCATCATCAGTCATCCCCGAGTTCCCGACCTCTAACGCGTCCAAATCATTCCATCCTCCAGGCCGGCCTTTATCCACAATACTCGCCACCTTATTCAGAATATTCATGACACTGCAATGGAAACCCGGCAGGGCACAGTCCCACGTCGTGCACGGACACCTAGGATCAGGCCGATCAAACGAATCATAAATATCCCCCGCAATCCTCCATGAATTCGCGATCGTGCTCGCGAAATTCCAAGGGTAGTCTGTCCCCCAATTACACATCGAGTAGAAAATTGGCCTGCCCGTCGCATTCAGTGCGTCACTCATAGCTTTGTACCGATCATAGCTAAGCTTCGACGTCCCCTCTTGCCCCTCATTATAACAATTATCATACTTGAGGTAATCGACACCCCAGTCCGCGAACGTCTGGGCGTCCTGTTTCTCAAAGCCCAGACTGCCAGCATATTGAGCGCACGTGTATTTGCCGGCTGAGCTGTACATGCCCCATTTGAGGCCCATATCGTGGATCTGGGACGCGAGGCCAGCCATGCCGGAGGGGAATTTAGTGGTATTAGCGAGGAGAGTGCCATTGTCGGAGCGGCCGGAAGACCAGCAGTCATCGAGGATCACGTATTTGTAGCCTAGGTCGCGGAGACTATGAGAGGGGAACATGTCAGTGGGTAGGTTTGACGAAATGGAAGCAGAAAGTATGGGAGCGGAAGGATTGGGGTGAGGACATACCCCAAGTCCACGAGCTTCTTCGCATTGTCAAGAATGACATCTTCATCAACCTGGCACGCTATCGAATTCCAATTATCCCAGCCCATCTGAGGCGTGACACCAAGGCCATTCCCAGGTCCTTGGGGAGAAATCGCGCTGGCGAGTGGAAGTTGTGGAGCGAGCAGCGCCACCACCACCGCTGCGGCCAACCGAATCGTAGCACGCTGCAATGCCATCTCCAAAACAATACCGATAGCCAGGGAAGGCCATTCTGACAGGTAGGGCCCACCGCTCACTTATACTCTGGCGCTGATGGAAAGATGGTTTAGGCAAGCCAGCCGCATCCGACCTCTCCCCTCGCCCCAACCCAGTCACCCACTGCCTCAAATCTTGAATAATCCTACACCGTACCGGTCCCCCTCCCCTACCCTACCCTTCCCTACCCAGCTCGGGTGCCGGTAGAGCTCGAACAAAGTCCCACGGCTCCATAACACCCTCACCAGCCCTTTCCCATTCGCTGAGCCAGGAGGACAACGCAGGAACCCCATACCTCCGTAAGGCTAGCATGGTTCATGGGGACGCAAACACCAGCTAATCGCCAAAGCAGTAAGCGAGAGTATTCAGCTGATGACGTGGGAAGGATTCAGGGCTGAAAATTAAATGGATGGTGAGGATAATTGAGGAGTAAGCAGTAGTGAGTAGAGTAGCAAAAGTAGTAATTTCTGGTGCGGGGAATACCGCACCGCTCGGATAGTCTTTGCCGGTGAGGGGAGAAGAGAGGAGAAGGAGTTTCTGCATCCGAAAAATCATCGCCGAATCGCAGGTCTGTACACCGTGCTGGAGCGTTAAATACTGCAGTTTTTAATGTTGGCGAGGTGCGCTTTGGATGAGGCGGGTGAAGCCGCCTATTATCGAAGCTTGTAGTCGTTGCTAAGGATTCAAGATCTGAGGTACCGTAAATTAAACACGGAAATGCAATCGAGCAGAAACGGAGACAGAAACGGCACACGATGCACAATCAGAGAATATCGAAGAATCCTCAATTCCCTTTTCAATGGAGCCATACAAGAAGTAGCTACCTATCTCTGTACCTCTCAGCACCACGCTCATATGGCGGGCTCATCATGCAACGGCTTTTCTTCTCCTCCCTTGACCGTGACCCAGTTCCATTTCCCATACCACTCACCCCTGAATATCCACATCACCATTCTTTCCCCGTTTTTATCCACAGCTTCTCCCCCTCTAAGCATTCACAATCTCGGGTAAAATACTGTAGTAAAAAATGACACGCGCGCCTTGTTGGTATCTTAAGCAATCAATAGATAAAAAGGGTATTGGGAATGTTGTCTCAATGAAGTCGTAGAAGTCGGGTTCACAATCCATTTTCGACCGGGGTAAACCAGCTGTCTTCGAGACAGGATCGAAAGATGTCCTCATGGCAGAGCATAGAAAGCCTCGTCTAGTGTTGCTGGCGTCCATGGCGCGGAACCGTGACCGGATTGGAGACCGAGTCGAAATGAGCGTATTAGGATAATAGTCTTTTAGTTCGTCAAGCTTAAGGAGAGTCGATGTCGTAAAAATGTCGTTCTATATCAGATAAAGGCTGGATTGCAAGATACTATCGTGAAAGCGTAAAGTCAAAGCCATCTTATGTATGGTCGACGTGAAGACCAAGCGAGATCCACCCAGGCTTGGCCAGAATTGGTATCGAGCTTAGAACACAGCGCTCCTGCGCTTCTCAGTTGCGCTCGTGAGGACGAGCATGGGCTGGCCACGTTGTTCATTCTTGTTTTCTTGATCCTCCACCGTGATCTCCACCATTTTCCCGCCGATGCCCTCCTCGCTGCTTAGACTCTGGGCAGTCAGAGAGTTTCCAGTCGAGTTCCTCTCACGTGAATGCTCTTGGAACTTCTTGCGTTCTGAACCAATAGCACCATGAACACTACCACTGTTACTGCTACCAACGCTGTCGTCATCTGATTCGGATGTAACAGAGAATGTGATCTCGCATTCGCTTGAAGGTGTCCCGCTAGGAGAACCTTCGAGTGAATTGCTACCACGAGAAGCCCCTCTCCGGGACACACCAGCTCGAACGAGGCTGTTCAAGGCGCGACGACGTTGGCGAGTGGCGAAGTTCTTGCTGCCCTCATGCTTGGAAGTAGGTTTCTCGACTAAATCTTCAAGAGACGGAGGCCCACGAGGCTGACGAATCGGGTGATCACCAGCGCGAGACTGACCAGGACCGAATGTACCTGTTTGAGGGGTCAAAGGAAAGCTAGCAGTCCTAGGTACAGGACCCCTTGGACCATCCGTTGCGTTTGCGGCGAAGCCGGTAACGGAAGACAACTGCTTCGTATGACCACGTCGAAAGGCTGATGCCGAGGGTGGCGGGAGCATGCTGTCCACGCTTGGGGGAGATCTGCTCTTTGGAGGGGATGGGCTGCGGAAAGTCTGCACGGGGGCATTGCTCTCGGGTGGTGGAGAGACTTGAGCGTGGAACGTTGGGGTTGTAGGTGGTGGTGAATGAGACAAATCATTGTGGGTGACCTGCACCTGGGCTTGCACCTGAGCCTGAGCCTGCTCTTGCTCATTCACCATGAGCTTTTGTTGACCAGTCATCGGATTGAAGACGCTGTAGAGACCGGGGGTACCAGGAACTGGCGTGACGACCGGTTGCATGCCGCTTTGGACTTGCTGGCTGTAGAAACCGTTCATCGTAGATTGCATCTGTTGTTGTCCCATTCCACCGCCCAGATTGAGGTTCTGCATCTGGTGTTGTGCCATGGAAAGGCTGTGCAATTGTTGCTGTAGCAGCGCCTGTTGTGCAGCTAGCTGTTGTCCTTGGACCATCAAAGCAGCATATTCCTCCGCATCCATGCCTGCTGTATCCTGCTCTTGCTCGTATTGCAGCTCGGGTGGTGCAAGAATTTCAGGAAGCCCGTACATGTTTGCACCTCGATTCACTCCCCGACGCTGGACGTTTCCAAATCCATTGCCGATCGCAGTCTGCGGCACGCCCATGTTACGAAGTCTTTGATTGGTGGGTGGACTTCCGCCACGATTGTAAGAATGTTGGGCTGGGTTGAGTGGAGCGGAGCCAGGAGGCATGGGAGACTTGGGAGCCGTTCGGAGACCGGCAAGCAAGTGAGAACGACTGGTCCTAGGAGTATTGCCCGTGGGTGCTTGCTGGGACTCGTTAATAGTCGAAATGTTCGACGGAGGTGCCATAGAGGAGCGTTTGTTGAAGACTGGTGCCCCTCCACGCCTAGCAGCAAAGCCAGACCCAGGCATCCCGAGTCCCGACTCAAAATGGTGGTTGGGAGGGAATGACATTTGCGCAAGACCACCTCCAGTGTGACTCATATTGAGGATTGGTCGATTAGCAGTAATTTCGGGGTGGTTGGTGGGATATGCTTGTGCAAGCTGTTGATGACCTATTTCTCGTTTGATCCGTACCGATGTATCTTTAAATGGCCCACAGATTGACCCACTCTTGACTTTGAGAATGTAAAGTGTCAAGATGGAGTGTTGGTGGGGATGGTTTGTTGCCAATGATCGATGGCTCTTCGTAAGGTCGAGTGCTACGGAAGGAACAAGAGGGTACCTAATCGACGTGACCCTACATCAGCGTCAGCTTGATATGTTGGATTTGATTTACTGATGGACTCACCAAGCAAAGACCTTATATCTGTAGTAAGCTTGGCTTAGGGTGGGGGGCAATTGCAACCCGTTTTAGATCCGATTGCTGAGACACAGCTCTTGTGAATGATGGTCCCAGACTCTTGTGAATATGAAGGATTCTGATTCGATATGATGTATGATCAATGGTAGCTTGTCTTTAATTGCCAGCAAAGCAGACAACGGCCACCTGGACGCGAGATGGGATCCCGGAGTGGGGGGTACTAATGTTGTATTACGAGGATATGTGGAGAGCGACGTCTCTTAATGATAGCGACCGCCGAGAAGCTGTCAAGGAATGAATATATCCAGCGAAGATTGTCTCTTTCAGTGATTAGGAAGGTTGTATGTGGATTAGAAAATGGTAAGATTCCGGGGAGCCGCGGCGGCCGAGTAAATGCAAGAGGAGGTCTCCCGGATCGAATGTAAGGAAAGGCAAAAACAAAGTAGATGATTGAAGAACACCGGTGCAAGCAAAAGCCGCTGCGGTCGAAGAAGGGGAGGAAGAATGGTAAAGGTTAGTGAACGGAGGTTTGATGGTGTAACAGAAGTGGAGGTTGAAGATGAAGACGGTAGAAAGAGGCTTCGCACAGGAAGGGGAAGGGGCACGGGACAGAGTTGGCCCCTAAGCTTCAACACTATAGGGCTGGTACCCTGTAGCGCAGCGCATCAGAGTCGCTAATTGGCCTCCCCGGGGTAGGCTGCATGCCCGCTAGAGCCTCTGGAGTTTAGTCCCAGTCACGCCCGAGGTTTAGCAGAAATTGCCAGGGGAAAGAACAGCGTGAGAAGTAGAGAATCAGCATGGCCATGGGCTACTTGCGACTATGAGAGGATAGACCGAGAACGGCTGCTAGTCCAACAGCAAATCACACGCTTGGAATTGACTGGCCTGATGGCTTGCATCTGGCCCCAGAGAGCCCATCTCTCCACGCTCATTCGTGCGTGGGCTGAAAGGCAAAATCACCCTCCCCCTCCCCCTTCATCAGCTCAGCAAACAACCCCTCGAGTTCCTTGCGCTTGCCAACACATGACCGGTGACCTGGAGAAAGGGCGGTGGGCACTCGCTCCAGTCATCGTGGAGAGTCTGCTCTTTCCCTCTCGTTGCTGGATCGCGTCACCATTCACAAGTGCCCATACAAACAACGAAGGATCCTGTCGCCGCTCGGCGCTTAAGCACGAGAATTCACATATGGAGGGGCAGACCTAGACCCCTGGCAATTGCCGCCTCCAGTCATCATGCTGCTTTCCTTCCAGGCCACAGGTGCTGATGATGATGATGGTACGACCTCAAGAAAGGAGTCTGATGGGGCCGTAAGCTTTGTTGCAACCCAACAGTCGTTGTTCGAAACATCTTTTCAGCCTGTTACTACATGCTTGTGTTCCTCTGAGTTTGCTCCTGATACAGCTCGTTACTTAATGATGAACAGCGATCTCCAGTTGAATATTGACCGATGTTTGATAGCCTCCAGAATAGAATTGGATTGCGCGTACGCGTTTGGTGATCCTGTATTAGGCTCTTGATGCGTATTGGCTCGAGCTGCCGCTGTGATGTTTGAGCTCCATTGGCAGCGTTGCGGCAAGCGAGTCAGGAGGCTCTGCTAAATATAGCAACATTCCTTCGCCTACTGCTCGTCGCACCATCTCAGCCTCCTTCGCGTCTTCGTTGCAGCGGAGTTTCATCGGTTCCTTTTTGATCAGCGATTTGTATGAAATGTTCAGACTTGGCAAGCCTACGGGCCTAAAACCTTTAGCCGTTTGAGCTGCAGCTGAAGCTCAACAATTATTTCTTCGGTATGCGATAGCTTTGGTCAATCGTTCACCAAATGTTTTACATTTTGCCAGTCATGCTCCGTTACGCTGTCAATCTTGCTACGACCTTAGGCGCTGAGTGAAGCAAAGTAAAGAAATGCGTGTCTGAGGATTGGAGATGATGATATTGTCTAGATACTGCTGCTCTTTGCCTGTGCGTAGGGTTGAAGTCTTGCGTTGAATCGACGGGGATCACCCATTGGTCTCTGATCCTAATCATCTAGTGATCAATGTATGTTGTTGGAAAAACGGCACTCGTCTACCGGCAAGTCTTCATACACACAGTTTGCAGGAGATTCGAAAAGTATAATGGGTCCGAAGATCTTTCTTAGAATGCCGGTACTTTCACATCTAGACTTTCACACACCAAGGCCACAACGCGCTGTAACAGAAAGAGACTTACCCTGGTTTTCCCCGTCCAGATTTGGATGGAAGACATCATCATTTTTGCACTTTGAACTGACATGTTGCCTCCTTGGCCGTTGAGAGATTCCCGCCTATGGTATTGAAGTCTGGCATTGGCTCTGGAGCTGCAACCCTATAGGCTGCAGACATGCATGACTGGGCTATCCCTTTGAGTCTCATGCCTTAGTGGATATACCCTGCCCTTGTTATGCATCGCTCAAGCATGCTCGTGGGGGTAATGACTCTTGTCGAAGTCCATGGACCGCCCAAGTCGCACAGCACTATCCCTGCGTTTGAAGGATTAGCAGGCAGACATAGCGGAAACCAGGGTTCCCGATCTGGTGATGAGACGGGAACCGTTTTTGACTTAAAAGATAAGCGTGCGTTAGGCTGTGGTAAATGCATATGCCTCCTTGTCGATGCGAAGCCCCTGGTGGCCTCCGCATGAATCGCAGGGGCACCACAGGCTCTTGAAATTTTAGTATGATGGCCTCTTGCATTGGTTGCTTCATGGTAGATTGACAAGTGTGTATGCGATGTAACGTCTTTCGTGGGCGTGAGGACTTGGCAAGTTTGCCCTTGAGGTGGAGAATACTTGGGAAGCCGTGTCATGGGACGGCTCGTAAAAGTATTGAGGCCGCTAACAATGCAGCTCAAAGGGGAGTAGAGAAGCATCATGCAAGTGGTCGCCTGCGCTGTCGTTCAGGCAACAAAACCAGCAGATGTTGAGGCACCAGTCGAGACCGGTGTACGCTCGGCCGCGGTGGATGCCATAATCTAGACAACGTGTCCGCCGATGTCTGGCTATGGCTTTTCTAGCAATTTTCAAAAATGGGCTCGAGACCATTATACCAAGTCCTATTGAGAGGCTGAAGTGCTGCAGCATCGTATTTCTCCGAGGTAGTCCGACCGTTGCCTTGGTAGGGGGCGTTGAATGCCGCAGCTGCAGGTTCATAAAACGTTGACGGTACCCTTTAGGCTGTCTCCACCGTTATGCAAGCGCTTACGATGCTGATGATCACGATCGAGCTTCTCATGATGCGCATACCGGTAGAAGACTGGCACAAGTAAGGTCTAGTATTTCTCTGCCACTACATGTTGACCACGTCATTGTGAGGACTTACCTACTTTTGCATGAATACCACTTGTGACTGGCATATTCGCAAATTGTATATGGAATTCAGAGTATTGCAAGGCATTTCAGACAGCACAGTCCCCGCACCCGTATAGGGCGAGAAGGGCCGTTTTTCGTTGGCAGTCCCCCCGATTAGGAGACGTCTACCTGCATGAACACGTTCCTCGTGCGCACGGCTGGGAAACCTCCGAAATTATTCGACGAAGGATGCTGCGTGGGGTTCGCAAGGATGCAGGATTCGCCTGAAACAGCTGTTGTATTGAGACTACATACAGAGTAGCTCCAGATGACCAATGGTAATGCCGTACATGTCTCGACAGGTGTCAAGACTTCAGATGCCACGCGTACATACGTCAGGCCGAGCGATATATGGATCTCCTTCTCTCGAGAAACGCTGAGGGAATTTCAGGAGAAAGAAACCGCCATGGTCCCAGCGGTGATTGCTGCCCACATACCGGACTGCGATAGCGTCTCAAATAGCCCTGGTAGGAAGGTTAGTGTCGCGAGGGGACAGGGGTGTTTGATTCATATGGGGTAAGAAGGGTCTCCCTAATTTTTAGGGCGCCAGAGCGGTGGAATTCGTGGCTTCATGTCGTGCAGGAGAGAATGCGTGCTTAGGAAGCTGGGATCGGCGTTTTGATTCTGGTCCGAGTCAGTCCCCACACAGCCTTATCCAGCGCTTCCTTCGCTCACTTTCATGCACTTTGCCGTGTAACCTCGTTGCTCGTCACCTGCTGCCGCTGTCCGTACGCTACCGCAACGGATGCTGTTGAGCTGGCTGGAGAAAGGCGGTCTGTCGAGAAAGGAGAACGATGGACTGAGCGTCATGAGCATGTGACAGCGACCTGCTCGCTCGCGAAAAGATTCAATAGGTCCAGCGGGACGGCGGCAACTGATCGGGAGATTTTGGCATTCCGCCTGGACTGTCCCTAAAAGGCCTAAAACGCCTCGCAACGGACTTGGCTGCCAGACTGAGGCCGGGCAGGAGAGGGAGGGTGGGCAAATCAGGTACGTGCAAAGTCAATGGGCTTCGCCGGCCAGGCTTGATAGGTGCTCATTGGCGAGAGAATTGCTGCGGCGGAACCCCTTAGAAGCAGCATGGAAGGAGAATTCTTCTCGGCGTAGTAATCCTGCATGCCTGCATGGCAAAGGTGCATAAGCGTCAGCACCTTGAGCATGATGCCGCGAGGCTGAAGACGAGGATGAGGACAGATACGGAGCGAGACGTTCCAGCTGCTGTGCTCTGCCTCGTCCGTCAGCCAGGTTCTACCAAGACATTGTAGTTATTAGAGTAGGATTGTACTATTCTACCCTAGCCCACTTCCCTCATGCATAAGAAAGACGGTGGCCAAACCCCAGTCAAAGGCTCTTTGTATGACAACACGAAGTACCCTCACCCTTCTTATTATCATACACCCCTCACACTGAGCGTTATATTGTAACCATCCGTGAGTAATAAAATCATCATCCACCGACATCGGAAATTTGCTTTCGGTGATACACGAACCGTCGGAGTGCCAAAGCTACCAAAGCAGCATAAATCTTGTCTGTAGGCTATTGGATTCAGGGTTATTACCCCTGTCAATCTCAAGCACGTCGAAGCTTCTTTTTGGAATTTCTGGTTAGCCCCCCTGACGTTGAATCTGCGGTCCTGATTTGACCAAAATTCGAAGAATTCCCAAGGTTGCCTGAAGAGCGCAGCACATCCGCATCCGCGACTTCCACCACACAGCCCAAGCCCCATCAACCCACACAACTCTACGTTTTCAATACGCGCCCGAGTCTCTCCTTAAAACAGTTTCACGCTCCTTGACACAGACACAAGCTATAAGCTTTCCTCCCCCACGGAAGTACTGCTGTCGTACTTCTGTACCTTCTCAATCGCTCCACACAAATTTTGGCACGCAAGAGGTGACCGCGACTCACCTGCAAAGCGAGTCGGCATATCTTGCCCAGCTGAGGCAGGCTACACGAAGTACCAAGTGCCTGGCGCACCCCAAAATTTGCAGGCGATCAAAAGTAGCCGCGCCATGATCATGCTTAAGAAGTGACTGCACCGGACCCGTACGCCTCTCGAGTCGCTCTTCACCCAAGAACGACCGTCTATTTCGGTCAACATGTCTCGAGAAAAGAGCAGAAATTGCCATCATCAATAAACATCCACCCCTACTCCTCCCTGAGAACGGCGGTCAAAGCCACGTGCGAACCCTCTGGGCGTCCCCAAGGCGTTCTTGCTACCATGGCTCCAACAGCCTCTTCGCCTTCGCCAGGCATGTACCCTAGCTATGGCAGACGTTGGCAGTCTACAAAACCTATGCAGAAACTCAACACTTCTGTTCCTCTTACAGTGACACCCGCAACCTCCAGCACGCCCAACGGTCACTCCTCAATCACCCTCGCGAGCCCCTCTAACCGTACCTCAATATCATCATCCCCAGACGGCCCGCAAGCCCGAAGTATTTCACCCTCTTCGGCGTCGCCTACTGCATTGCAGCTCCCGGAGTCCTCTGTCAACACCACACCATCTAAGCAGCAATACAAGAATGCAATGAGTGAAGCCATGGAACAGAGCAAGGCACCAGGGTTGATGAGGAGGATATCGCAAGGTGCTAGGAACCGCATACGTCGGCGTACATCTTCAAGTCAAATCGTGAACCGTGATCGGAGTTCAGGTCCAGTCATGCTGCGCAAGAGGAGCAATAGCAAAGCAGTGGAAGACATCGATGACGATTTGGTCGACAGTGCTGCCGAGCTGGATATCGGCGATGTTCCAGAAGATATAGAATTGGTACACGGGCTCGGCATCACCAGCGGTAGGTTGAGCCGCGGATTGAGTCTGGAAAACACTACGACCGCCCTCAAGCCTGCACGGACCGAAGGTGGCATCGCACCAGTTGCTCCGGAACAGCTTCGTCAAGGCACGAAGTTGATCAAAGTGAGTCAGAAGCAAAAAAAGAAGGTGCGCACGTTTATTCTCGACGCCGAAAATGCCAAAGTATCCTGGGACCCGACCAACCCTACCAAATCCTTCTACATTGACGACATTCAAGAAATTAGGCTACAATCAGAAGCTCAGATATCACTCGAGACCTATGAAATACCTGCAGACTCTACTTCGAGATGCTTCACTGTCAAATATGCCGACAAGCAGCGAACCAAAGGCAAGCAGCAAAAGACGATATACCTTGTGGCAGAGACTCCGCGTGATTTTGAACTGTGGACATCAACCCTGCAAGAATTGTCAAAGCATCGGCACGATCTCATGGCGGGACTGGCAGCCTCATGGCAGGATGACAAAACGCTCAAGGCCCACTGGAAGTGCGAGATGGCGAGGATCTTTGAAGATCGGCCCCATCTATCTGAAGACGAAAGCCTGGATTTGAAAAGCATCGAAAGCCTTTGCCGCAGCCTTTACATCTACTGTTCTCCCAATGTGATCCGCGCCCAGTTTGAAAAGGCTGACTCCCAAAGTCAGGGACGTCTCAACTACAAGTCATTTAAGGACTTTGTACGTCGCTTAAAGGATCGCAAGGACATCCGAGAAATCTTCAAATCTATCTGCCCCGAAAATTGTGAAAGCATAGATCTGGATGGTTTTCTTGGGTTCCTCAAATCCTCCCAAGGCATCGACGTGGACGCTCGGCGAGACCATTGGATCAAAGTCTTCTCCAAGTACGTACGCAAGTCGGAAACACCCAATCCTTCCACGGTGAGCGGACAGCAAACACCAGGCCTGCTCATGGGCTACTCTGCATTCACTGCATTCCTCTATTCTCCAGCGAATGCAATGCTAAACACGAAGACTTCGGATGCACACTTCGACAGGCCTCTCAACGAATATTTCATATCTAGCTCGCACAACACCTATCTACTTGGACGTCAGGTCAATGGCAAATCAAGCGTTGAACCCTACGTAAGGGCCTTGCAGAAAGGATGCAGATGCGTCGAGATCGATTGCTGGGATGGACCAGACGGTCGGCCACTTGTGAATCATGGTCATACCATGACAAGCAGCGTCCTTTTTTCCGATTGTGTATCGACGGTTGCGAAGTACGCTTTTCACACCTCGGACTACCCACTTATCATTTCGCTTGAGGTGCATTGCAACGCCTCCCAACAACAGAAGATGGTTGACATCATGATTAAGGAATTCGACGGCAGTCTTATCCGTGAACCTCTCAAACCTAACAGCCTTGAGCTTCCTTCGCCAGAAGAGTTGAAGAACAGGATCCTGATCAAGGTCAAAGCTGGGAGCGACCCTGCACTGGCCCTGGACACCGCTTTGAATCGACCCGAGCTTGCCTTAAGTCGACGCGACCGGAGTTCAAGTTCTCCGTGGATGGGTCCTCAACGGCTCGATAGTAGCAATCTTCCGATCGGTGTACCATTATCCAGCCCTCCGTCCGTAAGCCCGCCAGATCATATTTCGACTTGGCCTATTGGTAGGTCGTCAATTACCACAACTAGCATTAGCAGTGCGACAGAAGATAGCGATGATGGGAGGAACGATGCAACGCCAGCACGAAGGTCTGCGAGGGGTCACAAAAGTAAAATCATCTCGACATTAGCAAACCTCGCCGTCTACACTCGGGGTATCAAATTCCAGAATAACAGCTTCGCGTTGGAAGAAAGTAGGCAGTACAATCATGTCTTTTCCCTTGCAGAACGCCGCTTTGAAGACATCTGCAAGAAGCCAGATGACAAACTTCAACTTGAGAAGCACAACGCCAAACATCTCATGAGGATCTACCCATCTGGCTTTCGTTTCAACTCAACAAATCCTGACCCACTCGCTTTCTGGAGACGTGGCGTGCAGATGGTGGCGTTGAATTGGCAGACTTATGATCTCCCAATGCAATTGAACGAGGCAATGTTCGCCTCCGGTGCTGATCGATTGGGCTACGTCCTGAAGCCTAGAGAGATAAGAGAGCCTCGCAACATCCAAGAAGAAATTGAGTCGCCCTCTGTTCTTGCTCTTGGCAAGATTCAGAAGAAGGTCATCAGATTTTCGGTCGATGTCATCTCTGGTCAGCAATTGCCTAGACCTCACGGTATCAAAGCTAGCGACGCCATCGACCCTTACGTTGAGATTGAATTATTTAGCGCTGAAGACAAGGCGAAGGGTATCGCTTCGGGAACAGGAGGACACGATGCTTCTGCCCGTCATGGAATGTCTGGTATTGGCTCACCACATCGTCGCCGCACTCACGTCATCTCTTCCAATGGCTTCAACCCTCAGTTCAATGAAAGCTTTGGCTTGTCTCTCGAGACTAAATACCCAAGCTTGGTGTTCGTGAGATGGACAGTATGGGACTCCCAAGACGGCCAGAACTATCAGACGAATACCAATCTAGACCCACTTGCCACCTTCACAGCCAAGCTAAGCAGCATTCAGGAAGGCTATCGCCACATCCCATTGTTCGATCATAATGGCGAGCAATTTATGTTCGCCACGCTCTTTTGCAGAATCAGGAAAGAGGATCCGGTCACCGTTGAGAGGGAGGATCCTGTCCCTGAGAAAACAGGCCGCTTTAAATCGAGGTTCAAACGAACTTTGTCCCAGAGAAACGGCAAAAGATCCACCAAGAGTAAAACAAGCAACGAATCCATGAAGTCACACGAAACTGAGATATCGAGCCTCTACTCGCCAAGCCTCACAGGTACTGCATGGACATCCAGTACCACCTCACCACTGTTGCCAATACCCAGCTCACTCGATGGATTCCCAGAGCCCAAGATCTAGTGCAACCAGTTTACGCATTCTCATTTGTTAGAAGATTACAGTTGGCATCGCATGCAATCCCATCAACCCTACATTATACCCTACATAGTTGGTCCCCGCGCGGGATCTGAATATTTTTGAACACCTAACGATGTAAAGAGCACGAAATACCTGCGGGGAAGCACCTAGACGGTCACACTCGTTTACCAAATCATATATTTACAGCACAGCATATTAATCAGATATAAGCCAGCAGGTCATGGTGGAAAACATTCATTAATTCATTCATTCGCTTCGATGGACATAGGACTTTTTTTTTTGAACGTCGCATCCGGCAGGTCACGGTCGCTACTATTACAGCTTCTTTAACTATTCACCTTATTCGACCCGGTCTTTGCATCCTCTGCACCATCCCCACCACCACCATTACGTTGCTAAACACCGAAACAATATGATCAGTGTCCGGGAGGAGGATTTCGGGAAAGCAAGTAGCGAATTTTTTTAATTTTGTTTTTTGACATGATATCAACGGCCGGCAAAGGAACGGAATTGAACGGAATGGAATGGAATGGAACGGAACGGGATAAAGTATTTTGCATGTCATACATACCATAGAGCTCATTTTACCATACAACACTCCTCGCGGAGCGCCAGTGCGGTCTCCTGGCGAATAGCTAGCTAGCTTTTTTTGCGGCTACATAGATGATTCGATAGTGGAAAGGGAATTTTTTCTTGAATTGATGTGGGGTGGGGTACCCCCGCCCTAGCCTTTTATGTGTCAACTGTCCTTTTTTCTAGCTGTGTTGTGTGCTGTTTTTGTACCTTGGTGTTCTTTGGGGACGGCAGATGAGTATCTCCCTTTGCCAGCATGGTAAAGGGGGCAAGAGAGGCCGGGGTTTAAAGCCGCTATCTCCGAGATTCTTATGAAGCAGGCGCGTACCATAGCGGGAAATTATGTTCTGAAATGACCACCTATTGATGGTTACAGTATTTTTAACTATAAAGAGCTGGTTTTAAAGCATATAATTGTATTTAAACGTTTCAATCGTTAAAGGCTTATTAACGTTCAAAAGATTGAACGTTTTTTTAAAAGACTTTAAGAGAACTAATAAAATACAGTATCGTTATTTTACTTTTAACTGTTAAGAATTTCAACCGATTTCAACTGTTTTTGCTTAAAAACCATCAAAAACTTTTTGAAAATGCCAAGCTCTGCCTTCGGGAAGTTGTTTCTATGCTTCTCATCAACGCAATTCAAAATTTGAGCTTGAAAACAGGCGTGCGACGTGATTTTTACGCGGGGGAAGCCTCGGGAGTACTTGCGCAAAGGCATAGGGGGGCTGGTGGGGGCGTGGGGTTTTGGAAGCCTAGTATTGTTAGATTGTAATTTAAATTACATGTTCAGATTAAGTTTTATAGATAAAAAACGTTCTATTTGATAACTGTTTACTTTTCAACTATTAAAACGTGTTTTACTATTATAATTAGAAAACAATTGGCTTAGAAATACTGCGTAAAAGCGGTCATTTTCAAATAAACGTTAAACTTTCATGATAGTTGTTGAACGGTTAAATTACCGTCAAAATGATCTATAATTTCCCGCTATGGTATTTCCCTCTTTTATGGGTTATGAAGGACTATGAGAGTTTGTGAAAAGCGGGTGGTCGCTCGAGAGTTGAGGGAAGAGGGAGATGAGAGGGAAGGGGGAGAGGGGTATTTGGGTTTTTGGGTATTCAAGGCAGAAGATGTGGATATGGATTGGATGCGGAAATGGATTGTTGATGTATAGTTGTTGGGGTCTGTGGTTGGGGAAGTGGTTGGGGAAGGGGAGGGGGTGGGAGGTGTATCCTCGCGGATTGAGAGTGAGTGATAAGGGATGAGGGAATTTGCCTGCGTCGAGGTCATACTAGAATGGTCGGAATGATAGTCGCTTTGAGGGTGTGTCATCACTTTGACTGGCATTCGTGGTATGTCTTCTCTCATAGGGGCCTTGAAAGCGCCCACTTGCTCGACGTCTTGTTTCTTGGAAAGAGCCTGTCAGGAGTCTTAGGGACGTTCGTAGGCGGGCTTTGAAGTGCTAGAATCTAGATACCACGCCAGTCGAAGGCGGGGGAATAGTAATTTGTGGGCTGACATGAAAGACTGATGTTCTGTTGTGCTGTTGTGCAAGCATAGGTGGGCTCATTGGGGTTCAGTCTATTGATTTCGGAGGGTTGTGGCTTCCGAAGACATCAATCTTACAGAGCCAGCATAATCGAGCTTAGTTTAACCTTCTGCTCCGCCTTCTGTTCCTTTCGGGTCAAGAATTCCAGCTTCTTTTGGTTCAATCGGAGGTAAATTCCATCTTTTTTTTGGAGTGCAATTTTCAACCAAGGCGACTGTTCCATCATTGTGCCGTGGGTGACCGAGGACAGAATTGCACGATATCCTCCCCAATCTTCGCGTGAGACGCGCACAGTCATTCTGATTCCGACATTAGTCACCTCGAAAGCTTGTCGTGGTTCGACGTTGAGGCTCTCCACATGACCTGAATGCTTGAAATCCGCTGGACATGAGGCAAGGAGGCGACCATTTATGAGATGGTCGTTCGTCCAAGCAAATATCGTTTCATCATGATGTTGCTTGATGAATTCTGTTTGAAGCCTTTTGAATGCCTTATCCTTCTCGCCGTAAAGGAGCGGCATATTGATCTTTAACAGTCCCATCAAACAGTAAGCGACGTCTTCAGACCTCGTGGTCTCTCTGCGCGATGCCCACGACATCTTGCAAGCAACGCTTGCAAATCTGCTGTCAATGTCAACATCCAAATACAGTGACTCGATTCCAGTAGCAGCTACTATTAAATCGCAGAGCGTTTGCTGATCACCGAGCAGATTCCATGACTGATCAAAAAAGCGGACATCCCTGGGAGCCAACAGCTCTTGTAACGTCCAGCCTCGGGTAAACCATCTGCTACTTTGAAACTGCTCTTTGTTTAAATGGGAACCCTCTAGCCTCACATCAGCCATGTGAACGAAGCAAATATAAGCCTCTTCGTAATATTGCCACATCGAATTGATGGCTTCTGAAAGTTCAGCGCTGCTCTTCTTGTCAATGCAACAGGTATCCACCCAAGCATACTTCAAATGTACGAGGGCAGCCATTTCACAGCATTTTGAGATCTTATTGAACCCGGGTTTTTGGACTGTCTCCTCCCAAGTCTTGCGCTTAGCCATTTCTCGGAAAGAGACCTCCCCATCTCCCCAAGTGTGCGAAAGGATGGCGTACTTTGGCACCGTTTTGCCGATGAACTCTTCAAGCTGTAGGGTATCTACATTGATGAGCCACATCTTTCAGATGTACAATGAGTATTCGATGATCCCACAACGACCGTGTCAATTATCGATCAAAAAGACTGCGAAATGATCCTCGATGGTTGCCACAAATGCACCCAAGCTCCATCAGGTACTGAAGAGCCAAAGCATACTAATCTGATGATGGAGTAGGTCGAGGTGGTCGACACATGTCGATGAGATAATCTTCGAGCAGGTCCGAAACTTGGCAGGAAGCATAGCCTTGCGCACGCCCCTTATGCAGCTTACTCTAGCTGCAGGGTGAGAGGGCGCATTTCCGTGCCAGATTTGACGGGGACGGAAGCCACTGGCCGCTTCAATAATATATTCCTCAGACGTGAAGAATTTCCGCATGTCGAGATGAAGTTAAGGCAGAGATCCGTTGGCTGGATCTAGGATGATTGCGCGATGCGTCTAACGCGAACCTTGGTGTTGCTCTTCAGCCTGGATTTATCTTCATTGAGTCCTTGCTCATATGAATCACCGCCCGGCATTGCAGACCATGTCTCTCTAAACACTCGCTTCGGTTAATGAATGCGATAGGATAAACCCCCTCAAGCGGTGTGTGACCTTGTGGGATCTGCCTCCAAATTCATTGGCCCTATGCAGTCGCTGATGAGGGTACTGAAAGGAAGGGTTTAGATTAATACTAAGTCTCGGATATATTCGTTTTCTTGAAACATTGCCCAAACATCTTTGATAGGCTCATCTTGCATGTCAACAGGTGATGCATGCATGCAGATGGCGCATACAGAGCAAGCACACCCATAATGTCCGAGACTCAAAATCGCTTCTTTGAATCACACGGCTTCAGCTTTTGCACCCGATCCGACTGCGAATCTGCTTAACGATGAGCTCGGATGATTTACCACCGCCTTTAGCCAGTTTCACGTATCCACCGTGGGGACAACAAAATTTCGGTACTGTCGATAGCTTTGTAACCAGCTGGACGACACCCGTATTATCCCAGCAGCCTTGTTTCCTTTCTTGTTATTTCTGGGATGCCAATCAACAAGGTGCTAAGTGGACAAGCCGTATGTCGACCCTGTGTTCATACCTATCCTTCAAATAGAGGGTACATGTGAGGGGAAAGGCTAACTCTTCCATCCTCAGTATGGAATCATAGCATCCATCTCAACGACACCGAGTTGATCGCCCTCGATGTCATCAAGTCCAACGGTCTCGGTCAGCTCAACTTGAATTATGTAAACCCTTTGGGCGCGGCGGTAAAGGTCACAGGGAAAATGTTCAGCGTGAACCATGGGCCACAACAAAAAAGCAGAACGTACAACCAGGAGGCACTATCAAGCACCTCGAGTACTTCTAGCCCCACTAGCAGTTCAAGCTCGTCCACAATAAGCGGAGCAACGACTAGCCCGTCGACACTTTCTGCATCGCCGACAACGACTGTCAACCTCTCCTCTACCTCTCGAAGCTCACCAACAGATTCTCTGAGACCTACCTATCCACTTGCGGTCACCTCAAGTACTCTAGCGTCGACCTCAAAGCACAGTCAAAAGACGCTGAGCAGGGGAGATATCGCAAGCATCGTGTTAGGGGCTGCTATTGGCATTGCCATTGTAGCCCTTCTTCTCGCACTTTGGATACGGAAGCAGCGGAAAAGAAAATCTGCAGCGCAATATCCTGATAACATGGGAGTCAAGAAATCTCCAGATGGAAGCCGGGAGCAATTTCACGAGAAAGATGCCGTTGATCCTCCGACTGAGCTTTCGCATGGTCATGGAAGATGGGAGTTGCCTGTACATGGAGCCTGAGGGGTGGCATTGACATCCGTAATGGTAAAGGTTATTGAAAGAAAGATCTGGCGTCTAGAAGACGAAGTAGTCTGGCAGAAGTGCTGGTCAATGTTCTCGTAAAATGGCCTTGTTGATCGCATCCGCGATTGAGATGTATGTAAAGATACAGAAGCACTAGTGTTTATTATAAGGATACGTACGCTAGCAATGTGTAACAAGACTGGGCTCTCCCTTCGCAATTCAGGATGCCGTAGATCAAGTCCAGTTCCAGGCGCATGTCGAGCTTGCCATCGCGTTTGAACAGTACCCTTTGTCTTTCAAGATGGCTCTAGAGTCTGAATCCACCGCAGCGTTGACTCTCAGCTGTCTACTGTCCGGACAGACTAGCGGTAACAATACCGTTAGCAGCACGAAGATGTCACCGTCTGGTGCCGTCATTACCTCAATGCGCAATATTGGAGCGAGAGAAAGCCTGGACTGTCCCAAATGCATATCCAAGGCAAGAAGAATTCACAGACGAGTAGCATCTGCCGGGTCTTTGCTCCTGACAGTCACACCTAGCACTGATCTGTGGTCATCGAAACAGACTTCCAGCCATTGCACCGAGGCGTGTGAACAGAGCATCAGTCATAGCTACATTCTGACCTCTTCAATTGATCTTCAAGGTCCAACATGAATCTCGCCATGTCCTCCCCCAACCCTAGGGTCATCCTTGGCCTCATGACCTTTGGTCCTGACGAGAAGAAGGGCGCTCGCATCACCAGCGTCGACGACTTCAACGAATGCCTTTCTCATCTTGCAGAACGAGGCTACTACGAGCTTGATACTGCGAGAGTATACATTGATGGCGCACAAGAGGCTTTCACGGCGAAGGCAGGCTACAAAGACAAAGGCTTCAGCATCGCTACCAAATGCTACCCAACACCAGGCGTTACATCTCATAAACCGGAAGTGCTAAGGGAGAAACTGGAGACGAGCTTGAAAGAGCTGGAAACAGATACCGTCGAGATCTTCTACCTACATGCTGCAGATCGAAGTACGCCTTTCGAGGAGACGCTTAGGGAGGTGGACAAAATGCATAAAGAGGGCAAGTTTGTACAGCTGGGCTTAAGCAATTACACGGCATTTGAGGTGGCAGAAGTGGTCATGACTTGCAAGGCGAATGGATGGGTCAGGCCTACGATCTACCAAGCGATGTACAATTGCATAAGTAAGCCTCCATCAGCGCTCCCCTACCCTCGCAAACAAGAATGCTGACGTATCTGGCTTTCAAAGCACGCTCTATCGAAGCTGAGCTCATTCCATGCTGTCGACGCTACGGACTCGACCTTGTCACCTACAATCCTCTAGTCGGCGGCCTCTTCAGCGGCAAGATCAAAGCCAAAGATCTGGTCCCTACCGAAGGACGATACTCGGACAAAGATACAAAGCAAGGCAAGAATTATCGTGACCGCTACTTTAAAGACGCAACGTTCCAAGCATTGAGCATGATCGAGCCGGTAGCAAAAGAACACAATCTTACACTGCTGGAGGTTGCCTTAAGGTGGATGAGGTGGCATAGCAAACTCGAGATGACACCACCCAAGAGAGACGGCGTCATTATTGGTGTGAGCTCTTTCGAGCAGCTGAAAGGGAATCTTGATGATTTGGAGAAGGGGCCTTTGCCAGACAAGGTCGTTGAGACCCTGGATCAGTGCTGGGCGGTTTGCAAGGGGACGGCTCCAAACTATTGGCATCTGGACTTGAAGTATACGTATGATACAGTGGCAACCCTCTTCCCGCCGAAGAGTTAGGTGGGAGGCGGTGCAGTGGTGGTAGAGTCTCGGAAAGGACGGCGGAGTACACATGCAATCGAGTGGTCTCAATTGACCGTTCAAGGAGTAGCATGAGATACGTACTTTCTTGCGCATGGGTGGTAATGAGCGACGATGCCATGAATATTACGCTGTTTCGTTTGATGGACCCACCCCAAGCTCTCGAAAGTCTGGTAGGTGGCTTGTCTTTGACACCACCAACGAATGGCGTCCTACGAACGGTCATGATAAATGGATTTGCTACAAATGCTCAACAATCCCCGCTCCGCTCTCTACCCCATTCAATCGCTCTACCGCAGTCCATCGCATTGCAACGAGCCCGCTCCGAGGCTAATTTCTACAACACAACACGCCCGAAGGAGCTGACACACCAGACACCCGAGACAAATTGCACCTACCCTCCAAGGCTGTGACCGTCAGAACATCCCGACCCTTCCATTCAGCCTGCAGTTTGACAGCTTTCAAATTGCGGCTGAGCCGTCACCGTCGCATGGCCATGACAACGACCTAGCCCTTCCAAAACAGGAAAGCACTCAATCTTTCTTAATTAAGCACTTCCTGTCTGCGTACTCGTGCAGACACTACTACCATCTTAGTCCACCGCCTTTTGCCTGCACTTTTAATTTTATCGTTTTGCATACAACACTCCTTCCATTCATCGGCCTATCCCTTTTTTCCCCTCATTCTATCCAATGTCAATGGATGCTCATGTCACCTACCACCACCCCCGCCTTCTCTGAACTCATCGTCGTCAAATTCTGCGAGCAGAATGACATGGATCCTATTCCGGAGGAGACAGACGAGAGCTTGGAAGTCCCCGTCATTTTGGTGCCAGATTTGCCTCCATTGAAGTACCACGACGGACCGCTGCGATTCTTGAGTAACAGTCTAATGAGCCAGAGGGAGTGGGAGAGGAAGCTGATTACCATTGGGTAAGTGAGAACCCGGAGTGGAAGTGTTGTCTTTAGACTTCCCTCTTGCCGTGAAGGTTGTACAACTTCTCTTCACTCGCAATGGGGGCGATCAATGGGAATCAACCCATTGCACCACTGTCTGCTTGTACTTGCCAGAACCATCGGTGACTCACTGTGAGCCGCCGGTGTGGCGAATAGAGTGGATCACACGGCTAACGCTGCGGATTCTTATTCACAGTCCGACACTTGACCTCAAAGCCCCACCTGACGAGGACATTTCCATCCGCTGCCCCAACGGCGACGAAGACAATCCTAAACTCTTCACAATCTCCAAAGCTGCACTCGCACGAGCACCAATCTTTCGGAATTTCTTCAAATCTGAACACTACGCCTGGGGTAGCGATACCCTCATCTCTATCATGTCTGACCCCGCCGCAGCCTTCGATATTGTCCAACGCTACCTTGAGCAAGGTCCTGAGCTCTTTGACATGACCTGCCTTCGAGTCTACGTCTACAAACGCTACAACTCTCTTGAGCGCACTGTGGTCCTGGTCCGACTCTACCGCATGGCTCATAGCATGGGCTTATGGTTTCTCGAAGACCTGGCGTACGAGGTCCTCGTCGATGGCAACCGCTACGTCACTGCAGCCATGATGCCTACACTTGCTGGCCTCATATTTGCACCACGAGGCAATCACAACGACCAGATCAAGAACTGGTGTCTGGTTCATATTGGTCACTTCTTCCTCGACCTCAAAGACTGCGCCGACTGGAGTAGATGCCTTACCCTTTGCGAAGACCGCCTTACTCAAGAATGGAACAAAATGCTTTTTGAGAACACCCGCATCCTTGGTATCATGAGCAATGAATCGCGCGACTCCGTCCTCGAGAAAACCTTCAAGCACATGTCTCTTCAGGAGCAAGACCGCGCCATCTCCGTCATCAGCAAGAACTGCCGCCAGTCTTCTCCCACCGTTGTACAGACACCTAACACCGCCACCACCACAACCCTCACTGCCAACTCAAGCTCCGAGACACTGGCACCCTTGCTGAAGCCCATCGCATTCGAAGGCTTTAAGAAGAACAAACAAAGCAAGAAGAAGAGCAAGGACGACGACGAATGGGAAGACATTGGCACCCCTACCCAGGAGACTTTCAACCGCAGTCTCGAAGTCTGCGCCATATCATCTCCTTACGCATGCGGCAGGTCCAACTGCAGCGAAGAAAATTACGACCCCCCGCTCAGCGGAAGGACTCTCATCGAAGGTGGAGATCTCGGGACTAATGGGATGAAGCTAGTACGGCAGCAAACAGAGGAAGAAGAATTTGCAAAGGTGAGAGCTGTGTTGGGAATGAGAATCGATCCGAAGATCATCGTCTTGTCGAAGGCTAGCACGGAGCCTCTAGAGGAGCTGAAGGAGCCAGAGGAGGTAACAGAGCAGAACGACAAGGGCCACGGGCATGTGTTAAAGAAGAAGGGGAGTGTGATTAAGATCACGAGGAGGAGGACGAGGATCTTGGGATTGCTGCGTTAGCGTGGCTTGGAAAAGGGGAAGAAAGATATGTATTCTGGAGGAGAAAGAGAACGGGTCTACCGGTGACGAAGATATGTTGGACCGCTTGCTCAAGTGCTGAGCTCGCTGAAGCCAAAGGGCTAAATCTCGACATCGCTGCATCGCTGGACGCATGCTGGTGTGCTAGGTACTCTGTATGCGACGGTAGGGTAGCTCTATGCTGTGGACTGAGGAAGGGGAAGTATGTTCTTGCTATACATTGCTAGAGATCTGACATAGTAGATTCAATTGGCTTCGACAAATCCCGCTTACGTCCACCTTTCTGCTTTCGGTCGCCAAGGTACTGTGTCCACGCAAGCTTTGGGGAGACATTATGCCTGAGTACATGCTTTCGCTTCGTCTCCTCCGCATCTCCTACATGTCCCCTTCATATCCTGTGTCTTTCCGTGGAAGTCGCCGAAGAGTTGTGGGCAGAGAGACCCGTGAACATCATTGAACTTGGAGATGATCCTTTGGGGGGGTTGCCCCTAGAAATAGGGGTCCTTATAGGGGCCATGCCCTCACCAATGCTCGCCAACTACCCACGTTTGGTACCGATGTTGCCGCTGGCCCGTCCCGGGAGAGTCTTGCCGTTCTAGCGTAATGCATCATGCAACCACACGTTTATGGAAGAGACAAAAATGTGACACGTCTTTTTCTGTCGATGCATCATTTTCCTTAATTGAATCAAGGCCCCCGAACTCTGCTATCCCTTGAATATCGTCTCTTCGATACTCTGCACAATGCTCCCTGAATTTCTCGCTGGCTCTTACAAGAGATACAAGCAGGACACTGCTTTGTTTACAACATGGCTTGCCAAAGCAGCTGCCTCTTGTGGCTACAAGCCAAATGCGACAGAAAAATCGACAACTCAACATACTGGCTCAACGGCTAAAATAGCATCTGATCAGGACCTGGGCACTTCCACATCGTCTAAAACAGGATATGTCCCTTCAGCAACTGGTCGTCTGAAGGGCAAGGATCGAAAAGCTGCCAAAGCTCTCACAGATCAGTCAATTGGATCAACCCCCGACACTCCAGACACAGAGACTCCCGCATCGACCGTCAAATACACTGTCACAACGGAGGAATTGCTCCGTCAAGCGGATGCCATTGCAAACTCTGATCGTAAGATGAGCGTTCAGATGCCCGCAAGTCTTTATCGCATCGTTCAACATGCGATTCGCGCCCGCCAAAGATGCTCTGAATGGTTTCAAAACGCCAAGATCAGGAACGAGCACTTTGATAAGGGGCATACTCACTTTGTCAAGATTCTGCAGCGGGCCCTCGAAATACTAGAACCTTGTGTAGTTGACGAAACAGCCGCGAAAAAGCCCAAAGACCAAGCAAAAGAGTCCCCCAAGGAATCCGAAGACCTTACCAATCGTTTTAGTGCACTGAACATGGAAGAGAGTCCGGAAATCGACGCGTTCGAGATCGCTGAAGTAGTTGCTGCTGTTCACGCCCCACAGAAGACGAAGGCCTCCAAAGGTAAAGCCATCGCGACAGAGTATGAATTAGAAGACGAAGAAGAGTTCGACGCAGATCTCGCGTTTATTGTTTACTGTAGGCAGAGCACTCTACTTCTCTTTCAAAGTTAACACATGATAGGCTTCTTCGAGGATCTTCACCGCACGCAAGACTTTCTCAGTGACCTTTGGCGGAAATACATGTCAGGTAAATGTGACCTTCATACAGCAGCCGTAACAACCAATGCGGCTTTCGAGCTAGTCCGCCAAGCTGAAGAGGACCTGATCAAACAAGCGCCTAAGGCCTTCAATAAGACCCGATCCTGGGACACGATTGCCATCGTCATCTTCTATGCCGACGCTTTCGAAAGGGGAGTCTGTCCTGAAGGACGTCTCGGTACCAGCGAAACACTTCGGATAACTCCTTTTGACGATTTCATCTATCTCTCAACTGCACGTATATTGATGAAGTTCACTTTTATGGCCAATTTGCCCCCTGACTGTGGAATGCCTTATCCCCTACCCTGCCAGCCTTTGAGATTTGGTTACATATCGCGACCCGAGCTGTTGGGCACCCCAGAGATGGACAAGAGAGAGCACGAAGACTTGATTCTCTCTAGGCTGATCATGGACCGAGATCTGTGGAACACATGCACCAAAACGGCAGGTGAATACGAGACCACACCCCCACCTCATGAGGACGAGTTCAGCAAAGGTCTTGATAAGTTGATGAGCAAAGGGACCCTAAGTATTGCGGTAGTCTTTGCAGCTCGGATTTTGTTGGATATTCAAGATGTTCTTGGTGCGGAAGTCGGAAGAGGTCACCAAGACCTTGTGCGTACTACTAAAGAAATCGACAAAATGATGAATTTGAAAGTAGTGAATGGAATGTGGGATGTTGGTGGCAGTGGAGAGCGATGGCACGAAAGAGATGTCGGGTCTGTCATGCGCATTAAATTGACGTCGATTTACTGGATTCTCGACAACCCTGCTAATGCGTTCCCCAAGTTCAAAGAGATTATGCTAGCGAAGCAATCGTCACAAGAGGGTATTTCTTTCAATTCTTCTGGGGCGAACTCGGCTCAGTCAACAGCATCTCCAAGACTTGGTGCACCACCAAAGTCTAAAGCCAGCCAGCAAGCACCAGTGTCTGTAAAGAAGCCTCCAAAAGACCCTAAATTTAGTACTATTTCGGCGAAAGTGCATCAGATTCCTGATGGGGTTGATTTCAATGACCCAGACTTCCAGGAAGTTATGCGAAAGAAAATCCTTGCAGACGATGGATTAGATGACGGTCCTATGGACCCAGTACATGAGGAGAACGCGCGGAGACTCGACCTTAAGCCAATATCTCCATCACCTGATCTGAATTACCTCTTCACTTTCAATCCAATCTACTGTGGACTGGTCTCATTCAATATGCTTACAGACTTCGAGGCTTCAGGAATCGCTCTTTGCAATTGGCATAAGAGTATCTGGCCTAGTGCCCACTTGTACCATGCTCTGCGACAGACGTCCAGCATCTCAAAACCATGGCCAGAGATGGAAGAACTAATGGACTTGCATATGGATTCCCTTTTTGCTGGGTGCCTTCCACTGTCAGCTTACGAGTTCCACGTTCGCTTTGGTCTGGCGTTGGGCTTATCAATCACAAACTTCGCCCGAAACCCTCGACGTCGGACTGACGGCAATAGGGCACAGATTCGCCAAGGAGCGAATGGTATCAAGCTGAGGGTGACTGAGATGTCCAGCGTCTTCCGCCAGTACTTCGACAATAAGTCATCCTTCGAGACCTGCTTGGTCAAATTGGAGAATCTGCTGCGGAAACCAAGTTCCAGTCCTTCCAAGAGCGAAAAGCAAGCACGTAAAAGACCTCTCACAACTTTGCAATTTCTTAGGATGTTGGAAGAAGACCTACCGCGAGTCGCTCGCCGTCTTCAATTTGACTACATAACATTGACCAAGCAATGCGTCAAGCTCTTGAAGACCATTCGTCAGCAAATTGAACTGAACTTTCAGGTCGCTTTTCCACGAGTACCTACCGAAGATAGCGCCGATCAGACATTGACATGGATCGTCATGCAAGCTTTGGAGGAGAACAGTGACCTGGTCAGTGTTCCATATTTATCCCCTACCCGCCACCCACGTCCACGCAAGGTAATTATCCTGCTAACAACCCTCCCAGGCATCCGCTCAAAACACACTCCACCAACGCACCCAGCCCCAAACCCCAACAATGGGTCACCAGCTCACAATCGCCCACTCGGAGCTCCAAAAATTCCTCAGCACCTACAACCCCCAAGCCCTAATCAAAACTTTCAACGCCCTTAATCGCCCACAAACCTTACCCACAGGCCTCCCTAATCACTGGAACATCTCCATCCGCCACGTCCCGCTCTCCCCACCCGGCGATCTCGTTTTCTTCGTCCAGCCAGACTCTCACTTCGTGCACACCGAGGGCCCGATCCAGACAGTCGAAGGACAGGCTCCTGGGCATAAGCTCAACCCCAAGAGCCTCGTCACCCTGCAGACGATCGCGAGAATGATCATGAAGGCTTTTGTCGAGGGTATGGGCGTGGGTATGAGCGTTGGCGTGGGGGTGGGCGGGGGAGGGATTGGGATTGGGTTGCCCTTGTCATGGAAGACGAATGAACCTAATTTCGCGAGGAGGATTGGGAAGGTTATGGAGGATATGGGGGTACGAGCTGATCTTGTGGGAATGGAGGTTGCTGGGGAAGAGGAAGGGAAGTGCGTTGATGGGGACTGGGATCGTTTCTTGACGCGGTTGACCACGGGGCGGGTGGGGTAGTGATGTTTGTGCTGATAGGGTAGGGTAGGGTAGTGTAGGATGGGGGAAGGTCAGATAACTCAATACCTGCTGTTTGTTGGATGGGTGCGATGTCTGAATACTTTGGGGTGTGAACTTGCTGAGGGGGGAACTGGCATTCAAAGTATTGTAGGAAGGACCATTTTCCTAGATGGTTTGCGCGACGCTGCTGCACGAGGAGTAGACTGGGGAGGGAGGGTGAACTCATCACCCGGCCGGTATGTGTCAGGTGATAGTGATGGTGATGGTGATATGTATCTAGATACAACACGTCTCCCCCCTCCCCCCTCCCGAAATTCCCGCCTGAATTTCCTCGGGAATTCTTATTCTGAGTAGACTGGGTGGAGTGGGGTAGGGGTGCAACGATATCGATGTGATATGATATGCCGTACGTTAGGCATTGACATTGATAATGGAGAAAGAATGGTGTTTTGTTGGCTGTGTTGGCTGTGATGGGTGGTGGGCATTATATCATGATTGTCTTAATTGGTGGCTACATTGTCTGGTGTACGCAGGGACCGGAAAGAGGGGGGAAGGGGGTTGTGTAGTTATGGTGGAAGGGAAATGGTAGGATGTGAGATACACGTTGCGTTGTATACTTCCTAAAATACTAATCTTACCTGGTACACTAGATATGTGGAAAAGACTTTTTATAGATATCCATCACAGTGCGCTGCCTTGTGCACTTCCCTCCAAAGTGCCAGATATACGAGTGCGATATATATATATTTTGTATACTTCCCCAAAATGTCGAAGTGCCAGATACACGTACGTACGTCGAGCAATCTAAGCTCAAGCATGCAATTTCCCACTATCCCGCGCCTTCTTCACCATTCCCACAACGCCCTTCATCCACCCGACCACTTTCGTCGGATTCCCCATCGCCCCCGGCGCCTCCTCCCCCTTCTGATCCCTCCAGATGCCATCTTTGTCCGCGATGCCGAATCTCGCTGTGTTCTGGTTCCGCTCAATTCCCTCCCGCCACTTCCTGCATACTTCCCCCGAGTCCACCATCAAGTTGATTTCCTGGCTGTGGCACCAACTCTGCGTGTCCATGTTCCCGGACCCCTGTACGCCAACGCACTCATCCACGATCATGAGTTTGATGTGGCAAGATCTTGAGCGGCGCGAGTGGTGGATTGGAGAAGCCTGGTCCTTGCCGACGTAGTAAGCGATCGTGAGCCTCTCGCGTTCGCTGGGCGTGAGGGACGAGGTCAAGCGAGAGGCGAACTGCTCGTTGGTGCCCCCCTGCCCGGGCATCAACTCGCCTGCGTCGTTGTAGCCGAGGCAGACGTAGTATGTGATTTCCACGCCGCGGGACAGGGCTTCTTTGAGGGCGGAGTACAACATGCTGGCGTTGAGATCGGGGGTTTGGATGAAGATTGAGTGCCGCGCGTTGCTGATTAGGGAGAGCCAGGCTGCGTTCTGTGGGACGAGGAGGTTGGCGTTGGAGGGGATGCCGTAGGGGGCGCGGGAGACCATGGCGATTGGGCAGGGAGCGGTGGCGGAGATGGGGATGTAGGGGATGAATTCTGAGCCCGGGGGGATTTCGGGGCCGGAGGGTGGGATGGGGTTGGGGGCTGCAATGTTGAGTTGGCGGTTTATTGCTTGGAGATGGCTTTCGTTTGGTTTGGTGGCGTAGGCAGCTTGCACGCGGTCAATTTCGCCGGAGAGGGTGGAGTCGTAATGGGGGTCTTTGTCTGTGTGCGATGGGAGGGAGTGCTTCTCTTCACCATCGATGCCTACTTCGTTCAGTTCGCGAGCGGTACCACGCGCTGTGTAGACATTCTCGGAGATCTCTGAGAAGTCTTCGCTGGCTTTCTCAGCCGGGAGCGACAAGCATGGTAGTGGTGCAGAGGAAGCGTCTCCCAATGTAACCAGTGCAGTGTCATAGATAGAATCAACGATAGGTCCTTCGACCTGTGCCATCATCTCCATATTGTCATTATCTTCCATGTTATTACTCATAATTAAAGCAATTTCCCTGTCCACTACCAAGAATTTGGCATGCAAGGTTCCCAGCAGGATCTTGTGGAAGCTCATAACTTCAAAGTCAAGGTTTGGAATGTCTTCTGGCTTGGGAAGGCCAATTGACTCGCTAGAGTACGTCTCAGATTTGACGTGCTGGCGATCTTTAAAGGCATGCGATGGCCCTGCTGCGTCATACATGATCTTCACCACCGCTCTTTGCTTCTTCTCCCCAGCTCTTTTGGACAGCTCGATCAGAGCATTGTGGACCAGTCTCACGGCGACCGAAGGCGACCATACACATGTGATGAGTATGACTTCTTTCTCAGCTCGGGCAATGAGGTTGGACATGTGTCGGGCAATGTCCGCCAGAGGTGCGATGATGGTGAAAGGTAGAGTGCCGTAGCTGCCCATGAGGGCGGGCGAGACCATGCCTGAGCCGATATCATAGTCAAGGCATCGTATAGCACTCCAAAATGCGCGGAGGAAGAGCTCGCTCGGTTGTGTAGGCCCCCAATGGCCACATTTCTGTGCCTGAGCCAATCTTTCCTGCGACAAGGCAGCGTCGCTGTCGCCGGGGTCTACGCCTGAAGCTGCTGCTTTTTGTTGCCCGAAGAGCCGCTGCCATAGCTCGGTGGGCGCGGCAGTAGGCTCTCCAGCAAGAGCGGCGCTGATTGAGGAGTCATTGGACTGACAGAGCTTGATGAGAGCTTCTGAGAGCATCCCGACGACCTATTTTGGCTGGAGTTAAGACTTTGCCAAGGTTGCCAAGATATCTCCATCCTTCCTGAATTACTTGATTGGGCCGGACTTGTCTGAATAGGGCTGAATAGCGACTTAGGTTTGATTTGTAAGAAGCGTGGAGCTAACGCTAGACTGGGATAGACGTCGATCGCTGTTCTCGCGAAGTCTTTACCGAACGAGGCGACTTTAAGCACATACAGGCTACACATGAACTATGATCCATAATGTGTAGTTGCTTGAGCTTTCAAAGTTGGTGAGGTTCTGCCCATGTGCCGGGCAGATGTGGTGGCCTTGTCTTTCGTCGAGCCTTCCTGAAAAGAGCTCATCGCTAGGGTTGATCGCGTGCATCAGGGCTTATCAATGGAGATGATCCGTTGTTGAAAAACAGTGATATTCCATCATCACTCAGGCGCTAAGAGCATCTTGAGAAGGCTTGCCCATCAATTTGTGTCGAGCATGCCAGCCACGTAGAGCAGATTGCCATCCCCAGCCCAGTGTTCGGCGTATGAAGTCGACTTTGGCCGCCCACAATCTTGCCCGAGGCAGTCCCAACATTCTTTCGCACGTCCATCATACGTATTTAAATAGTCTTCTAGACCCAACGACGAGAAATCATTCATTCTCCCTGGTACGGCAACTACCCAAGGAGAGACCACCAGCAAAGAGTAAAAGACCGAACAACCCCCAGACGCTGTCGTCCCTCCAACAAAAGCTGTTGAACTTGGCTAGTTTGCAGATGCCCTCATCCCCCGGGGGTGATTGAATCGATTTTTCACCATCTCCTAAAGGAAATGATGTCGCCTGACCCGAAAGCTTGGACGTAACCACGCTAACATTTTCCCTGCCTCGGACAGTGTCAAGGACACTGAACTGTATCTGTGCCAACGAAGTCTGGAACAGATGTCTTGCTCCAGTCTTCCACTGTTCCTTGAGTAATCTCTCACATACCCTAGCTTCTTTGCATCGCGAGTGAAAGTCAAGTGTTCTCCAGATGGTATATGCGGAGCAAATGGTTGATTCCCAGAGTGCACGGGAAAGCAGAGTACGAACAAGCTCTGCGTGCGTTGAGTTGGTTGTTTACGGCTGTACCGTTCCAATTGCTTGAAAAGGAATCTTTCCATCTCGAGACATCATATGCCGCAATATTAACAGCGAGAGTGCGCCCATTTACCTTAACTTTTTCGTTCCCATACCCAAGGCGCTGGTCAGATGCTGCTGCCGTTTAGCCCCAGGTTTCGCCTGTAGTCGAGTCGCGAATGCTTGCGTTGTCCACACATCCTAGAATGCCTGGTATAAGCTCAAAGTTCTGCCAGGCGCTCCAAAGATGAAAGGAATGGTATCCGTCGGGGTATGGCATTCTTGAAGTTGCCGTGAACACTGGGTCTTCTCGGAAGCGGGAATAAATTGTTTGATAAGAATGCAACCTAAACATGGTGATGTAGCTTGTGTTTACCGGACTTTGAGCTCGATCCTGGAGCAAAGCCAGCTGCGGAAAACTTTCAGCTGCATTGCATAACCCCCTTTGATAGATACAATTAGCTAGACCTAGCATGGGGATTGCATCAAAGGGTCAGCCGATTGTATAGTGCTAAGATTGCTATACGTTGTGGAAACTCTGAAATTTCTCTGTGCCCCATAAAAGTGACCAGAATAGTCGATCATCCCATACGACTCGGGTCGGTCAGCTTCAGCCACCCTAAGGTAGGTCCCGTCTAGTCTTAAGGGAGCACAGACTGCGGTACGTCGAACTTGATAAGATCGTGTCAAATTGACACCAAGATATTTAGCATCGATGTTACCTGAATCTAACTCAAGAGCAGGGTTTTTATCAAGAGCGCAGCTTTCTCTTGGAAAAGGGCATACACTTACTTTCCTCTTCCCTGAAGCCGATGCTTTGGTTCTTGAAGGAATTGTAAGCGTCTTCTCCAAGTTTGGCTCCATAGTCAGCAGCATTTGAATCCCCAAAGAAAGCCCACTGGAAGGTGCATAAAGGTGCAGACACCAGTGCCGTTGCATCGCTGACAATATTGGCTGACAGTACACTTGCTGTGGATTCTGTAGAGTGAAGTGACCATCAACATTTGTTTACCAAGAGTGCAGGCGAATAATGAGTATGCTCACGTGAGACAAATATTCCAACAAACAACACTGAAATTAGTACAAATAGCAAAGTGTCAAGTGGGCGACGTAAGAAATTTCGCCACACCCGTCTGAGGAGATGTTGATAATCTCGCACATTAGAAAGTTCGATTTCTGCCCGACCCCAAGGTCTTCCAGGCATTGGCAACTATCGCGATGGCTGCTCCGAGATCTGAGTGCGATCTCCGTGTTGTCTCTACTCTCTCGCTTACAAAGCTATTCATAGGAATCATGTGGAGTTCAAACTGCTGGCCTGCATGGATGCCTATTCTTCGAGTCCCGTTCATATCATAATAAAGCGACCCTAATGTAAGGGAAGCCTTATTCTGCAAAGACAATCTTCGTCGTAGACTAGATCTCACTGCAGTAAAGGAAGAGGCCAAAAGAAAGCTGAATGCCTTGATCAAGATCCAGAGTCTCGGTCCGGTCAATGTCAAAGCGATAGCTAGGAGATTACTTAGAAGTGATGCATGGTACTCAGTGACCAAGAATTGGCGACCTATCGAGCGATTGAGGACATAAACGACTCTCGTATATTCATTCGAATGGCAAGGCTAGAGACCCTTCCCTAGTTACGAAAAAGCCAAGGTCGGTCATAGTCGATCCAGCTCTGTATCCCATGCTGCACATGTTCCGACCGAACGCTATTCATAATTGAGATACTAGATTAAGTATCGAAGGCCACGCTGGATGCACTAAATCATGTGAGCAAAATACAAGGAGCTATTCGTTTTGATCATTAGACAGTGCCCACAGCGGCCACTCCATGCATTCAAGTGAAGTAGTAGGCATCGGCGAAGGCAATGGGGCAGTGCGCGTCGAAAGATGGCAAGGCTGAATGCAAGGGACATGAAATTGTGGGGATGGTGGGGGTAGAAATGCTTTTTCGAATGAAGGCTGTGATGGCCAAGGTCGATCAAGCGTAGGCTCAAAAGCCTGCCTGCCCGTCTTTGAGGCTATATAGATAGGCATCGATTCTCAAACATAATGGAGTGACTGTCGCCCTCACTCGCATCAATTGTAGCAAGCCACGCGAATCAAAGCGGCACTCACCCTAATGCAAGTGAGAGAGAAGCCAACAAAAGCACGAAATAAATAAATGCAATTGGCAGCAAATACGCCCTCTCCCACGTCAGATCAGCGGGAGTCATTCTGGCGACTTTCAAGACTCAAGGCACTGGTTGGATACTCTGGTCTTCGATATTACGTCGTTCCAGTGAATCTCCAACAGCCGGATGTCGGCAGCGTCTACCCACCGAAACGTCGAGAGATGAGATCGATGGTATGATCGTTAATGGCATGATCAAGCTTGATGCAATAACACAGACTCTGATTAGCATCGTAAAGAAGGCGTATAAATTATGTCATTTTTGCCAAGACTTTGACTCCGATTTCCTCGGCACGCCGTTCACCGGCCGTCTTACCAATCGTCATTTGCCCTGTTCTCAGTCAATTGACCTTCAACGTCGATATGTATCACATTCCATTGATGAGGTGACCCTCGCGATTCACAAAATGCCTAATCTTCCCTCTCACGCCTCTCCGCTATTCTCTCCCCGCCCTTACATCCCTCAAGACGTCTCTGGCTTCAATCTGACTCACAAGGATGACGTGCCCAAACATCCACCACCAACCCTCATCAGTCCAGCATTCACACCTCCCTCGACGCCTGGCTCCGAAACTCCCTCGCAACGGAAGTCACCTCGTTCAATTCCAGTCGACACCTCCTCCCAGCCGCCACCTCGGCTCCTTGACCAACTCCCTCAAGTAGAATGCGTAGTCCGCGCACGAATACCCACCACTTCGGGCTCCGAAATGTTTCTACACCTCTACCACAACAATGTCGATGACAAAGAGCACCTTGCCATTGTTTTTGGCTCAAACATTCGGTCTCGCTCGCTCGACGCGCCACGACCCGGCGAAACCGAGATGGACCGCATGATTCGCGGCGCATACACTGGTCGGTTACATCCTGGTAGAATAAGCAGTCGCTATGACCCACAAAGTCCTGAGGTACGGCCGAACCCGTTAGAAGATGTACATTGGCACACTGCACAAGGCAAGAAGGAAGCACTGCCTCTAGTGAGGATACACTCGGAATGCTATACCGGCGAGACAGCATGGTCGGCCCGCTGCGACTGCGGGGAGCAGCTTGATGAAGCGGCTAGGCTGATGAGTCTGTCGACTACCCAGAACGGTGTCATTGTGTATCTCCGGCAGGAGGGACGTGGGATTGGATTAGGAGAGAAGCTGAAGGCTTACAACCTGCAAGACCTGGGGAATGATACTGTACAGGCAAACCTGATGCTACGGCACCCGGCAGATGCGAGAAGCTATGGGCTTGCTACGGCTATGCTGATGGACCTTGGACTCGGAGGGCAAGATGGCATCAAACTTTTGACGAATAACCCGGATAAGATTAGAGCTGTGGAGGGGCCAAATCGAGAGGTGTTGGTCAAGGAACGAATGGCGATGGTGCCAATTGCATGGAAGACGCATGGACAGAGCGGTGTTGCGGGCAAGGAACTCGATGCATATCTGAGGACAAAAATTGGCAAGATGGGACATATGATCGAGTGATGTCTGAAAATGCTGTTGCATATATGAATACTGAGATATGATGCCATTTGGATATATGATAAGCGACGAAAAACATGGCGGAGGTGTTTATGGCATTTTGGGATAAAGGTTCTCTGGATTGGGAACTTATGGTTTTGTGAACGTGGCTGATGAGCATGATATGCGGAAAATCTGTCATGCAAGCCCGGCTAACCCACAGGAATAGTGTGTATATTGTATATAGCAACGCCAAAATAATCATGTCAATTGATGATTGCCGAGTTCACTTGCCTTCGCCTTCCTAAAGCAGATAAGCGCTATTCTAGGCTAGCTGCATGGGCTTTCCGCTGCGGTTCTCCACTGCCCTGACTCGGACATGCATCACACTGAACCTTCACGAGTCATATGCACCCGATAGACCCCATCTGCCGTGAGTAAGGGCAGCGGCGAGACCAATGGACGCGCCGCATGCGTTCATAGGTCAAACAAACAATCTGTACCCACCAGCCCCCCCACTGATACCTCCTTCTCCCACCCAACCCACCAATGGGTCTGTCCCACCAACCTCGACTGTCACCAAGCGACGGCGGATCTCTGGAGCCACATCAAGAGGTGTATCTAATCTCACACCTGAGCAGCTTCAGAAAAAACGAGCAAATGACCGCGAAGCACAGCGTGCCATCCGGGAGAGAACGAGGAATCAGATCGAGACTTTGGAAAAGCGAATCCAAGAGCTGACATCTCAGGACCCTTTCGTGGACCTACAGGATGTCGTGCGGGAGAAAGAGCTTGTCGCTGCGGAGAACGAGGAGCTGAAGAGGAAGTTGAGTTCCATTGCCAACCTGGCTCAGCAGAGCTTTCCGATCGCAAATGTCCTCAATCGTAAGGCACCGCATCGTCGTCGATTGATGTCATCTGCTGAAACGTCACAGAGCCAGCGGAGGTCACTCTACCTCCATTTTCCACAACCGCAACGGCTCCCCTCACCATTCCCTCTCCAGCTACTGTATTCAATGAACCTATTTCAGTCCGAAGCTCCGCATCTACAGGGTCGAATTACAGTGCATCACCTTCGACAACGAAGCACACCCCCCCAATCCCGCAGCCTAACTTTCTACCTGGCATGTTACCTCAGCTCAATGCTTTTGGCCTGCGCAATCGGCCAATCGACGATAAGATGGGAATTGACGCTGTGATGTCAAGGAGCAGACACAATAGTCGAGAACATCAAATGCAGCAACGAGCACGGTCTGGGTCAGTCACTGCAGAAGTACTGCCTCAAGACCCACTCGCTGTGAGAACGGTCGGCTTGGATGCAAGGGGAGTCGCATTACCTCCATACGCCATGCCACCCCGCAATACCGTAACCTCATGTCCTCTGGATACGCTTTTCCTCGACTTCCTCAGCGACAACCGAAGACAGGCAATGAGCGGTATCCCCATTGCAGAATTAGCTGGGCCTCCCAATCCAAGCTTCATTTCTCTCATTGAGCCGAATCCTAGATCCACGGCGCATCCTCTGTCCAGGGTATTCACGGATATGCTCCACACGTTCCCTTCTATCGACACCAGGCCCGAGCAGGTCGCAATTCTGTAGGTGATCACACGTTTGCGCCTTGAGACTAGCGCTAACCGCCCTTCCCTAAACAGACATGTCATGTTCCTCTTCATGCGCTGGCAAGTGCACCCTACACAAGAAAACTACGACAGACTACCTGAATGGTACACTCCACGACCCTCTGCCCTCTTCATCGAGCATCCAATGTGGGTTGACTATCTACCATGGCCACACATGCGGGAACGCATGATATCCGGCGGCGTTCACCAAAACACGCCCTTTGACGAATTCTTCATCCCCTACACCACCACCGTCTCCCTGAACTGGCCCTTCTCTCCGGATGATATTCTGCTTCGCCACTCAGATCCTGCAACTGAAACGACTGTGTTGTCGCTGAATCCGCGCTTCGAAGAGCATTTGTATAATCTGAGTAATTGGAGTCTTGGGCCTGCGTTCGCTAAGGCGCATCCAAGACTGGCTGATACGGCGAGGATTGCTGACTCAAGGAGGCCGAATTGAATAGGGTTTGCATATTGAGTTCTTCCCGGCGGTCTAATGTCTTTAAATTGGGCTGCAGCGTGCAAGGGCTGTTTATAGGGTGCCTTTCTGGAGTTGGAAGGCGGACAAGTTGTCTGGAATTTGATGGCATGGAGCAAAGCGTGTGTCTTCGTTTTGGATAGTCATTCTGGGGGTCACACTTGCAGCATATGCTCTAGGTTTTTTTGCCAACCGTGCACTTGACATGGGCTTTTCCTCGCGCTGGACTAAACTGGCTTTTTGGATATAGAGATCCACGGGTTTACGGTGCGGAAATGTATCTATTTTATTTTGTATATATCACTCGGAGGTACTCTGAACTTATCATCCACCTCTCTTTCAACGACCAGGGGTCCGCCGCCGCAGTAGAGATGAGTGCATTGGTACACCTTACTCGTCTCACCCTTTTTCCAGGGAATCTACAGAAGAGGCAGGTCTAGCCGAGATAAAAACTCGAGTCTATTGCTCTTGTTGTCAAAAGATTCTGACTTTGTGAGCAATAATAGTACATGTCATGACAATGAGGGGGTTTGGGAGATGGGGGGGAAGTTGAAGTTCCCCATATCGCGTAGTGAATACGCCACGGGCATTCATTCACTATAAGATGAAGAGGACTAGCGTGAAGAGCCCACGGTAACCATACCATTTATGTGTAGCCAAGCCAGTATGAAAGATAAAACGAACAATATGAGACTGCAGAGCCTTACCGTCTAAGCAGCGAGGCTCGGATTTGCCCGCGACATAAGGTAAGGTGGAGGGACTGGTGGGGATATGGACTGAGCGGGCGGGTGGATATATTTTGGTAAACCAGATCTTAACTGACGGGAGGGAGGCGTTGGAAAGCTGGCTGGTGGCTGGTGGCTGGTGGGTTTTGCTTATGTGATCTTTAAGATGATGCGGCATGGGTGAAGGGGGGTTTGTCGCTGCAATGAGAAGCTGAAGATACATGTGGGGTTAGGGGGGGGAGGGTCCCCCAGAAAGCTGAACCGACGAAATCTGTCAATCTAATCGCCATGTCGAGGGTGCATGTAGATAGCGCTTCCTAGATTCACATGCGCACGCGGCACTATCGAGAGCTCTGCTTGGTTGCTAAGATTCGTATGCGTTCTTGGGCTGCGAGGTTTGTGAACCGTTGTAAACGGTGTCGACGTGTACGGCTGGTTGGAGACTAGTCTTGTCGTTGTGCTGCTTTAGAGCTCGATCTGTAAAGATGTCGAGTCTATAGAGAGCATTGTTGGCTGTTTGGTTCTTTGTAGACGTTCAAGGCTCTGGATGCTTGCTTCACCGTTCGAATGAAGATAGTCATTCACACATGGATGAGAGGCGGTTTTGGGTATGAAGAAGGCGATCAAGCGCTGTCGCTCGGTCTGATCATTCAGCATTGGTGAGCCACCTAGGAGGAATGAACAGGCTTCATTAAAACGGGCTTGCAAAACGATTTCCAGGCCTTTGTCGTCTACCTTACTCGGCATCGTTCTTCTCATGGATATGACCCAGAATTGTCGAGAAATGTTTTCAAACCCCGTTAATATCTGTCAGATCGATTCTGAAGTCGACCAAATTCAGGGTTCTCCAGTGGAACTTCGGCTGCATAGGTATTTCCGGCAGCTACAAATAGTCTCTGAGGGCTCACAGCACTTCCCAATCCACCTTTCGAGATAAAGGCTCGACGTAGTCGCCAGTCGCCTCTGTGTAATAGTCGCCGATCTTAGCGAGAGTCTTCGGTGGGTCCTCATCATCAAAGACTCGCATCAAAATGACTCCGCGACTCCAACCTTTCAAATTGTATTGCAAGCACAGGGCAAATTTAGGCACGCCCGAGAAACAGCTTTGCATCCATTGCTTCATGTCTGTCTGGGGTGCGATATCCATTTGAGTTTGATCCTCCGCTGAGGGTCCAGTGATTGTTGCGACAATGCTATTTCCTGAGCTGGAACCGTCATCTTCTTCCGTGGATGCGACGACAGCGGCCTCGGGCATGACTACTATTCCTTCGTCGTCAAGCTGCCAGGTGAACGTACTAGGATGATCAATGACATTGGCAGCGCTCATCTGTGTGATGACTTTCGACCCATCGCGGAGATTGTCAAATGGCAGGAGAGTACCCGCCACTATGACATCGACTTCTCCTGTCTCATTGAGTTTGAAGATGTCCCAGAAGCAACAGTTGCCATAGTAGGAGGTGAAGAAGTTGGTCCCGAGCACATTCCGAATCTCTCGCAGAAAGTCAATCGGGTACTGGGCAAAAACGAGATTGCTTTCCCTCTCACTCCGGCTGGTCTGTTTGAACCAAGACGTTGCACCGAGTACTGACATGATGCCTTCAGCTCGTCCTTCAGAACATTGGCGACGAGAAGCCATGTTCAAAGCTGTCAGGGGGCTGTATTCAAGAAGGGAGTCGAATCGGGTGTGGTGAATCAAGGCTGTGATTTCGTTGGCGGTGGGTATCGTGTCTTCCATATTTTCAATCGAAGCATTCCTTTTCTCGAAATCGACTAATGCTAGTATGGAGTCCAACGTGACAGCTGGCGCCTTTGGGTGATTACATATCCTCAATATCTCCCATTGACGATTACAAAATATCATCTCGGGTCTGAGAAATGATTCTTGAAGGGTCCATAAAGATGTAAACCAGCCGCTGGGCTTTTGTCCTGTCCCAGTAGTGGAACTTGCATGCTCAAAAGATTCAAATAGTTCAGTCGAAAAATCCGGGCTTTCTTGTAATTCTTTCAGGGTTGCTTCGACATCGTATAGCGTCGGAGCACTGACTTGAAGGTACTGAAGAGCAAGCCACTGGAGACCCAATTGTATTCCACTCCAGTCGTCAATGTCATTGAGCCAAATCGTTGCTCTTGTGGCTCCACCAAAGATAGCTGCCTGTCTCGCAATTTCGATGTCTGCAAGCTCTGACCCATCTTGTGGAATGCAAAGAAGATCAAACCATAGATATGTAGTCGGCAGAAATTCTGACTGACGGGTTTTCATGAAGTTTGGTAGATTCTCTACATTAAACTTAGTATTTCGAGGGACTTTCCAGGAAACACCTGGGATATTGGCTCCCTCGTCTTGGATTCGCCAGCGACCCCATGTATGGCTCACGACAGTATATGCCGGTCTATTTTCTAATTCATCGACACGAACAGTCTTCTGCTCGTTGATGTCCCAGAGAAAATAAGGCAATCCCCTTTTGGAGTCTTCTGGTAGCCAGGGGCAGGCCTCGATAATGGCCCCTTTCGGTTGGCTGACATCCTCTGCGTCCAACACTTTATCTGTGGTATGATTGTGAATGATCGCAGGAGTTGAAGTGGAAAGATCTCGCAGCATGAGGACAGAATTTGCCAGACGCTGACAAGCTGCAATCAATGAGGCTTGGTGACGTCGCAATTGAATCGGAGCAGCGGTGCTTTGTCCGTAAAAGTAGAATTCATATAGTAGAAGATTGAAAAGCCTTTCATGATATGCAGAAATGCCAAGATCAAGCGCCTGAGGGATTCTCTCATCCCTCTCATCGCTATTCGCATGTCGCTCGAGGACCTCTTCTGTCCGTATCATAATTGACCGGTCTTGCCATTCGCCTTCCCACCATTCCAGTAGTAGATGCAACGAGTTCAGCTGGGAGATTGACAGTGTGGATGGGAAAGTCGAATCCTCGACTCGCATCTCTTTCCTTACAGCGTCCCAATTTGACATGCCCCGTTCCCAGCCAGTACCTTCCGCGTGCCTTTCTCTATGGTGCTCCAACGTCCCTCCTAAGGGACCTTTTTGCCAGGAATCACCTGACATCTTCGCAACTCACATATGTTTGACTTTGTTGTCTGTGAGAAGAAAATAATCAATCCGAGGTATTTCGTCCGGACATTATCGGACTTAAATACAACAGTCGATTTCTTTGACGACGTTGATAGAAGTGGACCTTGGCTCCTTCTTCGATGAGAATTTATTACTCTAGGCAACCAGTGGGGGATTGTCAACATGCGGAACTCAAATATCGTCCGGTTCCTCTTACAAGAGCACTCTGTTTATAGATCCATCTCTATTGATTCAATTTGCATCTACTTCAGATAGTACATTTAACGCTCTATCATGTCTGACCCAGACGCCACAACTCCGCGTGTCTTCCTCATCTGTCACGGTAATTATCTCAGGTTCTACCTAAATCCCATTCACGTATTCATGCGTACAATTAAATAACACGTTCACCTTCAGGTGAGACCGAAGATACCAAAAACGGCCTCTTCCCAGGGGGAACCGACCCTGAACTCACCCCAGCAGGGGAAAGCCAAGTGGTGGCCACCCGTATCAAGCTCGTTGGCCCTGGCAAGCTGATCGATCCAGCAAACGTCGCTCAGGCATGGATTAGCCCGCGGAAACGAGCCAGGCGTACCTTTGAGCTCCTCTTCGCAGACGGTCGTCATGGCAATGATCTGAGAATTCCATTCAAGGCTACCCTAACAGAATATATCGCAGAGTGGGACTTTGGCAGAATTGCACTTTTCGGTAAGAGGCAGATTCGTGAATTGCAGAACCAGGTCTGGGACATCGATTGGGACGACGGGGCTGATTTGCGCGAGGGCGAGTACGATCTGCCCCACTCGTGCCCTGTTTAATGTGAAGTTTGATTTTGATTGATATTTGTAATTTTTCAGAACATCGCAAGAGGTTACTGACAGGCTGGACAACATCATCGATCAGATTCACAGGATTCACGCTCGCCATATGTGGGGCGGGAGGCATAATGTTGTAATCGTATGCTGGCTCTAGCAGTGATGGTATCGATTTGACGTGGCATGCAGGTCGCACACAGCTTGATTTTGCGGGCTTTTATCAGACGATGGTTGCGGCAGCCTTACGATATTGCGTCGAAGCTGTTGATGTCGCCAGGCGCGATTGGAACTCTTGGGCAAGTTCACACCATCTTATTTCAAGAGCACCAAATTTTGACGTCGGTCACTAGCTATCGTGAACATGATGTGACCAAACCAGCAATCTTTGTTGGTATGGCGTTACCCTCCTAATACTAGGAACAGAATAACAATGGCTAAAGACTTGTCAACGTTTGATGAATTGAGTCATGTGACGAGCTCATTAAGCATTATATTATCTGCCACGTCATTTAAGACCACTCAATGGCCCACATTAGGGTCTACAGAAGCCGAAATCGAGGTCCAATGTCTGCTTCACTCCACTTCCTCATGTCTTTTATCTTCCTCTGTACGGCTTGTTCCCTTGAATGTCAATCTGCCTCGTATCAATCATGGCAATGTCTCATGGCTTCATTCATTCCCCACTACATAAATAGCCGCACAGAGCCGTAGCTGAGGGCTGATCATCAGTCATTGGCTATGTGGTGAGTCCTGCCTATCAAGTGTCTGTCCACTCGTTGCCTTCACCACGGAGCGTTGAGGGCTGCACAATCGGACCACTGTGATGCCTTCGATCGTCGGTCTGTTCAGATGTCCGTGAATCCTCTATCTGCTGATTTGTTCTAGGCTCATCACTGTAATTGTACTCCAGCCGCCTCTTCGGGCCGGTATCAGCACGATCGTTCTCTTCGTCATTCTCAGCATCTCCTTCAATTGACCCGTGTCCGATAATGGCATTGTGATGAAGGAAGTTAAATTCGCGATTGGTCAGGAGCAACGCCATCTGCAACAGAAGGTCAGTGCCCTGTTTGTCCCTAGCAAGTTCACTCGCAATGCACTGACCTGCACTAAGAATGCTACAACAGCTACCAAAAGCATCAAACCAGCTGCCACCCTCATGTCTCTCAACCACGGCTCAAAGCAGCTCTCGTCTCTGCCAAACGTTGCATGACATGCATTCGTCGATCGATCACGATTGGGGAATGGCCAAGCCATGTCTTGGAGAGAGTTGAAGCCGCAACAGTTGTGGCGATCTTGAATCCTACGGATGGTGCTTGCATCTTTGAGGCGCCACCAACTCTCCCATCTATTCCTCAACTGGCAGTGCAGTACATCCAGTGGAGCCATGCGCGTGAGTGCTAGGGACGCAATAGCAGTGTCGTAAATGATGAGAAAGATATACAAAGCTACGATAATCAATGTTGAATTGAGCTTGGGGGTCATCCTGTTGCGGCTGCGTGTGAATAGTTGAACGCCAAGTGGTCCCATGCCAGTAAGGATAGGGAGAAGTAAAGCTGCGACACCGACTCCATTTGAGCCAGGTAGACTCATGTTTTGGACGACATGTAAGGCTATCCTGCTTGACTTAGTCAGTAGCCTACACCACATGTCGATGACTGACCCTGCTGGGATTAGCAACCCCACTAGCACCTAGGGAGAATCAGCTTGACGGTAGCAATGAAAATGTCCGAGCAACTCGCCAGCGGTAAAAAAATAGTCAACGTATGTCTCAACGACTTCATTCTGCGCTCACTATTGCGATCTCGCTCCGAATGATGGATGAAAAGATGTCTGCCTGATTTTTTGTCAAACTTGAGGGACAGAAGAGGTGTGGAGGGGTCTTGTACAATCACCACCTCCTATTCGCCATCAAGCTGTAGTCTCCCGCTAGTGGGAATGAAGTGAAGGAAATCTTTGCCTACTTTTCAATCAGTTGCCTGACACTCTGCCCGTTCACATTCTCAAGGATGGATTTGTAGCTGCCATCACAACGGAGCACATGGTTATGAATAGGATTTTACTGCAACTGGCCGAAAGCTATGGCTGAGTCGAAAGATCAAAGATGAGCCATAATCTCTTGCTTTTTCATAAGGCTGACGTCGCTCCTGAGAAATACTCAGGCGCTGCCTCACTTTCCAAACCCTCCTATTCACATAATCAGATCTTCTCGCGGCCTCAACATTTCAACACGAGCATGTGCCCTCGGCAGTGACATTCGCTCATGTAGCGAATGTCATTGCGCATCTGCCGACCAGTGCTAAACGGTCCAGACTGAACGATGATCGATTTGTACAAAAGTTTGTGACGTTGGGAAGACTGGCACTACACGCCATCACCGTCCGATGATGATGACGAAGGTATATACCTTGGAGTGTTATGCCTCTCATGGCGGGGCATCTGAGTTCTTACTCTTTCGACGAGTTTTTAATCGTCATGAGCATCGACAACGTCATAATCACCGGTCATTTTACACACTAGGTGGATATGATGCTTTTGCGCGCTGCTCTTACGGATGAGAGATAGAAGGATATGCTGTGCGAGGATCCAGTCGCCCGGTCTCTCGCGCAAGCTGCTAGCCTTGCTCTACAAGTGAGGTTCAGTTGTCCACAGCTACCAGCAACTAGCCCCATGAACCATGGCATCCGCCGAGCATAAATACATATGTGAGTGTCCTCTTCTACGAATGATGGCTTAGCTCATTGGTGTTTTTGCTGCCACAGTTCGCTTTGGCGAGAGAGCTATGTTGAACCATTATGATCAGCCTCCATCGCCTGAGGCTCCAGTGAAGAAGAGCAGCGAACCCATCATCTCTACCTCCTCAACGTTAGCTTCAGAACCGAGCAGCGACAGCGAGTCGGACCTTTCATACGATACCGCAAAGTCTAAGCCCACCTCAATGACATCGGTCAGCCCCATGACAGAAATGAACCTCCGAGGTGGCCGTTGCTGGAACAACCTGGATGATGCGTTGTCCAAAATACTACTTGACTGGCAGAGGGAGAGGCTACCTTGGCTGAAGAGTTTTGACATGAAACAACATTCCTACTTTGTGTCTATCTCGGGAAAGAAGATTCTTGTTCCCCGTTTTCCTGAGAACCCATATTGCGAGCACATGAGATGCTCTTTGGTTCCCCCCTCTACAACGAAAAATACGGACGACGAGTGTTGGGGCTGTCAAGATAGATAGTAAGTAGCTGAAACACAATGGCTCTGCATTACTTAGAAGCTGATTGTTTACAGTCTAGACACAAAGCTGTTGATACGGTTCAAGTGCTGTACCTGCGGCAACTTGTACTGCGCGCCATGTCAAGATCATATACTGAGAAGGCGTCAATGGAACCTGTGGCGGGCTAGATTCAGCTTGCCCCCACAAATTGACAATGATGGAGAGCAAGGTGAATATCGATGTGATCAAACGCCTGTACCCTATCGCGGTCAAGCCAAACCACGACCCCGAATCAACTCTCCTTCACTGACGGAGCAATCTTCCTCTGCACATATCAGGAGTCCAACCTCGCCTTATATTATGTTCGAAAACAAAGAGTACTGTTATCTAGCCAAGCTTTATGGTAAAAAGATACTGGTACCGAAGATCGCAAGGGATACTTCATGCCCTCACGAAGATATGTATAAGCTATTCCAGTCCAACGTCGACACCTCATTGGGGATAGTCAATAGTACGGCGCCTTGCTGGGGCTGCAGTGACAAATAGTAGGACAGCTCATGACCAAATTTCAGCAGTACAGGCTAACGACTTTGCAGTGAAAATACCAAGCAACTCCAGCGATTCATATGCGTTCGATGTCGGGAAATTTACTGCATTTACTGTCTTGACCATGTGCAACTTGAGAGAATCAAAAGAAGGGTTTGCCAACTTAACGGACCAGGGGCCGTGATCAAGGAAGAAGATGGTGAGAAGGGAGAATACGCATGCCGGCAGGACCTGATCCCACTTCGAGACTGTGCAATACCTCGTGTTGGGAAGATTTCACCCTTTTGACAGAAAAACATATCAAATTTCACCCTAGGATCTGAATTCGAAAGAAAAGTTGGCGTTACGGCCCTCAGCAGTCGGCCAAATCAGGTTCATTTGGCTGCTGCTTCATGAAATCACGGGCTCTCGATCACGAGAATCCAATCGCAAGACTCCATCGATCATATTGCCTCCAGCCATCTGGCCAGCCATCTGAATCTCAGCGCTTCGCAACGAATTGAAACATTATTGTGGTAGAGACCCGTACACTTCAAACCTTGCTTTCAAACACTTCATCAACAGCGACCAATGCCGGCCAGTTGTGGAAGAGACGGAGGAGAGCCGAAGTATACAAAGAATTTGAATGGTAAGAAGGGTACACGCGGGCTTCATGGGGCATTAGAAGAAAGAAACAAGCTAACAATGTGATTAGTGAGCCAACGACGCCTAAACGATCATGATGACTGCAAAGCTCGTCGCCTCACTTGAAAGCTATATATCATCTATCATCAATAGCTGTAACGATTGCACCAGCAAAACGAGGACTAAGTACTTCTTTCCACAGTGTCTTTGCCCTCCTCCTATCTGTGTTCTCTATGCAACATCTCTAATCTCCGCCCACTTAGTCTCTCAACATTCCATCTCCAATCCACAGATGCAGCAAGTATCCTCCACATTCCGACCATTGCAAAAATGTGTCAACGTCGTCCATACTTGTTCGCACGCTTCACTACCACATCAAGTCTCCAACCCCCAAACCCCAAGCTCCTCCTGGATCAGTACCTCTCCAACATCTGCTCCTGCGGGACAGACCATCCAGCATCTTCCCAAACCCCTGACCTCATCCCCACCCATCCCCACCCATCCCCACACATATCCAGCACATCCCTAATGTGCACCCGACCACAAACACCCTCACAAGCCCACCCGAAAATCTTGCTCAGCCGCGCACTTTACTCCTCCCCTCCCCTCCCCTCCCCTCCCTTCCTCTCCTTCCCCCTCGCCTCTCAACTGCTCCTTCCTCTCTTCAACCCACCCCCCGCAACGCACACCCACAAAACCCCTCCCCCCCCTCCCCCTGTCATCCCCCCAATCTCGCCCATCATGGCCCACCAAAAACCCAGCAAGTAAGCAAGCAAGTATAAACCGACACCTAGCTCACTCGCCTCGAAAAAACCTACGGCTGCATGGTGGAGGCGAGGGGATGGAGTCGTGAAGGTGGAGCGGGCTTTGAGAGGGTTGGGGCGTGGTTGGGGCGTGGTTGAGTTTGAGGCGGGAAGAGGGGGAGGGGAAGGGGGGGAGATAAGGGAACGGGCGAAAGCGGAGTAAGAGGACGAGGTGATGGAAAGGGGAAAAGGGGGGGGGGAAGCGAGGATGGTGCGAAGAAGATGAATTGGCTGACTATTATTAGCGGGTGTAATTAAATGTGGGATCTGTGCCCTCCACCACCGTCTCTATATGAAATGAGAGACCGGGGGGGGGCCCGGGGGAGAGTCCACTCAATCAAACACCAGTCCCAACGCTACCCATCTCCTCCTTCTCTTGAACGCCCACCCCACCCCACCCCATCGGCAGCGTGACTTCCTCCAGACTTTCCCCCACATCCTCCCCTTCTTCCACCACACCCAGTACCCAACGCAAATCCCATCCCCGCCCACCGCCCACCTCCCACCTCACCGCAGCTCTTCCCTTCCACATCCTCCGCACCAGGACAATCAAAGGCATATGTATATATATGAATCCTAGGAAGAAACGAGGACTGCAGGGTTCATATCGCGACCTCGCCAAAATCCCGCATCATTACCGCCATCTCGGCTTTCTTCGCTGCTTCGGCTATGATGCAGTATTGGCCCCCGCTCCCATCCCCGCCCCCGGACCTGGGCCCTGCTGTTGTGGTTTCCCGTGCATCATTGTCGGCTGGGCGGCGTGTTGCTGGGGGTGGGGGTGGGGTTTCAGATGCGTGCTCGACGAGGAGGAGGAGGAGGAGGGTGTGTAGTAGGGTTGTGTGTGGCTGGCTGCTGAGGGGGAGGGATGGGGTGCTGACCAGGATGAGGAGGAAGAGGAGGAAGAAGAGGAGGAGGAGGAGGAGGTGGTGGTGGTGGTGGTGTGGTTTGTTGGGTTTTGGGTTGACATTATAAGGGGGGCGTGGTGGTAGAGTGGTGGTGGTGGTGAGGGTGGGTTTGTAGATGGTTGTAAGAGGGAGGACGAGGTCCGTGACGCGTCTGAAGATTTGGATGGATTATTCGTCTTATTTGTCACGGTGGGAGAGGGGAAGAGCTCTGGTGGCGGCCGGTGGCGGAAGTGCAGGTCGCGCTCTTTGTTGGTGGCTGGATGTGGGATTGGATGATAGTGGTATTCCTGGTGAATGCTTTGATAGAATACAGCTTACTGGCAGCAGTCAGCAGAGAATGAAGCTGAAATATTTGGTGCAGTGAGCAGTCTGAAGAGTAAGAGATTGTTCGAGCGGTGAAAAGCAGAGGAGCTCTTTACTCGAGGTCGAGGTCATAAAAAGGGCGCCAGAGCAGATCCGGGGAAAGTGGCTCAAAAGAGGGCCCTAAGCTAGGGCCGTGCAGCCGAGGGCCTTTGTGGGGTAAGGGAAAAGGGTAACAGGCCCAGATGGGGCACGATTGAAGATCGACAGGCAGAAATCCTCCATCTTGAATAATGTTCAATCCCGTATGACAATGCAATGTCTATGCAATTGGTCGTATGTACATGTGAAGGATGCGCTGGCTGGAATGGGGGCCTCCCAGCCGAGGAGTGGATGGAAAGGGCTCGCCAACGTCGTCCTTCTTGGTTCATATTAAGCGTAGACCATACAACAATCGGGAGGATCAGGATCAATAGAGGCACGCGACTCATCATGTCATATCATCTGCACGTAATTACCTGGGGAAAAGTTAGCAACGCTTTCTTTGATTCGCCGGTATGCTGTCTTACCGGGAAATTGCCCTGATCTACCGTTCACCGTCCCTGTCCACCATTCGTTCTCGGTCGCGCCCTTTTCCGTCACCTCGATCACATCTCCAGTCGTGAAGCTCAAGTCTGTTGCTGCTTGTGCTTCATAGTCGTACAGTGCTTGCGCTCGATTGGCCGCAGCTGGAGCGCCACTTAACCTCGATGGCTTCGGTTTTGGAGGCGGAGGTGCTGCTCCTTTCGCTTTGGCCGCTGCTCCCCAAGAGCTACCAGTGCTGTGAGATCGCGCAACTGTCGTCTCTCCATTCACTTTTGGAGACAAGGTGTATGGTGGTGGCGATTTTTCATCCGTGTCCATCGTGGACCGCCGACTTGGTGCGTCTAGTGATTGTCGATCTTCAATCGCAAGTCTGCCTTTTCCTGCCGCGTCGGTTGATTTGCGGTCTTCGATGGCAAGTCTACCTCCGTATTTGGGGGCCTTCTTCTGCCCTGTGGTCTTGAAGCGGACAATTGACAGTGCCTCTGTCTGCTCTTGTACCTCACCTCGCTGACTTTCGAAGGCGTCCTCAATATCTTTAGTCAGGTCGAAGTATCCGATGTCAATGTTTTGCATCTTCTCATGTAGCGTGTAGAATACGTTGAGCTGCATGTAGTAGAATGATTGAAATAAGGGCCGGATGAACTCTCTCTCCAACGCGAACAGCTTCGGGAGCTCATCTTTCAGCAAATCGTTGAAGTACTCAAATTCTTGCGTAGCCTGCTCAACCTCACTCTCGGCTTTGTAGAGCGCTTTCTCATCTTTCAGAGTCTTGTCCTTCTTGTCTTGGATCTTCTTCAATGTAGTCCTGTGCCGATCGAAGTCTAGCTGCTTGTGGTGCCGCTTCAGATTCGACTTTTGTACAACCTTGATCACTTGTAGCAGCTCATCGGCCGGCCCGATGACTCGCCCTTGTATCATTTCTAACTCGGGCGCTAGAGTCGCCTGCAATTCCCGTACGATGGCTTCATACTCCTCGCAAGCTCGGATGCCCTCTGGATTGCCCTCGGGTTTAATGCTGTCTGGGTCTGACACTCGGCCAGATATAGGCTTGTATATTTCGGCAACAGCCTTTGAGAATTCGATCTGATGGTTGAGCATGCCATTGATGGCGTCAAAGTATTTCTTGGACTCATCATGTAGCTTTTTAGTCTCTTTCTCTAGCTCTTGAAAACGCCTCTCAGCGTCTATGAATACGGCGTCCTTGGTGACTTCGCCAATGTTGAATCTTTGTTTGAATGTTTGAGGCGCCTAGATCCGGTCAGTAGAGGTTGAGGGAAGGAGACCGCGCTCTAGATATTACTAACCCGAATCGTGGCCTTCGAGACACCTTTCAAGCTCATCCTCGCGGAGTAATGTAAGGAATGACCTCAGAAATGGATATAGGGAGGAGCCCTTTAGAGGCGAGAAGGTAGTACGGAAAGGATGTCAACCCGAGATTGGATGCCTGATAGGCCGATGAGGAGGGTGCAGTGGCTGAGCTCTTGGGCGTTGTCAGCGCTGGAGAGGTGATGCTAGCACGAGTGGACAATCATGATTCCCGAGCCGCGGGGCCTTTTGTTGCACTGTGAATTGCGAAGGGATGCCTCTTCCTTGTGAATACCAATGGCTTCAGAGGAGGTGATCGGAAAGTCGGCTCTGAACGTGAAATGCCTCCGCTGACGCATCCATCCGCGCTAGCAAGTTCTAGCGCAAATCTTCTTTTCTCCCGGTCTACAGACATGATGATGCGTCATCCCGACTCTACATCCTACTTTCAAAACAACCACCAAGGATGTCGCAACCAGTGTCGAAGGGCGTTCGGCAAGCCTCGCGACTGATACCTCATAGTTGTTCTTGTCCTCGCTCCATTATTCGCCCGTGTCCTCGCTCAGTGGGAACCACCGCAAAACGAAATTATGTCGCCCCCTCACACCCTTCAAAAGCTCAAGTCAACGTCGAGACTACAATGCAGGCAGATCAAAGAGCGTTCATCCAGCAAACTGGGCAATTGCCATCAGATATCAAGTTACCTGGTTCTCAGCTGTCCTCCGACATCGCCATGTCGCCCGCCGCCTCCGTCTTAAAACAAGCCACGGTGATGGATGAAGGAACTCGGCCTATCTATCTCGACATGCAAGCCACAACGCCTACCGACCCACGGGTACTAGATGCTATGCTTCCGTTCTTCACAGGCCTCTACGGCAACCCTCACTCACGGACACACGCTTACGGTTGGGAGAGCGAGAAAGCGGTAGAGCAGGCACGAGAACACATCGCAAATCTAATCGGCGCAGACCCAAAGGAGATCATCTTCACGAGTGGTGCAACGGAAAGCAACAACATGAGCCTAAAAGGCGTGGCAAGGTTCTTCGGGCGAAGCGGGAAAAAGAAGCACATCATCACCACGCAGACGGAACACAAATGCGTACTAGACAGCGCACGACATTTGCAAGACGAAGGGTTCGAAGTTACATATTTGCCTGTGCAGGGAAATGGCATCGTGGACCTGCAAGAGCTTGAGAGGACAGTCAGGCCGGATACTGCGCTCGTGAGCATCATGACGGTAAATAACGAGATTGGAGTGATTCAGCCTATGAAGGAGATTGGAGAGATCTGTCGGCGAAAGAAGACGTTCTTCCATACGGATGCCGCACAGGCGGTGGGGAAAATACCAATCAAGGTAGACGAATGGAATGTGGATTTGATGAGTATCAGCAGTCACAAGATTTATGGGCCGAAAGGCATTGGGGCTTGCTACGTGAGGAGGCGGCCAAGAGTAAGACTCGATCCGATCATCAGTGGCGGAGGGCAGGAGCGGGGTTTGAGGAGCGGGACATTGGCCCCGCCTTTGGTGGTAGGGTTTGGGGAAGCGTGCCGGATCGCTAAGGAAGAAATGCCCGTAGGTTCTGCATATTTGGAAATCACATGTCTCACTCGCTAACACCTGAAATCTAGTATGACTCCGCTCGCATTCGCCACCTCTCAGATCGCCTCCTGCAAGGTCTCCTGTCCCTCGAACATACCTCCCAAAACGGAGACCCAGAGCGTTTCTACCCAGGCTGCGTGAATGTCTCCTTCGCTTATGTGGAAGGCGAGTCTCTTCTTATGGCACTGAAAGACATCGCGCTATCCTCTGGCAGCGCATGTACTTCGGCGTCGTTGGAGCCTAGTTATGTGCTGCGAGCACTTGGAAATAGTGACGAGAGTGCTCACAGCAGTATACGATTCGGCATTGGAAGATTCACGACTGAGGGAGAGGTTGACTACGTGCTCAAAGCGGTGAAGGAGAGGGTCACGTTCTTGCGGGAGTTGAGCCCGTTGTGGGAGCTGGTGCAAGAGGGGGTCGCGTTGGATAGCATCGAGTGGAGCCAGCACTGATCTTCACTGTGCGAATGGCATAGATATGATTCGATGAGTGGCGTCTACTTTCGTGTTGTACATATTTAAAGAGTCCATGACCCCCGCTATGGCTCCAGGATTATCATCATCCTGTTGGCACGAGACTGATTTCTCATTGCGGTAATTCCTTCAACAATATTGGCCTGAAGGGGCAATATCCCGCCCGAAATGGGTGCTGGATATAGGGCTGAGAACCCTATTCTGTGCCCCGCCAGATCTCCATCTCGCGCATATGCACGACATTGACGGCGCCTTCGACGGCGTGAACTCCTTCCCAAGCTCCAATGGCTTCCTGAACGGTCAATGTCGGTGACGCTGTGGCACTATTGACTTGCGCATCCACCAAAATGTCTCACGTGCGTGGAAATCATGGTAGCTCTCAACTGGGCAATTTCGGTGAGGGCCCCGATAAATCAAGCATTCATTCGCCGAACTTCGGACAACTCCAACAAAGTCTACCAACCTACTGTCCTGCACGTGTCTGGGTCGACACTGAACGACGATCGTCCAACAACACTTCGAAGAGAAAAGGATACAGGCGAAGTAGTGAACAGCTCGAAGCGAACACGTCTGAACGCCATCCGGAAGCCACCCCCCAGCCGATTCTCCGTCATCGATTCAATGGATGAATAATCCCGCCAGCATCCTCAATATCAACTGGAAGGACCATTCCTGCCTGCAATGTTGATCCCTCATTGTGATTGTCTCATCTAGTCTTGATTCACGAGATCGCAGGCTTGTCCTGGACGCTCTCAACTGTCTCGCGTCGCCCCGATCCGGCATCTCCGTCGCCACAAAGGTACATTTCTTCGATCAGTTGCAGCCCCTTCTATCGCCACGCAATCCACAGGATTTTATCTTCAGTCTTCCGTCGATCATATACCATCGAGACCAGGGTGATGCTTCCGCCACTCCCCAGTCTAGACGCCTATGACATTTCTCCTCACAATGGCTTCTTGCCTGAGGAGCCACCCCTCGAAGTCTTGCCAGATCCATACTATACAAAATGGGAAGCGGTGGTGAAACACCTACAGGCTTTGGTGCTGAGCAAGAGACTAAGGGAGGTCGTCCAAGATCTACCGGTCATCACAACCTCAAGGCTACGACGGCCAGCAGAATGGCGAAGAGCATACTCTCTGCTGTCTTTGATGACTCATGCATACATATGGGGAGGAGACAGACCCGAAGAGGTACTTATTCACAGCCTAGCACATGATGAGAAAGAAGCTGACATCTTGCAGATAGTCCCTCCCTCGATCTCCATCCCCTTCACTCAAGTCTGTGCCTACCTTGAGCTCCCCACAGTCGCTACCTACTCAGGACTCTGCCTATGGAATTGGAAGACCATATTTGATGACGAGCCAATCGACTCCCTTGATAATCTTTCCACTCTCTCTACAATCACCGGGTCACTAGACGAGTCGTGGTTCTACCTCATCTCGGTAGCAATCGAAGCAAGAGGAGGCCCAACAATACCGTTGATGTTACGCGCCATCGCAGCTGCTGAAGATGACGACATTCAAATTGTGACTGAATGCCTCCACGTCTTTGCCGAGCGCCTGGACGAGCTCGGCTCACTCCTAATACGAATGTATGAGAACTGCGACCCACACGTCTTCTACCACCGCATCCGACCCTTCCTCGCCGGGAGCAAAAACATGGCTGATGCCGGTCTACCTCGTGGGGTCCTCTTCGATACCGACACCGGCCGAGACAAATACGTCCAATACGGCGGTGGCTCCAACGCGCAGAGCTCCCTGTTCCAATTCTTCGACATCGTCCTCGGCATCGAGCACGCACCGACCGGCTCCTCCCTCAAACCAAACGACCCAAACGACCCATCACAGGCACCTCCTCCGCGCCACAACTTCATCCACGAAATGCGCTCCTACATGCCCGGCCCGCACCGGCGCTTCCTCTCCCACATCTCGTCCGTTGCCAACATCCGCCCCTTCATCGCCACCCACAAATCCAACAAACCCCTCACCATCGCGTACGACGCCTGCCTCGCCATGCTCCGCTCCCTCCGCGACAAACACATGCAGATGGTATCTCGGTACATCATCGTAAAATCCCACGAGAGCCGCAACCAGAACCAACGCTCACTCTCGCCTCGCGCCGCCCCATCTACCCAGCCCGCACCTATGAACCTCGCAAGCGCGAACGTAAAGCAGATCGATGGGAAAGAGGGGCCAGATGCAGCGAGGAAAAAGTTGAGGGGAACAGGGGGAACGGCGCTGATTCCGTTCTTGAAACAGGCGAGGGACGAGACGGGCGAGCCGGCTGTGGATGATTGGTTTAGGAGGACGATGACAAGTCGGCAGGACAAGGGACGGGGACGGGAGAATGAAGGAATTGCGAAAGGGAGTGGGAAGGAAAAGGGTAAGGGGTTTGCGAATCTAGGCAGCGCACACGAGCGGGCTGATGGCGAGGTGGAGATTGTAGGCCTCAGCGCGGTCTGGAGGGTTGATGATGAGGGAGGTGGGGGGATTTGTCATTGGTGAGGGATGAGGGGATAAGGGAAGGGGGAGGTTCCTTTGTATATTTCTTCGGTGGTATTGTGTGTTATGAAAAGTGAAATCGAGGGGTGGTGTGCGTTGCGGACTGGCCTTTTGGACTGTGCTATCACTATCACTATCACTATTGGTCTTGGTATCTAACATCTTGGTTTTGCAAGCTTCACCTAACAAAAGATGTCGAACAGCTAAAAGTGATAATAATGGATGTACACCTCGCCTTACCTTACCTTTCCTCATCTCAATTTGCTCTAGCTTACCTTACCCATTTGCTGCCGCGCTACCACCCACTACTGCTCATAATCATGTCTTGAGTTGTGTTGTGTTGTGGCGTTTATGTCATGCATTCCCCTTCTATCAAGCCTTATCTATCCTTCTCTGAAGTAGAGGGAAGAGGGAAGAGGAGCGAGGAGTAGAAGATGGGGTAAGAGGAGTAGAGGAAGGAGAAGGGTGGGTAGAGGTGGGAAGGAGTGGGGAGGAGTGGGAAGAAGTGGGGAGGAGTGGGAAGAAGTGGGGTGGGGAGGAGTGGGGAGGAGTGTATGTATAGGCGGATGGACGGGGTTGAGATGGCTTTACTTTATTTGCTTGATATAAGGAGGGAGGAGGGAAGGTGGAAGGGGGAGGGGGGGGGGGAAGGGGTTGGAGGGGATTGGATGTGCAATTATCATTCATTATTGTACTATCGGGCGGTTTTGCTATCTATGTATGTAAGTGCGCAGGAAGTAGACTTTTCTCCTCCCCCTCCCCTCTCTTTTCTCCAGATGTGCGGAACCTGGGCCAATGCCCGTTTGCAGCACCATCATTATCTGCCGGAACGAGGAGTCCACCTAAAACTTCACCCCCTTCAAAAACTTCAACGCCTCTTCAGCGATGACACCAACCTTCGTCTCCAGCGCGAAATGTCCCGCATCCAACAACTCGACCTTCGCATGCGGCAAGTCCTTCTTAAACGCCTCCGCGCCTGGATAGATAAAACACGGATCATTCTTCCCCCAAATCGCCAGCAGCGGCACCTGGCTCTCCCTCAGATACTTCTGCCATGCCGGATACAGCGCCTTATTCGTCCGATAATCATACAAGATATCCAGCTGCCGATCCTGATTCTCCTTGCCCTGGATATTCTGCTCGAAATCGTACGTCCACGCGGCCGGGTTTATGAGTTTGAGGTCCGAGGCGGGCACGCCGACTTCGTATTGGTAGCGGCAGGATTCGAGCGTGAAGAAGTTGTTGCGGAGGTATTCGCGCTCGGGCAGGGCGTTGGAGGAGTTCCAGAGGGCTTCGACGGGGGTCCAGAAGGGGTGGCCGAAGCCGGAGTCGTAGGCGTTGCCGTTTTGGGAGATTATGGCTTTTACCGGGGAGGAGGTGGGGGAGGCGGTGGCGAGGCGGAAGCCCACGGGTGCGCCGTAGTCGAAGATGTAGACGGCGTAGGAGGTGATTTTCAGGGCTTCGAGGAAGGAGCCAGTTACTTTGGTGAGATTCTCGAAGGTGTAGACGAAGTCTGCGGGGACGGTTGTGAGGCCGTAGCTGGGTAGGTCTGGGGCGAGAATGTGGTAGGAGGCAGCCAGAAGCGGGATTAGGTTGCGGAATTGGTTTGATGAAGAGGGCAGGCCGTGGAGTAAGAGGAGAGTGGGATTATGCGGAGAGCCAGCTTCGATATAAGAGACATTGATGCCGCTGGAGAGGGCGAGGGTGTTGTAGGTAGATACTTGAGACATGTTCCTTCGAAAGATGATTGCTTTAATGTGGGATTTTGGATAACCTGAAGGAAAGGCTGGCTAGGTTGGTACTTTTTGAACTCTTGTCTGAATAGATTGAGACTGTCTTGCTGCGTTGCGGGCTTCTCGCTAAGATATGTTGCTCGTCTTTGGACGACCAAAGAGGCTTTTGTACCATCAGGGCGGAACGCCACCGGATCGCTTGCAAGGGTTAGATAATCAACCCACAGGGGTAGAATTGGTAGCTTTATTAATCACCGCAGGTGGCTTTCCTTGAACATCTCTGATGAATTGTTGTTTATTGACGGCTTATTGGTCATTGCAGGATTGATTCCTCAACATGGCGGGTATTTGCACGAAGTTGCTTTTATGTGCAATACGCTAGTATAGATAGGGTTGGACGAGGCTGCTTCCGGGCATGAGTCAGCCTTGGCCGGGCTTCGTAAGAGCTTGACATACTGTTGACGTGCTCTTTACGTGCTTTTGACGTCGTGTATTCAGCTAAAACACCAGAGATCGTCCGCTAGGGATTTGCCGATGAACTCGTCAAAGCGGTGACGGTAGCTTTTCGTTCGGGTCTAGACCAACGGAAGATTTTTGCTATGAGCAGCAAGCCAGCTCTCCAGTCGACGAAGATATCCTTTGTTTAAAATAAGATAGCTTTCGTTTGTTGGTTCGGCAAATCCTGTAAGCGCACGCATCTTCTGAGCGGTGGCCTGATCTGGGATGTTAGAGGTCACTTCGTTGGTCGAAAACCCAATACGAGACCTCTTTCCTTGGACAAAGCGTAGCGCAAGATCAAGTTCGGCACGTTGTGAAGGGGGAAATGTTCTTTCGCACCATTCTCTATCGAGGTTCACACCATCCAAAAGACTCTCAGCCGCCATAGCTGCCGTGGCACTCTTAATTTCTAAGTACAGAGAACATTGGCCTTTGAAGAATGGTGTCAAGCGTGGAAAAGGTAATGTAGCGATTTCCTCAGCTTCGAAACAATCGAATATTCCATGGCTATATTCTCTAGTGGTGGCGATGTTCTTGGGATAGAATGATGTTCTACTGAGCGGTTCCAAATGACAATAGTGATCAGAGAAAATCACGACACACAGATTTCGCTCTGCAAGGATTCGGAAGCGAGGAAAACCTTGCTTGTAATCTGTGTAAAGATTGAGGTTTTGTTCGTCTTCTTTCACAAACATACGGCACTTGGATTCGAGAATGTCTCTTGCGCCTCGAAGGCGTTTCGCTGGGACACAAAGCTCTAGATCCTAGGGATGTAGCCGTCAGTATCTGGTCATCATCCAGGTGCCCTTACTCACATGGACTACTCAAGGCAAGTGGTAATAATTGAGCGCAATCTCGCCGATTATGCACACCGCGATCCCTGCTTCGTTCAACAAAGATATTGTCGCTTGAACACTTTGAAAGGCCATTGTAAAAAAGTGAAGGTGAAGAAATGCCCTTGATAGAATTGCTGGTGGACGATTCAGGCCATCCCATCAAGATGCTGAGCGCTATGTCAGAGCAGGACATGCTAAGAATGTCGCTAACCCGAAAAGGTACTAGCACACTCCCCGCTCAAGATTTTGGGCCTCAAGGATGTTGATATTTCGTTGCGAGAGCTGTAGATCACTGACTTAGGGACGTCGGAATGGGCTGAACGAGCATTTGGAGGTTTGATGCAGCATCAGACATTGATGACCTTCTCCGGATCGAAAGCCATTTCCATTTTCGGGCCAGCACCCAGTAGAGTCTGCATCCTTGTCATAAAGCTTGTTCCAAGCTCCGGTCTGAAAGGTCGAGCATTTGGAAATACATAGCCGCGTTGATTTGCTATGAGCCTGACTGTTCCTCGAGTCGACTCCATGCAGTAATGCGTATGGCCAAAGACCCACCATTGCACGTCATCCAACGGTGACCTCTTTCTTTGCTGCATTAGATCCGTGCAGAATGCTGAGCTGATTGCGTTCCTTTCATATGCAGGGTTACTTGTGCCTTTGTGTGAAGGAGCGTGGTGTGTGATGACGAGGATCTTGCGCTTTGCATCGGTCTTTATATCCCTGATCGATTTGATTTCTTTCTTCAGCCACTCCACATCTTGATGATGCTCAGCATTGTGATCGGCAACTTTCCAATCTTTGATGTGGTGAAAGTCGTTGACTCTGTAACCCACAATGTCTTCGGCTTCTGGTGGTATGAACGATTGGAGAGTGCAGCCCAATACTGTGACAGCAGGCAAATCGACACGCCTTCGATTCATGATGATCAGTCGCTCCCTAAGTGTAGCTTCTTCTTGTAGCTTGTCTACGAGATGCAAGCCTTCAGACCGTGAGACGCCGAAGAACTCATGGTTGCCTACTATAAGATAGACTTGGGTGAAATGTTCGCATTGTAGGCTGAGGAAGGCTCGAAAGCCGTCGTAGTCCATCAGTCTCCCTATGTCTCCTGCCAGAATCAAGTAAGGCGCGCAAGGTTTGATTTCGAAGGTATCGTTTTGTTGTCCGACTTCAAGATGCAGGTCGGACATGATCTGGAAATGCACATGATCATGTGAGCTACGCCCTGACAAGAGCTGATTGATATTCAGAAATGACAGCATTGTCGTCACGGGCAAATGTAGGAGGCGCTAATCACTTTGTCCGCAGCCTTCATATTATCGAATTGCCAAACCAATTTCACAAGGGGAACTAGAACGAGTGTGCCGGTGCTACGCTCTCTCGAAATGCCTTCTCAACCATTGAAGCGTCATTGATGTCGGTCAGTGAATGCAGCTTGGCAGCCAAGGCACGCCCCCCGAGAATGCTGAGTGTTACCAATGCAACACCGATACATCGAAAAAAGACGCTTGGTATCCAAATTGAGTCTCAAGACTGTGTGACGCTGCACCTGGCATTTGTCAGGTTAGGCGGTTGGAGGATGGCGCGTTGAATTTCGCGCATGATAATGGCCACGCCAATACTTCAATCAACAAGATTTGAACGACATCAGTAATGCATACTCCATGTTGAATAGAATTTTCCCAGAATCTAATGTTTTACGTTCTCTAATTGTAGTTGACGGCTTTATAGCCTTTTAGTAGTGGATTTCATCACCAAAAATGGCAACATTATTGTAAGAGGCCAACTTTGGCGGGGCCAGAATAAAATGAACGAACCTCCCTGATTCGACGCTGAAAGACTTAAATAACACGAAGAGGAATGGCGCATCCGCGCTTTGTCACACCGAAGCAGACAACTTTTCGACGCTGGAAGATGCGATTCCACCAAAGTGGCTAGATCGTCTTCGCCTAGTAGCAAAGCTCCAAATTCTGCGAGCACGCGACAATTCGCCGACCTTCTCCTTCATCTACGGAGAAGATCTCAATGCCGAAGTCGCATCGTCGGAAAGGGTCATCGCGTCGTCATATCCTGCATCTTTCATGCACGACAGAGACTTATCCGTCGTGGTGAAGATATCGGAGTGGTGCCCATTTGATAGTTGACTCGATGGGTTGTGGTAACCGGTGGCTGGGAGGGCTGATAGCGAGATAAGGCTTGCCGCTTAGCGTTGCTACCCCTCCATTGCCCCCCTCTTGCCCTCCCATCAAGCTCACTGGTGCTCCCCCACACCAACATATCGCCCGACAATCCATCTACGAACGCGGAGAAGAGTGGTGGGCAGTTGAGGCTAAAGCTTACCGGTGGCAAGTTCAGTCGGGTAGTGCGTCAGATCGACCTTCTCGAACGTCAATTACTGCTGGCTACTGCACGCCAACACTCCCTTGAAGCCAAAAGATTGGGCCTCGACTCCCACCTGGAGGGATAAGGGTGGCACATCGGGCGGTACCAACCGATCTGGTGACAGCGTCGTCCTCCCATCAAGATGCTAGAGAACGTAGTGCTCTGTTAGTATAAAGTGTACATGATATACGCCGGCCAGAGAGATGATAAGAGAAGCCCTCCGTCGCCCTCAAGTACACGCGGCCTCGAGCTCACCACCCTCTCTCCTCCCTCACCTTCGCCAGAGGAGTCTCAATTGCCCTCTGTGACTTCCCCAGAAGAGGAACCTCTGCTTCGCACGCCCTCCTCCCCTTCATCATCTGGTCCTTCGACCCCATCTCAGCTTCGCAGGAGGAAGAACCTCGCAGCCCTCACGATGGAGAAAGTACGACATGGCAGTGTCGCCATACGGCGGTCGAAGGTCGCCCAGACCATTGACAAGCTGGCCGTTTCCTCTGAGCCTGGCCTCACCAATGCCCAGTTGATGTTGACAAACCACGACTTGAAGCCTGTAGAGCCAGAGCGACGTCAATGGGGCCCGTGGAACTTCGTCGGGTTCTGGATTGCCGATTCCTTCAATATCAACACCTGGATGATATCGTCCAGCATGATTGCCAATGGGTTGTCATGGTGGCAGAGTTGGATCTGCGTGTGGATTGGATACCTCATTGCGGGTTCCTTCATCTGCTTGACCGGCAGAATCGGCGCAACATACCATATCCCTTTCCCTGTCGTTGCGAGGGCAGGCTTTGGCATTTGGGGAAGTTTGTGGCCGGTGTTCAATCGTGCTGCGATGGCTTGCATCTGGTATGGCGTGCAGTCGTGGATTGGAGGTATTTCAGCACCATGAACGGTACATTTGCGGTACTGACAGCCCTAGGCGAATGTGTTACCCTCATGATCAGATCCATCTGGACCAGCTATGCTAAGTTACCAAATCACATGAAGGACTCTCCTGGCACCGATCTCGGCATGTTCAACACTCGCGACTTCGTATCCTTCTTCCTCTTCTGGCTCTGCTCCTTGCCCGCCATCTGGTTTCCCGTCCACCAAATCCGGCATCTCTTCACGGTAAAGGCATTCTTCGTCCCGGTGGCCGGAGTCACATTCTTCATCTGGTCAATCGTCAAGGCTCACGGCATCGGTCCCATCGTTCATCAACCATCAACAAAGCACGGCAGCGCACTTGGATGGGCGGTCGTCCAAGGTATTATGAGCAGCATCGCCAACTTCGCTACCCTGATCGTGAACGACCCCGATTTTGCCCGTTTCGCCAGGAAACCCAAGGATGCCCTATGGTCACAATTCTTCACCATCCCAATCGGTTTTGCAGTGACATCCTTCATCGGCATCATCGTCGGCTCCTCCAGCGCTGTCATCTACGGAAAAGCCATCTGGAACCCGCTCGACCTCCTGACATATTTCCTCGAAAGCCCAGTGGACGGCCACATGGCGAATGGCCCCGCACGCTTCGGTGTCTTCATCATCGCCTTTGCTTTTGCACTCGCTCAGCTAGGTACCAACATCGCAGCCAATTCGGTCTCTGCAGGAACAGACATGACGGCCCTGCTCCCTCGCTACCTCAACATTCGACGAGGCGGCTACATCTGCGCTCTGGTCGGATTGGCCATGTGTCCTTGGTATTTTCCCTCCCCCTCTTCCCCCTTCGCACTGCTATAACACCCAACTAATGACCGCAATAGGAACCTCCTCTCCTCCTCCAACAACTTCACAACCTATCTCTCCGCCTACTCTGTCTTCCTCTCCTCCATCGCCGGCGTCATAATCTGTGATTACTACATCGTTCGCCGCGGCTATTTCCAGATCCGCGATCTGTACTCCGCCCGCCCATCCTCTCCCTACTACTACGCCTACGGCTTCCACTGGCGGGGGTATACCGCCTACATTTGTGGTATCCTCATCAATATTGTTGGCTTTGTTGGCGCCATTGGGAAGCCGGTGCCCAAGGGAGCAACGTATATCTATAATTTGAATTTCTTTTGTGGGTTCCTCGTCGCAAGCGGGTCGTACTGGGCGCTTTGTAAGATTAGCCCCATTCCGGCGGTCAGTGAGAGGTGGATGGAGGTTGGAGATGAGATTAGGAATGTCAGTGTTGCATATGGCGCGGATGGGGAGGATGATAGTGGGAGTGATAGGGGATACGAGGGGTATGGAGGCAAAGGGGACGTGGAGACCGCGGAGAGGAAGCTTTGAGGAATAAAGGAATTGATGTGTCGGAAAGGGCGGGTGTTTGTACATTTGGGGATGTACGTATGTATGTCGACGGGTTCTGGGAAAATATACCCTGCGCGTCTAGGGGCGATGAAGGTCGGGAGATATTGAAGGGGGAGTGATATACCTAGCCCTACCGACGCTGGTTGAGCAATTGATGATTCTACGCCCTTTCTTCACTCACGGATTGCACTTCCAGATGAAGCATTAAGAAGTGATGATCCCTTTTCATTAGATGACTGCGTCCCAAATGGCAACTGCCTGTCAATCAGTAAAGTTGGAGAGGTGTGTTCTGATAAGTCAATGGGCGCAGCTATTCAGCCCTGTTTTGTCGGGGATAACCGTCGGACTTAGCGCCGCAGTTGATGCCAAGCCTGACGATGGTGGAGGCCTGGCCAGCACCGTACCTTAGGCAAATGAGATTTGATGCTGCACCGTTCAAGATTCTTCATCTGAAAGCTCTAATTAACCCATGATGAGACAATAAAGCCAATGTCTATGCCGCGCTCGACGTGCTCGAGGGACTGCAAAGGAAGCTACTACATTCGCAGCGCTTCTAATGGCATCTGCTGTTCCACAAAGAATACTCAGCTGGTTACACAGCGTTCTTGGCAATGTAGTGCTCGATCGATCTATTTCGGAGTTTCAAAAACTGATGTACAATAGGACTATCGAGACGTCAATCGATCCTATTCCGACATCGCTCAGGCTCTTCACGTTCACCAGAGCCTTAGGTTGAAGACCGACGTTTACAGTAGGCTTCCAGCCCTGCAAGAAGCATCTCAGGTTTCTTGAAGCTGATAGACGCCAGCGTTCGAGACTGGTGCCTCTTCGCTCCTTGTGAACGTTCATGGTAGTCTACCAGTGACGTTCAGAGGAACTACTTATGGCTTCCCCGTATCTTTATGGATACCTCAAGAGTACCCGTCCGCCCCACCCATTGGCTTCGTTATACCCACAAAAGAGATGGTAATTCGACCGGGACAATATGTGAGCGGCGAAGGTAGGCTCTACCACCCATACCTCGCAGGCTGGTCGAAAGATGTAAGGAATCCCCTCAGCCAAGGAAATGCGCCTTGAGTATGTGAAATGTATAAAGCATTCCGAAGTCTAGAGCTGACTATGCTGCTTGACCAGAGATCCAGCATCTCGGACCTCGTCTCCTTATTCCAAGGTATCTTTGCCAGAGAACCGCCTCTTGTGGCCCGAGAATCTTCTAGCCAGCTACCACCAGCTCCCCAACAGCATCAGAGAGCCCCGCCTCCTGTCCCTCCTCTGCCCCCCGAAATTGGAAGATCAAATCACATATTACCTACAGTTCAAAGCCCAAAGCCTGATAGGCCACCGCCAAAGCCACCAAAAGGCGAGGATACGGTGTCGAAATATGACAGACCAGCGCCTCTCCCACGCCAAGGGCAACAATTAAGAGGTTATGCTCCACAAGCTGTTGTTCATACGAATGCCCAGGTAGTGCCTCCTAAGTCGGGAGCATTGCCCATCTCGGAAGGCCCGCCTCAACAGCACTTACAGTTCGACCAACGAGTCCCCTTTGCCCAAGACCCGCGGCGTTCGTTCAATGGGCCAGCAACACCTATCAGTCCCCTTGATAATAAAGTCGGGTACAACAGACAGCCGGGAACTGGCCAGGACTCTCCTCATTATCCTGCACAGTACCAAACTTCGCAATATGGGAACTCACGCGCTCAGCAATCAAACTTCCCCCACCCACCGATCCAACACCCCACTCAGCAACCTCCGCTGCCGCAAGCGATGCAGCCTCCGAAACCGAAGCCTGCAGAAGATCTACTCACTTCACCCTTTGACACGGCCATGCCTCTCCAAGTCACGAATGTCGCCCCGCCTCCAATCCCGCCAAATCCACAGAAAGACGCTCTGCTGTCCACACTTTCCAGGACCCTCACTCAACAGATACAAGCAGTCCACAATTCCAACATGTTAGCAATCACCCCTCTACGAGCCCAGCAGGCTGCTCTCACCTCCACCTTAAACGCCATCAACCGGGAAATCTCCCAACTGGACGACCTGGAAACCCTGCTCACCTCCAATGAATCTATCCTCCGTCGAGCAATGCGCGACGCGGATAAAGTGCTCGATGATGCAAAGAGACGGAAAGTGCCAAATGTAGATGAAGTGCTTGTCGCGCCAACAGTGGTGGCCGGCCAGCTGTATCGGACAGTGGCTGAGGAGAAGGCTATCGAGGATGCTCGAGGTGCTTTGGGTAAGGCGTTGGATAAGGGGAAGATTGGGGGCTTTGTGTGGGCAAAGGTGAGCTCATTATTACGCGCTTTAAATGCTTCCGCTGACGGTTTATGTAGCAATCTAGAAGCCTGGCGCGCGAGGAGTTTCTGAAGAAGGCTTTGGTTAAGAAGATTTCGCAGGGGATGGGCCTGGCGCGGGATACGCAGTGGCAGTAGTGGAAATTCCGACAGTGATCGTTATGCCCTTAATGTAATAGATTGGAAGGAGGCTCTAGACCTGTTGCGGATACATGAAGATTATGTTGCTCAAGCGGTCTATTCGGCTTCACACTCGCGTTGTAGGAGTATCGTATATACATCTAAAGCTTCTTTGCGCCACCGTGTATCGAGAGAGCTCTCATCCGACTAGACTTGATGTCCCCAGCCTAGGCTGCTCCCCTTTTCCTCCTCATGATCGTACAAGTCTCAATCCATCTCGTCCGAGAGGTCCGCCGCCGCGTTTGAATGAAGCTGGAAACATCTGAGTTAGCCAATTGCTCACCCCAATGAATAGAGCGCTCCTCAACACAGCATTACACCGCGCAAAACCCTTGCGAAATTTTATTCCTCCCATGAACTTCTTCTTGTCGACTCATTTCCCCCTTCTCCAGCTACTATACTACTCTTTCTTCCCCCTCACCTCCCCATCTACTCAAAAATCAAAGAAAGAGAAAGTACGGAGTACTAACCATCCCCCTCCTCCCACGCCCTGCCCGCCCCAAACCCCAGACCCGTCCACACGGGCCACGCCCGCCGCTTGAACAGCAGCACGCTGAAGATCACGCCGAAGCCGAGCCCGATGCCGGATTTTATGATGGTGGAGCTGAGGAAATGGTCCCATTTTGCGCTGAGTAGGGATTCGCTTAGAGGGCGCGCGGATGTTGTTGGTCTTGTGGTTGGCGCGGGGATGGGGGAGGCGGGAGATGTTGTTGTTGGTGTTGTTGGGGGGGAGGGGGGTTGGAGGAGGGTGCTGGTGGAGGGGGTTCGGAGGAAGAGGAGGAGGAGGAGGAGGAGGGAGAGGAGGAGGAGGGAGAGGAAGCCATTGTCGGGAAATAAGCTGGGGGATTAGTGTTAGTGAGCGCTGGAAAGGAAAGGGGAAGGGAGGGAGAGGGTGGCGAGTAAAGCGTACGAGTATGGTAGGTCAATGGATGAACTGAGGGTCGGGCTGGTGGTGGTAGTGGTGGTGAGTTAGAGCTTGGGTTTGGGGAAAATCACCGTCGCGCTACCTGAGAATTGGGTTTGTGAATTTTACCGCTAAGAATTTCTTACAGTATGGTCGCGGTATGGCGCACTGTGAGGTCATTTCAAGATTTTTATTTGATGTGAGCTGAGTCGAAGAAAAACGAAGCGCAGCGGAAGCAGTGGAAGGAGAAGGAGATGAGGAGAGGGTAGGAGAAATTTGTTGGCACCGATTGATGCGACAGGAAAACAGTGGCGACAACGCAAGCTGTGGCACACCTCGAATCTGTTGAAGCTCCTTCCAAGCTCCCTCTTTGGCAAGGATGATGCCTTTGACTTTGGTATGACCTACACCTCATTACCTGATAGACCTGCACACTAACTCAGCGAAAGCCAAGTATCAGCAACCCTCCCGCAGACAGCATCCTCAGCCTCGACAAGAGCACGGAAGCATGGCCCAAACAGCTCGACAAAGCCTGCGAATTCCTAAGCATAGATCTGGCTGCTGCAAGCAGAAACGCTTTCCCCTCCCAAGAAAATGGCGCTCCTCGAACGAATCCTGCCTTCGACCCGTTGGCGGAATACGCCTTGCGATGGCTGCTCAAGAGACTCCAACCGGAGGAGGGCAGGCCGAGCGAGCAGTGCAAGGTCTATGATAGCTGGGTGCTACTACAAGAGCTGGTGAAGCGGAATCTGGCTAGTTGTGTGGCGAAGCAGCTAAAGAGTCATGGGTTTAATAACATTGTGGCTACGATGATGGTGTGGTTGAGGGACGAGGCTGCTAAGGATCTTGCGAAGGAAGGGCCGGTTAGGGTCTCTGATTTGTCTAGCAATTCTGGGTCGCCGGTGCCTGCTGGGGTTGTGGAAAATTTTGATGCGTCGGATAATCCGGAGTCGTCTGCGTCTTCTGCAGCAAGAGATGCGGATACGGAGGGAAATCTAGAGTTGGCTACGCTTGTTCCGGTATCAAGGTCGAGGAAAAGGAAGAGGGGCAATACAACAGCTACGGGGACGACTCCAGCAAGAAATACTGATACATCAAGCAACTCAGACTTGTCTACGCTCACTCCGGTATCAACGTCAAAGAGAAGAAAGAGGGGCAATACAACAGCTACTGAAGCTTCGATTTTTCGTGATATTGATGTCTTGTTCACGGCCATCTGCGGAGCCTTACGGCAGATCGTGAATCTGACAAAACGAGAATTCGCGGGCTCGCAAGAGTATGATGCTGAGCTGATGAAACATACATTGAAGATGGCTCCGGAAACTTTAGCAGAAATATCAGGAAGCACCTTTTACCTGGTTGTCTATTTCCTTCAGATGCCCTTACGAGATTCCCGGCAAGATCAAGCGGCCGTGTTCGCGCTTGAAGCGGGGCTTGAGGACGTTGCTTATGAGCCGTGCCTATCTCCTGTATTCCGACTCTGGGAGCTGAGGTCCGCGAGGAGCCCTCGTACGTCTGTCAAGGAAGTGAATCAAGCATTTGAGAAGTTCTGTACTGTTCCAGCTCTCCAATTGCTTCGCTTATGTGAGGAATGGGGCTGTTCAGAAATCGCAATGAGCCAAGTATCTGACAGGCTGAGAAGTCTCTTGACCAGCCATATTGTCCTCCCATTACGACTTTCGGTGCTTGAGCCAAATAAGCTCGACGAGAAGGCAGATTGTTTCGTCGGCGTTAAAGAAAGCTTCATACGGGAACTACGAGCACGCTCTCTCGTTCGAATGGGCTGCTACACGAAAGTCGAGGCAAAAACGATGCGTCATCACAAAAACGAGGACAAGGTCCAGCACACACAAATGACGTTACTATCTCGGTTCTTCCGGTTGGCACTTAGTATTAAGCCACGACATTCTCAGAAACTTCGACAGGTGGAAGATTTCTGGATTGAAAAGCTCTACACCGCTCTTGATGATGTTGCAGCTACAATTCAACCGCCGATTTCCAGGACCAAGGTACAAAAGTGTCATCAGCGGTTGCTTCGATGGATGCTCGAGGATGTCAAGAAGTCAAAAGTGGAAATGAGCGACAAGACATACCAGCTAATCTTGGAAAAGGCTACAAGCTTACGGCAAAATGAAGTGAAGGATCAGCTTGAATGGGAGATTGTCTGCTTGATTCTCTCAATCGAATCAGACATCTTTGTGGTACCGGACGTAGGAGAGGGAGAGAAGAGACCCAACGCACTATTGACTGGGCTGTTGACTTCTCTGACGAATTTTGAACCGGAAGATATCGATGCGCGGCGAGCTATCTTCGAAAATGCCCTTAATCCATTGTTGGAAGGCTACGTCCGAGCCCGGGATCTGACAGGTTTTTTTGACCATTGGAAGGTTCAGATCGATGTTGTGCAGCGGAAAGTCTCTGACTCCGCGGAAAGTGGACTCACCGGGACCTTTAGCATTTGGGAAGATGAGGATATGATTAAGGCTGCTGCAGTGCACATTGAAAGTCTAACCGTGCAACAGATCATCGATTTTGCGTCAAGCATGATAGGAGATCTGTCTAGGTCCTGGTCAACATGTGTCATCCTTGAGAGCATCTTTCGAGGAGTGAGACGGAATGACACTGATAGTAGCTTTGTTGGCTTGGTCAATTGGGCACAGGTCGTCTCGAAGAGCCTGGTTCGGTCTCTTAAAGAACCAATGGAGCGTAATGTTCGGACGAGGTGGAGAATATGGAGAACCTTGACCACTATCCTCCATTGGTCTACAACTCACGAGTATCTCATGTTGTCGCCGGTAATGAAGGAGACGGTTAAGCTTGGCTTTGAGATAATTGGTTCCGTTCCGTCTTGTTCAGAGACACCGGAAGGACTCCACGACTACAAGGAACATTTTTATGCTTTTCAGTTCCTGGTAGATGCGATGAGCATGGGCGATATCTGGGGTCCTGGCATTTCAACATCAAAGAAGTTGCACAAAGCTGTCAAGAAGATCATGAATATTATGAAACCTTTTCATCGCCGTTTGGAAAATGATATCTGGCAAAATCTCAAACCAGTAGGGGAAGACATGGCAGTGTTCACGCCTGGGGCAGATATCCTTTCCATCGAGAGTTTGTATCTGGGCTGCATGGCTCTCATATTCTTGAACTCCAATTTACTTAGGTGAGTTTATTGTTGCCTTGTTTGTTCTTTCTAACAATCATTAGACTACTCGATCAGAAATTTCGGTGCAAATACATAGATCGAGTGTATGGATGCGCCCTCTATCAACAAAGATCGTCGATACAGCCGAGTGCCGATGTGATCGATTTTGGTTGGCCTTGGCGGCAGCTCCTCCGTATATTACCCACTATAGACAATCTTGAAACTTATAGTGAGTATCATTTGATATCATCGACTTCGTCGTGTACTTCAGCGACACTGACCTTCTCAGAATGTGTCCGTGACCTACAGATCAGTCGTTATCTCAAAGCCTCGCAGTTTGAAGATCCAAAATTCTTCAATATTGGTTCTGCTGATCACGCTCTGGCCTTCGAAAGCCTTCACTTTATTCCTGTCGAAGAGCTGAGTGCGGGACAACGAACGATTCTTGCAGACTGCGTGCTTCGAACTCTGTTAAGCGGTCGCACAACAACTTCTGAAGATATCTCGGATCATCTCAATATGCTTTGCAAGCTGATTAGCAAGCCTGAGAAGCGTATGTGCATACTACGAAACCTCGAACCAGCCACAAATGCAGATCCAGCACCAAGCAATGAGCCCGTCTTGACTAGACTTGCTAAGCTCACGAGACCTGCCTCGAGATTGCACCAGTCAAAAGCTACATGTCTGGATGCTTTCAATCGGCTTGTACGGCGTGTCATGAAGTGAGGACCCGCCTAACCATCTAAAGCTCATAGCTGACTGCTTTTAGGTACCTAACTTCTACAATTCATCGGAAAGAGTCCGTTGATGTCTTAACCGAGTACTTACAATGGATCAGTTCTGAGCCTCAGTACTTTGCTCGAATTGACCTCACTTATACATCATTTACGGTCATTGGAGGCGAGCTATTCAAGGCTTTGTATGATTGCGACAATGAGCTTGCCGCAGGACTGGCGCGAGGACACGTAATGCAGACAGCTGAACAAAAGTACTTGCGAAGGCTTCTCGATACGCTGAAAGGTGCTGTTGCTCGTAGTGGTGGTGATAGGATTAACATTGCTTCTGCAGAAGACAGACTTGAGCTTGGCATTGTTCTAGGATGCTTGGTTGATCATACGTATACGCTAAGAGAGAAATCCTCAGATAACTTTGAGAATAGATGTCAGTATACCAGCCTTAGTCAAGCCTGATGCTGACGATTACAGGGGTCAACCAACTCGGTCTGCTCAGTCGAGCAGTGTACGAATTACAACAAAAACCCGCCTTAAGTGAAGAAGAACTTGGTAGCCCCGACGTCTGTGGACTCGAATATCTTGCCATACGATTGGCTCGCCTTGACCTTGCCTTACAACGCCATAGTGACGGCTTTGTGTATTGCATTTTAGAGACGGCAAGAATGCTCAGCCCACAGGACCCAAGCGGGAGTTCTATGGATCCCCTTAGCGCTGAAGAGGGTACACGTCGCTTCGCTTTGCGCGAGACTACATTAAGAGATGAGATGAGGAAAATCGTTCACAACGCTGTATCCTCTCTCGACACGGAAGATACGTTGACGCTACTGACACAGCTCAATGAATCCGCCGCCCTAAGTGAAGGTCAGCTCTACGTCTTCCGAGCAGTAATACTCTCCATCGACCAAGAAGTCTCACCGGAAATGAAAAAATCTATCTCCCGCACAATAACCACCCTCTACAGCTCCCTCTGGTCTCCCACCACCTCTCTCCGCCTTGCAATCCTCTCCCTCCAAAATATCAACACCTTCCTCACCCTCCACCCACACCTGGCAACCCAATGGCACATCGACAACCTCCTCCTCGCAATCTCAAAACTCGGCCACCATCTCCTCCTCCACCGCACCAGCCTCGACTCAGCCAAACTCTACACCTGTCTCACCCGCCTCTTCACCACCCTCCTCCGCGCCCACCGCACCCGTATAGGCGGCCGCCACCACCTTGTCCTCTCAGCCCTCCAGCCCCTCCTCCGCTGCCTTTTCACGCCCTTCCCACCTTCCCCCGACTCCCCGCCCCCTCCACCTTCTATCTTCAACGAAACCCACGCCGCTGACTACGCCCGCGTACTCACTCTGCTCTGCGACCCGACCGTCTCGTCCGTCTCGCGTAAGCGGAAGCGGAAGCGCGGACACGGTGGCGAATTGAATGATGAGACGAAGACTGCAAGGAGGATTGCTGGGCAACATTTGCGCGTCTGGGTGGTGGAGTATTGTCAGTGTTTGCTAATGGGGAAGTTGGAGGTGGGGGCGAGGGAGAAATTGAAGGTGGGGGTGTGGGCGGTCTTGGGGGTTGTGGATGCTGCTGGTGGGGGTGGGGATGGGGAGGGAGGAGGAGGGGGGGAGGGGATCAAGATTGTGAGTGAGGGGATGGGCATTGGGGAGGAGGGGCGGGGTGTGCTCATGGGGGTTTATAAGGAGTGGAAACGGTTTGGGCGGTGGAAGGAGGGGTGAGTGGAGAGAAGGGTCTCCTTGAAAAAAGGGAGAAGAGCTCCTTTAGACGTCTCGAGGTAAGCCTGAGAGGGGAGGAAAGGGCTTTGCGATGATACCCTGGCTGCGATATGCCATGCGAATAAGATGCTCTTTGATCTGAACATCTGCTGTCTTCCCCTATCCAATCCCAACTTATACGCCCATTTGACCCATCCTATCCGCTCATGATACTCCATCTACCGGTCAGCCTTCGACTCACATCCAGATCTCCTCAGGCAAAGAACCGGCGCGAATATGCCCCCTCCCCAAAGAATCCCCGAGACTCCAGCTATCTCCCGACACCCATCTCCTTTGCTTATGAAAGAAATGGCCCAGCAATGCCCCGAGATGACACAACCATACCATACAACACCATGCTATCATGTCTCACAGCTGAGCTAATCAGCGGCCGCTAGTGTACGTTAACCGGTCCCTATTTTTTTTGATATATCTTTAGATTAGGCTGGGCTGGGCTGGTGAGGCATCTCGTGACCGGCGGAAATCTTGATGCGAATTTCTCGGATGAAGAAATATCAATGAGGTAGGCGACAGGGTAGGAGGGAGCTTGGCGTTTATATTTGGTGGCGGTCTGATAGGGGCGGGGGGCGGGTCGCAAGAGAAGCTGTCTGTCACGATTATTCTTGTGGGTGGTGTGGGTTCGGCTGTATGTAGGCGGTCCGGGACGGCGGGTCTGTTTCGTGTGTATTAAATTTGGATTGGGGTTTGTCAAAGCGACGGTCGTTTGGAGGTGGGGGGAGGGGGGTATAAGTATGTGTGGATGATCTGAGAATGAACCGAAGTCTAGTCTGCCTACCTACCTAGCTGGCTTTGATACAACTTCATTGCTTCTTAAGAGAAGCATTTGATTCGATCGAGATGAAAAGCTTCTCAACCGCAGCTGCTGCGTACTGGTGCATTATCACAAGTTATTCTTTCTTGTCAGCTAAGGCCTTGCCCGTGAACGATACCACTGAGGTATCTCCGAATGAATCAGGCTACGATGCGGTGCCACCATTCGACCCTTCCTCCTGCCAAAGACCCCCAAAGAATCCCTGGGAAAGCGCTCCCCCTCCCCCTCCCCTTATACAGAGCCACCAGATTTCTCTCCCGGCCCAAACGAAGCCATCTGCAACATCACAGCCTTCAAGCTCTACACGGGCTCCGAACCCTCTTACACCTACACCTCCACCGAGATCACGATCCTGCCGAAAACCCGCCACCGGTTAGCGTGGCAGTTCAATGACACGGTTTCACGAACTGTGACGCTGCAGAGCCGTGATCCTGACGAGACTGGTGCGTGGAGAAGTATAGTACTGCAGGGAGGTGAGACGGGGAATGCTAGGGTCGAGTTTCCTGACGAGAGGGCTGTGAGAGTGGTGGTGGATGTGGCGAAGCGAGTTGGGAGTTCGACGTTTGATATGTTGGTTGTGCTCTATCGATGGGATTGGAGGGTTGTGAGTGCGGAGGTTGAGTGATGAGGGGAGGGGAGGGGGGGGTTTTATGTGACTTTCTCGATGGGGTCTTAGTGAGTCTGGTGTTCATAGTATTCTTTGGTAGCGCACGGGTCGGTGGTCGCTCCTGTGCCGTCGGGACGCAAAAGACTGGAAAAAGGGGGCTGTCATCTTGCGGTAAGGTACTGGTGGCTTGTGGGTTCGGCTGCATATGTAGGCGGCTCAGGACGTCTGGTTCATTTCGCGTGTGTGTTGTTTTGTAGGGTTTGTCAAAGCGTCGTTTGGCAGTATGTACGCGCTTTTTGCTGGTATATAAGTATTGGGCTGCTTTTGGGGTTCTGGAAGTAAGGCAATAAGGAGAATTTTTCTGTATTCGCGACTTTCCAGGTGATCATTGAGGTTTCTTTTTGGGGGTTAGACATTACTCGATCTTTGAAGAGGTCTGCAGCGTCCTTTTCTTAAAACTCGAAGGACTAGTAGTCACATCATTTCGTTAACAGCAGCTTCTTGCTGCTTTTTTGCGATCCAGAGATGCTTAGATCATCTTCGATACATCCATAATGAAAAGCTTTTCACTTACGCTGACGTGTTATTACTTCATACGCTACCCCTTGCTTTTCACAGAAGCCATGCCAGTGAACGACACTATCGACGTTGAGGTATTCACATATCAAACGATTTCTGGCGCGCTGCCATTCGACCCTACTACATGTCAGAAGGTTGCAATGAATCCCTGGACAAGCGCCCATAGCCCTGAAATCGAGACAAAAGATCGCCCTTCTGGATATCACTCCAGGTTCAAACGACGAAATCTGTAAGGTCACAGCATGGAAACGTTATATAGGAAGGAAGATATTTTACGACCATGTTTCTCCCGAGATCACTCTTCAAGAAGATACTATATATTGGATCTCATGGCAGTTCAAAAAGACAATCCATAGCTCTTTGACCATTACTTAAGCGCAATCCAACAATCGGGGGACCGTGGGAGGCCGTTCCTATCGGATTTGATCTAGAGGGCAGTGCTCGTATCTTCTTTCCGACCGCCACACTTTTCAAGGTACAAGAGACTTTGTGGAATTCCCAATATAAAAATTTTGATATGTTAGTCGTTCTCTTTCAGCTGGACGATCGGATTCCTCCTACGCAGATATCGCGATGAAGCGATGGTTGGGGGGAGAAAGCCTAGGGATATCAGTAGCTGATCGTGGGAAGTTTGAGTGCTAAAAGAGGCATCTTTCATTCGTGATCTTCCCACGGGAGACTGAAAGGTCACCTGTATTTTATCTTTTCACTTCTTCCTCATTTCCTCTCGCCTCACTGTCAAAGAAACAAAGACGCCCGCCCATTGGCAATGAAACATTGATGTAGACGCCCCATGTCTGTGCTCTAGTGATTCTGCAGAGGCGCACCGGGGATTCCTGCACTGGGTCTGGAAAAGGAGACTTGCATAAGTCAACGGGCTCTGGAGGGCAGGTCGTTTGACCTCGTTTTCGGGTTCTCTACACTCGATACCCGGCGCTCGGCGTTGGCGGAGCTAATGAACACGAGCTGAGTGGTCTGTTTTGCCTAGCTACTATTCTTCTTCCTTGAATTACCCTGTGAATACAACCTATTATGAAAGCTTGCTCCATTCGTCACAGGTGGGGAGTGGGCAATTCATGTCAGGCTGAGGATAGGCGAAATCGCTGTCAATGCGCCTTTCAGAAACATATATGCGCTGGAGCTTTGACGAGATCTGGTCATACCTATATTTGGTAGTACACGGTGCGCCTCTGTGACGGTGGTCATCAGAGGTTTTCGGTGTGACTACTTGTGGGTTCGGCAGTATGTAGGCGGAGGCGGTTCGGGTCGCCTGTCTCGCGTGTATGATGATGGTGGGTTGCTCGGGCGTTGTTTGGAATATACAGGCGCCCTCTGGAGTTGTTCTGTTTCCGTTTGTATTTCCTTCTGGCTCTTGATCCTCATCAGTGGCACCCTATCAAGGATATGATTTCTCAGCTGACCTTCTAGAGGACTATAATGCTTTGTTCTTGCCCTAAGCACTATGCAGAGCTTGTCATTTATTCCAGCCTTCTGCTGCATTACAAGCTATTCTTTCATATTAGCTAATGCTATGGCACTAAGCAACACCATTATCTCCAATCCAGCAGCAAGTCAACCAACGAACAGTACGCTCAAATTCGACCCCGCCAAATGCCAGATCGCAGGATCTAACCCCTGGGAAATCACACGGAATGCTTTGATCGACAGATCCGATACTGCTCCCACCACTCCCAGTCCCGACGAAAACATGTGCAAGCTGATAGCCTGGAAACGCTTCACGACAACGCAGAGCCAATACGCATGGGAGAGTCCCGAAGTCACCCTCAACCCGCAGGTCTATTACTGGCTGTCTTGGCAGCTCAAAGACTCCATCCCACATAATTGTGCGGTGTACACGTCGTCTCAAGATGCAGGGTCACCACCAACCAAACCGATTTATAATGAGTACTATAGCGCAAGAGATGGGATCGTTCTTCATTATGAAAGTGCAACGCTCCTGATGGTGACGGTGAATATGTTCAGAACCCCCGAGCGCGAGTTTAGGGAGGGGGAGGTGTCGTTGTTTGAATTTGCTTATTATAATCCTTTGACAGTGACGGCGCTGTGATTTGGGTAAATTCCAGCTCTGTCTACGGCCTGAGGACTATCAAGAGAGTTGTTTCTGGTCAGCGCCAAAAGTATGCACTGACCGACATGGAAAACATGTCATTTCCAGGAAGCGCAGACCCTTGTCTAATGCTACATGCGAGCTCATCAGCATGCATGACTTTGCAACAAAGGTTGTACTACAAGTTTCAGAGAAAGCAGAAGCCACGACGGACGACGGACGATTAGTCATCTTGTAGAAATTGACGTCTGATGCAAGGGCCGGCGATGGTGAGATTGGAGCAAGAGGCACAGAAGGCCAATGTGGGAACGGCAATGCGGGTTGGAACGGGTGAAGGAGATGTGTTGCATCACGATGGCTTGACTGTCTTGGGCAATTATGCATGAGGAGGATGACTTGTTTGCTTTTTATGTACACAAATGTAAAATGCTTGCTGAAATGATGCTCAGCAAAGTATGCAACTGTGATGATACCCAAGAATGATAAGCCTGAAAGACTATCTTTTGGTGTATGGCCGGTATGCTGAATGAATACCTGTCGTCGTGAAGATTTTGCTCGAAAAGACCGCGAGGGGCACCAGCTTGATTCAGCAGGCCGCTGGCAGAGCGTCAGCCAGTACACCTCACAAACCAGACCGAAGAACACGCTACCCACCACCCTCAAACCCATCAAAGCTCACCACTCCACCTCCTCCCTCCCCTCCTCCTCCTCCCTCCTCTCCAAATCCTCATACCCCAGCACCCCCCTGGGCTCCCCTCCCTCGGCGGTAAATACACAAAAGCCCCCACCCCTGCCCCCGCCCCACCGTCTTTCAAAACATAACTCTTCACCAACCTCAAATCCCACCTCTTCAACGTCTTGGCCTCAAAAAAGACCCTCCAGCCCATAAACGCGGTGTCAAAACTGGAGCCAATGGGCGCGATCATCTCTGCCGCCGCGTTCTGCCCCGGCGACGAGTATTTGCTGTAGCACGCGTATAGCCTTGGTAGGGCGTGGGATTCGTACAGCTGGAGACGTTGAGCGGTGGGCCAGCGGGTGCGGACGCGTGTGTGGGGTGCGGGTGGGGGCGCGTACGAGGGTAAGCAGGGGGTGGAGAGGAAGGGCGCGAAGGATGTGTAGATGGGGAGTTCACCCACCTTGAGACTGTGTCGTTCGTTTGTGTTCGTGGAGAGGTTGGCACGCGCCACGGTTATGTCGTACGCGAAGGAGGTGCTGTCGTGGTAGATGTGGTAGTTGGCTGAAGATGTTAGTGAGGAAAGGGGGGTATGGGAGGTGGGCGAGAAGATGATGGGAAGGGAATGGGGAGAGGAGAGGGAGGGGAGAGGATGGGAGGGGAGGGGCAGACCGGAGAACATGTCCTTTTGGAACTCAAGACAGCCGCGCTCGAAGTCCTCCACTGGTGGGATTAGAGAGGGAGTGGCGACGGGTGAAGGGGAGGTCGTACTGCCTTTCTTGATGTTCTCGATTCGCGTTGCGCGTTTCTGCTCTTTGGTCTTTTGTTTGCTGCGAATGATCTTTTCGAGACGATATTTTCGCTCAGGACATCGCTCTCGATTGAGCAGGGTGTCTTCGAGCCAGTCGAAGGATACGATTTGGATCGACAGCTGCTCTGCTTGTTTGACTGAGGGTATGTCAGTACCTGCAGTGCAGTTGGACATCAATGCGTCTCAAGAGGAGGTGGACTTGCCCATCGCCACGCGGTTCTTGTAGTGCTGGTGGCTTGCGACAAGATGCGTGACTTTGGCACTTATGTCATATGCATATTTTCCTCCATGGCTCTGTATCCAGCCTCGCATCTTTTCATGGGTTCTCTGCTCGCCAAAGTCGCCAGTCACGGCGATGACATAAGATTTCAGGAGGTCATTGATCGCCATGGCCAATAACGAGGGTCGCAGGTCTCAGAAAGTATTTATTAAGTGTGTGTCTGCTTGAGTAAAAGAAGAATTCAAAGCTGCCTTGATCAAGCCTTGAAGACTCGAGCAAACACCGAGAACCTGGCAGGGCACAGTGCTAGAACAAGGTTCCGCTGCAAAGTTCGACGTATGGAGCCGAAGTGTTGGGCTGAAGATGATGCTTTGCAAGGCAGAGAATATGACTGAGTACTCTACATAGACAATTGGTTGCTCTGGAACCCTTTTATGCTGCGTAGATATATGTGCGCTCCCTGATGTCAGAGTGTAAGTCAAGTTATGTTAGCCTGCATGAGCCGTCATCGGAATATTCTGGCGCAAGTGAAGAATGCAGCGTTCGAGAAGCTGATGAGTCCGTGGCGGCGCTTGCTGGCGGTCTTCGGGTCGAAAGTGAAGTGAATAAATGAATGATTAAAAGATATATTTGGACGGCGGTGGCAATCTGAGACAATCTGCTACACCGTTGAAAAATTCGGGGTGCCAAGCGAAAAAAAAATGATATTATGCTCTAAGTAAGCTGAAGCAAGTAGAATGATGAGCTGTTCTTTTCAAAGGTGATCATTCATATAGGGTGGTGGTATTTGACTTTAGGAATGTTGGCGGAGTAACGACCTCATAGCTTACATCTCAGCAATAGCTCTTTGCATTTGCAATGAAGGCTTTGATTTTCTCCTCGTCTTGTTTGCCGTCAGTTTCGACACCACTACTGACATCGACGCCTACGATCTGGTGCAAGTGATCTTTCAATTGAGCCAAGATGTCGCTAATATTATTTGGTGTCAAACCTCCAGCAAGTATCACCCTCAAGTCGTCATTGGCTTTCAATGCCACGATCACAGCTTCTAAATCGACGCTTTGACCAGTACCACCTGCAGCCGAGTCGAGTAATGGTAAGGTATGGTAAGTCCTAACGCCCAAGTCGCGGTCACCAGGCCCAAATCTTCGGATGACTGGTACTGGAATCAGTCTTGCCCATTCGATAGGCTCTGAGCCATGTAGCTGCACGATATCCAAGTCAAGTATTTTTTGTGCGCCCAAAACATATGTGAGAGGCTGGTTTTGGAAAACGCCTACTAACAGCGCACGGTTTGTTTGCGTCAAGTGAGTTCTTGAATGCTCGAAATAGCCAGAGGCAGCCTTTTTCTCCACGTTTGACTCTGTCTTAGCACTCAGCCTTCGTGTCGTATGAACCACCTTGGAAATCTCGCAAGCCACATCTTTGGGAACGCAACGACTTCTGCCTTCTACCAGTATGATACCAATCTGATCGGCTCCAGCCTCGATAGCGGCTTTGGCAGCTTCTGGTGATCTCGTACCACATATCTTCACATTCAATCCTGCTTTCAGGAACTGCTCCTTTCCTTCTGATCGTCCGAGCAGATTGAAAACAAAGTCGTTGACATTCGGTGCCTTCATCAGAGCCTCACCAACTAATACAGCTTTCACGTTGTTACTTTGATAAGCCTTGACATCCTCTGGCCCAGAGATGCCGCTGAGCGCACACACAATGGTATCATCGGAGACGCCTTCCATAAGTCGACTTGTCGTGTCAAGGTCGACTTCAAAGTTGGTTAGATTTCGATTGTTCACCCCTATGACTTTTGCGCCAAGCTCTTTGGCGATGTCCATTTCCTCGACCGTATTGACTTCGACTAGAGGCTCCATACCTAGGCTTTGAGAATAGTAGTAAAGCTTCTTCAGGTCGTCGCGACTTAGCATCTTGACTATCAGGAGAACGGTATCCGCTCCATTGATTCTCGCTTCGAGGATCTGATACTTCTCGAAGATGAATTCCTTCCGCAGTACGGCTGGACGATGTGGCATTCCTTCTAAGATCTGTCGCACTTGCCGCATATCTTCAACGCTCCCTTTGAACCATCGTGGTTCGGTCAGTACTGAGATGACGCTCGCTCCTGCAAGAGCATATTCCTTCGCTTGTGCAGGAGCACAAATGTCCAGGGCGATGTCACCTTTAGAGGGTGAAGCACGCTTGACTTCTGCCATGAGTGATAGTTTGAAGGGTGATTGACGAAGCCGTTCAGCAAAAGGAATTTGGGGTGGGGCAAGATTTAAATCATAGATAGCTTGCAAATCAGAGGGCCTGAAGGAGGGCACTTTCTTTTGTTCTTCAAATACCCTCTTACGGTCGTCGAAAATCTCTTGCAAAATGGATGGCTTAGTCTTTGACGCGGGCGGGTCTGTGCCATTGACCAAAGTTGTTTTGCCAGGGGGTTCCAGCGCCTGCGAATTGGATACTTCTTTCCCTAGACGTCTATTCTCTTCCCAAGTCCCGCCTCGCATTTGGAGAAAGTTTCGTATCATCATCCTTCCGTCTGCTGTCAGGATGCTCTCGGGGTGAAATTGTACGCCCTCGACGAGCAATTCCTTGTGTCGCACTCCCATGATGATTCCTTTCCCATCGCCCGGTCGCTCAGTCCACGAGGTTAATTCCAGGCAATCAGGTAGTGTCAAGTGAGTCCCAGCCAGAGAATGATACCGTGTGACTGGCAGATTCTGGCCGAGACCTGCATATAGCCCCTTGCCATCATGCTTCAAAGGGGATGTCTTGCCGTGAAGAATCTCCCCGGTCATCTCGACCTTGCCACCAAAGACAGTGAAAATACATTGTTCTCCAATACACACACCAAGTACAGGGATCTTGCCAGCAAAATAGCGGATGGCTTCATTACTGACGCCAGCATCATCCTCTGGATTGCCCGGGCCGGGACTTATCACTAGCTGCGTTGGTTCTAGATCGATGATTTCTTTCAGAGTGATTTCATCGTTTCTGTAGACTTTGGCATTTGCACCTTCTAAGACTAAATATTGGTAGACATTGTAGGTAAATGAGTCATAATTGTCAATGACGATCAAGTTTGAGGCGCCTGGTATTGGAGAAACGGCATCTGGTTGACTCGGAGAGTGATCTATGATGCCGGCGCCGTTCATGATATCGTGGGTGAAGGTAAGTCTGAATAGGTGGCCACAAATGACACATTTGACTATCGGACAACTTCGGGTGAGGCAGTATCGTATTTTTCGTTGAGCTAAACTAGCTCTTCTATTAAAATTACGTGCGACGCGGTTGACCCATCGCGCTCAATCTTTGATACATTCATTGACAGCATTCACGGAGTCCGGCGCATTGTCTGCTTTGATGCCTGATGGCGCCAGTCGGGGAAGCATACTTTCCTCCTCTCGATCGTTGTTTCGACGGCACCCAACAGCTCTGGTAGTTCTTGAATTTTGCTGCGGTCCTGCCAAAGCTAACCATCTATCAGGTCGTGGGAACTTTGCCTTCACATCCTAGCACGTCCTACAGCCCCCGAATATGACTCGATCAAGAGCTTCCTACTCGATCCACAGACTCAGGACTATATCCTTCACCCTACCGCCCCATTTGGCGCGCCCAATACGCAAAGCAAGTCAAGCTTTGAAACAAAAACCTCCGCCGTGAATGTATCACCAAATTCCCACTCTCATTACAACATCAAGCAAATTAAAGAGGATAGTCTATTGTTGAGCAAGGAAACCCAGATAAACGAGTTATCGGCCTTGAGAATCGCGGTTTTGGAATGGCAGAAGCAGCCGGCTACAGAATTGCTACAAAGCGCCGTGTCAGGGCCAGAAGGGGCGAGACTTACAGGAGTCGCAAATCGATCCCTGCTGCTTCGAAATGACCTCGATCTTGGTCTTTCACGATCGCAGCGGCCGACGGAGGAGGAAGCCCAAGGCTCAGATGAGAGCACCCGGAGACGGCGAATGATTGAGCTCCTACTTTCAGAGCGCTGCTACATTCTGAAGTGCAGCGAGTACATTCTATCGCACTACCTGGCTACACGTAAAAACGTAGAGAATGCTCTGCCGGATGAGAAGCGCTCTGGTTGGCTTAGAGAAATTGGACTGGAGCTCTTCACTCGCTGGGCGCCACATGGAAAAGGCAAAGGGAAATCTCGAGACCATTTCTTTGAGATTGCTGCTGGATCCATTGGGTCAAGACTTCAGGCACTGGCGACTGGTAGCGGCTGGTCTGGACTTGGCGTGGAGCAAGAGAAGGTTGAGATACTTTGGGGATGCTGCCAGGTCATTGAGATCGTGCACATCCTGCAGAACGTGCAAGCTTTGCTACAGGCCCAACAAGCACCTGTCGAATCAGCATTGATCTTGTCATGGTTTCGATTGATGGGCGAGTGCGGATTTTTCGAGGGGTTTCAATTGGTACGTTATGGCCTTATTTTCAAAGTATTGCTGACCCTTCTAGCCATATCCTGGGTTTGAGACGAAGTACAGCATGCCCTTACAATCCCTAGCCGCTCTGATTTCCCTAACCATTCTCAATGTCACGGAAGCGCTTGATCTACTAAATCTTGTCGCTTCTGGAAATCCACCCAACTTCGGCTCGCACGATTCCGTCCCGTACATTCTAGATCAGGTAGCGGTTCATGAGATCAACGACGTCCTCATCTCGTTCGCTCCTTCGGCCGTAGCGAGTCTTGCTGTCATGTCTTGGAGCATCATTACGCAGACCATCCGAGAGATGGCGTCTGCAGCTCGGGAATCACGCGAAATGCGACAGTCTACCCGGGCAGCTGACAAGTATGGTGGCGGAGATTCATCGGATACGGATGGATATGAGAGACCGAGTTTTATGCCTAGTATTCGACGAAGATCGTCAACCAGCAGTGACACTTCTCAGCAATCGACGCTGGTTGAAGATATCTATGACAGAATATGCATCACAGAGGTCGACGATCCAGTACCCTATCTGGCTGGCAACGCAGTCGAGGGGGGTAAGTTGTTTGACATCATTACTGTAGTTGCTACAGAGTACTGCACGCCTTACGGTTACGAGCATGAGGGATTTCCAGACAAAGAGATGCGCAAATGCTTGCTCCAGCTCATTCGAGCATGCGTTGGGTTTGTAGACTACCAACCTGCATTCTTCAGTGCTACTCTTGCTGCGATCAAAGGATCAGAGCGGTACTGGGACTGGGTGATGAGTTCATCTCGTTCGCTCTCTGAGAGTCCCGCAGCGTTCTTACGCGATGACGAAATGCTCAAATCGAACATGTTCCTCGTTGCTCTCTCTCGCTTCCCACATGAATCTGAGCCTATCTTGCAGCTCTCGCAAGCGTTGACCCTGCAGGACAACAACAAAGAAAACGCTCTGGTCTTTCAGGAGCTTGATCTTTTCACATGTCAATTACCGCTGGAGTACGACGGATACAGAAACGTAGAAGAAGAACAGGAGGTCGACTATGTCGAGTTGGCAAGGGACTACGATTTCGACATCGCTACAGCACAAAGTGTCCTACAATCAGGAAAGGCTGTTACCGCCCGCTCTTTCAATTCCCAGCGTCTCGCTAGCACGGTCTTCCGGTTACCAGAAGGTACTCGTGGCAAAGTCCTATCTAATGGGAAGCCTTTGGTCGTGGCCTGGAATTATGAGTATTCCGGCCTGGGCTATCTTGGACAAGTCCTGGACTGTGCTGCAGTCGCAATCAACTCCAATGAGACAGACGGGTCTCCCGCTTCGCCGGAAATTGTTGGAGAGACCATCGCCTTTATCTCAGCTCTCCTACTCTCCGCTACCAAAACATTCGAAGAGTCTGCTGCAAGACATGACGCAGCAGCATCGATTCTGAATCAACTCAGTCAAGGTGTCGATCGAGATCGTGATATCGTAAGCGTGGTATTTCAGATCTTCGAAAATGAGCTACACAAGCCGAGGAAGGGGCCTGACGAAGAGGACTCCCTAAATGTGATGATCCAATGCGTCAACTTTACGCACGCAATCCTACGCGTCATGCCTGATAGAGTCTGGCCATTTTTGGGACGGAGTGGGTTGCTAGGAGAAGATGGCGGCTGCCTCAATACTATTATATCCTCCATTGAAATCGTTTTGGGTCGCTACGATTTCTTGTATGGCTGTATTCGCCTTTTCGACACGCTTGTGGAAGACGTTGTCGAAAAAGCGATGTCACGTCGTACCCCTTCGAAGGCCATTGCACGCTTTGGCGCAGTCAATCTATTTGGCTCTGGTGTCTCGCATACAATCATGCAGAAGGTTCTCTTCAACTTCCAGCGAATAATGATGGATGTCTTCAACAGTTTTGGCACTTGGAAATTCGCGAATGAAGCCGACCGACCAGAACTGGCGTGCTGGCTGTGCAAGATATTTGACAAAATACTACACTACGCTTACGATACTAACAGCTTTGAAGAGACTATGTCGCAGCTGACCGCCGCACTCGTACCATCCGCGAAAGTTATTGCGGACGTCTTTCTCTCATCCTCGAAAGCCGAGCTCACAATGGAACCGTTGATACGAATATGTGCTGCAGGCATGCTAGAAACATCCGGTTCGTTGCAGACTGGGAGCAGAAGGTATTGTATCGAACAGACCAAACACGCCTTACAATTACTTTCTACACTTATTCGCGTCAGTGACATCTTGGACCGACGCTCGTCTCATCTTAACAATCATCTCTACGATAACATCAAGATATTCACCACACTCTACGCAGCGCATGAGATGTACAGAGCGCCCGTCGTCCAGCTCTTGGACGCCATTGTCCGAGCGCCATCAGACTTACCACAACCATCATCCCTGTTAGCTCATCTCGGTCAAGAAAATGCCGGCAGCTTCTTGCAAATGCTCTCTGTCCTTGATAGACCAGTGCGAGATAATCGTCTCTTTGTTGCCATCTGGAGACTGCTCGGCAGTATTGTGGCTACGCGACAGCAATGGTTTGCCCATTTCATTCTGACTGGGAAACGACCGCCAAGAACAACCAAGGCTGGGACCGCTGAACAGAGTGAGAAGCAGATGACGCCGATGCTGAGCCTTGCACTTGACCAATTGCATATCATTGACAAGCTAGAAAGCAAGAGAGCACTTGCCATGCTTGAATTTGTCGCCAATGCTGTTGACTACTGGCCTCAGACGCTACAAACGCTTCACGATCATCCAACCTTCCTATTGTCAGTCTCTAGATTTGCCTCTCGACCTGAGGTAAGGACAAGGAATCGAGGAGCCAATGTTGACGAAGAATGCAATAAGACACAGATGTCCGCATGCATCGCTGAGATCTTGGCCATGTACACACATTGGTCTCAGGAGCAAGGCAGCTCCAGATTTGCTCAAGAGGTTCTTGAGCATTTGCACCAGTTCGCGAAAAATGCCAACTTTGTGCCCATGTACAACGCTTCTCTGCATGGCAATTTGAGACGGAATTTTGCGGCGAAATATCAAGGCTGTAGCTTGGATGACTTTCAGCGCACGGCACTGATTCAAGCATCTCTGGGCGATTCATACTTCTATGACTTGGATATGGCTTCCAAAATGCTGTCCTTCGATCCGTCATGGACAGGTCTTGGAGGAGAAGGCTTCGCGGACGAGGTCAAGAGGGCTAACTTCAACCTATCTATCGTTGAAGCTCAAGTGGTAAGATTAGCAACCGAACTCCAACCGAATTCCATGACTGAGCTAATATTTCAGGCCCTATTCTCGAGTTGGAAAAGCTTCCTCATCGAGCTCGTCGCTCCTCTAGCGAAAGAATCGCGGTTCCAAAAGATCATAGCACAAACAGTGATCGACTGCCTTCAGGCGAATGCTGAAAATGCATTGCCAGAAGAATTCTTTCAACGATTGATGCAAACAAGAGCTGACCTCGCATTCACCCTTCTTCAAACTCTGAATGAAGTCAAAAGCGCCGAGACGGTGGCCCAAGGCATCTTGAATGTTGCCTGGGAAACATTACGAAACCACAACACAAACCTCGGAGAAGCCTTGGGGGCCGGAGACGCTGACTATCACAGGACACTCGTCCGCATACTTTTTCTCGCACTACAGCTTCACATAAGCGGCGGTGAAGGTCCTGCTGCAGCAACGCAAGCATTGAACCAAGCCACGAATAATCCTGCACCTAAACCTCGCTCACAAGTCGGTGACACAACTCTCCAGGTTGCGCTCGAAATCACAAGTCAAATCGTTGGCGAAGGATTCTGCTCCCTCACAACTCTCCTCCACGAATTTCCAAGCCTTGTATCTCCCGCAGACTTCTCTCTCCTCATAGCTATCCTCCACTCTTGTCTCCAAATACCAGGCGTATCCACCAGCTCCGAGCACCTTATGAAAGCCTTCGCAGACACGCAAACCCCACGCTACGCCGCCGTTCTTCTCTCCTGGTCAGATCGACTCGCCGCATCCGGTGATCCCATATACGGCGAAGTCTCCATCCACTTCCTTCTCGAGCTCTCCACAGTCCAGCCTCTGGCAGAAACCCTAGCCGTCGAAGGTGTCCTTTCCCATATCCTCACAGCCAAGATAATGGAAGCACTTCAAGAAAAAGCTTTCGGTCCCTTTGACGAGCCACCTCGCTTATTCACGATCTGGTCTCGGGGTCTCTTACCCTTACTCCTGAACCTCCTACAAGCCGTCGGCCCCTCAATCGCCGCCGAAGTAGCAGGCGCCCTCAATACCTTCCCTCACCAGCTTTCCCGCGCAAGTCAAGCGTTCGGTACATCGCCCAGCAGCACATCCCCCGCCAAAAATCCTTCCAAGGGGTACTTCACCCTCTCCATGGCGCAAGAAGCCTCATCCCTCGCCCTCATCGTGAGCATCCTCCGCACCTTCCGCGAAGCTGGCGCCAGCGCGGCCGTGCAAGCGGGCCAGATCGAGGACGTGAAGTGGGATGCGGCGCAAGTGAGGGAGGATGTGGAAGGCTGGTTGACTAGACGCGGGGCGTTGAGGGATAAGATTGTGCCGACGAGTGGGAAGGAGGAGGCGTGGGGGCGGATGAAGGCGAGGAGGGATGGGGGGGCGGAGAATAGGCTTGAGGAGAGGGTTGTGGATGAGTTGCTGGGCGTTGTTGGTGTTTTGGGGGGTGAGGATAAATAGGGTCGTGGTTGGTGGGGTTGCGTTTGGCGTTGGCGGGGGTTTTCTGGAAATGGAAAAGGAAGGTTGTACATCAACGTAAATATGGGAGGGAATTCAAACGTCTTCCACTTCTCTTCTTAACCTCATCATTCCAGCTGCCAATATGGCGCCTAAACAGATCAAGATCGCAATCATAAATCCAAATTCTAATCAATCCATGACTGAGTCCCTCAAACCTGTCGTGGAAGCTCTAGACTATAATAATGTACCTCTCCCCATCACCCTCCTCCACCTTTCCACCTCTCCACCTCTCCCCTCCCCATCTCCTCCCCCCTTCTCCACCCTTAAACCCATCACACTAACACCTGTCCTAGACGACATACACCTACCACACAGCCCCCCTCCCTCCCCCAGCATCCATCAACTCCCCCGCCGACGCCGCCCTCTCCACCACCGCCCTCACCGCCCCCACAACCACCCTAACCGCCCCATCCACCACCACATACCCCTCCGCCTTCCAGAAACTGCTGTACGAGCACGACGCCTTTCTCGTCGCGTGCTTCTCGCCCCATCCCCTCGTGCAGGCCATAAAGAGGGGTTTGCGGGAGTTGGCGGGGGGTGGGGGCAGGGGGAAAGGCAGGGGGGAAGGCGGTGATAGGCATTTTCGAAGCCGCGTGTGCGGCGGCGGTACAACTTCTTGAAACAGACGGGCAAAGGGATGGAGGGAAGGGGGAAGGAGGGGAAGGAGGAGGGGAGGGGGAAGGGGATGGGGAGGGGGAAAGATTCGGCATCATAACCACCGCTCACGCCTGGAAGACGCCCCTGGAGGACGCGGTACGCGGGTATGTGCTTGGGCAAGAGAAGGCGAGGAGGGTGTTTAAGGGGGTCGAGTGTGTAGGTCTTTCCGCTAGTGAAGTTCACTTGGGTGACGGAGGAGGAGGAGGAGGAGGCAGAGGGGAAGGGAGAGGGGAAGGGGAAGGGGGGTGGAGGAGAAGGTTAAAGTGGCTACGAGGCGGTTGTGTTGTATTAATGGAACAGGGGAAGAGGGGGGAAAGGGGGGAAGGTAGGAGTGGTAATACTGGGCTGTGCGGGGTTTGTCGGCATGGAGGACTGGGTTAGAGATGCGGCGCCGGAGGGGACTAGGGTTGTCGATGGGGTGAAGGCGGGAGTGGGGGTTTTGCAGGGGTTGGTTAGGATGGGGATGTGAGAGGAGGAATTAGAGGAGGTAGGGGGAGAGGAGAGAGGAGTAAAGGGCAATAGAAGAGGGAGGGGGAAAGGATGGTCTGAGAGGGAACTAAAAGCCGACATATACGTGATTATAGGGATGATGATGGATGGACTATTAGCGAGGCGTTCCAGGATTCAATGTAGTATGAGAAATTGAAAAGCTTTGTTTAGGGCTATGAATCATACACTCATCAGCTTTGCTATGCTACCTCGGACCCAGCTTCTCTAGTATCCTCGATCCTTGCTCTGCCCATTCCTGCTTCGATATCCACATGTTGTCTTTATCCGCCATCTGCGCATCGTCAGCCTTCCACCTTCCATCTAGCACCGGCAAAGGAAACTTACGATATTCGCCAACACAGCTCCACCCAGGAACACCATATGTCTTCGTCTCGGCGGATCCTCAATCCTGACTTTGAATTTCTGTATCGACGTCAGCTACCACCTCCAAGCCCATCACATCGCTACTCCAAACGTACATTCAACCTCTCCGGATTCCCCCCAACACCTTCGTAAGCCATAACTGCTTAATCTCCTTCTCCATCCTGCTCGGCAAGCCAGGATACATACTGCTCCCCCCACTCAACACAATCGCCTTATACAACGACGACCGAATATCCACATCGGCCGCCTGTATCGTATTGAACAAAAACTCCGCAATACCCGGTTGTTCCACATCCACGAGATGCGGCTGGAACAAGCACTCCGGAGCCTCGAATCTTTCGCTGCCAACCCTGATCACCCGCCCGTCTGGCAGCGTGTAGCTTTCCACAAGTACGGTGGTGTCTTCGGATAAGCGCTGGTCGAGCTCTAGGTCGTAGGAGACGTAGCACAGCTTCTCTTTTATCTGGCGCACGGTTTCGAAGTCGGCGGTGCGGTTGAGCGCGTAGCCGCGCCGGAGGAGGAGCGCGATTAGGTTGCGCGTTACGTCGCGCCCGGCGACGTCGAGGCGACGGGTTAGGTGGTTGAGGACTGTGGATTCGTAGACGGGCACGATGTGCGTTACGCCGTCGCCGGAGTCGACTACTACGCCGCTGCTGAGACCTGCAGGAGTATTAGAGTCATTAAGGATCTTTAACGTCAAAGTGGAGAAGCTTGGAAGATTGAGAGGGCAAGTGGGAAGGTGTTGGTGGGTGGGGGCTGGCACACCTTGAGCATACAGCGCCAGTACAGCCTGAATAGCGACGTAGACTCCGCCGAACCCGTATCGCTCGAACATGACCTCGCACATCTGCTCGCGGTTCCGGAGAGGGTTCATGGGCGGTTCTGTCAGGAGGATCTTGCGGTTCGTGGGGTCGATCTGCATTTTTTCGTAGAAGGTGAAGTCCCAGAGATGGGACATGTCGTCCCAGCGTTTTACGATGCCATTTTCCATCTATTCCAACACAATTAGCCCTCGTCCTCTTTTTGTATGTATATACGTATGGTCATGAGGATGTACCGGATATGTGATCTGCAGATGTGACCGCGCGGCCGCCGCTTCGTCCCCACACATGATATCTTTAACCACGACATCGCCAGCGCGTTCTTCGGAGCGGAGGATGGGGCGGCCGACTATGGAGGGGTATTGGTGTTCTGGGAAGTTCTATAGCGCCGTCACCGGTCAGCTGTTTTGTTGCGGACTTTGGAGTTCGTGAGAAGGGCGTACTTGGGCTGCGTAGCCGACTTTGAGGAAGCCTGTCCCGCCATCGAGGACTGGAGAGGTCAGCTCGGCATTGACAGTAAGAAGATCTCTCTGTTATCACCTATAGGCGCCTCTCCCGACATCTTCAGCGGTCAATTGGGCGTTCAGCGCATTGTCGATGTCGAAAGGCATCAGCATTTCGATATGCCAAGAAATGTGTATCGAAGCGGAAAGATACCGCGGAAATTGCATAATTTTATGCCTCATTTTGTGCTTGCTTTATGCTGTGCAGTGCAGTGGCGACTCGGCGGCTTCTCCATTTGAGGAACCTTCAGGAGCGTTTTGTGAATATGATGATCTATTCCTCTTTCCTATCTAATCAAGCTTTGATATATACATCTATGAGCATCCGCTCAATAAGCCACCCCATAAGGATGCGGCTTGATGCTCTCAAAATCTATGTATCCATACGAATACATACCCGTATCCGCCGACATCAGCTCACTCCAGTGTCCCATATCCTTCATCAAAGCTTGCTCATTCGCCTCTTGGCTCAAGTCAATCGGCTCCTGATCCTTACCAATCATGCGAATCTGACTGCCCGCAGCAACATTGGTCAGGCCAAAGTTCTGGTCATCAGTCCTCTGCTTGATGGCTCCCTTGATCTTTCCACTTAGAATATCCTTGCAGATCCTCGGCTCTTGACATATGGGTCTCGCCAAACCGACGCCATCCACAATGTCGAGAGCTTTGACCATCGCTCCCACGGTCTTGAAGCCGCCCGTGATATAAGTCCGAGTCTTTTTCAGGGCAGGGACAATGATCTCCGCAAATTCGAGGAAGAAAGCCTCGCGCTGCTTCGTACTGTCTCGCTTGTGTGCAAAAGCAAGCTCCTCGTAGGTCCCACCACTGAGTTCGACGAAGTCGAATTCGTTGGCCTCAAGGCTTATGCATAGGTTTTTGCATTCTTCGGTATCAAAGCCACCCTTTTGGAATTCAACGCTGTTGATCTTAATACCTAGCATAAAGTCTTTCGGCACGCGCTTGCGAATGGCTTGAGCGATCTCAATGATGATGCGGGAGCGATTCTCGAGGTTGCCACCGTACTTGTCGGTGCGCTTGTTCGTGGATGCGGCGAGGAATTGTGCGAGGAGGTAGCCGTGCGCACCGTGCAGTTGTATGCCGTCGTAGCCAGCCTTGTGTAGGTACTCTGCCGCGTGGGCGAAGCCCTCTACCACTCGGTCTATTTCTCCTTGGGAAGCTGGGTGTGGCTTGGCAAATGTCATCCCCATCACGTTTCCTTCCAATTGCACGTCACTGGCCGATATGGGATCCTTGTTTATACTTTCGCTGACTTGTCGCCCTGGATGACTGACTTGGCCAACGATCAAGCTCCCTTGCGCTTTGGAAGCAGACGCCAGCTCCTTGAACGCTTCGAAGCGTGAACCGCTGGGATCTTCACCACGCGGTATGATTGGGTTACCTGCCGCTTCGAGCTGGTCGAACTCCACCATGATGTTGCCTGTCAAGATTGTACCGACTTCGCCTTCGCCCCATCTCTTGAATGTATTTATGAGGTTTGTGGATGGTATGCCGCGTTTTGAAAAGTCTTTCGGGTCCCAAGAGGACAAGCGCTCGGTCATGGCTGCTTTGAGGCTAAATATATCGAATTAGGACATGGCAAGGAGCCAATGTTGGGAGAGACGAACAATCTGTTATTAGCGGTCTTGCCGCTAAAACCGAACTCAAGAGGCTTTGCCAGTGGATCAGGTGAGACATTGTCAGATTCATATCGTGCTGTAGGTGCCATGGTTGCAACAAAGAATGTGTCCTGGAGCGCAGCAGGAGGTAGAAAGGTTGTGAGGATGGGAAATTGAGGGATACGGGGGGCTGAATGACGGGGACGCCATCCGCTCTATATCTCTAGCGGCTGCCATGCCCAGTATAGCACTGGAGCTTCTCAATTACAAATCTGCAAAACCATGGCGTCATGGTGACAACTTTCTGCAGTGCAGTTGCCGTGAGCTTCAGAGTTCACGCTATTGATCAGACGCCGTATTGCCGCTTAGCCTAATGATCTACCGTATTCTACCTTATTCCCGTCACTACCTACGTGCCAAGGAGGCCGCCAAGAAACAGAAGAAATTGATCATTGACTTTGTTTGAATACACGCAGTCTAGAAGCCTCGTGGCGAGAATGGATGTCCAGAAAGGACGGTGGAATGGTGAAGAAGGGCAGTCACAGATGCTAGAGCGCCATCAAGACTCGCTGCTGCCTGTTCAAGTTGAAAGGCCAATTTGGCCAGCCCCCATCAGGCTGACTGCGCGGCATAACCGCTCATCATGCAGGACGCCGATCATGGTATTTTCATCTCGACCTCACTCCTGCACACCGGCTGTCCTTCATCTTCCCGCTCTCAACTGACACAGCATCTTCGCATGGCCAAATAAACCATGATAGATGACTGATTCAGCACAGAATGAGTGGACTCGAGGTTGGAGGCGGTGTCCTTGCCGCCATCAGCCTTGCGCTCACGACCACCCATGGAGTGTATAGATCAATTTCTGGAATGAAACATACCTATCCTTTTGTCAAACAGGTATCACACGACGCAGATTCACTAAAAAAGTTGTTGCAACAGCTTCGAAGCTACGGTGATGAGCTTGAGAACGCCGCTGACCTTCCAGATCTGGTAGCAGACTGCCTTAGTGATGTTCAGTCTCTAGAAGAGAATTTGCACAAGATATTGCGCGGCCAGGACAGCAAGCTATCGAAATTCGCACAACGGCTGAAGTTTGTCTTCACGGAGCAAGATTGGGTCAAAAAGTCTGGCGTCCTTCAGCAACATCATCGAGCGATCTCCTTGCAGCTCGATATTATAGCAGGGTAAGTGACTCTGATATGACAACATCTGCATCCTTCCCTGACTTCAAAGCAGGAGAAGTAATTCTGCTCAAACTGCTCAGCTGGTACGGATGGAACACTTGGCCGATGAGCAGCTTGCTCAGCAAACAACCCATTTTGAAACAACTAATCGTGCTATGAGAGCCGCAAATGGCTTGCATCAAAACCTAGCGCGTTCCGTAGCGAGTGCAAGAACATCGAATCATGAGACGGTTTGCGCAGTCAACAATCTTAGTGACAAAATTGGGAATCTCTCCTTTTCGGAAGGCCAACTCGACATTCTCAAAAGCCACATCGGTAGCGCGGTGCAACAAAGCATACGCCAATCCGAAACCAGAGACGCTAATGTTGACACGTGCCGTGGGACTCAAACGGACCCACAACCAGATAGTCGTGCGTCGTTCGAGGCCTTACGTGCATCGGAGGACGTACAGAGTGCTCTTCATCGACTGGGCAGTCTGGCGAGTGAGAAGGAGAAGACCGTCTTTTCTACCGAAGCAGAAGATTTGCTTCAAGATGTCAAATCCATCTTCTTTCCCCCAGAAACCCTGAGGCTCGCTAAATTATCGGAACCTCACGCAGGGTTCAAGAGGTCGGCAAGCCCATGCGACAGCGATGGAAAGAGGGAAACCGATGGAGAGTTTCAACGTCATGCGAAGCGTATGAAACGACATCTTGGTCTATCAGGGAACGCTGCGATCAACGACAAAGGTGGAGTTCACGCTTAAATCCCGGTCAGTCAGGAAGCTGAATTCTGGTCTACAGTCTGCCGAAAACAATTGTCTGCCCCGGGCGAATACACATCCGAATACTGTTATTTCACGCAAGAAACTATCAATGGTGTTCTCTCTACTTTAGTCAGGACGCGACGATGTGCTTCCAAACCATCCTCCTCAAGCGCAAACGGACAAAGCAACAATAACGATATAGAGTACAGGGATATCAGGGCTGAATTCCTTTCCAGGGAGCCTAACAACATTTTAGTGACGGCTCTAATACAACAAAGGATTACCAGTAGTGAAAACATCCTCACCAAGCCGAATATCGTTGTCTCCATGACGTTACCGGATGATGCTGAGGCTTTCGAGTTGATAAAGGCGGGCAATCTCGACGGTCTTATCGAGTCGCTCAACAGTAAAAGGACGAGACTCACTGACCGCGACCTGGAAGGACGGTGTCTCCTGAATGTGAGTACTGCGAAGGATGGTATGCTTTCTTGTCATCGTTGACAAATTTCATCTAAGTAGTACGCGGTAGGATCCGCCAAGCCGGATATATGCCGATTCCTCATCGAAAATGGCGCTGATGTCGATTTTTTGGAAGGATATGATACTGGAGACGGTTATATCGAGCCATGGTTCAGGCTTCCATGTCAAGATTTGGAGGCGTTATGCTAATAGAGAATTAGTAATGCTGGGATCATTGCATGCTTCGCAGGTGAGGATGTCGAGAATTCAAGCAAAGCAGAGGAATGCAAAGCATTACTACTTGACTCAGGTTTCGATCCAATGCTGGACGCTGGGGGCTGTAACTCCCTCCGCGAGGACTGTGACCAGAGTCCCTGTGCAGTATGATAAGTGAGCCCACCTTAAGTACAAGCACTAACATCAGCAAAGGCCTCAATCAAAATGCTCTTTGATCATGGTCAAGATTTTCACCTTCTCGAACGTAAAAATCTGTTTTTACTTGATCATCTTCATACAGGCCAATGGACTGAAGAAACGGTCCGTTTGCTGCTTGAAATAGGCCAGGATGCAAGTGTTTTTGATCCTGATGGCACGGTCCTTCACCCAACCGTACAAGGCGGCTGGAAAGTGGATCTCCTGGGCGTCAAACATGTGCTCAAATTGCTTGTCCAACATGGTGCCGATATCTTTGCATTGGCTCATGACGGATATACAGTTGTAGACATCGTGCTCGACGAGAGAACCGAGTGGAGACAATCTGCCGTTGATCGTGGGACGGAAAATGGTAGAGATTTACCGCTTCGAGCAATTTGGAAATCAGTCCTCGAAGAATGTGGATATGACTGGCAGAAGGTGTGTGAGATAGATGGCGCATCGTTGATATTTTTTTCACAAAACACCGACAACGACACGTGGGAGCTTTCGTTAGACGAGCAACATCAATCAACTATCAGAGTCATCGACAAGTCCCTTTATAGTGGCACCGGAAGCGAAGTATATGAATCTCGTTGTCCCTATCTGAATCAGGACGGCAGCGTCAAGATTTGCCTTTGGTGTGACTGGTCTTGGGCGGCCAAGCAGATGTATGAGGAAGCCTGTGGTCCTGGGACTGATAAGTGGAAGACAGTATTCGGTATCTCAACTCAATCGGATGACTCTGTTTCGGATGCGAGCACTACAGACTCGGAATGTTGATTTGGTTTCATGAAGCTCATTTAGATAGCGTGCAGTCGTGTCTTAGAGACCATATATTTTTACACTGTAGCTCGGCGCCTTTCTCATATATAGGCCAAAATGCTCATTTCATATAATGAACTCGACAAACCTGATTGTGTCCTGAAATGAAGACGGATTTCGTAACATCTCCACCTTAATCCTCAAGGCGCAATCACCCACAGAAGACCTTTTCACACCGATGTTGCGACTAAAAGCCTTCTCCATACGTGAGGCCTGTTCCCATAGCTTACACTCAGGTCAGTGTAACACAAGGAGGTATCAACAAGGTGTTTTCTCGTCTGGTTGTGATACCTGCAACCCCATGATAGGTTGAGGATTAGGATTACCCTCGGAGGCACGGTGGGATATTGTGAGAAGTAATTTTTTCAATATAGGTTGCAGAGAAGAGAAACTTGGAGTGGTAAGGGCACTGCGAGCAAGGGCGCGCACGATTGGGTTGGGAGGGCTATGGTGAGGTGTCTTTCTAGACAAGACAGGATCAATGAACAATAATTACCAACTGGGACAACGGCAGCTTTGCAGCCCCCTGTTGCTGTTGCGCAGCTTCTCGCAGTATCCAGTCGTAGATTTACCTTTTGACAACCTGATGATGCCAGACAGTAACAAGTGCCTCTAATAATTGATAAACAACGTTGTTGTGAGGTCGTTAAGAGTCTTTTAGGGACCCGCGTTAGGCGCCAAGCGCCCTAAGGAGCCCCCGAGTGACTCTTTTCTCATGGGGACAAGTATCTTCACTACCTCACACTCCTGTACTTGCAGCGACAGCATCCAAACAATGGCATCTTCCTCGAACTCAACAGCCAATAGCCTCCCCCCATACATCACGAAATCCCCAGTCGGCTTCCACGTGCTCGATCTCCGACCCTTCCTACTCGCCCACCCTACACCCCTCTCCAACGATCCCACGCGTCGCGAGTTCGCATCAGAATCCGCCCAGCGCCAAATCAGCCAGATGTTCCCTCACACTCCCTCAGGAATAGCCTCGTGCAATCTGTTCGTGTACAACAAGACGCGCGACGTCGATCGTATCTGTCCGAGCTGCCGGCGTTTCTATCGCGTAGGCGAACCGCCAGGGGAATGGGGTTCGCTTGATGCTTTCCTTGCGCGCAAGACAGAGCCACTACAAAAAGGGGGGAGGGGGGTGGGGATGGGGATACGAGGGTTCAGGAGGAACAGGAACTATCGGGAATTTGCAGCGGGCTGTGCTTTGATTTGATGACTTTGTCGGAAGAGGAGGAGTGGAGTGAGGAGGAGAAGACGAGGGCTTACATTAAGAGGCATGCACGCGATGGGTTGCCGCCAAAGGATAAATTGGCGGCAGATAGGTGGGAGTTGAGGAAGACGTCGACTAAGGAAGAAGCAGAGTCGGGTATGAAGATTATTTGGCAGAAGGACCTTGGAGGTCTGGCGAATTAAGGCAAGGGGTTCGAAGCAGGGAGAGAGGATTCCAGGGTTGTACACTTGGACGGCACCCAAAGATGAATAATGCAGGATGTGCTTCACTTCGCCTCAAAGCAACTCGCGAGAATTCGTAGTCTTGCCGGGAGAGCACAAAGACTTAGATGCGCTGTCCTGGAGCAATAATCACCCTCGAGCACGGGAGCATGGTTCCACGATCAGCACAAGCTTAGGAAATGCTGCTACGATTCCTCAGCACGTACAGCGCATCGTTCCCGTACCACACTGCAAGCAATGTATGCAGGAACAGGGACGTGCCTCTTGAGATGCCGTGACGAGCGGAATTATTGACTTTATATCGGGAGCGCAAATCGGTCATCAAGACGCTTTAGTCCTAATCTCCTTCGACTCCCACCTCCATTTCGGACATCTTGTTAGGGCTATGGAACGGGCGAGCCGTGTAACCCGCCATATTTACAGCTTACTCATGCAGATATTTAATTTCCGCCTTGCAGCCGCTGAAGAACCCGCATGAGGCGCATGAAACATGCCCCCACTGAACATACGATCTATTCCGACTGAACGGCTGAGGAAACACGGCGTTTTGATCGCCAGGGGCCTGCCGTACTTACATGGCCCCAAATGCGGATGGCTCGTGTGGCAGCCTTACATATCAGGATTGGCTCGTCGTCATCTACGGGACAAGCCCCCAATGCCGTGTCTTACTTCCTACAAGGCTGTCATTGATGATACACAACCGCATGACGCTTCTTTTCGACCCAACACCGAAGATCGGTGGTTCTTCCCGCCTACGCTTACCATACTCTTCATGTCTGTCGTCAGGCCTAATTTCGCTTTAGCACTTCGCCGTAGAGGTATTGCTGAGAATATTGATGACTTCTCCAGCTGCATACCAATGGCCCCTTTCAGGCACCTTACCCCTCAGCACACCGGCACACCATGTGCATGCCTGATGGTGTGCACATCCTCGCCGATTGTGAATGCTTGCTTGCCATGAACCTGTATTTCTCCACTTCAGCAATGGCGTCGCTGCCACTGCAAATCTCGGTAAAAGCTGATGCCCTACCTCCTGTTCTACGGCATAGACAGCCTCGAGACGACCAGACTTATAAGAAGCACTTAGTCTTCGCCATGATCAAAACATTATCTTTACAACATTGTCAGTCTTTAGCACACAAGTCACATCAGTGACATCCCTCCCATTCAGAAATTTCCACACTCATTAGCACCATGTACAACACACTCTCTACACTTTTGACTTTCGCCTTGGTCGGCACGTCACTGTCTTCAGTTCTTCCTGTTACAGGACATCATGGGACACAAGCCGGGCCCAAGAAGATGCTGCCGATCAGGAGTAATGACTTCAGCCACGGCTCTGGGCTTGCTCGTCGAGATTCGGAGAAATTCTCTGATCTCGACTTTCAGACTCAGTCCCAACTCATCTACGGGAGTCCAGGAGGTACGTTAACAAGAGTGGAGGTTGAAATATGCCTGACGAATAAAAAACAGAAAATGGCCAGGTGCTACTCGCCAATATGACTCTTTACGCCCCAGACGGGCTACAAATTGTGACAATGGAAAGATTTGAACCTCTTACAAAATCGGTCGACTGTAACGACGACGATGGCCAAATGTCATTGACATTCAAATCCCAGGATGCCTTTGACTACGCTCTTAAGACTTGGTCAACAATCAACGATAATGATGACAAGCGATTCTTGCTGATCGCAAACCACGATGGATGTGGCCCGGATGACGAGAGACAGCCTTACATTGTCAACAAAATTACTGAAGACAAAGAAAGTCTGACAACCTTCTTGGCCGCGCAGCCCGCATCATGGCAGGACGTGGCTGGTACGTATGACCTCGACTTTGGTCAAGCTGGGTCACAGAGCCACGAAAATTCCAGATTGAAGGAGAAAAGATTTCTAGGGATCGGCAATTTTGGACCTTACAACCCAACAGGCACATTCCCCGTCAATCTTGGTGAACCAAACCAGAACACCAACATTGCTAGCAGTGACAGCTTCAAGCTAGATTGCACCAACTGCTATGTTCAAGGAAGCTTTGTGATCACCGGCCATCTTGCCATAAAGTCCTGGTCCTTAAGCGATCTGTCAATGGACGCTGCACCAAGTGGTTTCAACGCCAACCTTGGCTTGCAAGCATCAGTCACTGCTTCGAAAGCGCTGCCAATAGGGTACCAAAAACAACTCTTCAACTTCCCGATCCCTAACGCTGGCATTAAAATCCCCGGGATCTTCACGCTCGGAGCAACAGTCTCTTACGACATCGGCGTCAACGCCAGCGTGCAGGGGGCCGCCAAATTCGACTTCGGCCTTAAAGCCACCCTCCCCGACTCCGCTAAAGCCACTCTCGTCCTCGCAGGCGACGCACAGAGCGGCGCAAGCGGCTTCGACGGTGCCGTCGACCCTTACTTCAACGTGGACGAAATCGACGCCGGCCTCACTATCTCCGTATCCTCCATCCCTAAAATAACCTTCGGTCTCGACATCACGAAGATCGGCAAAGCAGACGTCGGCATCGGCCTCAGCCTGCCCACGCTCTCCGCCACCTTCGACGCGGGATACAACGCCAACGGCTTCTGCGCAGACGACACCACGCACACGAAGACGGGGATCAACATCAGCACATCAGCGACGATCGCGGTGGACGCAGAAGCAGAGCTAGCATTCGGGTCGGACGAGAGCAACGATTCTCCGTCGTGGAGTAAAACGCTCTTTAGCAAGACATGGCCCCTGCCCTTCACGAAATGCATCGGCATCGTCATCCCCGGCCTCGGTGGCGCCGGGTCGAGCTCCCTGCCGCCCACCATCAGCCCCACGATCATCTCCTCATCCCTGCTGCCTACGAGCCCCATCCCCGCCTCCGCTATCCCGACGGGTAAACCGGGTAAGAGCGTTGGCAATTCGCTGTATTTTCCCACCGGCGCGGGCGGGACGGGGAAGTATCCCGTTCCGACTGGCTCGAAGCCGTCGGGGTACAGTTCTAAGCCATCGCATGCGCTACCTTCTGGCATTTCCCCTTCAGGCGCCTCGGGCTTCTCTTCCCACTCCCATCGTTCAACTTCAGCACCGTCTGCTGGTGGAGGTGGAGGTGGCTATTATATCCCTAGTAATGGACACGAGTCGAAGCCGTATCCTACGCATTCGAAGTCGGGTACGACGACGAAGAGCAGGCCTTCGGGCTCAGGGGGTGTTGCTCAGCCTACTACACTGACTATGAGACGGAGGATGTGAGTTGAATGGGTTTTTATGACTTGGGGGGCTTTGCTCTTCGGATGGTGGGTTCGGTAAGGTAATTGCTAGACCATTGATCGTCATTGACGCGGAATCATGTTTCAGGCGTACCGCAGCCATGATTTACTCGAAAAAATATAATTGTGAAAATCACACCTTTCTCATCACGACTTCTGCTCTATATCACATCACCACAATCACCATCCACAAACCTTCTCACGCTTTCTACCCTGCTGCACGCGAGACAATACCTCTTCTGCCATGCTCAACCAACCCCCCTACAGCCTCTCCCCCGCAAATTTTCAAACCCCTCCCCTCCCAAAACCTCCAACGCGATCCCCTCCCTCGATGCCCAAAACCCCCCTCCCAACCCCCCTCACGCTTCTCTTCCGCCCAATCTGCGAAATAATGCATATGCCACACCCTAGCCAACCCACTAGCGCGAATACGAAAATTGAGATATTTGCGAATTTTTTGACGGTAGATCCTCGCTCCATCTTCAAAACTGTTATTCTGGTTCTTCTTTTGGTTGATTTTGGTGAGATGCGTGAGAGCTTACATAGAATATGTGAGTATCTGGTTGAAAGCTTGGGAGATATACGGGTAGTATCGGCGCTAGTGGATAGGGTGGGGTGGGGTGACAGCGGGACGGGGGGGAGGGGAGGGGGCGGGTAGATATGGTTTTTTTCTAGTCTTCTTATTGGGTTATTTGGGATATGGGTGTGGGGTTTAATGTGGTGGCGGGGCGGTGGAGGGTGGGAGTGGGGGTGGGGATGGGGATGGGGATTCATCGGAGGTGGCGCGCGCGAGGTGGTGAATGAATGATACTTTTATGTATGGGTCTTAGTGGCCTGGGAAGATGATGGATGGTAATCGTGACACTTTGCAATGGGTACTACGTGTGGTGGAAGTCATAGGTTAATTAATATTCTTCTTGGAGGGGTATGATCTCAGGAGTTCCGTCGTCTAAGGCCCATCGCTTTTTGTGGACCAGCACTGATATCGCCGTTTTAAGCCTATGGCATTATCGCAAACTTTCTGCAACAGGGGAGATTCGAAAGTCACATCGAGCTTGTGGTGGCCAAAGGGGCATGCAACGGCCTGATTCTGTGCTTGGATATCACTGCTCCTCTCGCTGGTCGGGAAAACAAGGAGAGGGAGGTCTTTGAGCCAGCCATTTCACTCGCTCTCGACACAGAAAAAAGGTAAAGATGATCCCCATCATCATCGTCCTCGAACTCTAGCTCCAGGTCCCAACTTCCAAAAACCAGACCATCGAACTGCAAGTCCCATCCCATCCACCACCCCCCGCCCGCCGCGCCACGACAAATCCCGTCGCAATGCCACACAAGCAACAAAAGCCCAAATACCAAATCCCCGCCACAAAAAAACCCCCGATCAAGTATTCAATTAATTAAGCCTAAAATCCAACCCCCCACCGCAACCAACCTCTTCCCCCTCTCCGCCCCGCCAACAGGCACAACATCAAAAACACGCACCTCGAGCGTGAAGAACTCCCCCCTTTCCCCTCGGCGTCTCACACAACGCCTCCATCACATCCACCATCCCCTCAACCAACGGCTTGAGCGGCGAAGTCGACTGGAATTCCCGCTTTATGGTGATTTCGAATTTGTTGGCGGGGTCGGTGACTTCGATCGTGTCATACGAGGGATGGAGGGGATGGAGGTAGGAGAGTTCGAACATCGTTTTGATAATCAGGTACATGCTTTGGACTTCTTCCGGGTCCGTGTCGTGCTGCAGGGGACGGATGGTGGTGGTGATGTCGGGGTCGAGCGTGTGGGGGCTGGAGCCGCGTTTGTGGAGGAATTTGCTGCTGGGGGTGCGGGAATCTAGAGCGGGTGTTGTTGTTTTGTTTGAGGTTTCTGTGGTGGTGTTGGTGGTGGTGGTATTGGTGGGAGGGATGAAAGGCCGCGTTTTCCTCACCGACAGTTTCCCGAGTAAATGATTGTCGCTGAACAATTGGCCCGTGAACTCGCGGTAGGCGTTCTGCGTGAACATCTGGTGTGCTAGTTCGTGCAGCAGCCAGACGAGCACAAAATCGTTTAGGCGCCCTTTGGTCATGCGTGTGGTGTGACTGTAGGCGAGCTCGACGCCGTAATATCTGCGGGCTTCGAACTCCAGGTTTTGGTTGTGCGTTCGAAAGGTCACTTCGTCGAAGGCGGAGGCGATGGTGCGGTAGAGTGCGCGTGGACTTCCTTCTTCCATGAAAGAGTGGCCGTTGTCGAGGAATGTTAGGTCGAGTCGCGGGTTGATGATCCGATGACTGGGTATGACGGGGGGTATTGACGTGTTGAGTGTCTCGAAGGATGAATCATAGTTGGAGCTGAACCTTCATCAGCTTGGTAGCGACCAGGGTCTTGCCTACTGACTTCACCACAACTGGATTCAATGCTGGAGATGCTGGTGAAGCCGATAAAGGTAGAGCGGATGTTGAGGCGATTTGAATGATCAAAACACTTATGAGTGGAAGTAGCAAATTTATCAAGGAATAACTAGTCCTGAGCACCATAGTGTGGCACACTAAAAGGGCTGTGGATACGATTTGTCTAAGATTCGAAACAGGCAATCTTGCTTTCCATGTTGTTGGGCTACCCGTCTTTAGAGTGAAGTTACTTATATGCTCACACATCATTCAGTTGGCGAGTTCAATTTTTAAGAAAGTTTAGCCTTGGTAAAATGCCGCTGACTGTAAGACATACAGGGTGTCTTGCGCTAGTTCGCTGAATATTCCTCCCCGAGCGTCAATTTCACACCTCTTTCAATGATTGGATCGATTGCCCAATACTATTACGTGACGAGTCTGACTCACTTGGTGTCCTGCCATTTTCTGCAGACCGCTCATCAAGTCATGCAAAGATCTATATTGAGAAAGACAATACTCACACCGTCACTGTTCGAAACCCTTGTAGGATTCTATGGACGCTGTTGTAAAGCTTAGGCTGCTTCTTGAGCGCTCATTGGCGCATAACGGAGTTATAATTCGCTCAGGATACTCAGCTGGGAACTTGCATACCTCGACAGTTGATAGCTCGCGCTCTCAAAGCATTTGCCTTCATAGTGAGGAGATAGGTTGGCAAAAGGGGTATCAATTTTATTAGCCGCTACAAACATTCGCCAGCTCTTACTTAGAAAATATGACTGTACAAGCTATGTACACAAGGAATGGGTCTTTCTCCCGGTTTCTGCTATAAATTATCTGAGTCAGGGCTACTTGTGGCAAGAGCCCTGTTGTGGAAAGTATACAGTGTATCTCGAATGCTCATACCGTTTTGAAACGCAATGTGGCTTTGTGAAGCTATAGAGGAGCTAGGAATAGGAGTACAGGGGTTTTAGGGGAGATGGTGTAGCGTGGCTGTAACTGTAGATGGTGTATCTATGCAGGGCGTATTGCACGACGTTGTCAGCTTGCACACGCCCTGCTGTGATTTCGTCGGGGTTGGCAAAGCGATGGCGCGCTGTCTCAGCCCCATCTGGCTAATGCGGTCTTCCCTTCGTGGCTGGTGTGTGAAAGCAGGGTCTGTTCGATAATCTGCTAGAAGAAATGCTTCTCAAGTGTTGTGTGGTTGTGTACGCCCTAGCGTTGTGAAAGTTGGACGCGTTGGTGCGTCGGAGTGAGATTTGGCGAAGAAAGAGCCTGTTCTTTGTCTGCGAGCCGTAGAATTAAATTCCCGGAGGTTGATACAGTGTATCTTGAATGGCTGGGGTTTGAAAGGAAGGAAATATCTCAGAAGGCCATTGCAAGATGTTATCGAAGGAATAAAATTCTTCATCGGTTTGGTCTGGAGGCCCGGCGACTGGCAGCACGGTGCTTCCCATATCCAAAAACCCGGAAAATAAACCGTCACTGAAGGGCTCCTCGCGGCTTGTTTCTGAAGCTAGCGCCCTAGGGGGCTTTTCAGGTATGTGAGCGGACGGTGTGACGGAAGTTGGTGGTGAGGTAGCCGAGAAAGCTGACGTATTTCGAGACAGCATAGCAGTGGCATTGCTGCTTCGTTTGCTCGATGTAGGAGATGAGGTGAATTGATTTGAAGTCTTTCGTTTAGTAGGACCTTGTGTTGCGGTGGAAGATGCGCGCCGCGCATCAGCATGTATCACATCTTGAAACTCTTCGAGGACAACTGCGCCATGACGAGCTTGAGGGTCATAGACGCCACAGTATCGAAGTATGATGATCGAGTCCTGCATGCATTGCAAGGCCACAGCATCACCAGAGGGCCGCGCGTACTGGTTTGCGAAAATGATAAGAGCCGAGGAGAACAATGAATCTGTTGAAAGTGGGTTCAAGCGGGCAAGGTAGCCACCCCTATACGCATTTTGGCATAGGGCAACATTATGTGTCGCTGCAATCACGCAGGCGTCCGAGAATTTCATCATCTTTGGTTGCTTTGGAGGTATCGTATTTTCGTCAACGTTCAGTCGAGTACGCTGGATTTCGACCCCAAGGAGATGGAGGAAAAATGGGCGCGTGAGAAGTATGATGGTTTGACAATATGCCACGTTACAATGAAGAATTACGATGGCTTGTCTCAAATTCTCGGGCGAAGCTTGCTTCCAATGAAGGCTTGGGTCTAGATTCTCTGGCCAGCTTTTACATTCGTCGATAAGCTGCTGCGCTTCTCGAATGCAAACTTTCCGTTGAGTGTAAATTCGCCGAAGTATGTGACCAAGAACGTGACAGGCTCTTACTGAAGCTTCTAATCCCGCTGTACAAAGATCATGGCGCTCTGACTTAGTACTTTCTGCTGCTATGTTGTCCCGATTCTGCAATATGGAGCCGCTGCTTTCTTCTTCAGCAATCGCGACCGGTCGTCCAAGAGCAACGGCCAAGAAGCGATCGAGTACGAATAGAGTGCGCCAAAGCTTCTTCCGCGCCATTTTTTCTTTTAGCGGGAAGATGTCTAGGGTTTCTTCCCGGTGTAGACCAAGGGAGTAGCCACAGCGAACGGCAGCACCAATAACGGAGTAAGCGGTGCTTCTCTTGGAACGTATACAGTTGTAGATACCCATCAGAGTCATGGCTTGTACCGACGAGAAGCCAGCATTTTCCAAGTTGTCCACAGGATTGCTAAGGTTCTTGGCTGTGAAATAGAAAATCTCAGATTGATGGGCATGGTTCGACCGCAGTTTGTTGATAACTTCAGCTTCTTTACTACCGTCACGTGGAGTCGCAAGGCTAAGGCCTATAGCGAAGACGAAGAACAGATTGCCGAGCCCAATGGGATCGACAGTAAGCGGATCAAAGTAGCATTGCGCTAGGGTAGCCAGTATATCCTTTTCGTCCAAAGCCTCTACGATGCCTTGCAAGTTGGTAAAATACGAGTCTACAAGCATCAAGGCTGCGGTCTTGTCAGGAAGTAAATAGGTGGGCGGAGGACGGTGTGATGAGAGTGTCAGTTCTGGCTCGGTAACTCGGTGCCGTCCAGGATTAAGCGTAAATTTGGAAGGTCCGGAAGCCGTCTCAATAATCATCCGCAGTAGCTGGAGGAAGGAGAGAGTCGATGAATCGCCAATATACAATAGCCTCCCCGAGCCGCCTCCATCCTCCATCATCCGCGTCATCATATGATTATCGGCCTCCTCGATCGTGAAATCCCCGGCCGTGGTTTCTGTTGTCGGCAGCTTGATATCGGCCTCACTGTTAGAATCGGCGGGCGCATGGCTCCGAGCTGCTTCCACCGCCTCATGGATTGAAGGCACCTCTTCACCATGATCATCCTTCCAATCTTGGAAGGAATGCCCCTCAGCGATCTTTTTCCGATGCGTCGAGGTCTCTTCGTCCGCACTGTCTTTCTGAGGATGCGATAGGAAATTCGTAGCTCGACTTTTCGATGACGATGGAGAAAGCTGGTCTGTAGGTTCATCATGGGGCTCGTGCTCATTGCTGTCGTAGACGCACTCAAATTGACGTTTTGAGCAGGGTGCGCATGGTTCCTGTCCGTCGCACTGTATTTTGGTCGATCAATCGCAGTCCATCGCAAGACCGCAAGGAAATTGAATACATACCTTCTGCTTGCGCCTCTTGCAGGGCTCGCAAGCCTTGGCAGTTCTCCGCCTCAGGCTTGGATCGATCTTTGGCCGGCCCATCCTTGCATTGATCGGTATCTTATGGTGCAAAGCTCGCAATCGAAGACAATTCGGTCGAGTACTTCTTTGAGGAGGCGTGCCCACCTGAGATAGGTGTGAGCCTTGGCTAGTCCTACAATTCTCCTCGCAAAGTTCACCGAAAATTTTAGCCCTCACTTACAACGAACTCTGCCTTTCTTCTACCTCGGGCAAGATGCGGCCTGCGCGGAGGGGTCCCAAGTAAGGTGAAAGACCACCTTCTCTAAGCAACGGGATGATCGGGAAACAGGCTCCTCCTATCCACCCTGATGCTATGGCTCTTATCGACACAGGATTGTCAATATTGCACGAGGCATTGGGCGACAAGTGCGATTGTACCTGACAAGAGCATAGCTGGAATGCGCCGCGGGAGAGCTTCACATTGAGCAGGCTACCTATCGCGGCTTCCTCGTGGTCGGGCAGCGGAGTCTTGTGTGCGTACATGTGTCGAGGTTGGCCGGTCAGTCGTCAGTCTCGCGCAAGAGTGAGTCTCGTCATCGATAGATGGTCGTAGGGCTGAGTCTGTCGCCGTCTTTCGTCTTCGCCATTCCAGGGTCCGAGGGTCCAGCCCAAGTGCGGGGCTACCGCTCGCTAGCGTGACCTGGCGTACCCCCAAAGATCGGGATCGGTCCCGGATCTGTTTGCTACGGCGAGGACGGTCCTCCCACCAATCACATGGCACTCTATGCCTCTCTTGGATTGGCGTCCTCTCTATACTGATCATCCCATCTCGATTACTCTCGTCTCCCTTCATGTTCTCCATCCCGCTTTCATGCAGGCGAACCGAATGGACCCTCCGATCGCATTGCTTGCATGGGATCTGTCTCCGGCGTGGCCAACGCTCCTACCCTCTAAAGCCTGCATCTGACTACCCGCGCAACGTCTGGCATTGCTAGAGTATTCGTGTAAGTATGAATACCCGGGCCTGTTGAGTTATATGCGATCAAGGTGGGGTACTACTTGCTGTGGCAGTGGTGTGATCTCATGATGCGCCGCCCCCGGGGCAAATCTACGAGATTAGTCTAAGGCTACCAAACTCCCAACAGAGATAAATTGTGCCCAACAGGATCATGGGTATTGAAATTGCCTAATGAGTGTAAGAGGGATGATGGCCTTGTGTCTGGGTGGTCACTTATATATAGTTGACGGGTATTGATACCTTGCGGATGCTATTCTGCAGGCTTATGGAGTCGACCTCGCCAGGTGCGGTTGCAGCCAGACATCATGACTGGACACGTGATAGCTGGACTCAATAGCTTGGATGGAGTCCATTACAGCCTCGATAAAGTCGACCTGCCGAAGATCGCTCCCCTGGTCTCTGGTGGCAACATTTGGAATTTACTAATATAATTCTAAGACAAAGATAACGATCGGCAGAACTTCAATACCATTTCAACTACTTTGCTAAGTATTCCACCCTATTCCTTCACTACTCTACTGGTCGCCACAGAGGACAACGGCAGCCGGTATCAGATTCGCTAAGACAAGTTCAAGATCTGTGCGCGATCCGATCGGAGCTTTGATCCGATCGAGTGCATTACCCGATCAAGTGCATTATCCGAAATTGCTTTCATCATCACCCGCTATCCGGTATCTAGTTGGTGCCCCATCCGGGTGATTCCATACGACAATCCATCTAAGTCGACTTCATCCGAGCGTCGGTGCAACAGATACTATCCGAAAGCCTCTGCCACAGATCTGCTGCAGCTCACAGAGCGTCAGAGTGTTCGGGGCCGTGCCGAGCCTGCGGCAACTCCGCTTGCATATCGCCATCCAAGGATCCGGCATCGAATTCTAGGACCCTCTCATGAGATTTCGGGGTCTAGCATGGGAATCCAGGAATCGAATTGTGTTTAGAGTATAACTTTTCCTATATCTGCACGTGCGCATTTAGTGGCGTGTCATATACCGCGCATCTTTACATTTCTTGATTGATTGCTTTCGAAATCCCCCTGAAAGCTTGCAGTCTGATTCTGCCACCGTCACACACCTTCACCTTGGATCCCCTGAAGGATCTCAAGCTAGGAGACAGTGAGTCAGCATGTCGTCTGCAAGCCAAAAGTCCCGCGGCCAGGTCACGAGAAACGCATGTGTCAGTTGCCGGCAGAAGCGGGTAAAGGTACCATGTTCTGACGAGATCCGTTCGTGCTCTACCCGATAGGCTGATTTCCGATAGTGTGATGACAAACAACCGTGCAGCAATTGTGACAGGGCTGGCAGGAGTCAGTGCAGATACCTGATGCACGCACAATTACCAGAGAGTGATATCAAGTCCCATGTTCAGGACTTGGAAGAAAAGGATCGGGTCTCGACACTGCTGTTCGACATTCTCTCATCCGGCTCCCAGATCGCCCGATCGCAAACTCCGGATATCCTACGAAGCCTGCAGGCCGGCGAAGACGTAGCCTCTATCGCCCGCCTCCTGGAAAGAACTTCCCTTGACGCTGGGGGACAAAGACCAGCTGGCTGCGACCAATGCAAATCACGACGCCGGCTTTGTGATGCTGCAAAACCTGTCTGCGTCATGTGTTCAGTGGAGAACCTTCAATGTTCTTATGGCGATCTCTCTTCACCTGGAAGTGATCAGCTAGGACCATTGGTGCCTGGAGCCAATCAATTAGTTGGGGATGTCGAAAAAATAGTACGTAGGATTCCAATTCTCCTTGAAGATCCTCCTGGCGAATGGACCGGTGGTGAATGTACATTTTTCTGTCAGCCATGCCGGTACTGGCTTTCCTTCGACAACTAGTAGCTCAAGTGTTCAAGAGATCATCCCATTGACTGGCGATAGGGGTGCTCACCTTGACTCCAAAGGCTTTTAACATCCGAAATTGAAGTCTTTAGCGACCAAGGGCGTGATCTACGATGGCGCTCCATTGGGTACCACGGAGATCAAGATGGGCACCCTTGCGGTCTACGGGATGCTTGCGCTCCTTGCTGCGGACATCTCAATACGATCGTGCTCAACTTCTGTTGTTCAGTTTTCGGTCTGAGCTAATGATAAGCAGCGGCATTCACACAACCTTAGTAAATCCCCGGAAGCGCAAACTGAAGATGCAGTGGTGATGCAAGAACCGATTTGCTCTTCCCCACAGGCTCTCACGCAGCAGATAGAAGAGCTTTTAAGGGAAGCCACCCCCGCATTTTCTGGCCCTTCGCAAGCTGTCGGAGATTCGGCTCGAGCAAATCTTGCCCCAGCGCCTGACCAGCTCGGCACCCATAATAAGTTACTGAATCCGTTCGACTATTATGCCAACTCTACCACTAAGACATATATGCGTCTCTTCTTACAGAGAGTTAACAGTATCTTCTATTTATTCGACGAGGAAACACTGGAGCCACAATTCGCCACAGCCATTAACAAATCGAGTAACATATCAAACGAAGAGATGAGCGAGATCTGCCTAGTCTTAGCATTGGGAGCTCAAATCAGCAATGACAGTAGCGACAATACGACTATCATGTGGTATGAAAATGGCAGACGGTACCTCGACGACGAGGATTGGAGCAACAGTTTACGAATAATGCGATTAACGGCTTTGATCAGTCTATATCATATCGGGGAGAGACCCAACACGGCTCGGCACTACCTAGGTTAGTTCTATCGCTGGCGCGTAGTATGCAAAACCATAAGCCTAACTCGTCTAAAGATTCGGCGTTAGACATCGGCCAGACTTATTTCTCGGGCATGAGAGTCTCTTCACCTCGATCTCCAGAAATGAATGATTATGAAGAATGGCTGCAAATATGGACTACCATACAGTTCCTTCATAGGTACGTCATCGTCAACCCATATCGTATTAAAGGAGGTTCGTAACCGATCACGCCCTTTTGCAGTTGGCTCTCTGTGCAGCTTGGTCTGCGCTCCAGAAGCAAAGTCAGGTACAAACTTGATGGCATACCAACGGTCAGTGTTCCTAAACGCTCGCTAAGTGAGCTTCACCTGCTAAATCTAGCACAGACAATCCGACAATCAATGGGAAACAGCGGAAATCGTCTTTCCGCGCATCAAATGATGATACATCTTTTAGACAACTACTGTCATATACTACAAAGTTGCAATAAAGGTCCTTCGGTCCCTATCAGCCGGTATGAGTACTGCATGAATGAATTGTCTCTTACAGCCATTCCCTCGCCAGAATGTTCCGATCTTACAACTGAAGCGCAGCTGGAGAACATAGATGATAAAACCAGGATTGCTCGGGTAAACTTGCCACCCTTTGCAAGGACGTTGACTTACGCGTGAAAGCTTCATCTCAGAGCCATGCATTTAGGAAGCGTCATTGCTTTGACACGCCCCTTGTTATTACAGACCACCTTTGCGTATATTGGAGCTACCTCGGATCCTAGGAATCTCAAATTTGGACTAAAAGAATTCAGTCAGTCAGGGTAGGTTCCTTTCCCACAGCGATTTGATAAGAGAAATAGACAAGCAACTAAGAGCTAACACCAACTAGACTCAACGCAGCCTCGGATCTGTCCCATCTCTGCCTCACATTTCTGCAACTTGGCTCTTTTCCACAGAAATGCTGGCTGCCGATGTTAGCATCCCACTCAACCATATCCCCAAATACACTTCTAATGACCTGCAGACACTTCCTCTACGAAGCTGCCCTTACCTCCGTCTTAGGAATTGTCTACCGAAAGCTCCAAAACAATCTCGACCGCAGAGACATCTCGGAAACCCATCTGAATCGACAAAAAGCCGCCTTGGCTGCAGCGATGAAAGTGTTGGAGCATTGTGCACCTATGAACAAGACAGCCTATAAATACTCATCGACCCTGCATCGATTTCGGGACTCTTTCAGCGACCTCTTAGGGTGAAGGCTGTCGGCAGACCCTATAGATGTCGAAGATGTGTGATAGTCATCAATACCAGCACCTCACCGTCTACTACTCTACCAAACCTTCGTCTATCAATACGAGCTACAGAATTCCCGCCCCCAGCTTACGGCCACACCAAGACCCCCCAACAAGGGTATGAAAAGGAGTTCGAAGATTCCTTGCGTTGCCGAGGCAATAAGCAGCCTCAACAGAGCAAAATGATCACAAGAGCACTCGAAATTGTTGCCGATTGAGGTACGCTAAGTTGCAGCACCAAGCATAGCAACTTCTAAACTGCCGCTAGACATGATAGACATAGAATCCCCCCTCATTGTTTTGACTCGGCATCAATTGCTACCCTTGTCAGCGCCTAGATTATGGCGAATTTGATTGAGTAATAGTAGCCTCGGCAGCAAAGAACATCAGCGAGTGCACGTATATGGGTATCACTGTTCTTGAGCTTGAGTATTAGCGAGAATTTTATGTGCAAAAATTTGTGGCTTATCTAACAATAGCCTAAACAAAGTTCTTTGCGTGTGTTTTTCAAATTTCTGTCAAAACTCGTGTGACTTAGTTGCCTGGAAAGGAGAATCAAGAGGTGCGTCGTTATGCTTTGCATTGGTAATCTCCCGGAGTTTGTTGAGCACTCCTGTCTCCGTCGTAATTCAGCCCTTGAAAAAAGTTTCCGGATTTATGAATGGCTGAAAAAGGGTGGACCAATGTCCAACTCCTACTTGCATCAAAAGTGAGTCTTCTTAGGCAAGTCAGAGAAAAGGCTTTTCATCCCTCCATAGCCTCGATGACTCCGGACTCCTTCATGGAGAATTTTAGTAAAATCTCTATTCACAGAGTGTTATTAATTGTTTAGGAATGATGCCGGGTTGTGGTTGTGTCCCCAAGGCTTCAGCTTGTCGACGTTGAGTAAATTACCGCTTTCGCTCCTCATATGTGTTCGGACAGTGGACGTAACAGTTTACAATTTTACATAGATAGAGTCGTGACACTCTTAACGTATTTCATAGATCGGCCTGAGGTGTCATCTCTCGCATTTCATCGATTAAATTGCAAGGAAGAAATGCATAAATTCCGAGAAAATATACAGGTTCAATACTTTGTTTCTTAAAACTAAAAACATTTCTCAATGGTTTAAGCGTGCCCTCTGCACAGTTGTTTGTTGCATGGTGGTCCATCAATTGGATTCATTTCTAGGATTCCTAAATTCAACTAGCTAGTGATGGCAATCTCAAGGTGACATACGATTGCTGAGATCGATGACATAACTGAAGTCCTATGCGTGGGTATAAGAAATTTTATCTTAGTAATTCCTTCCCATTAGTGTATCCCTTACAATTTACCCCGCTTAAAATATAGCAATCCCCAACTAAAACCTCTCAAAATCATATATGAGCTAGGTACTACTGTCACCAGCTTTGATACCCCTTGAGTAGGCTGTAATACATGTAGACGGCTGGAATTGAGGTGTAGCTAATGACTACCTATGTTGTCCACTACGCTATAGCCTGCACGTTTGGCTTATAAAACCTATGCATATATCTTGGATTACACATCTCATGGATGTCATCATGAAATTACGGTCTCACATCGATCATCTCTTATTCAATACGTCTGCCTCACCCCCGCGGGCAAGGTCAAGTTCCCTATCCAACTACTGCCATCCACAGCCACCGTCTCGTTGGTCACTCCCACTCCCCCTCCCCCTCCCCCTGTCATCACCCCAAAAACCTGCATAACCATCTTCTGCCCCCTCCCAAAATTCATCTGCCCTCCCAGATTCTCCCCCTTTTCCTCACAAACACTCACCACATGCCCCACCGCCCTGGCCAACAAATACACAAACCCCTGCTCCGTCGTGCCCTCCGGACTCCCGACCTCCATCCCAACACCCGTCGTGCACGTACCCGCATTATAGCCCATAGGCAGGTAGAAGGCGTCGCCTGGATCCTCGCCGGGCTCGAGATCCCGCCGTTTGCGGAATGTCACGATTTCGGGCGGCCGCCGCGTGTCGAGGTCGCTGATTATTGAGGCGATGGCGCTGCAGTCGATGGGGTTGGGCGGGGCGAAGTAGGAGACGGGCGGTAAGGGGCCGGAGGACCCTTTGGCGGAGAAGCAGGTGATGGTGCCCCAGTCGGTGCGGTCGAGGGGAGGGGAGGGGGAGGGGGAGGGGATAATAGGGGAGAGTTGTAGAGGCGAGGTGAGAGTTGGTGTGGTGAAAATGGAGAGGAGACTGAGAAGGAGGGGAAACATGTTTGTTCATTTGATGAGGTCGGAGCGAGAAGAACAATTGTAGGTGGCTGCTAGATAAAAGTATGATGAGGACATTCTTCTCATCACGTGGAGTCTGCGTGGGTTGTGAGGCTTTTTGGCATGTTGGTTTTGTTTCGGAAGGTGTGTTAGTATGTCTAGTTGTTTGTAAACATCTCACTTACTGTTGACATGCAGCTACTATTAGTCATGGCGGATCGATTATATGAGATAATTCTAGTAAGAGTCTATGCAAATACCACCCCATTTGATAACACTTGAGGCTCGATTTCCTATGAATTACAACGAAATGTCTTCCGCGGTTCAAAGGCTCGGTGTCTCACTTACCTAGACGATAATCTTGACTTAGACAAGGGTCATGAGAAAGATGGCATCTATCATGCTATCATGTGCCATTCGATTTGTTCATGGGTCAATGGGACTTGGATGCTTATCACCCACAGTTTTTACAATTCAACGGTGACTGGCAGGAGGGTAATGCGCCGAGGTAAGCAAGCAGCCCTTATATTCCGCAAATGTCGCAGGTTCACCACTATATTGCCGCCGAGAATGTCTCACATTCAGCCAGAGAGACACAAGGAGCAATTCCGTGCGTGATGCCGATGATCATCAACCCGGCTAATTGTGCAGGTGAAAAGTGAAGCTAAAGCCCGTTATCAAGCCAAAAAGAAGAGCAGGTTAAGAACGCGATTCAGTGTCACTATTGCGAATTAGCAGCCAATGTTCACCTGAGCCTAAGCATGATCATTCTTCAGATTCAGCAACTAGGGAACCTGTTGTTTCGCGATACTTTATTGAGCTCATCTTCTTCTCATTAGATCAGTGAAGAAGGTTGAACTCGCGACCTCGAAGATAGCATTGCGAGCTTGAGATCTTTGGATCTTCAGGTTCTGGTTTCCCGCAATAGCTATCCGGCATTACTTATTTGTAGACCACCCCTGGTCGTGGCAGAGGTCAATACACTTCGAGCAAGATAGCACTCTATCTTCGGTGCCACATGATATGTTCGTGGGCAGGTCTTCTCAGCAATTCGAAATCCTTTTCGTGGACTGACAGCTGTCAATGCCAGTGTTGGCATCTAAGACAAAAGTTTCATTTACCTCGATTACATAGATTTAAACAGAGCACCAACTTACCTGAAGGAAGCGCTTAAATTAGGCTAGACTAGTCTAGACATACAACCATGCATGTAGCTGCGTTTGGGTATTCAAATGACTCTAACCCTCCACGACTCTCCTAGCCCACCCCATCACAATATCACAATTTCACTCCTCCATCGCCTGGTAGCTCTGCAGCCATGTTACTGCATCATCTCTCCCTCAGTCTCACAGCATTTACATTTCTCAAAACGGCCTCCAGCCAGCCCACTCACCTCGGAGAAACCTGCGACGACCACTTCCTCTCCACCGAAAACTTCAACACAACATCCTTATCGCTAACAGCTCGTTCCATGTACGTCTCCCAACCTACCGACCCCCTACTTCTTCCCCTATCGAAATCCTTGCCCCACATCCACAACCCCCCTCCCCCATTGCTCCACAAACCCTCCTAACGCCCCCAGCCCCCCAACACAACCACCACCCCCAACGAAATCTACCCCCTCCTAAACTCCCAACCGCCCTTAAGCCTCGACATCAGCAGCAGCGCCAGCCCCTCCAGAGACTCCATACCCACCACCACCGCTCTCAAAATCATAAACGCAGCAATCTCCTCCTTCGAAGGCGTCGAGATCAACAATCCCGTTCCTCGCTGTGGGTTGATCTTCCACGTGCCGGAGACTCCGCGCTTTGCTCTGCGGGTGTTCCATGTGCCGTTTCGGTATGATCCTGAGTTCACGAAGATGGTTGCGTTGCAGGCTGTGGAGGGGTATAGGCGATGGTTGGGTGGGGAGGGTGGGGAGGGTGGGGGAAAGGAGGTGGTGGGGTTTGATCTCGTGGGGATTGTGGCGAGAGATCGGGGGAGGGTTTATGGGTTTATGCAGTTTGGGGGGCGGGTGGTGGTGGGTTGATGGGCTGGTTTTTGCGGTGGGGAAGTGCGGCGTTGGTTGGACATCGTAGTTCGTAGGGGGATTGAAAGTGGGATCTAGAGATCTGTGCGGCGATGCTGTCTAGATATATATCTCTATATCTTTTCTCTACTCATAGAAGCTTCTGTGTACTAAGTGTAGTCAATTGATAAATTATGCATCCTAAGTATGTACAGCAATTGAAACTGCATACTAAATAGTAGAACTATATGTTTCCTAAAGATCGAGTGATCTTTCACGCCGATCATTGGCCAAATCCGGGAAAGTACGAGTCAGCGACCTTCTCACCCTGATAGGCTTCTCGAAGAATGTGGCTTGCATTATGGGCATGCCGAACTCTGTTAAACTGAGACGGCGCCGAGAGGGCAAAGCTGAACTTCATCTTGTGAACTGCCAAGCTACTCTGGTCTGGCTTCACGGATTAGTCGTAGTCATCATAAGTGATTTGTGGACATAGTTTGCGGCTTTCTCACTGTCACATCGTCATGCCTGACGACCGGATCGAAGATGAACACTCGCGTGACGCTGCCGATATGATGTCATCCATGTTAGCCATTTGCATCTCTGATACGACATGTTCATTACATGAGAGATGCGACGGAAGCTGCGGCGGAGCACAGATTCGATATCCTCCAGTGGTGAGTGCGCATTGCAACTTGGTCGTCACTGAAGACCGCTCTTTAAAAAGCTTGGATCCCGATGCTGTGTGTCACGACTTCTCGTGGCTGGCGGATCAAAAGCTTGAAGCTTTTGAATACAAGCCTATACACTCTTCAAAAGCTTTCATTCGTTTGCTTCGTATCAAGCCTGGCAAGTTTCGTGTGGACGTCATTGAATGCGAAATGCGTGATTTTTGCCTTGACGATCGCCCGCTGTTTACAGCGATGTCTTACTTTTGGGGCGAACCTAAGCTCGACCAGTCAATCATCTGCAATGGTAGTTTGATCCAAGTCACCGGTACGCTACATGATGCGCTCAAAAGGTATCGGCAGGATGATAAGCATGATAAACAAGAATGGATATGGGCAGACGCTTTGTGTAGGGAAATCAAGTGGAGCTTGGTGCTCAAGTCTCTCTGATGCATCGAATTTACAGCGAAGCACATCTAGTCAATGTTGATCTTGGATCTGCAGCCCAGATGTGGTATCCAGCTTTTGATCTTCTGAATAAGCTAGCCTTCATATCTGAACATGAAGAACAATGGGTCCAAACGAAAAAGCTCGCTAGAACAGCAGATCAATTGTTTGAGGTGTATGAATTGCCCGACTCTTCACATCCAATCTGGCAAGCATATCTTCGAATCTTTTCACTGCCCTGGTTTCATCGGACGTGGGTCGTCCAAGAGGTTGTGCTAGGCTCCAAAGTAGCTTTGAGGCTCGGCGTCTTCGTTTTTGACTGGGAGGCCCTCCAAAAATCTTGGGAGATGGTATTTTGTCGCTTAAAGATACAGACAAGAGATCGATTGGCGCAGCAAGGCTTGCTCAACATGCAAAAGCTCGACAGCATTTTCCGCATGCACAAGAGACCGAGGAACTTCCTTTCGACATTGTTCGTGATGATCCAAACCAAAGATTTTCACGTGTCAAAAGCACGAGATAAGATCAACGCTATTCTTGGGCTGGTGAATGCGAAACCCATTGCCGGAATCCCAGCCTTTCAGGCGGACTTCACATCATCTACGGAGACTCTCTACCAGCGATTTGCCATCCACCTCATCGATCATCACTGCGCTCAACCGTTGTTGAATCAAGCCGGTCTTCATCAAAGGTCGCTCCACGGAGGTGAAATGCCTTCTTGGGTCCCTGACTGGATGGGGCAGAGCAAGTGTATGCAGATGGCAACAATTCGCCACGTAGGCTACAAAGCGTCCCGCTACGAACCACCTGCGAGTAGCTTAGCTACGCGCTCAACTGACCACCAGCCTAATATCTTGATCATGATTGGTGATTGCGTTGACAGGATAGAATGCCTGACACCGGCGCTTGATCTTGAAGATCTAACAGGTATACTGGGAACTAAAGAGCGATCCCAGATTTTCCTCAAATGGCATGACATTGCAAAAGCCTGCCTTGATAATCAAGAGTCAAATATAGCTGGCAGACAAGAGAGTCTTTATGGAGACATTATGGAGGCGTTTGCCAGAACTTTACTTGTTGACAACGATTACACAGGTGGCAACACCGTCACTGGGCTTGCTCCAATATTAGATGCCAAGATCGCTTACTCGCTTAGCATGTCATCTCTTCGCACTTTTGCAGCTGGTGCCGCAGATGCCGATTACCCCAATATATACAACACGTCTCATGCATACCAGACGTTCATGCTACAAGCACTTGCAGCATGCGATGGCCGTAACTTTGCTATCACCGAAAGAGGATATCTTGGCCTAGTACCACATTGTGCCCAAATCGGCGATAGGATCGCAATGATATTTGGGGCACCTGTCCCTTTTGTTCTGAGAGAAGCTGGAAAATATTTGATTGATAATGACAAGCTGAGCAGACAGTTGGTTCAGCTTGTGGGGGATGCGTATGTGCATGGCATCATGGAAGGGGAGGCGATGGATTTCGAGGGCTTCGAACCGCGGCAGCTTTGGATTGCTTGAAGCGAAGATAAATCTACGGCAGTAAACTTAGCGTCTTCTTCATCATCAACGTCTTGTAATCCTGGCTGCACTACTCAGAGACTTTCGCGGTCTCTTTTGCTCTGTTCATGATTATGAATGTACGCTTCAATGGCAAGATAGTCGCATACGTACATACTTGCGACATTGCTGGACTGGAAATTGCTTTTGCCGGATTGACAATAAAACTGTCTCTGGCCATGGTCAGGGCTATTGGTAATATACTCTAATGCTGTCAACAATTTGTGCTTAGGGTTATATGTTATGAAGAAGAGGCCTGGTACCCGACCGAATGTGTGAGATAGGCAGGTTAGGGAGTGGCTTATTGAAGTCGACAGTATAACTGCCTGATTACTTGAACAAGTGTTGTATAGTTTTTTGAAGTTGACTTGATTTTCTTTGACCTGGCTCGCGCGACTTGTTGGAGCGACCTGTTTCAGATGAAGATGACTGGTTGACACTCCTGATCATCAATGCGGATAACTCATAATGGGATAAGATGCTCCTGATTGAATAGCTCATTCTTAATGTTGCTAGAGTCAGATGGGACTAACCCTAAGATCTCATTTCAGTCTTCGAGAGGTGAATTCGAAGGCCCTTGCATCATTCCCTAGCCATACATAATCCTCCTTCTTCAACCCCCAATCCTCCACAGGGCGTGATCGATACTCCACCTGCCACTCCGTCCCCGTCCTCTCCCCAATAGCCCTCCACATGTCTCGCCACGTCTCAGGCGCATGCAGAAATTTCTCCTCTTGCCCAAAGACCTCTCGCTTCTCACACGTCCCAATCATCTCAGAAACCAAAGACCCATGACGGTCCATGCCTAGCTGGTACCCCATCAACACCGATCCAGGGCCTGCAGTCAAACCCACCAAATTCCTCCCAGCTTGTAACTGCGCATCCCAGGTGAATAGGTGGAAGAGAAAGCCTGCGTGAATGATGTTCATCTTGCCCGCCCAAGCCGCAAGCGTCTTTTCGATCTTTGAACATCTCATACCCCAACTCCCAGAATCTGGGATCGATGTCGCAAGCGTACAACGTGTGGGAGGGCACAGCATCCGCTACTAGATATCTCACGTTCTGCCCCAGCCCGCAGCCTGTTTCGAGAAAAGTCTCGCCGTGTTTAAGCCGCTCGACGATTTCTTTATAGCAGGGCATGTCTTGCAGAATGCTCAAAAGAAACATGGAGCAACCGATGTAGGGGAAGCGGGTTATTGCCCATGCTTTATCGCGCTGGAACGCAGTTTTATCAACTACCGGGCCCATGAAGTCGCAGGACAGAAGGGAGAAAACAACTCACAACTTCGCTGACATGCTGGACTAGCTCATCATCATCATCATCATCATCATCATCATTACTTATGCCGACATAATTCGCGAATAACGATCTCGCGGCTGGAGAGGTTCGAGGGAGAACGTCTTCGTCCCACCATGCCACCTCTTTGCTAGACATTTGATTGTCCGCCATTGCCATGGGTAGAGATGAAAGTAGGAGATCTAGCAGTAGAGTTAGAACGGAAGTGTTATGTGGAGGAGGAGACAAAGAATAGAGGAGAAAGACAACGGGGGATGAGGCAGCGGATAAGAGATGACGCGTTTGGGACGCCTGAATCTGCACGGCCCTACCACATCCCGGCGAGGATTGGTGAGCACGGCTATCATCGCAGGAAATCGTGAAGTATCGTGTTGCTGACAGGGAACTTCTTTGTGCATGTTTGCAAAGTATTTTTTGAGGGTAACTCTGCGAAAAGAGGGGGAGGGGGCGATGATGACGCTAGTGGGGGTGGGGTGGAAGATTGGAGAAGTAGGAAAGTAACTTGCAAAGGAGAAAAGTTGAGCAAGGGGGAAGGTGGGAGAGGTGCTGAACTAGAAGGAGTGAGGGTGTTTAGAGATGGATTAGATAGATTGGGTTTTATGATGTTGAAAAGGCGCGATACATGGAGGCCATGTGGTTGCCAGTGGACAGATTGTGGATATAATTGGGGCAAAGGGTTTGACGTGGAAAAGGGCTACTTACTAGAGAGCTGCGAGTTGAGGCTTTTCATAAGTTAATTAACAGCTCTATATCCCGCTGTCTTTGCAAGCCTAATGTATAATATTGAGATTATTATCTAGAAAGCGTCCTTACACATTCCTAAGTATTTACTAGCTTAATTTTTATCAAAGTAAATATTAAATTACTCTGATACTATATACTTTGATATCAATATAGATTAATAACCTAGCTCCTTATATATTTATTAGCTAGCGTAGCTAGAGTGCGAGCCTGCTAACTAAGTGCTTACTAATAAACATTGTTTCTGAATTTATTTTAGAAATATGTCTAAATCACCTACACCTCGTCGACGACTTGACGACTTGGGAAGGAACGACAACAAGATTTATCAATAGATACGAAATTTAATTTGAATGGTGAAGAGCATGATGAGACTCTTACCGCTCAGGTTGGCCGTCACAGCATTAGGGATGAGGCTACATCAGGCGGGCTCCTACGGTACTATTATGATCCCTGGGCAATCGTGCGCTGCTGTTGCCCCTAGCAGTGCTTTTGTACGAAGTATACGACGCAGTTTAAGCTTCCGGAGCTGGATGCTTGGAAAATAGTCTTACCTTCGGATCTCTTTCTTCAGGGACGCCGTCTTCGACGAGTGAAGAAATGATAGTATATAGCATCATGAAAAACGTACGTAATCTCGGACGGATGCGACTGGACCCGGCGCATTGACGGATGCGGAGATCATTACGAGAAGAGCATAGTCAATAGTAAGATAGTCTTACCCTGTTGGCTGGCTACTATTTGAGGGCAAAGTATTTAATCATATATCGGCTCTTGAGATTCGAAGTGTCTGGCTAATGGAAAAACATCCTTCCGACAGAAGACTCGATGATGATAATGCCTCCTGAAGACTTTCTCAACGCCAAGCTTCCTTCAGCCTCTACGAGGTTAGTGGTGCCTCTTGGGGCTGGGCTGTGTATCCATACGACGTTGTAGCGCGCCAATCACCAAACCTGACAAGCGAAGTCGTTGAAAAGAGGCCATTGATATGCAGGTCCGATCTCCGCATGTCAGATACAAGCTTATGGCACTGCGATTTCGGTTACGCATGTCAGCAGATTATCTTGGATTGAAACAGGCCAAAAGACTATTGAAGATGTTGCACCGCCGTCAATGGACAAACGCCTCCCTTAGCAGTCGCTTCTTCAACGGCGTGCTTGTCAATATTGCGCAATATTATTAGACTGAATTCAGGTTCGAGAAGTCGTACGACCCATCGTATGATCACTGCAGATGTTTCACCATGCTCGTCGACTCCGTGTTAATGCTCTCTTTCGACTAGACCAGCATGTTCTACTGTCACCGCCGTTTCGCTTGGGAAACTCGCCGAGATGAATTGAGGCTTAGCACTACAGTGATGTGTATAAAGCGATCGTCGGAGGGCTGCTTTGAACGATACCACCAACGATTCAAAGCGTATCTACTCTCCAGCATATCAACCCCAAGTAACCGCATCTAGCAATCTTGCCCAAGCTCGAGAATTATCTCCTATACGTACCTCTAAAGTCATCCACTGCCATGCACTACATCACCCTTCATTCGTCCATATGGACGATACTGCTATTGGCCTTGCATGTTTCGGCCATTTGCTTCTTCGGGGGCCTAGTAGGCGATCAAGGTTTTACCACTCAGAGACTTTCCGTTGCTGACTCAAGCGCAATATAGATCTGACCCGAATGACGGTGCCTGATGACGTTTCGGTCCATTCTCCAGGCGATCCAAGAGGACAGTTTCAATGGAACATGTACGACCTGGAGCTCGTTTCCAGCGGGGTCAAAGTCCCAAAGGACGTGTACGATCGTGCCAAAAGCGGTATGTGCTAAATGATGGATGACCTTGGAACGGCTGCAGCCATGCGCACGCTATATTACTACCAGGCCAAATGTGAAACTCAAGTATGCACTATCATCCTAGAAGTTATATTCAAAGTGGCAGGGCCGTTCGCTATCGACCAGCTGCCTTCATTTTGTCAGCAAATGTTTGACGAGGATTTCGGTCATTTGCAGGGTGACAGCGGAATCATCTCACTGAATATTGGGTTCGAGACTGGCATCGTGTTTGTCATAGCTGGTGCGGAGGATAGAAGTGCAGGATGTTCGCCAAATCCGGATCCGACTGAGATTTGCCGAGAGGGATCAGCGTAGCTCATTGGTAGTGTCTGTTCAAGTGTTATAGCGCTTGAGTCGATCTTGTTCGTAAAAGCTGTATGACCTAGCAACAATCTTTCATAACTGTCTATGCATTCAATTTTTCGACAATCATCCGCTTACACAATATTCACTCGAAGACCCTTGCGCACACCAAGCAAATGACCTGATTACAGGTTTACAATTAACCCTACACTCTTGGAGTCCTCCAGATTCTTCAATACTCCAATAGGACGTCTCCGTCTGTAGAAACCATTGGTGAGCCAGCAAAGGATGTAAAAGTTTCGCACATTAGCCAGACTCGAGATCATCCCTAGCTATCTCCAGTCTAATCAGGAGAATGTCACCTCCCCATCCTGGCATTCTAATCAAGCCTCTCACGTCCACCCGGGCAAAACAATACTGTCCATTGATTCCTGACCCTACCACTCAAACAAGAAAGCAGCAAACACAAATCTCCGTACCACCACCTCATCTTTGACAGACATCCTCATCCTCCATGCAGGAAGAATACTGCCCTTTTTAAACTCAGCGCAGTAGACCTATAGACCACTTCTCACAAGCACGCTCAAAGTGTCAGCCAGCCACAATTCGCATAACACCTCATTGTGGCGTGGAGTATTACACCGAGGCCATGAATTTGAAAGGTTGAGTATATCAGATGCGCAGTTATGTCTAGTAGTCGACACGTCTACTCTCGAACTTTTCATTCTTTACACTTCTTCAATCTGAAGGTTTCACTCACTGCTTCTGGAGTCTTAAGATCGCACTATATAGACCGCCCTTAAAGCATTGTATGCAGGAGTAAATATACCCTTGACAAGATTCCCGTCGCGCGATAATGCTCCTACTTCGCAACCTCCACCTGAGCCTATCCTCTCTTCTCTCTTAGCGAATGTGTATGGCTTCCAACATCACGTTAGCAACGATGATAGCGCTTTTGGAAAAGTCAATTTATGACGAAGTCGGCCAATCTCGCCCTCAAGCAAACAGAGCGACGCGTAGTAGGGTTGGGTAAGCAGAATCACGGAGTCTGTAGCCAAACGCATCCTACCTCCTTCCTCATCGTATCCCCCTGCCGGACTTGCACCTTTCGAACGTTGAACGACTTCTCCGAGGCGCATAACAGATCTATAGCCCCAACTATTTTGCCCGCGAGGTTCTAACATACTCCAACACCGAAATCAACCGTAGGGCAAGTCTTATTGAACGAATCGTATCCAATCTCCATGTCAAGAGGTCGCCCCTTGATTTGAGGTTACAGTCGGTAGCGAAAGCACGACGGAACTATTACTTGCTCCCTCGCCGCTGTCAACAGCACCAGCCAAAGCTGTCGCTTGACCCTTGTCGAAGCCTAGGTACGCCACAATAACACCATTCCACCGGACTTTCCCATAGAACGGCCGAAACCGGTCGTTCACGGGTTGATTGTACATGAGATCTGCCAGCAAATTCAGTATGGCAACAATCTGGTACTGCCTCAGATCGTCCGCTTCATCCTTTCTGCCAAGATTGAAGGTCATGTCATTTTTGCGATCGTAAAACTTGAATCCGGGGGTCAACTCCTCCTTGTTCATCGGCGCCAACCTTGTGATTGCTTTCATAAGGAGGAGATAGAAAGCGATCGGGGTACAGAGAGGAGGGGCGGTGAGGTCAGGATCGTAATCGATTTTGACCTTGTCGACGCCAGGGGGTGCATTCGTTTTCAAGTTCTGCAGATCAAGCCCCCCGAGTCCTCGATCTCCGGTACGAAGTGGGACGAGTTCAGCGCGTCGGAAGTTTTGGCCAGCACCTGTCCAATACCGAGAGTCTGAGCGTTCATTCGAGGCTGGAAGATGGTTTCGGCATAATGTGGTGGCTCTCGTTCCTCCCAGAACTTCGATGCGACGATGAAAAGAGACCATATCACGTGTTGGACCAGCAGTGGGGGGTCGACTGCTTGGCGATCCCGAATGACCTTGATCCTGACAACCCTGCTTGGGCAGTCCACGAAGATCTCGGGGTCGTTCCATCCTTTGACCGCTTCTTGAGCTAAGCAATTGACGACTGCAAGCCACGCGTCATACCTCCCTAAAATTTGGCCTCTCTGCTTGAAGTCTATCGCGGTTGAGAAACCCTCGGGTGGGTCGTCGGTGAAATTTGAAGCCCTTTGCTATCAGCCATGTGGGAAGCAGTATGGGAGAATGGAGCATACTCGTTTCCTGCCGTCAAGACAACCCAGTCTTGTTGAGCTTGGGGTCTTGAATGGATTAGCAGCCGTACTAGTAGATGTTGAGAGGAACTTGCCCGAATGCGGTAGTGGTATTGCCTGCCTCATTCGCCGTAAAGTCGCCAAACGCCAGATACACAAAGTGGCACCACAGTAGCGACCGGAGCCTCATTTTGACCAAGCATTTGTTCTGCTACTGAAATAAGATATGAGAGTCGAGATACTTACGCCAAAATCTGTGAGAAACAAAACCTTGGGTATCACCTGAAAAGCGGCAAGTCTGCGCATAAAAAGCAGTCTCGGTCCAAAATTAGAAGGCTACAGCCAGAGTCGGTGAAACAAAGTCCCACTACCAGAACATCTCTCTTAGCAGCTGCAAATGTGTCTTTGACGGTGATTTATTAAAACATGCTGAAGCGCCAGCTAATATTTTCCATCTAGTGCTCGGAAAATTGCGACTTTTTTTTGCAAAGACCCGTCAATAGAAATGTTTAAAATGATTAGCCTAATTTATCCTTATTTTCAAGCATGTTTGAGCCGGTTTACCTGATGATAAAGTTGGCCTAGAGACAATTTCATTGTGGCGAGGAACCAATGTCTTAGATATGATCGTTGGAGTTTGTGTTACTAAGACGCACAAGGCCATCCTTTTGAGCCGCACCTTCTACTCAGGGTTGCACACAGTAGATACTGATGTTGACGTCCTGTATCGGTTTTGCGAGGTTCCGGTTGAACTTCCAGATTCGCAGACTCATGCAAGATTGAATATAATGATGAGTATTATTCATGATGGAGCTGGAGCTGATGAAAGTTAGGCCCCGTGATTTACGATCTGTCCTAGACCGACCTGGTTTCGAGTGTAATCAGTTGAGGGCTAGACCAGAGGCTTTTTTTGCCCTAGAATGTCTCATTTTGGTAGGCTGAAATCAACCCATTCACAATTTCCATATCCCGCCAAGACAGACCACTATGCCGTTTCAACTTCACCATCATCATTCGACGTCCCAGCATGCCCACCGCCCGCGGCATTACTATCAGGCCATTCACCAACAAGACCGCTAGCCACGTAGTACTTGACCTCATCATCCTCAACAAACACATCGTAGTCATATGTCAGATCTGGATACGCCTCAAAAAACTTCCTAAACGCCAAAAATACATTGACTAGGACATTCCACGTCACGCCGGTCAGCTCGTTCATTGTCCGCTTTCTCTTACCGTCCGGGACGGTACTCGGCTCTGGCTCAAACGGTTCGAGGTATATCTCTTGTTCAGCTTTGCCTTGAAGATCCCAATAGTAATGACTTTCTGGGGCAAGAGTTGCCGTTGGATCGGCATCTCTACGTTTGAGAGCGTCGTTGAGGGCTTCGCCGAGAATCAATTGCATTTGCGTGTGATTGCGCCATGGCTCCTGTACCCATCCTTCGAAGGTGACGTAAGTCAGAGGATTGTGTACTGGGACTAGATATTCGAAGGTCCTCTGGCCGGTACTGTTTAAAGGAGGCCCGATACCTGGAGGGAATCTATATGTATTGTCAGTCTCAGTGCTGTTACACCCAAGAGTGCCGATAGGTTTACTCGGTGTGAATTGGCATAGAAAGTGTCGGGGTTGTTGCTGTCGGAGTTACGATGGCATGCTCATTGCTGCAATTCGATTCGAATGCGGAGATGGTTTCTGTTGCATTGAATAGTGGGCTTGATCTGGCGAAAGTGGCAACCCAGATGATGAGAGATATTTGCAAAATTTGCGAAAAGGTAGTGCAAGATATTCTGAACATACTCTCTGATTGAAAGATGATCAGTTAATCTCGATCCTGAAGCGTCTTATTGGCAAAGGGACAGCTTTGTAGTACTTGTTGAGCAGATTAAAGGATACATGTTGAATTCGTAAGTCGGCAAAGGATATGTCTCAGTTGGTGTTTGGTGGTCTCCACATTAGAAATTTTACTCCGTCATTAATCCAACACTCACACTAGATCGTGTTCTCTTCATGTTGCAGCCCCATAAGAAGTCTTTCGTGGAGCCGTATAAGCTAATGCTGTTGTCCCGAGTTGGATCGCGATCCGAACCGTTGCCAGCCAAATTATGAGGACTCTTTTCGCCACAACGTACCTCTCATTCACCACATTGACGTAAATGAAATACGGATATGACATATCAGGAGAAGTCTTATAGAACTTGACAAGCCTTACAGGCGGTTTGTACAAAGTTATACAAATCATGGCCAGGGTTCATCCTGGCTTTTTGGACATCTGCCGTAGCCTCCGCAGCTGCAAATTGAAGCAGAGCTTTAACCCTTTCCGAAGCATTATTAGATCATCTTATATCATTAGAGCTCAATATTTGATGCGCTCCATTGTTCACGACGAGATTTATTTGCATCTTATTCTCAAAGCTGTAAATCTAATATCTTAAGGCTGGGAGATTTTGCCACGTCTTGAAACTTGGTAATCCCCTCGACTGTTGGTGGTATTGACGGGAAATCCTTCGATGTTAAGGGCGTTGTCGACATTATTGACGAAATTCACTCTGCCAACAATTGCTCCTCCATCTTTCAGTCGAATTGAAGCATTGGTCAGCAAGAATTTCTGTTTTGGCGGTTGTTCGCCCATAGAGTCGGCAAGGATTATAAGCGCTTCAACAGCCATTCCTGCGAGAAGCTTGCCCTCTTTCGCCGCCTCTTCAGAGGTGGCACCCCATTCTAGTGTGACTTTTGCATCGTGGTCAACTATTTGGTTATACGCGTAAGGCAACCTATAGGGCTGCTCTGCCATTAACACTAAAGCGTCAACTAGAAGCGAGTAGAATGTCAGAGCATCGCAGAGTGGAGCTCCCCGGTAGATCTGAAAAGAAAGCACGACATGGGGGATTGGCGTGTCCTGGTCGTTGGTGGAGATACTTGAATCGATACCGTTCGATGGCATGGAAGAGTTGTCAAATGCTGAAGAGACTCCAGTGTCGACTGCCGCGCCAATGCCCAGGAGGGTTTGCTGAGAAAACGTCTTCCAATTTGTCTCTGCAAAGGTCCGTTTCTGATCATCGATCCACCAGTACAAGAGTTGCTGAAGGGACCATACGGCGTGTTTCGTGAGCATTACAGCAGGCTTCACAAAAATGGGTCTAATATCGACGCCTACTTTCTCCCTCGATCTGCATTGCAGGATCCCTTGAACCTCATCCCAATCGCTCACTGCCAGCTCTCCAATACACCTAATCAATGATAACATGGATTTCTCGGCTGGTAATCGCTCGCCGTGAGCCTTGAAGTTTGGTTGGATAGAGAACTCTGGTGGGGGCAGCTCTTGCTTGATCGTTGAGCTTGAGAATGGCGATGCACTGCTAAACATTAGCATAACATAACCGTTTTCCTGAGCAGAACAAACGACTCTGATCCCGTCGACATAGTTGACAGAGCATTCTCGCGGCGGATGTGAGCCATCAAAGGCCACATTTGCAGGAGCAAGAGCGCGAGTGTGCAGCGCATATTATATGCTTTGATATAAAGACAGAGTGACAGCAGAATCTTCGCTCTTTGCTGGTCAGTTCAGTATTGACATCTCGAGGCTGAACGCGAGTGCAGGATTGTGTGTAGTCATCTCACGCGTGGTGAGACACCAACCAATGAATTACATCCGCAACTTGACCAAGCCAACGCCCCGCCTCCAGCCGCGTAAGATGATTTGCCTGGGCGAGCATTGCAAAAAGACATGTTTGAAGGAACAACATGATTGTAGATGAATGCTGTCTGACTCTGCTGTTGCAAAACATGAAGTTAGCTGTGTCATCTACCAAAGGTAGCTTCAAGATTAGAATTGTAGGCAAAATGGTTGGGCACAGAAACGGGAACAGGATACTCGTGGGCATTAGTAGACCCGTTTCCCGTGTATTTGTTCTAGATCCACCGACAATCGACCGCTCATCCCGTTGCGGCTTATGTTCAACGAATATCCCTCTCCGTTGCATAAAGGGAATCCCGACAGGCGAGTTTTATATATGCGGACTTAGCTGTGAGTAAGCCTTATTCCCAAGGGGGTTTAGGGCTGACACAGCCCTCAAGCACGGATCTTTCACTCCCGGAATGCTTACCTCATCCCAGGGGGCATCGTCGCAATTCCTTGTTCTTGCGCATTGATTCATCATCTTCACCATCACAAATTGAAAAGACTGACAATTATGCCTCTCTTCCTTGCGTTTGGCTAGAACAAACATGACAAGCGGCAGTCGGTGATCACCTTACTCATTCTGACCACAATGTCAACAGACCATCTATTGGACCCAAATGTTCCTAACAATTGTGCATATGACTCTTGCGGTGTAATCCCCGGAATCACCTCTTCCCGGGAAGCGAGTGCCAAGCGAGGCTGAACAATATATGCAGAATACTTACGCTAGAGTTCAGCTCAGTCTCGCTTGCCAGATTCCTCACTATTGCTAGCGCTTATGATCACTCAGCCTCGAGCCACTTCAAGCACGGAAGAGGTCGAACGTGACCCCCGAAACAGAGTATGGCTTATGGCTATCCCTCCGTCTGACATGAGGCTGTCGGGTTAGCGCAGCCCATTGCGCAATACCTCTCTGCAGTCATGGAAGCATTATCAGACCAAATAAATACTGCCAGCGCCGCTCCCTCCCCATATCCATCCTCAGTCAATTCTTCTATCTCACGTTCTTCCCTTCTTCGAGAATATCTCTTCAGCATGCATTTCCCAATCATCTTCGGGCTCTCAGCAGCTCTCCCTCTCATTGTAGCGAGCCCCGTTCAATTTCCTCTGCCGGATGGTTTCCCCAACCCTTCTGCGGATCAAGTCGTCGCAATTCAGCAGAAAGCAGGCGGCTCGCTCCCAGGCGGCCCTCTCCCAGCAAGCTTGCAACCGAACGGCGTGACAGCCCTCAAGCTCATCGCACTCAACGAGATCTTCGAAGTCGCTTACTTCACTTCACTCCTCTACAATATCACTCATGAGGTCGCTGGCTATGGACCGGACGTATACAAGCCAGTGTTGAAGCAATTTCTCGTTGATACCTTCACTGCCGTGGTGAATGTGAGTACTCACTCGAGACTTCTGACATCGAATTGCCGCTTACCCACCCTAAGCAAGAAGAACTTCACGCAGTGGCCACCAACGCCGCCCTCAAGAACGCAGGCCAAACACAGATCCAGCCGTGCAAATTCCAGTTCCCAGTCACAGACTTTGACGCAGCCATCGCCCTCGCCGCGACGTTCACCGACGTCGTCTTCGCTACTGTCCCTCAAGCCCAGGCAATTTTCACCGCCGACGGCGGAGACGAGAGCGGTCTCGTTCCCCTCTTCAGCTCCGTGATCGGGCAAGAAGGCGAGCAAAACGGCGTCTACCGCTCCCTCCAAAAAAAGGTGCCGTCTTCCGCACCCTTCCTCACGGGCGGAGCACCAGACTTCGCTTTCACAGCTCTCCAGGGTTTCATTCTTCCCAACTCGTGCCCTCAACCACTTTCAGATATCCCACTCAAGACCTTTGGGAAACTCGACGTGGTGAGCACGCCCGAGGCGAAGAACAGTACTATTGAGTTCGCGGTGCCAGCTGGCCCTTCCATTGATGTCTCCGCAAACGCGATCGTGTATCTGAGCGGGCAGAACTTGCCTTTGACGGTGCCAATTAGTGATATCACTTATGCGAATGGAGAGGCGCACTTCAAGGCGGCGTTCCCGTTCGAGGCTGGCTTCGCCAAGGGGTTGACCATTGCTGCTTTGGTGAAAGGGACTGGAAACTTCAAGACTGCGGGTGAGGTAGTGAAAGTTGCTGTCAATGGTCCTGGCTTGATTGAAGTCGGGTAGAGTTGTTCTTTAGGAGATTCCTGAAGGGATAGCGTTGTCGCATCGCGCACAAGAGGTTCAGGGATGAGGATTAGGGTGAAGTGACCGCTTTCTATCTTGGAAGTACCAGGACATGATCGCGATCCTGCTATGGAAGAGGAAGTACATCCTTGTTCACTGGGTCTAGAAATGGAGGAAGTAGATTCCAATGTCTGGATAACTTGTTGTTGTAATATATTGCCTTCTATATCGCTATTGTATTACTAAGATATTGATTATCCATTGCCTTGGAGTCTTTGTGCCCAATATCACTCCCTCAAGGGATCACATCATGCAAAAATAGTTGGTTGTTTCACGTCTTGGTCATCAAGTTGACCCCTGTTGTGATGCATTCAATCGGCTAGCTATTCTCCTAAAGCATTACTCGCTCTTCAATGAGTACCTTATCCCTTTCCTCGTCGCCCTCAAAGTATTTCAGACATCTCGCAATTAGAATAATTCATACTAGCTCTCTTAGCCTCAAGAAGTTTAATCGGTAACTCAACCCTCATTCTTTTCCCCCGTCTCCTCAGCCAGTTTCACCCCTAAGTCCGCAGTCAGCCTATACGTTCCCAACCCTGCCACTGTACCACCTTCGATCATAGCCTCTCCACCGTCCCTAATACCCACCAGTACCTCCTTGAATAGTTTTCTAGCCACGATCGCCGAAGGCTGATAATCAAATGTAACTCCCATTCCCGTCACCTAAAGATAGAAACGAGTAACCCCTGCAGTTTGGATTTCATGTCATCGGTTGCTAGATAACAAGGCGTGCCACCAAGGATCTTCAGGAATTTGGATTCTTGCGCTCGCACAAGGTGTTAAGCTCTTTGTAAGAGACCTGTGCGTGAAGGCTCGAACTTAATGAATATTGAGCGCGAACCCGCATGATGCCCTGCTCTTATTTATATCAGCATATGAGCCATAAGGTTGATGGAATTCTATCTGCCAATTACTCGATTGAACGAAACGCATCAGTATAAGGATTTTGCATAACTATTATCGGAGTATGCAGTCTAACTATCGCGAAACCTCCAATGAGACTATGGAGATACAAGTCTTGTGTCTGCAACTTTGAGACCTTCGGCAAGCGGCTCGATTAAAGTCCCAAGATAGACATGAAACAGCGCCTCTACTGATCTCTGCTTCAAAATGTCTAAGCAGTGTCGACAATTACGATCTTATATTGGCAGTTGAAGTTTTTACATTTCTGTATGTCGCAAGATGAAGGAAAATCCTTCGCGCGGCTCGACTTGCAGCCACAGCAGTTTGTTTGCCGAGACAAGCATCAGTAAGTCTATATGACGTGCGCTGCTTATATTATGACATTGAAAATAAGGACGGGGATTTCGTGGCCTCGTTGTGATCAGTGCAAAGATAGCGCAAGCACCATGTTGTTGCTGCCAGTAGCATTAATATGCCTCATGCATCTCAATTGCTTGGCATATGCCCTTCCTGTGGAAAAAGGCACTAATAATGCTCCTAGGCAGCCTGGAGACGGTCTACTGTACGTCTCTCCATGAGGGAAATAGATATTGCTAACACACTTTCTACGGTTGTAGAAACAATTCGAGGCGGTTCCCAATAACAGACACTAAACAGGCCATAGACATTGTGCTTTCACCAGAGACTGAGCCAGAGACTACGAGGGAGTTAAAGCAACGAGGAGCCTCGACTCCAGGGATCATCCCTAGCATAGTCGACCGAGATACCCAAGCAGCGACAAATCTAACAGCGCCAATACCGGTACCACGAACGTTTCTCACGGTGGAAATCACTTTCGGACCAAGCACGCATCCAGCCGATCCCACTGACATTGAAAGGCTCCTAACAATCTTCGAACACAAGATCGAATCCCAGGGTACTCGCGACCTCATGAGATTGGAAGAATCCTCGTTCTACAAGAACCTTATAGTGTTTCTAAACCCCAGCCCCGATTCGTTCATTAGATATTCAGAGGCAGCAGCAGTCATCCACGAGATTGGATGGCAAGCGCTTGACAATGACTACTCCAGTACATTCCATTTCGTTGCGCGCAGGTCTAACGGCCAAATCGCGGCGGTGGGAGCCTTGACTTTGAAAACAGAGGATCCGATCATAGTCAATAGAGATACGATCCCAGAAACTACTTTGACAGCGCCGATACCGGTACCGCACGCAAACAACCTTACGGTAGAAGTTTACTGCGGCGTATATCCGGAAGTCACTGCAGATGTTCTCGAGCTTCTACGGCAATTCAATTTCGCCCTTCAAGCCCATAATCCTCGCGAAATCCTGACATCACCAGAGTCCTTGGAGATCGGCGACATGGAAGTCAATCTGTATAGTAATATGCCTGGCCAGCGGATGACCTATTCCGAAGCTGCACTGTGTATGGAAGAAGTTAGAGAGGATGCGATTCGGCACAATATAACGACTTCATTTGAGATCATCATCTGTACGACTGATGGTCGGCTTTTGGCTGGAGGAGCTTTATCTTCACAGCCTTTGGCCCGGCCCAGTGTAGTCAATAGAGATACTACCATCCTAGAGAAAAGAGAGAAAAGAGTATCCCAGTATCAAGAACCGGATTTAGTCTAGGAGTCGTATATCAATCAAATGGACATCTGTCAAAGCTCCTAAAGACATCATCAACCTTATATCAGATATGTATGACGATTACATTGAAATGATAGCTCCGGAGTCTGTCCATAATGACGATCTCGAGATAGTCCTCTCTCTTGTCCTAGGCGTGCGAATAAAGCATACAAGTAGCGGAGCCCAAGGTGTTGTATACGAGCTTCATTGGCAGGTGAAATTCTAGCAATCACTTCTGCAATGTTTAATGGTCTAGAATACCTGCCGTAGATGCACAACCCTGCCCTACAACAAACCTATTCTTCTTCGTAAGCTACAAGAACAACTTGACGTTCGCTTCTATTTCGGCCTCGCGTATGTTAAACCATTGACCTGACCATCAAGCCTAAAAGCCTACACGGACATGGAATTCCTTCCACTAGATCTAGCCTTTTGAGCAAGTCAACATTGTTGGATTCGTGCGGCTCGCCTGAAGCAACAGCGACCTTAGCGGCACCGATGAGAAATCCAAGCGCGGCGAAGAGAAGACTTATGTCTAATTTCTCGTCATCACATAGCTCCAACACGTGCACATACTTCCTCCTGCCGGACAGTAACCCCTGAAACTCCAGTTTCCGATCGGAACGCAGAGCGACACAAGCGGCAACCTGGCCCACCAAATCCTCGACGTCACGATATCTGAAACGAAAGTTCTACATACCCTTTGAACATGACAATATCGTTCCAGTCCATTGGGAGGGTCCTAATTCCGCTGAGTTACATGCGCGTCAGATTCGGAAGCAGTAAGAGCAGGATTGATTCTGCTGCGACAGCGGGCGAATGTAGCGAAGTGACCCTTGCCACAGACACCTTCGCCAGTCGTTTGCAAGCCTGGTTCTCAGACCTCTTAAGTAGCAAAGCCTGTCATCGCGGGACTTCCCCTAAAACATTTTCATGTAGGTCATTTGTTTCAGCGTATGCAATGACCTATTACGGCTTAGAGCTAAAAGATATACAAGTAGTATTAAAACATTTTAGGCTTTAATTTCCAGTCACATAAGATAGATTATAGCCTCTAAAGTAAGTAAAACTATTAATATTAAAATAAGTAGTATATAGCTAGTTGAAGTAAAGAAATTAACCTATAGTACTTATTATTAAATAATATTTTATATTTAATAGATTATCCTTTAATACTTATATATAAGATAGAAGTCTATTTATATAATAAAGCTTTAAGATCTCTTCTTTTCTTCCTCTTTTCTATTTCTTTATAATCTTACTTATTATTCTTTAAGCTATAAACTAATATAAATTAATAAGAAATTCTATTCTCTTATTTACTATAATAAGAATCTTTATTATAAGTATCTTTCTTATTTTAATAATATTTATTATTTCTTATCTAGTTTTCTTATTAAATAAAAAGAACTATATCTTAGTTAAAACTTAAGTAATAATAAAGCTTAGCTAAGCTATTATAAAGAAGTTTTCTAAGATTATTAAAGATATTTTAAGACTTAAATAATAATAATAGTTTTAATAATATATAAGGAATATAATAATATATAAAGAGTAAAAGTATTTATTACTTACTTCTTAAGCTATTAATATTATAAGTAGGTAACCTAGAAAGCTAATTATAAAAGAATTAATATAATTAAGTTTAAATAACTAGGATATACTATAGTTATTAAAATATTAAATACTTATAAATATTAAGACTTATTAAATTAAATAACTAAAGTTTTAATTTAAATTTAGCTAAGATATTCTATCTTAAGTCTAATTTTATTAAATATTTTAAAGTTGAAAAAAGACTACTTACTTACTACTTAGTAATAAAAATTACTAAGAAATAAAATTTCTTTTAAAAAAGAATTTTATAAAAGGTTTCTTATCTTAGAAAATTTAAAATAAAATTAAATATTTAGTAAGATTCTTTATTTTACTAGATTTTAGTTATAATAAAAATCTTCCTTTTATTTAAAAGAAAGCTTAAAAAAGGTTATACTTTACTACTAGTATTTAATAGTCTTTAAGACTCCTCTTTTATATAAAGTTATTCTTTATTTTAATAGCTAAAAGCCTTAAAAGACTTTAGAGAACTTAGGTTTAATAATAGTAGCTACTAAGTAGTTTAAGTAAGTTAAGCTAGCTATTAGCTAAGAGGTAAAGAAATTATATAACTATTTTTATAAATAATATAATTATATAATAACTTTTATAAATAAGGCTATCTATTAAACTATATAAGCCTTTAGCCCTTTTAATAATATTATATCCCCTTTTATAATTATAATTATTTACTTTTATTATTATATATATTTTAATAATACTTTAACTCAATTATCTAATATATCCTAGCCTTTAAAGCTTTTTAAGCTTATTAAACCTTTTTTATAAACTTTATTAATAACTATATTATAGTTATTACTTAAGCTATTACTTAACCTATAATTTTTTTTAAATAGCTTTATATTTATATTTATAAATAATATTATTAAAGTACTTAATAGCCCCCCTAGCTTATACTCTTATATAATTAGAATATAGCTATAGAGCTAAACCTTAGTAATAGCTTTTCTCCCTTTAAAGGCTTTTATATTAATAACTTTTTCTTATTTTTAATTATTTATAATATATTACTTTTTAACCTCCTTAAAAAGCCTTTAAACTATATTACTTAAAAGAGCCTAAAGTTATTTAACTTATATTTATAAACTTTAATAGACTATATAGGCTATACGAGAAAGCGCTATAGCTAGTAGTACTTTTTTTATAAATAAATTCTATATTAAAGTACTAGTAAATATAGCGCTCCCTAGTATAGCTTATATAATTATAACTTTTTTTAAGTATTATTATTATATATAGTGCTATTAATACTATCTTTAAGTATATTATTATATATATATAAATAGCTATTTTTAAGTAACTTAAATAAATAATTAAATTTTATTAAAAAGCTAAATTTAATTTAATTTTAAATATTTAAAAATACTTTTAAATTAGACTTATAGACTTATTTTACTAAATATACTATATTTATAATTTATAGTATATAAATATTAATTAGATTAAGGCTTAAACTAATTTAATTATAGTTTTTTTAAGTTTTATAATAAAATATTTACATTTATTATACCCCTAGTATTTAAACTAGTAAATAGTATTAGCTAATTTAACTATAGGTTAGTAGGTTAGTTCTCTTAAAATATAAATAGTAATTAAAAGATAAGTAAAAATAAATAGTAAAATAGAATTAAAGTATAACTATCTTAGATTTTATAATAAAAAGTAAAAGTTATATTAAATATAAAGAAATTTATTTAAAAAGTAGAATAAAAAGTTTTATATATATAATTTTACTTAATTTATTTAATAATATTTAACTTTTAATTACTTTAAGTATATTTAACTTAGAAGTTACTTAATATTTTTAGCACTTAAATATACTTAAGTACTTTAGCTATTCTTTTCTCCTTTTAATTATTCTTTTTTATAGCCTAGTATAGCTATAATACCTATCTTATAATATTTGCCTAGTTATACTTATTATATAAGGTTATAATATTATTCCCTTTTTTAATATAATTGTCCTTAGTTACTAATTTCTTTTATTATATAACTTTTTTAGTTATATTATATAATCCTCTAATAATAATACTTAATACTATTATTATACTTTTAAGAAAAGAAAATATTATAGTTATTATATTATTATATATTATTATAAGAACTATATTTCTTAAGGCTCTAAATATATAAAGACTAATTAGTTAGTTTATTATACTAAATATAATAAATATAATTAAAAATGTAATTTAGCTCCTCTTAAGAAAAAGATAAATAAATAATATAATATTCTTAATAATTTAAATAAGTAATAGCTAGCTACTTATTCTAAGCTACTATATATTTATAAAATAAAGTTATTTTATCTAAAGAAGCTAGACTAACTAAAGGATTTTAATATAAAGAATATTTTAAAAATAGAAAAGGATAAGTATTATAAAAAAGAATAAGAATAGTAATCTAATAATATATATCTATTGACTTTAGCTCCTAAATTAGATTTAGTAATTAATAATTCTTTTTTTAATAATCCTAATTTCTCTTTTTATAATTAATCTAATAAATAAATAGAAGTTTTATTTACTTCTATTACTATTACTAATAGAAGCGCTAAAGCTTCCTTATATAATTAAATAATAAGTATTCTTCTAGTTCCTATATATTTTCTTTTTCTAAGTAGTTTTTCTATTTAATAAAGTATTAACTATATTGTTCTTTTAGTATTTCTTTAATTTTAAAAATATTATCTTTTTTAGGTTTATATCTAAATAATATTAAAATTAATTTAATATTTTTTACTTTTTTAAGAAATAATATATAGAATATTAGATATATCTTTATATTGTCTAGTAGTTCTAGTTTATAGTTAATAAGTTTTTTTTATTTCTAAATTTTAAATAATCTAACTTATAAGTAATTTAGTTTCTTACTTAGTTATTTTATTTTAAGATTTTTTATATAAAGCTATACTTTATCTCCTTTTTTTAGCTAAAGTCTATTTAATCTATACTTATTTTCTTGTTTTTTTATTCTAATTTATATCTTTTCTAAAGAATTTATAATATCTTTATATATTTATTTAAGTTCTAATATATATTTAATAGCTTTTTAGGATTTTAATAATTCCCTTAATATATTATTTATATTTAGATTTTTTTTATAATTTATATAGAATAGCGTTGTTTTTATAGTATTTAATATTAGATTATTAAATACTAACTTTACTATAAGTAAAAGTTTTACTTAATTATTCTAGTTTTAGTTAATATAATATTATAAATATATTTTTAATATTTAATTTATTTTTTCTATTTAGCTATTTATCTCTAGGTAATATACTATAGAGAGCTTTAGCTTTATTTTAATTTCTATTATAATTATTTTCTAAAATAAAGATATAAATAGTTTATCTCTATTTAAGATTATTTCCTTAAAGAATTTTCTAA